GGTGTTGTTCTAGAAACACTAAACAGCCATCAGATTCAAGACCAAGTCTTTGGATTAACCAGTGATAATGCATCGAATAATAAGACATTGGCTGATTCCCTCCAGCAGGCTTTATCTAATAATGTTAATATTATCCGAACTCCCTGTCTTGCTCATGTTATCCAACTTAGCCTGAACCAGCTTCTTGACCGTCTCAAGGCAGTTCCACTAAATAATACCGAGGAAACAAAGTGGACTGACCGGCTGTCAACTTTAGCCAAGGCAAATACACAACACCAGAAGCATGAGATTTCTTATACCTTAAACAAGGTCCGCTCTCTTGCAATTTATATCCACGGAAGCCCTTCACGTCGAGAGGCATTCAACAATCTTCAAACAGATGATCCAAAGCTTACACCAATCCAAGATGTGAGAACTCGATGGAATTCAACCTTTCTCATGCTTCGACGCGCGAAACGACTCCGTGATATCTTTACACGATTTTGTGCCGACTATGATTGTGAAGAGATGTTGCTAAATAATGAGGAGTGGCGCCAAATTGACTATCTTCTTTATATTACTGAGCCGTTCTTTCTCTATACAACCGAGCTATCAAAGACTCGAGAGGTAACAATACATCTTGTTTTCAAGATTTACAATGCACTCTTCGAGCATCTAGAAAAATCAATGAAGCAGCTTCGGCGGAAGTGTGTTCCTGGAAAAAGCAGATGCTTATTCTCTTAAGCTGGTCGATTAAAACTTGATGAGTACTACTCGCAGACAGATAGGGTTAAACCACATATCTATGCAATTAGTACAATGCTTGCCCCGATAATAAGTTCCAATTCTTCCTATCTGATGACTGGGATAAACAATGGCGCGACCTCTACCGGAAATCCTTCCAAGAAGCCCTGGTTCCTTATCAAGAACGTCTCTCTACTTTCAAGGCTCTGCAACCACCCCTACCGCAGCAAGACCAAGCTCAAGGCTTAATAAGATGTTGAATGGGCACAAACCACAGGCAAAGCCAGTAGGGATGAAATAACTAATATCTTACAGCGTATGTTAAACACCTTATTGTTTAGTCTAATCCTAACTTCCTAAAAGATACTATCGATGTGGAGCCCCTTCAATTCTGGAGAGACAATGAATATCGATTTCCAGCTATTGCAGCCCTTGCACGGGATATTCTCTCTATTCCAGCAACAGGGCTGGTGTTGAACGACTTTTTAATACTGCTCGAGATATCTGTCATTACCGCCGCGGTCGGATGAAGTCTGAGACAATTGAGGAGATTATGATGTTTCTTTGTACATCAAGATTTGATCTTGAAGAACAAGAGGCAAAATTTCTCAAGGAATTCTTTTCTATCTATGAGATAGAGGCTGCAAAGGAAGAGAGAGACGAGAAATTAGAGGAGATTGAGATAGAGTCGATTAGTGATACTGAGGAACAAGAAGTATGATGAGGCAGTAGCAGTGATACAGGATTATACAGAGCCTGAATTGCCAGAGAATATCACGCAAACACGGGTTTCAGGAAGAAAGCGGAAAAGTAGGGAGGATAATGAGTTTGAGTATCATTAATATATTCAATTACTGCCTTTTTGAATAATATCTTGTTAACCAAACTCTGCACGATGCTGAACGCTTCAGCGAGTAAGAATGTAAAATATAACCAGGCGGAGTAGACATTACAAAGAGCAAATTTTAAGAGAAATAATGTAAGAGAAATACTCAATATTACAGCTAAAAAAGAAGCACAAGTTATGCAGTCATAAGATCGGGGCATGTTTGCACTGTTTAGCCTAGTTTGGGGCCCATTTGGGCCCCATCTGTGGGCCGTGGGCCCCTGGGCTCAGCCTATAGCCTATCATGGGCCCTAGAACCTGGCCCAAAGCCCAGCCCACAAGTGGGTTGGGTTGGGTTGGGCTTGGGCTTTCGTGGGCTCTGATGAAGTCTACTTATGTTAAAGGTATGTAGAGTATATATCAGTTCTATACTATACTAATACTTTAAATAGATTCAGTTTGCAAAAAACCATACAGGGGCTGCAAAGCTCGTCAAAATGGATCTTTTAAACAAGCTTGATGATAACGGACAACACAAGGCTTGGCATAGATCTTATATATGTGGTTCGGTAAAGGCCTGTGAGCGGGTCTATAATTATATACTAAGTATATCACGGGCATATGACTGGGTTAATCTTGATTTACTTAATAAACAGCGCTTACGTTACGCCGAACCCTTTTATCCTCAAGCAATTGATTAACTAATTAAAAAGAAACTGAAGATGTCTTCTATGCTTTTATGAAATGTTGGTGGCAGGATGGAGGTCCTTGTGAATATCAAGATATTAAGACATGTGGTGAAACACCACCGGTAATGTTTTATTAAAATCAGGTATGCTTTAGGTACATATACTGCATATATTAAATATATACTAATTAACCCAGAATTATTTTCTTGGTTGCCCCAAGAATTCAGATATTAAACCTTGGCATTATGCTCATCCAGTTCGACGATTTGCTCAGATTGATAAGACTTATCTTTAAGTTCTTATGGAACATGGAACAGGCCTAAAAATAGAAGAATATAATTTTATTGCTCAGCCAACATCCTGAAGAAGATGGTGTAGTAAGTATATTTCTAGTTTTATATATTTATATGCTAAGTATAGGATTAATCTAGCTCGAGCATATACTCACCATACCGGCAGGCTTTACATTCCAAAGTGTAAGGTTAAATTTGACTTGTATATTCCAACATCCTGGCAACGGTTTCCTTTCTTAATTTTGATTTGTTAATTAAATTATATTTATTTTCCACCACCTCCAACACGATTACCTAAAGATATTGCAGATGAGGTGGTCCAAATAATCTCCCAGCATAATATCCTTAACCTAACTGCAAGTAAGTATATTTACTCTATATATACAGCATATACTAAGTATCTACTCTATTTAGGACGGTTCATAATCTCTCCACAGTTCACTGATATATATAATCGATTTGGTCCCTTAACACTACGTGTATTACATCAAAGTCTTAATATTCAAGATAGAGTTCAAGCTTTGATCCGAAAACAGAGACTTTTAACTTATCCTGAAGGAACTGATATTGCTGGTATGATAATAGCTACTGCTTTTAGGTATATGCTCAGCTAATACTAGGGTATTATATAAATACGCCTTCGACCAATTAAAAGAGGACGACCAGCAATGGATACGTGATGTCTATTTCTTTGATCCACGGTATTTTCTTATTATATGCTGTACATATGCTCAGGCGAAGGCGTTTATTAATATCAAGCATATTAAGATGGACCTCTCATTCAAAATGGTTAATGGCAAGACGAATGTCTTCTCAATTTCTGGGTGGAATCTATATATATGCGAAGTATGTATCTAGTATATTTTTTAATATTGCTCACTAACTTGCAAGTTACTAGGAATCAATACCTTTGCATATGCTTTTCTTAATCTCGAAACACGCGATGCATATGCTGTAATGTTCTCAAAGCTATTTAAGATACTTGGAAATGTGGCTCGCTCACCTATACGGTTTCCCCATATTTAACATGGTGAGAATAAGATCTGGACTATAACTATCGATATGTGTAAGAAGCAAGCACTAGGTATGTAATAAACAAAATATATGCCCGGTATTTGCACCCTGTTAAGTATATTAGGTCTTGGAGATTATTTGCATACGCTAGATATATCCCGAGAGTGGTCTGAGCACCTTCCCTATGTGATCATATTCTGCCAAACTCACTTAAAGCATAATTTTTGCTTAAAGTATAAGGACCACCCTGCAGAGCACCTACTTAACAGCCTTTTAGAAGCACCGTCCAAACCTGATTTGCTTAAGTGTATGGACTACATATGCAATACATATCCTAAGACTAAATCCTGGCTAGAGGGAAAAAAACGGCCGTGGATCTTAAGTGCACTGACCCCGGAATAATTAAAGATACAGATTGAACACTGGACATATGCTCGGAAACATACCGGAATTAGTAAAATAGTTATTTTTTTAAAATAATTAAGGTGTTGGCCGGAAGCAGTCACTCCTGGTAGCTGTTTTAAAGTAAAGTATATCCAAGGTAGATGCAGAGCATAGTTAATAATATACTAACTATATACTTAGATTGCGAAGGTTTACATTTGAGGCCTTTACTTAGAATAAGATACAGATTAAGGAGGGTATTCCACCTTTATGGAAAATCCAAACGAACGTTTAAAGGCGCACTAAGATTATTCGAAAGCAAAGTATGTTAAACTAAAGGGCTGGAGCCTGTTTAATTTCTCTAGCTAATTACTATATTATCCCTATTGCCCTTATTGTCCCTACTGTCCCTACTGTCCCTATTGTCCCTATTGTCCCTATTGTCCCTATTGTCCCTATTGTCCCTATTGCCCCTATGGTTTAACATGAACAGTGTATATGCTATTTACATACCAGGCTAATACTATGCATAGATCAACAGCAAAAAAAGGCAGCGAACTGCCGGCAGAAGAAGCCACACTTGCCATGGAATCCAGGGAATCCATATGATACACCTCTTTAAAATACAGACGGAGTGGCCATGCAGGACACTAATTCCCTATTAGTATCTAGCCTTAACACATGCTCGTCTTATGCCAGGCATGTACCTGCAAGTCAACGAACACACCCACTTAGCACTGTACAGAGTGTTGGTGAAGATAGTGTTATCGAGACCCCTGTTAGATCACCCGCTGTGTATATGCTAAACATAGACCCTTTAGAAAAGTGTTTAAAGGAGCTTAAGGGACTTAAGCGACGAAGAGATATAGTTGAGCGAATTAAGGAGCTTGAGGAAGAGGTAGAGGGGAAAGAAGAAGAAAAAGGGAAACCCCTGAGTGCAGAGCATACACCTAGTAGATGTATAGTATGTTAAAAAGCTATTTTAATTCCCTAAATAATAGCTAGACTAGTATTTGCTCTACTTATTCCTAGACTCTATAATTTATCTCTAAAACCAACCGTGTATATACCCTACGCAGTCTCCGGCACCGACTCGGCAGCATCCTTCTTGGCGCGCGCCGGCTGCTTCCGGCTACCGGTGGCTACAAGTTCTTAGCAGATGCTTAGTATAAGGGGATGTGCTATACTTACCCTTGTGACCCTTCTTCGGTGGAGCACGCTTGCGCTTGGGGGCAGACAGTGGGGTAGGTGGCTTAGAGGGTAGTGGGGAAGATTTGTGCTGCATATACTTAGTATATTATAAAGAGCTTAGTTTCCAGGGGCACATGCCTTGTGACCAGAGACCTTACCCAGCCTCTAGGAAATATTAGCATACGCAGGGAATACGTAGAGTAAATACCCGGATCATATACAGGACGATGGAACTCAGTCCCAAACTGCTGAGCAAAGTTGTTATCTTCCTGGCTAGTGGTTCTTAGTTATATACTATGCATATAATACAGATATGCTCTACTCACGCCAGCTGCTTGAGGAAGTTACAGTAATCCTGAATAATACTGTACATAGGACCCTCACTAGCATACGTTAGCCCTACGCCCAATGTATATATATATATATATATGCGGAGGGGAGGACATACCCAGGCTCCTTCACGTAACGGGCAGTTCTCCATCCTCTGCTAAGGATCCATTGCTTTAAAGCGCTGTCAATTATTAGCATATGCTCAAGAGAAGCTATGTATTTACTAATTTTTTACCTGCAATGCACTCAGCCTGGGGAATGTTGGTGCGGAAGGGATTAAGAGCTATGAATCCTTAGCATCTGCTAGACCTATACAAGGAATAGACAACTCACTGGCACCGGGATGGGCGTTCCAGATGTGGCGGCAAAGCTATGGAATAGGTAGCATATACCAACAATGTGCTAAAAAACGCGACCTACAGTAATCTAAGAATGAACGGGCTGGCCACATATTTGGTTGCCATTGACTGCGATGTCGCATCTGCGAGGTTGTTAGCCCATGCTTAGCATGTGCCAGGCATGTTAATTACTTACACCATGCTATTAACACCTGACAGTCTTGAACCAGGAGTTAGGGCATCTGTAAATAATTAGCATATGCTGCACATCTGTGGGGGCCCTATACTCTTGTTGTTCGCGGTGGTCACAGGTGTGGCGGGGGTCCGGGTGTGGGCGCGTAAGTGGGGTTTGGGTTCGGGATGGGACCTGCATATGTTAAGCACATGGTGTGAATATATTAAGTAGATACTCACCGTGAAGTAACCGTAGTCGGGGTGGGGGTTCACCGCCCCAGCGACCTCTGGATTGTCAAAGTCTTCACGCGAAAGCTGCATTCTCTGCATATTGATGGTATATGCTGAGAACAAGGCCCCTAAATAAGAACTAAAATCATCAGTGTATTCTGACATGCAAAAAAAGAGAAATTGGGTCACAGATTGGTAGTATATGCACTGGGTATGCAGAAAAGAAAGGGTCATATAAATGGTTGTAATTATATACTCTGGGCATACAGAAAGGAAAGGGGAGAAGGAGAGGTTTCAAGTCTTCCGGTCAAGGTATATATGCGGTATATGCCAAGAAGGGATATGCGATACTATTAAGAAGGGGAGTTTAAAGAGAGAAGAAGAGAGAAAGAATGAAGAGAAAAAAAATTAGGTCTTCTAGTTCCAAAATAAATGCAAACGCGGCCAACATTTTTATTACCCAATTTGGGTGTAGGATCATTCACAGTGTGTTGCAAAATCTGCCTCTATTGTTTGATATAGTGAATATGTTGATTATATATATTGATGATGCAATGAATAATCTCACGCAGTTTAATGTTTTGAGCATATGCTCAGTATATGCACCGACCGGGGACTGACGCTAGGCCAAAAAGGTCAGCGTGGTCAAGCTACGCTGAAGGGATTCAACATGGTCTAAAAAGTACGGAAAATTTAATTTTAGACCACGCTGAGCCCATGCCAAGAAAAGGCTCACCGTGGTCTAAAAAGGCGGTGGCGGAGGTGGCAGAATTTTAGCCCACGCCGAGGTTTTTTTAGACCACGGCGAGCTGGCACCCGCTTAGTTCTTTGATCCCGATCCCACCCATTGCTGACTAATCGAGGCAATCTATAACTAGTTACATGGGAAAATTAAATGGCGAGCATGAGAAACACACATCAGGAATAATACATATCAAGAATGTTGCTGGAATGGCATGCTCACGTTAGAATGAAGCCCAGGGATATACAACCGAGGATACACACAAAGATACCAAAAAAAACGGTGGGGAGGAATACAACATAGAGAAATGATCCCTGGGGTCATCAAAAATACATAGGAAAAAAAAAAAAAAAAAAATAGACAAAGGAAAACTTAAACGTGAAAAAGACCCCTTCTTCGTCGGTTCGAACTGGGCTTTGTTGTACACGCTGTCATCATTTAAGCCTTCACGGCTTGGTCCCCTTCACCCGATCCCCCTAGGATTGGTTCGCCCTCCAAAGAGCATTTCTCATTGTGCAAGCTGTCTCGGCTTCCTTGACATCTAGAGCCGCCCCGAGGCATCTCCTCGCCGCCATTCAGGCTGTCCGTTGACTTCTTCGCCAATTCTTGCAGTCGGGCCATGACCATGGGGGAGTCGGAGAACAGAACGCCCCCTGGGGAATATGTGCAGGGGCTAGCTCTCTCTTTATCCTCTGTGAAGTCTTCGTGGGCCGCCTCTCGGATGATCCGGGGGAAGGTTCGCAGAATGACATGTCGGCTAGGGTCTTCCTTGGAGCTCAGACATCCTTCCTTGGCCGTTCCATACTCATCCCACTCGTCGTTCAACGTCCCGTCTGCATCGGGGGCCGGAAAGGACGCCAAAATGAGCTCCCGTTCAACACGCGCAAGCCTCCAGGTCTCGGCAGCGAGCTTCACGATTTTCCGCACGTCGATCACCAGCGTGTCGAGGTGTCTGGGGTCCGCAAGATGTTTGACGTGGCTGGTGATTTCGTCGACGATTACGGCCGCCACGACATTGATCGATTGCTTCGCATCCGAGGTTGTGTACGCGGCCTTGAGTGTTTGCTGTCTCCAAAAAGCCTCGCGCCGCACGGACTTCCGTCGGATGTCCATCGACAGAAGTTGGAAGAAAGTGTCCGCTTTGTCGTATCTGCGTCCCAGGGTGAACAGAAATGGATGGAATATCCGGTACGTCAAGGTCTTGGAAACGACGTGCTGCACGTATGCTGCACGCAACTCGCGTGAGGCCGGGGTATTATCCAGGAACGATGGAAGTTCCGGTGGAATCTTGGATAAGATATCCTTGGGAGGATCAATTGGGAGGTACGCAAAGTGCTCCTTGGACAGGGAGACAATAAGACGGGAAAGTTGGCCGAAGCAGTCCAAACTAGATTTCGAATACGTATCAGAGCAGGTACATTTTATAACGTTATCGATATATCATCATTGACATCATCGTCATAATTCTATTAGAAATGACAGAGAAAATGGAAATGAAATGAACAAAAAGAAGAAGAAAAGAGAAGATATAGAGAATGGACGAATTGTGGAGACAAAGGAAAATGGAAGATAATGAAGGAAAAACAAAAAGAGTTATATCACATGTCCACGTCGTAATAAAATAATAGGAAGGAAAAGTGAAAACAAGACGATGGAAAGAGAATCAGGGTACAAAACACATTCTCAATGTACTAGGTCACTTACAAGAACGAATCGCCCTTCGTGCTCTTAAGGTCAGTGGCTTCTCCAAGGCTGTGTAAAGTCTTTCTCAATCTGTCACAGTCATTGTCCAGGTTATCAATAGTGACACGCATCCCTTCCACTGCATGTTGGAGCTGCTTCTCCTTGACAACACTGGCTTCCTCCAGCTTCTTGATCTCATGTTCACAGTTGGTAAGTTCTTCGCATTTGTCTGAGAGCTGCTTCTCCAGGTCGGTCTTCTCGTCGGCCCAGTGCTGCTCCTTTTCGCTGAACTGACTCTCCATTTCGGCCACTTTCTCTTCATGGTTGCGATTGAGAGATTCCATTTCGTTGGCATGTGTCTGTTGGAGATCTTCTACTTCGCTGGCATGGGTCTGTCGGAGATCCTCCACTTCTTTTGCATGCTGTTCGCGCGATTCTTCCAACTCCTTCTGCTTGTTGTCCAGCTCAGTCTTGGTGGAATCTAGCTCTTTCACCTTGGTGTCAAATTCCGACTGCAAAGTGCTGTAGGACTCCTGCATTTGTGCCTTCTCCTTTTCATGTTCTGCTTGCATCGACTCCTGCTGATCGAGTAGCTCTTTTTCGCGCGCTGCCAGGGTTTCAGCCGCTGCCTTCTCATCTTCGGCCTTGATCTCCTCGAAAAGCTCGGTGAGTTCTTGCTTCTGCGTGGCCAAAGCTTCGGCCTTTTCCTCTTTCTGCCTCTCCAATTCTTTCTCATGGGCCTCTTGCGCTTCCTGGATATCGGTGTTCAACGTCTTAACCTGCCCTTCAAGGTCAATCTTCGACTTCGATATCTCCTCGTTTGCTTTCTCGGAATCCTCCAGTCTTTCTTCGATATCTTTCCGTTTGTCTTCAAGGTTCCCCAATTCCATCCGAAGCTCGTTGATAGTGTTCTTCAGTCGGCTAGACTCTTCCGCGCTTTCGTTTGCCGTCTTTCTCATCTGATTTTGCAGAGCTTCGATATAGAAGTCTTTGTGCATCAAGGCCTGTTCATGTTGGCTAGCTATTTGCTTGAACTCAACTTCCCGCGCCTGTAGCTTGCCCTTTGTATTTTTATAACTACCGAGCAGACGATTAATGTCTGGAATAGCATCTTGAATCCTTTGCAAAAGCTCGATTGGCTCGTCATGCTCGGGAGGTGACACTGTCCCCTTTTCGTTGACTCCGTTTCCATTGGCAAAGCCCAAGTCCCGCAAAGCCTGGAAAGACCCTGCGGAGTTTGGGTCCATTGAGCCACGGGGAGTGGGTTGCGTATGTGGTGATGGGTGGGAATAGTAAGCATACTGGGGCAAATACCCAGCAGAGCTCATTATCGGAGAATGATACGCTGTAGCAAAGCTAGGGGCCACCGACGGAGGTGCTGTTGGGGCTGGTGGAGGTGGTTGTGGTGGTGTACCATGGGGTGACATGACTGGTGACATATACACAGCACGGGCAAGGGGACTGCTGATCTTGGGAGAGGCAATCTTCTGCACAGGGGATGTGGCCTTCATAATAGGAGAGATCGTCTTCTGCAATGGTGAAGAAGGCTGCGCCATGGGTGAAGCTTGATGGTAGATGGGAGATGAAATCTGGGCAGGAGAAGAAGCTGCCATTTCCATAGGAAAGGCGCTCTCGGGATTTGGTGGAGCAGGTTGGGCCATGGCTGAGGCTGCCTGCTGCGGTGAAGCTGAAGCGGTCTGTGGCACCGGCGAGGCACGATGGGATAGAGGCCAAGTAGCGTGTTGTTCAGGTTCTGTCTGTGGCTCAGGGGAGGCAGACTTAGATGTCGGCGAGGCAGCTTCTGGTGGAGGCGAAGAAAACTGAGGCTCCGGTGATGAAGGCTTGAAAACTGACGAAGTGAATTCGGGCGCATGCGAAATGCCTCGTGGCGTAGACACAGCCTGTGCTTGAGGTAAAGCTGGCTTGAAAGCTGATGAAGCACCTTCTGGTGGAGGTGATGCAACCTGAGATTCAGACGAAGTAGGTTGAACGGGCAGAGAAACAAATTCGGGGGTAGGTGAACCGGGCTTGGAAGCAGGAGTAGTAGTTTGATGTACAGTTGAAGTGACAGTTGGCTCAGAGAAAGGATTAGACTGGGCGAAAATGTGAGACTCCGATTCTAAAGGAGCGGCGTTTGAGTGAGGTGAGACCGCAGTAGCTTGAGCCTCTGTCAACGAGGGAGATTGCAGAGGAACTGAAATTGGGGCTGATGGGATAACAGGGCTCTGTGGTGCAGTGACTGGTGTCTCCGTGGGCTCTGCTGTGCCACTTTGTCCATCCAGAAAGTCGTCGTTGTTCTCTTGGTTCGCTTCGACCCTCTCAACAGGTGCCTCCCATGGATCTAAATCCTCCAAGTTCGTATTCGCAGGAGCTTTAAAGGTATCGTTCTGTGCATCGTTCTCGCCTGGCGGTTGACTGGTGGGATCAGGGCTAGTCACGAACTGGGCAAAGTCACCATCGTCAACGTCGACAGGTGATTGAGATGGTTTCTCTGTTTCCTCAGCGGCCGAAGTTGCCTCGACAGCAGGTTCTGGCTGCTCCAGTCCTAAGCCTGGCGCAGATGCTGACTCTTCTGATGCAGCAGGCACTGGCTCCGGTTCCGGTCCTACTGTCGACTCCAGTTCCGGTGCAGATTCCGGAAGAGAGTCAGATATAGGTTCTGCCTCCGTTTGTTGGGGATGCACGTCTGTTGGAGACTCTGGTTGTTGTTGATCTTGCTGTTGCTCCTCTTGTTCAGCAGGAAGATCAGATTGGGACGCAGGGGTCTCTGATGTTTCCTGGCTCTTTCCCTTCTTATTCTTCTTGTTACTGCTGGCCTTGCCTTTACCCTTCTTGCCTGACCCCGCCATTATAAGGAACGTGATGCGTGCCCAAGTTTAAGCAATGGCAGCAGAAGACGTGTTTCCAGTGGGCTAAATATCCTGTCAGCAGACTCGATTGGGTGGTGGTTGATTCAAAGAAGTACGTTTGCAAGCGCGTTCGGCGGGTTCAGAAGATATATTCCGAACTGATATGTATACAGGAGGTAGAGGGCCCAGGTGTGATCAATCTAGAAGCGTGTAAAGGTTGTTCGATTACACGATTGGGCAGGAACAAATGGGAAGGGGATGCAGCCCAAAAAAAGAAAAGAAAAAAGGAATAAGAGTGAAAGACCAGCAAGGAAGAGAGAAAGATGCCAAAGGAAATCCCCTAAAGCAGGGGAGTCCGCGAGTGGGCGCAAATAACAAGGATACACGATGGCAGACGCCCGTCGTCAAATACTTGTTTTCAAGCAAGCAGACAATTTCGGAAGGATAGGATTAATATCAACTGGTAGACATTGAAATAGTTGAATTTCAAAGAATGCAATTAAATAAGAACAGAGGGCGAAAGAGAAGATGCCCAGCTAATAATCTATGTCACATCATGCCCAAAAAAGAAACCAGCGCGTCATGAGCGCTACATCCAGCCTCGAGGGGGCTGGTGAGGCGGGAAACGGTCCGATCCGTAGAAAAGAATTGATACCCATCCCGAATGGAGTCGAAACTAGGCCGGAGGTAAGATATACATCCACCGTTTAGGGCGAGAAGGGGGCAACGGAGTGAATCGAAGCCATTTCGTCACCAAACCGGGCAAGGCCCAATGATCTTCCGTTGTAGGTAATCATTGGGCATCAACGAGGTTGTTTCGAGGTGGCAGGATAAAATAGTGACAGATGAATCAACGACACGCACCAGGGGGTAGGAGGGGGGAGGGAGAATGTGGAATAGGGGTAAGACCGAATGCCCTGCCCATTCAGTGTATGGTATCATGTCAAAAGGAAAGAGGAGGCAGGCAGACATGTGGAGTTAGTTGACACTAAATACAGATCGCTGACATGTCGTCTTCAACATCCAGACATTCAACAGCCTGCATGAATGGGCAGACGAGGAAGCCCAATTGGCAATCAGCGAATGGAGAGCAGTGGGGAGCGCCAGCTTAACTGAGTGAGGCAGTTGGTCATGCATCAGCAGCACCACCCACCCCAAGTGCGGTGTAGAATGGCCATTATGGACAAGACAACGCAGCGACCCGCCGAGGCAATGTCGGTCGGTCAATGCATCGAGGGGCACTGCCGTTCTTCCCAACCCCCGGTACAAAAGGAATTTTTCCACAATCCGTGCTGGATTGTCATGGTTTCAGCCGCGGTGTTCATGGAAGAGAGAGAGAGAGAGAAAGTAGAGATGTGAAGAAGACCGCCAAGACCGTGTTGCTGCCCTAAGCCCAATCCAGCGGTCACGTGGACTGCACCTCGAACTGCTCTTGCTCAACCTCACCAGCCCGACAACGAGATATGTATCGTACCTATTCGTCGCCGCCAATTGTCTCTCTCCACACCATGTTTTTCACCAGGCGATCGGTGGCTCCGGCACGGCAGTTACTGCGGAATCAACCCCCTCGACGATTCGACTCCCACGCAGCTCACCATGCTGAGCCTGTGAACGAAAGTTTTGGTGTATGTCATCCCCCTCGACTCCAATAGGAATTACTTTCCCCAGGGGCCAACCTCATGATCCGCTAATATATCGGGCGCTAATCTTGCTGTGGGTGCACGATATAGCGCAGTTTCTATGTCACTATCGGCACATTTGCTTCCGGCTACGTCCTCTACCGACTTCACAAGTCCTCTCAGGAGCCTGGCTCACAGTCGTGGATCTCCAACCTCATTGAGAAGTGGACTCCTTCTGAGAAAGTTTTTGAGCAGAGAAATGCCCTTCACACAGTCGCCATGGAGAAGGCCGCTCACGACCGCCACCTTTTCCTCAGTCAGGGTCCCAGGGCCACCATCGAACTGAAGCAGCCCGAGTAAGTCATGCAATGCCATCTATCGTTCCCCTATATAGAATTCAGCCTAATCATTGTTTACTCTGTAGGGTGAGCTTCAATTCTTCGCCCCCTTACAACGTCCCTGCTGGCTCCGCAGTGGATTTGAGCCATGTTATCACCCACTACGAACATGAAAACAAGGAGAAGGAAGAGGCTCGCGTTGTCCGGATGAAGGATGGAAAATCACTATATGACTAGATAAAATTAAACTTGTGTTTTAGTGAGGAGCAGTGACATGTACATATATTAGGGCAGTCCAAAGTTTCTTTTGTTCGTTGATTTGTTACTTGTGGGTATATCCCAGTGCCTTACTACGTTAAATCAGAGAAAAATAGCAAGGGGAAGAAAAAAAGTCATAAATATGCCTGGATATCATCATTTTAATGTTGTTGGTCTTGCTGCTGGGAGCTCCTTGCTGTGATCTCCAAGATTACCCGTCCAACTCCTTCTGAGTTGATATTCAACTTTTCTTTCACATCCATAGATCCCCGACTAACCTTTTCTAACACTGCCAAAAACTCGTCCACACCACCTCCAACTCCAAAATAGACTTTCTTGGCTGCTATCAATGCTCTACGTTGCCCGCTTCCCTCAGCAGCACGTAATAACGTCGACAGTGTCTCAGAGAATGCACATAATGATGCTGGCGAGTAGATTGTCTCGCTGGCAAGTATCAAGGTCTTGGTTGAAATTCTGCCCGGGGATGACAACACGAGGTCAACAAATGTTGGGGACCAGGCGCCAGAAATAAACTCGACCGTGATTCCTCGTCGTACAAGGTCTTTCTCAAAGTTATCGACCAACTCCGGTGTGATGTCTAGCTCCTCGTCCTGGGCTTGGTGCTCTGGAGAGCTATTGGTCGACAGGACATGCTGGCGCGTGACGACATAGTTCCAAGTCAGGAGCAGATTCGGCAGTGTGACCAGGCGGAGAACTTCGGAGTTGTAATCTGCAAATGTAAAGTGGTATTTCCTTTGAGACTCTGGATTTTCTTGGGAGATCAGTTGCGCGAAAAGAGCTAGTGAAGGTACTGCGGTTCCAGCACCAAGCTACCCTTCGTCAGCCAATATCAAGTAAAATATACAGGTAATGGCAGAAACACCTACTTCGAGGATATGTTGGACTCCTGTTTGGTTCTCATCATTGCAAAATAGTTCATCCTCGCTGACAGCTGATTTCGCCAAGTCCAGAGCACATTCCCAGGTCTTGAAGCCACCTTCATAAAATTGTGGTTTTATGTCTCCTTTTTCAAGCCCGGCGATCAGTTCCTCGTTTTCATGGTCTGCAGTATCCTCTGCCATCAGTTGAGTCCGAACGTCAAATACTTCACGACGAGCAATCGGAGGCACTTCAGGCACTGTTCCTGCGGCCTGGTTTTCTAGTCCGTTCAATTCCAAGAGATTGTATGCAATTTGAGACGGAAGGCTTGAAGTCTGCACAATGGTTACGTGTTTGCTGGGAAATCGCAAGAACGAAACAAAAGAAGACAACTGGAAAGTTTGCAAACGCCCTCTCTCCTAGACAATAGCAGCTAAGAAGAATCGATGCCAGTTTTACATCGCGAGACATTCTATAGTGCGAACTTACCCAATCTTTCATATCATGCTTTCTGGCTCCCACAAGCGAAGGAAGTGCATCGTCATTTCCCTGGGGAAGTGATACGTTCTCCGTAGAATTGAACTCCGACTCATCAATATCGATATCGTCCCCAGAAAAGCCAAAACTGAACGTCGATGCCATTACCTCTATCAACGTGGGTTGGTATAGTCTTAAAAGTTGACGAGATGGATGAGAGTATCGCAGCTCAGTCCAATTCACAGGCTTTATTAAACGCTATGTAGCAATGCAAGAGGTTTTGCTTCCCGGTACACACTGTGGTTTTATTGCCAGATTAATTGTTCCGAAATTATCTGGGGTTGATACCAGCTTTTCCTCGTCGAGATTTTTGCTTCATGTAGCGGATGACTAAGCACCTATCTGTTCTGATGCGTAACTAAATGAGAACGATCGGAATTCTCCATGGCATTTCTTACGTATTACAGTTATAAAGCATAAGGAAAATGCTTCAATACAAACAAAAAAAATACATATCATCATTAATTCGGTCTATAGATATAACTCTATCGCTCTAGCATTATGCATATCTTATTTAGTTAACGCCATTCGCCGCCCGGCTGGCAGCCACGGCCTTTTCAAGTGCCTGCAGCGCGTCGGACCTAAGATCTTCAGCATCCTCAATTCCACAGCTCAGGCGGACAAGGTCGTCGAAAACTCCAGCGGCCTCACGCTGATCCTTGGGGATACCGGCGTGAGTCATGCTCGAGGGAACCTCGCAGAGACTCTCCACGCCTCCCAAGCTTTCAGCCAAAGTGAAAACCTTGGTATACTGGCAGAAGAGGTGAGCAGCCTTCTGGCCACCCTTGAGACGGAAGCTCAGCATACCACCGCCCATACCCTGACGGTGCTGCTTGATAGCAATGGCACGATGGGGGTGAGAGTCGATACCGGGGTAGTTGACGGCCAGCACATGGGGGGACGCCTCGAGGGCTTTCGCAACGGTCGTTGCGTTGGTGCTGGCCTCCCGAGCACGAAGGTGGAGAGTTTTGAGACCTCGGTGGGCCAGCCAGCAGTCAAACGCCGACGGAACAGCGCCAATGGCGTTTTGGAGGAACGAGAGACGCTCTTTCAAGCTGTCCGAGTTGAATGCAGCCACGCCCATCAAAACATCCTAGTTTACAGTCAGTCAGCCCGTCGCTAACCACTGGGGAAGAGCATCACGCTGTCCACTTACAGAGTGGCCGTTGATATACTTGGTAACCGAATGCACGACCAGATCAGCTCCATGGTCCAAGGGGTTTTGGAGATAGGGGCTCATGAAAGTGTTGTCGACCACAACCAAGATTCCGTGGCGATGTGCAATCTCAGCCACTTTGCGGATATCCACCAACCCCAGAGTTGGGTTGGACGGGGTCTCAATCCACACCAACTTGGTCTCATTTGGCCGGATCAGATCTTCCACATGCAATTCGATCGTCGGCGAGAACGTCACGTGCACGCCGTGGGCTGACGCGACCTTGGTGAAGTAGCGGTGCGTGCCACCGTAGACATCTGAAACCGAAACGACGTGCGAACCCGCAGCTAGGGACTGCAGGATGATAGCAGTGGTTGCCGAGCCGGAGGAAAAGGCCAGGGCATATTTCGCATGTTCGAGGGCAGCGACAGCCTCCTCAAAGTTATCACTGGGCCGCAGTCAGTACTCCAAGGCTATACGAACTGCTTCTTTCTTTTCCTTGTTTTTCTTGTTATTTGTTCCAAGGATCTAGTGCACTCACCGATTTGGGTTGGAGCTCCGCGTATACTCGTAAATGCCGACAGGATTGCCGACGCTGGTCTGGGCATAGGTGGTGGAAAGAGAGATCTAGAGGTCTCTCGTCAGCCGGTGATCACCAAAAACAGGCGGGTTCAAACTGACAGGGGCGATAACGGCACCCGTGGTAGGGTCGTGAGGGGCGCCAGCGTGGACAGCCAACGTGCCAAATCGGCGATCCTGGGCTGCATCACCGTTGGAGTTGGAGGGTAACTTCGCGTCGGCGGTCATTATCACGGGACTGAGGGGTAAGAAGGGAGGAAGATTCGAGTCGAGTCGCGGGAAAGTATTTCTCCTGGTACAATCCGTCTGTTTGCGAGTGGCCTCTTTCACTTTGGCACTCGATGCAATCACTAAATTAGAATAAATTCAAATCAAAACAGATGACCGGAATCGACTTTCAACTATATATAACTAATAACTATATCAGTGATGACTGTCTTCGGACTCCAGAGCCAATGATTTGTAAGGGAGGGGAATTTTCTTCTAGAAGCGACGGGCGTCCGGTGAGACGGATCTCTCCAATTTAATCCAACCAAATCTTGATCTGACGGAAAATTCTTTTCTTCTCGGCCTGGGTTTTTTTTTTTTTACGTTTTGCCTTCCGCATTCTGAAGAACCATAGGGCAAGCGTGGATCAGTTCCAGAGTAGCGCCTAGGTTACGACTCCACCGCTTGTTATGGCGCTCTCCGGGCCTAACCGACTGGAATGACGATCTTGTTTCGGCGGCCGACGTGAGAGTTTCATACATAGTACACTTAGTTGGTAATGGCAACCGATTTGTTCATAGATCATGACCTTGCTTTTCATCTGCGGATGTTACTAGCAACGCTGGGTTCGAAGCGAAAGCCAACGAAACTGCAAATGGCCATGACAGGCCTGTCAGATGATTGTACTTCTAATACTGTATCAAATTTTTGTTATGGAATCATAGGAAATTCAAGAACATTAGACAAACCAACTATTCTATTTTCTTCCTATACCTCGCTGACCACTGCAGTCGTTCCAATGGAGCATGTAGGGACTGGAAGAACTTGGCGACTGTCTTGTTCTTTTGAGAAGGTATACATGATCACTCCCTGAGAAAAATACCTCATATGCCTTGATCTTCCTGGGTCTATTTTGAAAGATATCGCAAAATCTATGAGTATTGGCACCGGAATACCGGAAAACTTGGAACCAGAGAATTTGCCCAGGGATTTAATTAATTCTGATCGGCCTTTTGCTTCTGTTATCTTGTATGGATATTTGGGCAGACATTGGCGAACTACCAGCACAAAATAAAAGAGGAGCGCCTCAGGTGAGCTACATGACGACTCATTGGGCAGCTTCTTGAGTGCCCTCCCGTAAAATCCTGTGTGCGTATAGCAATATTCATACCAAGGTGATTTTTCATCCAGCATTCGCAAAAAAAAAGTGTAGAATAGAAAGAAAAAGCAATTCTGCTCTTCCAGAATTATAAATAGCCAACCCTACTAAAATAGAAAACTTAAGGAGAATTCATTATCACTCATTACCACCAAGAGATTGGGCCCAACCCAGCCATTTGCATCGAACCCTGTAGTCTGATTAGCAGCTGGTAAGTCGACACAGACTAGAAAGAACTCCGACTTACAATGATAGAGTACGGGGGTTTCCGCTCGTTTGCGGCACCATCGCCTAGGTCCGGAGCATTTGGAATCTGGTCATGCCATTCCTCCATCTCAACTCGGAACCGAACAACTTCTCCAACGTCAAAGTAGAACGTGGAGCCATCTTCATTTTCCCATATCCAGACTTGATCCGCATAGTCACTGTGGCGTATTAGTATCACCCAAGATCTGGCTCTTCGGAGGACGACTCACAATCTAGCGCCGTCTAGGAGAAGATTTGGGGGGACAAGTATATCATTAAAGAACTCTACACCGACTATGATAGAGTGAGTGGGTGCAGAATAACGGGTGATATTTTCCAGTACATACTTTTAATGCCAAACTCCGTACCACTAGAGATCTTCCCTAGCATGATCTCACCCTTGAAGGGCCGAAAAACAATTAGGCGAAATTTAACTGTGATGGACTCAGCCTTCTTGTTCTTTTTGTTCAACATAGAATCATTCACACCACAGCTGGGATTGCTGGTTAACAGGCGTACCGTTCACATTAACCAGGCCAGTACCATGGCCAATTAGTCCGTCGGACGACTCTAGCAAGTCGTAGAAACCGATGCACAAGCCAATCTTTTGGATAACCTTTACAATAAAGCTGTCAGCTGATGCCAATTCAGCGAGACTGGTCTGAAAACGGCACAGTTACATACTTTATTGGCGTATTTCTCGTTGATGTTGTCTTCAATGGCCACGGAACTATACTTCGAGAAGTCCTCGGGGGAGATCTGAATCAGGTCTGAGATGGTTGTCTGTACAAGGGTAGTCAGAACATGCTAGAGATTCACAGGGGAAAGCATAGAGAGGGAGAGATCTATGCAACTGACAAGAATAAACATGATGTATTAAAATATCACGGAACGGAACGGTAGGTGTGGTTGTCTATTCCAATACACAGCAGAAGAAAAGTGTACGGTGAGTGAATTCCATATTCAGGACTCGACGCTAGACTAGATATATGATCCAGGCCACCTGGTTTATGTTTTCAGCCACTTCTGACCCATGATAGGACCGACAGAGGAATATGAATGGCAGGTTCCCATAACGGACTTAATGAAAATGGCCAATCGCAAACCGCTGGTCCGCCTGATTTTATTTTTCTGCCGGACATATATGGCCATCACGTGATTTACAACTTATTCTCCGCCTTGGTCTCGGAACGGAAAAACCGACTGTATTAGGGACTGACGAAGAGGAGGAGCAACTTTTCGATTTCGCCAAACATGCTATGAGGATGGCGCTTATGCCGTCTTTTTTGGAAGATCGACAGAGGTCTTCGCGCTATGAATCCCCAGGGGTTCTCTTTTCCTCCCCCCCCTCCCCCCCCCTCCCGGCAGCAATCACAGCAACATCCGTATAACCAACAGCATGTTGCCCTTCCTTCACAGTACGGACAGGGCCATTATGGCCAGCGACGTGGACGCGGCGGCAGTGGGAACAATCGGGGCCGTGGAAGGGGATATGGAAATAGAGGAGGAGGAGGAGGAGGTCGAGGGGGCCATTACATGTCTACTCCTACGACGACACCTTCCTCTACCGGTTACACTCCGATGAGCTATGCAGGTTTCGCACCCCAACCGTTGGTGCCTCCTCAGCAGGCGATACCAACACCGCAGTTTACGCCGTCGCAGTCCTCGAACATCCAGAACTCTCGCAATGCCTCTTCCTTCACCTCACAGCAAACATTCACGCAAGTTCGCACCACTCATGGTCCACCTTACCAGCGTCGGCCAAGTTACGATGCGGCGTACGGCACTCCGGCAGCCCAGTCAACAACTCCCTATGCTTCCATAGTTCCTCCTCAACAGTCTGCAACTTTGGCGCCACCACCGATGATGGGCCCACCCATGCGCTGGGGGTTCGAGAATGCAGGTTCCGTTGCCGGAGAGTATACTGCGGCTCAGCATGGAAACCAACGGGGCCCGCGTCCATTCGGTGCTTATGGTAGCAAGGCTTCCGTGGGATCTACATCAGTACAGCATGCAAATAAGCGTGACCATACCTCAGCTTTCGGAATGCCACGGTCAATCGGACCTCGAGTTCCCGCGCCACCTCCCGTCCCGAGCTTTGGCAATCCTTTGCCGTCAAAACCACCTCCACCAGTTGACGCTACCAAGAAACCCAACAAAAAAAAGAGAAAACATAATCAACTGGGACTGACACCGAAGACAGAGGAGCATGAGTCTAGTGAAGAAGAGGAGGATGTAGATGACGAGGCGAGATTGGCCCTAGGAGGTGCTGGGGCTGCAGCTCCATTGCAATTTACTTATAAGGGACGCACGGCTACTTTGCGGACACCTGAAGAAATTGCCTCTTGGATTGAGGAACGAAAGAAACGGTTCCCCACTCAGGCGAGAATTGCGGAGAAAAAGAAGGCCATGGAGAAAGTGAAGAAAGCACGAGAAGAAGCGCAACGACAAATGGAGTCGCAGAAACAGGAGGCAAGACGTCTGCAGAAGAATAATCCGGGCCAGAAGGGGCAAGCAGAAACCGCGAATCCGGTGGATGCGGCTGCAAGAGCGAAGCAGAAGGCCGATAGGCTGCGGCGAAAGCTCTTGAAGGAGCAAAAACGGGTGGAAAAGGCGGAGGCAGATGCCGAGCGGGCTCAGATGCGAGTTGAGGAACTGCAGAAGGGACAGGTCGACGTTAGTACGGTGATAACTCCCGAAGATGACCAACCTCAGCCGGAGGCTCAAAGCAACCTGGATACGACGACCCGCACGGCGCAAGAGCTGCAGGACCAGCCTTTGGAGTCTGGGAATATCGCCAATGGAGGTGCTGAAACGGCCAACGGAGCTATTCCTATGCCAATATCAGGCATCGAGCCAAGCCATGAACACATGTCTGAAGCCGCTGTGTCGTCTTCGGACAGCTCTAATAGCAGTGATTGGACATCGTCGAGTGGATCAGATGTCTCCTCTTCAGGCTCCGATGACAGCGACGATGACTCCACGCCAGAAGAAGCCACTTCTCGCCGCGAAGGACCCGAGCGAGTGGCACCGCCTGCGCGCGAGGCAAAGAAAAGGGTATGTCGGCACTATGCTCGAACTGGACGCTGTCTGCATGGGGACAAGTGTAAGTTCCTACACCAAGCACCCCAACGCAGAGCCAAAGCGAAACCTGTGGAGAAAAAGGGGAGGAAGGGACTCTTGCAAGCGGTATGTATCACACACCCCTTACCCTTTTCATTCTCGTTTGTGCTTACCAATATGCTAACGCGTACTGGGACTTTAGCTTCTTGACCGCCAAAAAGAGGACAATGATAGAAGGGCAATGGAGGTAATCATGTGGTTGGGAGAGAACGGATACCTAGAACCTCCTCAACAGAACAAGGAGGACGCTTCAGAGAAATCGGGCGACGCAAAGGTCACCCAAGATACGAACGAGAGCCAGAGACTATCAAAGAAAGCGATGTCGGAGCAGGCCACCATGTCTACTGCTCAACAAGTGGCTGCAATGCATAGTATATAATGCAAGCCTTGCTGCTCTAGCGGTAGGCTAGAATTGCTGATCTATCTGTAGATTTTAATGTCTGTCTTTCACAGGACAGGGGCGATGAGTTCGTACTTACAGTTACGGGCTATTAAGGGCTATAGAACTTTCTACCTCTAGTGTGTTAGGAATTGAATATCTAAACTCTGTTGACCAACCAGCTGCAACTCCGTGGAAGAGCGCTTGACAGAGAGAGATATGGTTCAAGAGATTGTTCTAACTCCTCGAAGGGGGCTCTTTCAAGTCGTCAACGGCTAGAGAGTCCTGTAGTTGGTCTAGATGTAACAACAAGCCTTCGACATGCAAGATTGCAAGCCATTTGGGTCCTTTCGCCCAAAGTTCCGCTTAGCCCTTGAGCCAGTTAGTTCCAGGATGTATGTACATGGCTCACCAGGATATGCATTTCCGACAAACCGCGAGATAGAAATGTGCCTCCATACCTATGCTTCGCAATCTAACCACTGTATTGGACCAAATGGACCCGAATCTCCCTGGGCGTTGACACGGCCAAGGCCTTTTGTTGACGGCTTTAAGATTACAATAGATTTAATTACTCTCGTTGTCGTAGTCGTCGTCATCCTGGTAGGCTCTTCCGGCTCGAGAAATGGGGACTGCTAGACAATTCATGGTGTACAGCCTCATTCTCCCGCAAGGATATTTATCAGTATCCCGGTGCTTGACCCTGGAGTAGGCGTTGAGGCTGGCTGTGCCTGCTCGGGCTTCAGCTAATAATACACTTTGCTTGGTCGTTTAGAAGCCCTTATAAAACAACTGTATCTTTCTCCTGATTGTCGGTTTCGGTTATTGTGCTACCGTTTCTTTCATGTTTGATGTGTAATCCTGTGTGGGAACAACCCCCTATGGTTTTTGTTTTTTTTTTTAAATCTATTTTTTTATTGATGCCTCCAACCTTCTCCAACAACAGATGTCAGATGTCTCTGTTAGGGATTGTCTTGAGCCCTTTGTGTCGGTGGAGTATATTATTAAGAAACTCGTGCTCAAACTCAACGAACCAGTTCCTTGTTTGGATCTTATCCCTGTTTCAAAGCTGTTTTATGGTGATCGGACAACGTGTTCGTAGTTCAAAGTAGGACCCTGCGGAGTACTCGAAAGTAGCTCTGACAGTACCTTGTTACAAAGTTGCGACATTGCTATTTGGTTGGATATGTTTCTCTTTCCTGCAGACATGGAGACGCGTTTTGCACTTGAACATCAAATGATGATTCGTCGCTATAACAATTGAAAAGCTTACCCAGGGAGCTAGGCAAGTGCTCCGTAGGGACACCACTGTAGCCACTCTAGACTTGGTAGTTAGAGGATGAACCGGTTCTGGTTCCTCATCGGATCCGCGGATTAGGTGGCACTTAGTACTCCGTAATTGTACCAGAATTAGGGCATTTCCGCTACACACCACCAAATTTCCAGCAACCAACCATTTGTAGGCAGATTGACGAGGTCTATCTTTTGCTCAGGTCCTAGGAGGTCACATGACGGAGCCCACCGTTATCGCTACACAGACGCTACCCTACCGTACGGAGAAAACGCCCTACTAGCGAAAGGGGTAGAATCCATTCCTACTAACCAATCAAGCTCGCTAGGGCAACTTAAGATAACTAATTTCCCTAGGATCCCCGCCCCAATAGTTCTCTCACTAGTGATCATCCGCCAAACCTTGAGAAATGGGAATTTTTTTCTTACAAAAACTATTTTATTTTTTGTTTATTTTTTTGACTTTTACCCTTATCCAGACCTTCTGTCCATCTGTGCTGTATCGGATCGCACCATCTCGTTCATGACTAAGTATCTGTATCATCAGTGTTTTATTCTTGCGTACTCCAACGGCTACCTAGAAAGGAATCCTCCACTCTTCGGACGGACAGACAGGCATCAAGTTGAACTACCTCGTTCTATTATTGTCCACCAGTTTTTGCCTCCGCCCAGTCACGATTCTCGCTGTCAGGTGCCCTCCATGGTTCCAACGCCACTCTATGCCGGGCCAGACAGCCTGTCCGAACTGGCCCACACTAACCTTCGACAAAAGGGATCCGGACTGGCCTTTTACCGGGTGGCTCTAAATTGGGGTGGCCACGTGAAGTGTGCTAGTCCTAACTAGGATGATTCTTTTAATTTGACCCCTCCCTCTCAGCTGTCATTGGTGGGATGGCTCCTCATTTTTAGTGCGGAGCCACTCCGGTGGATGTCCGGAGTTGCCCTAGTGCGTACGGATGATAACTATTTTTCCCGGAGTATCTCTCCTTGTCTGCCTGCCTAGAGGTGGTACCTGCAGCAGAAAGACTTCCTACTGGTTTGGGTAAGGCAAGTACCCTTGTTGGGTTGGAGTACCCAGGATTAGTATACATAGTCTCGCCTGCCCCCCCAAAACCTTCTGTTCTTTCGATCCTTCCACTTGTCTACTTCTTCATTTCCCCTTCTTTTGTATTTTCTTCCAGACATTCGTTTGCCAATCTGGTTGGATTCAACAGTCATTCCTTCGCACTGTCTCTTGGATACCACCCGCGTTTTCCGTTCCTCTAGACCATAATAACCCCATCGTTATCAGTATCGGTTTCTTTAATTGAAATACATACTCCTGCACTCTACCAAAATGCGTTCCGTCTTCTACCTGACTCTCAGCGTCTTTGCCACCCTCGCGGCGGCCGCCGAAAAGGCCAACCCTTTCAACATCCCTCCCAGTGGATATTCATTCACCGCTGGTGAAGCGACTACCCTCAACTGGGAACCGACTACCAGTGGAACTGTTACCTTGCGGCTTCAATGGGGCGCCGTCCTGACCCCGAACTCGGGTGTGGCTATTGCTCGTGAGTTCTCATATATATCTCCGGCTGCCTCAGAAGGACCGTGTATGCTAATCTAGATTTTGCAGAAAGCATCCCCAACTCGGGAAGCTTCACCTGGACTCCCCCTGCCAACCTCGCCGCTCAGCCTGATTACACGGTTGAGATCGTCTCGGATGACGACAACGGTGCGGTCAACTATCTCCCACGTTTCACCGTCTCCGGTGCCACTGGCTCTGAGACTACGAAGAGTGATGCGACGACGACTGCCCCCAAGACCACCGCCTCGTCTACTTCGACTTCTGAGAAAACCACCAGCTCTTCCAGCTCCTCCAGCTCCAGCACCAAGAGCCCTAGCACCTTGTCGACCACCACCACCAGCCCTAGCACTCCTTCTGGCACTACCTCCACCCCCGAGGCTAAAACCACTACGACTGGCACCTCATCCCCCTCGACTTCCGTGGTCTCCACCACGCCCGCTTCTAGCAGCGCCAGCCCTTCGGCAACCATTGTGCCTAACGCGAATGCGGGTGCGGCCAACCGCGTCTCTGGTGCCATGATGGCCCTTGTTCTGGGCGCCATTGCTGTCTTCTAAGTTGCGCCTCGTGTGACATTAGCGCTTTGGACTCTTCTATCAATTGCATGGGTTATGATCCGGTTGTCTTCTCTATACCGCTTCCACGTTTTACTTAAGTTACTTTGCTTTAAGCCATTCGCTTCGTATTCCCCCCTCCCACCCTTTTTTTATATTATTTTTCCTTTATCTGAGTGGGTGTCCTGATGTCCTTTGGATATCGAAATCAATTGCCTTGGAAGCAACGCATTCACCATTTTCTCTTTCTGCACCTAGGCCCATGCTCTCGAGGCCCTGCATTACATAATTACCATTTTTTACTTCTGTGTCGTCCGATTGACGGACCGAAAGGGCGGGTTCCTGGCATACGGTATGTACTACTATGTAGATATGTGGACTGTGTAATGAACAATTCGTCGAGTGCGTAATTATGGAATAGTAAAAGTTCATCATGAGATTACCATTGGATCCGCATTTCTGTGGGGTGTTTTCTATCAGACGAAATCGAGATAACGAGAGCCACGCCCATGGAATATTGAAAAGATTAGAATCTGTTCCCTCCCTTGGCCTGTACCGTTGGCAAGATCCACTCTTATAGGAAGCCAATCAGAGCGGGATGAGAGGGAAATTAAATGGCGTTCTCGCGGTACTACCACAAACCGAGGTAGGTAAGGTAAGAGTAAGGGTGAAGCACTGATCAAGTACAGTACATACAGGTTCATTTAATGCTACCAGGTAATTCAAATAACTCTATCTCTGGAGTGAAATTTGCTAGTTTTGATGAGAGAATAACTGTCTTAGGAGTGTAGGTCCTGAATTACTTAGCCTTAATAGAATGGTACAGGTATATACAATAGGGGCTAAAGGCATTTACATCTGATTTACATTTACATGTTCAGCCTAGGCAATTCTGTAGGATAAAATTACAATTATCTATGTAGGTAGGTAGGTTTTACCTGCCTGGGTAATAGGTTAAATAACAATTAATGGAATCAATAGAATTAAATTAAATTCAAATTAAACTAAATTCGTCATACAGAGCAAGGACACCAAGGACCAAACAGAAAGAAACCTACCTAGAATTGGGAGATTGTGATACGGTGATTGAGAACTTAGAACTGGGGCAGGGTGATGATGATCAGCGTGATTATCTCCTGGGTGTGGACAGAGCTAAATAAATAAATAATAATCATGACAGTGATGGTAATGCTATAATAAAAGTAGAGTAGGTTATTTTCCATAGTTTATTTATTTATTTAATATTTTTGTCCCTATGGGTACCTAGACTCTACTCAAAGTAATCACCGTGTACTAGATTGGTCGAGCTCCTTTTGAGTGCTTAGTAAAGACTGTTACTCTGGATACAATAGACAAGTCCTACATAGTAAAGGAGAGGTAATATTAGAAATAAACAGGTACTAATGGTGGTCTTAGTTCAGGTAAGACAATCTCAGAGTCGTACAGAGAATCCAGTGACACAATCAACCCAGGTACCCGTCATTATTAATATTATTTTACAAAAAGGGGCATTTCTAGTCGTGGTGCCTAGTTTGTACGACGAGTACATTCAGCAGGTACTGGGTAAAATGATAAGGATCTGCAAGGGCCTGCAAGGACCTGCAATCACTGCAGCGAATATGTGTACTCGAGGAAGCTGCACGTGAAGATACTGGGGGTCGTACAAGTCGAGCAGTGAACCCTTACATGGTAGAAAGGGGTGTTTTATATCAAATTGAATCGGTACGTATCTGGCCTGAAGGCTGAATATGGCTTTTCCTGTTTGTCTTAAGGTATCCTAAATACTGGCGTTGTATATTTGCAATGATTCTACGGAGTACATTCTAACCTAGGGAACTATAACTTACAGTAAAGGTATGAGATATCATGTTCATGCATTATGATATATATCTAATTGTAAGAGTCATGACAAGTCGCACAGTAAACATCAGGGGAATCGTAACAGAAAAAAAAAAAAGGTCATGGCACCTCACTATGCGGTCCACTGGGGGCATGCACGCTTGATAAATCTCATAAACTTCCAAAACCCAACGGCATGCTCAACATTGCCATGGGGGTCGGTCACTTGTTCAGGAAAAGCGATGCCCGCGCCATGCAAGCCCGAGATGACTCGTCCCTGATGGTCATGGAAGTTGCCTGTTTCCGAGTCATATTCTGGCACCAGGGCGTGCCCGTTTACGGACAGCTCTGGGAGGGGGTCACGGGTGAACCCGATGGCCTGCACGAGGTGTGAGCATGACGGCAAATGCCGTTCATACTGTGCTGCCTCCTGGTCTCTTCCGCAATCCACCTTGGTGACAAACTGGCCCGCCTCGGACTGGGGAAGCATTTCGTCCTCCAATTGCTGACGCGCGAAATCGGCCGCCAGACCCTTGAGGCCGGTATTGTCCCGGAGGATCCAACCGTCCATATACTCGGCATACCGAAGAGGATGCCGTGTGAACCACTTGACGCGCAGATGGGGATGGGAAGAGCGCGCTAAATCTACCAGGTTGAGGAGAGCCAAAATGGCACTATGAGAGGCTCCCACAACGGCAACGGTATGGGGAACGTTGCGGGGCAGGTACGAGGCAAGATCGCTGGGCTTCAACACTACATCTAGGTCCAGCCGTTGAATGTCGTGTCCAGCGACAGGAATGGAGACCTCCGTTGGCGATGAACCAGTGCACAGAATGAGTCTGGGGGTGACCACCTCTATTTCATCGCGAGAATCCTGACGCATGATCCGAACTGTCCAGGACGAGGTCTATAAGAGAGGCCACAGAAGATTAGCCAGCGGTTACGAGGTTTTCCAAAACCCTAGGATCCTAGACTGACATTTTCCACCAGATTGGCAGCAGTGACAAATCCCTGACAGGGATAGACTTGATCCATCTTGACGATACCGTCCGAAAGACCCTTGAGCATATCTGCTGCATGATGCAGATGACAGGTTTTCTCTTGGTCGAGTTTGGCTAGAGTGGAGAAAGCGCTGGGGATGCGGGTGCTGTTGATGACGGAGCGGAAGGGCTGAACTGCAGTGGCATATGCCTGGAACAGCGACACTTTGGTATTACTGGAATGATCCAAACCCGTGTCAGTCGAGAGCGTCCCTCTTCCGACGCCTTGGATAGATTGCCTCACCTAGGGACCTCACGGTATTTGCGGTTAACGCGACCTCCCTGGAAATACGGATCGACCCAGGCAATTTTGCCTCCTAACTGCTTCTCAAGGAGATTTCCCATCACAGCCAAGCCAGCAGGGCCGGCTCCTACGACAACAGCAGCGCATCTCTGGGGGGGACTCATTTTTCCACACGTAGTAGACCACGAGGGAAAGGGCCGGGGAATATGAAAATGATCGCTACAAAAAGGAAAATAGACAAAAAAAACAAAAAAAAAAAAAAGGACACAGTGCTTCAGGTATTTAGAATACCAGGATAGAAATGGCAACGAATTTATAGTGGGAGCAGAGGGAGAAAGAGGGGGGGCTGCAACGAAAGATCTCGGCGAAACAGGCTAATGAGCATCATTTTACTCGCCTGGGGAGGGGCTGAGAAACAGGAAGAGAAACCAGACGGCAGCGGGGATGGAACGGGGCGAATGACCATCGCGAGAGCGAGCCCTGTGTTTCCGCCAAGGGGATTCTCTCGGACGAGATACGCTCGACTCTCCTGGTCACCCGAGAGGCATCCAGGGAGACAGGAAGGGAAGAGGCCATTCCGTTGGAATTCCGTCCATCGTCGCTGCTAGACTGATTTGTCGCGCAATCAACGCAGTCTGCCCCACTCGCAGGGGAATTTCTGGGACGCTTTCCGTCGGCCGTCACATTTGTGCGCGTTCGCTGCGTCCAGGCATGGGAGCAATGGTGGCATTATAAGACGGCGGAAGGGACGGCGAGAGCCTTACGGGGATGAGAATGGAATCAGCATCATTTAGAGAAAGAAAGAGACCCAAGTCGACTGAGGATGAGGTGTCCTTCTTATATTCAGCGCAACGAGGAGGCCAGTGGTCTTGGCGCAATTGCGTGCTTTGGATGGCCTGAAAGAGCAGGCTGCCATAATTTCCCAATCGGGTAACATGCATATCAATCATGTCTGCAAGGACATACATTCATACGTCTATTCATTCATCTCTTGATTATCGGCTATTCTCAAGTCTACGAGTTGCCACGCTTTACACCCATCATCTCAGATGGCCCAGAAAATGCGCACCGACACCCTCTCCACATGATTAGACCATCCCCCATAGCGAGCTCGTCCCCAGATGGAGATCGCATCGCCCACCTCGAGTGTGCGGACTTGGCTGCCATCTAGTGTGGCCCGCCCCCGACCCTGAGAACGTTCGATCTCCTCTGCCTCCGCTGAATCAGCAGGGGTATGGTCGAGATGATGCCAGGTGATCGTGTAGTGTTCGGTTTTCCTCTCATGCGTCCGGTTGGACTGCAGCTTGCGAGGGCTAGGGTTTAGAAGGGGATGGCCGGGCCCCAGTCGGATCCCAGTTGGCCCTGCTTCTGGAATCGGGGAGGCTGCCTCTTGTGTCCGTTCATATGCGGAGTGGACCACTTCTATGTCAAACCAGGTGTTGGACCCGTCGAATGCACTCTGGTCCAGTCGACGACTACTACCCCAGCCCTGATCATGGGCGGAGATAGAAAAGACAATCTTACGGCATGGGTGGACTGTTCGATGAGGAAGTACCTTTGGTGACGGGCTATCCAAGGTCTATAGATAGTCAGATGATATACTTCACGTAGAGTACGCCTGAGAAGCTGAGGCAAAGAGAAAAAAAAGACAAAAAATACCTTCTCATCATAACACAACGGCCCTGTTCTCACAAGAACCTGATCGCCATCCTGCCGTATGACCCTATGTCCGTTCATTTTGGATTCGACCGAAGCCCAATACTCGGCCGCATCCACAATCAGATCCACGATCTCTAACGGGAGTCCTTCAGGGACGACCTTCCAGCGCAGAAGATGTCGAGTCTTCAACACATCGTAGAGGGTAGGGTAGTGTGGTTCTTGACTCTCTTCATCGGTGGTATTTGACTCCCCTTCATTGGGCGGAGGCTCGTCGTTCAGTGACCGTCCTGGGCCGCGAAAACGACTGATCGCCGATGAGACCATGGGGAACATCATATGTCCGCCACGACCTGGTTCCAGAACCGATGAAGATAATTAAATGCGACGTCGCTGAAAATATAGAATTGGCTCGTAGAATTAGGTCTGAGGCAAGGGTAGATTATCCGGAAGGTGCCGTCTACGCCCCGCGTCTCACGCGGGCAACGGTGGAGGATGGATCGCGGTTTAGTGTTTGCCTACCGGCTCACTCGGAAGAGTCCAGGAAAAAAGGGAGCGAGCGAGGAGGAGGGAAATGATGGTGATATGGACCAGGTTCGTTGTTGGGGAAAGCACTCGCCACGGTAGACAAATCAGTACGGAGTAGCGTCGGTTGGCGTCTGCATTATATGACGTCATTGCGATGAGGAGGATAGGCAACTATCTACAGAGTATGCACTTAAATATGCTCCATCTCATCCTTTTCATGTTTGGCTATTGATATAGAGTATCCATAAATTATGTTTCCGGCGTGTGAGACATTCCTCCATGCTCCTCAAACAAGATACATACACGAAGAGTAGTTTTCAGATTCAACCCCTTTACTATCAGCCCGTCTTGCCTTTCTTCCCCCCCGAAGCTCGGTAGGCCGCAGCTCGCCTGGTGCTCCTGCCATTAGGCTTGCCCTTTGAACCGCGGCTCTTTGTCTTCACGCGTATGCGGGATGAGCCATCTTTAGTCGCCCGGTGGCCTTCGAAAACCAGGGAATTTTGCGAGATAGATTTCGTTGCGTTGGTCTTCACCTTGGCCGCGCCAGCTTTTCCAAACAGTTGGCCTGCGCGACCCTGGAGCGTCTTGTCGGCGTCGCGAAGTGCCTTCTGTTGAGGGGCAGTTTCCTCGCGCTTCTTCACAATCTTCTTGGCCCGCGTCACCCGGAGGTTTCGTGGCAGCATGGGCGGGAATTTCTTCCCATTGAGGAGCAGGGCCTCCTCTACGCAGTTTTGGTCGTAAAATTGGACATAGGCGAACCCTTTGCCAACGCGAGTGGCACGGTCCCGAATGACGCGGACCGACTCGACATTGCCTTGGACCTTGTTCTCCTTGGTTCCCGTGGTATGGGCGTTGAAAGTCCGCCACAGACCTTCCTCCACGTCAGCTGGGGCTCTGCTTTTCTTCTTCTTCTTCTTTTCCTCATCCTCCTCCGGAGCGGCCTCATGGTCCACGAAATCAAGGTTCCCGACAAAAACGCACCGTCTGTTGTCGATTTTCGAGGGATGCGCGACGCTATCGACGCGCAGATGGCGATCCAGAACCACTGTACCATTCAAAGCGGCGGGCGCCTTCCGCGCTGCCTGTAGAGTACTGTAGACAACGTATGCATTGGTGCTGGGTGTAGTGTCATCCAGAAGTTCCCGTTTGGTAAAGGCCGCCCGCTTGGGGACACGCCCGCCACTTGCAAAAGCCGTGGAACGGAAACGAATTGATTCCACCTTATGAGGACCCGAGGACTCAGGGAGGGTTGAGAGGAATGACCCTACATGTTTCATGAGTATCTTCTTTGCAGTCTTTGATTTGATAGCCTCATTAGAAACGTTGCCCAGGAAAATGGTTCGGTTTGACTTCTCAATCTCTGGGGAGTTGGCGTCTCCGGATTGCGTCTCGTGCTTTGGAACGGTGAGTCCCTCCTCTTCCTCCTCTGAACTCTCCTCCTCTTGGGGTTGCTCAGAGGCATCGTCTTCGTTGCTATCGTCATGCGCACCATCTTCATCTTCGACTTTTTGTCGTTTTGTCTTCTCCGCACGACGTTTCTCTGATTCCTTTTCCTCCTCTTTCGCTATACGACGCATGTATGTCTCTTCAAGATCCTCGGTATTTGTCCTCTTTCGCTTCCGGCTGGAAACCTCGGAGGCTTCCTTCGTGTCAAAATCGTCAGAGACTTCGGAAGTTTCCTGCATAACTTCATCTTCGTCGGCCGACCTCTCTTCCGAGTCGGACGCCTCTCCCTCCTCTGCACTTTCATCGTCGGAAGCATTGGGGTCTAGTTTTGATATCGCGGCGCTGGTTGAGACCGAGGGGATTTTCACTGGACCCGCCTGGAGAATTGAGCACTAAGTTAGTTGTAGTATTCTCGACCAAAGGAGTAGATACGCACACTCTTCTCAAATAGCGATGCTAGACCTGGATCCACGGAGGCATTTCCGCCCAAAAAGGGAAGAGAAGCTTCAGCCTTGTCTGATGCCACTACGCTCGCAGTCTGGGATTTGGATTTTTTACCCATTTTGTGCTGGAGACCGAGAGATGTCCGTGTCCTTGAGTATAGATTATCCAAAGGAACGACGACAAGGCTAATGACAAATGGTGGAGATTTTTACTGCTCTCTTCTGGTATTTCTTTTTTTTTTTTGGGTCTTGGCGACGGCATAGAGGACGGTCACGTGGGAAATACGCGGACGGAATCTCGCCGTATGGATTGCTTTATGTTGGCGAGTTCTTTGAGTGACTTAACCCGACCTTTATAGAGAGCCATTGTCACACTATTCGACCAGAGAAGCTGCATCTCCACCGGCCTCATCGGAACATCCAGAGCCAATCTCGCCAGAGTAGACCAGCGACCGCGGATACGATACGATACGTCTCCAGAAGGCGGTGGGTATAGGTCCGGCAGAACGGTGACGGGCGGAATACCGCGTGACGCTCTCTGTCAGTGTCTCTTCGCACTCTCGCTCTCGCTCTTCCTCCCTCGCCCCGTCAGTCACCAGTCGGTCGATCGACCTCTTCGCTCCCTTCCAGCGGCTCTATTGCGGTTCTTGTCGTGGCCTTTCGATGTCGCCCATGAATCCTCGCTTTTCTTGACCTCCACCCTTTTTCTCGTCCGTGCCGCCCCGTCGTCCCGCAACACTGCATTGGTCGGATTGCCCGCTTCCTGAAGTCCACCTCCACCTCCACCTTGTCGCTCCTCGCTCGATCGGACTCCCCCCCTCCCACACACGGGGTGCTTGTTGGTGCATGACTCCAGGCGGCATCTACTAATCTTGCGATACTGCAAGTTGGGTTGGTCCCATTGTGTTTAATCGGCTCGTTTGAGCTTTGTCTCCGCGACTGCGGTGGCTACGGGATTCGTTCTCGGTCGCTGTGCCCATCGCTGGCTTCCGCGATTGGCGCATTGATGAATGGTACGTTTGAAAGGGTTGACAATCTTGTCGATGGTTTCATCCCGATCTCTGTGCGATGACTTTTGGCTTTGGTACTCGAACAACGCTTGAGATGTGAGGGTTAAGCCGGCGCAGTCCCCAGCGCCCAAGCCGGGAGCGAACGATTACCACCAAATCTGGGGGTGATCAAATCTCCGCACCGCCTTCTGGCGACCTTGGTTGCTCCCTCTGTTCTCAACACCTTCAAGTGTTAATTTTTTCCTTCTTTGGCTTTTATTCTTTTATTCGTCTCATCTTTTACTTTGCCCTCGTCTGATCTAGTTGTCTTTCTCATCGATCATGGTTGCTCTTTTATCACTAACCTGTAATTCGATTGGTGTAGGTTCTGAGCCGATTATACCCTCATTTTGACCGCCAACCTTCACAAACCAACTTTCCAGCTTGTCCGTTTTTCCTCCTCCTTTCACCTTTTATTTATTTATTTTTTAAGTCCCAACAACTTCGGTGCACTCCTCTCTATTGCAAATGGAAGTGGCCGAGAGTAGAGATGCGAATTCCGTTGGTCCGCCAACAGTGGCCGGCTCCGCCGCCACCAATGGCGAGCGAAATCCATATCTGGACGATTCGCTCATTGACGACGACGGACGGTCGAGTAGCTTGAGTGAAATCGATGACCTCTACGAGAACATCCCGTCCGATTATGAGTCTCCCAAACCCGAGAAAGTGGCTCCGGACAACGACTCCGAGGCAGAAACAGAGCGTATCGAGGATTCGCCCAACAATCTTCGTCCGAGAACAAACATTGTCGTGAGCACGACGAATTATGGCCCCAGCCCCAGCAAGCTGGCCCAGTCGACCACGTATGATGACGTCGATGACGATGAAGAAGAGCATGTGGCCGATGATTCACCCAGCAAGCCTCGTTTAAAAAGCAACCGGGTTATCGAGTCGGCTGAGGAAACACCTGCGCTTGATGATTCCACCCTTCGGGAGAGTTTTAACAAGAAACGAAAACGCCTTGAATCCGGCGATGCCGTGGGAGTTGAGATCGACGAAGAGGACGAACCACCTCAGAAGCGCCGCGGCTCCTTGAAGAGTGAACTGAGCGATCCTCCTGCAGACGATATCGCTTTATCACCTGAGCCGATTGAAGAGCCTCCGAAACCCCACGAGGATGATACCCCAGTCGACGACGTACCTGAATCTGACTTGCCAGCACCTCCTGCTAAAGGTAAGAAGAACAAGAAAGGCAAACGAAAACCACGGAAAACTCGGGACGTTGACGAAGAAGTTGACGGTGCGGCTGAAACTGGGGCCGAATGCGGTGGCGATGATAACCTGGGGGATGATGGCGCTGCAGAACAAGTGGACGAAGCAGAAGATGGTGAAGCCGCGGCAAAACTGGAAGAAGAGTGTGAGTCATGGCCCTGTTCCATATACCACATCGCCTGCTCGCAATACTGACTTCCGACGGGTAGCGGCTAAAAGGATGTCTGCTATGGATTCCTTAGCGGTACTAGAGCGAGAATTTGCAACGTTGCGTGATAAGTGAGTGCCCGGGAGAGCTTCGGTCGGACTAGTCTTAGCACACTAACGGAGCCGTTAGAATCTACGACGAGCGAATTTCCAAGTTGAACCGTGAGCTGGAAATGCTGAGTGGGCCCAGCCCGACACACCCAGAACTTCTGCGGCAGCTGGAGTGTGTCCAGCGATACCGTGATGCCAAGATTAAGTACGAGCAGACATTGTTTCAGTATCGGATCAATGCTCTGCTGAACAAGAGCCTGGCAGAGCGAGCCCAGTCGCATAGCACGTACTTCCAGCGGGCTCGGGATATTCGCGAAAAGCATTCGAGCTCCATCAGCAAGCGGTTCTATTCCATCCAACATGACCGATTCAAGACCGACGAGGTCAGCCCCCAGCATTACATTCCGTTCCCCACGCGCCGTTCGCAACAAATCACCCAGCAGACTGCATACAATCAGGAGGTATCGATTTTGGCTGGCGTCGCAAAATACGTTGGTTTCCCGGCCGCACCTTCACTGCCTGCCGCACGACCGTCCGAGCTCGAGGAGGACCTGGAAAAGATGGGCGTGAGTGACCCCAATATCCACTATTCTGTCGTCGTTGGTAGTCCTAATTTGGCCGTTGTGCGCAGATATCCTTTGAAACAAGAGCCCCAGCTGTCCGCCATTCGACAAACTTACCCCCGCGCGGGACAATGTCGGTGATGCCATCGAACGCATTCCGCACTGCTGCGGAGGAAGCTTTCCTGGAACAGACACCTTGGGCAAACCCGCAGCATCCGATCCACCATCACCAGCTGCAACAGCAACAGCATCAGCAACAGATGCCCCAACGACCCCAAAGTCGGGTGTTTGAGAACTCGCGGGCCCCTGCGTACACAACCCCAGCGGCCCAGAAGCGAGTCGTGGATATCAATGCGCCCAATGGATCAGCCTCCACAATTGCAGAGAACCTGTCAGCGGCCAACTCTTCCACAAATAACACTCCTTACGGCACCGAGCAAGAGCCACCGCACCAGACACAAGGGCCGTTCGGACAAGCTGAATATGATCCTGACCGGAGATCTGGATTCCGATCGTTAAGCTCCTCACCGTTAGATGTACGGAAACCACATGCAGCCTCGTACAGTGGCCTTGACCACCGATCATCGCATGGCTCTTCGCGAAATCCTGCCTATTCCCCTCCTCCAGCGCGACTAGGTCTCTTCCACTCAGCAGCCGCAAATACCTCGCCGCCTCTATCGTCCAAACCGGTCAACTCCCTTCATCAATCAGCGGGAATACTTGGCGGGTCAAGCTCGAGTCAAATGGCCGCTCGCTAGAAAGAGCCATGTTTTTAAAATAAAAACCACGCTTGTTTCTTAGGGATGGATCTTTTGCCTTTTTTTTTTTTTTTTTTTTTCTGTATAGGGCTTCGATCAGGTGTTGCAGAGTTTTTGATGTATGTAAGGTTTGGCATGTACGACTGGAAACACAGGGATGAATAAAGCTACCTTTTTTTTTTTTTTTGATGTGTGAATATGGGCGAACGGGATGCATTGGAGCTTCTTTCTGACTCAATAATTATTACCCTCTGACTGGTTTTTTTTTTTTTTTTTTTTTTTTTTTTTTTTTTTGTTTTGTTTTTTTTTGTGTTCTTTGCTCCATGACACATACCTACTCCATACCAAATACTGGTGTCATGTATATTCAATGATTTGTGTCTGACCTCGCCTTTCCTATCCTATCCTACCTATCCTTTTTACCTATTCATCATCCATCATTCTTTTTCCTTGGATGAACCTGCACACGACGGCTTAGAATAGAATTGGGGTTTTGCTACAATGAAGCAATCAAACCGTGACAAAGACGTCCATGAGAAATAAAATAAGCGTACGGTAATGGTTCTCTCGGTAATGATAATTGGTCTGATCCTATCCTAAAGTATGTGCATGTACACTTACATGTATAGATACACATACATATTTCACGCTGTTACGACCGATAATAAAAATTGAATACAAGAAAGATGGTATCGTCAGATCTGTTAGAGTACATGGGCTATCTGTCTATTATGGCGCAGGAGCAACCAGATCAATCATTCATACAAAACAGTTTGGGCATTTCAGGAACCACAGCCAGAATCGGATCAGGAAGGGACAGGGTCTGATGGCTGTTGCTCGAGGTTCTGCGACGCGGGAGGCGTTGCCGGATTGGGATCTGTAGATCTGAGTTCGCTGGCTGAGTCCGTGCTCTGTGTGGCGGGGCGGGTTGTAAGGGTGGATTGCTGTTGATCAGATGGTGGTGGTGGTTGATGTTGGTCGGATTTCTGTGGGCGCCATTTGGCCAGGACTTTCCCGGCGGCTGGTCGTGATTCCTCGTCTAGATTAGAGAAACGGTCAGTTGGGCTGGTCGTATGGGAGTGATGGAACAGGAAGGAAATATATACAGCTTTGGTACACGTCCTCCAGAGCATTGAGACATATCTCTCTTGCTGGAGGCCGAAACAGGATGAGATATCTGGTGCATGCGTCAGTCACTATTGAAGAAACACATCGAGAGAGGCGGGGAGGAGACGCACTGTAAAGAGTGGACGCAGAGATTGACTCTCTCGGGATCCTTGGCCAGGCTGGCCACACGCTGTGTGATAGCGATGGTCACTTCCGGGATCTCACTCAGGAATCGAATGAAGATCTTGGTATCGCGTGAATCTAGATATGGCAAGAACCCATCTAGGAGGCGCAAAACCCAGTGGTCGTAGTGCAACGGCACGGATGCCTCTTCGTCTTCCTCGACTCGCTGGGAGGCGGCGAACTTCATCTGAACCCGGTCATTGTACCATTCCTCGTTCAGCCACATTATACCGACGTTCACGCGTCCTCGAAAGTCCTCGAGAATGTAACGATATAACGTCTCCCGGATAGAGTTCGATATCGTTGGTTTCCGCCTCGACGCCGCATCCTCTGACTTTTTGCCCTGCATTTCCAGGCCCGCCGGTGATCTGGTCGCAAGTCTCGTGAGCATAGTGACCCAGGCATCTCGGTCGAATGTACTGCCAGCGAGTCTTGCAAATCCTAGCTGTTGCTGACTTTTCCCCTTTGCGGCAGTCGCTGCCACATCACTCGAGGCCAGCATACCAAACACCCGGCCGACGGCGCTCCGACCGACCTCGGCCGCCTCCTCTTCACTCAGCGGGGGAGGCTGAGGCAAGACAAATGGGCCAAGGGACACTAGATCGGGCTCAAGATCTGCCGTGTCCATGGACATAGCACCTGTCTGCTCAGCCATTGGCTCTGGGACATCCATAGGCTGATATTCGGGCTCGTAGTCATCATCTTCTTCTGGAGGAGGCTGCGAGGACTGTTGTTTCTGCAGCGTTTGATATCGCATCCTTATGGCCTAAAATGGGCGTTAGGAATTGGTCTTTTTTGTTTGTTACATCTTCAACCTACATCGACCGCTTGATTCAACAGAGACTGGTCAACCCGAGCGAGGAGAGGAATCACAATCTTGACAAGCATATCGGCAGGCAACTGCTTCACGTCGAAGGACGAAAGACCGGCATCATTTGTGAGGGTATAGAGCTGCGCATAGCTATTCGGGCCAGGAGGCATCGGGGGAATCTTTAGCAAGGGAGGTGTTTCGGCATCGAGTCGCGCCCGTTTGGCGCTGTCGAGGCCATCTGTGGGTTCAGATGGCGAGGCGCGCTTTCGGGAAGTATCATCCGCGGTTTCCAGGCGTGACTGTATCAATCGTTCCACATAATGTTGCATTTTCCCTGCAAGTGGATGATTGGGGCTCCTAGACAAGAAATTAGATTCTCGCTATAAGATAAGACAGTTGTACCTTCACACCTCTTTAAGATATTGATCATCAACGCTTTCGCCGTCCGTTCCATCGATTTGATCCCGACCCGGATCGTCGGGGTCACTGGAGAGCGCACATGCTTCGCAGGAAAGAAGTTTAGAATTGCGTTGATAATCTTATTGCCAACAGACTGGCGCGACCGAACGAGGACCGACAGACAGTTCAAGGTCGCATTTACCAGGAGGGGGTCACTGCATCGGGTTATTAGCGCGGCATTCCCAGACTATACTAGGCATGCAGTCGAAATACCTCGATTCCTCCTGAAAGACGTATAAAAGTCTGTCCAGCAGACCTGAGGCCTCTGCTTCGAGATTCGGGAGAGATAGGAAGGCATGATTTCTAGGAACGATAGCCAGCGAAGTTTCGTTTTGCTCCGGCCGCTAGGGACAATTGTCAGCAGCCTTGCGATGACCAAACTCAAGAACTCCCTTGTACGTACTCTCGGGTCGGATATGAGACCATGTGTCTGCATTTGGACGACACGCTGCACGAACTTGATACAGCAGACCTTGACCGGGTACGGAAATGAGTCCCATCGTCGAAGAATGTCGTGCTTAATTGCGGTCACGTTCTCCCAAGCCTCTCGATCTTCTGGATGGTTAATGCTGTGATGTGAGATTGGGTTAGCAGCAGCACGACCCATTCAACGTGATGATCGAAAAAAAAAGGCCGTCACCTGCATATTGCAGACATCTACGAGACCGAGCGAACAGAGCAGAAACCAGCGCTGGTTGACCTACACATGTCTAAAAACCAGCGGATACAGGCTGGCAGCCGTCTGCACTATATTCGTCAAAACCAATTTGTCCCCCTCCGGTAGCAGCAATATATCCCGTATTGTTTGCAACACATCCGTGCCCAACTGTTCCTTCTGGGCTGCCGGCAGCGCCGGACTGGCGAACGTCTCTGCTAAGAACTCTGACCCCCATCGTCGCAACTCCAATCGCGCGCGCGCGCCAATAATCGGAAGAACACCATTCACGATCTGATTATAGAAGGCCGCATCTCCCAGGACCAGATTGCGGGCAGCATTGAGCTGGGCAATCTGGTCGACAAGATGGCCATCCGACTGGGCCATTAATGGACCGCGCGGAAGAACAGAAAGCGGCTGAAACTGACCGGATGGTTGAAGGGGAAACGTAACTGCTAAATGGTGACGAGCAAGTTGTGACAGTTGTCAAGACTACGGCGAACGAACGGGCTTAAGGAATTGAAGGGAGAGCAAACAAAGCCAGCGTTTCGGAGCGCAACAGGTTCCATCCACGTTTGAAAAACAAGAAAAAAAAAAAAAGAAAAGATAAGAAATAAGGGGGGATTCAAATAGATTCACAAAGCGGGAAAGAGGAATAACAAGAGAGAACAGGAAGGAGAACTACGAGGAGAGAAGGTGGGTGGATAGATGAATTGCTCTGATGGACCGAATGAATGATGAAGCTGATGGGGAACCGGAGCGGCAGTTTGACCGAGCCGGATGGGAACAAAAGGATTCATCATCCATATGGACCACCAGTGATGGCAGAACACCGAATGCTGGGATGGACTCTGATATGATAGATTCCAGCTGAATGAATCTTAATAACTTTAACTTCCTCTAAACAATGCTGCTGCAATCAACCTTCTTCTATCCAATCTATGGCTATGTATCCCTTATACCTACGGCACTAGGTGGTTAGTAGGGTACGTATCATATCGTACGATACGGTACGGTAATCCCGGCGATTTCTACTTCGACTTTGGCTTCGACAGATTCATCAATCTTGAACAACCCGACGACGTTGCTTCTTTTCTCTGTGTTTGCACCACAGTAACTACCACTTCCCCTATCAAAATGGCCAGTGGAATGTATGTTCAATGCGCTGAATTACCCAATTCTGAATCCCCTCGTGATCTCTTCCATAACTTGTCGAGAACCTCATCTGTCTCTCTCTTACTTCATGATTGAATAACAATCACTGACCAAACATACCTTTTGGACTCCTTCAGTTTCAACTCAACCTACTATGGCAAGGACTACCGGGCTGGTGCAGCTCTGTTGCGTGCCCGTCGACCCTATCTCTTCAAGAACGCTGCCACTGGTCTGGCTCTGGTCACTTTTACCATTGGTGTCTGTACGTATTAGAATCTGATCTACCGTTACACCCAGGACGAAACACCATCTGCTAACCTACCCTCCGGTGGAAAGACGCATACACCATCCGAGCCGTTGGCCAGGATGAGTTCTCCGACGTAAAAGTCCCCGATACCCCCGCCTCGTCGCAATCCAAGAAGCAGTAGACGGTGACATTCCCCTACCTATTTCGAGCGCGGTACCTACTGTCGGCTATGGTGTAACGGGGTTCGGAGTATATTGATTGATGGGTTTGATGGGCTTTGTTTTTCCGCAGCATGGAGCGGAGAAAGCAGAGAGAGGGCTAGTTTTTTGCAATCTTCTCTCCGCAACCTCCGCTACCTATTGGGCCAGAGAATCCGATCCAGATTGGGAGTGGGTTGTCCAAGTGTTAATGTATTTGGGATGCGTGCAACGGAACTCGTGCACGATATTCCGCATGCTCCTTAAGGAGATCGCCTGCCTCCGCTGGTCCTGATTTGTTTTGACATTCTTATTCTTATCTGTATATCTACCATTGTCCAATAAGCGAAGATACCACCCTTCTCTTTCTGTGCGGGAAAGCAATGCCTCCTATGTACGTAGTAGCTCCACTCGGGAGTAAATGTTCATGGTCCATATGACGTATTTTGATCAACATCTACGTGTCCGTCTAAAATGGTGGTCACAAATACAACAAAATAGAATTTGAAAACAAGGGAGAAAAATTAAAAGGAAGCAACTTGCTAAACGAATCAAAGAGGACCGGCTTATCCTCGGGAACCACCATCGGAGGGGCAGGGAATCTCGGACTCCGTTCTTCATTCAGTTCGCAAGACACGCCGTCCTCGCTTCTTGGTCGCCCTTTTCCGCTTCTGGCCCCGATCAAAGGCCATGGCGCTACCGTGATCCCGGCCTAGATTATCCAGATCCTTGACCTTGTAGATACGGATGATCCAGTTTTCGCTGGTGAACGCTTCCTCCAGCGTCGAGAGCTGGGGTCCTTCGGCGGGGAGCCGGGAGCCACGGACACGGTCAACGGCCTGGCCAGGCTGGAACATCGAGTTGTAGTTGTAGTATGACATTTTGTACCTGTGACGTCGCGTTAGTGCCTGCCAAAACTCCAATTTTACGTATCAAGGTGAGGGAGACTCTTACATCAAGCTGTTGCGCATGGTTGGGGTGGCCTCGTCGTCCACCCGATATTCGCCCCGGGCAGTGAAAAAATCCCGTTCCTTGACCTCGTCGGGCCAGATACCCTCCGCAATTCGGACCATCCAGAGGAACTTGTTGATGTCATCGCCGGAGTAGCCCAGCAGCCCACCAAAGACCACCAGCACGTAATCTACGTCGTGTTGGCGGAGAATAGGATAGCTGACTTCCTCGCGGGAGCTCATAGCCTTGCCAACCGTGGCAATGTGCGTGTTGTTCCATGTGTTGTTGTCAACCAGAGTCGGGCGATCCGCCATGCCACCGATCTGGTAACCATAATCCCACCAGGACATGATTTTGGCGTCCTGAGGAGTATTCTGTCGAAGCCAGTAGTATGCCTCACGGTAATCGTCGATAATGAACTGGCTTCCATCTGGCATCCGGCTAGCCAGGACAACAGACGGCGAGGAATAGGCATTGGATGTGACCCAGGTGCAGTGGGCAACAAAAAGAAGCAGGTACACGACCACAGATGACGTGACAACGGCCTTGGACAGGTACGAGCTAATGCCAACGGTTGGTGTCCTTGCGGAGCGCAGGCCATTTGAAGCAGCAGCCTCCTCATTCGCCTTTTGTCTAGGGTTCGGTCCGGGCGACGCAAACACGTAGGTATCAAGGATCGAGGAGAGCACTAGAGCCGCGGCAACGCACACTATGGGAGTCAGAGTCAACATAAGTCGCACCATGACGCCCGCAAAGTAACTGGCAAGCACCGAGTAAATAATGACGAAGACATGTTCGTCCTTGAGGTCGCGGAAACACAGGTAGACACCGGCGGGGAAGAGCCAGATCAAGAAGTTCAGATCGAAGAAGAATGCGGGCCAAGCAGTCGGCTGATGCTCCGAAACCGAGGCAATAATGGGAATATGGATTTTAGCATAGCTGGTATCCCACAGAGAGTAGAACCGACCACTCCAAGGGGCAATCACTCCAGACACAGACAGTGCGCTGAGTCCACCGAGACCAAGACTGAAGACGATAATGATCGTGGCGGTAAGAAGCCGCTGGAATTGCTTGCCCGGAATGAAACCGCGAACGAATTCGGCAAACGCTACAAACTGGAGCAATCCAAATACGCCTGGAAACAAGTCAGCACATTTTCCCGGTCACCCGAGCTCCGACCTACCCAAAGCGGACATGTGGTCACTGTTCCGAATTGGCAGAAATCCAACGAATGGAATTTGCATGCTGGCGAGAGTACCCAGGGCGTACCATGTGGTGTAGCTGATATAGATCCGGGAGCTATATCTTCCCATGCAGAGGAGCACAAAGACATGCAACGGGATCAGATTGGTGATGAAAACATACCCACCCCAGGCCGACACCATGTAACCGTAGAAGAGCGCAGTCAGAGCGCCCCACATGATGGAGCCGTTCTTAACAGCCTTAATCCATAGGAAGAAGGTAAACACCAGAAGGAAAATGGCAATGGCTTCGTTATCATAGCTTCCCGCAACCGATCGGGAGATGTACCCCGGTACAATGCCCATGAAGCCAGCCGCAAGGAGACCAGCCGATGGCGACGTAGACATTTCGCAGGTCAGCAGATACATTGCAAACGCAGTCAGACCGGAGAAGCCCGGAGCAAGAAGGACACAGATATTGCGAATATCGACGGGGATAGTCAGAAATCGCAGGATGTGGTAAATCACACCACTGGTAACCATGAGGCCTGGATACAATGTCCCACCGGTAACACGTCCCAAGGGATGCCATGTTCCTAGACAGATATCACCGATCAGTATGGCATAACCAGGTTGGGGGATCGATCGGATAAGAGGACAACCTACGGTCATCGAACCAATCCCAGAAGCTGTAAAACCCATTCTGAACCAGGTATTTTGTGGCCCGGAAATTAAACCAGGGATCGACTGTAGAAGTTGAACTGAGTTAACACGGAACATTGTAGGGATACGATGGCAGATAGGTCGACAATTGGCGTAGTTGCAGCAGCCAGCGCGTATAGGGACAGACATACATTCGTGAATGATACTTTCGAATCCTAGAAGACAAACGTCAGTCACCCCGAGCAATTGGCCAAATCATCGATGCCATAGATGATAAGCTATCATCTCACATACGGATCACACTGAACAGTCGACTAGACACGGCAGCGGCCGCAATAGTAGCTAGGATGATAATCCGTAGCAGGCCGCGAGTGTTTCTACCGGAGTTGCCCTTCAGGAGGACATCGACGGGAGATTCGGCCATAATGGCCAGGGGGCAGAAAAGAAAAGAGGAACCAACAAAGCGGGGAGGTCAAGGACGATATAAACTGGCTCCTGTCTTGTCTTGGGCCTGGTTGAGAAAGAGGGAGCGAGATGGTTGATTGATGGAGAGAGCTGCGCCAGGTGGTCTCTTAGGCTTGGCGCCGTACGGTAATTACAGTTGGGGAACCCTCCGAGTCCCCGCATCATCTCACCAACAATTGATTCCCTTGTCTGCATCGATCGGAGTCAAATTTCATATCTAGCGATTTATCACGATGGACCTACCTCCGCTTTCGACGGAACGAATCTCCACAATACTCTCATCTGCTCCCTCTCACTCCGAGCTCTATGACATTCTATCCCAATATGAAGGCGAAGCTTTGCTACTCTCGTCGAAGAAGGGCGAGAAACCTCTCTTTCTCAGCCTATTCTACTCGACCTTCTTTTTTTCCCACCTTTTAACAGATCAACTGTGCGCTCTGCCTTTCCCTGGACGTCTACTGACTTTGTCTTCATTCGGATAGCTGATATATGCCATCATTGCTCCACCGGTACAGATACGAAGCCCGTGCATTGACACAGCGAGTGCCACAGAGTGTTTCCCAAAATGATCCTTCCCTACAGAACTGCTCGGTTGTACTACGGGCCGTATGGCAGAGGAACTATGAGCAGGTCTACAAAGCGTTGAGGGAGCTACCGTGGTCAGAGCAACTGAAGCCCATCGTATCGAAATATGACGGTAGGTTATCTTCGTATGTTTCTGACAGGAATTGTCTAACATCCTATGTAGCCCATTTCCAAGAAAAGACCTTCAAGGAAGTAAGCCGGGCTTACGAGGCGATCAGACCCGCAGCGGCGGCCAGTTACCTTGGCCTTGATCCGGACTTGGCAGAGCAGGGTGATCCAGCCATCATCCAAAAGTTTACAGCCCGTGAGTGGAAGTGGGATAAAGAGACAAAGCTTCTTCATCCGAAACCTATCCCGGTGGTCCCAGAAACAACGGGAGATCCCTCCCAAGGGTTGGACCAGATCATGGCCTTGATAAGCAAGTATGGAGGTTAAAGGATACGACTGGGACAAAATTAAAAATCGTCTAACACTTAATGAAAGCCCGATGATCTACCTATACCCTTGGAACTGAGGGGGGAGCAGATGCGGCAGCTAAACCCTCCCCTCCTTGACGGGTTCCCGAGCAGCGCAAGAATGGCTTGATGGTCTTATGTTATAAGTTTGTACCGAGAGAGGACCGTCATCCGAGGACACAAATAGGACAGTGAGATCTGCACCGAACCTAAACATACAACAGGATCACTTGCTCTTCTGGTCCAACTGTAGTGTACAGATCCACGACAGCCCGGGGTATGTACAAGACTCGGAGAGAACCTCTAAACATAGTAATAAAGAACATCATTCCTTTCGCTCACAAGGACACGACTCTGGGAAATTAGACCAAACAATAATACATAATCGGGTTGATCCCGAACCACCCTTCTTGTACCCTCGGAGGTACGCTCTCCGTACCGCGCTTATTGCCGAATCATCCTCACACGTGGTACCTCTCATGGTATACTTTTAGTTCTCTCCAGCCTTCATCTTCAGGTATGCTTCCAGGTCGAACCGGCTGTCCTCGGGATCCGTGATGACTAGGAGTATAGCGTTAGTGTCGGTCAGATACGTGGTCAGATACGTCGTGCTGCTGCCTTATCGGAAGGCACAGGAGGCATTGTACGAAGGTCAGACGGCCAGCAATCGTGACATACCTCCACCGTTTTGTGCGTTAGTCTCCTTGGGTGCCGTCTTCTTCTTCCATTCCGCCTTGGCCTGTTGGATCAGGCGCTCCTGGCGGGCATATTCACGATTGGCTTCCGCCTGTTTGGCAGTGGAGGTAATCGAGGACTGACGGTAGACACCGTAGACAAGACCGGCTACTAGAGCCGAGTAGCGCAGAACCTACATTGCGACATGGCCATGTAAGTATATCCAGGGTGCTTTGTTATCAGAACCATACGGTAGCCCTTGTGGACAGACACTCACGTTGACAGCTTGTGTGGTAGCCATTTTGAGAAGGCCCTGGCGTCCGGAGCGGCAATCGAAGAGGACAAAGTACACAAAGGATAGGAGCCGGATTCCGAATGACCGTTTGCAGGGAATCGATTGTCAATGGCTGGCAATCAGACAGGATACTCAGATGCTGGTCAAGGCGAAGTTCCTGTCGCGAGTTTTTCCGGCCGGCCCTCCGATGGCTTATGTCATCCGCCGACCCGCGCTGCGCGCCGCACGGGCAAAGCAGAGCAACAATCATCGTCGACGAAGTAAATAATATACCTCTCACCTGCTCAGTCTGGATGGGACTCTGCGAGCCGGGCCTTCCAGACGAACTCTCATCACAATGGCTTCTATGCAGCAGCGAAAGGCGGAGATCCTGGCCAAAAGAGCCAAACTTGCAGAACTCAAGCGACAGAGGGAGCTACGCCAGCAGGAGTTCTCCCAAACACGGGCTAACACCGGGGATGCTTCAGAGGTACCAAACACCGTCCCACATCCATTTGGAGATCCGTAAATGCTGAGCTGTCTTGTAGATTGTCTCCCCGGTCCCCAGTCGTTCTGATAGTAGAGCAGAGCTCGATGATCTGATCTCTCGTCTCGTTGACCGCCCCGGATCGGCTTCTATAAGCCACGGGGCAGAGGGCCCCTCGCGAAAAGGGAGCAGACCAAATTCCGTGCTGAGTGCCAGTCAGCTGAGCGGCGATAATACCGAAGCATTCAGTCCTACGACGCGGCCGTATTCGCAGTCGATCGCGGTTCAGACTGTCGGAGCGGAGACCTACCCCTCTGGCCCTGATGCACCTCCCCCTGAGCCGAAACCGGAAATCGTCACGTACAGCAAAGCAGTACAGACCGATGACTTGAAACAGTACCGGCAAGATGGTTCGTCGGCTGAGTCAGAAGGCGAAGATTCTCAGGACCATCTAGGTTCAAATAATAAACGTCGGACCAAAAAAGAGCGCGAAAGCGATGAGGAAATCCGAAAAAAACTCCGGAAGGAAATTGAAGAGGAATTACGGGCCACGCAGCAGAATTCCCATAACGACGCTGCTTCCGAGCCGACACACCTGCGATACCCGTTGCGCACCCTGGAGGAGGACGAGTTGAAAGCAGTCACCTCCTCTGACGAGTTCTTGGACTTCGTGGAACGGTCGGCAAAGGTGATTGAACGTGCACTCGACGAAGAATACGATGTTCTCGCAGACTATGAACTTGGGGGAGTCTATGGCGAGCTTGAGGATGATGAAGAACATGGAAGGAAAAGGAGAGGTATCAGGGAGGTTTGCCAATTCTGGGATGAGCGATGGAGCAAGAAGCGCATGATCAGTGACGTGAGCTTTTCTCCAAAGGTATGCTGCTCTTCAAACCCATGCTACGCCATTCAAAACGTTTCTGAACGGTAGTCTACAGTTTCCAGAACTTGTTTTGGCCTCGTATACCAAGAACCCTTCGGCGCCCCATGAGCCAGATGGTCTTGTGCAGGTCTGGAACCAACACCTGCACTCTCGCCCGGAATATGTCTTTCATTCTACCTCCGATATCCTGACAGCTAAATTCTCCCCATTCCATCCTAACCTTATCGTCGGTGGCTCCTACTCAGGACAAGTCTTACTTTGGGACACTCGATCATCACGAGCGGGCGGTGGTGCACCGGTGCAAAAGACACCGTTGACCGGGTCTGGTCACACACATCCGGTTTACAGCATTTCGATCATTGGTACACAAAATGCTCACAACATCTTGACTGCTTCCACGGATGGCGTTGTTTGCAGCTGGACAGTTGACATGCTTTCCCAACCTCAGGAATACCTCGAACTGTCCACCCCTCCGCCGTCGAAAACAGAAGACCTTGCGCCCACTACCATGTCATTCCCGCAATCGGACCCAACTTTCTTTATTGTTGGTACCGAAGAAGGAGGCATATATCCTTGCCACCGTTACGATCGGGCCGGTGCAAAGGCAGGTACAGACCACCGTCTTTCATACCGCGGCCATGCAGCCCCAATTATGTCAACTGCATTCCACCCGGCACGAGGGCCCGTGGACTTGGGCGACTTGATGTTGAGCTCAAGCTTAGACTGGAGTGTAAAACTGTGGCGTGTTCGACCGCCGGCAACCACAGCGCCGGCCACCTCGGCCATAACGGCAGCACAAGTCGTGACACCCATCCTCGATATCAACCGAGAGGATGTCGTCTATGATGTGCGCTGGTCTCCCCATCGCCCTGGAGTCTTCTCCCTTGTCGACGGTGCTGGTCACCTCGAAGTTTGGGATCTCTACGCTGACACCGAGGTGCCTGTCGTGCGGACAACCCCATCCACGGGCCGTGGGGGTATTTTGACCAGGAGCCTCAACAAGGTTGCTTGGGAAGAACGGGAAGGCAAGCGGATTGCAACTGGTGGACTCGATGGTGTCGTTACAGTATTCGAGGTAGGAAAGGGCCTTAGTGGTACCCCTGAGGATGTTCCAGCCGAGGAGTGGACAGGAATGAAACGACTGGTAGGGAAGCTGGAGCAAAGCGACCGGATGAACTGAATAGCAACGACTACACCAGACTTTCCTTCTTGTAAGTGGTCATGGAACGAAATAGCGACAAAGTAATTTGTGTCATAGAAGACCTCTTGGGTGGAAGAATGGATTTCTGGTGCTGGCGACTGTCAAGATTCTCATCAACAGACATTGAAATCTTTTGTTTCACTGACTTCGACCCCTAGATGTATCAACATTTCTTTGAGTGGCGCCTTTATTTAGTTTATCATATACCCCGTGGGCGCCTAGTTGATGTATGTATGCTTGTATTTAGGGCAAGAGAACCTAGAAGATAAATTCATAGAATCCATCCATCAAGTCTCCTAGACACGAATGATCCACCAATATGGGTCCACTATCGTACGCCTACTCTGTCACTGCTTCAATTATACACCCACCACCACCACTTGGAGGCCGATGGAAGGAGATATTCTTCAAACCGACTGAAGCGAGCAGCTCACGCCATTGCTTTTCGGTCCGCTCCAAGGTCGCCGGCGACCTGGATCATCATCATAATACTCATACATACCGTGGCGAAGTCACAGATTTTATCGGGAATAATCTGCTCATTAATGATCAGCCGGGAGTACCCCCGTTCCATAGCGTCGACGACATTGCTAAGGATGGTACGGGCTTGCATATCCAACCAGTTATGCGGGATCCAGAGCATGCAATATGCTCTCGCGCGTACAAGCACCACTGTCAATAGGGAGATGGCCAAGCATACTTACAAACAGGTTCAAAGATTAACAAGAATATCGACTTCCTTTCACCGGCTGCGAGCAGAAGAAGTCGTAAGACATAAGACTAGTCCCTTTGGGAGGATCACGAATGCTCGAGATTACATGTGGCGTGTCCTGTAGAACCAACAATCTTGGAAAATGCATGAATCGGCCATCCAATGTGTGCAGATAATGGCCTTCGCCACCGCCAATGCTCGACCAGCAAAACATGATCATTGTCTGCCGATTCGCTCTGGAACACTTCGAGAATCCTGCCCTGGATATCGAACCAATCCACCCAGTTGGGAGTGGCTCGCTGCTTCAGGGTCATCCACAGTTGGAAATCACTGGCAAGTTCCGGGTTGTGGCCAAGCCAGTCGAAATAGCTGGGCTCGGTGTTCATGGCGAATTGGATGTTGTTTTGATGGAAGAATTCCGGAGCCCTTGTGATGCAGAAGGCACCTATATCAAAGCAGCAAGCAATTACAGATGGGCATTAGCACATACCTACTACATGAATACTTGGAAAATGAACGGGCCATGCTATAGTTGTTGCCTCGATGTCAGTATCGGCCATGACCATCGTAAGTGGAATCGGTTTTTATGTATGCACATCGTCCTCGATCACGTATCCATCGGCTGCGATTAATCTCATGATCTGCTCTGGGGTAATGTAGTGTTATCGGCATACAACATGTTTCCTAACATGGTGATCATCTCAAAATTGGTTCTACGATGAGGATGAAAAAGGCCAGACCTACCGATCAGGATCACGCTGGCTCCGGATTTCTCAGCAATCTGCTGTATAGATGTCCCATGATCTTGTTTTCGCCAATTACTCTAAACACCCCCCCATGCGGAGTGCCATTGGTAAAACATGGTTCGTGAAGACATCTACGTATATGGAAGTGTTGACTGTGGATTGGGCGAGAGAGATCTATCCTTCTCAACATACCATCACGACATCTTGGATCACAGGTTCTGCTGGGGAGACCAACGCGCCCAGTAGTTCTCGGGCTGCCTGGATGGCCTTGGAATGAGTCTCATCGTCCATGTCTTATTTGGTTGATTGTACGGTGTCAGACATAGTGGCGATTTGCGCATCAATGGACAAAATAAAGGCGATATTATCGCTGTCCATTTTGGAATTACTTGAGAATCAAGGACAATATGATAAAAACTAAAAGGAGAAAGAAAGAAAAACAGCTGTTTTCAGGAGAGAATACCTGCAACGAGGTTATAAAGAGGAAATATACAAGGGTGAAAGGTGGGGATATCCATCGATGCACCTGAAGAATGGTAAGGCTAATATACTAGAGACCAACCACGACAATCAGGATTGAATCATCTGGTCGATACTCCATAACCTCCTTCCAAAGATTACAGGCCTAATTAGACTATGATTAGGTGGACATAATATATAACAGATACTACGCCGTCTATTCGGATTTTGAGAATCGTTTCATGCATAACGTCATAAGGGAGCTGCTGTCCATGGCGATATTCAATAGGTATACCGGAATCCAACCTATATAGAAAAGAAATCTGATCAGCACTGGCTTCAACTCTCTGAATCTTGTCATTCCACCTACCGTGTTCTGAAGGAGACGTCCACTTCGGTCATGCTGTTTATTACTTGCATAAAAGCAGATGGTGAATATACCCACAACGGCGATCATCAGAATATGCGACCTACATCACGATCAGATCGTTGTCCGCCAACCACTTATGTTATTTGTCTTCTGGTGATGCTTACCCGATCGAGACCCAGACAGCCGTTGTATACTGTGGCGCCTCCTGCTGTCGCACGATATAGCTGCCTGCCACGCCGCCCAACCCGTTACAGGCCGCCACGGCGGCTGCGGTGGTGGCTCGCTTCCATTGTCCCACCACATTGTTGGCCATGAAGGCGTTCAGCGCAGCCCAGTTTGAGATATAAGCTCCAGTAGCCAGGAAAGTGCCGAGGTACCGTACTGTGACTTGTGTGGAGGCCGGGAGACCAAACATCAGGAACCCTCCTATCAGGCAGAGCGCATTGAAGGTGATCAGGGGCCCGCGAATGCGATACCTGTCTCCGATGAGGGAGGTGAAGAGAACGGGGACGATGGACCAGTAATACGGCTGATTCAAATGTCAACCCAGTGGAAAGGAGACCACCTAATTAATGGATATCCGGATGGGGCATAACTTACCGGCGTAGAGAGTAGGATCGATTTGTTACCGGAAAACCCCATTCCTGACTGCAGGATGATGGGAAGAAAGTAGCTCAAGGCGGTCGACACTAGGTTCAGAAGAAAGAACATGCCGGCGAATCCGTACAATTGGGGATCCAAGAAGTGGACGGTGATCCTGCGCCAGGTCAGTGGCTCCGGCACAACATCGTCGCGGTCGATTTGGATCCGTCGCACGGCGATTTTTGCCTGCGTGCTGGACAGGAAGTAGAAACTGTTCTCGGCGTTCTCCGGGAAGTCGACCATCCACCAGTAGGTGACAATGCCTATGACACATGTGATGAGACCCTGCACGAGGTACATCCAGCGCCAGCCTCGCAAGCCCGCGCGTCCATCCAACAGGTTCAGACCGAAGTTGACGATGTTGCCGGTGGCCAACGCCGTGACCTCACCCGTCTGGAGGAAGGCAAAGCGCAGCTGCTGCTCCCGACGGGTGTACCAGGTGCTGACCAGGTACGTCAGGCCTGGATAGATGCCAGACATGGCGATGCCCAGGAGGATGCGGAGAGCAATCATCTGTCGCCAGGAATGGATGAATGCCGTGCACATGGTGATCAGTCCGAAGCAGATGGTGATGCCCGAGAACCAGAGACGTGGGCCGACCCAGCGCACGGCGACCGTACAGGGCAGCTGGAACACGACACTGGCAATCGTGAAGATGAAGATGGAGACGGAGTAGCGCGTCCCCTGTAGATCGAGGTCCTCCAGCATGCTCGTTACCGAGGCCGAGGAGAGAATGCCCGAGTCCAGGAGGTTCAGACTGCACAGGACGCCCGCGATTGTACACAGACGCAGGTCTACCATGCGTCGGATCTTCTTTTCCAGCGGCTTCCACTCTTCTGGCATGAATTCGTTCATGAGCTCTGGGTCTGTCTCGTGGGACTCCAACCGAGGCACCTGGGCCATAGTGGCAGCGACCGGCGCCATGCCAGGGGGCTTCTCCCTCATCCTGGACATCTGAATCCCTCGTGCGTATGTCCCGTCTAATTTCCTTTTCTTCCCTTTCCTTTCCGTCTGGTTGAGAGCAATCAATCTATGGCACGGCGAGGGGTGACACAGCGGCGAAGTCCCGGCATTTTGGCACCAGATGGAAACCCACCGAAGTCGCGTTCTCGATTAGCGATCAAGTAGTCATGCACCGTTGCAGATCGCCCGGTCTCGATTCACCCTGACGCGGAGGATTTAAGCAATGGTCTGTGGGATCTTAGGGGATATTATTGACCAACAAGACGAGTGACAGGTGTGTCTCGCTAATAAGTTAGTTAGATCCACGATGCTGGTGAAGAGTCGCGGTCGATCTCTGGCCACTGGTGGATCCGATGAATGGTCGTTCTGAGCTACTGAGGACTCTCGCGAATCTCTATCAGGATAAATACTACCTTCTACTACGATTTCCCCATGGACGAGATGATGAGATCCGCTGCGATCGAGCAAGCTGTGCTAGGAGGGATGACTTACTCAAAGCAGATTCTCTTCGCATGGTCGGTCCACGTTGACGAGTCTGATTGCCATGAATTACGACAATAATCAAGATAAAAATGCCAATACACTACACAGTACAGGGCCAGCGGTCAAAAAAGGCTGCAAGATTCATAGACTGTCTCTGCCATGATACTTCGCTGAAAGGCCAAGAACGGACACAGTGGAGATTTCCAGAACCTTCCGTTCTGAACCTTAATGGCTCCTTTCGTCATCGAAAGAGTCTATACTTCAGAGCGACCAATGGTGATGACAGGGAAACCGTTGCTGACATCGTGCTCCTCCTATCTCTGGGGAAGCCCACACTGGTTCAACGGTCCCTTGGACCTGGTGACTGTGTGGCTGGTTCGGACGGCGGCGAGAAGGTTGATCAAACCAATGGATTCAATGGGTTGTAGTAGTCGTGTCGTGATCTATCTATTCTCATCCGGGCAGAAGCGCGACTGGATCGTGCTAAGAACCGATGACGACGACAATTCTATGCATTCGCACTCAGATAGGTCTAGTCGAGGCTGGCTTCCGAGTATACCGACATGCAACAAGTATGATGGTTATAAATTCACCTTTGGATCATCGACCTCTTTCGGCCTCTATGAACTACCTACCTAGCTAGCTAACTAATGACTCAACTAGACCCCTGATACCCGGGGTCCTACGGAGCAATTCATGACGGACGTGCCGCTGGCCTTCATCGCAGCAAACAACCACTTGGAATGAAGATACCCAATTTACTCACTGCTTCCGCTGCTCTTTTGTCGTGGGCTTCCAACGCAACAGGTGAGTGAGGGTCGATGAGTTCGGGAAACCCACCGATGCCGGACGAAGACGGAGAGAGAGCTCATATCACCTACGGTCTGATACCATAGCTTTTCCTGCCGAGAGTCCGATTCGCCTGGTGAACGCTAGATCCCACCTATCCGCTTATGACGCCACCACGGTATCGCGATGGAACATCACGGCCGATGTCGAGGGGAGTAATCATTCGCTAGCTTTTTTGCTAGAAACTAACAGAGACTTTACCGCCGAAAATGCCCACGTGTGGTATCTGAATGTTTATGGGGATATCAGGGGTGCTGAGCCATCCTCACAATCAACATACCATGTCACAAAAGGGTCCGTACAGATAGGGTCCGCCGGCAGACCGTGGGCAACTATCGGGTGGGCAAGAATGATCGTGCTCGGTGACCGAGCGGACCCGTGGTTGGAGGGAACGTTCACAATGGCCTCGGAACAGTATAAGATTCAACTCGAGGAAACGGCCCAGCAGGATGGCCGTCTCCCTCACCAGGCCGGTCAGATGGTCGTCTACCGGGCGCCAGCCGCCTCCTTCTCGGATCATGATGGATCAATTTCTGATCAGGCCTGCATCTCCCCGCCAGAGTCTTCCCTGGAGAGAAGACAAATCGGATGGGGAGAGAGGAGCCTGACGGACTTGATCGGCAGCACATCGGGATGCCCGACCTCCCGGCAGATTGCGTACATCGGCGTAGCGACGGACTGTAATTACTCGGCAACATTCAGCTCCTCTGATGCTGTTCACCGGAACATTATTAACTTGGTCAACACCGCATCCGTTGTCTTTGAGAACAGCTTCAACGTTTCGCTGGGACTCCGAAACGTTACCATCAGCGATGCCGAATGCCCTGACAGCGTCTCGGGCTCGACGGAGTGGAACATGCCCTGTCCGCAGGGCAATCTAAGCTGGCGTCTAGATCGCTTCTCGTCCTGGCGAAGCTCCATTAACGACGACAACGCCTTCTGGTCGCTGCTGACGGGTTGTTCGGGCTCACAGGGTGCGGTCGGAGTCTCCTGGGTTGGGCAGCTGTGCAACTCTGGAGCGTCTGCTTCCTCGAGCTCGACGGGGGGAGCTAATGTGGTTGCTCGTTCACGGAGCGAATGGCAGGTTTTTGCGTACGAGCGGACCCCCTCTTCTACGTCTAAGATGAGATGCATCTGGTGGCTAACTCCAGTCCAAGACATGAGGCGGCCCATACCTTCGGTGCGGTTCATGACTGCGACTCGAGTGCCTGCAAGGCTGACGCCGGTGATGGCACCCAATGCTGTCCTCTGTCGTCGTCGACGTGCGACGCGGATGGGCAATACCTCATGAACCCGGCCGCCAGCGGAGGGGTGACGCGATTCTCCCCCTGCACCATCGGCAATGTTTGCTCCCAGCTGGGTTCGCGCCGAGTCAACACCCGGTGTCTCGTGAGCGCTCGCGATGTGAAAGACGGAGGAGACAATGGGACGGTGGTCAACGGCAGTCAGTGTGGGAATGGCGTGGTGGAACCAGGCGAGGCTTGTGACTGTGGAGGGCATGTGTGCAGCGATCGCGATGCCCGTTGCTGCGACGACATGACGTGCCAGTGGAAGGGAGGAGACGAATGTGCGCGATCTCGTGCAGGAGACGGCGACGACGATGGTGATGACGATGGCGGGTCATGGGTGAAGCAACACCGACCGTTGATCATCGGACTCGGCGCAGGCATTGGGGGCACTTTGGTGCTGACGATGGCATTGATGGCGATTACCTTTTGCTGGCAACGGCGGGAACTTAGTAAAGCAATTTTGAGTCAAATTAGTGTAATGAACTGACGCACTGGACGACCACTAATACATATAGACGAATCGATCCCTAACAGCTCGACAAACGGCCCCTTCGACCGACGGGAACCCCGCAACTCGGACGAAGGGAGCTCAAGATCCCACGACCGTAGGATAAATGGCAGCGTCGTAGTGTTCTTTTTCTGCTTCAGTTCTTCTCTTCTCTTCTCTTCTCTTCTTTTCTCCTTCTTGCGGACGTGGTCCAATCTTGGTTGTCGCGAGCGCTTATTTAGTTCATTCCACGGAGTACTTTTCACCGCCAAATTCGATTCTCACCACAATAAACTTTATCGGCTGTAACCACATCCTCTCTTTCAGTGAGAGAGACGTACTGCACGATGGTCGAGTTGATTCCTCCCCCCGACCCTCGTACTGTCATTCCTCCACTGTTGGCGTGTCTTCCTACGGCCTTCGTATCGCCCCGTCCTCCCCCAGCTCTTCTCTCACTCCTCTCTCCGATCCTCCGTCAACGTGTACAGGTCCTCAGTTCGGTTTCTGCATCTCCCACCGAATCCTGGCTTCGACTACTGTGTTGGGATGCAGACAAAGCGGAGCGTCTTCAGACCCTGGTGGACGGCACCAGCTTCGAGCCCCATCCCGTGTCTGGCGAGATTGATCTACCCGAAGAGATCTCGGTGACGTACAAACGGATAGACGAGGAGACGCTTCAGTCTCGCATCCTTCTGAATGACTATGGTTTAACGATTCTCTACCTGTGGTGTCCCCAGGACGAAGAAGCTGGAGGACCCGGATGGCGGGTCGCAGAGCTGCTCCCTCAAGACGGGCAAGCGGTGGACGATACTAGGGACTGGTCTGACTCGATTGGAGAGGCCAATGTGCGTGCAAAGGAACAGTTGATGGAGGATGCTTTGAAATCTGCCGAGAAATATGAAAAGGCCGTCGCTCAAGACTCAGCAAAGGACGACGAGCACGACAACGACGACGATTACTGGGCCCAGTACGACACTACACCGAGACGCACTCCGTCGGCCAAGACGCCGGCTCCCAACATACTGTCCTCTTTCCAACGAGAGACGTCCGAGGCGACGTACTTTTCTCGCTACGCCGAGGTTCAACCGGCCATGGACAATCATGACCCATCAGAACAGCAACCGCGGCCAGGGCTATCCTCGCTGAATGGAAACATCCTTGCCAGTATTCTTCAAAACCAGATTAATGGCTCCGAGCCGCAAGATGACGCAGCCTCTCGCAACGGTGAAGTCACCAACGGGCACGATCCTATGCCATTAAACCACCCTCTTCCGTCGTCCGCCTCGTCGGGGAGTTCCGACGCTGTGGCTAAGTTGGAACGCGAAGCGGAAAACCAGTCCTCCTGCGAAGTTGGGGTCAAGCAGCACATTGGCTCCAATATCAAAAGCCTGTTCCGCCTGGCCAAGGCCACAGGGATTTCCCGAGCCGAGTTCCAGTCGCTCGTTCGGACGGAACTAGAACTGTTGGATGTTTCTGATTATGATTGATATGTGAACATTTGGATTTACTATGACGTATCTATTTTATTTTTATTTTTATTTTTATTTTTTTTTTTTGGCTGTTGTTGGGAGCAATTTTCGGGGTTCTATTGGATAGCTCTATACCTGTACATACTGCATTTGATGGAGCGGGAGTTTCAATTCGTATCGATCTCCAGAACGTTGTCAATATAAGATTATTTTTAGAAATATTGTTATTCTAATTAATTCCATAATAGACCCCATTTCCAGCAGGAAGAAATGAATTATTTCCACCCTGCACATCACATGTTATGCAGTCTCGGACCTAAGCCTTGTTCCGTTCCGCGTGTTGGGATGAAGCCACGCAATCCAACCCCGTCAACTAATCCATCTGGCTTCCCTTCTCCGGAGAAGAAGAACAGGACTAAAAGACACCTCTCCTTTGTATAATGTTCTCTCCGTAATCATTGTATGTTGCTCGTATTCTCCCTTCCCCTCGGCTTGTTTCGCGTTGCTAATGTTGCCTCACCGCATCTCTCAGTCTTCTAAGTAGTCTTTACAGCCGTTTTCCATTCGTACCCGCTATTATGTCCTCGCCTCCTTCGCCATCTCTTCGGAAGAGAGGCGGAAAGAAGGAGACTGCGCCTGTACCGTCAATTGATGGTTCCTCTCATTCGTTGAAATCGGCGGCAACCACCAAGCCCCCGTCAGAATGGGATTACAGGCTGGCCATAACCATTCTGACCGCGCTGGCATTCGTCACCCGATTCTATAAGATTTCATATCCCGCGGAAGTCGTGTTCGATGAAGTGCACTTCGGCAAGGTATGGTCTCGAATGTGTAGTTGGAACGTCCGGAGATCGATTGTTGTCTGATCGAAACCATTCTAGTTTGCATCGTACTACCTACAACGCACGTATTTCTTCGATGTACATCCGCCCTTCGGCAAACTTCTCTTTGCGTTTATGGGCTGGCTGGTTGGCTTTGATGGCAATTTCTTGTTCGACAACATCGGCGATTCGTACGTTGACAACAATGTTCCCTACGTGGCTCTCCGTGCCATGCCCGCAACCCTCGGAGCCCTGACAGTCCCCGTGGTCTTCCTGATCATGTGGGAGTCTGGCTACTCGCTGCCCGCTTGCGTCCTGTCCACCGGACTGGTGCTGTTTGATAATGCGCACATTGCTGAAGATCGATTGATCCTCCTCGATGCGAGCTTGGTCCTTACGATGGCCTTGAGCATCCTCTGCTACGTCCGCTTTTACAAACTGCGCCATCAGCCTTTCGGGCGAAAGTGGTGGAAGTGGCTCTTGATGACCGGGGTCTGTCTTAGCTGCGTCATCTCCACCAAGTATGTCGGTGTTTTCACGTTTGTCACCATTGGTGCTGCCGTGTTGGTCGACCTCTGGAACTTGTTGGACATCCGACGTGCCAGCGGGGTGCTGAGCATGGCCGAGTGGACCAAGCATTTTGTCGCCCGCGCCGTCGCCCTCATCGTCGTACCCTTCTTTTTCTATCTGTTCTGGTTCCAGGTGCATTTCGCCATTCTCACCCGCTCCGGTCCTGGCGACGACTTCATGACTCCCGCTTTCCAGGAAACTCTCAGCGACAACGCCCTCTCCGCACAGTCGATCAACATCCAATACCATGACACGATCACCATCAAACACAAGGACACCAAGGTGTTCCTGCACAGTCACTGGGAAACGTATCCTCTTCGCTATGACGATGGACGCATCTCGAGCCAGGGCCAACAGGTGACGGGATACCCCTACAACGACACGAACAACCAATGGGAGATCCTCCCGACTGTTTCTCTGGACGACAATGAAGGCAGAGAGGGCCACAATGTGCGCAACGGCGATATTATCCAGCTTCGTCATTTGGGTACCGACACTATTCTCCTCACGCACGACGTTGCCTCCCCTTACTACCCGACTAACCAGGAATTCACAACTGTGTCCCACGAAATGGCGAACGGCGAGCGACGTAATGATACGCTCTTCGAGATCAAGATCGAGAATGGCAAGCCGCAGCAGGAGTTCCGGACTCTGTCCAGCCACTTCAAGCTGATCCACGTCCCCACTCGAGTAGCCATGTGGACGCACACAACGCCCCTGCCAGACTGGGCGTTCAAACAAGCCGAGATCAATGGTAACAAGAATGTTCCCCAGAATAGTAACCTGTGGTTCGTCGACTCCATCGAGTCATTGGAGGAGGATCACCCTCGCAGAATCAAGGAAGAGCGCAAGGTCAAGCCGTTGCCCTTCCTCCGAAAGTACCTTGAACTCCAGCGGGCGATGTTTTTCCATAACAACGCTCTCACTAGCAGCCACCCCTATGCCAGTGAGCCCTTCCAGTGGCCCTTTCTCCTGCGGGGTGTCAGCTTTTGGACGAAGAACGATACCCGAGAGCAGATCTATTTCTTGGGTAACCCCATCGGATGGTGGATTGCCAGCAGTCTCTTGGCGGTCTTCGCCGGCGTCATTGGGGCGGACCAACTGTCCCTTCGACGTGGAGTGGATGCTGTGGAGGAGAGTGAGTACCGTAATCTAGAATATCCCCCATGTTCTTGCCGCTGACAAGATTGAAGTTTGGGGCCCGGGTGCACGTTCCCGCCTATACAACAGCACCGGCTTCCTGTTCCTCTGCTGGGCAGCTCACTACTTCCCCTTTTGGCTGATGGGTCGGCAACGTTTCCTGCACCACTACCTGCCAGCCCATCTGGCCTCGGCTCTGGTGACAGGCGCGTTGGTCGAGTTCGTCTTCAACGTTCAGCCCATCATAGTCACCCCGGCCTCGAACGGTGGTGAGGACGATCCGTCGGGCAAGGCGAAAGCATCCACTTCTCTGGGCCGATTCGTGACTGCGAAGGAGCGAATGAGCACCAAATCCCTCGTTGCGGGTTGGATTGCAACCCTGGTCATCTTAGCGTGTACTTTCTGGGGATTCTGGTTCTACGCTCCTTTGACGTACGGCACCCCCGGCTTGGATGTCGACGGGGTAAATGCACGTAGGTGGCTGGGCTATGATTTGCATTTCGCAAAATAAAGCCGTCGATTTGAGGGGATATTTGCCCGCAGTTGGCAGGGTGATGGCTCGCTCATCCGGGTGAGACTATTTTATCCGAGCCCTGGGATATGAGCGTTCGTACACCATGTAAGATAGTTTTTATTCTCCAGCCAGGCTCTGTTTTTGGTTTTATCTATAGCCAGCGTGTTTCTGAGGGAGGCTTCGGACTCCCCCCAGCCGCAGTTTTCTTCAATTTATCCAAAAGAGATCAAGAAGCATTGTTATTTTGGCACCTTTTTAAGGAATATCTGACTTCTAATAAAGAGACATGAAATTTTCATTTCTTCTCGCAGAACTGCATGTATTAATAGCAATAGGATTTCTAGTCTAAGCAAGATCGATGGATCAATCGACCTTAGATTCTATAGGTCTCGTATGGACAGTTGTATTTCAAGGACTCCTAGACAATGACAGGTAAATAGGAAAAGCAACAACCAAGCAACGCCGACATGAGTATCATATCATATACATATACAACAGAACAGATAGCCTCTAATCCTACATCGCCATTCTCTTCCCGATTTCACTCTCCCAGCCGCGGGACCTCTCGAATCCATTCGACGCAGTCTGGTAGTCCAGCATAGCCTGATACACCTCCTCCTGGCTGGTCAAGACAAACGGACCATACTGTACCACTTTCTGGTTCAGCGGCTGGCCGGCCACCAGAATGAACCGCGACTCGGACTCGGCATTGTCTGGCACGGAAGCCTCGATGTGATCCCCGCCCTGTTCGAAGACGACATTATGGTACTCCTTCACCAGACGCGTGGAGTCATTAGACCCGAACACCGTGGTACCGGCAAACGTATAGGCGAAGGCATTCCAGCCCATCGGTAAATTCTGCCGGATACGACCTCCCGGACGCACGGTGACGTCCAAGATCCAGACAGGCGTGTAGGCAAGATCCCGCACAGAGTCGACCCCGTGCGACTGACCGGAGATGACCTTAACAGTGACACGACCGCCATCGATATCCACGGTGGGGATCTCGTGGGCACGCAGATCGCGATACCGCGGTTCGCACATCTTCAGGTTCTTTGGCAGATCGACCCATAACTGCATGCCTTCGTTGGGACTGCCATCAGGGTTCTTACGCGGCATTTCAGCATGCATGATGCCTCGTCCGGCGGTCATGAATTGCAAATCGCCGGGTCCAATGGTGCCTTTGTTCCCGGCGAAATCCTCATGGTCCACCGCTCCGGAGAGCAGGTAGGTGATGGTCTCTTGACCTCGGTGCGGATGGTCGGGGAAGCCGGCCTCAGCGCCGGCGGTGAAATGATCCAGCATGAGGAACGGGCTCAAGTTGCGTAGTTTGGCGGTGCCAATGGAGCGACGGACTCGCGCACCGACGCCCTCTGCTTGCTCAATGGCCAGGAATACCTGACGAATTGCGCGGGGGACAGCCATTTGGGTGACGAGTACCGGAGGATTGGTGCCAATCGTGGTCGTGAAACTTTGTGAATGCTGCGGTTGGAAGTAGGACACTAGAGTGGAGATGGGACCCAAATAAGTAGAGGATCGATAGACTGTATAGAATAGAGAAAGAAGTATTGCGGTGATGCCAATTAACAACGACGAAAAAGGTCTCATGGACACGACCCACAACTCTTTATACCCTGGAGGGCGTGCAGCAGGAAGCTGGTAGAAAACCCGACATGACGAGCTGGGAGTTAGTCACTTCTTATACATTCTCGAATAAGCGGCCTCGAGACTTGAGTTAACTAGCGATATTCCGATTACCAAGATTGCCGTCAGCAGCGGAAGAGTGCGCAGTCACGTGGGTTGCTGACATTCCGCTGACTGATGGCTAAGCTAATGGCTTAGTTGGGTAACTAACTAACTTGCATAAGATTAGTCATTGGTTATCTGACTAATGACTTACGTCATTCAGAGAAGAAGGCACGTGGTGATAACGCCCCGATTTGGCACGGCTGTTCTTCACAGCAGCCGATTGTCCTCCTCCACGCTGATGATGATAATGATGGTTGTGGTTTGCTAGCTGGGCTCTTCTCTCTCCTTCAGGATCTCCCGTCGATAAAATTCCCTTTTACCCTGCGCCACGCGTTAGGGGGTTCTCTTCCGCCGGGAAGCGCGCAATAGGCCAGATCGTCTCTATTCAGCCATACATAATCTATTACTACTCCATTCCTGTCTTCCCTATAACTCATCGTTTCTCCCTCCCCTCGGTTCCGTTGCTGGAGGTCATAAGCATGGCACGACGTTCCCGGATTGTAGCGCCCTTGCTGGCGTTGGCGTGTGCGAGTTCCACCGCGTGGGCTAGCAAAAAGGTGTTCAATGTCTACGACGACATTCTCGCATTCCCTCAAGTATGTGCCCATCTTCCTTCCCTCTTGTAACCCATATTAGTGGCATTATTTTCACTAGGAGCGCGTGGATACTGATGCCATTATCCATCCCAGTATCAAGTTGTTTTCCCAGACGAATATATCCTGGAATCGCAAGCACGCGAGTTTCTGCACCCACAGGAGGACGGTTCTTCTGCCTTTAGCGGACAACAAAGAAATGCCGAACCGAATCGAGCTCAGGTATCATTGAGCAGTGGTAAACGCGACTCCCGAGACGAAGGACGACAGGCACGGGACGGACATGCAGCCACCTACGAAGAAATGGGCCTGGAAGCGCAGCGATATCTGTGTCGAATTCCACATGTGGAACCAGAAAACCAAAGCAATCCCAATGGCACGCAAGAGACCAACGAAGCGGATGAGCAAAGGGAGCTGGCGCGAGCCACAGACCGTGGGATGGAGCTCTTACGCGAGATGGAGGGGAAATGCATGTACTACGTTTCCGGATGGTGGTCCTACTCCTTCTGCTACAAGAATCAGATCAAGCAGTTTCATGCGCTCCCCTCGGGCAGCGGCATTCCTAACTACCCTCCCTTGGAGGACCCCACGACCCATTCGTTCATCCTCGGCCGGTTTTCGCGGCCCAAACATGGCGATGATGAGGCCGCAGAAGCGGAGGGCAAAAAGGCAACCACGACGGAAGTCGCCGAACTGCAGACCAAAGGGGGCTCGCGGTATCTAGTCCAGCGTCTCGATGGAGGAACGCGGTGTGATCTGACCGGCCGGAATCGGAGGATCGAAGTGCAGTTTCATTGCCATCCCCAGTCCACGGACCGGATCGGGTGGATCAAAGAATTGACGACCTGCTCCTATCTGATGGTGATCTACACGCCACGCTTATGCAACGACGTAGCATTTCTACCTCCGCAACAGGAGGAGGTGCATTCAGTGGAGTGTCGAGAGATCATCACCCCAGACGAGGTGCCGGACTGGGAAGCTTTGCGAGCATACCAACTCACCCAGCGACTGGTCGAATCGGCAGAGGGGTCGGAGTTTCCGGTGGTTGGTGACATCAAGGTCGGAGCGCAAAGACTGGTCGGGTCGGAAGGTAGAAAGATTGAAAAGGGCCGGGTGGCTTCCGCAGGGGAAGAGAAGGTGGAGACGGTCGCTAAGCGGGAGAATGGCGAGGTGCGGAAGATGTCCCGCGAAGAGTTAAAGAGATATGACCTGGACCCGGAGAAGATTGAAGCGCTGAAGAACAAAGTGGAGAAGTTGGCCAAGGGCAAGGACTGGGCCCTGGAGATGGTCACGACCAATGGAGAACGGCAACTGCGAGGGATCGTGGATACTGATGAGAACGAAGACAAGGCAACCGACAGCACTGGGTCGGAAGAGACGAGCAAGACGGCTGAGGATGGTGATTCTTCGTCGCATGAAGAGACGCAGAAGACTGATCCCAAGAACGCAGTCCCGAAGAACAAGCCGATGGAAGAGGGTGAACGAGAAGAACGACCGCATCAGTCGGATGACTCTAGTCAGGGCAGTGAAGAGACGTTTAAAGATGAACTTTAGCCTGTCTTTTTTGATTCTCTCTCTATTTACTTTTCCCATATCCTGGACCATTTGCATTTGGGGTCTATATGAAGCCATTGATTTGTTGTATAACATTGTGACTTTTTTTTTTAAAAAAACAAATCCTCCTTTTGATATCCGCTGGTTCTATTCTTATGACCCATGATGTTCTATAACCTACAATATACTGGGGATGTCTAGAACATGCAAGATTACAGACATGACTCGGCATCTATGCGTCGATATACAATTACGACGATATGCAGCCTCAAGCCACGGACCAGCCAGTGCCATTGCCCCAATATTAGATGAAAAGCCTCTCAAATAGTCATCCGTAGAGTCAGAAGAACAAATATCTCCATCGATAGATATGTAGACAGATAAAAAGATAAATAGAATTAACGGGTGCAGAAAACGTGACCGCCTCAGGCCTTCCGCCCCTCTCGCTCTCCCTATGTGCCCGACTGTCATCTCCCTCGTCGTCTCCTGCCAACCCATCATCCTCTCCTCTCTCTCCTCCCTCTCACCCCTCCTTCCCCAGTGACTCCCATTACCATCATTGCCGACTCTTCCTATCGACCACTGGGTTGTCCTTTTTGGGCTAGACCTTGGATCCACTAGTGCCTGCAATTGCCAAGGCTGCACCCTCCTCCCCCGGAACCGGTCCATCCACTCGCTCCTCAAAACCAGTCCTGACGGACTGGAACGGAACTCTTATTTTACGACACTTGTTCTCTCGGAACGCTGCCTGCAGCAGCCCCACCCCCGACAGCTGGTTCATAATTGCCTTTCCAGCAATCGCTGCCCACAATGGGGTTCTTGGGGGTATACGCGGCCATTTACGACTATCACCCGCAAGCGCAGGGCGAGTTAGAACTCCGTGAGGGTGACCTGCTGTATATTCTCGAGAAGAGCGACGAAGATGCCTGGTGGAAAGCCAAGAAGAAGGCGGAACGGGACGATGAAGATGAACCCGAGGGCCTCGTGCCGAATAACTATGTCGAGGAGGTAAGGATCACCTGGAAAGAGCACGCCGTTGGTCGAGTTTATGGTGAGCAGATTATCGGTTACCATATCTTCTGAAGAGACTCAGATCGAACCTGTTGTGTCGCGGCTTGTCCTTTTTTTCAGGGGTAGAACTAGAGAGGGAATGCGTGTATTTGCTAACAGGTCATACCAACCCCATTTGCAGGCTCGACCAGTTCACTCAGCGAAAGCGCTTTTCGACTATACACGCCAAACGGATGAGGAGGTATCCTTTTCGGAAGACGCGGAACTTGTGGTCTATGATACCTCGGATCCGGATTGGACTCTAGTTGGCGTGGGCTCGGATTTCGGCTTCGCCCCTGCGAACTACATCGAAATAGAGAACCAGCCGGCTCATGTGGCAGCAACATCTATTCCATCCTCTTCCCCCGTCGAATCGGCTCCTCCCACTCTTCCGCAGCGGCCAGCTGCGGTGCCAACCGATGAACCCAACGACGCTGTCTCGAGCTCCCCCATCGACACTGCTCAAAACCCAGCAGCCGCAGTAATTGCCAATATCATTCACCAACAGCATGCATCCCCCACAGAGCCAGAATCCAACAAGGCCGTGCCACCGCCGCTACCGTCTCAGCCTCAACAGTCATCCAATGAACCCGAAGAGAGCTACCGGAACGAACCTTCGCCGCCGCCACCAGTTCTGCCGCATCGTCCTCCGTCGGAACAGATCTCCTCGCCCGTCCGCCTAGAACTTCCACCAGAGCCATCACCACCTCCGCGACCCCCAGTAGTGTCGATCCAGGAGGCTAATCGTAAAGGCCATGTGAAGGAGTCTCCCCCGTACAACAGAGTCGGCCAACCGGCCCCCCGTTCTCCCTCCGGATATCATATATACAATATCAACGAGATGGTAGAGGTGATGGGCAAAAGGAAGAAGAAACCTACAACCCTGGGGATCAACATCGCCACGGGGATCATCTTTATGTCGCCCGAAGATGACGGAGATACCCAGGAATGGACTGCGGACAAGCTAACTCATTACTCGATCGAAGGAAAGCACGTGTTCGTCGAAATGGTCCGTCCCAGCAAAAGCATCGATTTCCACGCTGGAGCGAAAGACACCGCTCGAGAGATTGTCGCGGCATTGGGTGAAATATCGGGGGTTTACCGCGCAGAGGGTCTCAGGGAAGTTATTGCGGCCGGAACTAGTGGCGGCGACACCCAGAAAAAGGGACAGATGGTATATGAGTTTATGGCGCAGGGTGACGACGAGGTGACCGTGGCTGCCGGTGATGAGGTCGTCATCTTGGACGACACCAAATCCGAGGAGTGGTGGATGGTTCGGCGTATGAAGAACGGCAAGGAAGGGGTTGTCCCAAGCAGCTACGTGGAGATTACCGGATTCGTTCCCGCCAGTCAGCCCTCTATCTTGGATTCGGGCTTGTCGGCCGTTGAGAGAAATCGGCTCGAGGAGTCCAGATTGGCTAAGGAGGCGTTGCGCAAGTCCACGGTTGAAGCGAAGGGTTCGCGGAGTCCTGAGGTAGGTGTCCATAGTAATGGCCTGATCGTGATCTTGGAGCTGTCAGAGAGGCTAATAGTTGTTTTTTGCACGGCAGAAGCGCGATAGTCGAAGTAGCCATAAGTCAAGTAAGCGGTTTCTTCTACTGCCTCGACCTGTCATCTTTGAGTGTCATGCTAACTGTATCCCTAAGAACCGGATCCGAGCAAAACGAGACATTGGACTGATCGTACGAAGTCATTCACTGTGGAGGCCCAGTTTATTGGCCTTCAAGATGGAAAGATCCACCTCCACAAGATGAATGGCGTTAAAATCGCGGTCCCGATTCCCAAGATGTCAGTGGAAGACCTAGAGTACGTGGAGAAGGTGACCGGTGTATCCTTGGACGAAGACAAGCCCCTATCCGACATTCGACGTCGGTCCCAGCGTCTGGAATCCGAACAACCACGGCCCTCTGGTGAGGGCAAGCGATCGGGAGCTTCCATCCAACAGTCCGACTATGACTGGTTCGACTTCTTCCTCAAGGCCGGTGTTGGTCCCCACCAGTGCGAGCGGTATGCCCAGAGCTTCGTCAAGGACTCAATGGACGAGACCGTTCTTCCCGAAATCACGCCAGAAGTCCTTCGCACGCTTGGCTTGAAGGAGGGAGATATTTTGCGGGTGATGCGATACCTAGACAGCACGTTTGGCCGCACTGGCTCCAAGTCGAAGCTGCGCAATGTCAGCTTCGGCGGTGAGGAAGTCATCAGAAACGGGGAGGATGGTGCCCACGGTGGCCTGTTTGCGGGACCCGGGGGTACCTTGCGCAACAACACTCGCAAGGGCCGACCAGCTCCTGCTGTCCAGACTGGCGATGTCGTCGACCCCAAGGCTTTCGAGCAGAAGGACAACACCGCCACGGAGCGGGGTGGCACGCCCCCGGCTTCTGCTCCGGTCGAGAAACCACCCCCTAAGCAGGGGTTCGACGATGATGCATGGGAAGTCAAGCATCCCAAGCAGTCTTCTATTTCTTCTGTGCCTGCGGCTACCTCGACTCCTCCCCCGGCTGCCACGACGTCTCCGGCGACGACTCAACCTCTGACCCAGCAGCAGCTGACGGGAGCCCTGGCGGACCTATCCGTGCTTCACCCGCCGCTCCAGCCCACCCTTGCACCGCCTGCTCCTGCACCTCAGTCACCACCGCCGGTGATTCAGATGCAGTCGACTGCCGCACCGGTGTCGCAACCGCCGCAACAACCCCAGCAAACTGGGGCCACCCCGAGCTTCTTCTCCCAATTGGGGCAACCTGGGCAGCAGCAGCCTCTTCAGGGTAATATGCAAGGGTTCAGCCCGCAAGCAACCGGCTTCCAACAGGCCTCGAGACAACGCCCCCAGCCTCCTCAGAATATGGGCCAGAACTCGTTGCTTCCCCCTCCACCCCAGCGACCACTGTCAGCGCCGCAGAATTTTCCTCAGCAGCCGAACTCCTTTGGAGCTACTCCATTGCAACCTCAGCTGACGGGAATTCCTCAAATGGGGCCCCAGCCCGCACCTCTGGGGCAGAGCCTTGCCGAGCTCAATCAGCAGCACCTCCAGCAGTCGCTTCAACCTCAGCCAACGGGCTTCATGCCTCCGAACCAGTTCCGGAATGGACTGATGCCCCAACCCACTGGCTTCCAGCCACAGTCACAGTTCGGGATTCAGCAGCAGCAGCAGCAGCAGCCTGGTTTCCAGGGTATGATGCCTCAGCCTACCGGCTTTGGAGGCTTCCCACAGCAACCAATGCAGACCGGCATCAACTCTACACTTCCCCCTCCCTTACAGCCTCAGCCCACCGGCATGAATGGTGCGGGTAGCTTGTCTAATGCGACCCCACCCTCAATCCCGCCCATCCCCCAACAGTCGACAGCGGCGCCGCTGCAGCCACAGAAGACGGGGCCCGCGCCGTCAGTCCGGTTTGGTGTTAAGCCCGAGGCCGCAAAGAAGCTGGCTGCACAGCCAACTGGTCTGAAGGCCAATCTTTCTCAAGCCAGTAAGTCTCTATTAGCGATTGGCGCTCTGCATATACAACCGGGAGAATCATATGCTAACACCATCTGCTCCTTAGCACCTACGAATCCGTTTGGCTTCTAATCTGAATTCTGATGTATATAACTCTCTTTTTCCTTTGCGGGACATGAACCATTGCTATACCTTATTTGTTTCTTCTGTGGGCGGAATCATGCACAACATGGATATGATCTGCTGGGTTCGTTTGCCTCTCACACCGTAATCTTTTCTAAAACCTAGTTATGGTCTATCTGTTACGTCTGAGGTTTGGAACCAATGCTCTAAGTATAATCTCCTTTCCCTGCCTTTATATTCTTTCTCTTTTTTTTTTTTTTTTTTTTTTTTTTTTTTTTTTTTTTTTTTTGTTTGCCCCATGCACTGCCCTTTGCACGCCGACTCAGCGACCTAGAACTGTTTATGTTTTTTTTTTTTTTTTTTTCGGTCTCCTTTCGCAGTTTTGAATTCAAGCAGTGCGTAATCCCGAAAGACAGCTCTCATGTGTTCCTCATTTCCTTTGTCCTGTCCTTTTGTCTTCATCCAAATCGTCGATATGTCCAACAGAGAAGTGAGGGATTGCTTTCTTTTCCCTCATCCCCGTCGTTTCTGGACTTTCCTGTCTCATAGTATCTGAGCCTGTCCTTGGCCTTACGCCCCCCATTGTTTCCTTATCTCATGTGCTATTTTTGGTATGTACGGTACATATAGGTTGTAATCAAAACACAATGTACGTAATAAATATTCAATGTTCGTCTTTTCTGTATATCTCGTTGAAACGGTTGGTATACGTCATGACGATGTCCCTAACACGATCGATTGCATTCAAAATCAAGAAAAAAAATAAGCCCATATCCAAACTCCATGATACCTGGGGATGTAAATCGAACCAAACTCCAACTCAAATGTACAATGCCTCGCTCTTGAAACTCCATCAACCAAACGACGGGAATCTGTCATGAAAAGTCATAAAGGTGTCATTAGAGTCGTTCATTTTCTGCCACCGATGTGTACTGCCGGTTGGATGACCAGGGAAGGAATTTGAAAAAAAAAAAAGAAAAGAAAAAAATCGTGTGAGTGTGTTTGTGAGTGAGAGAATGATCATGTATCTTCCCACAGCCCAAACACAGGGAGATCTTCAGCCATGTAGAGGAGACCATTGTCCGGCAATATCACATCGGATAGAGGCGTTTGGCCTCTAGCATCCATCATACTTGATCGATCTGCCAGCTGGCCGGATGGGATAGTGTCTCCTGGTGAACAGCCGATCGGTATCCCCGTTGTTGTTAAGGTAGAGATAGCGGTGTCGTGGGGAAGAGTGGCTGCGCCGTCGACTCCATAGAGAGTGTCCCAGATATCATGATCCGGTTGGGCTGTGGTAGCTGCTGGCTCTGGCGGCTGCGAGAGTAGAGGACCAGCAAATTTCTCCGATGATAGCGGGGAAGACACAGTTGGTTCACTTTGATGGGGTATCGAGACACCATTGTTCGCAGCGGACGACTCCGCCGGCCCTACTTGGCCGAACAGTTGGTCGACCTGTCGGCTACGGCGCTCCATCCATTGGCGATTCCGTCGACGTACGTATTCGGCTACGGCATTACGGAGGTATTTGATGATCTGGAAGAAGCGACACGCATGCGGATCGTGTGGGACAAAAAGGCCGAGGAATTGTTCGGCCTTGCCCATACCTTCCTCGAGTGGAAGAAGGTTGTCATAGTCGGCGAAGAAAGCCGCCCCCAGGACGATTGCGGAGTTGAACACCGAATTAATCAGGAAAGGTAGTCGTCGTGGGAGAGATGTAAAATGAGACAGACCCTCGACAATATTAAGTCCCCTTAATGCGGAATAGACACACGCATCGGCGAATAGGGAAATGCGAGAGCTGCTATTCCTCAGCTCAGAGAGATTGCTTGGGTCACTCCGATTTCTCACATACTGCGACACCCGGAAAATGAGGAACGGTCGCGTCAGAAGGATGATCGACCAGTAGTAAGAGCCGAAGACATGGGCAGCAGCCAAGGTGTTCTCAAGAGAACCAGAGTCGAGCCGCTCCGTCTGCATCTGCATAGATGCAGGTAGATTTCGGACCCAGACACGATGCTGATTTGAAATAGTGTCTGCTACATTGATGGAGACGACTTGTCGCATGTAAACTTCAGTCAGGATCCGTTCAAAAATACGACATAATGAAACCACCGCCGATGATAACTGTTCTCCAGGTTGGACAAGCTGTGACTCTTCCGGAGATGTACCGTCCTCACGGAATTCGTAGTCGAAATCTGATGTGGCAGGAGGACGACCTAAGGACGCACTGAGAAAGAGATCCATCATGCGGAGGCTTTTCCACATGCGTTCTCTGGCCCGCCGCTCTCGCGTGCAGAAGAGCGCATTCGTATCTCTCCTATGGATCCCCACCGCATATGCTGCCCGTAGAGCAATCCCAAGATTCATGAAAGCTCCATTCCGTCGACAGGCACCCAGCATGTACATAGAAATCAGGACATACGATTGGATGGTGTAACTGCTGGGAGTCTCCGTAAAAGCTGAAAACGCCAGCTGGCGACCGCTAACAAAGTATTGCTCGGCCAACGTCTGGTTGATATCTGATACCTGCGCACCGATGGCGAGGACGAGATAAAATATTGAGCTTACGGTATCCTCATCTCCAGTTGGATTCTCGACCCAATTGGCAAGCCGGAGGTGGAATTCATTCAGGTCGAACAAATCCAGCAATGGGCTGGTGGCGAGGACATACTGGCGCGCCAATCGCTGGGCTTCATCATTGCTCGGAGGGGGGATTAACAGCCCTGTTTGCGTCGCAGAGCTATTCTGGAAAGCCTCAAGCATTGAATGGCGCGAGCTATCCTCAGTAAATTCACAGTTGCCAATACAAGAAGACACAATGCGGCGAACGCTCTGGAGAAACGACAGACTCGCTGAGTCACCAATATACATAAACTTTCCCTGACCATCACGAAGCAGTCTGGTCACTTTTGGGACTGGTGCCGTCCCCTCCTTATCATCTGCGGCTTGTTGGTCCAGGTTGGCACTGTGGTCTTCAAGCGAATTCAATAGGCGGTCCATAGCGGTCTGCCTTTGCGGTGTCGGTACCATATGCTCGTTCAGTAGCATGGTCTCCTTCGAGTTGTTATTCGGTCGAAGCAGACGGGCCGATTTGTCTGAGAAATAGCACTCAGACTCTTTGTGGCGTTGTACGCATATCGTACATGGCTGTTCTCCGTTGCATTTCTGCTTCCTTCGCTTACAGCTGTCACATGCTCTCCTGCATCGAAGCCGAGCTCCAGGAGTAGTACTAGCTTTTGGCATAATGACCAGACGGCCTCTCAAGCTTGTAAATCTTGACTACTAAGCTAGTATTTGTTGTCCGTCTAAGGCACTGCCATCGGAGCGGGGAATTCAGGACTGCCGGAGCTGGCCGTGTAGGGTCAACACGGCGATCAAGATGAAACCCTGACTGTCTAGCTGAGGTCTGTGGCAGACATAACATCCCTTCCCCAGCGACCGAATAGACCAAGGGAAGGCCGACAGGAATATCAATGTGAGGAATGGAAAAGAGAGGATTTGCTACGGAGTACTTTCCCCGGCCTTTGAGCGGAGTAGCTTGCTGACTAAGATGACGGCCTGATTTCTACTTCTACTCCTGGCATTACTCTTTCGTACGGTGATGAACTCATTGCAGCGGGAATCAGCTGAATAAACAACTTCAGATTTGTGAATGAACAATCAACTATGGCCGGAAAGAAACAATCTTTCCCCAGGTGTCGGCAGTGCCCCAGATTCCATGACGCAAGCATGAAAGCTGTACAATCTGGCTATGGTCAACGAACAGGTTGACATCGATGCCAAACTCCCGGATATACCAGTTGAACACTTTTGGATCTGCTGCCTCAAACATGACCCTCTCCGGGGGCAGCTCTTTCATGATCTTGGACACCACATCGGTCCGCCACGACTGCACGTTTTCCGTGATCCCCTCGGACTCAATCATCAAGCGTTCCACACCGGCATCCAGAAATTTGTGACCCAAGCTAACCAGCTTGCCTGGGTCGGAGGTACCAATTGCTTCCAGTTCGGAGGCGGGGGTATCACCTCCAGCGCCGAATTGGATGCCCAGTTCAGGTTTCGCTGTCAACTTGTAGGAATGAACTTTGTCGACCAGTCGAAGCCAATCTTCTTCTGGGAATGACAAAAAGCCCGATGACAGCTCTATCACGTCAAATCTGGAAGATCACGAGTATTAGACGTGGGACAGTCAACATAGAAGATCAGGAAGAATGGCCGACAAACCCTAATTCTTTGCATTTTTGAAGGTATTTGTCAAACACGGCATTGGGGTCCGGATGGGTAAGAAGATGCTCAGCCCATCCCCCCTGTGTTTGTAATTACGCGATTAGAAGAACAAGGATATTTTCCTTGAGGGCTACAGGAGACTCACTGTTGAGACATAAACCCCATGTTCATGGGCAAGGTTAATCAATTCCCTGAGGGACTTCTCCTGGAATAGAGAGAAAGATCCTGACAATATCAGCGACGTGCGCTCTCGTACGAGCACTTGGACCCTACCTCCGGCGAATTTCAGGCCATCCACATGCGTGTCCATACTACCGAAGGTGTCAATAGTGTCTCCTCCCGTCCGATACACATCGTTAGGACTTACGTCTCCAGCACATCCGCCAGGTATCTTTTCCCCATTACCTAGAGTGCAATACACCACTTAGATTGCGTATTCCGTGGATGACAGGGTACCATCCTGGACACAGCCTACCGAATAGTAGGGCCCTCGGATTTCCGTGACGCCCTTGGTCCTTGGCTTTGGGGGTCGCGGGTTGGACCGGGCGAAGCCGAGCCCATTATTTTTGTCCTGAAGCAATGTCACTCCATTGTTTACAGACTTTTTAGTTGACAAGCGTCGATGAGATAGCCCGGTGGACACTGTCACTCTGGGGATTTGTCGTGTGGCAAGGCTCAAGATGTTTCTTGACGAACTGGGAATAACATGAGGTACAGACAACATTGGGACGTAGTAAATTATGTATCCGATAGATGCCTAGTAATGATCAGTTGCTTATCAAACGTTCCTTCTGGACACTTTTGCGCATTGCACTATGTTAAACATCGGGCTTAAATGGTTTCCCGATGTATTCTGTGGAATGAACGGTTCTGACGTAAAACATAGCTCACCTGCGGGACAGAAACAGGGAACATGATCGACGTCTACGTGCTGCAACAATCAACCGCAGTGAAGTAAACACGGTAAACGTGGGACAGAGTTGCATACCAGTGACGTCATACTCGGTGAACAAAGGAAGATGCCCCAAAGCTTTTGGAAACAAGATGCAAGAGAATGCTAGAGCTTCTACAGCAGATTCCATTCTGCTATGCCCATGATCCTCAGCTTCTCCTGTCGTAGGAGTAGTTATAGAACTGGGTGTGCTAGTTGGTTACCTATTTGGGTTGGTCATCAGTTTATGCATCCTGTGCATAACCTTAACGGTTCATATTCATATCCTCGGAAACGGCGGAACACTACGTAGTCGACCATTTCGTATTCAAATGATTGAATAATCCATTTGAACAAATGCAAAGCATCAACACCAGTCTACACTCTACAGAGCACTGAGTCGGATAAGACGGCAACATCGGAGCCGATGGTTCCGCGTCCGATGAAGATATTCGGATGGAGGAGAACTTCCAACAGATGATAACGGTAGAGCACTGCTGTACGGGAAACATGTTTCTGAACCCTTTCCAGTGGTCTCCACACGGGCTGTCCCGTCAAGAACAATTTTCTAGTTTCAACGTTACTGTTCTACATAAAATCTCATTACTCAAAGGTCCGCTATGATTATCTGATCCAATTCCAAGCAGTGATACCGAGGCAAGATTTTAAAGTCGTGTGGAGCTGTGCAGAATGAATTTTTGTTTTTATCCACCAGGTTAAGTCCCCACGGTATCCCGGTACTTGGCGGGACCCAGTCGAGTCGACATTGTACATATTACATTGAATTGGTGATCATTCTTGGGTCATTAGGGAAAGAGATGACAGCACTACCCCACTGGCATTCCTTGGCAGGCGTGGGTCAAGCGGAGTAGAGGCAGCAGACAGGGCTGATAAAATATAAACTGATCCACGAGCCTTTGCTACGGGCAACCCAGGACCCCCGAATATGCATTATTTCGTCATTTTATGCATCCTGACTTCCCTGGAGAGTTGGTCTCCGCCCTTGGCAAGAATTTAGAAGAGGCTAAGAGTAGCTCGGTGTTTCTTCCGATTCCCGATTCCCTTTCGAGGTTTTCTCGTCGGGTGAGAACTGGCCATCTTTGGGCATCTGTCCCGTGCCCATGTCCACGTCACATATTTCTGTCTGCCTTTATCCATTAGATTTCACCCTAGACCTCGAGTATCATCAGATGAGGACTCCTCCATTATCCCGTTCCTTCGGTGCTCCTTCCTTGGCATCGCCACTTCGTTGTACTCGAATATCTCCAATATCTCGCACTACCAAGCGTCCTGATTCTCACAGTCCTTTGGGACTCCAAGGAGGGGTCTTAACATGGTCATCATACTTAGTGGCTTCCCAAGTTCTTGGCAACTGGAGAGAACAGTCAGTAATGAGAAGTTAGAGGGCTTGTGCACCAATGATGTTCGCCTGTGTATTTCCAAACACCACCAACCCCTGAACATGGGTCCAGTAAGATGAAAGAGTTAGCTAAGATGTGCTGCATTCCCTATTTCCTAATGTTATCCACCTAAGCAAAAAAACAAAAAAGGAAAAGTAAAGAAAAGAAAAGGGAAAAAGACAGACAGAAATCAATACCAATACTACCCACGAAGGGAAGCGTGGCCAGTAGTAGCGGACTATACTGCCTCTTAGTCCACCACCTTCTCTTTCCTCCTTCCCTCTTCCTGTTCGCTATCTCACTACTCTGTCCTACTAAAAGACTGGCCGGTTCCTGGTTGGAACGCTGGCTCTAGAGTCCCTCCCCCATCCCCTAGCGTCGTTCTCTTTCCCTGACGAGGATGCACTTTCTCTTCGCTGGCCTTCTATTCTTCACGCTTTGAGTATTTCACGACTGTCCTTCGTTCTTCTCCCCCTCGAGGCTTCGTACGTCCAGTCTTTGCCTGTCGGTCTCTTTTCACCCTGGATTATCTTTATCACGCCCTCATATCCTCCTAACCAGCATCCCCCAGGGTCGTCATGGGGGCTGGTGCCATCCTGGAGCCCTTGGTGGTCATCGTGCTTCTGTTTGGAGGCACTTGGATCAATCGCACCACGGGCTCCCTTTCTCTGGTGCGCAGAGCTCGCCGTCGGTCTGGCGCCTTCTCTCGCGATGGTTCCCCGGATTGGATCGAATCGGGTTTTCCCACGCCAACCGCGAAGGACGGGTTACTCAGTCGTCGACCTCTGTCTCCCTCCGTCCTGCAGCCTGACCAAGATCGATGGCACCAGAGAAAGATTGGCTTCCTCTCGTACACCGTCGAGGTGACGTCTCCGAACACCGTCGTCTTTCAGGATCGCTTCCTGAGTCGCCTGCTTCGAAAGCTCCCCTTCCTAGCTGAATGCTGGTACTGGGCTTTGGTTTATTGGGTATGTTCTCGCCATCTTTATATTTCCTATCAATGGCCTTTACTACTTTTCCCCTTTGTCCAAAGGGCCAGAGAAACACGGAGAGCTGACGGGTATGGAACAATATAGACATACCAATTGGGTCGGGCCTTTACAGCAGTCACACTCCGGGAAGGAACTGTGGATGTGGCAAGGAAGCATGCGCTGCAGTTGATTCGCATCGAAGAAGCACTCGGAATATTCTGCGAAGTGCCAATTCAGCAGTTTTTCCTCCGACATCCTCAACTTATGATATGGACCAATTGGATATACTCCTTCATCCACATCCCCGGCACAATTGCTTTTCTCGTTTGGCTCTACTACTACACCACCACGCGCAATAGGTTCGATGAATCGCAACCAGGAAATCCCCGAGGCCTCCTGAGCCGTTCACCTGCTGGCCCGCATCTTTACCAAGCGCGACGGCGGACACTGGCCGTGTGCAATCTCCTTGCCTTCGTGGTCTTTACCTTGTGGCCATGCATGCCACCTCGCCTGTTGAGCGACAAGAATGCGGAGGGCCCGGACAGTGAATTGGGACGCAGCTATGGATTCGTGGACACAGTACACGGAGTGAACGGTGCCGGTAGTGTGTGGACAGAGAATCGGTTCTGTAATCAATATGGTACGGAACCCCCCGAATCATTTTACCACTTGTTGGGGATTTTGTTAATGGAGATCTTCAAGCGGCCATGCCATCGTTGCATTTTGGGTACTCCCTCATGATCGGACTGACCATTATGACAATCCCGCTGCCACCGCATCACCGCCGTTCTATTGGGATAACCCGGTTGTTTGGGCTGAGGATTCCGTCATGGCGGCGCCTGGCCTGTCTGGCTGTGGGTTTTTCCTACTCACTCATAATTCTGACGGCGATCATCGCCACGGCAAACCATTTCATTCTGGATGCGGTTGCCGGTGCATTTGTGTGTGCGCTGGGATGGAAGTTCAACAGCATCTTGCTGAATCTGTTGCCGTTGGAAGACTACTTCCTCTGGGTGGTCCGCATACATAAGCCAGAACCAACGGCGGTGGACGGCCTGGGAGACGTTGATGGATGGGTCGACGACGATCCGTCCGAATATGCCCCCTGGTCCTGATAATGTGGAGGCTGGAACCCACGCACCACGGACCATTTTTCTCTTTGACAACGGTGATACCCTGGTAGTATATGATAGCCTTCCATACTCAACTGATCCTTTCACGATCCCCTGAGACGCCTTTATCTTTATCATGAACACATGTATCTATAGACATCCTCCTTCAGGACGTCCTAATATAATGAAATCCATATTTATCGCAGTTGAGCACGACCTGCACGTGCAGAACTGTCCTCTACTGGACAACAGGAAGGCTGAGATGGCTCGACGTGTGGACAGAACGTTGTTTGGGGCAAAACTCCAATGTTGGGAGGATAAAACTGTAGGCGGTGGTGCTCCGAGCCGTATACCATACTAGGTATACCTTGGTACGCAGCAAACTCGACTAGTGGCCGATTATTACTCTATATATTCCCTCCGAATGGGATCATGGCAACCCATTCTACAACTGCTTTGGGCCTCCCTGTATATGAGTGTAACAGTGCTGCAGGGCTGTGAGATTGAGGTTGACATTAGCCGAGATGCATCAGGTCGCAGTGAATTCTACCATGGCACTCTGGTGTCATAAAATCCCCGTCACTGGTAGAACTTTCTACTCGGGAGAAAATAGCGAGGGACTGATTGTCAAATACTACCATGTCTTTTATCTATCCAGATGCTGGTCTTCGTCTTGTGATCGGTGAATACTATATCTCTGGGCTGTACCATTGCCATTGTCTGGGCAACCTTAACTTTCCTTTTTTGCTGTTTCTTTTCTTCTTTTTTCTGGTTGTAAACATTCATCTGTAGAAGTATTTAATGCAAACCGAGAGTATTAACTTGAATGTTTCAATAATATCACTAAACCGATATGTACAAACATACATTCATTCATACGGATTTAGAGATCACAGAAATAAGAAACTATACTGTTGACAAGAGTATTCAATTCTTCCTTATAATTATAGTAATGATAGTGACAAGGTCATTTACCTGGTACTTTGGTGCTGTGAGTAGTCAGTCTCTGGTCTGCGTAGGACTGCACTTATAGGTAGTGGTGGAATCGTCATCCGCGGGGAGATCCCCAAATAAATGTCCTTTAATAAATCACCACCGCTCAAGTTTCTCTCTCTCGCACTTCCCCTCTTCCCCCGACTATTATTGAGACTCTGGCATCTCTCCCCTCCTAACCACTTGTGATTTCACGCAGATCCTTGTGATCGTGGGGTTTTTTTGCCCTTGGCGTTCTCTCCCTGTAAGTGTTACTGTGCCCTTAAACCGTTTGTGGCACCAGGTCAGTCCCTCATTCCCTCGAGACACTTCCAATGAATTTCGCTGAACGTGACCCCTAGGATTTTCTTGTAACCAGCCCATCGCGTTGGTTATCGGGCTGTACATTCATCACCGTCGATATCTACTGCGGCGCGTCCATCGTTGTGCACCTTGTGATTCTTTTCCATCGACTGTCTACCGTCGACCTGGGAGAGGTCTTGAAAACTAGCCTTCTTTACGTGTTTCTTTGACGGCGACTCTGTTTGGGGGTCGGTCGTGGCTGTGGTGCGGTGTCTCCGCGTTTGAGCGGTTGGGGAATGCCGTTTTCCATCCTCTCTCCTGGCTCGACCATCATTTCTTTCGATTCTATTGCCCGCAGTGTGATCTAGGGCGCTCTATACGTCTGGTTTTGTCGACCCAGGAGTGTTGGATCTCTTGGTGGTCGTCTCCCTCACCCCTTGGCGCTTGGACTGCTGCACGTCGCGTGAGATCTACGGGTCTACCGTTGCAACCGAGTGGTTAACGGACGGTTGTCTGCGTGGTTGACAAGATCCGAGACTAGTATCCTCATCAGTGCCACTACGTGGTGGATTAAATCAGTCGTGGTTGACTTTTTTTTAAATTTCTTTTCTTGGGGTACTCTCGCTGGGCGTTGCGTCATTTGTGGTGTCTGCTTTTCTCCAAGCGCACGCGTTGTTCGACTTCCCGCCTCCCGGCGTCGCGACCTTCTCCACCACTTCTCTCGTTCACTCACTCTCTTTCTTTCCCTCTCCCTCTCCTTCTCCCACTCCCACTCTCCCCCTCTTTCCCCACCACATTCCTTCTCTTCCCATTGGGAAAAAGCTTTGGTGTCTTTCATCTCCTTCTTCTACAATTTATTGAGCTCTGTTGCGCATCATGGCCGAAGAGTCCCCTGCCGCATCGGCGCTCGCTGGTGAGTCGTCGGTTGAGTGCGCTCCTGCCGATGCCAACATTGATGCTGCCGAATCGGTGCCTGGAGCTGCCAAAGAGAGCAAAGCGGAGGCAGCCAATGGATCAGAGGAAAAACCATCTGGTAAGCGTCCCTGTCCCCCGACGACACTAGCCTTCTTGGGACGATTCAGAGAAGTGGGTGGTCCGTGGGCGTGAGCGCTGACAGATGTTCATTTCCCACTAGACGATGCGACTGGCTCTGTTGAAAAGAATCAGCCAACGGAAGCCCCAACTGATGAACCCAACGCGCCCGCGGAGTCCACTGACGCGAAAGAGTCCACCGAGGCTGCTGCCGCCCCGGCTGAGCTTGAAGCCGCTCCCGCCCGAGACACCAATGGAGCTCCAGGATCGACCAAGAAATCCGGTAGTTCCAAGCGTAAATCCACTGGCACCGCTCCGGAACACAAGTCCAAGCTTAGCAGGAAGAAGTCGCAGGTTCGCATCACCCACCTGAACGCAAAACCGGGGGAGTACTATCTCGCGCGTCTTCGAAGCTATCCCCCATGGCCATCCATCGTCTGCGATGAAGAGATGCTTCCTCAAAGCCTGTTGAGCTCGCGTCCTGTGAGCGCTCAGCGGCCCGATGGTACTTATAGGGACGACTACGCTGATGGGGGCAAGCGCGCTCACGAGAGAACCTTCCCCATCATGTTCTTTGACACCAACGAATTGTGAGTACCATAATTTCCCCCTGTAGTGCCCCGCGCGACTCGGCTGTACTAATGGCTACGTTGCAGCGCTTGGGTCACGAATACGGACCTGACTCCTCTGGATCCCAACACCTGCAAGGATGTACCCGAGAAAGGTAAGACGAAATCGCTCGTGGCGGCTTACGCGGTGGCAGCTGAAGGCAACGACCTCCAATATTTTAAGACCCTGCTGGCAGATCACCAACGTGCCATGGAGCAGGAGCAGGAGGAGCGTGAAGCCAAGCAGGCCGCAAAGGCTGCCTCTAAAGCTGAAAGAGAAGCCAAGAAAAACAAGCGTAAGAGCATGGAGATAATCGATGATGAGGATGCGGATATGGAAGATGCAGGCGAGAAGAAGTCGAAGAGCTCGAAGAAACGAAAGAAGGATGCTGAGGCCGAAGGTGACGAGAAAGTGAGTGATCTCATGATGCCCGTCTTGGATGCATCATAGACTGACTCCTGCGATCTTAGCCTGCTAAGACGCCGAAGACCGCCACCAAATTGAAATTAACTACTCCCAAGACGCCAGCAAGTGAAAAGAAAGCCCCTGCTTCGGGTAAGGCCAAGCAGACCGCCAGCAACAGGAAATCTGACAAGACCGGCGAAGAGGAGAAAGAAGGAACCCCTGGGGCGTCCAAGGGACCCGAAAAGAAGGTGAACCCCGAAGAGGCAAAGGACAGGAAGGAGAAAGAAAGTAGGACCACCTCCCATAGCCCGCGCAGGGCTTCATTGGCTAACCTGGATCAGTTCTTTTCGTTCGCCACAAGCTCCAAAAGGGCTTCATTTCTCGCGACCAGCCCCCCAAGGAGGAGGAAATGACCACGATGTCCGGCTACTTTACCAAGCTGGAGAACTACGGCGATTTGGAGGTGGCAATCATTCGTGCCACCAAGATCAACAAGGTCCTGAAGATGATCGTGAGGCTTAGCTCCATCCCGCGTGACGAGGAATTCCAGTTCCGACGCCGTGCCATGGACCTTTTGTCCAAGTGGAAGACCGTGCTTGACGCGGATGCCCCGGCGAGTGCTGCCGAGGATAAGGACAAGGACGACAAACTCAAGGCTAACGGTGTCCACAAGGAAGACAGCGTAGACACCCCTGTGAGGGCTGATACCGAGGGTGAAAAGGAAGACGAGCCGAAGAACGAACAGGATACTGCTGAGCCTCAGGACGAACCGATGGCCGATGCTGCGGAAAAGCCGCAGGCCCCCGAGCCAGCGAAGGAGGAATCCGAACCAGCGGGACCCAAGGACGAAGCGCCCGCGGCAGAGAAGGCTCCCGAAGACAAGGCAAAAGACGAAGCCATCGTGGGAGAGAAAGCGGAGGAAAAAGCCGAAAAGGCGGCGGAAGCAACTGCGTAGGTCTGAGGCGGCTTATATTGGCCTAGATCAATGTTTTTCCTCGTTTCTTTCCTTTATTTTTGTGTTTCCTATTTAATTTCTCCCTCACTGGCATGTCTAGTTCGCGTAGTTTTGTCTCCTACAGACCTTTTGTGTCGCTACTGTTGTATCTCGCCCTGCTTTCTTAATTGTCTGTTTTTCCGTTTTTGGGTTGAGCAACGAAGCCGGAAATCTCACCAATCCAAGGGGGAAAAAAGTCTTTGACTTGTTTATCGTTTTCCTAAGTATCTTTCGATTCCTCTCTCGCTTGCCATCTGTACATCTTCTCCTTCCCCGCTACATGGCCCAGGGTACGATGGGGAGTCGGGATTATGAAGCCAACCCGAGAAAATACTATCCAAAGCTGCATGAAAGTATTGATTGGTGGTTCTCGAGGGTGGACTCTCGATTGATTCCGATGAAGACAGATAGATCCCGGACGTGAGGTCCATATTCCACCATTTCCCTTCTCTTCTCCGTCTCTCTGCTGGAAAACCATTTCGCGTTTTATGAATGGAGATTCTGGATCGGGCTTTTCTTTTCTTTCCCTTTTATCTAGTTTATGGCTTTATCAAGAATGTGGATTCCACCTCGATTGTGATCGATGCAGATACTCCAGATGTGAGTTGTCTGATACGTGATTTTTTGTCCGCGTTTTATTTTTTGGGGCCTTGGATTTGATCGGGAATTGCACGTACACCGTACACAAGAAATATGAGCCGTCAGTCTAGTATTTACATTTGAATTGTCCACATCGTAGTCGTTCATGTCCTTCCCTTCGTGAGGAGTTCTATCGTCTATAAAGCTATCTGATACGTCAATTCCGCCCATTCCCATGAAATGAAAGAGAACGAGAAGAGACCCATGAGGAAAAGTAAAAGGAAAGTGTCGTGCAATATAATATAGCCAAGCCATGATTTGTGCACCTGAGTGTCCAGATAAAAGAAACACAAAGAACAATTACATATGTAGAATATGCTTCTCTGCCGTATACATTAATGTAGTAGGAAAGGGGTCAAAAGCCAATGGATGAGAAGTTCAAGATGGGGAGGTATGTCCCTCATCCACTGCCACAACGGTCACCACGGCGATATCATCAACCTTGCCGCCACGGTACCAGTCGCCGGGATAATAACGCTGAGCTTCTTTGGCAAAGGGACCATCGCGCCGGAAGTCCAAGCTGGCGAGCTTCGCTTCTCCTGCAATGGTGGCTGCGAGTAAGGATTGTAGAGTGTAGATCTGGTCGCGGGGATGAGAGGAAGAAGAGGGAGACGAAGAAGGGTCGGAGGATGAAAAAGAAGGAATCAGAGATGTAAGTCCCTCTGGACTTGTGAGATGGGCCAGCTCGTCTGAGGGTTTGATCCCTAGGGTCTCGGTGGCGGTCCACGCCCCCGTCAAGACCATCCGGTTGGTGACTAGTTTCAGGATATCTTGATTATTGAGATTGTCGAAGACACCGTCGGTAGCGAGCACAAGAACGTCACCGTGCTGCATCTGGAGGTTTGTTACGCCCGCATCGCGCGGGGAATCCTCCAGGTAGGCACCGCCGAAGATGGATGCTTGGGTGCGCATGCGCGGAGGGATAATACTGAGTTGATAGGGGGTATTGAAGCCATGGGTCTGTGGAATCGAGTAGTGATGCACGGCGGCGAGACGTAGCAGGACAGAGCCGGAGTCTCCCAGGTTGGCCAGTTCGACTCGTCCATCGGACAGTCCCACGCCCACCGAGGCCGTGCTGCCTCCTGCCCGGATGGTCTTGTCGGCCACCACCTGGTCGTATCCCGTCTGCAGGAGACCCTTCGCCCGTAGCTGCTCCGGGGGTTTGTCCCAGCCCAGGGCCGACTCGGCCATGTAATAGCATAGGGCATGCGAGAAGTCGGCCGGGTCGACTTTGGACTCGGACCAGCCCCCAACACCGTCTGCCACCGCGAAGGCGACGGCCCCGGGGTATTCTCGTCGTCCGACTCTGCTCACGAAGAAGGCATCCTCGCCGCTGTCTGGCCTCCACTTTCGTCGGATAGCGGGATCATCGGTGTCTACGGCCACGCCCACCGCATGGAGATCCGGAGTGAAGTCGTACGTGTTCGTTACTGGGCGAAATCGACGGCCTTTGCCGGACGACGAGGCGGCTATACGATAGGAAATTCGAGGGGCTTCGAGACCCAGGCGTGAGGTCGAGTGGAATGGTCTAGAGAATGGGGGGTTTGAAGCGGTAGACGAGACGGATAAAGTGGAGGATAGGAAGAAACAGGAGGCGAATCGATCAGCGACGGTGGTCCTGCAGACAGAGCTGTAGACTCTATAGTGAGCGAGTAGCATTATGGGTGCAGCGATCCAATTGCCCCAGTCTTGTAAGATATATATATTTTATCTAGACACAGAGGAAGTGACAAAAGGGTTTTCTTTTTTCTTTTCTTTCATGAACGAGAAATTGGTTGATCACCCGCAAGGGAGACAATGACGAGATTCATGGTCTCATCATGGTCGAGAGAGATAAACTGGTGGTGGTGTTGAAGATAAATGAAAGGGATTTTTATCTCCGCCAAATTTCCTCCGTCTTTTCCTCCTCAGCCACCGCATCCCGCCATTTCTCCCTCCACTCGCTCATCCTTTCCTTTGCCTGGATTCAACAAGATTCATCTCTGAATCTTTCTTTTTCCTTTGAGATCTCCTTCTCCATCCTCTCGCCCATCATGATGCACCCATCGAGACAGGCGTACGTGGAGGAGGCCAAGGTAGGAATCCCCTCCAGTGTCCCTCTTATTTTTCTGTGAATATGTGCATACCGTGTTAGTATCGCGAAGTCAATCTTACTGACGTCGCGATCCTTGGAAATTTCTAGGATATCGACATGGGCATTGATCTGGCCAACCTGCGTAAGTGATCATCGTACCACATCTCTAATCTATGAAGGAGATCTAACGTGTTGTATGGTGTAATCCAGCCATCGACCACGACTATGAACTCCCCTCGGCTGCCGCAGGGATTCCGGCCGAACGAGCGTCTGCCATTCTTTCTCAGTTCGAAAGGAAACGAAAGGCTGCGGCCATGGCGGTGCCGACAGACGATGCAAGAGTGCGTGCGCGATTGCGAGAGATTGGAGAGCCCATCACACTATTTGGAGAAGGCCCTGTGGATCGTCGAGATCGGCTGCGAGAGCTGTTGACCGATCTGGCGGAGAGACAGGAAGACGATGATGTGACTATGCGAGAGGCAATGGCAGGAGAGGCCGAAGAAGAGGAGGAGGAAGCCGAGCAGCAGGAGGAGTTCTACACTGAGGGGTCAGAGGATCTATTGAATGCCCGAAAGGCGATTGCGCACTTCTCTCTCCCCCGCGCAAAGGCGCGCGTGGCCCGTTTGAGGGAGGAGTCGACGATTCCCCTCCGGACGCATATCAAGCACCGTAAGGCGATCAAGGAGAAGTTGCATGGATTTGATCTCTACGGGTCCCAGATCGCCGGCGATCGTCCCGTCAGCATCTGTCGATTCGCGCCGGATGGACAGACCATCGCAACGGGGAACTGGGGCGGTAGCATCCGCCTGCTGACCGTACCGAGCCTGGAGGAGCAGCGGTCCCTCAAGGCGCATACGGACCGCGTTGGAGGCCTGTCCTGGTTTCCCGGGGCTACGCTCCCGAGGTCAGGGGTGTCCCCATCGACCGTCAACCTGGTGTCTGGTGGCGGCGAAGGGAACGTATGCTTGTGGTCCCTCGAGAAGGACGAGCCGTTGGCGACCCTGTCAGGACACTCTGGTCGGGTGTGCCGGACAGAGTTCCACCCGTCGGGTCGATACGTCGCGTCCGCTTCTTTCGATACAACTTGGCGCTTGTGGGATGTAGAAACGAGCGCTGAGCTGCTGCTCCAGGAAGGCCATTCCCGGGAGGTCTACACATGCGCCTTCAACAACGATGGCTCTCTGATGGCCAGTGGGGGACTGGACAGCATCGGACGAATATGGGACCTTCGGTCGGGCCGAACAGTGATGATCCTCGAAGGTCACGTCCGGGAAATCTACGGTCTGGACTGGGGCGTCGACGGATACCGAGTGCTGTCGGCCTCCGGCGACGGATGGGTTAAGTGCTGGGATCTACGCCAGGTGCGAAGCACGGGGGGCATTGGAGCACACAAGAGCGTGGTGTCCGATGTACGATGGTATAAAGGCACGGAGTCGGCGGCATCCTGCCTGCCGTCGCTGGACGGAACGAATGGACACATGGAGGTGGACGGCGCAACAATGACCTCGAGCGATCCGCCGTCGGCCCCGGTGCAACCAAGGAAGTCGGGCACGTTCTTCGTGAGCAGTGGATTCGACAAGAATGTCAACGTCTTTAGCGCGGATGACTGGTCGCTGGTGAAGACGCTGAGCGGCCATGCAGGGAATGTTCTTAGCACGGACATCAGCAATGATGCAAAGTGGATTGCCAGCTGTGGACATGACCGCACGGTGAAACTCTGGGGCATCGAGTGAGGACCGATGATGGATGACGGATCCTGAACCTGATTATATTCCGAGACTGATTCTTGCCCCGTCCGCCGCAAAGACCGCACTACGTATCATCCCTGGGGGTTGGAATTGACCTCGCCATGCATCGGATTTCACAGAGGAGATGGATTCCAGCGAGGAAGTTGGGTCACCGGCCGAGGAGATCCGGACAAAGCTGGCGACCTGCTACGGAGATGGAGGAACCATCAAGCCAGCAACAAGGTCGCTGGATACGTGTACTATCCGATATATCTGGGGATATAGCTAGCTAATCGGTGCCTTTGTCTTTCCATAGAGTCAATGTTAATGAATCAATGAAGACTGCATATGAAGGACTGCCTGCATTTCTCCGACCCAAAAAAAAAAAAAAAAAAAAAAAAAACATCTCAGACTGGAGATATGACGTAATATCGGAGATTTTTCTCCCGGGAGGCTGACTCATCTGGTTTACATAACTCACCGTTCGTGAATTAGTTAACTATTTAGTAGTCAACGATCAGTCGAATCTCTGCTGAACAAAACTTCATCAGCAGCAGTTTGAGCAAGATGACGGCAACTTTCCGCTCACAGATACTGCTTCAGCAGCTCTCATTCTCCTCTTATACGACGAGACCGAGCACCCGCGGAGCATGCCTCGTCTGCCAACTACGATCTCAATATCACCTCTCACCCGGTCGTCGTCGTCCATCCTCACGCATCCTGAATCTCCAACATGCACCGCAGCGTCGATTCGCAACGGCTTCCACCCACGGTTCATCCCCAGACTCCTCCGCCTCTGCCCCCAAGAGCGGCTCTGTCCCAGACATCCGCAATCACTACACGATCTTCCCAAAAACCCTGCCGGGTGGACCACCCCCAGGATCGCCATTCGATATCACTCTGGGTGACCTCCGTCGGGAATTCCTCCAACTCCAAGGCATCAGCCATCCGGACAAGTACCCTCCGGGGCAGGCGAAACAGCGGGCCGAGGCCTTCTCGAGACTCATCAACGAGGCGTACCGCACGCTGGCGGACCCGCTGCTACGGGCCCAGTACCTTCTGCGTGAGATGCACGGGATCGACGTGACGGCGGAAGACGGAGCCACGAAGCATGCGCTCGACGCGCAGACGCTGATGGAGGTGATGGAAGTGCAGGAGACGATCGAGGAGGTGAGCGGGGACGCCGATGCCGAGGCCAAAATCGCGCAGCTAAAGACGGACAATACGGTGCGGGTGACGGATGGGGTACGGCAGCTGGCGGCGGCGTTTGATAGCGGCGATATCGAGATGGCGCGGCGGGAATGCGTACGGCTGAAGTTCTGGTACAATGTCGGGGAGGCGTTAAAGGAATGGGAACCGGGCATGACGGAGCTTCGGTTGGTTCATTGATTCTACGAGATTATAACCGAGATATGCCACGTTATATAAGGGAGTATATCGGGGAGGATTGTATCTATAGAGAAAAAGATGTATATGAGTTCTTGGATTCCTCGTTTTGAATCGGAATCACTTCATCAAAATGCCGGAAAACTTCCCCCCAAGCCATGGGCTCACAATGTCATATAAGTCGAATGAGCTGGCAGGTCTATGGCTTCAACGATGATGACATGACGGCCGCTCTGATGGGGGCTTTGGCTCTGGCTCAGTACGTAGTGGCATCTCAAGCACGAAGCGCAGCTGGATGGACAGTTCAGAATCTCAGTTGATGAGCATCTCATATAGCTTTAAAGATATGCTCTTTTTCTAGAGTAATGTGCTATTCAGTAGTCATACAAGTGCTTTGATTACTTGCAGCACGATCGTATGCAATCTATAGCTTTCATTTCTACACATAGCCATCCAAAAACGGCAACAATACATTCATTATCGTAAATAATGAAGACAAAATCGCCATCGATGACAGGAAAATACACTGCATCGTGGTGCCTTCATGGATGCCTCATTCTATAAAGTAATCATGTCGCCAACACTGTGATCTCTACAGGGAGATTCGATTCATCCATTCCATACCATTCCAGTCTCCTTTCTTTTCTTTTGTTTTCTTTCCTTTTTTCTCTCTAGATCCTGCTCAATGCAATGCTTACATCCTGTTCCTTGATCAGACATGGGGTCCATCGGGAATCCACCTGCTGACCGCCAGTTCGTCTCCCGCCCCTGAAATGAGCAAGCTGATGAAAACTCGTAAAAATCCAGTCCCAACCATCCTAGTTATAATCCTCCCAAAAGTACGAAGTACATGGACACAGTACGCCGTAATAACTCGTAGAATGGCTAGTGGATCACATCATGCGAGCTCGCTCCGTTGGGTCTGTAAGGACAGGAGGAATTACGACAATCGGGCAACAAACGGCCCAACACTCCATTATTGAGGAATCAGTCGTAGACCGAGTGACCGACTTCCCCGCAGTAGGAACTTGCATCGTCTGGCGGTTGAGCTGTCGTCATACCATGCCCATCCAATGCGCCGTGAAGCATCGAGGTGGCTGCACTGCGAGAAACACTGACTGAACCTTCCGTGGATCATTACTCTGTACTCTCTCTTCCCCTCTGTGTGGGCTGCGACTAGCCGATCCGCTCCTTATGCACCTAAGGAGAAAGTCCGTGGCTAGTGTTGTGATAAGGGGAACCCTTTTGTTGGCATCGCGACAAAGCTGGCGGTCAATCCGGCCCCTCTCTCGTGAGAGCTCCCCTCAGAGTTGCACACGTAGCCGACTATAACATCCTGACCCAGTTAGTCGGCTTGTGCGCTTGCAGCCTCATTGATCCAGGGGGGCCTGGTTGTATGGGAATGGTGGAAACGTTCCAAGGCGTTTTGCGAATTTTGGTGGAGGGATCTGGTAGAGATGATATGATAGTATAAAATTAATATAGATCCAGAAATCCAGGATCATTTGACTTGCTTACGTTGTATTCCGCCGTTCGATTCTTGCCCTCGTTTTCCATTGAATTGCTATAGGACTGTCCATGGAGGCTTGTCGGGATTACAGCAGGTGAGTGAATGGTCCAATACTGATATCGTCGTTTCGCCTTCGTCTCTTCCTCCATGTCTCCCTGTATCTTACTCCTTCCCTGCGCTTTGAGGATCCAAAATCTCCCACACAATTTATTCTTATACCAACCATGACAGTGTGGCCACTGACGCTGCCAATGCTTTGGAATACAGCATCATCCAGTCACCGCCATTCACCTTCCTTGTCGGGGCGAATCACACCAAGCTGACCGTTCAGACTGGTCTCGCCCGTCATGTCTCGAAACCATTGGATCACCTCATGAACAGCGGCCTGACGCGCGAATCCAAACATCACATTGCCATGCTGGAGGAAGAGGATGTCGAGACTTTCGTCGCCTTCTGCGAGTACGCCTACACCGGCGATTACAGCGTGCCTCCCCCAGGATCCCGCGAGGAGGACCAGGAGACGAAGGTGGTCAACAATCCCTTCAGGGCCGTGTTCGACGACGACCCCATATCGCCATCGCTTTCACCATTCATCCCGCCTCCGGGTCCGAAGCCCACGGGGGGTTTTCCGGGCCAGGAGCCGGTCAAGCAGGACGACGATGGATTGCTGCAGGGTGAAAATGCTCCTCACGCAGTGTATCCCGGTGATGACCCGAGGGAATGCACTACCCCGACTGGGGACAACTCTATGGCCCCTCTCAGGTCGGATTCAGCAGCTAGTGGCTATGAAGAGGCGGACCAGCCACCTCCTGGCACTACTCCGGCTGCAGAAGATGACTTCAGTACGGGCGCCGCCACGACCGAAGGAAAGAATCCAAAAAGGAACAAAAAAGACAAGAAGAAGCAGAACCCCACCTCGACGGAGGAACCGGCGTCCAATCTGACACCACCGTCTACCCCTCCTCCTGCTGACCACACCCATGGAGGAGGGAATCCCACGATTGCCGACGACGCTGCAGAGCCGGATGCATGGAAGAGTCAAGAACAACCCGCGGATCCTGTTGATGCAGCAGAACCGACTGCCACTGGCTCATCCCTCATGGAAAAGGGTTGGCAGCCTGTACCCACTCCATCGGAAGCCAGGACGGCAGACAATGTGAAGACAGACGAGAGCCAGGAGATCGGCAGGGGCTATGAAGCCTATGAACAGGGGGCTGGGATACGGTCTACGATTGACACTTCATTTGCCAAGCAGTACGATTTCTCTAGCCATCACGAGAAAGGCATCAATCTTTGGGATGAATTTACTGCCATCGATTATGCTGACTCTCGCATCACAAATGGGACTAGGCCTCCCAGTTCCATGTCGAGGGAGACGAGCAATTCAGACCTGCCGTATCTTATCTTCCATGCCAAGCTCTACGTCTTCGCAACACGCTATTTGATTCCAGCCCTGGCCCAATTATGCCTGCGCAAGCTTCATAGGGACCTCCTGCATCTGGATTTCCCCGATAATGCCCAACCAGAGAACCTATGCCAGGAAAACTCTTCCCTGAAGGCACGAATGATTCTTGACCTCCTCCACTACACCTACACCAGAACCACTCGTCTCGAGCCCATCTCGCCCACCTCTGCCACTCAGCTTCGAGAGAATGAGCTGCGAAAGTTGGTGATCCATTATGCCGCATGCAAAGTGCGGGACCTTGCGAAACATTGCCCGCCAATAGAACCTACGGTGGGCTCTCCTTCAGGTTGGCGAGAGAAGCCTTCAGCGCGAGGGATGCGAGCGCTTTTGGACTCAACGACCGAACTGGCCTCTGATCTGGTCTATCGAATGATGTGAATCCTTTCTTTCCATCGTTATGTTTACCATAGTCCTCTTCTGCCCGGCATGTACATCCTTCAGCCCAAAGCTACCGAAGAATATCTACCACAGTAGCATCGTGTCCCAGAATGTCGAACAAATGATAGGCGCGGTTTACTGCCACGCAAGCCGGAGAGATGAGAATTGGTTTGGAATCTGGGCCCATTTCGATTCCTCCGTCGGTCTGCCGCGGCTGCTTACGACAGTAACGGATCTCCTTGCGTGCGCATATCAGGGAAAAATGATTTGCTCCAATTCCTCTTGACGACGATCCTCACCTTGTTTCTGACGGTGTAACGCTAGACAAGTGATCCAAATTAATGTGACTACTCCCTGTAACTTTTTCTTCTGTGCTGTCTGCACCATTAAAATTTGTTTCTGCTGTGCATGGAATTGGATGCTCAGACTTCTATCATGCATTTGCCCTTGCATACGCGCGGTCTTGCTTTTGGCAGGGTGGTTAGAATTGAGTTAGTTCTTCTTTGCAGGAGACAGCTGGTGGGAGAATAGCACTGATGATCCAATTTCAGGGAGGAAACTTTGCCGACACTTTGCCGATTCACGTAGATGCTCTGTCCCTCTGCACCGGCGAAACGCCAGATACGTCGTGGGGATACTACATTGCTTGATCACCACCTTGGATAAACTCTGGAGACTGGAGGGGTTGTTGCGTAAGACCCGGAATCCAGGATCGTAAATCAATTTTAAAGCGGGTTTGGGTGCAACAGGATAGGTATCCAAGCCCGATGTCTGCATTAATGCACAGCCAATGGCAGGAAATAGCCCAGGGAGGAGAGGGGGTGGTCATGAGCCAGTTGTTACTGGGTTCGCCTGCATTTCATCTGTGATGCACGTCATGGGTTCGATTTGATAGTTATAAACCGATATCGATGCCGAGAGCCCCTAAACTGCCAAGAAGGCTGACTGGAATTTGATAATGCCAAGAATGCCACCAATTGAGGTTCGATTATGGCAAGTGTACTCCGTACTTCGTACTGCGTATCGAAAGAGGGGAGGAGCTTGGAGCTGTAAAGCCTGTGATCTTCCCAGCTTCTTCTTGGCTGCAAGTCTTTCTTGGCTTGGCAGATTCCAGGCTGTGTGCCGGCAATACTGAGTAAGATAATGCCGAAGATATAATCTAACAAGATCTTTAACTTCAATTTTTGTCGAACCGGAGATTCTCGTCCTCGCAGGCTCTGATACATAGCCTGTCTTGGCGATGATGGATAACCGAGCAATTGACTTTCGATCTATAGATAGAAGAAGGAAGACTGCATGTAATGGAATGCATCTCGTTCCGTGAGTTCCGTAGGCACCAGCAATTCCAATCGGGTGGACTTTGGCATCACCTGCCAAGCCCGTGACTGCCCTGCCTCTTGCCAAGACTTTCCCTTGTTTCTCCTTATCTTCTCCTGCTTTGTTCCGTCCATCTCATGTCTCATCTCGACAGCTCCTCTTCTGGATGATAAATGTCCCATCATCAGGTAGGAACCAGGACCACCTAACTAGTTCTTACTCACTAGGTCCATCACTGCTAGATGGCTAATTCCTCCCCTTTTCCTTATCTACGAGTGAGCTTTTCTCTCCCAATCACAGCCACTGACAAGCTTGGCGGCGGACCTCCCCGTCGACGATTCGCTGTCGATCTCTGGCTTGGCTGCATCTTCATGGGCGAAACGGGTTTGATACATCCGAGCACGTTGATGCTTTTGTCATTGCTGATTCGATGCCTGAGCTGTACACATACTTATCGGATCCACGCTCCGAGTCGGTATTCGGTTCCCTTGGCGGTAATACTCAACATTCCTGCACCTCGGGTTTCCTGTTGCCTCCCGACTCCTTAGATATGGCCCATATCTCACTAGTCGCAGGCACTAAAATTTCGGCCCGACTCTTTCTGAGGGAATCGTAGGGCCCAGATAAAATTGCGTTACCATTGGAACCGATGTCGATAATCCGTGGATCTCTGGCCCGCTAGATTGGTTGTGGACCTAGGGAACGCCCCAGCCGAAAAAATTAGGCTGCTTGTTTACATCAGCACACTGATATTGACCTTCCAACACAAGCCCTTTTTTTCTTCCTTTTTCTTTTTTGAGAAAATAAGAGCGCCGTTATATTCATATACCACGTGCCAAAACGCACGTGGACTGAGACAGCGTCTTCATTCTGGTTGTTGGCTCAATGTACAAAATGCTATCACAGTATGGCGTATGCTCACATACTTTTTGATACATATTGGGTTTGCATTATGACCCACTGCATCAGAAATAAGTTTTCTTGCCGTTTCCTGAAGATCATGATCCATTTCCGTCTTTCTAGGCATCGATAACCGCTCTTCCAAGACCTACCCTACCCACTTTGGCACCGAAGATCTTCTTCTTCCTCACCCCTTGCCACCGCGCAATTGAACCATTCCACACCCCCTGATATGCATATTTGGAACGGTCCCTAGTCATCCAGCCAATGGTGGGCTCGGATGGCCCTTTGGGGACCGCAAAGATTGCGTTTATAGTGTTCCAGTCTTCATTCCCGGCCCAAAGCCCCAGCCCCTGCTGATGTGTCCTATATAATATTCTAGACTCCTGGGGGCTCTTGGCGTGATCCCTGGGTTTCAACTGCAGAGGGCGATTGGTAGCAGTCTGAAGTTTATGATGCCTTATTCCTGGCTATGTGCATCATAGAGTGGCTAATGCAGAGCCTTTATATGTATGGCCCTCCACTCGAACGCACATCGTTTATGATGCATCCCGATTTCGACCAATTGAGCTCCTTTTTATACTTCACCTTTCTTTCATTCCCTCGACACTCTTGGTCCCACTCTCGGCACTACTTTCATTTTGTCCACTTTGTTGCATAACTCCGTTTCGCTGCGGAGGGCCTTTGATTTTCCTTTTCTTGTCTTTCTTTTTCTTATCAATAGAACTTCTTGGAGACTATTCTATTATAGGATTGATCGGGCTATAAGTTGTGTGCTGATCCCTTTTGGGAGGCAGATAAGCAGATCCTGTCACGCAGACTCACCCTTAAAGAAAACCTTCTTGGACTATTCTTGTTGCTTCTGTTGTCCTCATTGAAGTGCGTCTTTCGGACATTTCTGTCCACCAGTCACATCATATTTTCTTCCCTTCTGCTCTTTCTCGACATTTCTGTAGTCGAAACTTGAATACACCATGTTGGAAATTTATTCATCCCCAGGATCGTCACGGTCAGGTATCACCATTGTTGAGTTTGAAATAGAGAGAAAGTCAGGTCCTGTGGGTATCCGTGAAAGGCTTCGTCATTTCACTTGGGCTTGGTACACCCTTACTATGAGCACTGGTGGTTTGGCACTTCTCATTGCCAGTCAGCCAAACACCTTTACAGGTTTAAAAGAGATTGGACTAGCGATCTACGCCCTCAATCTTCTGTTCTTTTTTCTTGTTTGTTCCTTGATGGCCACGAGGTTTACCTTACATGGTGGAATGCTCGACTCCCTACGCCACGACCGCGAAGGTCTTTTTTTCCCTACTTTCTGGCTATCCATTGCAACTATAATTTCTGGATTACAGCGCTACTTCGGTGACGGAGCGGGAGAATCGTTCGTGATCACCTTGGAGGTGCTTTTCTGGATATATTGTGTATGCACCCTAGCCACTGCAGTCATTCAGTACTCGTTCGTTTTCTCCTACCATCGCTACAGCCTCCAAACCATGATGCCTTCGTGGATTCTTCCAGCCTTCCCTATAATGCTGAGTGGTACCATTGCTTCCGTCATCGGCTCACAGCAGCCGCATCCGTCCGCCATTCCAATTATCCTTGGCGGTATCACCTTCCAAGGCTTGGGATTCTCTATCAGCTTTATGATGTATGCCCACTACATTGGTCGATTGATGGAATCGGGACTTCCCAGCAGTGAACACCGACCAGGCATGTTTATTTGTGTTGGACCTCCAGCCTTCACAGCCCTGGCTCTTGTCGGCATGGCCAAAGGTTTACCGGAAGACTTCAAACTGCTGGATGAGACATACGCAATCGCGGAGGCACGGGTCATCGAGTTGATCGCCATCATAGTAGGCGTGTTCCTCTGGGCCCTGAGCCTGTGGTTCTTCTGCATTGCTTTATTTGCCGTCCTCTGCTCCCGTCCCAAGGCCTTCCATCTCAACTGGTGGGCCATGGTCTTCCCCAACACCGGCTTCACCTTAGCAACCATTACGCTAGGAAACGCACTCCACAGTCGCGCAGTCCAATGGGTCGGCACCGCCATGTCGATTTGTATCGTGTGCATGTTCTTGTTCGTCCTCGTCAACAACGTCCGTGCCGTCATTCGAAAAGACATCATGTTTCCAGGAAAAGATGAAGACATATCAGAATAACCTGGGATACGCATTGCTCATTTCATATCATCTCACACTTTCTATCTTTCTCTCAGCCTTTATATATATATATATTTTATTTTGATTTTCGCTCATTTCATGTCTGTTTTTCTCATCGAAGCCATTCTATACCCCTTTGTCCCTTTTCCATACAGGCATTGTTTCATGTTCTTTTTTCTCCTTTTTCTTTTGCAGCCTTTATCTTGATCTTCATAGGCTACGTGGGCATTGGCGAGGCGTTCAAGCTTGTTCGACCCATATGGTCAGGAACTCTCACTGTCTTTTATATTTTTGATTTCCTTTAGACATGCTTCGGACATCCCTTTGTGGCTACAGATCATAGGGAAATAGAAATAGACAACTTGGCTATGCATTTTACCAATTTTCCCTGTTCCTTAGCGTTGTAATTGGATTTACCTTGTCTATGGCTCACTGCTGGTGGCTGCCCTCGTCTTCATAACCTGATCGCTCGCCCCGGTGCTCTAATGACCTGTCAAATCGTCGACGGTACATACTCCGTACATCCAGCAGTAATGCACGGCTTGCAGTGGCGATGCATGTAACTCTGAACCTTATATGGTAACACTATTGTCATACTTTTCGCGGTAGCCACGTTGTCTATCTAACATCAAAATGATCGTTATGTACAGAGCTACAGTCCAATATCAACTTGGCCCAGTCATCAAGTTCATAGCGACTAAGCAGGCAGTCCCCCCATTTGGGTAGCGATTGTTTTTCGCTCGGCCGAGGAAAACTTCCCCGAGTGGCAAAAACCTTGTCCAGGACAAATTAGGAAACCCAAGACAGGAAATGCGGAACACGACCTTTAAAACCAGAATATCCTTTCACAGTCATCCACCCATCTGCCAATATACCAGCCCCAGACTCCCTGAGAGAAACCTGAATGCATGGACCCAGACTTAACGTTACGGCTAATTCTGGAAGAATAGAAATGACTACGAGGACAGATGCTATACCAATAATTAAAACCAATCTGTTAGGTGATATAATGGACATACGTATTGAGGGAATGGACTTTTCTGAGCTGTGTGTGGACGGGTTGGTTTTAGCCAGCCTGAAAGGGCATTAGTAAGAGCACTCAAAACGTAAGGTAGGTTACACTTACAAGTTCTGTCACTTACTGGGCCTGTCCACGATACAGCTGACAATTAAGCTAGATCTAGACATGCATTTGCATGCTATACTAGATCAACCCCAAATGCCTATACAAAGCAAGAGGGGCAAATCACAGGAGCATGTCCCTTGCGGATCTGGCCTGCGGTGTGGACGATTGTTTTTAGCCAGCCTTTTGACTCTGTCAGCACGAGGACCGCAGAGAAGGGACGGGACAATGCATACAAGCCCTGTCACTTACTGGGCCGGCCCACGGTGTCACGCGTAATGCTCTCAGAGGAATAGCTGAAAGTGAACCGACGAACCTCTCAGACATCCCAGAGGACACAGACTTAGTATAGTCTCAGGTGGTATAATCACATCAAGTCATTTCATGATTGCTCAGGTGCCTACGAAGCCAGCAGGTCAGCGTCAACCTGGAGGAAGGACTCACCCGAAGAAAGCCATGGATGGAGTGCTACTGGCCAGCCTGATTGTCCGAAGCAAACGGAAGGTGAAATCGGACATCATGGGGGAACTCAAAAAAGGACGGACAAGGAGATGTAGGAAGGAAGAGGGAGGAGAAGGCGAGAATGAAGAAAGAGGGGAAGAAGGGGAAAGAAGAGGAAGAAAGAGGAAGAAAGAGGAAAGAACGATGGAGGGAGGCAGCCTTCCCAACTAGGAAGTCGCGATGGGTGTTGGCTGGATTGGGAAGGAGCGTTGAGAAAGAGAGGAAGAGAGAAAAAGAATGAATGAACAAAGACAGCAACTTGGAAGAGACATCCCATCTTTATATTGATTATCCCCTATATACAACAACAGAACCACACAGACCATCCACGGTCATGATGCCCAAATGCCAACTAAAACCTCCGACCTGCGTGCGTCATTCCTTCTACCGCCATTGCTCACTCCACTGACGAGGCGCGAGCCCCCCAGGTGACCATGGCAATGTTTCACCTTCCATGTTCCCTTACAGTTGAAGCACGAGTGTTGCCAGTTGTTGTTGGCTTGGCGTAAACTTCGCCACGTGGTTGGGGGCCAATAACTGAAGCGATGTATGCGGCCTCATACGTGGAGGTCTTCATGATAAGAGTGAGGAGCCCAACGACCGAGGTCAGGCGCGGATAAAGAATTAAATCAATTACGTGGCGGCCGCGTCGTGGTCGCGGTCAACGTCGCCAGTCGAGATGCCCTAAAAAGATCCCTTGCAAGCTGGCCGCGTTCTGAAACACCGCTGTAACTGAGATATCAAATTTCGTAGACGTGCAGAGGCAGCAATTAAGGTGTAACGTCAAACTCAGGCAACTTTACGTCCAACATTGCCGATGCCTCGTCCGACTACGCTGACTATGACGTCGCCTTGTTCATTTTCCCCCGCAGCGTCGCGAAGGCCCCAGCCGGGGGCACCGAATTTGGACAAATCCCGGGCTAATTGAATCACACTTTCGTCGGCAATGACATCGCGACCGACCTGGAGTCGACCGACATCTTCCGTACCCATCGTCATTAGACCAAGCATGATTGGTGCCGCAGCTGGAGTGACGCAGCCGCCTTTCGAGACGACTTCCAACAGCTGATATGCGCATTGCTTTCCAATATCTTCGGGCGCTTGGCCGCCTTCTGGCGGAGATGCGACGTCCGCGGAAAATAAGCATCCAGTTGAGGATTCAGCTACTAATGACAGCCCAAATCCCAGTCCAATTTTCTTCTTGCCCAAAGGCTTAATCTTCTCGGGAGCTGGTACAAGTGGAGCGGGCGATACATCAGAGAAGACGTAGGTGTCGGGGGATAAAGGATTGAGGATTCCACGTGCGGTTTCAATCATTCGTGCGTTGTTGGAGCCTGAAACACCGACCGAATAAGCCACACCGCGGATTCTCTTGATTCTACCTGGATTCATCAGGTGAATGGTTTTTGGCAGCCGGACTTGATGACCGAAGACCAGTTGGACTTCTCCTCCGCCACCTTTGCCGCTGGGCCCGGGGTTGGATCTGCGGAGGACTCGCAGCTCAATATTGTTCCAAATGCCAAATTGGTTATACAGGGGCAGAATGGCGGTCCGCACGCTGTCCACGGACATGTCACCTGCCGGGGTGGAGGATGTAATGACACCGGGTCCCGTAAAGAGAACCTTGACCGGGGCCTTGGAAAAGGGTGCAAGAAGGCAGAGAGGCAGAAGGTAGTAGCTGACGCCGCGGGAACACCCTGCTGGAAGTTCATGCTTGATGACACCACCACTGCTGGCCCCAGCACCAGAGGAGCTTCCCGTAATCAGACCTGGCTTGTAAACCAGGACCGTTCCGGTGTAGGAGATTTCCATCTGAGACCCATTGGTGACTGCTTCCAGTAGGCGGAGAAACGAGATTTCATGTGGAGCAAGGCCGGGGTTCGTAGACGAAGAACGAATTTGAGAAATATGAACCGTCCGACCGGTCAAGGTAGCGAAGACTAAGCGGTACACGAAATTCTTGTGCGAGGTAAACCGGAGAGGGGGTTGGGAAGTTGCCATGATGAAGACAATAGAATTGGAGACTCTCCGGTTCTCCGTCGTGGGAAAACGTGATTGATATCGAACGTAGTTGTTGTATGCCGAACGAGGAGAAAAAAAAAAGGAAAATAAAATATCTCGGCGACACAATTCTTCCGGCCCATGACCGGACTTAAGAACTAGTTATCTCCGAGGTGAATTACTGCATCCTCCAAATTCCTGCAGTTTGACATCATCCCTGACTTCCTCTCGCATCGCTTATTATTTCTTTGGATACTAGCTAGCCGGGTACATTTCCAGACGGTAGGGCTTATAGAAGGACCGGACTGAACCCCTACATAATGCTTCCACCAGCTCTCAACATCCCCAAATGGTAATACTGACCCACCGGCTCTAGCTTTGCATTTTCTTGCCCCTCCCCCACAGCATCTCCCCCAAGGGATCTATCTCCCACGCGTTATCGCGTGGAAAGGATTGCCTCATATGAAACTCACTGATGCGGGATCCACAGGCTTGAAGCCAACTCCCATCTTCTTCAACCACCGGTAAATAACTATTGTGTGTATCATCCGTCCTCTTCCGCCACAGCCGGCTACACCGTGATGATCGTGGGAGGACCCAATGCGCGAACCGACTATCATATCAACTCCACCCCGGAGTTCTTCTACCAGTATCGAGGGTCGATGCTGCTCAAGACAGTCGACACATCCGTGTCGCCCGTCGTCTTCCAGGACATTCCCGTCCATGAAGGCTCCCTCTTCCTCTTGCCCGCTAATACGCCCCACTGTCCCGTGCGATTCCACGATACCGTGGGAGTTGTGATGGAGGTCCCGCGAGAGGAGGACGCAGTCGATATCATGCGCTGGTACTGTAAGAGTTGCGGACAGATCGTCTGGGAGAAGCGTTTCGTGTGCACGGACTTGGGTACCCAGGTGAAAGAGGTGGTCGAAGAATTCGCTGCTGATGAGCAGAAACGGACTTGCAAGGCTTGCGGCACTGTTGCAGAGAGTAAATTCAAAGAGGAAGAGATCGTACAGCCGCCACGGTTTGCAGAGTAGACTGCAGCTTTTGCACCTGCAGTTGATGTTGGATCCTGAAAAAAAAAAAAAAAGAAAAGAAAAAAAGGCGCTCGCTACGACTCAAGTGACAATGATACCATGCTGTTGATAAAGTTACGTTGACGTCTAATGGACTGTAAATCTATCTGTATTTAATGAAGAGTGGAGTACCAAGGAGTCTTCAAAATTATCTAAATTAGCCCAGAGAAAGACCGGGGGAGATATAATAACGAGCGATGAGAAATTAGGTACCCGAGGGAGGGGGGAGGGCTATTAACACAAATATGCAATACAGATGGACCTCTGAATGAATTGACTCTGAATGTATTCTATGGCGGTCCACTCGATCGAGGGAGGGTATAAAGAATGAGGCAGAACAGTCGCCAAACAACTGGAAGTAAGTGCCCCCAAGAACAAGCCATATTCCATCGGCACGTTGGAAGCAAAGAGGTATACCCAAAGTAAAATTAAAAACAACATAAGTGTCCAAACAGGAACAAACCAGTCGAAAGACTAGGATTTCATATCATCGGGATGAGGCGCAGTACAGGCATTCCACCAGGTAGCGAGCTCCGATCAATCATCAAACGGACAGTCGATGCTCTCGTGGCCATCTCTCTCGCAGAGGGCGCACCACTTTGTCTCATCGACCACGCCACTGGCTTTCCCAGCAACGGGGTCCATGGAGGAAGTTAACCCAATTCCTTTCAATCCCTCCATGACCACATCCCGTCCAGTCTTCTGAGGCGTTGTGCTCTCTCCAATGCTGGACGGGGCGGACTCGAGCTCGGCAGACGTTCCAGGAGTAGGTTTCTCGTCTACCAAACCCTCCTTAGGGGCTGCAGGCGTCGATTTGGGAGCTTTGTTCTTGCTCTCTGCGCCGAACATGTTTGTGCAGGTCAAGATGTCATGACCGCCCATCTCGCAAATCTCGCACCACAACGAAGCACCGTCGTCAGACCGACCATCGGACTCGTGCATGGTTTCTAGGCGATGCCGGGATGTCTCCGACGGCCGACGGAGATGCCCAGGGTGGTAGGCCTGGTACTGGGGTTCCTCATGTGGTGGATCGTGCCAGTCGCTGGGCACCACCGTGCGATCCGACAGCCGGTGGGCATGGTTGATTAAACTAGCCCCGATTTTTCCTGTTGAGTTCGACGGCCTGTGCTGGGAAGTGGCAGCAGTGACCGTTGAGCTGCGTGTTCGAGTGCCTCCATTCAACTGCAACTGCTGGATTTCGCGCTCGAGCTCTTCGATCCGGTACGTCTTCCGCTCCGTAATGCGTTCGAATTCCTGGACGCGTTGTTCCAGATCCGAGACGTGGTCTGGATCGTGTTCGGGGCCGGAGTATGCTGCATATCCATTCTGCTGGAGCGCCGGCAGGTTGGGGTCGCCCCGACTCAAGGAATGGATGATCGCTTTCAGGCCGCGGATTTCGTCGTCTTTCTGGTCCAGTTCCCTGGAGTGTTGCTGACCGTCCGCAGCCGCCTGGGTCTCCTGAAGCACAGCCGCGGAGCTATCTCGCTCCTTCTTCAGCTCTAGTTTCGTCCTCTCGACCTCGCCCCTTAAGAACTCGACCTCCGCACGGGCTTCCGCTTCTCCACGCCGGGCATCTTCCAGGCCCTCTTCCAGTTCCGAGACCAATTCCTCCAGTTGCTTGAGCTGCCTTGCAACCGCCTCCACGTCCTCTCCCCGGTCCTGGAGTTCTTTGTTCTGCTGCATGAGATCGTCCAGGCGTTGTTCGTAGACGCGTTCGGTTTCCGCCGCAGCCACTTCCAGCGTGTCCAAAGTGCTTCTGAAATCAGCCCGATGCAGGTCAAACTCCGTCGTCAGCTGGGCAATCCGCTCGTTCTTCTCGCGCAACTGGGCACGGATCGATAAGGCATCCGAGCCCTCCAGCTCTTCCAACGTGTGTTGAAAGTCGGCCAGGGTATTGGCCTGCTCATCCAGTTGCCTATCGCGGTCCAACAATTGATTCTCGAGAGTCTTGATTTGATCCCGCAACTCCTGCACCTCCGTCACCATCGCATTCCGGTGGACATCCGAGGTCCTCGTCGACGACACTTCTTCCTCGACACTCACCCGAGAGGGTGGCCGATCGGAGGCGCGGGATGGGGGTTTGACGGGGCTACGGGGGTAGCCATTCGGGCCCGCTCTGGATGCCGCCGATGGAGTGCGGAGTCCCGCCAGAGCGAGCTTGGAGGGCGGGGGGGCTCGTTGAGGGGATTCCGGTCGAGGCAGCGAGGGACGTCTCATCCGCGGGGGTCGCACGGACGGGCTGGGACCAACGGATTTGCTGAAGTTGACAGGTCGAGCAGGCGTTGGTGGGTTCGCGGTGACGGAGGAGGGAGCGGACGACAGTTTGGTGACATACTTGTTGTTGTTCATGGGCACGAATATGCCGGAGCCGGGTGTGGAGGTTGTAAAGTATCGCTTGCCTTCGACATCACCACTGTTCTTCCCCCTCCTGGCATGCTCGGCCGCCAGTTCAATCCCAGCGAATTTTCCTGGCTTCCCGGCCACGCCTCCTAGATATTTGATTGTGCCATGCATGCCCCCAGGGACGTTCACCAGGTCCCCGACCTGGATATCGTCGAGGGGCGCCATCGAGGAGAGTTGGACCGAAGGACGTTGGTGGAAAGGATGGAATATTAACTGGATATGACAATCGAGTAGGAGGGGTTCAAGGAAGGAGGTTATAGAGAGGGGGGAGGGAGGGAGGGATGGAGGGGGAGAGAGATGAATAGAGGGAGAAAGGGGGAGTGATTAGAGAGTCGACATGATGAGGTTCTCGAGGCTTCGGAGGATTGGATTCGGACCAGAAAGTGCGTTGGGCAGCGAGCGAGGGGGAAAAAAAAAAGACAGAGCTTCTATCTAATATTAAATATTCTAGCAAAATTAAATAGAGACATCAACGTTTATTCTAATCGAATAAATATTGGAGAATAAAGAAATAAATAATCCATGGATCGTACTGTACCGGTATCGCTGCCTCAGCCACCTTTGATTGACTACGATTGTTTCTACAGTAGAGATTTCTATTAACTATTCGATTCTCGTAGATTTCTCTATTTCCACATCTATTCTATATTCAATTCGCTAGATCAAGACAGAGTGTCGACAAATCTCGATCGTCCATCGCTTACTTGCTGTCTCTTGGCTTCCCCTTCTCCTTACGTGATTTCGGCCACCTGTTAGACTGTTTCTCCCTTTCCTTCGCTCTCTCCCTCCCTCTCTCGCTGTGATTTCGCTGGATCTATCTCGCTTCTCGCTCCCTTACTGATTGCATCATCCACCCTGGGTCGGTGAATATCGAGTTGATCACGAGCCTTACTTTTCTGCCTCTCAATCGGTCCACTTCAGCTTCCCCGGGCTTTGTTCGGTGACGCTTCGGAAGAGGGATCTTGAATGATCCATCAGAATCTCCGACAACCCACTCTGAATTAATCACGATGGCCCAGTACTTCTTCGATCTCCTCTACAACTTTACGGATTGCATGTGCTGCTTTCCCAGCACGCCGCAGCTGAAGATTAACAACCGCAGCTTTAAATTGTTGCGACTCCTCGGTGAAGTATGGACCGATCCTCTTTGAGAAGACCTGAATCCCCCGTTCAAATCTGACGGACACCGGTGACCTAGGGTGGTTTTTCCTACGTTTATCTGGTCCAAGACAAATCCACATCCGAGCTGTTTGCCCTCAAGAAGATTCGATGTCCGTTCGGTCAAGAGTCGGTTTCACAAGCACTGAAGGAGGTGGAGGCATACAACCTATTTGCGACGCAATCCAACATCATCCACTCAATAGACCACTGTGTCTCAACCGAACCGGGTTCGAAATTCCGATCGGATGGGGGTGAACCTGGTTCTAAGACGGTCTACATCCTCCTGCCGTATTACCAACGCGGGAACCTCCAGGATGCCATCAACGCCAACTTAGTGAACCACACTCGATTTCCGGAGAAGCGACTCATGGTGCTGATGCTGGGGGTCGCCACGGCTCTCCGATCGATGCACCAGTATCGCGTCAAGGGCGGCACCGGTCCCACATGGAAAGCGAAGGCCGTGGGGCGTGAGGGGGAGGAGGCCGACGCGGAGGTCGCCATGCGTATGGGAAAGCCGAAACGACGTCCGAGCCAGAAGAAGGAGGATGAAGACGAGGAGAACGAGCCATTGATGGATGACGAGGTCACCCGGAGTCAAGAAGGGGTGCAGGAGGGGGGTTTGCGCCCCTATGCGCACCGAGATATTAAGCCGGGTACGGTGTTTCCAATTACAGCCCGGTAGTCGCAGGAACTAACGCTCTTAGGCAACATCATGATTGATGACGATGGACAAACACCAGTGCTGATGGATCTCGGGTCACTCTCCCCTAGCCCGATTGCCATTACTTCCCGTTCGTTGGCGCTGGCGGTCCAAGATACGGCAGCGGAGCACAGCACCATGCCGTATCGCGCCCCAGAGCTCTTCGATGTCAAGACCGGATCCGTGATCGATACCAAAGTGGATATCTGGTCGCTTGGATGTACGCTATACGCGTGCTTGGTGGGCAAGAGCCCCTTCGAGGCGCGGAGTGAGGAGACGGGGGGAAGTCTCAGCATGTGCGTGTTGGGGGGAGACTGGAGGTTCCCCGACGAGAAACCGAACACGGGCAAGGGGAAGGGCAAAGCGGGTGACGAAACCCCCAAGGACGGGGCGACGTTCATCAGCGCGTCAGTCAAAGAAGTGGTCCGGAAATGTCTACAGGTCGAACCTGCGGAGCGCCCCGACATCGAGGAACTGATCCAAATCCTCCAGAATGTGATCCAAGAACTCGGGGACGACGAGGGGATGGGCAGTTCCAGTTGAGCAACGGAGGATTCCTCTTCTGTGCTTAGGAATGTGTATATCATTCGTGTCTAATGCTGAAGCCAGTTCCTGTCCGGACTGGTTGTTCTATACTATTTGGTTTGCCTACAATTTATTGACTGCAGCGGGTTTTCTGCAGAGTTCCAACATTCTTTTTTGTTATGTATTTCCTCGTGGATATCTCGACCCCGCACTGTAGACTCCTCTCTCCTCACCCCCACTTCCTCCTTCTCAGCTCTTTTGTGCTTCGCTACTTGTTGGTGAATCCTCCAGGATGGCGGACTTTCTCCAATCGGCTGATCGTTCTAGAGAGTTCATTCGACAGCTGGCATGCAAGGGATCCTGATTTGATGCCTCTCCCGGATTTATCTGCCGAAGTCCTCCCACCGAACGTGAAGATGACAACCTTGAAAGTCACGCTCTCTACTGTCCAAAGGTGCATCGTAAACACATCATGGCTGGCAATGTGGACCAAAATGCGATTCCGGGGACCTTTACTCTGGTGGATTTGGAACATGTCATAGCCAGTCGCCATCTCGATCGGGGCGATAGTGACATTGTCCTTGTCCCTCAACCCTCGGACGATCCCGATGATCCTCTGAATTGGTCCCCGAGGCGAAAGCTGCTGTCCACCATCTGTATTAGTGTGTAAGTTGAGTTGACCGGGTGTGACTTTTGGGATTTCCAGCAGGGACTGACCCCCCGTCGATGCCTATCAAGATACACCCTGTTCATGGGAATCGCATGTTCCGTGGTCTACTCGGTGCTGGTTCCCCTGTCCGAGGCTACAGGCGTCAGTGTGAATATCCTAAACGAAGGGACGGGTTATCTGTTCTTGTTGGCGGGATGGGGTCTCCTATTCTGGCAACCATTTGCTTTGCAGTATGGCAAACGGTTGACGTATATCTTCTCAATGATCGGGGCTGCGGTAAGTCTTCCTCCTCGCCGTTCAAGAAGTGGTTCAACGCCGCTGACTGAAGTCTGGAATAGTGTGCGTTGATATGGGGGTAGGTGACCGATGGCAATCAAGATGGGAAAGTCCCTGACGCGAGAGATAGCCCTTATATAACCAACAACGGTCAATGGATTGGCCGCAGTATCCTCGCTGGGTTCTTTACGGCTCCGGTCGAAGCTCTTCCTGAAGTAACCGTCACGGATGTGGTATGAATGCTCCTCTCCCCTTGATGTCCTCCACTGACGCAGGCTGTAGTACTTTACCCACGAACGAGGGACCTATATGGGCCTGTATGCTTTCTTTCTAGCCGGTAGTAACTATTTTGCGCCAGTGATCTGTGGCTTTATTGCCGAATACCATGGCTGGCAATGGGTGTTCTACTGGCCGGCGATCTTCTGCGCCTGTGCCGCCGTCTTTCTATTCTTTTTCATGGAGGAGACAAACTATTCCCGCGAGACAGCCCATTCTACGACCCCCGATACTCCCGTTGAGGCATCAGCTGCCACTTATAAGCACGGGGATCCGGAAAAGTCCCTGTCTGCTGATAATGTACCGCGCGATGAGACGGCCTGCGCTGTGGTCTACTCCAAAAAGACCTACATCCAAAAGCTGTCTCTCTGGGGGCCTCGACAGGCTCGAAACAACATGTTGCGTCGACTCTACCATGCACTGTATTATCTATCGTGGCCCGTAGTCTTCTACGCCGGGTAAGCGGACTGTCCTGCAATTTAGATCGTCTTGCTGGTCTGGCTTACGGGGGCAACTAACATCGCTAGATTCTCGTACGGATCGTATCTGGTATGGTTCAATGTGCTGAACGGCACTGCCTCGATAATTCTAAGCTCTGCACCTTACAACTTCGGGTACAAATCCACCCTTCCATCCGAGAACTACACACCTGCTAATACAGAACAGTTCCGCCATGGTCGGCCTCAGCTACGTTGCATGCTGCATCGGGGTAGCCCTCGGGTGTGTGATCCAAAGCATCCATGGACAAAATTCACAGTGTTTTGATACATACATTCGTACAACTTGCTTACAAGCCATCGATTCATCCAGGTCAATATTCACCGGCCGATTCAGCGACTGGCTGACTATTCGTCTTGCGCGACGCAACAACGGGGTCATGGAAGCGGAGCAGCGTCTCTGGCCCTTCACTGTCTGCCTGATCGCGGTACCTGGGTCTCTCATCCTCTGGGGTGTAGGCGCTGCACATCACATTCACTGGTTTGGACTACTCTTCGCCATGTGTGTCCTCGCCATGGCGAACACCTGCGGCATTACACTCAGCGTCAACTATCTAGTAGACAGCTACAGGGAATTAAGCGGAGAGGCCATGTCTAGCATCATCCTAGTGCGAAACACCATGTCATTTGCCATTGGTTATGGGTAAGTTTGCATCCATACCTGTGTCCATGCTTCTTGAAGTGGTGGCGGGCTTAGTACATACTAACATCGTCTGCACTACTATGATCACAGAATCACCCCTTGGATCAAGGATCTCAGATACCAGAATTGTTTCATTTCCGCTGCTTTCATCGGGATGACGTGCTCGGCTGTCTTCCTGGTGATGATCCGATGGGGGAAGATGTTTCGGACTCGAAGTCGAGAGAAGTACTGGAGGCTTGTGTTGGAGAATTTGGAGAAGGGGATGAGTCATTGAGCATTTCTTATATATAAATTGGTTATTTGTATTGAGATACAGATCCACGAATATCTCCCTGTAAAGACAGATATCACTCCAGATAGATATCCCCTATCTCATCATACCGATCTTCCTGGTCATGACATATCTTAGATGACTCAAGTAGAGAGTGAAGTAATACGTATCGAGGTACTTCTGCATCCAGGCGGCCTTGAAGTAGATGTACAGCTTTAATAACGATGTGTAGAGGGATCCGGGGTGCACATATGTTGGATAGGGAGGTTCACTGGTATAGGTGATGGGATATGGAGAGGGTACCTACGAGAGGATTGGAGGAGTTAAAAACGGCCAAATAAAGAAAAGATTATAGATTATAAGAAGAGAGCAGTCATTTCCGTAACAGAGACATATGCAACCCAATATCAATATAGGAATACAGCCGATCAAATCCCACTCATCTTCAGCCGGAGCGATGCGTCAGAATCCAATCGCGCTCGGAAAAGACATTCTTGCCATTCCCGATCCATACGCGCCAGCATCTCAGCGTCGGTTTCTTCAGATGCTGGATCCGAGCGAGGTTCTTCCACCGGGGACTCACACCCGCGGAGTCCAATGAATCGTCCGAATCGTCGTCGCTTGGTCTGGAGATTCGTTTCCGACTCCAGATCCGTCCCAACCCACGGGCGGATGGTCACCGGGTAGCACAATGTGGCCGGGACCGGTGGCCAGACCTGGTGGTAGTGCCGGGCGAGATCATCTAACTGGCTGGATGTCAGGAGGTGGAAGGCAAGGAGGGTCGGAGGGAACTCTGGGTGTTCAAGACCCGTGGTGCTGGAGACTAGAGGACAGAGCGGGGTTTGTAGGTGTCGGAGGACCGTGAAGAAGGAGGGTTCGATTTGAGATGGCTTGCTCGTGGCTGGTGATCCTCTGTTCGAGGCGGCGCTCGCGGGTGAATTAGCATACTGGGCGTCGGTCTGAGGGGAAGGAGGTTCCACCGAGATACGCGGACGAGAGGAATTGCGGTTGTGCATCATTTTGATGCGAGGTTCCAAAAAGAAGAAAAAGAAAAAGACTGCCTGTAGAACCAAATGGCATGGAATACTCAGTCCAGACACACTTGGAAAGGGGGCAGTCGACTTCGTCACCTGCGCTTGGAGGGTTCGTATTCTGATAGAGCTATACCCGTGGCCAAGGGGACTTGCAGAGGCGGTATAAGATAGGACTGAAGTGGACATCATGGAGGAAGAAAGGCCCAGTAACATGCCAGCTTTTTATATTGCTGATTCAGGTCTCGTTCAAAGCCTCCATCAAAGAGGTTAATTATATGTAGGAAACGGTCAAAGATCATCACAACAACGACTCTTTAGTCTTTGTTCCTCCAAAGTTAGGTGACAATTAAGACAATGTTTCGAAAAGAGGCTTTGTCCTTCGCCACTGTCGACTGCTTTCAAGTGCCTCTACCCGGGACAGTGATTACATTGCTAAGTCTTTGTTTCCGAACACGCAGAACAAAGCCTGCTCTGAAAAATCATTGTTTCTGGGAAATAATGAGAATTCAAATTTAGCTAGCTGATCTAAACGATTATGAACAGAACTCCCAAGCTGTTGGGGAAGGGTGGCCGCATCAAGACAGTGTCTCATGGATCTTTGAAAGTGAAATTTTGGCCATGCCCTTCTCCAAGGAGGTCCTCTTGCTCGAGGCAGCCTCCTCAGGCTGACTGGTCACAGGAGGAAGCCCGACATGTTTGTTGATCCAATTCAAAACGGTGTTATGCCACATGAGCGAATTCTCGGGGTTCAGCACCCAATGGTTTTCATCCGGGAACGTCAGAAACTGGCTTTCCACCCCTCTCATCTGCAGGATGTTGAATGCTGCAAGACCCTCGGCGATAGTCAGTCGATAATCCAACTCATTATGGATGATCAAGTGTGGAGTCTGCCAGTTGCCAGTATGCTGACTCGGATCCCATCGGTCCCAGTTTTCGGGGACCTTCCAGACCGGGCCTTCGAGGTCGTGAACGGGAAAATAGAGCTCCTCAGTACTCAGCAAGGAACGCATACTGAACACCCCGTCGTGGGTCACAAGGGCCTTGAATCGACGCCCTAAGGGGTGTCCTTGGATCCAGTTCATCATGTACCCACCGTATGAGGCTCCCAGCGCCACCGCTCGCGTAACATCCACATATTCCAGGTTCTTTTCGATATACTCGAACCCTTTCTCGAGATCAATGTACGGCCGTCCTCCCCAGCACCCACGGATACCGTCCGTAAACGCCTGTCCATAGCCAGTGCTACCTGTCGGGTTTGGTGTGACGACAACATATCCCTGCTCCGCAAAAACAGCAGGGTTCCACCGTGTGCTCCATTGATCATTCCATGCCCCTTGGGGTCCACCATGGACCAGGTAAGCCAGTGGATATTTGTCTCCCGGCTTGAAATTGGACGGTTTCACCACCCACGCATGGATGGGATGGTCCTCCGCTCCCCTAAACCATATCTCATCAATCTGCGCAGTGGACAACCCAAAGGTAGCACCGGCTCGACCAATTGAAGAGATAACTTGCGCATTCTCCGGAGACAGAGGGTCGAGGATGCTCCATACGCTATTGTCCACCAAATTGTTGCTGGAGACAAGAAGACTGGATGACTTAGAAGATGAGGGGTAAACATCCGTCACATAGCCCGAAAAGGTCAACTTCTTGAGCACATCAGGGGTGGAATGGCGGATATTATTAAGAGGGAGCTGGTAAAGCACCCCGCGCCCATTTTCCTCGACCTGAACAAACAGCGAACGGTCATCATTGGCAAAGGTTAATGCGGACGGGCTGAGATGCCAAAGACCTTCCCCGTCTGGCGATGCAAATACTTCTATCATCTCACCATTCCACGGATTCGGAACGTACAATATCCGATTTTTGTCGGACTCGTAGCCGTCCTCACGCATGGACAGAAGAGCTATTGAGCTTCCATCTGATGTAAGAACGGGGGACGACATTGCGCCTTCAAGGCCCTTCACTGCGCAGATTTTAGATTGCGTTGCCTCCATGCTGGTCCACGAGAACATTGGGCAGTAGTAACACGAGCACGAGGTGTGCGTGGCCGGATTTACAGTTGGGTCTTTGGCCACGAAGACAATTGCATTGGGGCTGATATCAAAATCCCCAGAACCCCCAAAAGGTGGAATGGGCGATTCAACACCGCCCAGGCCGGAGACGGATATGAGGTTTGTCAGCCCTGAAACGGAGTACTTGCCCGCATGCCTGGTTGCAGGGGAAAGCGGCGCGCGCTGAAGCAGGCCATACCAAATGGCGTTCCTCTGGAGCTCGATGTACGAGTCCCAGTGTCTCACAAATAGAGAAGTATATAGTTTCCCAGTGCTGAAAGGTTTCTTGGCATCGTGGGGGTTGAACAGCGATCCATCCGGGTTCGCTTTACCGGTTACCGCAAAGCCAATTTTCCCCGGCTCAACAGTGGTTACTTTAAGATCGGACACCGGGCCTGGCACAGTTCCAGCGGTGTAGGTTTTGTCGGATTCTCGTGCATCGCCGATAATAAAACTTGTGTTACCGTTGGACTTCGTTTTCAGCCATACAAGCTGGTCGGAATTATCCAGCCATTGCGGGCAGCTAGCACCCGGGTCATTGACGATCAGAGCGGAACGGCCTGTAGCAACGTCCAGCACTCGGATTTCGTTTGTCTTCGAATGTGACTCAAAGGAGTAGGAGGTCTGGGTGTAAACGACGAGTGTTCCCGAGGCATTTGGAACGGCACCTGAGCGGCGGGGGGTCCCAAGAAGGACCCTGAGGCACGTAAGTTTGTGGTCCTTTGGAGTAAAATATAGCAGAGAGCTACAGGAATGACAACGTTCGCCGCAGGGTACCTATATATACTCTAGGCGGACAACTCACTCTGGATTAAATTTCATGGATCGAATTGTCATGTCCGCACACTGATAAACTCGAACAAAAACACCAGATGACGTGCAGACAAGGCGATTCAAGGTTGTGGAGGAGGAAAGGAGACGAAGGGAAGCCCAGCTGCTGAGCTGATGGAAATGCGGAGATCACACCACCTTGTTGCCCCCATCGGGTTTAGCGGATCGACCGTTAGACCGGGTTGCCCAAAGTGGAAATCCATGGCATCCCATCTGTCCAGATGCCTCGATTCTACGTACTGCGAACATGTGTTTGTAGTAAATCTAGGCTTAGGATAGGCATGACTTTCAACTGATGCAGTAAGGCTATCTTGTCACTGTAGAAGGTATGGCATTGATCTGCACTATACCCAATAGTCTCTTGCTGGTATGGAGTAGATAGAGCTATGTATGTTAGGCGTCGAGCAAACAGCGTCTTGTCGAAGCTAATCACTCTGGTCTTTATTTTGAAATAGCTAGTGACAGCGTACTCGAAATCTTATAATACCACACGAACTCTAATAGAACGCGGCATATGCATCCCTTTGCTATTTCTTCCTAATGATGTCATACTAAGAACGAAAAGGGTCCGAGACCTTGATCAGTTGGACTCTTTTCCGATTTATCATCAGACTAGTGCTGCATGGACATTCCTACCGGCTTGATGAGTGGAGAAGCCTACCTATTAGGATAGTTTCCGGATTGTCCTGGTGATGCTGGTTCTGGGATGGCGATGACGCTGGCGCCTTAGTTGCCAATGGATCTCCACAATATACTCTAACACTGCCTTAGGCACCTCCAACGTCATTGTTTGCCTTTCTGTACAACCTCAGGTGCGCTTAAACCTTCACTATCATCGGTATCTCATAGGATGGCATCACCCCTGTCCCTGACAGGGTCGTAGGCCTATATATATTAAGCAAGGTCATCCTGCTTCCCCATCCGGATCTTATTCGCAAACATCCAACCCAACCACTTATATACATTATCCCTACGTTCCTACTAATTGGCCCTATACTGTCTGTCACCCATTCTAACGAAAACCCACCAAGATGACTGGCATCCTACACAAGGTTAAGGAAGCCATCACTACACATGGCCACCATGGCTCTTCGGATCAGTCCCATGCCAATACCTCCAAACAGACCGACAACAACACTACTCCTCCTGCTTACAACAAACCCAAGAACACCAGCACCGACAACTCTGTTCGGCGGGACTGCTCTGTGTCTCCTAGAACCAGCATCTCCGGTGGCTCTGGTGGTCATGACGCCTCGACACATGACAGCAACCCTGTGAACAAGACTGATAATCGAGTGGACGGTGCCTTCTGGAACACTCAGGCTAGCGATGATATCAGCCGGTTCTACAGAGAGGTCCGTCAATCAAGCATCGGTGGGTTTGGTGTGATCCACGCCTCTGGGAGTAAAGGACCGACCACCACGAAGACTTTTGACCCTCATGCTACCCTCGACGGTGTCGCTCATGCTAGCTCGCATATCGCAGGACCACAAAGTTTCGATGTGGTTAACAAAATGGACACGCGTGTGGATTCTGATCTGGGTGGATCTAGTAGCGTGGGAGCCCAGCATTGATTTGTCGGAAACCAGCGATGTCTTCCTCATCTGTATTTTAGCCTTTGGTGCTAGTTGTACATATATTAATGGCGACATGATGATATCTTTACTTTTCTCTCACAAAGTATACAGTAGTCTAGTGGCCGGTTCCTGGAAATTACAGATAACGTTTGTAGATCCCAATTCTACTTCGCCTTATATTAGACCATATAAATACAAAAAGATCACAGTCCATAAACAGAGTCAAACAGAAATTTTAGGCTATAAAAAAAGAACCCCTTTACTCTTCCTCCTCTTCACTTTCATCCTCTTCCATACCTTCGGCGGCCGTTACAGTGAATGTAGGGGCCTGGTCCACACCCACGTAGCTGTCACTCATCAGGTATAGGGTCAATTCGTGCTCACCCGGTGTGGGCACGATGTACTCCAAGCGCAGCTCCAGCTTGTGGCCAATGGTTACCCGCTTTATGGCAAACAAACTCTTCGTCTTCTCGTCTCCCACCACCAGCCACCAGTTCTCCATCTTCTTGTTGGGGTAGAAAGGTGCGTGGACCGTCGTATCGAGCTCTTCATCCTCTTCGACCTCCCGCTCAATCTTGACCTTGAGGTATGCCGGCTCACCAGAGGTAATATTCTCTGGGTCCTCCACCTGGAAATCGAGATCGATATTAGGGTACTTCTCGTTAGTAAAGGCTGCGGCTTGCGCTAGCTGCTTGTTGTCGAGCCCGAGACGTTTGACCAAAGTAGAGTAGTCCTTGTTTTCGGAAGGATCCATAGCCTCCATAAACTCGAAAATGTCATTGATGCTGCACAAAAATGGTACGTTAGTATTGACCCGTAACTGAACTGAATGAAAAGAGATACATACTTGTATTCTTTAGCCACGTTGATAACATCGGGTCCGAAGTGAGGGATTTGTTTCAGAGGGCTATCCCGATCCCACATGGCTTGAACAACCATCTGTGACATCTCCATGGCATTCATGGCGTTCAAATGTCCGTCCGATGAAAGAACGTCCACACATGCGCTAAGCAAATTCAAAACTTTGCTAACAATAACTTCTTGGTCCTTGGCAAGATCAATCGGGAGTTGCATGCGCGAGAAATGGGCCTGCAGCAGGACAAAGGCCTTGAAATGTGGTGAGTCGTACGCGGGCTCGGACATTTTCACCGGAACTCGGTCATAGACACGACGCAGGATGTGGTCTTCGTGGCGACGCATCTGAATGGACTCAAACTCCGTGGCAGATGTGACAATCTCGAGGATGCCCTTCAGTTTCGTGCGAGCCGACAATGAAAGAAGGAAAGTCTGCATTGTGATGAAGGAGATGTTGTAGTAAGCTCCAATCATCGCTGCATTCAAGGGAGAAACGCTATCATCGTCTTCATCCAGATCTATGATCTTGGCTTCTGCAAGTTCCTTCAACGTGTTCTCAACTAGTTCCGACAAGAACGTGCTAAGACCTTCGTGGCTGACGTCACTGAGTCCGTAGAAACTAGGGTTGGCAAAAAGACGACGATAGAAGTAAGTGTGCGTCATCCAGTCAACAGCATCCTGAGTTGAGGTGATTGTCCTGGTACTCATTTCCGTCACAAAAGCATCGTGCAAGTAGACCTGTAGATGGCTCTCGACAGGCAGCGCTTCGTTGAGGAATTTTTTGTAATATTCACGCTTCACAGCGGGAACCATCAGCACGCCACGCCCGATCTTATCTTCCCCAGGTCGAGAAGCCTTGCCAAACATCTGCAAAATCTCACTGACAGGATAATCGATATACCGATGCTCTCGGCCCTCGAAGAACTGCGTTCCCATGACAATCACTAGATGCGCCGTGAGGTTGATCTCCCAGCAAACATCACGTGAGGCAAGGAGCACTTGGATGGCACCAATGGTAAACAGGTGGGAGACGATCCGCTTATCCGAAGGACTCAATGCTTCGTGGTAGTATCCAATGCCATGAGAAAGCGACTCGGCGAGTGTTCGCTCTTGAACTCGGCTCAGAAGAGGCTCCAGTTCGTTGACATCAGCATGAAGGAACCGATCCTCGTCACCATCAATGGCACAAGCAGCTAACAGGTCCATTGCTGTTGAGCGAGTCTGTTTCCGAGAAGGCACGAAAACCAGTGCGGGCTTGTCCGGAGACAGCTGCATGATCGATAAATATGCTGGCCTGGCCATTGCTAACATGAGGGAGGGGAAATGAGGAATGGTAAAGGATTGAATGTGGAGCTCGAGAGGCACCTGGCGAGCATGCGGGCTGAAGTTGTATATGGTGTGCTTATTGGCACCAATCCACTCGCCAATATCACGAGCATTGGCGAGAGGCACGCTCAACCCAACAAGACGCAAGCCATTCTCTAGCTGAAGTGCAATAGAATGCATACGTGACACCACCACCTCATACACATAGCCACCGTACCCTCCCAACATGTGAAGCTCATCCGCAATGAACAATTTCACAGTTTGGACGTTCTTGCGTCTATGCCATTGTCTGGAGAGAACGTCCCACTGAGTGGGCGTAGCGAGAACCAGGTCTGCATGCTCCAAAAGCTTCAGATCAGCTGTTGTCTCACCAGTGAGTTTCACGATTTTCTTGCTACCAGCAACCTTGGCCAGTCGGTTCTCCCAATCAGCCAGCCGCTGATCAACAAGCTCCTGGAATGGACTGACGTAAACAGCCCGGCCGGCATCTTCGGTAGACCAATGGCGAAGCAAAGCAAGTTCTGCACAGACAGTCTTGCCGCTGCCGGGAGGAGCGCCAATGAAGACATTGTCATTCGTATCGAAAAGGGACTTGAATGTCTGCGTCTGAATCTTGTTGAAGTACTGCCAGTCAGGGTACAATTGCTGATAATCTCCACGCTTCAGTGCCTTTACTGGGGCGCGCTGCATGTCCAGCAGAGGCGTATGCGGCGGGAAGCGTTCAGGAAGGATCAGTTTCTGGAAGGAGACGGCGATTTTAGTTTCCGAGTGCATCCAACGGTCAGAGACGAGTGAGATGAAATAGTTAGGAGGCATAGGCTCGGTAATGGGCACAGTGAACTCCACAAGATGTTCATTCATTTCAGACTGCGCAAAGTCCATCCGTAGGACGAATTGGTCATGGAACAGGATGTCTTCGCCGTCACAGTCTTCGACCAAAACCCAGAAGTCCTGCGCGGTACCATGCACGCTCTCATCCCAGACGAAATTTGGTGTGATTGTCAATTCGACGCGGAGCATGGAGCGAGTAATAGGCTGCACCTGGGCCTGCACGTCCAGGCGTGGGAATTTGGAAACAAGATCACAAACGACTCGTCCAGCCTTGGGCATACCCAAGAGCTCGCCCATACGGGGGGGATCAAGGTCGAAATAGCTGGACCAAGGCACGTCGATCCTCTCAGCCTTCTGCATAATGTCCCGCGGGCAAGATGGGAACTGGCGTAGTGGTGTCATGGTTGGCCACATCCGCTTTTCAGCCATCTTACAGAGATCAAGAGCCGTCTTCGCTACGGAGGACCATCCCTTCTTCAACGTGATTTCAAATAATGCCCTCAAGATACGGCCGGCGGATTGGGTGACATACACCATGTCTGCCATCAAGGCAAGCCCTTCAAGCTTGAGTCTCGAGATATAGGCCTGCAGGAGAACATTAATCTTTGAATGGGGCTCGTCAATGCCTTCCTTGACCGGAACGGGCACGCGACCCAAGAGCTTTGCCAACTCAAGTTTCTCATCTTGGCGGACTGGGATGTACTTGAACTCGTCGCTGAGAGCAAATATACGGAATAACTCAATGGTGGTAATCGATGGCTGGATGTGTTGCGAGTACGTCAGCATCGAGTTATGGCCGATGTAATAATGCGAAGCAATCCGACCCAGTTCGGTAGACTGCAGACGGCCAGTCTTTTTCTCGTATTTGACAAGACCCGCCCGTTCCAAGATGACGGCAGCGGAGTGTACGAGGTCAACTCGCTTCTGTTCCAAGGCATCATCGTTCTCATAATCTGCTCCGACGCTATATAGACCAGGAGAGCGAAGCATGCGCACAAACAAGTAGGTGTAACCTAGCCAGTCAACACCCTCATCTCGCGTTCGGATGTTCCCAAGAACAATTTCGGCATTCATGTTATCAGCCAGTTTACTCATGAGCTGACTCTCGATAGGCAATTGTTGGTTCATAAGTGAAAGATAGTACTGGATCTCGGTTTGTGAGGTAATGATAATTCCTTCGCCAAAGGTGTCATACTGTGGTCGTCCAGCTCGTCCCAGCATCTGCAGGACATCCTGAGGACTAAGCTCAACCCAGCTACCTTTCTCCGGGGAATAGATCTGAGTACCCTTGATGATAACTGTATGGGCAGGAAGGTTAACACCCCAGGCAAGAGTAGCCGTACAAACCAAGACTTGAATGCTTCCATCACTGAAGAGGGCTTGAACCGAGTCACGGTCAGCCAGGCTCAGTCCAGCATGATGAATACCAAACCCATATGGCAAGAGGTCTTTAAGTGAAGCATCGTCAACAGATTCGGCTTCTTCAGCTAAGATGGCTCTGCTAGCAGCATCACTCCGTAGAATTTGTCCGATAGTTTCCATCTCCAGTGCTTTATCCCTGATGTACTTGGCGGTCTTAGCTGTTTCTTTTCGGGAATGGACGAAGATCAGCATCTGGTTCCTCCGTTGCCCAACCTGCTCGAGGACTTTGTTGTAGCAGATATCGTTCATAGTTTTCAATTGTTTGATGGCCTTTTTATCGGTAACACCAATGAATTCCTGCTTCAGAGGGCATGGCCTATAGGACCCATCAAAATGGTACAGACCTTTGATAGGATCCACTCGCAGGAAGCTTCCCACGTCACGATAATTGGGGAGAGTGGCACTGAGACCAACAAGGCGCACTTGATCGCCAGTCTGCTCCCCATTACGAATAATCCTGCTCACAATGCTTTCGATTACGGGACCTCGCTCGTCGTGGAGAAGATGGATCTCATCGATGATGACTAGACGCACGAGCTTGGTATAGCTTGTTTCAGAGGCTTTTCTTGTGATAACGTCGAATTTCTCGGGGGTTGTAACAATAATCTGGGTTTCAGCGATTTGCTGCTTCGTGAGTTGGCGGTCACCGGTCAGCTCGGCCACCTTGATGCCGTAAGGCTCAAGACGCGCGCCGAGATTTCCTACTTGCTCCTGAACCAAAGCTTTCAAGGGCGAAATGTAGACTATTTTGAAGTCGTCCAGCATTACTTCCCCTGTCTCCGGGTTGCGATTCTTCCCAATCTCGCGCAGAATAGTGAGCATGGCGACGTTAGTCTTTCCGGACCCTGTCGGGGCGCAGACAAGCATATTCCCATCATCGTGGAAGGCAGTTGGGAAACACTTGGTTTGTATGCGGTTAAGCTCTTTTGAGCTTCCAAAGCCGACACGGGCCCACTCGGGCAGCTCTGTAGCTGGAATATTCTTCTCGCCTGGGTCTCTCTTGGGTTTCGGTGGCGGCACATGAATTTCTTCGTACCCTTTGAAGGTGCGTTTGGTGGAACCCTGTGGTAGTTTGACGCTGGGGTTTGTCATCAGATGGTTACCTTGGTGGAAGACGAGATTTTCCAAGTTAATCAGCCTCTGCGGCTGGAGACCGCCAACAGCGCCGCCCTCGGTCGGTTTTTCGTCAGAAGGTGCGTTTGGTACATCGACGTCCATCAGATCAAGCTTGATCTTCCTCTCCGGACGGGATGCCCCATCAATGCGGACCGTCTTGCCCCGGATTTCGTCCAGTATAGAGCGATGTCCAGCTTCGACCATTTCGCTTTCGACAAGGTGGCGCGCATCCGAATCTTCGGCCACCCTTCGCCATCGTGTGGCCCAGACAATCTTATCTCGGTTTGTTACCAATTTTGCAACAAGATTGGGATGATCGTAGTCAAACAGGTCCATAAGATCGTTTTCGACGTCTCGTAGCGACTTCTCTGCACCATCCTCCCCCTTGCCACCAAGGATCTCGAAAGCTTCGGTGGCCTTTTCCTGCTGTATATGAGCATCCGAATAGGCACCTCCGATCTCGCGCTGAAGCCAATAGGCGTCAATTTCCCGGGCAGGAACACTCAGTCCCTTATCTCGACGGCCCTCGCCACGAGATACGCCGCCATCTATTATCATTTCGTCGGCATCATCAACGTTATCAAGGTCTGCCTTTTCAGTCGTTACTTCACCAATACCTGGTGCGTCTTGCTCGTCCAGATCTTCTTCATCCGAATCTTCATCCCGAATTTCATCGACAGTGCCCATACGCTCATCCTCTTCCTCTTCTTCATCGAAGACAACGGCAACGCCTTGCCTTTCATCGAGTTCTTCGCCCGCCTCACCTTCCAATCCTCCGCCCATTTCTTCGTCATCGTCCTGTGCATCGTAGTCCGTAATTTTCTTGCTCAGGTTCATGAGCTCATTGAACTCTTTAGGGTTCATGGAGCTACCGAGTAAGTCATCAACCTCCTTTTTCTTATCAAACTCTTTCATTTCTTCGTCCTTAAGAAGCTCCAATACGGCGTCGGCAGCACTTCGAACCACTTCATGGGGGACGTCGCCAAGATGGCCTGCAGTCATAGTAAGGATGAGATCGTACGTAGCGCGGGTGGCAGGAGTGCGAGGACGGTATTTCAGGCCTTCAACCACAGCATCAGCAGCTGAGAGAATCCCTTGGCCTCGGAGTTGTGCTGGTTGGCCCCGTTGGCGTTTTCTCTGTTCGCGGGCAAGCACGTCCTCACCCTCTCGAATTGCACCTCGTTCGATATCTGTCGGCCCAGTAGTTTTCTTCTTCAACTTTGGCGCATCGTCATGCGCAATTCTACCGCCCATTTCTCGGATAGTAATGCGGCCTGCCAGAGATTCCGGGTCTCCAGTGGGTTCATCGTTGACGCGAGAAATGAAACGACGGTCCGCCTGGAGAACCAGGTTGGACATCGCCGAGTATTTGTACTGCGAAATATTTTGGTCCGCCATTGTGATAGATGTATGACGCGATTAAGAATCCGACAAAATCAGAATCGATCGAGACACGACTGGTGGAGTCGTCCGGGCTCGCAGAGCTCTGGATCAGCCGGCGCGTCGAGACTCCTGCGACAAAAAAATGAATTCTGGAATAGTCCGCTTGTCCTGTTAGGCTTCACAAACCTGGAGCATCCTCTTGCAGCAGGCAAGCTCACTTGGTGGTGCAGAGTCGCAAGCTGCCTGGTATATTGCAAGAAAGTGAAGAGTTGCGTCGAGCGTCGGGAAGTTCTGCGCAGCAGATTTCAGCGGCGAAACGGGAAGGCTTGGCGAGTGCACGCCTGAGGTATACGTCGCTTGGCCGCCTTCAATTCACCTTCCCCCACCTCGACTTTTCTTCCTCTCGACGACACATCATACTCGCTGGGAGACCATGCGTATTAATGGATCCTATATTGCTCACTTGACGCCGTCACGAGTTTGTTCGATCTCTGGGATCGATGTCTACCCCTCTCGTCGCTGCCCTATGCACCGGACGGTCTGTCATTATGCCTACCGTCCATCTCTGCGCGTCGCGATGCGTACCCCAGCCTTCCATGAGGTATCCAGGAGAGGCGCAAAGACAAAATCGACCGTGAAACTCAAGGACCTTCCTCAAGGTGCATTGAAACTGGAACCCTACACGGACACAGTGGACGATGCACCACGGTATCCGACAGTCGTACAGGGTCATCGGAATAATATGCAGAAATTCAAGAACTGTGTCGTTTTGACCAGAGTAGGAGGCTTCTACGAGGTACGGATATTGATAACGAGTAGAAATAGTGTCTCTGAGATGGGTGAAATGCAGTGAGAGAAATACCTGACTTGATTCCAGCTGTACTTTGAGCAAGCCGAAGAGCTAGCTCCTTTGCTGAATTTGAAGCTTGCTTCTAAGAAGACTAGTGCTGGTCCTGTTCCTATGGCGGGATTTCCCTTCTTTCAATTAGATCGCTTCCTGAAGATACTCGTCCAGGACCTAAGCAAATACGTAGCCATTAGCGAGGAGTTTGCCAATGATGCGGATGACAAAACTCGCTCGGGAGGCCTTCTGTTTGATCGGAGAGTGGCGAGAATTATCACCCCCGGTACATTAATCGATGAGAAGTTTATGGACCCTGCGGAGAACAATTTTCTATTGGCCATATACATCGATATCCCGTCATTGAAACTGGCGCAACAGGATGGCGGGCTCTCCTCATTTCAGCACGTTCTGTCATCTGCGTCCCAGCAAGTAGGCTTATCCTGGTTAGATCTGTCGACAGGGGATTTCTTTACCCAATCTACCACGGCGCAGATGCTCCCATCTGCCATTGCAAGGATCGGTGCTCGTGAGATACTAGTTAATCAAGGTCTCCAAGACTTGGTTGGGCAGGAGTTACAGCTGCTAGTCGGGCATGACCATCGAGCTATGACCTTCTTCCAATTCCGCGATGAAATTCTGCCGATATCCCAATGGGAATCTATGTTAGAAGCGCCTATCCCAGATAAGGCTATGGAATCTTTCACTCGAGAGGAAGTGGTTGCCGGTTCTAATCTTTTGGAATATATCAGAGTCCAACTTCAAGGGTTAAATATGAAGCTCCAGCCTCCACGGCGTCGGCATTTGAATGAGTCGATGAATATTGACCGTAACAGCCTGCGGGGTCTGGAAATACTTGAAACAGCTCGAGATGGATATGGCAAAGGCAGCTTACTCCATGCAGTGCGCCGGACATCAACTAAAAGCGGAGCACGTCTACTAAGAGATCGCCTGACATCGCCGTCTACTTCTTTACAAGTTATTAGCGAGCGTCTTGATCTCGTTTCACTTTTTATTTCCGATAATGAACTACGCGATAGCGTAGTGCAGTTGTTGAAGCGCAGTTACGATGCACAACGCTTGGTTCAGAAGTTTACCCTTGGGCGAGGTGATCCTGATGATTTGATATGTTTGTCCCGTGCCATAGAGGCATCGAAGGAGATTAAACGCGTCATGTCCAGCACGATTTATGGGGACCATATCTCTGGATCTACTCATAGCTTAGTGGCAATGGCCGAGCGCCTTCATTTAGATGGACCAGCTGCGCTGGCAGACAATATTTTGGCAGCCATCGATGAAGAAGGGCTGCTACAGAAACAACGAATCGAAGATGACACGGCTGCAGAGGCAGCCACCCTGGCACAACAGGTTGCTGTGAACGAGGGTGCGCCAGCAGATCTGGACGCAATACCGAAAAAGGCCAGAGACAAGGTCAGTGATCGAGCTAGCACAGCAATGGATGAGACATCCGATATCGATACGTGGATCATGAGGCGTGATGCAAGCCCGGCCCTGAGGAAACTCCATCAATCATTGGCACGATTGCACGATGAGAAAGCGAGTTTGACACAGAAACTTCGTGACGCAGCAGGGTCGTCTGCTCTCTCCCTCAGATGGACACCTGGCTTGGGACACATTTGCCACGTTAAAGGAGCCAAAATCTCCCAGCAAGCGTTGGAGGATTTGGGAGTCACGCGAAATGTCTCATCCACCAAATCAACTAGATCGTTCTATCTCCCCTCGTGGACTGAGCTGGGTGGACGGATTGACCAGGTGAAAGTCCAAATTCGACAAGAGGAACAGTCCATCTTCGATAGTATACGTCGTAGGGTGATCTTGAATCTTGTGAAGATTCGACGCAATGCAGCGGTGATGGACGAGCTAGACGTTGCATGTTCGTTTGCGACATTAGCGCAGGAGCAACAACTTGTTCGACCGATTCTCACGCAAGGAAGCGGTCACAAGATCGTTGGTGGACGACATCCGACGGTCAAGCTGGGACTTGAGGAGCAGGGCCGGCAATTTGTGAGCAACGACTGCTTCCTAGGGGAGACCGAACGAATCTGGCTCATCACGGGGCCCAACATGGCGGGGAAAAGTACGTTTCTTCGCCAGAACGCTCTGATCACCATCCTAGCCCAGGTCGGGTCGTTTGTGCCTGCAGAGTACGCAGAGATTGGGATTGTCGACCAAATCTTCAGCCGAATTGGTGCCGCCGACGACCTCTTTCGGGACCAGTCCACGTTCATGGTGGAGATGCTGGAGACTGCTACGATACTTAAGCAGGCAACGCCTCGCTCCTTCGTCATTATGGACGAGGTCGGCCGTGGAACGACGCCGGAGGATGGTACCGCGGTTAGTTATGCATGCTTGTACCACCTGCATTATCGCAATAAGTGCCGCACACTGTTTGCAACGCATTTCCACGCCCTTGCCGACATGACTCATGACTTGGAGGCCTTGGGGAGATACTGCACGGACGTGAAGGAGACCAAGACCGGTTCATTCTCATTCATCCACCGACTCCGTAAGGGGGTCAACCGCGAATCCCATGCTTTGAAAGTTGCCCAGCTAGCAGGCCTGCCCAAGGAGACCATTGACATGGCCAAGACCGTACGTCAAGGTCTACCCAAGTGACGAGGAAAGTCGGGAATGCTGCGTCGATCGTGCTCCGCAAGCCAATATTTATGTCCTATAGGATACTTGTTTGTAAATTTGTAAACAATATGTATTTATTTAGAGCCATATCAACTCCTATATTTGACCAAGATCGCTTTTCTATATTTGAGTCGTAGTTATATCTTAAGACTAGTGATATTGATATTGAATAATACCTACTAATGAAAAGCAAGGCCTAAAACAACCAAGGAAAAGCCTTAAAACACGTCTAGAAATCCGCTATACAGGTTGGTATACGGACTTTATTTTCCAGAGACACTGAGACTTCCCCTTTCCAGATACCGCCGCTTTAATAAAGGTACTCAGGGGCTTGCTCAGTGAGCATTTCACATCACAGATCACCGCTCAGTGAGTGCTCAGGGCCTGCTCAGTGCGCAATCACATGGCTCCCTGAGCGGCTTACCCTTCTTTATTTTACACAGATAGTTTGGCACTGTTGCTAGATTAGGCATCTCTAAATACCCATGTCTGTTTATACATTGGTACAAAATAACGTAAGCATATAACTGATGGGAATTGAATAACTATTAAGTGGTAAATTATCTGGAGCAAGAGTGCATACTCACAGGCCTAGTAAATAACCTGTGCATAGCAATCACAACGAAACTAAAGTACGCCTCTTCTTCTCCTGCTTTAAAGTATATATATTCTATAAGAGCTTAAGATTTTAACAAAATTCTTCCTATTATTGTTATTATTTTGTTCCGCCTTCTCTTCTGTACTGTTCGTTTCTTCGTTATTAACTAACCATGGGTGAAAGATCCTTTTAGCGGGATAAAGATGCCCGGAGAAAACACCGTGAGCGTCGCATAAAAAGCTATATTTCGCGAGCTTACAAAGATACGGACACTAAAAGAGGCAAATATGATTACTTTAACAAAGTAAAGAATCTCCAGTGTTAATATATTTTCTTTTATCAGGAGTGGGTCTTCCCACAAGCGACTCGCAACACCTAGACATGGTTTGTTTTTCTATCAGACTCTTATAAAAGAGAAACATAAGCCAGCCAACTACGACCTTAAAACCAACTGCCCTGCTCCGGATATTGTTTGTATTAAAGATTTTATTCGCTGGTATATAGACTCGGCTGGGGTCAGCGGAGGCTTAGTGAAAGCAAAAAGGTAACAGTACTCTTGCATTTACGAGATTCTTTGGCGGCTGAGGAAGCTACGAAAAGTAGGATCGTTCAAGAAGATCGGGCGGAGATATATTCCGTAGGTATTCCCCATCCAAAAGGAATACGCCTGCTAATACAGCTTCAGTGTATTACAAAATATTAACGACCTAGGGGGTCATTGAGGATATTAAGAGACAAAAGCTTAACTTTACTAGAGACGATTTTCGAAACACTACGTCTTCACTATGGACACGCGACAGCCTGGTTTTCTGCACAGACTTCTCAAAATCTTCATCCTATTTGCATTACAGGTGTTTCTTTTTACTCAGCAAGAATTAGCACTTCTGTTCCTGACTTTAAACACAAGAAACAGAGGGGACTTCGATACCGAGTAAGACTTTAGAAGTCACGAAGCGCCGGGCCCTGGACATGTCCTTGCTGACCACTTAAAGCTCATGGGTGGTCCAGCGCTGAGTTTCATTTGTTCACTCTGCATTGGAGGGGATGAACACTTGTGCAGCCGGCGAAAGACCGAATTGGCTGGAAGATAACATAGATGTAGCGTTGGCAAGGGAAATCAGTGAAGCAACCAGGGTACATTGCAAGGCGCCCGCCATAACAAGGGTCCAAGTAACTTGAGAACACATGATGCGAGAGCTGTACCTAGCCATTGGCTTTCTCTCAGTCCTGCTGAAATCAGTCTCGTTTATACTGTGAATTTTGGGGGCCATTACAAACATTCAGGCATACCGCCGAATCGAACCAAGCCGAAGCTCAGCTGAATTACAAATACATAGCTGTATACATTCCAATATATTGTGTAAAATGAGCATAAGACTCAATAGTGCCAAAATGCCGTACCCTCTCAGAAAATAGCTTGGAGGCGATCATCTTGTCAGGTTAGATAGTTCTTAGTGCTTAGGAAATGGTGCCGCCACTGGGTAAACTCCCAGCCAAGTCTTTGGACCCTAGGAGGACAAAGGAAATGCATATCTTGGTTCATAACTTGCAGTAGCCTTGCGTCAATAGTTCAGTTTCAAAAGCCCTAATCTCCGGCCTCCGGAGGCATTAACTCCGGTAAGCCCATCAGAATAAGAAACAAGACGAGCTCCCATGACTGACCATGGCTGACCAAGGCATTCGAAAATATTCTTTCCAACAGGCCAAGGCCGATGTGGTTATCTCAGATCCTTACAATTCTTATATTCTAATCATGCCAGAGAAAGTTGTCCTTGTCACCGGCGCCAACCAGGGCTTAGGCTTTGCTATTGTCCAAGTTGCTAGCCTGCGTCACCCATCCAACACATATATCCTTTGCAGCCGTGACCTTAATGCTGGTCAACAATCGGTGCAGAAGCTGAGAGACCTCGGAGTCACCGCTAAGATCGATCTGGTTCAGCTGGACGTCACGGACGATCAGCAGATCGCTGCGGTTGCTAGGCATGTCACAGACACTTACGGTAAACTCGATGGTAAGTGTCATTAAACTGTCGATCTAGACTCCCTCATATTCTTCCGCTCATCACTTCTCTACATAGTCCTAGTGAACAATGCCGGCATAATCCGTGTCCCACCGCAAAATGATCTTTCCGGAGCCCGCAAGACCTACAATGAAATCCTCAATGTCAACATTACCTCTGTCGCAATTGTCACGACTGCCTTTACACCTCTTCTCTACAAGTCCTCTGACCCCATAGTGATCAATCTTTCCTCGGGGCTTGGCAGCATCCAAAACTCGCTGACCAAGAAGATGGGGCGCTCGCCGCCCTATGGGTCCAGCAAGATTGGAGTGAATGGCCTGACGGTTCACATGCAAGTTGCAGAGAATGATCGTGTGGAAGCGGAGGGAACCAGTGACAAACCTCTCATTCGTTTCTATGTTTGCGCGCCCGGCCCACTCAAGACAGCCTTTACCAATTTTTGGCCTAATGGACGGTCTCCGGAGGATGGTGCTGAGGTCATCGTTCAGCTGCTTGCAGACGATAGCAAGAAGTATGATGGTGGTTCTTATTGGGAGTATGTGGACAATCAGATGAAGGTTGTTCCATGGTAGATTAATTAGTGGGAGGCTCAAAGGCATGTTTCTTTGCCATAGAACCCCCTAACATTCTAATTCCTTACTCGATATTGGTCACCTCGAGGTATCTATAAGATTGGTGAATGTTTCGTAAGAATATTAGATGTGTTAAATATGTGCTTGCGGAAGGGAATTTCCTCCATGGCCCACAGTCCACTTTTAGCATCTCAATGTTTGAATACTAACTAAGCCGGTACACTTTGCTGATCCCGTGGTTATGATGGCTCTGTAGGAGTGGATACCAATGGGCCTGATGTGAGATATCTTGGCACCAGGGAGATAAAAATTAAGTTGTGGGGGCGAGACAAGGAGATGCCAAGATAGAAACTGCTCTATATCCTCTACTACCTGGGGAAGGCCCTTCTAAAAGAGATACCTTCGTGCACCCCCGCCGGGGGCGAATAATAAGCTCTTTGATTCAATCATACTCTTTGAGCTGCCAGCCAACAAGTATCCCGTATAATTTAGGCGTTCAGCTGAAGGCTCTCACAAAGCTGGCGTAGAATATAAACTCTGAATATATTTCATTGGACTTCTCTTTGATAATATGAAAAGGTCCTTATATTGCTAAAACGGATGGGCTACAGCTTCTTGTCTTTATTGCACATAACTGCATTGTGCAAGAATGTTTATCCATCGGAGACGGCAACTGGAGTCCGGAAACGGGGAAAGAGGATAGAAATAATATATTACCCTACTCGCTAAGCGCACTGACGAGTATCAACTCCAGAGATTATGAAGGCCTGATTCTTTTAGCTAAGCGAATATTCAATACTAAAGAAATAGGGCTCAATTGGGATGACGAAATATGGCCACATTAAGGCGAATAATGGCCTTAAATAATCGAGCGCACTGACTAAATGTTAATTAGGAATAGCGGTGGCTATCTAAAGGTTGACACGTTAATAAAGGACTAAAGGAATAAACAGAACTTATATTAATTCTCCTATCCAGTTTTATAAATCAGCCTAGGCCGATGCTTAGGGGACAGCCTAGTTTATCTGCTTTTTTAATCCTGTACAAGACTAGGACCTACTAGGGTCCTTAATCACAGGGTCAATCCTGACTATGCTAAGTGAATAAGGCGTATAACTGTCCAGTCGTGGCTGAGTTATATAGATTATAACGGGTTGTCCCACCAGACATGCGCGTAGGTATGTCTTCATCTAAATCTAACTTGTAATAAAAGCAGTAAAACATGCGATATGAGTATAACTTGATTGTCTATTTAACACTCAGAGAGGGCAGCAATGGTAGATCTCTATATTGCATTGTAGGCTTATTACTTACTGTCAATATAATTTACCTCTATTTGGCGGATTATGAATTTCCACGTTGATTATCCAACTTGATCCATGCGGCGATTATTCAGCCACTCAAGCGGGCTCCCACACATAAGTAGGTATATACGTGCCTATATAAACTTGATTTTCTAGAGACACTGAGACTTTCCCCTTTTGGATACCGCCGCTTTAATAAGGGTCTCAGAGGCTTGCTCAGTAAGTTTTTCACATCACAGATCACTGCTTAGTGAGCAAACACCTGGTTCCCTGAGCGCTCACCCCCCCTTTATTTTGGACCGGTAGTCTGGCACTGGTGCCAGAATAATTGTCTCCAAATACCCATGTCTGTTCATATGCGTGTAGAAAAATAACGCAAGCAGAAAACTGATGGGAATTGAATATCTACTGAGTGGCAAATTGTCAGGAGCAACTGTTCACAGTCACAGGCCTAGTGAACAAACTGTGCATTGCGATTGCGACAAAAATATAAGTACACTTATTTCTTATCCCCGTTTTAAAGACTATGTATTCCAGAGCCTAGGATTTTACCAAACTTTTTCTTATAATTGCCCTTTTTATTTGTTCCGCCTTAATAAGCTTTATATAATTTAGCTTTAATTTAACTAGTCTTCAGCCGACTCCTCCATCCCACTTATACAACGATGGTTCGTTGGTGTAACCCTAGCGGATTGGAATTGCGACTGGTGTCAATAATGGTGTTTCCCACCTGGACCAACCATGGAGTATGTGAATAGAATAAAACTTCAATATCATTGGAGCTATATAGTCAAGTCCAGCTGTCATACTACCTAACGCGTTTTGCACGAAGTGCCGCGATGGTGACCGGCATCAAGCCACCAAGTGTCATGGCATTCGCTAGATCTGCAGCAGACAATTCCAAATTGATATATCGTCGGTACCAGTTGCAAATCTCAAATATCATTAGCGAGTCAATAGGCTCTGCATGACTTGCTCATCGTCTTGATTTTTTCCAAATCCCGACAGCGTCCGAATCGCAGCGAGTATCTCCCTTGCAATCCGGTCTCTCCAGGCAGGGTCATCCAGTATCTCCGGGTTGTTCTCTATGTTCGCAATTGTTTCCCTCACCTTATCTATTGCATCTGAATTGTGCTGTCTCATTGTATACGCCTCAAAATTTGCATAGGCGCTGAATCGCGCGTCCTTTCCCCACAGTTGGCGAACTGTCGGGTCTGAGCGATGCCTAATGTTGTTCATACCCACCGTATATTCATCTGACGTGAGGACTTGCTCCGTGGGGTTTTTCTTGGAGATGCTCTGCCGAGCGACCGCAATCTCTACAGCATCGAGAACATTCTGTTCATTAAGTAGACGGACCGATCCTGCGCGCATTCCCTCTCTCAACCTAAGATTGTCTGTCGAAAGGTAACCAATTTCATCCACGTACCCCATGTTGATAACCGATGCAGGGAGCCCCTGGCCCGTCGATACTGCACGAATGAATTTAAAAAGTGTTTGCAGCAGAGTAGCTTGCCTGCCCTTGATGCCCCATGACCCTCGGCGTCAGGCAAACAGAGCTTGTTATCTTGCCCATTTTGGAGGGAAATACGGCTGCGATATAACGAGTTTTGCACAAAGTATGCGAGCTTCAGTACGAGTCCCACAATAGCAGGAATCTCATAATTATGAGATAATATGTAAACACGGACACGTGGCGAACTCTCTATATCGAGGATCTCGTTTTAGCGCAACTTGCTATATCAAGGTTTTACTACTACACAAACTCAGAACGCATCACATGAAAACTGGTGTCAAATAGGTGCAGAAAGGCGGCCTCATGGAGAGCCACGATGGTATTCTTGACATCATTCGTAACCAGCTGTACTCGGCACATCGCACTTTCTGTGTCTTAGAAACCAGCTGTTAATTAGAGACCTACTGTATTCTGTATGGCCACGTGACCTCTCTTAGTCACTCATCTAGATAACGTGATCGATCACCGAGCTGCGCGGATCACCGAGCTGCGCGGTCCCCACCAAACTGCGCGCTTACCACGTAGATTTTCAAATTAAAGGTCATAATAGACTCAAGTGCCCTAGTAAATAATGCTGTCTTAATTATATAATAAAATCGCTTTATTTCGTTGAGATATTAGTCAATTTATAGGGCTGCTTTGTGCGGGTGCGCAGCTCGGTGATCCGCGCAGCTCGGTGATCGATCACGTTAGTTAAGTTAGTCAGCTCGCCCGAGCCCCTTGAATTGACGAGAATCGTGCCTCGCGAAGACAAGCAATTCATCACGTGCAGTAAAAGAGATACGCTTGGTCAAGCGTTCCTTTTATATAATCGGCTTCCTGAAGCTGTAATTAGAAATTAACAAACATATACTCGGCAGCAAGAATACTCACTAGGCATTCCTTAAAACCACTAACTATCTCTTCCTCCTCTTCTAGAAGACATCTCTGTTCATTAGTGATCTGGTCTTCATCATACGTTTCCGCTCGATCAAAGTCTATCCAGACAACTCTTTCTGGATAATTTCCAACGACCATCATGTTCCTTGGCTTTGGGTCTCTGTGTCGCACTAACGCTTCATGTATCTCTCGGATGCCAGAAAGAATATTATCCATCCGCTGCTGTGTATAATTGTGCAGTTGGATCATCTCCAGGTTGGGTATGTACTCCAAAAACAGGGCACTAGGAAGGTATTCATCGTCTAGAAACATCTTCAGGTAAGGTTGACACAAAGATGGATCAAATTTTCTCATGGAACCTAGGAAACGAAGCACAATTCCCCGATCGCATAGTCCTTTGTCTTTCAAACGTGTGTAGGCTGTAGTTTCAAGGACATGAATATCTAATTCACGGTCTTCTGGCTCGTAGTACCGTCGTGGTCCCCTTCCATGATGCTTCTTATATTAGTGACAGGATACCCAGTAGACTAATATCATTGGGTTGACTTACCACCTTCATAACGCATTTCTGGCTACGGATAGTAACCAGAAATATAACGGAGAATTCAGAGGTAAAAAGCTTCCTCTGAAATTTGATTTCAGTAGGCATGATATTGTTAAGTTCCATCACGATACGAATTCGGTAGTCTCTTTGGTGGTGGTGCGTAGAAGAACATAATTTAAGAAAGGTGTTTGCGAGCGAGGGAAAATAAAAGATTGTTGACTTGGATCCAAAGTGTTCGCGAGGCACGATTCTCTTCAATTCAAGCAGCTCAGGCGAGCTGACTATCTAGATGGGTGACTAAGAGAGGCCATGTGACCATACTGAATACAGTAAGTCTCTAACACAAAGCGGTCGTTGCTAATTAAATACACAGGCAAAAAGGTGACTATACCCAATTGGTAAATGCTTAGTGACACAGATTTTACTATACCTAATATGGACATATCATGTGACTGATACACTTGTTGCGATCTTATTAATTTCCCATAAAATTGGCTATAAGCAATTCGATTGAAAAGTGACTATTAAATATTAAATACAAAGTTTTTAAACCAGGTTTAACTCTCTAATCAGAATATAGAGATTAAAATTCCACTGACACCATGTTAGATCCCCTGATCGACCGCCTGCCTGACCTCTGCCTTGAGCCCCCCCCCTTGAGCCTGTCCCCGAGGCATTGCTTGAGGCATTACTTGCCTTGCTGCTTTGTTTAATACCTTATTTAATATTTAAAGTAATGCCTTATTTAATGCTTCAAGCAACCAAGTTATTTCTTCCCCCTCTACTATTTCACCACCTGCCTGCTTAGCCACTGCTGCCTTTGCTGCCTCGCTCTCTCGAATAGTTTGGCCATGCTGAGCTATACAGACAGCGCGGTTAACCTGCTCCTAATATAACAGCTCTCGCCCTGGGCCTTCCTGTTTTTGACCACCGCGAGGCCGGATAATTAACGGTTCTAGCACTAAAAAACAGGTGTCCAATAGTTTAATTTAACAGCCTGTAATCCACCATTAACAGTAAAAGTGTTCCATCTGAAGCGGTCTGGAGTTCTCTGAATACCACTGTATTGTGTGAATACATAGGATTCCCAGTGTTTTGTTAATAACTCCAGTGCAAGAATCAATTAGCAACTTTCCAGGCCCTGGCGGGAGATATTTGTAGATCTGGTAAACTTTTAGAACTGTATAGTGGGAAATTCTGTACTTTAAGTCCCAATACAATAATCTATTTAGCCTGTTGGAAATCAGGATGCCTAAGGCACCTTCGTATATCCTAGTCCCGCAGCGATCTGATATATCACATTCATGGGCTAAGGGACACGTAGACGTGAGGAAGCGTTTGTCTACGCTCTCTCTCGTAGATAGATGAACATACTCACCAAGCGATACTAGATTGCACGATAGTTTCAATATACTATCCAGTCACCGCTATCCTAGCACCTCACGACATACCTTCTTCCCCGAAGTTCTCAACAACGTAGGTCATTTTACCTTATCCTTATTAACCTGCTGTGTAATCTCTGCATCCCGATATATAACTATACGCCCCATAGATTGTGCCACAGTTAAAAGATCTCCAGAAGCGCTATCCAGGTCACCTTTAATACCAACATAAGCGCCTTTATTCCGGGATATAACTATAGTCCCACTATAAAAGTGGCAACTCCTCTAACACGAATAGAGAGATAAAGGAGCGATTAACAGTAGAATTATGTGAAGTCCATTCTTGTTGGACAGCAAATAAAATTGGACTTCTCCTAAACCCGAAATATTCTTTATTCACGAGAGAATACACATTAGCGCCAGCCGGGGTACCATTCCTCGAGATTATTCTAGTTACTGGAATAACGGTCCCTTTTCCCATCCCTTGCAGCCTTGACCCGCTCCGGTCGGGAATGCGGGACGTGCACCTTAGCTCCGCCGCAGTCACCATTCCAAGTATTAAAAATCGGGCTTTCATTGGCCCGTTATTTAGATTGTCTGAGGAAGTGCAACATCACCTTCAAGCCAGGCTCTGGATAACACATGGTTCTGAGGATCTGAGGTGTGCCTCAGCGTTCCTGCCAAGCATTTCTGCGCTGCTGAATGTGTCTTCACTGGTCTATTTGGACCTCAACAGAGCCAGTGGGGACGCAGAATACGCAATAGGTAGAGGCCTAACTTTGGACCGGTTAGTACCTGCCGTCTTTCACGAGACAAGCGTTCTTCCAAGGGCTGTGCTGCGGTGAAGCCCACCCTTGAAGAGCCAAGTGTACACAATACCGAGATGACTGAAACTAACTCTCCCGCGGACGATCCACTGGCAGCTGCAATTCGGTCCGTGATGAAGGATAAGAGACACCAAGGGATAAGAAATCCAAAATGAAGATTGACAGACCCTTGTTCTGTGACCCCTTATACTTTTTCCTGGAGCGCCGCCTCTCATAAATCTGCCTCTCTCGTCGCTATAAGCGAAGGGACGAAATCTTCCTGTCCTTAAATACCAAGCCAGGCTGACAGGTCCACCTTCGTCCAGAAAATGTCATCTGGGGGGCTGAGTCCTGTTACCGAGAACCGATCGCAGTCAAGAGCTACGGGTCCAAATCCCAAATTCCAAACGCACTATTATCCAAATGCACGTTTTTGGTCTGACGTCGAGAGATCGACCAAAATGAATTGGGTGCGGCATTTTTGTTATTGGTTGGTATGCAGGGCAAGAGATCCGATAAAGTAAGCCCGGGTGGACCAAGGGATGGCCATATATGGGGCAGGGGGAGGAAAGTGAGCAATCCAGGTCGTCCTTGCTGAATGGACACCGCTCATTAACGTTCATTGCATGTTATCCTCGTAGCCTGATAACCAAGACACCTCTTTTCACTTCCGAATATGGAACATCCGGAGCCCAGCAGATGATATCATCACAAGAGCAGAAACAAGGTATCAGAGCAATGGGAAAATGGGGAGGAGGGGGAGACCGAAACATGAAGAAATTCAAGACCACCAGTCACACACAGTGTCGCAATAAAAATTCGTCCACACTTCAGGGGAACAGCGGTCCAAATCCTTCCATAATCAAGTGCACAGGGTCAGGGGCGGAAACGGCCCAAAACCGATGAATTGACTGTAAAAAGGAGCCAAAACATCACACAACCCGTCGGCGACTCCGTCGTTGCAGGGGGAAATTAGGGGAGTGGAGCGCGCCATACTGGAAAAGGGCAATCGTTGATAGCGCGGCATCCTTCGAAAGGGGGCAGTGCATCGGGCGAGGGAGACGGGAGGGGAAAAAGGGAAGAAGAAAGTGCGTCGTCGTTCGAGGGAGAGATGTCGGGTTTATATAGATGAGTTGTGGCGGCCAGCGGAAGGGCAAAAGCGGCGAGGAGCAGCGAGAAAGCACGCTATCCCCGAGAGGGTAGGTACCTAACCGTGCCAGGCAATGGGATGGTCGTTGGCAGTAGGCGGTCGCTGGCGGCAGATGGACGGTGCAATAAGAGCTGTTTTCCGCGCCCCGCTTGCTGTCTTGTAGATTAAAATCAATTGTCGACCAAAATAGGTTTATATTACTGATTATTCAGCATCCTCTCGGTCCGACTTTGTTCCTTTGTTGACCAATTTTATTCAGTTCTTCCAGATAGATTCAGATAGTTAGAGACCTTACCTTTCAATATAGATGGATCCCTATCTATAGATCAGTGATAGTAGCTTATACGCGTATTCAGCTGGCCGACACATCGTTTTGTTTGAGTGGGTAAAAGGGGGAACCAGTGAAAAGTGTTATGAAGGAATATGGTCGATGAGAAACTAGTGTGCCGCATTTTATTGAGGCTACCTACTCAGCCTGCTCACCCCCCCGTGCTCATGATCAGCTCAGGCCGCTCAGGGCGTGCTCAGGTCTACTCAGTGAGCAAAAAGCGGCGAGGGGTGAGCACGAAAACGGAAAGGGAAGGCCTTCGAGCTGTGTAGAAAATCAAGTTCGTATGTCTGTCTGTATGTACAAGAGCATTTTATGGCCGTCCGTCCACGTAGATCTAGACTACAGCTTCGCCACACTCGTTTCCAGAGCCAACGACCGACCGCGACGCAAATCGACCACAATACCATCCCCAAAGCCAACCTCCTGGCAATCCTCGTCCCCGACCCCATTGACAAACTGCACCACGACAAAATCCACCCGTCTGGATCCAAGCAACACCATCGGCGCATGCCAGACGCCCACACCGTAGGTAACCGCCTGACCACCACGCGCCACGAATGCTCTCAGATTCTGCAAGTCCGGGGGATCGCGGATGGACTTGGGACCGGACGGGGTGGTCGCGATGACGGTTTCACCCTTGCGAGTCGGGGCCACCACGACGAGGAAGTACGGTTCTTCCTGGTCCCCTGCGCGGGACTGACTGGATAGATCAATGGGGATGAAGGTCTGGGTGGTGTAGGGGTGGCGTTCGAGAATGCGCACGTCGAAGACTGAGGTTTCTGCGTCCCCGGTCGCGGACGGGGAGGAGGAGATGGTTTTTCGCAGCTGGCGCGGAAAACAGGAGAACATGCTCATGCGCGCCGAGGATGGGTGTCCGCTGGGACAGAGACCAGGATACTGGTCCAGGAGCGGCGAGACTGGGCTATACTTGAGGGCGGAGGACTGGTTCGCGAGAACGGGGCTGGGTTGGTGTGGTGGCAGAGACGACAGCGCCGGTGTGGTGGAGAGATCGCGAGGAAGAGGCGAGCAGATCGCAGTCCCAAACGGTGCGAATGCCTCGGGGGAGAGAGGCTCTGGGACGACACGCAGCGTGGGGTTGCTCGTGAGAATTGGAGTCGTCATGGTGGTGATGATGTCACACCGGGACGACAACCGGAATATCAAGAGAAGTAATAACAAGGAGATACGGAAGAACAAGGACTAGCCTCCCAGCAAGCGTGGGACAATGGAGGGAATATGGAAGAACATGGCGAAGAGAGACATACGGGGAAATAAATACTCTACTGTATTAAGACGAGGAAAGGGTCGTCGGAAGTCGCCGCGCTAAACGTCAAATACGGAAGAGGCCGGTTGTGACCAGCCAACGCTTTGAGACTACCTTCATATCTGAGAAAACACCATGAGGACTAACTGTACAGTTTATGTATTTCTAACATCAGAGTTCCGACCCCGTCAGTTTCTTCGTCAGTTTCTTCGTCATGAAGGCAGTCCAGACACGAGGAGGGAAGATTGCTGCTGGCCCATGCCGTTCTGGAAGACAACGCCCCCAAGTACGACCGACATAGCCATCGCCATGTTGCGGATAAAGCCAAATGTCGCGGTTGCAGCGGCCGTCTGGTCCTGAGGCACGTTACTCTGGAGAGCTAGTAGAGGTGGGAAGAACAGAAGACCGCACCCCATGCCGGTGACAATCTGGTAGACAATAATTTTTCCCAGCGAGGAAGCGGCGCCAAAATCGATAAATAATCCAGTTCCCAGGAGTACAACGGCGGTTCCGACCTAAACCACCTCAAGGTATCGGCCTGTGCTGTGGATGATGATTCCAGCTGCCAGACTCAAGGCAGCTTCAGTTAGAACAAAAGGCAGGACCATGAGACCCGAGTGGAAGGGGGCTGCTTCCTTCGCAGACTGGAAATAAAGAGGGAGGTAGTATTCTGCACCGACGAAAGCCTGCATCCAATCTATCAGATTAACTGGTATCCGCACGGGCTCTTGTTTCCAATACTCACTAAACCCTGTGTAGAGGCCATGATGAAGCAGGCAATATTGGATCGTTTGGTAAACATTCCAAGAGGCATAAACGGATACCTTGCCAGGCGTTTCTCGCAGCAGATGAAGAGGAGACATCAGACAGCCAAAGACGACAAGGCAAATGATCTTGGGTGAACCCCAAGGAAAGGTTGCTCCCAAAGTCGAGTCCAAGCAGCACCATCACCGTCAGCCCTAGGATGGACAGACCGCCAAACCAGTCCACTGCCTTGGTGCCATCCATGGCCGCCGTCCTCGGATATGTACATCCAAAAATAACGAAAGGAGGACAAATGCTGTTCCACAGATAGGTAGGTTGATCCAGAATATCCATCTCCAGGAAACAGACTCGGTGAACGAGCCACCAACGAGTGGCCCCGGGCCCGACAATAGTCCATATGAATTCAACGAGCCCCAGAAAGGCGTAGTCTACACCAGTCGTCAGTCGTCAAGATCCTGTGCATGATTGACCCTGGGTAGAATCTAGTCGTACCTCGCACTGATCCGAGATGGTGATGGTAACCAATTGGAACTGCCCACCCCCAGCTATTCCCTGCATGTCACGACCGGCAATCAGCATAGGCATATCAATTGCAGTGGCACAATAATCGAAGCACAAAAAGAGAGCAACTTCTGCTAAAAAGATCTTTCCCCCCATATATCGGACAGATTGGCGCAGATGTTCGAACTAGCGGCATTGGCTATCAGGTAGACACCACCGGTCTATACGTAGCCCATTCCTGAGTGTAATATTTCCGAGATTGTAGGTATTGCGGTGGCCACATTAGATTGGTCAAGAGCGGAGATGAACAGACTAAGCTGGATGGCATTAGTTTCCTTCGTCTCTTTCTCTCATTATGTCTCCAATATGCGACTTATATCATGGAGAGAAGAGTTTCTAGCGGCTACGAGGCCTCTCAACACCAGATAGTGATTGATCTGCAGGCAATGCTTGCTCTTTTTTGGTCTCTCTGGGGGACATAGCCTCCATTCTGCCATCCTCTGCTTCGTAATAGATTGAAGTATCTCGCTCACCAAGGTCGATGCTTGGGCAGGCCCTGGAGATGCCATCTTTGATGGCCACCTCAATCACAACAGCAATTGGACAAGAGAACAGACTTGACAGAATCAATGAATCATAAATTAACTCTGTAAATCCATCGTGCGCTCTGACACCTCATGTTTACTGCGTTTGTCTTGTTCTGTGGCCTAAGGCTTCATATCTGGTTGATTGGCCAATTGCATTCACTCGACCTACTCCTTTCTCTTCGTCTTCTTTCTCTCCATCAGGCACTGGAATGCCATCAACTCCCATCTGACTGGGCTATCCGGGCCGTTTATAATCTCCTGGATGTGACTCAATTTCCCAGTTATAGGAGCATATGCAATGCACAGGAAGTCCAAAGTAAAGAAAGGAAGAAACAAAGAAGGACGAGGGGATGAATGCACCACATCCTGGTTTAATGCTGGAATCTCACTTGCAGGGAAATACTTACAACTCAGAGTCAGAAAGGTTGCACTGATATTCCACCGTCCTTGTGTGTAAGAATCAAGAGCTACAACCTTTTAGACGTGCGCATATACTCATAAGTCTCCTGTTCAACAGAGACCCCCAGAATACCCGAAAAGATGGCAATATCATCATCAAAGGGCCAATTTACACACTTGAGTAAGCAGCTCTCCTGGTGCCCTGTCCACACAGATGTGGGCATTCAAGAGGAAATTAGAAGAGGAAAAAAGGCTGAATCTCCAAGTGCGTTAGCGAACATATCATGGAGATTTTGATCCACTCTGACCCGTCTAGACATATAATGATCTCTGTAGATGGTCAATTAACAATAGAGCTGCATTCCAGGGTTTCTGCTGGAACTACTTCCCTTTTATCCATGAAGGCATGTATACCTCGGTAGTCAACGAGTCGGCCCGCATTGACAGTATTCCTACCTGGTTCGAGGGAGTCCTTCTCAATTTCGCAGAGAATATGCTCTTCACGGCGGAGACGTCGACCAATGGACAACTAAAAGTAACAACAACCGGCAAGGAAGATGGCAAGATTGCTGTGACGCAGATCCGGGAGGAAGGGTCGGAGCCAGCCACGAGCTTCACCTGGGCACAATTGAGGCAAAAAAAAAAATAGAAGGTTGATCCAAGCATTGAAAGCAGTTGGGGTTGTTGAGGGAGACCGCGTGGCGATATTAGCCAGTAATAGTATCGACACCTTGATGGTCTTCCTGGCAACGACAGCCCTCGGGGCCCAGTTCTCGTCGGCTTCCACTAACGCCAGGGTCAAAAGGATCCTCGACAGACTGCTTCAGCTTAAACCGATATGCGTCTTCATGGACGATGCTGCAGTCTACAACGGGAAGCAGATCGACCTGCGTTCGAAGATAAAGGACGTTGTGGATGGCCTTGGAGACGTTCAAGAGTTCAATGGTATTGTGTCTATTCCTCGACATGTAGACCATCCTGCAGATGTGAGCGCAATGCCTAGAACCCAGCCATTGGCAACGTTCCTGGAAAGTTAACAATCGGATAAGCTGGAGTTTGTTCGCACCGACTTCCGCAGCCCCTTCCTAGTGGTCTATTCGTCTGCCACGACAGGTAAACCTAAGCCCACCGTGCAGAGTGCAGGGAGATATCTCCTCAACGGGACCAAGGAGTCTCGACTACACCGAGACATCGGTGCCAATTCCACCATCCTGCAATACACTACAACCGGATGGATCATGGACCTCGCCGCCATTGCGGGGCTGGTATTTGGAAGAAGGACTATTCTATACGATGGGAGCCCGTTTCTCCCGGACGTCAAGTTTCTCATCCAGCTCCTAGGCGAGCACAAAGTGACTCATTTTGGCACGTCACCGCGATATTTCCACGAGTTACGAAAGCACGGCATTCGATGGCATTCGTCCCAGGGAGATCGCCGATCTCAGCAACCTGTCCGTCACGACCAGCACAGGTATGGTCTTGTCGGAATCTCTGTCCGAGTGGTTCTACAGTGAAGGTTTTCCTGCTCACACACAGCTGGCCAATATCTCCGGGGGAACCGATCTGGCCGGTTGCTTTGGACTCGAGAACCCAATCTCCCCGCTCTACGTCGGCGGATGTCAATGTGCAGGACTAGGGATTCCCATTGCGGTCTTTGACCAAGCCGACGAGGGTGCTTCCGGAGTTAAAGGGACTGAAATACCCGACAGCACTCCGGGAGAGATAGTAGCCACAGGGGCATTTCCCACCATGCCGGTGAGGTTCCTAGGAGAAGACGGGAGCCAGAAATATTTCGATTCTTACTTTGCCCGATTTGACAGTGAGTTTGACTTCCTCCCAGTAACTCAGTGGTGATTCTACACAAGCCCACTTTTATTGACCAAGGGTACAAAAAAAACACAGATGTATAGACACACGGCGACTTCATCAGCATCCATCCCATCACCAAACAGATCTTCTTCTTAGGTCGATCAGATTGAGTGTTGAATCCGTCCGGAATCCGGTTCGGATCCAGTGAGATCTACAATGTCACTGATACGCAGTTCACCGAGGAAGTCGTCGACTCGAACTGCGTGGGCCAGGGACGACCCCAGGACAGCGACGAATCTGTCATGTTATTCCTACTGACGAGACCAGGTTCAACTTGATGCCACAGTTGGTTGGACGAGTCAAAGAGGCAATCTGCAAGGCACTCAACGCTAGACTTGTGCCCAAGTATATCTTTCAAACTCCCGAGATTCCGGTATGATATATCTGTCAATATATAAACCCTGAACCTAGCCATGCTAGATTATCAGAAACTGATGCGAAACAGACGACGGTAAATCTGAGGAAAGTCCAGCTTCCGGTCAAGTAGATTGTTTCTGGCAGGAAGATCAAAGCGTCTGGGACGTTGTTGAACCCGCAGTGCCTAGAGTATTTTACAAATTTTCTGAGGTCGAGAAAGTGGTGGCTCCCAAGAGCAAACTATAAATTGAGAATTGTATATGGTTAGTGTTGTCTAGAGTTATCTAGAGCTGGCAGCTACGATAACCAGGGCTATCGAGAATATCAATCCGTTATGAGGCTTTCATTCCCCGCTGCGTACTCCGTAGACAGCGGGAGAACCTAATCGTATTTGGCTCTCCTTATATCAGCGGACTATGCGGATAAGTATATGGCGTTCGAGATGACGGAAGTTTTATATACCCGTGCTAGTCATACATGTACGTTTTCGGTTGCTCATTGGACGCCTATACAGTGATCCATGGGATACAGGAATATATTGGACTTTCCAGAAGCCATCAAGAAACACAAACTGACCGCCTCCGAGAGGGTTCCTCGAGGATCAGCTCCCCTGGATGTGCTTGAATGAGACTGATCGCGCACACTCCGTCCAGATCAAGCATAATACATACAATAGAACCCATGGACAAGAACCGAAGGAAGAACAATGAAAGAAAGGATATATGCGCCGACTCTATACGCCCATCGTGACAGGAAGAAGACCATTGTGCCCTACCGTTGGAGAAATGATGAGAAAATACTAAAATCGTAATGTATCTATTTGTTATGTATCATGAAATTGCGGAAGGAATCCCAGTGGTCGGAGTCGGCGTAACTGTGTAAGAGTCAGCCAGAGCTTTTATTTTTTTGGAGAGGGAGAACCTACATATACACCATGCTGCTTCGGAGACTCGACATGAGGGTCTCCGGATACCAACGGAAGATGTACATGACGAATGCCCAGCTGAAACTGGCGAATAATGGCCATGCATTTTTCTCGATCTCGGCTCGGGCGTCAGAGGTGATAAGTCCGGATAGAGGGTGCATGCCAGGCTGCACGGCAAGTTTCGCGAGGGCGAGGACCACACGGGCAAAAACGTAGATGACAATCTGGGAGGCACAAGATGAGTCGTCTCAAATTCCACCATGGCTTTCAAGGGACCCTTTGCATACCTGTTGAGTGATGCTTGTTTTGTGTCGGCCAAAGACGGCATATCCGCCCAATAACCCAGCAAAGAAACTGTCATATCGACCTTCTTTCCCCACCCCGGTGGGGTTGACATTCCGTAGAACAATCATCGAGCTCTTGTAAATCAATGCGAACGTCGCTAGGTTCCGGGCGTGTTGGCGCGTGGCTTTAAACACAAGCTTGGCTTTTTCGCGAAAGCTGCAGAACTGGATTCAGCATACCGAGCATCCACTATTGCGATGCGGGTCACCTTACGTTCCGGAACGGAAGAGGAGGATCATCCTGTCCGATAAAGAAATCCTAGGTTAGCCCGTTTCCTGTTGTACGCGAGGCCATCACTACGAGACATACACCAAAGCGTGCGGAAACCGCACTTTGGCGCCGTACACTGCGCCATTACGGACCCCCTTTGCCAGCGATAATAGCGGCGCGAGTTCAGGTTTAGTAACCAGGGTATCCAGACCGGACTGCATCGCGATCAGTATGATTCCGGTAGAGTTGATAGTCAGTTTTCATCCTACCATGAGAGCATCCATGGCGACTCACTTGCCGGGGACCTCGGCAGGGTGGGTCGGAACAGCAACAAGTCGATAGGAATTCACCGACAGAGAACGTCCAACAAACCGGAACTCATGAGGGAATAAGGAAACCCGGAGCAGCAGTCAAAACCGAAACAGTTGCAGAATCCGGCAGGCGTGGGAAGGGAGATCACAGAGAAGAACGAGGGTGGAGACGGGCATTTAAAGACGTCGCGGGAAAGATCCTCGGCATGTGAGACCCCAAAACGTCATGTCACGTGGGAATATACTATGGAGCATACTCTGTGCATCGCAAGACAGATCATGGAACTTTTCACACAGCAGTGTCTAACTACATAAACACAAGAAGCAGAGCCATTCGACTAAATCCACCGAAATAAACGCCGGGGTGCGAAACGGGAGGAAAAAACTCCACACAAATCATGCATGCCACATTACTGATTGCCAGGCCCCCAGTTGATACCATCTTCAGCCCGTCTTCGCCCTCTTCCGGCCCTCGTCCTCTGAAATCTCATCCACATCCATCGCGTCGGCGTTCCCTTCTTCCTCATCGGACTCCATCCCTGCTCGTCGCTTCAATCCCTTCATTTTCCGCGTCTGCAATCCACCCAGATCCTGCTTCGCCAGATGCACACGACCGATCTTGTCACCAATCGTGTCCATGCCAATGTTCTTCTTCAACTTGATTTCCTCGTTGGGTCGCTTGCCCTGCTTCATCGCCTCCTTCATCGCCTCCCGAGGCGCCTCCTGAAGGCGGCCTACCTTGAAGTCGAACTTCGGGCCTATCTCATCCAGCTCTACCCGCGGGAGCTTGTGTCCGCTGCGCTTTGTCCGGATTTTGTACCACCGCAGATGGATCACGGGAGCTAGTCCCTCGGTGGGTTCGTCGGCGGCCAGTAAAAGTGCATACTGTAATCCCTCGACGTCGATCTTATCCGATATCTCGCCCTTGAACATATCCACAAACATACTCTTAAGTAGAACATGCGGCGTCGACGTAGAATCATCCCATGCGCTTCCCGAGAAAAGCATCAACGGCCGTAGCCCAACGCCCACGTGCATAGTAAGGTTGTTCATGGCGGGGATATCCTCGCCGTCTGGGTTGGGGAGGAGCATCAGTTCACACATGTCGAGGAGCTTCGAGTCGAATACACGTGCCACAGTCACACAGTTCGGTCGCTTCTTGCTGCTACTTCCAAACACGACCATTCCGCACTCGTTCTTGTTGGCCAGAAACTCGAGGCTTTCGACATTCTCGAACGGGTGGATCTTCTCGTTCTTCTTATGGAACAAGACCGAATTTGGCCGGGTCAAGGAATGGAACGTCTTGAGAACAGTGTGCAGGGGTGTCGGACATTTCGAACCGTGCATTAAAAGAGTCCGCTTGGGGGGTTCGATGAGCTGGGGTTCTTTGGCTTTGAGAATGCGCGCCGTACGCGGATTCTTGGGTTTTCTGTTGTAGGCATTCCACCGGTCAGTAAGATGCGGACTCACACACAAACATACACAGATACACACGCTCCTCCTACATATTGTACTTACACTTCTCGGAGCATCATGATGAGCGAGAGTCAGCTCTTTCTGCTGAAGAAGATGCGAGAGAGTTGCTTAACGGGCAAAATCCGAACCGAAAAAGCGGAGCGAAAAGTTTTGGCGCTCGAGGTCTTGGCATCGCTTATCGATAAGGTTAACGATGATAGATACGGAAGTATTATTTAGAAGTCCCTATTTAGAACGAGATAATTATCTAGAACAATCAGATAGATTCACTATAGACGGTAGGTCAAATCTACTCTAGCCGCAACTTTTCAAACTCGCGGATCTGCTCCTCCAACCGCGCGAACTCGCTCTCGGCATCGCGAAGCTTCTTCTCCTCCGACTCGCGAATCTCAGGCTTGACCTTCTCCTGCCAGGTGGCAGAGCCCACCAGCTGCTGTTGACGGCGCACAACCTCCAGCGACCTCTGGAGGCTGGCCTTGGCCTTCTCCTCTTGCTCGAGAGCCACCTCCTTGGAGACACGGAGGTAGACGGCAGCCTGAGAGCCGACAGCCGACACAACACAGCCCGAGGGCCGAGTGGTGTTCTCCGGTCCTTGCACGCTGAGATCGCCCAGGAACTTGCCGCCCAACGACTTGATGCTAGTGATCTCATCCGAGATGGTCTTGTGGCTGGTCGCATCGTAGGTTTGGATGATGATGTCGCCCTTGGTCTTGAGCTCGTATTGGGCAATGATCGACCGAATGGCCTTGGAGGTATTCAGGATGAGCTCGTAGGCCGCTTCCGCAGCGGGGTCGTCGAACTCGGGCTGGTACTCAGGGTACCGGGCCTTCATGATCGAGATGGTACTATCGCCAGCACGACGAGGCAGACGCTGCCACAGGTGCTCCGTCACGAAGGGCATGATGGGGTGGATCATGGTCAAGGCACCCTCCAGAGTAGTGTACAGCGTCTCCTTCGCCGACTGCTGCACCTCAGCAGGCGCGTCCAGTGTAAGGAGAGACTTGGAGTTCTCAATGAACACGTCACAAAGTTGGCTGTACCAGTACTGATAGATAGCAATCGCGGCATCGGAGAACTCGCGTTGCTCCAGTGTCTCATTCATCTGCTTAGCAGCGGCATTGAATTTGTGCAAGATCCAGCGTTCGGAGAGAGACTCGCGACCAGTCTTCGAAGCAGTGGCTTGTGGTTTGAAATCATCGCCCAGTTTGCCGAGGACGAACTTGGTCGCCTGGTAGATCTTGTTGCAGAAACGGCGATAGGCGTGGATCACCTGGACATCAAACGCAATATCCCCTCCTAAGGCGAGTCAGAAACCATTCCATTATCATGAAAAAGTCCACGAGAATCACTTACCACCAGTAGTATAAGACACCAGAGCAAATCGCAACGCATCAGCACCGCACTCAGGGATACCCTTGGGGAACGCCTTCTTCTGGTACTTGGTAGCCGTGGCAATCTCTTTCTCGGCCAGGTTACCAGTGAGCAGCTTGGCATGGAGATCATTGAGTTCAATCCCCTCCATGACGTCCAGAGGGTCAATGACATTACCCAAAGACTTAGACATCTTCCGGCCCTCGGAGTCTCGGATCAAAGAGTGACAGTAGACCTCCTTAAAGGGGACCTTACCAGTCAGCTTAATGCCCAGCATGATCATTCGAGCGACCCAGAAGAAAAGGATATCCCAGCCGGTTTCCAGGACAGAAGTCGGGTACAGAGTTTCAAAATCGTGCGTCTTATTAGGCCAGCCCAAGGTTGAGAATGGCCACAAACCGGACGAGAACCATGTGTCAAGCACATCTGGGTCTCTCTGCAGGATGAACTTCTTGCCGGGAAATTTAGCCTCAGCCTTCTTCTGGGCCTCCTCCTCGGTTCGGCCAGTGACCCACAGATTGCCATCGCTATCATCCCCATCTTCACCCTCAATCTTTATGAAATAAGCCGGAGCCTGGTGACCCCACCAAAGCTGTCTGGACAGACACCAGTCGTTGATATTCCTCAGCCAGCGGAAATAGTTCTTAGCAGCGGATTCGGGTCGGATGATGATTTCACCATCCTCAACCGCCTTGATGGCCGGCTCCGCAAGGCTCTCCATCTTCATCCACCACTGGGGCTTAAGGATGGGTTCGATAATGTCATTAGACTTGGCACAGCGTGGGATCTTCATGGGATTATGCTCCCATTTCACATACAAGCCCTTCTCTTTAAGGAGTTCGATGACCTTGTAACGGGCATCGAAGCGCTTCATGCCCGCAAAGGGCCCTCCCTTCTTGTTAAAGGTACCGTCATCATTCAACACGGAGATAAACTCAAGGTTATGGGCCTTTCCACGGTTAAAATCGTTGAAATCATGGGCGGGTGTAATCTTGACAGCGCCGGTACCGAACTCTGGGTCAACTTCAGGGTCGGCAACAATGGGCAGCAGGCGGTCCACGAAGGGGTGTCTGGCAAACTTGCCAATCAAGTGCTGGTAACGCTTGTCGTCAGGGTGGACAGCAATACCAGTATCACCAATCATGGTTTCCGGACGAGTAGTGGCGATCTCGATTCTCTCCTTAGTGCCATCCATCTCGTAGCAGAAGTGAGTCAGGACACCAAATTCAACCTTTTTCTCGTAGCCGGGAACGTCCAGAAGAGTGCGGCCTTCGACCTCCTTGTTCTCAACTTCCAAGTTGGACAACGATGTATTCAGAGCCACACACCAGTTGACCAGGCGGTTGGCACGGTAGATGATACCCTCCTCATGCAGACGAACGAAAGTCTCGGTGACAGCAGCAGACAGGTTGGGGTCCATGGTGAACGCCTCGCGAGTCCAGTCGAATGAACCACCAACTCTACGCAAGGAATTCTTGATATTGGCATGGTACTCGTGCTTCCACGCCCACACCCTATCCGTAAATTCCGGGCGACCCAGATCATGACGGGTCTTCTTCTCTCTCTTCCAGAGCATCTTCTCGACGACACTCTGGGTGGAGATACCGGCGTGATCCATGCCCGGAAGCCACAACGTGGTCTTGCCCTTCATCCGCTGCCAACGAACCATGGTGTCCTGGAGGGCATTGGTGAGGGCATGTCCCATGTGAAGGGACCCAGTGACATTAGGAGGAGGGATTGGGATAACAAAGTATCCCTCAGGCTTGACCTTGTTATCAGGGCCGAACTCGGGAATAAAGAGGCCCTTCTCCTCCCACCATTCGTAGCGGCCCGACTCAATTACCTTGGGGTCATACGCATCGGCAGTCTTCTCCTTCTCAACCTTGTTGGCCTTTTTATCCGCCTTGGGGGCAGCGGGCTTGGCCGATGCAGCCTTGGCCTGCTTTTCCGCAAACTTCTTCGCTTTCTCGGCCTTGCGTCGCTCGCGCTCCACTAGAAAATAGCATCCAAATGTCAGATAGTGCCAAGCTAGCCAAGGGGGACACCTAGTACCAGCAAGATACAGTAGGTGGAACAGGACTCCATACATTCTTTCTCGCTCTTCACCTTGGGAGGTGCGGTAGCAGCAGCGGCATCCTGGTTTCTCGTTTGCTCATCGGCCTGAGGAGGAGTGTCAATCTTGGGAGCCGAAGGCTCACCAGCTAGAAAAGCAAGCAGTTCCGTTAGCCACGTATATTCCACAAGAAATATCAAGTCACAGAAGAAGATAAAGAATAACGCACCTGGGTTCTGGGGGGCAGAGGGTTCAGCCATCCTGGAAAATGATCGATAGATTGGAGGGGTGAATCTCCTGGGCGCCGATCGCGCCACGAGTTGCCGGATAAGTATCTTGACCACCAGGGACTCCAACGGCAATAGACAGCAAGGAGGGTGGTTGTGCGAATTGCGGGCAATTAAATTTCAAAGATCGGAACGGAGCGGGGCCCAGGGGAAAAAGGCGGCGGTGGAGCGCTGATTGGGATTGGATTGTAATGGGTTGGGCCGGTATTAGGTATTAGGTAGGACTCTGTATAGCACTCAATCATATCCTCTAGAGATCAGTCTCCTGGCACTGATTGTGTCCACGGTCGGCACAGATTAACTATCAATCACAATGATCTGTTGCTGGGATGTCTCGAAATGAGTCACGTCACGTGATACATGCTGCCATATTGAGGACTTCGAGGAGATAGCTACAGGAGAGACAGATACTCATCTATGTTGACACCGAAAAAGACATCGTCTATATGATCTGCATAACCATAAGGGAAAGGGATGGATTCGCAATGCTTGATTGAAACGAAAGCCCGGAGAGAATCATATAAGCACCAAACTACGCCGTTCAATGACGCAAAGGGATAACTGTGCTGGGAATAGTAGAATATGAAATAAAATCAACCGAGAGAACAAAGAAATCCCACTAACACCAGTCCAACAGCTTACGAAGGAGAAAGGGCGTGAGAATAGGGAAAATCTGCTGGGATGCGCAGAGTAAAAACGGGAGTAAGTAGAATCCTATCACCCCGTCTAGTCGATTTCACTCACTGGATACGCCATATACAAGGATTGAGCGGACTTGGGCTCCGAGCCCAATGGATTAGGTGCATGTCATCTGATCATCGTCGTCTCCATCCTTATGCCATAACTCATCGCATCCATGGCGCATGAACTTCTTGCTGTCTTTCTCCTTTTCGTAAAAAATGTTTTTTGTCGGGTCTTATATCAAAGTTTCCGTTTCAAACCCAGAACCAACTCAAAACTTCGGACCAAATGGGTGGATATCAATTGCAATGGGGTGACAATAATCACAGAGAGCGCCGATGGATCTGACTATTCTCCAGACGAGACAAGAGCGCTCATGTAAACACCTCTGCACCTCATCAGGAAGCAACATTGTTCCCACTCCGTGCCTCTGCTGCCCGAACGGGAGCAAAATAAGGGTGAGCCATGGCCTCCTGGGCGGTAAGTCGTTCCTACATAGTGAAGTTAGCACATTTTGGATTATGCAATTGGAATCTCCAAAAATGAGGGCACATACAGCATGGTCGTATCGCAAAAGCTTGTCCAAGAAGTCGATCGCCTCATCACTGACGAAGCGCTGGTTGTCGGCGTTGACGAAGGATTGCCAGGTTTTGCGTGGGAACCGGGAGAGGATTTCGTCGTACTGGGGATCAAGCTCAATTTCGTATTTGTCCAAATATTCAAAGAGCTCCTCTGTCCCCAGAACCTTAGCAATTTTAACCAGCTGGTCCGAATTGCTGTTTCCGTGGAAGAAGGGCTCCTTGCGGAAGATCATGGACGCGAACATGGCCCCCAGAGACCACATGTCGAGGGAGTAGTCGTACTCTTGGAAGTCGACCAGTAACTCGGGGCCCTTAAAGTAACGAGAGGCGACTCGGACGTTGTACTCGGTACCCTTGTGGTAGAATTCGGCAAGACCCCAGTCGATAAGACGCAGCTAAGAACTTGTGTCAGTAAGTGTACAACATAGTCAATCCATATGCAGAACCAACCTTTCTTTTTTCATGGTCGATCATGACATTGTGGGGCTTCACGTCACGATGCATGATACCCTTACTGTGGCAGAAATCCAGCGCCTTCAATAGCTCATAGACATAGAAGCGAACATCGTAGTCGCTAAATCGCGGATACAATGTCCGAAAGTCGGTGTTATTCACGTATTCGAACACCAGGCTTGGGGTCTTGCTCTGACTATCGCGGACCACATCCAACAGGGCAACCACATTGGGACCTCCCGCTAGGTTCTGAAGAATCTTGATCTCGCGCTTAATCTTCTTCTTCTTGACCGGCTTGAGGACCTTGATGACACACTTCTGATAATTGACGACATTGATGCCCTCGAACACTTCGGAATACTTGCCCCGACCTGTGGTGACCATTGTCAGCTTTCACCTTGCTATGCTACATGCACTTCCCAGATAATGGGACCCAACGATATCACACACTAATGAGGCAGGGGCAATGTTTTCGCCTTACCGATCTTGCGGACCACCTCGTAGTTCTCCAAGACTCCCCAGGAGATGTTGACACTATCATAGTCCCAGTACGACCGAGGCATATGCTCGTTGACATTAGCGTAAACGCGCGCCATGATGATGGCGGCCGAGAAGCAGTCTCCGGGTCAGCCCACAACGGATATCAAGATAAAATGCGGCGGGGTAGAGAGGGGGAAAGATTGCGATGGCAAAAGGGTTCACAACAGAGGAATTGGATTTAGAGGACAGACAACAACAGCTGCAAGGCTGGGAGCAGGAGAGCTCGTCTAAACAGTGCAGCCGTGCTATCGCCCTGAGCAACGATGGGGACAAGTGATGTCTATTATGCGATGATCAGAATGGCTAAGAACGTTTCGCTCCGCCTTTGCAGTCACGGGACCTGACCAGGTGAGGTTATCTCCCGATCTGGCTAGACCAATGTCGGACCGGAAAAGCATTGACGCGCGGGAGATTTTTGGGATTTCCTTTCTTGGACAAATCCCGTAGCTTTCTTCAGCGGGAGAGGAAAAGAAGGCCGAACAACCAACATCGCAAGGGCAGTGGAGCGTATTTCTGGGTCTTTTAAAGAAAGTCAAGATGTTCTACGATCTTAATGTGCCCTATAGTCCTGATGATTCCGAGATCTCTCCTACCTTGAGCTTCCTTGCAGAACGTACGTCATTCATCAATTGCGGCACACGACCAGGTGTTTATGATGGCCACATGAAGAGCTGACCTGACATCTAGTCGGTTACACAACGGTGGCTCTCTCCCAAACTGTTACCGGGAAGCTTCCTCCGAATCCCACTCCCCCTCCAGCCCCAGCAAATGCTCCGATAGACCTGACGCTACTGAGCCGCATAAACCTGACTCTCTCGGATCCCGCGCAGAACCAACGCCTTTCCAGTCTATCTCAAGTGTATGATCTCGTTGCACTCCGACCCACCAATGAGAAGGCTCTTTTGAATGCCTGCACCAATTTGGAATGCGATGTGATCTCCCTGGATTTCTCGGTGCGACAACCGTACCACTTTAAGTTCAAAATGCTCTCTGCAGCCATCGCACGTGGGATACGGTTCGAAATCTGCTACGGACCCGGCGTCACGGGAAGCGGCACTGATGCTCGCCGCAACCTTATCGGCAACTCTATGGCACTAGTCCGGGCGACACGAGGAAGGGGAATCATCGTGTCCAGCGAGGCCAGGAGAGCATTAGGTGTGCGGGCACCGTGGGACGTGATCAATCTAGCTTGCATTTGGGGGTTGTCACAAGAGCGCGGTAAAGAAGCGATCTGCGAGGAAGCAAGGAAGACCATTGCACTGGCTAAATTGAAGCGGACCAGCTGGCGTGGGATCATTGACATTGTTGACGGGGGGGAGAAACCAGGGCCCGGGTCCAACACACTATCTGCTGGTCAGAAGGGTAGTAGTGCATCTAAGCAGAAAGGCGTGCAAGTTCAGGGAAATGGGGATGGTTTGAAAAGGAGGGCCTCTCTCGGCCTCGAGACAGTGGCTGAACCAGAGAAGCCACTATCCAAGCGCGAGATGAAACGCAGAGCCAAGAAAGCTCGATTGAATGCAGTTGAAGGTGATGGTAGCGACACAGCCGCGGCGCCTACGAATGGTTAACTAGGATTTGATTACAAATTCTATGATACATCAACCTACATGACTTCGACAGGGAACTAGCCACCTTCCTTCTAGACGAAGGAGCTACACGCACTGGATGGTATCTGCAAGACTGCAATCAAGCGGGGTGTAGTCACGCTCCTCGTCGCGGTTCCTCTGCAGACGCTGCGCATGTTCCTGGGATTCCCCCCTACATCTGGGAGCCTAGGGTCACAGACACCATATCTGCAGTCTGCCCGTTCATCCTAGTTAGGAAATAACTGAAGAACTACTCCAGCTACTACAATCACTGTGACTATTTCGTATTTAACTGAATCCTGTCGACAAATACCACCCGAAAGACACAAAATGCAGCAGCGAATGGCCCTTCCCAAAGCCCGGAATCCCACCAGAATTCATTTTCGTGAAGTACCCATCTGTGACAGATGTACACCTGAGATTCAGTCTCCATCGAGAACCGTTAGGTTGAGAAAAGGCGATGGAGGGACCATCTGACAGGTATTGGAGAGAATACCGATCTTCGTAGGATCACCGGCGGGGGTGATCAAAGTCTACAATTGCGATTGTTGCTAGATATAATAAAATGAAACAAAGTCACTTACTATAATCTCACAGTACTTTATAATAAACTCATAATCAAACCGGCAATTCCAACTTGCCATTATCATTATTCACGCACAATATTACAACCATTAACCACAACACCAAGAGCCCAACATCATTCTCATAGTAACACTGAATAAAATCCATATATTGAACCCAGGGATCCTTGCCAGAGTTAGGTACCTAGTCAGGCACAATACTAAAATTGGTTCTGCAGGCATCCCAAGCACCATGGAAACGGGATGGGTCATACAGCCGGACAGGTGACACTGTCATGTGCCACCAAGACAGAGAGAGTGGAGTGGGCAATGTAAATTCCACATGAATCATAAGGCATTTCATCCGTGAAAACCGACAATTCCAACGCGAGAGATAGATATCCCATGATGGTATTGGTGGTGATGATGATGACGTTAACCATTAGTGCTATGGAACTAACCTATTTCCCAAGATCCTTCACTCGAAGTAGCATGTCATTGTGGATGATTAATTCATTTCCGTGATTGATATGAAAAGGGCATGGGAAGAGGAGGACAGTGCAATAGGAATTAAGCAACAGTGGAGAAGAAGAAGAGAGGGGTATAGCCTTTATACAGAAAAGAGATAAGCCCCAATACCTCTTTCACAATGAAAAACCCATATGCAGGAAACCAAATATGCAGGCCCTAAAAATGATAAAGAAATAAAAATAAAAAGGAAGAATGAGGGGAAGAATTCAAGACTGGGTTCAATTCAAGAGGAACCTTCAAGCTCGACAAGGACTCTCAAATCACCATCCATCCAGTCTACATTTCCAGCAGACAAGAGCGCAATCGTCCATTCACCATCATTTTGCACGGATGTAAGCCCATCCGGAAGCCAGACCTTAACCCTCCACTGAGCGGACGAACCCCAGTGGCCTCCTGTAGGATCCATAGCGGAGCTGGACGAGATACCGGGTAACTGGCCAGGGAATCGTCGTATAATGAGCTGTTTGAGGGTCTCAAGATCCGGCGTTTGCCCTGCAGGTAAGTCATACCGGGGAAGTATGCGCTTGCCACCTTGCAGGACATTGATTCGCAATGAAATGGGGGGCTGAGAGGCGGCCGTCCCAGAGTACTCGGCATTTGCGACTCCCGACAAGGGAGGGAAATTTGGCGGCGGGATAGGCAGAGGCTGCGGGACGGGTGGATGTTCCTCTTGCTTGCCAGCCAAAGTATCACGAATAATTCGTGAGATGTCACGGGTGATGCTGCTTGCACTATAGAGAAGTCAGTATCATTCTCCTTCTAGCTTAGAAAAATGGACATACAATTCATTCCTGGCGGGCCGGTCGTGATTCCCGCCGATTCGCCATCGCAGATCCGATGTGACGTTTGAATTCAGTATACGATTGACATTTTCATCTTCACAGGGGGTTGGACAATCATATCCACCATTGTGGAGGATTTGGTAGTGGCTGTCAACAGCAGCAACTAGTCCCCGCCAATCTGGTTGTTGAAGGCCCGAAAGGTACCACAGGTTGTCAAGTTCATAATGTTGGTTGTACATGTCGTACGACTTGGTAATCGCATTCACGTCCGACGAATACCCGTCAAGGAAAAGATCCGTCAACCCTAACTCTATATCTTGCGACGTTGACCCCAAGGGTTGCGTTGCTAACATTGGAGGCTGCGTCGACGTGTATCCCTCGGGGAGGTGATGTTGCGCATGCATCTGCAGTTGCTCATCCACAGGAAACTTCGGAGGACTGGTGCTGTTGAAGTTCTGAATACTCTCCTCTGTCTTTCGTCGTCTCCGCTCCTCCGTTCCACCTCCTTTCCGCGTCTCGACTGCATATTGCCGTTGCCGTTCGTTGGTGACCATTCTCCTCAGCAACGGGATAACCAGGGAGATGATTTTCTGTTGATCTCGGGGCCATACGTAGGTTCGAGGGCCCATGTCCTCGTTGACTACATTTTCCCCAAAGAACCGCTCACCATGGCCCTCGGCTTCCAAAAAATGACGCACACAGTTCCATAATCTTAACTTGACCATCTCTGTGTCACCTTTGCCACGCTGTCCAACACATTCACGCCGCTCTGGGTGTTTGTCATCGAGCATATATGCCTTCGCCGCGGCTTGTAGGTGTAGAAAGTTCTCGGGCGATAATTCTAGGGACGCGAAGAGTTTAGACATTGGCGGGCGGGTGTACTTTTTGTTGCTCGATGGCTGACGAAATAGAGCAGCGGCGGAATGTAGACCAACAGCACGAGCGTCAGATAGTGACTGGGGTGGTGCAGACCGAATATCCAAACTGTCGCCACCGAAATGGTGTGGATGATGTTGATGCGGTTGCTGGTTGTGACCGATACCGGTTCCAGAAGCTGCTAAAGCAGGGTCCAACGGGTCATCGCCTCTCTTCCTTTTCTTTGATACGGTTCTGGACAAGCCAGAAGACTGGCTCTGGTCATTCGTTGTAGCTAAACCTGGCACACGCAAGTGTCGTCCGGAGCCCATGCCTGACCCGAAACCCGAATCTCCAAAGCCGTTGTCGTCCATGTGTATTTCAGACCCATAGCCCCCCATATGATGTTGATGTCCAGTTGCACCTGCGGCTGCAGCAATTGCTTCCGCTGCCGCCCACTCCGATACGTCCTGGCCGGCTGCTGCGGTGGCAGCCTCCACCAGCCCTGCGAGCTGATTTTCATTTGGCGCATATCCACTTGTCGCGAGGCTCGTATTCGGATCGATCCCAGATGAGGGGGTTGTTTGAGTGGGCGGGAACTCGGCGGCCGTAGACGTAGAAGGGTGATGGCTAGGCGCAGATGTAGACGTCATGGCCAAGATCTGATGCCAGTAGCTAACTATCCCTAGCTCCAGACGCAGTGAATCAAGCAAGTGGGTTGTGCGCTGAACGAAACAAACGTTAAAAGCTCCTAGGTACGCGAGACAGAGAAAACCCGAGACGTCTGTTAGAGACAATCTATATCCGGCTTGTTCTTCGTTTCTTCACAAGAATGAGCCGACCGACCACAATACCAGCATCCAAATGGCGCTTAATACCTTGCTTCTAAGACAGCACAGTTGCTCCTCGAAACAGACGCGCAATCTAAAAGGTATTTCCGGAGGATATATATGACCATATATACCTGCTGTAGCAAGTCGCGCGTTTTCCCGGTGCCTCTCCCCTTGCTAGAGGTCGTCAGCTCGTCTGGGTCCCCGGGTGAAAAACAACGGCACTCACGATCCTAGCGCAAGAAAGCCGAGTAGAGATCGGGAAGCTGAATGCCTCCAATAGTTTCTCGAGATCAAGTCAAGCCAGGCGCGATAATTAATACGATACCTTGCTTATGACGTTGTTTGCGACGTTTGAAGGATGGACAGACAGTGCAAACTCTAGTAGTGCGTGTAGTTGACACGTGATGGATTAGTCAGACATGTCTTCATAACGTGACCAGACACCGAGCTGCGCGTATCGGTTTGCATAAAATAGCACTTTTTATGACCTTAGTATTTTAACAACAACATAGGGTTGTAACAAAAATAGAAGTACTCCTTGATATATAGATAATTTAGAATGCTAATGTAATTTAATCAGAATTTTTAAGATTTTTATTGACTTATAATACAAGATTATTTTAAAATACCACAGTATTTAAACGTATTTTTTGAAATATAACAAACTAGAAATTCTACAAGGATCTAGGCTTAGTATTTATATATGTGCTATTGTATTATTATATATGATAGACTTTAGGCCTCTTGACATGTTGTTGTTAAGATATTAGGCTTATAAAAAGTGCTATTTAATGTGTAATACAGAGACGCTCAGCTCGGTGTCCAGTCACGTTAACTATTACGGTAGTTACAGCCTGATCGAATAACTCTACGATGCTTTCTCTCTCCCTCTTCAAGGAAATACATCCAGAATTCAATCTCATTCCTGATTAAAACTACATCAGCCTGGAGCCTGCCAAACTGTAGTTGCGCCAGATAAGAATAGATTATATCGCATCCAAATCAAGTACCAACTCCCGGAACTTTTTGAACCCACTTTCCAAATACTCCCAGTACATTTGAAATAGGAAATACAAGATAGATGGTTATCAAAATGGCGCAGTAGGGCCACTGCGCCCCAAATAAGATCCAATAAACATAGACAAGGGTATCATTGGGCGACAGGGGGAAGTCCGTGTCTCTCAGAAGGGCCAATTTACCAGATCCTTGAAGGTCATGGAATAAGCATGATCCCGCTGAAATTTGTGCGCTTGACAAGCTGAGTAGGTGACGAGGTGTAACTGGTTGAAACCAAGGGAGGAGTTTCAAATCACCTAGAAACCATCGCCCTCCTTCCACGGTCTCCCAGCCTCGGAGGCTCTAGCTCGTGGATCTTCGCCACGTATGGTGGCATTGGCCAGTATTTCGTCCTGCAGTAGCTGTTTTTCGTATATCTGCTCCTGGAGAGAGAGATCCAATCCAGGTTCAGGAACTGCAAGGTCGCTGGTCTCCCCCAGATTTCCCCGTAGCCGAGCAACTTCGATGACTTCTGCTTGTCCATACCATCGATTTAGCTCTTCCTCCAGCTCCTGTTTCTGGCGACCGATCTTGCGGAATTCATCATACTCTGCTTCGCCGCCAAAGCAAACTCCGTATCCGTCACAATAGCAGACATTCTCCTTGGGACATACCACATTGTCGCCCGTGAATACGACATGCCACAGGTATTCCCAAACACGGCCCGAAATGTAGTCGCTCAGCTCCGTCCGAAGGAGCCAGTCCCTATAGTAAACAAAGCGCGCTTTAGGGACGGACAGAATCCGCTCGCGCGAGACCGCAAACTGGGCGCAGCAGGGCTGCGCTAGCACATTGGGGATAGGGTCGTCGGGGAAGATCTCCCCCCATGACTTCGCCAACATCGTCTCTTCCTGCTTGGATTCATTTTCCTCCACCGTTCCAGGGTGCAACCAGTCGGGGCAGCCCGGAGCCCAAGTGCAACGCAGATTCATATACCCTTCTCGGATTACCCGCGCAGGGTTCAGTCGGTCCAGGATTTCGACCGCATTTCCCGCGAAGATTTCATCGTTATGCCACGCAAACTGATGCGAGTGCATGAAAGCCACGAGGTCCGGGAGTTTGTTGTAGTGATCGATAATAAAAGTGAGATAAACCATGACCTCATGTCCTTTATTTTTCGGGGGATGCAGAGACGCCGAAGGGTTATCGACCTCATAAACGGCTGACTGCCAATTGGGCAGTGCAAGTTCAATCCACGTTGTGTCTTCCTCGGACGTTCGGGGGACCACAAGCATTTTTGTATACGTCGACCCCGGTGCCTTGGGTATGCCAGGGACATAATGCGGTCGGGGGGCGTAAGGCTTTCTGGACGGGCGCTCATCCGGTCGACTAATATTCCAGCGTCCATAGGAGATGGGCGTGGTAGCGGCCCCCAGCCCGCTTAGGGGAACAATACCCTGCGGCCTCCGGCGCCATTGTCTCGAGAGGCCGGTGACCGCATATAGGAAGAAAACGAAGAAGGCCAGGCCAAGAAGCGGAATGGCCCGCCGTGGGGGAATCATGGAAGCAGAGGTCGAATTGGAATGTAGGTGGGGATAGAATCAGGCAAAAGAATAAGGGATGTGCTGCCAATCAGTCAACGAAACCCCAGCAATTCGAGTCCCACAAATTCCCTCCAGGTCGTGCTCATTTCATCATGGGAGTGAAAAGGGGGGATAAGGAAGAGGTGATTGACAAGGGATCGAATAACAAGAAACGTGGCTTGCACAGAAGAACTAGCTGCTAGAGACGATCAGCGCCACCACGGGAAAAAACTCACGTTGGAACGGGACCACTGGCTGTCAACCATGTGCAACGCGACGTTGGCCTGCGCAACCACCACCGGCATCCAGACGGCACAAGAGAGGGAACGTGAAGGAGCCGGGAAGAAGAGGAATAAGAATAAATAGGAATGGGACGAAGGAAAGGAGTTCACCCATGGAGACGATGTCCAAATGAAAAGATAATAGATTGGGGGCGGAAGTGGAAGAGGGCGGAGGCGGTGTCAGCAACGATGATCCTTCTGTCCCTGGATTCAATTCCTTCGAGTCTCCCAGTTCTACGACAACAAGGATTGTGATTTAGACGTTATCAATGTCCCTATAGCTTTGGAATTCACCTCAATCGATCGTTTCTCGCAGCGTGAGCTGGAGCGGGACTGAAATACAAGGGTCGGCCGGTCTCACAATAGACGAAGCCAAGGGCTATCACATTTTGGTACGAAGTATCTATGTACAGGTATACACAAGGTTCTCGTTAATCACCAGAAGACAGACGATTTTCCAACGACATAAAACGAGAGAACGTGAAAGAAAAAGAGGAGAGGAGCATAGCATGGGCAGCATGGCCACCCACTAGAGATTGAAACATACATCCTGGGTATGATGGGGTCTAACTCGCTAAAGAAACGCCAATGAATGTTTGCGCCCTGGGTAAACGGGTTCCAAAACAGGGGAAGAAGCCAAGGAAAATAGGGGAATGGGGTTGGGGGGGATTCGTCAACTCTCGTCATCTTCATCTACTACATCTTCGACGGTCACCACTCGTGCCTTTCCCTTTGATGATGATGCTGACGAGATATCTTCGTTCTCTCCCGCTGCATTCGATGCAGTTGGCAATTCATCCTTCCCAAATGGTGTCTCCGTACCTACATCGGTCCATTGCTGGGACGGTGATTCGGCACCACTACCGGCCACCGTGTGCGTCGCATCCGTTCCCCAGCTCGGAAAGCCCTGAGAAGGAGGGGCAGAAGCTGTGGTGCTATCACCACTATTTTGGCCTCTATTCTCGGTATTCTCCGTGGAAGAGGGTTGAGTAGGGCCACTGTCGGGTGCTTGTGCTAAAGTTGCTGTCTCGGTAACATTGGGACTAGGACTTGTGCTTGCGACCTCCTCGGATCGCTGGGCTGCAGAACGAAGGGGGATAAGGGACCAGCCCTGAGGAAGACTAAGCCCTTCCGGTAGTCGAGTATCGCCTGCGGTCATGACAGGAGCACCGGGGTCCGAAATAAATTGGTGACGTGAAGTAATCGTCGTTGTAGATGATAAAGGAATAGAAGAGCTTTGGGGTATGTTATCCTGGGGTTCGGCTGGATTCCCCTGTAGAGTTCGAAGTCGTTGGAGCTCTACCTCTAGCAATCGTACTAGATGGAGCTGGTCTGCAGTAACCCGGAGGTCATTGATTTCCTGCATGATCTGTTGCTCCATTTGCTGCAATTGATTTCGCATGTCAGGAACGCCGCCAGAGGTGGTGGTGAGTGTTGGTTGCGCGGGCTGTTGCATGGCAGCTGTTGGTGGAAGTCTTCCGAATCCAAACCCAAGGCCAATCTGTCGAGCGCCAGGAAGATTCGCGTTGTTCGCTGGTTGCAGCGGAACATTGCCTTGCTGAACTTGCCGATGGAAATTGTGGAAGAGGTCACCTCGACCGGCACCGAACACAATCCGGAAGGGTCCAAATTGATAGACACGGGCCCTGCGCAAGCCATCAGCAGCACCATTTCCACCAGGAGGTTGGTTCCCAGCTGGTATGTTCTGCATGGCCCCAGCACCTCCATTGCCTTGTGCCTCGTTCGCGACGTTATTCGCATTCCCTTGGGGACGGGAGGGGGTAACAACTGGCTGGCGGCAGGTAGGGCAGTTTTGCTGCCTTTCCAGCCAGCTTCTAAGGCATGCAAAATGCAAAATGTGGCCGCAAGGAAGCTTTTTCGGACGCAGGCGATCGGGAACCCGGGCAGCTGGCTGCGCAGCTCTATCCGCAGGCGGCTGCCAATGTGTCATCTCCTCCCGACAAATGATGCAGACCTCTTCTCTTGCGACTTCCTCTGTAGTGGCATCAGGGTACCGTTCGTTCATGTCACGGGTCGCATTACGGAAGCGAACGAAATCCATAATCCGTCGGCAGAAGGAGCGGATAGTGACGACCACGTCGCGCAAGATATGGATTGGCAGCCCGTAGAAAGTGAACAGTATGGCAAAAAAGCACAAATAGACTGTCAACTTCAAGAAATCCGTGACCAGATCGAGATAGAAGACCCATCTACCTTTGTCTTCCCAGCCGGGGACGTCGAGTTCCATCTCATCGATGTCATTCTCATCAGGTAGATTAGTGGGCGGTGCGGCTTCTCCGCGCCGCGCATGCTCTTGTATAGCCGCCACTCTAGCCGCTCGAATCTCCTGGCGACGCTCCTCGAGTTTCGCTTTCACCTGCTGGCGGGTAATGTAAATCTCAATCAGAGAGATTGAGTACCTAACCGCCGTTGAGCTCGACAGAATGGTAAGAACGGCGAACTCGAAACCGAACATCACCATCATATCCGGGCGCGCTTGATCAAGGACGGTGGTGATGCAATATCTCAACATAAATGCATTAAACAGAAACGACAGGAGCAACGACAACGCCAGCCTGGTATGGAACAGACGGGGGCTGGCCGGAGGCTGCTGTTCCAGAAATTCCACGCGGCCTTCACCGATCCAACCCCAAACCTTCCCCACGAGCAGACACACGAACATGACCAGAAACCAACCACCCAACTCCCCCCGAAATATTGTCATCGCAAGGCATGTTTCCGTAACAGCAAACCAAGCCTTTTCGTACAGCTGTTCGGTTTCGATCGGTCGTAGGGGTCCATACAGGAGGCGCTGAAGCCAGAACAGGAAGAATCCCACCACCAGGAGACACACATTTGTCAGTATCTGTAGTGAGTTAGATGAAAGGCCCTCCTAGCTGCAGGGGCGACATGTGGCGCAACCCACCATAAGATTGGCGCTGCTCTGAGAAAGGTATACACAAGCCGCATAGAAATTCGCCCTTTGATGCAGCGATTTCAGAAATACACCCGTGGCCAAAGCCACGGAGGCCTGCGATTTAAACGTCAGCATGAACGGTCGCCGCAGCACGTATCTCCGAGAGGGCCACTTACCCCGGCGTAGGCGGCTAATCTCATGACTACAACGAGGTAGATGTGGGCAAAAAACCCAGAGTCATTGACAAATGCGAGTTATGAAGGCCAACAACCTTGTCGAAAGGACATTAACAGGATCCGCTGAAGTGAAGGACAACAAGGAAGAGAGAGGAGCTCAGGAACTGAATGGAGTCGATCTGGACAGCTATACTGTACCGTACCGTACCGAAACCACCTCCCTTACGTCAGCGGATGTCAGCCCTCGGCATGTGACTTATCTCCGTTTCTAGACTTACATTTAGTGAAAGCTAGGAGGGAACATGAGTGAATCGAATGTTTATTCTTTGAATTGCCCTTTGTCTTACATGTGTAGATGGGAGACAAGAGGGAGGTGGAGGAAAGTGTGTACAAGGCTTTGATTATATATTTATTGCGTGCAGCAAACAGAGTTACTCCAGTTATTAGTGGTATCTCTAATCAGTTTTACTATAAACTGTTGAAGGCAGAACATGAGTAGAGATACTGAGATTGAATAAATAATTATATTTAGCTACAAATCCAAGCAGCAAGAGTTTGATTACCATCCAATAATCAGAGAAGCTATCACTATCTAGAGGCATTTTTAACTTATATTTATAGGCTAATCCTGTGTGACCGCTTGGCCGCACATATGGACTTTATGGCTGCTAGCAGTATGGTTCACCGATGTATTTGGCCCCATATTCCCTACGCCTCCATTTCTTCTTCATGTTTGATATTCTCGTCGCAGCTACCTAGAATATTCTATAATAGAGATTAGATTGGATCACAAGACAGAGAGAGAGCCATGACATCCTAAGCCCTTTAATGTAAAGGGCCCGTTTGACCTCTCGGGCCAATAGGCCCTATAGGCCCTCGATCGACCCACACGTGACTCCCCTTTCTTATTTGTTTACCTGTCCACTTCTCTCTTTTCTTCCTCCCTTAACGATTACTTTAGGTATATAGCCTATCCCATAGGCTCTACGGATTCAGCCCCTGACTGATATAAGTTCTTGAAAAATACCATAACCTACCAACAATGTTACTATATCTAGGTAGATAGGCGGTCAGGCAGGCGGTCAAGGATGTTTTCACAACTGCCTAAAATGATATATGTATGGCTACTACGTTTCAGCCCTAGGAAAGGGAGGCAAAAAGCTCCCGGTGGGGATCGAACCCACGATCTTGAGGTTAGAAGCCACACGCCTTTCCACTGGGCCACGGGAGCCTTCCAGATGATGTTCATTAATCATCTGAGAGCTATGTATCTATATAAGCTTTAATTACCTATACTAGTTAACTAACGCGTACTTGCAGCATTATGTAGGAGTATAATTATATCCATTCTACCAACTTTTAATAAAGAAAGTAATCAGCTATATAAATAGATTATATAGATATTCTAGCTACTTTAAGTACTGCTGTCTTTAGGCTGACCATTAGAACGAGAATGTGACGGTTTGTTGTCTCTGCACTAGTAGAGATAAAGGTACAGAGTACAATACGACTGATCTTTGACCAGTCGCATCTAGCGCCCTATATAGTAGCGAAGGCCTTAATCTGAGCACTATACAGGGTTCAACCCGTGACAGAGAGATTACTATGGGATTTTCATTCTATTAGAAAGTGGGAAGAAGGGATTGGGATATGCTAATATCTAAATAGGAAGTTCCATATTAGAGGTTGATCTGATCGGACATATTACTTTAATCTTATTTAAATGGAAATTCCAAATTATAGCCTAACCATAACTGACTTTACTATGTTAGGGTGACTTATTTATAGATAGAGATTAAACTACTCACTGGTGTAGCCTGATCTCTAAAAGGAAGTAGTGAATGGATTGGTCTGACCAGTACTTCTTTTCATTTCGTTTATACAGCACGAAGTAGACTGCGGCAAAACCGCGGTTTTGGGTATCATAGTCAAAACCACAACCGCAGATTTGCGGTTTTGGATATCACTTTGAAAACCGCAACCGCAACCGCAGATTTGTGGTTTAACCACGGTTACCCATGGATAACCGCATGAAAACCGCACTAGCATAACTCTCGCTTCTTTAACCAATTCTAGCATATCAGGTGACACTTATGCAGCTTACATACTCTTGTTTTTAATTTGAAAATACACCTGTTCTGGTTAATACAGTGAGCCCGGTTAACCTCAGGCCAATTGTTCTTATTGTCCCTACTGTCCCTATTGCCCCTATTGGTTGTAGCTCCTCTAACGTTTTATATACGTGTACCCAGGCAATATGCTCCTGGGAGTGTACGATAATAATGCTATTCCGAAAACTTAAAGACAAGGAATGTGTTGCAGGCCACGCCCGTATATTACTCCTATTCGCCTTCGCTGCAATTGGCGCACATGATTGGTCCGCTTATTGCAGTTATATAACCTCTTGTAGTATAAGAACACACAATTCTTCCCCTTTACTTTCTTTTATCTTAACGATTCCTCTTTGTATATATCTAGTTATTAGATAGCAAGGCATTTCGCCCCTGTTAAAGTATGTTTGTTTGCCCTAAAAGTTAAATAAAAGCATGTAAAATAATAAAAATATCTAAAGGTCCTCCATAGGATTAGGCACTGGACGAGTCTATATTAGCCAGCTGCAGTACAGATGGTCTAATATAGACACAAGCACCTACTAGGAATCGAACCCAGTACCTCTAGATTACTAGATCTAATGCATTACCACTAGACCATTGGTATATTATAAGTAACCAAGAAGGTACATGGCATTATATCACTGCCGTGAGGTCCTGGCCCGATCGTAGCATCACTATTCACCAAAGTCAGCAAGTAATATTGCTTCCTTGCAACGCATGAGTTATTGTAGCATTAGTTTGCAATGTTGGTTTGTGCAGTTTCTTGCTTATTTTATCTTCTATATTTGGTCGTGGGAGGGCGATAGAGCATGGTAATATATATAGATATCTACTTTACCGCTCACCTTGATCCTTATTCTTAAATAACGAGCCGAATATTGATATATCGCCTCTTATTTTACGTAGCTAGTAAGTGGTGTTTGTCTGAGATTTTAAGATTACTAAGGAAATCAGGATGTTGTTGTAAAAATATATATTTTATACAAACAGAAGTTAGTACACTCACTGAATGAACTTTATAAGATTTCGTAGGTTGACTAAATCAGGCTATTATAGATAAAAATTATTACTAAAGAATACAGAAGAGCCTATTATACTTATATTTTACTTTAAATTAGTATATTTACTTAAAAATTCAGGAGAAACCAGGTTTCTATTTCAAATTGCTTGAATTTGGTGATTTTTTTTCCATTGCGGTTATCTTGTGGTTATCCATGATAACCGCAAGATAACCGCGTTAAAACCGCATTAAAACCGCACTACCATCGCTAGTCACCCAATTAACATAGAGTATAGTTTTGTACAGGTCGAACTCGCGGTTGCGACCTGTTTATCTCCTAAATAATAGGGGAATTCCTGTAAGTCCCTCTCCCTTTCTCTTCTCCTGATGTCTCTTTTTATTATTTCTAGTTTCTAATCTTTAGGAACTTACGACAATGTCTCAGTCCCAAGTATCCTTTTATTCTGATTCCTTTATCAATCCCGATCTTCTTCAATCAGATGACCTTCCTGATTTACCAAGCAGTCAACCAACTGTGACTTCTATTCCTTTTACTCCCCCTCCGCGATTTTCTTATGCGCCGAAGTCACTTGAACGTGTCGGATCTACACTTCGAAAGTTCTGGATTCTCTATGCTACTAAACCTGAGATGGATGACTCCCGGAAACAATTCGTGGAATGGTGGTTAACAACTACGTTTGGATTGAACTCTCAATGCCGAGATAGCTTACATTGGGATGGGAAAAAACATCAGTGCTTTGGGAGCATTTTGAACAGGTTGCACACGAGAAGACTGGCGAGCCCAAGGTTATGTGTAAGCGGTGTTTTGCAACCCTTACTCATCCAGGTTATAAGCGTACGGGAACCTCTGCACTTAAAGCACATCTGAACGGTGGTACATGTCGCTTAGAAAAAAAGAGGCAAGGGATTGACCAGTTAATACGTGAATCAGTACGTTTTGAATATTGTTTTAAAGATATAGAGAGAGACTACTAATATTAGTATTATCTAGCCGCGTGCACTAACAAAGGTCTTTACCAATGATCTTTTCCAGCGAAGAATTCTTAACTTTATTACCACCGCCCGTCTCCCATTTCGTATTGTTGAACACCCAGAGTTTAAAGGCCTTCTTGAAGCTGCCCAACTCTCTGAATCAAGGCTTGATATTCCTTCTGCGCGGACTATCCGACGACTTTTAGACAACACTGTCCAGGAAAGGCAACAAAATGTGCTTAGCAAACTTCCAAAAGGAAGCTATCTCTCAGTTGCACTTGACTGCTGGACATCTCCCTTTTCCCAGGCATTTATGGCAATTACTGGATATTTTCTTGATCAAGAATGGAATTACTGCGAGGTCCTTCTTGGTTTTGAGCATCTCCAAGGATCGCATACCGGTGCTCACTTAAGTCAGACTGTGATTCGAATACTCATGGAACATAATATTGATAATCGTGTATTATCAATTACCACAGATAATGCGTCAAATAACAACACCATGATGGTAGGTGTCCAAGAGATGATTCAATCGCAAGCTCTAAGTGGGACTTCTGTCTTCCGAATTCCATGTATTGCGCATGTTATCCAGCTTAGCCTAAAGGATCTACTTGGAAAGATAAAAGCAAATCCAACAAATAAGGAAGCAGAGACTGAGTGGTCTGATTCGCGTACACAGTCACTACAAACTAGCTCTCGGCAGCCTACAAGGAATATTATGGGAACCTTAAAAAGGTAAGTATATCTTCGCGCTCTCTTTATACTTATACTAATATATATTATCCTTAGATTCGAGAGCTCGCTGTCTTTATCAATGCTAGTCCACAGCGCAGGGAAGCTTTTCTTACCCTTCAAACTACTGAGCCTAAGCTTGTTCCGATCCAAGATGTTCGCACACGCTGGAATTCTACCTTTCTGATGCTTAATCGTGCCAGGAAATTACAATCAGTCTTTGATCGGTATTGTATAACATATCAACATATTCAATTTAAGCTAGATGAAGAGGAATGGCGCCAAGTTGAATATTTGCTTCTGATCACTAAGCCTTTCTTTGATTTTACTAGTGTATTATCAAAGACCAGAGATGTTACAGTTCACCATGTCTTCAGTATCTATAATCGGCTATTTAATCATCTTGATGACGTTGAGAAGAAACTGAAACGTAAAGCTGTCCCATGGAAAAGGAGAATGCTTCAGGCACTTCAGTCAGCAAAAAAAAAAGCTCTCAAAAAAATACTACACTGAAACAGACAATGAGTCATATGGCACAGTCTATGCGATTGCAACAATTCTCTGTCCATCAAAGAAGCTTCGATACTTTGATAATGCGGATTGGAGAGGAAAAAATGAGAAAGGAGAGGAAGTCGATTTCATGAAGCATTACCGGGAGGTTTTACAGAAGGAGTTTAAGCGATATCAGCAGCAGGTTATCCAGGAAACAGAACCGGTTGATAACCAAGCAATCTTTGATCCTGCTGAAAATGAGCTTGAGCTATTATGTGAATCACAGACAGCTCTACAAGCTGAAGTGGATCAACCGGAGGATAAAATAACACGGTATTTGGCAAAAGGTACATATTCTCTATTTCTATACTATTCTGAAGTTAATTAATTTTATAGGGCTCACAAAAGGTAATCCTCGGGTCTTCTGGAAGGAGCATGAGCACGAGTATCCAGTCCTTGCAAAGATTGCACGAGATATCCTCTCAGTTCCTGCAAGTGGCGCTGGTGTTGAGCGGCTTTTTAATTGTGCTCGTGATGTCTGTCACTATCGTCGGGGACAGTTAAAGCCAGGCACAATTAAAGATCTAATGCTCCATCTCTTCTCATCTAAGTTTGATCTTGAACAAAGCGAGCTAGAGATGATTAAAGAGTATCTCTCTGTCGGAGAGGCTGCTATGCTTGATCAGACAAGACAGCCTGTTCCATCGCTTAATGAACTCGAACCAATTAGTGATAATGAAGAAGAGGGTTGCGAAGCAGAGGATTTATCTGAGGATGATACAGATGAATCTGATAACGAGGCAGAAGAAGGGTTATCTACCACGCAGCCTGTAGCTCAAACTAAGCAGGTACAACGGAAGCGGTGCCGAAGTAACACCTCTGAGGCTATAGATGATGCTGATAATGGTCTCCCACTTCCCGATATGCCAATTGAGAAGACGCAGGCGCGGTCAGGGAGGGTTCGGAAGAGGCCTAAGCTACCTGAGGGATTTGAGATTGATAAGCTGTAATATTAGAGACTTAGAAGAGAAATCGAATTTGGTCTAAAAGTGTATTCTAAAGGTTTCAAATTAAGAGATATAGGTAATCTATTACATACTAGATACTCCAAAAATACTGCGAAAAGTGCACAATTTATGCATTCACTGGAAAGTCACGAGTTTCAGCATGTTTGTAATGTTTACATATCCATGGATAACCGCAAAAACCGCGGTTCTCCAAAGTGAAAACCGCAACCGCCCACAGTGCGGTTTGCGGTTTTTAAATCAGCCCCAAAACCGCAAATTTGCGGTTGCGGTTTTGGTTATCCGCGGTTGTCCATGGTTTTGCCGCAGTCTAGCACGAAGCCATCCTTTTTTGCCTTAGACCTCACCATCCGTACATATTCTTTATCACCTCCTTTATATTTAAACCGGTATGAAGATTTAACAAAACAGACATAACAGTAGCTTGTGCATGTATATTTTGAGTTCACTGATAGAATAACTTTTATTTATAGTTGGATGTCAGCTTCGCTGGCATGAGGTCATGTGACAAGGGGGGTTCTTGAGGGGATTATCACCGCCTCATCCTGCCCGTCATCATGGCAACGTCTAATAAGGACGCAGTATTACCTACCCCCTTTAAGTCTACCCTTACTATTTAGGGCAATAATTTTTTATTCCTAAATAGTATATTCTGGACTGCCCTTTCAACAGAATATGGTTAACTTGCGAAGATGGCTTTGCAAGGCACTTTGTTTACTGCCAGCCGCTCACAGACGCTAACTTACCTACTCGCCGTATGCCCCTTCTCAATTGCATTTCTGGTTTTCATTAATTCCTCCATCTCCTTTGTGGTAACGGAGTTGATTGGATTACGAGATGGGGAGGGAGATGCTGTAGGAACTTTGGGTTTTGCTGATGAGCTACTTGCGCTGGCCGCTTGTCCTCTGTGGGGAGTGCTTTCGGATCGCATTGGAGTCCGCCACGTAAGTTCTCTTTCTCTTTTTTATTTCTTGTGGGGGTAGTTCCAAAGGCTCAATAGTATATTTTCTGTAACAAATTAGGTCTGTGTCGCTGGTTACGGCATCGTGGCCCTTGCACTGGTCTTGTTTGTTCAAGCCAAGAATGTTTATCCTCAACTTCTTCTGGGAAGGTTGCTCTTCAGTGTTGGAGGCTCTGCAGTGTCCACCATGGTAACGGCCGTTCTACCGGTTGTGACCGGAAATGTCCATGAACCAAAGTATTCGACATCGTTGGCTTCCGATGCAACAGACATCCAGAACAGCCCCGACGATCCTGTTTCATCGCAAGATGTAGGATTGAAGGCTGATATAAAGTCACCGTCATCCAGACTAGCCGGGTTTGTGGGCATGTGTGCTGGTTGTGGTGCCCTCGTCTCCCTGGTGGCCTTTCTTCCACTCCCAGCCCGTTTCCAAAGCTGGGGACTCTCCCCACCCCAAGCAATTCAATACAGCTACTACTTAGTTGCGTTAGTAGCAGTATTGGTCAGTGCCTGTTGTCTTATCGGCTTGAGTAACCTCCCTGGTGAAGAAAATAAAGCGTGGAGCTCACTATTGTCTTCCCACGGCGGTACTCCTGGGACTCCTGGGACAGAATATAGGGCCCCAACATGTTCTGTTGGCGACAAGCGTCGACTGTCTTATTTCCACCACCTTCGTGCGGCTGTTATCTTGGGGTTTTGCCAACGCGACATCTTCATAGGCTATCTAGCCGGCTTTGTGGCACGAGCTTCATCAGTGGGCATATCATTGTTCATCCCGCTCTTTGTTAACCATTATTATCGGACATCCGGTCTATGTGATGGCCGCAATCATCAAGAACAGCCTAACACCACTTCCGGCGATATCAAGGAGACCTGTCGTGAAGCCTACGTGCTGGCTTCGATTTTGACAGGCGTATCACAGCTGGTAGCGTTGATTACAGCGCCTATGTTCGGGTTTCTGTCCGAAAAGTCACAGAGGTATCATCTACCTCTGCTATTCGCTTGCTTAACGGGTGTTCTCGGTTATACGGCATTTGGGCTGCTTCCGAGTCCACAGTTTAAAGGGGAAAATGGAAACGTAGGCGTGTTTGTAGTATTGGCATTGCTTGGGATCAGTCAGATTGGGGCTATTGTTTGCAGCTTGGCGGTGCTCAGCAGCGGTATCCTGAACATTAGTGACGATTCTCGCAAATATGAAACAGAAGATCCACCACTGACCGAGAGGGAGTTTGACCCCGATGCTGATGAGCAGCGACCTCTACTGGACCGGGCAGTGAATCGGAAAACTCAGCCGCTGGCGCACCTTAAAGGGTCAATTGCTGGAGTATACTCCCTGTACGGTGGGGCGGGGATCTTGTTTCTTACCAAGGTTGGCGGGCTTCTATTTGACGTTGTATCCCCCAGTGCACCCTTCTACATCTTGGCTGGGTTCAACGGGGCCCTGCTCCTGGCTGGAGTTGTCAGCGGGCTATTTAGCCGGTCGACAAGACTGGCGCCGGTGAATGGAACATAGGTCAAAAATGGTGGTTTTGGTGGTGTAAGATGACTCACCTACATGTTGCTCACCCCCCTCTCCGCCGACGCGTAGAAAATGAAGCAATTGAAAAACACCTTGATTTCTCAAACACTATCTAATGTTCTTGCCATTCAATACACATAGCATGTAAACCGGCCTTTGAATCTTCCTCTAAGGTTTCTTTTAGCCATTAATTCCTTGGCTTGATGTGCTTATCTTGCTCCTTGGCAGTCTGAATAGCTTTCATTATCTGTTCTATGTTGCTAAACTTGGTATTTGGGTCCTTTTCAACCCGCTTCTTGGTTTTTGGCTTCTCCAGGATCTTGACTTTGAATTGCAAGCGGGAAATGGTATCCTCTTCAAAGGCTTGTGTCGTATTCAGTCGACCAATCTGCTTGCCTGTTTTCTGAAGAAAAGCCCTTGCCTCTAGGTAGTTTTTGGGTCTTTTGACGCTGCTGGATTGCTTGGTAAATATAGCGTTCGTTCCTAGGAGTAGAAATAAGCAATTTATCTTCAGAAATTGGTTGAAAAAAGGGAGGGGTTAATAGCCTTGGAGGATTAAACCATACAAATCGATTGTTAAGTCCATTTTCTTTATTAAATGGGTGTAAACAATCTCCTTTCCAGCCACTCCGTAGAATTAATTAGTTGAATGTTAAATTGCGGGTCTTTTAATAGCATTAAATAAAACGCTTTTCTTTACTGGGGCTGCATCATTTAAAAAGGCTAGAGACTGTATCTTGCTGCGGTAACAAGCTTTTACATTTAAAAATGTGCCAACAACCAGAGGTTGAAAAACATGGCTAGTATGTGGAGGAAGAAATAAGACTTGGACTTTATTTTATAAAAAGACCAAATTTAACCAATTCAGGGCAGTAGAATTTAAAGTCTAGCCTTTCTCTGAGGTAGTATAGAGCCAACCTGGCAGTTTATTTGGCTCAAGCCGGGACGTTTGAAGAGATAGTCCCCTAAAAATAACCAGAGGCCGAATAAACTGGCCAAGCGGGTTAACAGTTTTTGTCCCTGAATAAGAGTATGCTTCTTTCCACTCTCTGCTATTCCCATAGAGTTTGCACGGATCCCAAGACCAATTCTATGCTTATCCATATTCCACATGGTCTCTGGTGATATGCGGAATTTGGTAGTAGTCTTTTAAAAAAGCTGATAAAACATGTATATTTGTTCTGGTCTTGCTCCCTGGATACAGCTTGATGGTGTCCTTCTTCCTATACAGGTTTGAACGTGTGGAATTTGTTTTTTAAAGCCAATCTTGCCAAGTGGAGCGGGGTCATTATTCATTCATTCGGAGTAGGAGGGAATCCCTGCTTGTCATGATTTATATTCCTGTCAGCTTAAAAAGGTCCTTGAGAAGGAGTCAATCGCTGTGAAAATTAATAAGTTACGCTCTTCTCTCTGGCACCACTAATACGACCGTGAAGAGCGGTTATAGGCTGTGTAGCCTTGTTGCAGCTATCACGGAGCTAATTATATTGGTTTCAAGGGCTTCAAGAGCAGCTTTAATGGTTCTCTCGCGTGTATCCATTTTGAATAAGGATCGGTTGGTTGGTGGAGAGGGGTGGGCGACATGTTGGTGAGTTCTGCACATTAAGCGGCGATAAGAACAAGGAAAAACAGACGATGCAGGGCAATCGAGGCATGCCGGACATCGAAGCTATTCTTTAGCTTCCGCCGGCAATCCAATCAGCCCGACGGTTCCTCGACTAGTGGAAATGAAATGAAACTTCTTCTGCTAGTCAGTACTACTTAATATGCTCTATGTAAATGTTCAAGGCGCGGCTGCTGCCTCTGCAGCCAGCCTCTCTATCATTTATCCTACATACGCTCCCTTGCTCTACGGTCCAGTTCAATTGTCACTCGTTATTCTTTAAACAGCCACGAGATGCATTTCCAGATCATCTCTCTTTACCTCCTGGCAGCCGCCACTAACGTTGCTGCCAACGATGTAGTGTCCCTCTTTCTTCCATTTTTTGACCCAGAGAGCCTTGTAGGAAAGGTCATTGGAACTGTGCGTACCCTTCTCTTCTTCTTCTTTTTTAAATTGGTTTTTTTTTTTATATATTTTTTTATATATTTTATATTTTTGATCTATGTTTTCCAACACACTAATGGTCTATCTAAATCTTAGGACGGTCCGATGACCTCCTACGTTGTTTACCAGCAGCTCCCCCATACCGCCGAAGAAGAAAACTACGACGACATGGATGATGGATTCACCATAGCCCAGGGTCCCTCCTCATACCGAATGGTGTACAGCTATGCAGACTAGTACTACGATTTCCGCTCCAGACGTGTGCACTGTCCACTGTCTCAGCCAAGTCCTAACTACATCCTATAGTTATGAGAGCATGGACTGCAAGTTCAAAGGGCAATCTGTCGCCTCGTGTTTCCTGTCCCAGCACGACACAACGACTACTAATGTCGATAGCATTGTCACCACTGCTACTGACATGCCCTTTTTTCCCGTCACCATCACCGCAACCGAGAGCGGAGCCGCCAGCGTTGCTACAAACAAGGCGACTGCGACCCCTATCTTGGCGACTGTGTCCACACCGACCGTCACGGCAGCGTCGACGTTGTCAAATTCAGCGTCCCAGTCTTCCGCGTCCTCCAGTGATTCACCCAGTGGCACTGAAGCCACCGCCTCCTCAACCGGCAGCAGCAATTCTGCTATGGCCCAGGTGACCGGGAAGGCGCATTGGCTTGTGGGTGGTGCAGCTATGGCGCTCGCACTGGCAATGGCTTAAGTGGAAGCTTGGGTTATTTGTGATGGTTGATGGTTGGGTTCTTCAAGTCCGATGTGTTCAAAGTACTTCTTACGTTCCCTCGTCTATTCGCTATGTGCAGATACTATAAATTTATTCGTATACAATGGCATATATTTTCTATATTGTGGGGGTTGATGAATACGAGTGGTTGGATTCAAAGTCAGGATTGCTATGAACCACAGCTAATTGACAGTTGGTATCTATGCGAAAGGTTATTATCATCCAGGCTTACAGATAACGAAGATGCTTGTGCTCATTGCTAAGTAGTCATGTTCCAGTCATCGCCTCCAGCTCTAGGTATGCCTTTCTTTTGTCCTACGACCGCAGCTGCTAGAATAACCCTGCTGTATTCCGGGAGGATTTTCCACCCTGTCCATGTGGCATCATTTTTGATCTGTCCTCCGTATTCCGCACCTCCAGACCCGCGCGCATAATGTTAGCCCGTAATAGCCGGATGTGGGCCTCGCGGGTGAACTCTGACAGGTTGTTTACGATTGCGTGTTGGACTTCGGTCCGTCGGTCTACTTGTTTGGATACTAGGACCATTTTCTCAAGATCGATGCGGATGTCCAAGGTGCCATCCTGTATCAGGCCCACCAGTTCCTGAACAAAAGGCGAGTTTAGATCCATGGGGGGAGACTGTTCGCCAGCGACACTGGGGGCAAAGATCCGCGACATGGAATCGAGTGTGACGCGGTTAAACGGAACGAGATACTGCTGGATGGACTTGGTGCGGATGCGGGTGTATAAATTCGTGACATGGCGCTGAAGATGAATGTCCAGGAGGTAATCGGCTCGATAGGACTCGAGGATGTCCAGGCATGGCCGGAATTTCGAATTGCAGAAAAAGGATATGGCTCGACGAATATGCGGCTCTAGCTCGAGAAAGTTACGAAACGAGCTGTTGTCGAGTACGCGGCGTTGGAGCTCATGGCGGTCCATGGAAGCAAGCGCGCAAAGTCCCCCATATACAGCAACATCGTTGGAGGTGAGAACTTCGTTGTACGAGTCTCCTAGGCTGGAATCGGTCCCCAAAAAGCTGTTCGCCGCATCTAAATATGACCCAGAGTGTAGCTGGGACAGACCCATGGCGGCGGCCATTTTGGGCTGATTTTTCACTTGTTCCTCCTGCTTCGACTGAATATTGCGCAATCGTTGCACATTGGACTGGACGCTGAGCCAATCGCCCCGCTCAATAGCAACATTGATGATCTTGAACAACATCGAAGCAATGTGGCTTGGTGTTGTACAGTAATCCCTCATGCGAGAAAAGGCCTTGGACGCTGCGACGAGGTCACCGATTTGATGGTAGTGCTGTCCGAGATCCTCGTTTCCCATCTGCGACACGATTAGTACACAACATATTCAAAATATAGGGCGCGAAAGCTTACCCTAATACTCTCTTTGATTAAGTTGTTTTTATACCCTTTCAACTCATGCTCTAAACGGTCAGTCTCAGCCTTGACGACCTTGTTCATTCGATCTACCCAGTCCTTGTCTAGTGTCGCTTCAGCGTCATTGGGCGCAACCTCTGCCAGTGCTCGCACTGTTCGCTCATATCGTGAAACGTCTTTGTTCGATTTGGCTTCTGCGATCGCAGACTTAAGTGCTTCGATGGAGAGGTATGTAGAACACGTGCCTATAAGGAACAGGCGATTAAATCTGGTCCGGCCTAATGTAAAGAACTCCTATTAGCCAATAACACAAGTGATAAAGTCATATAGCTTACCAGTGTAGTTTGCAATGTACGATTCTAGCTCGAATTTGGGCGGATCTAAGAAGGTCAGTCATCGTCCTGTAACTTGCAAATCCTTCCATCATATGCAACCGAATATAGCTAGAACAAACATACCATCGATCTTGACAAACGGGCCTGCAATAACCGCATTACCATTTAGGTTGTCCAGATCTGCAGCTCCCACACCGGACATCTGTCTTGGATATGATGGAGTATCGAAGGTGTCCGGTGGCGCGAAATCCATTACTCCGGCTATCTGAGTGCTCGTAACGCCCACGCTAGTTGCAGAGGGTTACCCACCGACAGTAAGACAGTACCAAGGGATGATTCAGGTTGTATTTAGTTAGATTTGAAGATTGACGCCAGGGTGAAGGAATGGACTCCCGACAAGCGGAGGGGAATCTACCACGCTTGAATGTGGAGGATCTGAAGGGGCCGTTGTTCAGAAAACGAGACCCACGCTGCTTAGTGAGAAGAGGTTTGGACAAAGGAAGCGTAGTCGGGAATAAGGTAGATAGATGGTTATTAGTTAGCTGTATTGGCGGGCGGAGGTGAAGCGGGATTGATCTATTATTGATGAATCGATATCAACAAGGTTTCGGGCGGAGAACCGTCACCGCCCCAGTTACCGCCCAATCGATGTATGCACCAGCAGATTATAGTCCTACTAGTAATTCTTCCCTCCTATAAGTTCTAAGGATTCTATGCATGATTCTGTAGCATCTTTTCCTCCAAATACGTGGTATGCCCAAGGTTCAACATTAACTCAACGCAAATACGACACCCTACTATCTGTTCTATCTTGGATAACCACTGTGAAGTGAAACGCTAGGAAATTCCATGAAACCTAGATTATGTACTGTACATCTATCTCATTGGGGTGGTCCTCATCAACTGGCCCTATACCATCAACGTATCTTCACCACTGCTGGCAACAGGATTTGTATTCTGAGTATTTTCTTCCGGTTGTCTGTGAGAGATCTTGTATGAGCATTGACTGTGTGAGAGATATGGCCTTGAGAGAGGCGAAAAATTAACTGATATTGGGATTCCCAGGATCAGGATTGCCCATGCTAAATGAATTTGTCAGTGCTATAATGCACTGCCTGAGGGAAGTGGTGCCTTATGTAGCAATTGCTTGAGTTCCACTCTTAACAAATTGAATGTGAGTCCGGCAAAATGCTAGGGGATGAGAGCATGACTTGCTGTGCCTGGGGGACTTCATTATCATTGCTAACCAGATTATTTAGCAGACCTTTTGTGGAATGCTGACAGCAGGACTTACCGTCTCATGGAAGCTCCGTTTCCATTGCTAGCTAGACTATTCAGCAGACCTTTTGCGGAACGCCGACAGTAGATGATTAAATTACTGATCGATATTAGCTGGTCTTTCAAGACGCTGGGCTTGAAGACGAGCCCGACTCGACGGTTACGTTCGCGGCGGCGTTGACAAATGGGATCATCGTATACAAACACTTGTTACTCGCCACGTGGATTTTCTCGGATCTCTTCCTGATACGCGCCCGAGCCTGTCGGAATTAGCTCTGGTATTCTTGCCACTCAGATGGGAATTACAGGTATGGGACCTCCAGTCTGAGTATTACATTGGACAAATAAGCTTCCTCCTCTGAAGGATACCATTCTACCTAATATCGTCGCACTGCCTCCTGGAAAGCTTACGTGACAACCACAAGACACCTGTACGATATGAGTAGAAGAAAGAATAGAAAGAAAGAAAGAAGAAAAGGAATTCCACAGGCCATTATCGAGTCTTATCGGAGTATGTGTTGTGGGTACAACCATACTTCAAAACAGAACGAAGGGAAATTAGAGGGTATTAGCTCAGACGGCCACCAAAAAAAAAAAAAAGAAAGAAAGAAAGAAAGGAAAACATAATAGAGGACAGGCTCTGGCTAAAGATGTAGGAGACAATAGTCTCTAGGGTTCCCTATCAGGTAGGTGCAGTCTCACTCTTCCTTTACTATCCTCCATATCCAACGATACTCAATTCTGAATTTGCGGTCAGTTGAGCATGCTTGTATGGCTTTAAAGACAGACGAATAGACAAGAATATAGGATTCTATTCTATAGTGTATTAGTTCCTATTAGTATTGACATGCATGCGTGAAGAAGCTATAAAGTGTGGCTCGATATTCATTATCTGGCATTGACCCCTACTACTATATGCAGCACGTACTCTTCGTAACATAAGTTATGGTATGTAAAATAAATCCTAATCCTGTAGACAACCTAAAACTTCAATTAGAGCCTATCTAACTGCTTAATCACTGCAGCAAATACGGACAACAGTTCGATTCAATGTATTCTAGTTGCATTAGACAGTACGTGAGTATTAGAATCGGGAAAACCCTGGACGTGCGGACAGTCAACACAGATGACTCAAAGGGAGAGAAGGTATGAGAACGCTCCACGTAACGCTGAAACGACATGAGCAATATAGAGCACATATGCCATTGCCGGAAACTGAAAAGGGGCATGAGCATCCAGAAGAGCGCGCTATGATGCCTTGGGACAATCAGCCTCATGCTAGATGTTGAGAAATAGCCAATGTGTATGGTAATTAGAGCAAGGTTGCAAAACCTGCGAGAAATCCACCAACGACCAAGACCAGGCCGTAGACCTGTCCCATATCAACCAGCTGCCGAGGGGCAACGCCATTATCAGCCTCTCCAGTGAAAGGTGCCAGAGAAGTGGTAGCAGCAGGAGTGCTAACAGTGGCGGTGGAAGTCTTGTTGACACGCCTGGGATTCTGAGCCCCGCAAGGATTATCATTACGGCATTTAGACTGGCAGTTTAAATCACCAGAAGGGCAGGCATGAACGCATTGGTTGTTCCGCTCGGTGCAAATGTAATAGGGGATTGTCTCCGAGTATTCAGAAGCATTGGGAGAAGCATTGTTACTGCAGATGCATGAGTAGGAAAGTGTTTTCTGAATTCCCGAATTTTATTAGAACGTATGAAAGTAAAGAATTATTCGAGTAATTTGAAACCTTACCGCACTACAGTCGTTGTCCTTGGGCTTACCCGAGGCCCCGGGCATCTGGAGACAAAGAAGTGGACAGGAGGAGGTCTGTGATTGACACCATTGTTCTGCCATGATCGTGTCAGTACAAGATCAGCTCTCCATTGGCCCCAGCTGGAAAACATACCTCTTGTGGATAAGGCAACTTCACTTGGGTCGATAGCCTGGCCCTTTACCAGTCCGATAGCCGAGGCAAGGATAGCGAGAGTCTGTAGGAAGAGCATTTTGATGGTATGATCTGTAAGGGAAAGCTTAGATAGATAGATAGCGTTCTGTTTGGTGTGCGATGCAAATTGTTATTAGTTTGAGAAGTTGTAAATGACTAGTAGAGGAGAATTTAATTTTTACAAGCTTACCCACTGGACAAGAGCAAAAGCTCCAACTGCAGTGAATGAATAAATAGGGACTTCACAGATTCTTAGAATGGCTAGTCCTGTTTGAATGAGGAGGCCACGAAGAAAAGGAGGGAAGGTTATGACCTGAGGGGAAGTGAAAGAAAGGAGGAAACTGGGGCAAACAGAGAGGGAAAAGGGACTGAGCGATATTAATTATAAAATCAGTTCCGACAGGCCCATATATTATCAGACTACTACGACGCCGTGCTACTTTGTTCCCAAAATGAGCTTGGGGTGGCGGCGCTATCTTTCCTTAAGCTCCCGACCATTTGCTGTCACCAGCCACCCAGAGCTTCAGATAGATTTCCCAATTCCCAGTAAATTAGCAGCTGTTAGCCTTTTTTTTCTTTTCCTTTTTCTTTTTCGTATTAACAGTGGATCACCCGTCACAGTTTAATAGACCAGTTTTAAAGAATGAATGTGAACCTAAAACATGGAGTAAAGGCAATTCCCAAGATGGGAAAAACCAGCTAATCCTGCAGCAAAGAAACAAGGAGGACAACAAAGAGAAAAGGCAGTCATGTCGATCCGGGGCCGCTAGCCGGCAGCAAGACCCTGTTCTGCATGGAGTCATTCCAAAAGTGACAGATACCACTCCTCTTTCTCCTCCTTTCATTATATCTTTAGGATTTCAATGGTGGTATGGTCTCCTCTCCGGCCTCTTGGAAGCAAGAGCAATCTCACATGGTGCTGGAATGTCTTAGAAACCAATAGAGCCGACAGATAGAGAGCTCGGAATGGTCGTGATTGATGGACTCACACTGTCTCACCTGGGAGCGCTGATTACCCGAAGTAGGGGAGGACTGATTGGGTCCGTCAACTCTTGGCTTTTTCTAGCGTGGACCCTAGTAATGTCACTCACTACGGAGTATGTCACTAACAGTAAAATGTAGCACGGCTAAGCTATTAAGGACTGATCCGACAATGTTGGCTCACCAGGCCAAATCATTCGTAGTACTAAGATAGAGGATTAGACAGTTAGAGGATTCAACCATCGGATGTTCTGAAAACTACGGAGTACTGACTCCGTAGTTGAATCTGGATTGGATTGTTTGGCAGGAACGAAGAGATTTGTCTCTTCCTCCAAGTCCAAAGGATTCCACGAAGTTGCCCCTTTCATCAACCACATGACTTGCCTCTTTGGGGGCGTTGTTAAATACACAGGCAAAACTCTCCGTTTCACAGGTGACTATACCTTATTAGGGCTAGCGTAGAAATTAAATTTCTTGGCATTTATATTTACACAGGTGCCTTAGTCATATCCTAAATAGGAAATATATAGACTATCTAAGAGGTTAAATCCAGACCCGTCTTTTAGTGCTAGAACCGTCGATTGTCCGGCCTCGCGGTGGTCAAAAACAGGAACGCCCAGGGCGAGAGCTATTATATTAGGAGCGAGTTGACCGCGCTGTCCGTATAGCTTAGTATAGCCAAACTATTCGAGAGGGCGAGGCAGCAAAGACAGCGGTAGCTAAGCAGGCAGGTGGTAAGACAGTGGAGGGGCAAGCAATAACTTGGTTGCTTGAAGCATCGAATAAGGTATTACTTCAGACATCAAAAAAGGTATTGAACGAAGCATCAAGGCAAATAAGACCTCAAGCAATGCCTCAGGGACAGGCTTAAGGGGGGGCTTAAGGCCTCTGGGCACGGCAGGCGGTCGATCGGGGGATCTAACATGGGTGTCAGTGGAATTTTGATCACTATATTCTAATTAGAGAGTTAAACCTGGTTTAAAAACATTGTATTTAATGCCTAATAGTCGCTTTTCAATCAAATTGCTTATAGCCAATTTTATATGGGCAATTAAAAGGATGGCAACGCCTTGACTCCCTTGAGGTGTAGTCAAGCCTGTGTTACTAAGCACTTCCCAATTAGGTATAATCAAACCTGTGTCACTAAGCACTTCCCAATTAGGTATAGTCACCTGTGAAACTAGGAGTTTTGCCTGTGTATTTAACAACGCCCCTCTTTGGGATCGGCTCCTTGGCAGTCCCGTGATCTCTGGAATTCGAGAAATTAAAGACCATCAAGAGAGAAAGAGGGGAGACTGTTGATCGCTGCAGGTTTGTTCCTCCGATATCATCCTTCTCTGAAACCAACCTCTGATCTTATCAACTACCCCGGCGGTTTTTTCCCCCTCCTCTTCCCCCTCCCCGCATTTCCACCTGTCAAAGTGCCCAAAGTTGGCCTGCTGACAAGTCCATCCGAAACATCACTTGTAGCAAGCTTCGACTAGCGATCGAGGTGAGTGATATCTGACGCCACCCCTTTTTCCCTTTCTTCTTTTGCTGCCCCCTTTCTTCGTTCCCCGCTACTGGTTTCCTGCACCAGCTTGGTCGCATCTCCAGCCAACAACGTATTCTCATTAGTGGCCGCCCGGATCGTTCCATTGTCAATCCCATCGAAGATCTAAATGGATGGAGCCAGCGAATGAGGAGACTGGTCTGGTGCCTCCGCCATTCTCCCCTCAAGGTTCCCCGGTGGCTGCGTCGGTTTTAGATGGGGTCGATGTCAGCAATGGGTCAGTTCTGCCCCGAGCGCAGAACAAAGCCTCTGAAGATCGCCCAGTGTCTGGCATAGTCCCGCCATATTGGACTCACCATCGAAATGCATCCCGTGCATCCCACGCCTCTCTCGATCGATGTCCAGCCATTACGCTAGAGGACCATACGGAGGATCCTAACTCTGAGACTAGCCGCGGGCTATGGGCCCGAAGCGTGTCGGTCAATGACTACGTAGTTGTCCAAGGAAAATCCGGCATCGGATCGTATGTGGTGTGGAATTGCGCGATACAGACGCTGGAGGTGCGAAGACTCTTCCCATTTTAATGGCCTGCCCTGTATAGAATAATACTCTAATCTGCATTTGTAGGGTGGCCCGATCATGATTCGCATGAGGTATGCGCACCAGAGGAATGTTCAATCCTCACCTTGGTCTAGACTGACCGCTCGCCCCAGGTACTCCGAATTTGACGACTTAAGGAACCAGCTTGTATTGTCATTTCCACATGCCAAAAGTGCTTTACCAGGTCTTCCCCCAAAGAGCGTTCTCTGTATGTTTTGGATGATGCCATTTCGTTTCGAGTCTCCCGCTAACCAGCGCTCCAGTTAAATTTCGCCCGTCGTTCCTGGAATCAAGACGAGTCGGCCTCGAGTACTTTTTGAAGTGAGCAAGCATATGGTCTTCTGGGCTATAATTCCTGGTAGATACTGACGTTTTCGTTTCCCCTGTAGTTGCGTACTTTTGAACCCCGAATTTTCTAGCTCACCAATTGTCAAAGATTTTCTATTCGGCCGAATGTGCTAATCCTAGCACTAAATCGAATCGAATCGCATCTGTTCCAATAATCATAGGCACTGTTGCTTCGGAGATATGGGAACAGGATTGACTGTTCCCCTCTGTCTTTACAGAAGCCGCTGTATGATCACATGGTCTATATCTATTTGGCATGAACATGGATTATGCTGGCAGCCTTCCGCATTATGCGATGATGAGCTATCGGCTCTATATCCAGATATAGAACACATCCATAAGTGAGGTTTCATGCGTCATCAGTTATTGACCTAGGTGGACTGCCCGCTATAAAGATTCTCAAATGTTTAAATACATTCTTTACGGACAGAATTTCACCGAGAACCCAGTATACTCCACGACGAAAACCAGGCGACCAACTTATTATTACTGGCCTCTAATGGAGTGTAACCAAACATGCAACTTTCTGGGAATCAAGCAGAGAAACACTGGAAACTCGGTGAAACCAACCAGCGTGCCTTTTAGAATTGGGTCATGGAACTATCAAATCAAACAGCATGAATCATAAGAGTGCGCTAGATCAATCGTCTAGTCTTTGCTTTCTGGGCCGACCAGCACAGCTCGTGCAGCATTCTGCTCTTCCTCCCTTGCCTTTTGCATACTCTTGGAGTAGCTCTTCCCGGCGACGAGCCACCACATGAGCTCGATGAGTATGAACCCTCCAACACATGCACAGGTGTAGTTCATGTTCGACGCTGTATGACAGATAGATTAGAATCCGATCTACCGGGTGATAACTCAGCATCAAAGAGGTAAAATACCTGTTACTGGCATGTAAAACGGGAAAGAAAAGAAAACAATAGCAAAAACCAGCCAGGCAATGGTGACGATATTGACCGCCATGCCAGCAGCAGGGCCCAAGAAAAAGGGACCTCTGTGCATTGTTTTACGACCCAGGATGACATTGGTCAGAATAGGAATCAGATATGCAATGTTGTTGATTGTTCTGATCTTGTTAGCTCACGTCATACCCTGTCTTTGTACTCTCAATCGAAGAGATGTCTTAAATGAGAAGTGTAGTACTCACACCGCGGAACTCATCATGGCATTGAATGCCGTAGTTGATCCAAGATAAATACAGCCCAGAAGCGCCACAATGACAGCCACACACAGCTGAGCGTTAAACGGAGCGCCCAGACGTGGATTAACCTTAGCCCAGCTGAGAGGAGTTAATAGATGGGACAGACGAAAGAGATATGTGATATATTGCGCTGCTTACACTCTAGAGAAGGGTAGACCGTCGTCTCGAGAAAAAGCCCAAAACATTCTTCCGGTACCTGCCGAAAGTTAGACAAGATCAACGAATAGCTACGAGGAGTTGGGATTCAACAAAACATACTGAGCTGAGCTCCAAGCATGCATGGGCCTAGCGCCACCCAAATAAGAAAGACGAGGGCGAAAGCACCACCACGGGTCTGAGTTGCTTGACGAAAGATCTCTGCCAACGGTAAACCTGTTGGACTATCTGCCAGACTTCCATAGTCTTGCACGGAGAACATAAGACTGAGGAGGTAAGACAGGCCGGTGACAAACGCTATGGAGAGGGTGCAAGCTAAACATAATAGTCAGCGCTACTGTATTGCAAGAGACAAGAGACAGGGAGCAGTACAACATACCTAGAGCTATTGGGGCATTTTTCCCAGGCTGGGGAATATTAATCAACACCAATACAGATAGATCCCAACTATAGATATAGATATAGATATAGATAGATCCTACTTACGTTTGGCATCTCCTCCGTGATATGCTGTATGGGTTAGCAAAATCAATTCTAAACAATAGACGAATAGTACAGAACCTACCGTGATTCCATCTAGTCCACCAAGAGAGTAAAGCGGATTCACCAGACCCGTAATAAAGCAAACAACGTTGTTTCCCCAGCCAGTCTCGTTCATCCAAGTGCGAAAAACAAATTTGCTATCGTTGTGGGATGGGGCAGCAGCAGCAACTGTGACCATGGTGACGAACCAGGCCAATTGAAGATAGACCACTTCATGTATTTAGTGTATACTTCGTGCGCATATGATGGATGGATTCATTTATGCTATACTCACAGGAGAATTTGTTAATCAATGGAAGATACCGATTCCCAAACATGATAACGCTTGCTGTGAGGATATTGAACCCTTGATATGCGACGAAGGTCATCCAGGGCTGAAGTACAATATCGGTCTTGTACAACGTGATAAGGCCCATGAAAGTAGATGCATAGATCAAGTTTGTAGAGGCCGTAGTAAAAATCCCTACAAAGAAGTCAGCCACCCGGTATCATGAGCCTAGTCACGCGACCAGCTTCTTACATCCGAACACGGTACTCCAGCCCGTTGCGAAGCTCAGAACGCTGTTGTAGCGCTTGGGAGCAATCGCCGCGATCCAATGGTACATTCCACCTTCAACAGGATAGGCCGAGACGAATTCTGCAAGGGAGGTCCCTAGAAAACACTGAAGAATGAAAACAAGAATGAATCCATAGATCACTTGAGTCGTCAGAACCTCAGTTGTGTTGTAGTACAGGGAAAGGGGGTTAGGATGGGTCATACGAGCACCGGGACCACCAGCATTGATGGCGGTAATCAGGCCAAGGCCGAGACCTATACACGAAGAAGTTAGGGATCACTAGAAACTTGGGAATATATACACGATTGTCCACTGACCGGTCCAGGAAATAGTACAATTCGCCGCCAGACCGATCAAACTCCAGATGGAAAAGTGACGCTTCAACTCCTGTTTGTGACCTAAAATAAGTCAGTAATCCAGATTGCCAACAAAATGACAGTACGTACCCATCTGAGCCAGGCGCAATTCATCCGCATTCTGGACCTGGATGATATCGGAGCCATTGTCGTCGACGGGACGTACAGCAGGTGTCGCAAGCCCGTCGGAGGTGCCCATCCTGGGCTGATATTGCTGGGTGAAAATAAAAATTGACAAGGAACTGAGTAAAAAAAAGAAGAGGAGGTTGTTTTTGTGACCCCCTGCGCCGACAGGTTCTACAGGGTTTATATATATAGATCCTGTCTGTGGCTACCGGCGAGTACTGCGGAGCTGCAAAATGTCCCGGTCTAGCCTTATCATCTATCGCATGGGATCGGATATCTGGCCTGGATTGCCGGTTCCCCGGGGAGATAACCGACGGGCGGTTGTAAGGAAGCACTAAGAGGAGACGGAGGTGAACGCTAGGAGGCTCCATCGAGCTAGCTCTGGAGCTGAAATATGGGGATTCAAAACCGTCGCGTTGCATCCACTAGGCTGAAGCAGGCCTAGCGCTGCATCGTTAAATGCGAGAGATCTGGGGTCTATTCATATTATCTTATGTATTTCGCACTATACCACAATGCATCATCTATCTATATACGCCAGAAATAAAAGAGAGGTTCCCCCAGCCGGAATGTGGTCAAACTTGCATCAGCCATCAACAGGAGTCATTAAGTTCATTAGCGTCACCGCGGTGCTGGCATATCCAAGGCGGGCATTAAGAACATCAACATGGGCCTAGGTATGGGCGTCGAAAAAAAATAGGGGTAGGTGGTATAGAGAGACGAGAGTATATAAATGCAGGAAAGACTCCTACCCCGAAAGGATAGGTGGATTGTATCTGAAGCGGGGATGAGCAGAACACTGTACACCACGCTTTGCCTTCTCTAACGGAAATAATTAATGGCTCTTGAGACCCCCTTTGCTAGGATCAATATTGCCATTCGAATCCTCATCATTGGCCTCTCCAAATTCACGATATGCTCTGTCTCTGGCTATCGAGTTGTCTTTTCGAATTGTTAGGCAGTTGATACCCAAGAATGTCGTGATCCTATTGATCACTAAGAATGCCCAATGCATGTATACGACGAATGCAAACAAAAGATAAAGTCGCAGGTATAAGATCTCCAGCCATCCGCTAACTACGGGGAAGCCGAACCGGGGTAGATTGACCAGTACAGCACCGCCGACCAATGGAATTTGCAGAACAGTCCAGTGGGGGAACGGCTGTCTTAACAGATGAGCGATGATGATCTTGGTGGTCATCCGTCCGAAAACGAACGAGATCGTCCAGCAGTACAGAACCAGTCGGTTATCGGCCAATACGACAGAGTAGGGTGAGAGCAGCCAGGCCAGATTGCAACTGGTGAATACGATCATTGGAATCCACTCCTTGAAAATTGGGGCCACTGGAAGATTCTGCTGTCTCCGAGAGGCGATGACGTTGTAAATGCAGCCTGGTAGATGTCCAACAAAGAAGGACAGAAGGAGAAGCGGGATCCAGATATCCTTCACAGAGTTATTTCCAAATATTTGAGGGCAATTGACAAGGTCCGTTATAGGCTGAGACCAAATCTGAGGTCCATAATACCCAGACGCGATCATTAGCGCAATGGCAATCAGAAGGCCTTCCGTAGGACCGTTGAAGTACCCAAGATAAAGGGTATGTGTGTGGTAGGTCTCCCAGGTGGAAAAGTACATTGCAAGACAGGGCACAAGAGCCGTGTATGCGCCAAGCTGAGAGGAACCCAAACCCATGGCGGCAGTTTCCAGCAGGCTAGCAAGTGTGCAGTTCAAGGAATCAATTCCATGGCTGTAGGTGGTTAGCGCCATCCAGTTACTTATCTGTTCTAGATACTGACTCAAAAAGCTCCCCAAGACCGCTGGAAGTCCCCGTTCTCCGTGCTTGTTTGCCATCAACGTTGTCCAGTGTAGAATACCTATATTCTCACATCAGCAATCAGAAATATACATGGAACATAGGACCGCTTTACATCCACATGCCAAAAGCAAAACTGTAATATAGCCAAGAGGGACCCTAGGAGCAATATATCTTAGTGACTAGTATCCACGCTGATATTTAACTTCAGCCACTCATACCGGCCCAATCAGATCCGGCACATATATTTCAATGAGCATCACATTGCCCACGATAAACAAGAACCCCAAAAGGGTCACCATATTAGGAGCCATCCAGAGCGGTAGAACTTCGACGGCCGCATTCCACTAAAGCCGCGCGTTTTGGTTAGAAACAGGTGAGAGGTCAAGCCGAGAGCAGGGTTGCCGCACATAATGTTTTAATATATACCTAGAAATGAACGACTTGTCCACGCTTTGGTACTTGTAACTCTTGAGGGGCATGAGTACATCATCGGAGAGCGAGTGTTGGATCTCTGAGATAATGTGAACGATTAGTTCGCATATTCGACAGTATGAGTCCATAATCAAAACTGCGCTAACCTTGGACCCTTCTGAATATCCTACTCATCTTGCCACAGAATGCGCAATTGATCTATACTCTCGAAGAGGGAGGGTAGGGCAAGCAAAAAAAAAAAAAAAAAAAAAAAAAAAAAAAGAAACAGCGAGTGATGATCAACCTCAGTAGTTCATTGCGCGGTATAAAAGGCAGATGGTGCAGGAAATGGCGATGACTTCTCACTGAGCGCCAATCCCCTCTAGAGCCGTTAGTTAATAGGACACTCGCACAACAGGGAGTCGAGAGTCCGTTGAAGAGGGGTGTTTCGCCGAATTGCTCTGAAAAAGGAGAAGGAGAGGATCGGCGGCCATTCAGTCCCTGGGCATCACGTGCCAGCGGTCTGAAGCTCCGCAACTTTCGAGAAACAAACGCGACAATAGCGGAAAGTGAGTGAATACTTGAGGTGGAGGTAAATTGAAGCCTTTTTCTGGCGCTCTGGGCCTCTCCCATATCTCCTTCCCTTTCTTCAGTCAACCGTGATTTTCTATCAATTTTGTCGGGCTAACCTCTTCCAGTTGGCCCTTTCTTTTCCTGCGACTTTCCTGTCTCGCTTCACTTCCCCCGCCGCTGAGACCTCAACTCTCGGGCCTTTCCCTCTCACCGGTCGCCCTGACATTTTCAAAATCAACTTGCTGTGGCACCATAGAGGGTCAATAGCTGGAGAATATACGGTTGACTTGTGAACTTGGACATGACGGTAGATGGTCAGCGAAGCGCTCGCGGCGCAGTGCACGACTGAGTATATTGCGCAATGCCAGGCGTCGTGGAGGCTGCCTCCAGCCCTGCCTGGCCGGGGCTGGGCTTTACTGTCGCACATCAGAAGGTCGAGCTGGAAATAGATTTTGCAAATAAGGGCCTCAAGGGCAAGACGGAAATCACCATCCACCCGCATTACAAGGAACTTCGCGTGATTCCTTTGAGTTTTCGACAGGGTGAGGTTAAGCGTATCAACGTCGGCGGGAAGACACCTACAATTAAATATACGAATCCTTACGAATCCCTTCAGTTGTACGGCCCTCACTATCACCAGCGATTGTCATCTAAGATCGATGGCCTCCTCAAATCTCCACCGCAAGCGGAACTACTAGTGACGATCCCGAAAAGTGTCAGAATTGACGAACTTGACCCTTTCTCGATTGAGGCCCAGGATCAGATGTCCCTGCGAGCAACTGGAGCTGTTGATGATGCGGAAGGCCCACTAAGTTCTAAAGCGCCGGAGACTTCTCTCCCCCGGTTCACGGCGCTTACGGTGTATGTCGAGTTTATCGTTGATAATATCCGTGAGGGTCTACAGTTTGTCGGGATGGAAAATGGCGATAGACGCTACCCACATGTCTATACAACCAACTCACTTGGCTATGGCGTCGGATGTCCTCTGTTTCCCTGCGTCGACGATCCTTCGTCTCGCTGCACCTGGGAAATTTCGATCAAATGCCCTTGTTCCTTAGGGGACGTATTCGACCGCAAGTCTCGGGATCCATCCGGCGCTAATTCTGGCCGCACAAAATCCACATCTAGCCACGGCCGATATATTTCTCCAGATGACGAGACATTGGATATATCGGTGGTTTGTTCCGGAGATATGACAGATGAGATTATCGATCCGAAAGATTCGAGCAAGAAGACCGTCTCATTTGCATGTGCTACTCAGCTTTCCGCCAAGCAAGTTGGATTTGCTGTTGGCCCCTTCGAGTATGTCAATCTTTCTGATTTCCGAGAAAGTGATCAGGATGAACAGCTTGGCCAGAATGCTATTCCACTGCACGCTTTCTGTCTTCCGGGGAGAGTGGATGAGCTTAGGAATACATGCTTTCCAATGGCGAAGGCGATAGACTTCTTTTCATTATCATATGGATCGTATCCATTCTCAAGCTACAAAATGTGCTTCGTGGATGACACACCCCAAGACACCTTGCCGACAGCGTGCCTGTCGATCTGTAGTAACCACCTTTTGTTCCCCGAAGAAATTATTGACCCAATGTATGATTCAACACGCACTCTAGCCCACGCTCTATCCTGCCAGTGGATCGGGGTCAATATCATACCAAAGGAGCTGACGGATACGTGGGTTACCGTGGGAGTCGCCTGGTATATCACGGACACCTTCATGAGAAAGCTTTGTGGGAACAACGAATATCGGTTTCGATTGAAGCAAATGTCAGATAGAGTATGCGAGTTGGACTATGAACGCCCATCGATACACGATATGGGAAATTATCTCCAGTTAGATGCGTCCGAGATCGAATTTATCGCATTGAAGGCGCCTCTAGTTTTATTCATTCTGGACCGACGGCTCACCAAAGCCAGTGGGAAAGCGACGATGTCCCGCATTATCTCTCGGCTTTTCTTAAATTCTCGAATGGGTGACATACCCAATGGTGCAGTCACCACTTCTCTGTTTCAGAAGACGTGCGAGAGGCTTGGTCATGCAAGGTTGGATGCATTCTTCAATCAATGGGTGTATGGGGCTGGGTGCCCGAGATTCCAGGCCACACAAAGGTTTAACAAGAAAAAGTTGGTGGTCGAAATGATGATTAAACAAGTTCAATCAGAACAGCCGAGCGCGCGTGATTTAGAGAGGAATTATTTTCTGCGTGATGTCAAGGAAGAAATACGGAGTGTCTACGCCGGCGCGATCCAGCCAGTCTTTACGGGCTCCATGACTATCAGAATCCACGAAGCTGATGGTACCCCTTATGAGCATATCGTTGAGATCAAAGAAGGTGTCACCAAGTTTGACATACCGTATAACACTAAATACAAACGATTGAAACGAAACAAACGGCAAAAGGAGCGTGCTGCCGCCGCCTCAGGTGGCGACCCCAATGCAGAAGCGCAAGAAGACGTCTTGCTTTACTGCTTAGGTGATGTTTTGCAAAGTGAGGAGGAAATACAAGAGTGGAGGCTAGCAGATTGGAGTAAAGAGGACGAGGAGAGAATGGGACAGGAATCCTACGAATGGATCCGTATGGATGCAGATTTTGAGTGGATCTGTAAACTCTCATTGGTGATGCCAGGCTACATGTACCTCTCTCAGCTTCAACAAGATCGCGATGTTGTAGCTCAGTTGGAGGTTAGTTTTGTTACTTTCTCCCACCTCCCTTGCTTGAGTAAAAGTGCTAATGAGATGAATAGTCGCTTCAGTATATGGCAGCTCAACGGGAGCACCCACTGATTTCCACAATCTTCGTTCGAACTTTAATGGACCGGAGATATTTCTATGGAATCCGCGCAGCAGCAGCCCGGGCTCTTGTCAAGCATGCTAAAGAGGAAATCAATTGGTTAGGACTGTTCCATCTGGAACGAGCTTTCCAGGAGTTGTTTTGTCTACCAGGCTCTCCCATGACTCGCTCAAATGATTTTTCCGACAGGGCAGCGTATATCCTTCAATTACTAATCCCAGAGGCTATCTCAAAGGTACGAGATAATAATGGGAAGACTCCGATGCAAGTGAAACGTTTTCTGCATGATAAGTTGAAGTTCAACGATAATTCTAATAATGAGGTGAGTGACGTGTACTGCCTTGATGCTGGATTTGTGCTCATGTTGCGAGTAGTACTCGGATAATTTCTATGTCGCAACCCTAATGCAGTCACTGTGTCATGCTATGCTGGGGAAAAGCGAGTCGCCGTCCGTGGAAATGGATGATTTTGACATGGAGCGAGTGCTTGAGTACCAGGCGGAGGAGCAACTAGAGAAAGATGCTCTGGCCGAAATTGATAGGTACCGGCGAATGGATGAATGGTCGAGTTCATTTCAGAACGTCTATTCCCGTGCAGCCCTGCGTTGCCAAATGCAGCTCATGCAGGCCAGCATAGTGGACATGGACGCATTGCAGTTTTTGCCCTACACCAGGGCTGGGACTTACGACCTCCTTCGTTTGGATGCCTTCGAATGTCTAGTGGAAATGGATCTCTTCAAAAGCCCTGAGCTTCTGAGGTGGTATATTTTCACCATGTCCAACGACCCTTCTGCCTGGCTTCGGCGACGTCTCCATAGCTTGTTTGGCAAGGCACTCGCACCTGTGGCTTTCGGTCGTGAACCAGATAATCGGGAGCAAGCTACCAGTGATAGTCTGATTATTGAGCAGGAATCCTCCACTGAAGTCCGCCGGGCAGACTTGGCGCGAAAGCAAACTGTCCCTGGTGCTATAGAGGCACTGAAGCTTGACGTTTCTGGAGACCAATCTCTGAAGGAGGCGCTCTGGGCTGCGTGCAACTCCCCCTGCATTGGGATATTGGAGCTTTCCGAATTCACCGATCTCTGCCGAATCTTATACAGCCCCGTTACGTCCCTGAAGGTATCCCTAAAATACCCGCGGTACTGGAAAGCGAGACACCTCGGAAAGGTAGGCGCCGTGATTCAAAACTGCTCCATCATCTTCCAAGATTGCTCACATTTTATCAGGGACGCATGCATTTCTTCCGTTCCAACCGTGTTCGCACCACACTCACCCTGTCAAAGGATTTAGCAGCAGCTCCCGCAAAACGCAAGCGAGAAGAACAGGGAATGCCACCCCCTGGTCCTCGTATCACATTTAAACAGTCGAAGATTGGCGCAAAGGGGCCATCGCAGAATTTGACCTCAACACCGCAGCAAACTCCCAAGTTACATATTCCCAATCTCCCTTCCCCTGCCCCCCAGGCGATGCCTAAGAACCCGACCACCCCATCTACCCCGTCAACTCCTGGTGGCGGGTTCAAGTTGAAATTGAAATTTGGCCAAAAGTCCAAATGAGGATTCCTAATTTCTACATATTCATGTAATTTATACATTTTGCTTTCTATGTTCCTTTCCTTTTTCTTTTTTTAATTAAAAAAGCCTTGGAGGGGGTTGGTAAAGGAGACTCATGGCGCGAGGATGGGATGGATGCATTTTGCTTTTAAATTCCTTTTCTGATCCTTTTTTATCCTATTCTTTTGTTCTGGGTCGTCGTTTATCTAAATTTGTACCGGCCTCGCCGGATTCATTTGATGCAGTATCGGACTTATTTGTCATGAATGTCGATGTCTTGCATAGCAATAGCCTGGTTGTGTATTGTCGGGGATGAAGATAAGACACTCCAAGGAAACCGCGATTTAATCAGTCAAAATATTGGACGGTGCATTTTCTTCGTAAACAAAGATGTGATGAGATCGAAATATATCCGACCGTACCATGAAAGGAACTACCGGCCCTCAAACTCCATAAAGAATAAAAAAGATTAACCCCCCTCTGTAAAAGCATTTCCAACCCGGATTCTATTTTATTTCTCGCTTATCCGCTCCAGAGCCTGTAGTGAAATTCGTGTAAGCTTCCCTAACAAGATGGTTTATCACACCGCTGCGTAGCTACTCACCTCAAGCATAACGACGGAATTACCACGAATGACCTGTACACCGATATTAGTTTCGTTCCATAGTTTCCAGCTTGATAGTTGCATGGTTCACTACTTACAACCATGCCGATGGCGACCTTCTCTCCGCCCGTCTTCTCTTCAAAAGCCTCGTCAAGGACGATATTCATGAAAACCTGCGACGTACAATATCAGAACTCTGCCACGGGTAAACACAGCAACAATCGCCATCACCGCTGAGGCAAATCCAATCGACGGTTCACAACAGGAAGAGAAAGAGGCTCAGGGTGGTCGGACGTACATCGTAGCCTCTCAAGATTCCAATGACTTTGCGGTTACCGTTCAGTTGGCAGAAGATTCGCTTTTCCATATACTGGTGGTTTTAACTGTCAGTCTCCCCAGCTCCGAAAGAAAATGAAGCAGCGACATACCTTCTTCAACTCTGGCTGTGCTTGAGGCATCTTGGCTGGCCAGTCTGGTGCAAATGCCCTCCGTGGTCGTGAATATCAGTCGCATTACGGACTTTTGAGACGTCGGCGTGAGTTAAGCTGGGTCGGAGAAACAATGTTCCCGGAGCTGCGGAGCTCAGTTCAAAGTTCCAACCAAACAATCGATACTATCGGGTCGACTCAACCATTACGGCGTGTAAAGCTACGTTGAAATGAGCTCCAAATTTGCCAATCGGAAAAAGCCCCGCAAGATTGGCGGAGATGATGAAGATGATGGGGACGGACAAGGTGAGCATTTCCGGATCCAAAACTCGCCTGCCCCATATCCTTTAAGGTGTTAGAGTAGGATCTAACGAGAAACAGATACAGGTCCAATTGTTAAGCGACCTGTTAGTTCTAAAGTAAAGCAGAAATCAAAATTACGCCTTTCGTTCGGTCCCGGCGGAACTTCTATGGCCGACGATGACGGACAGGAAGGCGAAGTTGTATTGGGCAAGAGACCTGGTCCTAGCAGAAGGGTCCCAGAAAGCAGTGTATTCCAGAGATCATCGACACCGTCTGGATCGGGCAAACGCCTTCCTCTGCGGGTTGGACATGAGCAAGATAGGCCAAGTTACAATGAAGACTACCTAAAGGAGCTCCGAGATTCCACGCCTTCAACACCGAAAGCTTCCTCCGATGCAGACAAGGAAAAGACGGTTGATGTGGCTGCCAAATTTGGAGAAGTGATGAAAGTATCAGCGCCATCAGCTATTCCAAGCGAGGCTGAGATAAGGGAAAAGAAAGCCAGAAGGGCGCGGTTAGCGAAAGAACAAGGTTCCCTTTTGGCTGAACAAGATTACATTTCTCTTGAAGGTCATGCGGAGGATGATGACTGGGATCTTCAAGCTACACGGGAAGAGCATACGGATACCAGACTCATTAGAGATGATGAAGACTTCGCGGAAGGGTTTGATGAATTTGTGGAAGATGGTCGTATCTCTCTTGGGAGAAAGGCCGAGCGCGAACAACAGAGAAAACAGCGCGAGGAAATGAAGGAACTCATCGATGATGCAGAGAGATCATCCGACGAAGATGACTCGGACATGGAAGAAAGAGCAGCTTATGAAGCTACTCAAACAAGAGCTGCAATGGGCAAGAGTGGCAGAGATCATGCAGAGCGACCAAAGACTCCTCCTAAAATGACCTCGCTCCCGCGTCTCGCGCATTGTATGGATCGGTTGCGTACGAATTTGACAGTCATAGAGCAGTCAAGGGCTCAAATGGTGAACCGAATGGAAGAGCTGAGAAAGGAGAAAGCTGATATCGCGGTCCGTGAAGTAGAAATCCAGGTTTTAATCAAAGAAGCCGGTGACAAATACGAGAAACTGAAGCGAGAAGCTGGCCTCGCTCCTGGCTCTGAAGAGGACACATCTTCAGCTGGCGTCATTCAGAAAGCGCGGGGGCTGGAGAGCCTCGGCACTCCCTTGGCTGAATCCACGGCCAGTTCAGAGGACGAATCATGATATTCTCTTATCTGGTCTGTCAAGCTTGCACTTGCCTGTTTGATGCTACTGGCTCTTGCAGAGAGTGTATCCCGCGACTTCTGTCGCTCTTTCCGGCATATCAACCATGGGTTTAAACATACTCCATGGAAGCCCAACCTCCGGCTTTGTCCAAATGTAATGACACTTGACTGGGGACGGCTGAATTTTACCACGATACCCATAAGCTAGCTTTTCCACTTTTTTCTACAATGGCACGAACTCCTTTCTTCTCGTTTTCCCGCCAGCCTTTACGTAGCACTGTGCGTGTTGGCAAATCTGTACCGTGAGTCAATATAACCAGGATCTCTTTGTATCCTTATATTAATGCACCGTGGAAACGTCAAGGCAGCGTGGCAGCATACCCTTCATCGAGAACCCTATTGAACCGTCGACTGACGAGAAAAATGGAGCCACTCCACACCTCTACCGGCATGCGGACGCTACTCCTATAGAACTATTCTTTGACCTCTTTTTCGTGGCGAATCTGTCTACCTTCACTGCGACACACGAGATTCATAATGTAGAAGGTTTTACCCACACATCTCCTAAGACCCAGCTGTCCAAACATTGACTTCATATGCTAGCTTTGGGGGCGTACATAGGTTTCCTTGGCGTGATATGGTTCACCTGGCTTCAAGTGACTCTATTTGATATTAGATTTGCTCGAGACTCGGTCTTTGAACGAATTTGCAAGGCTGTACAGTTAGCCGCTATGATTGGTTTTGCGTCTGCAGGTACAAGATTTGCTACACGCGTTCGAGAGGAGAATGTTTGGGCTTTTCAGTCATTGAGCCTTTTACTAGGCGGAAGTCGGATAGTACTGGCTTTGCAATATACTGTCAATATTCTATTTCTTCGCCAGCGTATGAAACATGCTGCTAAGGGGTTGTCTCTAATCGCCATGATGTTATTTGTCTCAAGCTTAATGTACCTTGGAGTAAGCCCGCGTTATACGATCAAAGAACAATCGCGGAAGTCACTCATTCCTGACCTATGACTAGATGTTTTTCATGTTCGAGGCGCAACATGGGATTCGCTCCTATATATGGACCGTTTGGTTTGCTATATTCGGATTGGAGATGTGGGTTGTTATGGGGGTGTCTTGTGTCACCCCGGGGATTGGGCTTCAAGACACCCATCTGAATGTGCGAATGGGTCTCCTTACGCTGATCATCATAGGGGAAGGCGTCATAGCTATTACAAGGATAGTCAACAAAACAGTGAGGCCGGGAGGCTGGACCAAATGGTCGTTTGTCCATATCCTGGGTGTTACAACAAATGTGGTATGGCCTCCGAGCAATATGCCACCATTATGGCCCCTATCTTGCGTATGCTAACCTTGCAGGAGTAGTATCTTCTGTGGCAGGCATATTATGACCTCTCCCCAAGGTGCATGCTTGGGAAATACTCACAACAGATATGGGCTCAACTGCATTTCCCATTCCACGTGGCTCTCATCCTCCTTCTTGAAGGATCGCAGATATTAGCCTTGACTCTGGACATTGCGTTGAAATTGACCTATCTAGTGGAAACCATAATGTTCGCCTGTGAAGAACCACGGCCCGCACCGGAGGCAGCCATCAATCTACTCCGGATGACTATTTCTGACATGGAGATTAATTACACACAAGGTTCGATTAAGGCAAAAACGGCCATCGAGCAGATTCTGGAAGACCTACCAAGCCACCCGTTGTGTCCGACGGACGGGACTACAGGCTATTCTGTAACTCGCAACCGTCTCAGTGACCTTGTAGGAAACGTAACCGCGGCTTTATTTTCAAGCATGGGAATTGTGCCCTCAGAGAGCACAAGCCTCGGCCACCTGAGTGGGCCCCAGCTTCTAAGAACGTACGTGCAGGTCCTGGGGTTCGTTTATGTGTATTTCTTTGCAGTTGCATCGCTTGTAATGTTTCTCTTCGCCGCTTTCCTGCTGTTGGCACGTCGTCATCAGCGCACTCTCTGCGCTAGTATTGGAACCACAGTTCATGTCCTCCTTGGGGCCTTCTTGGCTAGCCTAGTATCCTTCGCGCAGCATTTCTCACTGGTTTATTCTTTCATGACATCACCGGTAATCCTGTACGCTTTTACGTTCACATTACTGACAGGTGAGTTGCTTTCTTCGATTGGTTGCTATGTGACCGTTTTCTGATTGGAGTGAAGTGCTTTTGGTTGACCGACTCTTGGATCACTTCGAAGGCCAGAGTGAGGCAGCAGTCCGACGGACGCAGGAAAGCGAAGTTATACTGTCGTCCCCATGCCCCGGGGTGGCCATAGATGCGCCGTCTTATGAAAGCTCCATTAATAAGGAGCAAAGCGCCGTGGCACTGGATGAGAAAGAAAACAACAGGAGCATTGCATTGCATGATCACTTAGATCCTCAGCAATCGACAACGTCATCCGGTTCGGTTGACAGGTGGTTGGACTGTCCTCTTCCGACGGCCTCGAAGGGTTCTGGCATGCATGAGACACAATAATATGAGGTCTGTGCTCGGGACATGTACCAAACTCGCAATTCACTGAGGAGGGAAGGAGAGACGAGACGGATATAGATCTCCACATTCCACCCAGGAGGAACAGGTTATGGGGTGGTACTATGTCGGATCGGCTAGGATGGGAGTTAATAATAGAAAACTAAGTAGTTGTTTCTAGCCGTTTGGATGTACTTGATACTATCAAATTCTTTTCTTTCTTTATTTTTTTTTCTTTTTCTTTAGTTCCTTTCCGGTCCTATAATCTGTTTCAACGGCCCGCGTTGACAAACCGGATAAGCGACAACGGGAGCAGACATAAAGCCCAGCGGGTTCATGTTACAATCGCCGAAAATACAGCAGAGCTCCAATGGTCACTGAGGATCCATCCATTACGTCGCCTTCATGCGGTTGATTTCATTCCTGACTTGGTCTAGGGCAGGCCAACCTCAACCCTAAGCGCATCACCAACCCACTGTAGCGGTGTCACCCTTCTCGACTCGCTTATCCCAACCCCGCGAGACTCTTCTTGGCGTTCTGTATATACTAGTCGAGTAGATGTACTACAGACATACACTGCCCGGATGCAGCTCCGTAGTCTACCTTGATCATGCTGGGGATGACGTGCGGGGAACAACGCATACCCACAGTTAACGGTGTTGGTTAGATATGCAGCAAGCCAAGGAGTCGAGATCGTGCAGAGGAAAAGGAGGGAATAACTGAACTGAATACGTATACTCTGTACGTTCTGGACCTGTTTCTATGTCTTAGTTTTATTTATTTATTTTATTCTTATAGTGTAGGGTATGCCCTTCCCTTCCATTAGTTACCTGCTGGGATTGGTTTTTGGTAACCCCCCCCCCCCACACTCCCCCAACTCATCATCCCACCCCATCCATTTCATCCTATTTCATATCCTCTCACAGCCTTAATGATGAGGGGTCGGATTAAACGCCATCGGCAAACCGGATATCGATAGTTCTATTCTTTTTGGGTTTATTTTAGGTCCTTTTCTATCTCTGTGCTACTCCACAGTGGAAAATGTATTTCTACATATGTATGAAATTCATCTACATTTTACTCATAGTGAGGGCATAGAGTAAAGATAAGACGGAAGACTTCCAAACCAAAAAAAAAAAAAAAAGACAAGCATGCGGGATCAACCTAATGTTCATATCTTAGCGGAATTTTAAACTTATGGGTGGATATAATAGAGATCTAGATATATTCATAGAGGAACTGACTGGCGTTGCGTTGGGGGAATAGAACATCGGATGCACTTTGCCCATTCAACTCCCACCCAAAAAAAAAAAAAAAAAGAAAAGCAATGAAGTGACTCGCATATGCAGAATTCCTGCAGCTTGACCAGTCTGTAAATTAGAGTTCAGAAAGAAGGAAGTTAGAAGAAGAGCATGGTGAAGTCGTCTGTTAGGCTACCCTAGCTGAAGGCTAAACGACACACTTCCAGATCCGACGGAACTAGCCTTAATTCTCCGACGATCAAACGTTTTCTTTGCTAACTGCTTTTGACTAAGACACGGATATGAATGACAGAATGGCCAGCGAAAGAGAGAGGCCAAGGCCCGGAATGCGCGAACAAAGCCCTATGTGGCTACCCGTTCATCCATCCTTCCATTTCGCACCAACCCTTAGGAGATAGCCACCGCTCCTTTGGGTTGGTTACTAGAAGCTTGGGTTTGGTTTTCCAAGGTACTAATAAGTCCTTTTTTTTTTTTTCCACGGTGGTCGCAGGTGCGCGATTCCTAGTGCACTCTAGACCGGGGATGTCTTGCCCTCATGCTTTCTTACGCCACCCTGGAAAAGGTCCGGGAGCATTTCGATTAGATGACTGGCAATCTGACAGGCTAAATAGTTTGAGACTCGTCAATTATTAGAGAAAATCGGTACAGGAAGAATAGACTAAATGTTTCTCCTAGATCGGTAACATCCATGCTAGTCAATCGGTACGAAAAGGGGGCAAGGAGTCCTTTACTGTAGACTGCCTGGCCTGGGCTAGGAAAACAATATCGCTTTGTGCAGCTATTGGACAAGGAATCTGTTCCCGTTCGTGTCAGGAGACGAAGCCTTGAAATTGAACAAAGTTGATTTTCAGGGGGGTGTGGTGCGAAATCAAATCTCGGCTATTAAAGAAAGGAATGCTGCTTCACTACCATCTGAATGGGACTGCAAAGGGGGGTGAAGTGCACCGGATTCGATATCGTCTTCGTGGTTCTCTTTTCATTTATCAAGTGTGATGTATACTGCTCTTCCTTTTCTCGGTGCCCCAACAATCCCCTTTGCCTTTACTGTCCAACTCAGCATAAATAATTCCCAGATAAAGCGAGCAGAACGTAGGGTGTTCTTCCCGAAAGCTTTTCCGGGATACTTCTCGAATCATAGTGGGTTTTTCCTGAGAGGTGAGCATGTGTGAGACATTGGCGCGTTCTTTTACCCGTGGCTTATGGAAGGTAAAGTAGGTCGATCGTGCCCAACAGAAGGTCAGAGTCTGGCCATAGAGATATTAACTGGACACTCCAATCTTTTTTAAGAAAAAAAATCCCCTTTTTGCTTCCTCTCTCGCGGCTCATAAGCCCCAAACGCAAGTGCTAGTCCTGGCGCGCATCAACGGTTGAGAGATCGCAGTGGATTTCCAACAAGCCTTGATATTGAGGCGCAATTAGCTGGAGCCAGAAGGGGCTTTTGAGTGAGTCAATAAGCTGAGGCAACCAAAGTGAAACCTCGCCCTATACTGAGTGGTTGGATGACGCTGCAGGTGTCCCGAAAAGCCCAACAACGTGCATATTCCGGCAACAAAAGCCTAATGCCCACGCTTTATCCAGCGTATATACAAAACATTGGCCATAATAGCGGTGAACAGTGTAAAGAAAGCACCATTTATCTCAATTTAAAGCGAGTCTCTGCGTTCTTGTCAATTTCAATAGTCCAAAAGATAAAATGCTTTTCGAAAAAAGCCTCATTTCTTCAAATATGGCCGCGGGCAACGCTTTCACCACTTATGGAACGGTCCCTCTACCTGGCGCCCACGATTCAAAAGCCGAACCATTGCGCCGTCACCAAGAAGAAATCTGTGACCAGTCAAGGGTGCGACATTGGTTGGAGGCCGACACAAGCCATGTGAAGGATCTCGGTGACATGCCCATCCGAAACATGCCCACCCAAGGGAATGTCATGGGAGAAAGTATTCAATATTGGCCCCAGGAATTCTCCTCACTCAATTCCCAAGAGAATATTAGCCTGCAACCTTCTCCGCATGAGACGCAAAGATCTCCGGCATTAGGAACCCGTGATCCGTCAATGCAGGATGAAAGTGAAGCCTTCATCTCCGACTATAGACATGACCAGACCACTACAGCCACATTGGAATCAGACAGGATGACCAAGGGAGAAACGCCCGATTCCAGTGGTGCTACCCTTGGGCTAATCCATCCAGTTGACCAGCCATCCAGTCTATATATAGCTAACAGAAACATGACTTCCTTCACGATGTCAAAAATGGAGTCTGAAACCACCCCAATTTGTTTCCCTCCTAGAATATCTCACCATGACTGTATGCCAGAGACTATGTCAGAGGCTGTCGTGGTACAGAAACCAGGCTGGACAACCGATAGCTCGGGCACTGTACCGCCGTTCCACAGATCTCCAGAAGGGGGCTCTGTAGATACCACCGACAACAGCTTCACGCCGATTGACACCGTATGCAGTCCCACTTCGCCTCTCCCTTGGTCAACGTTTGGAATTCAACCGAGCTTGGATATGCAACGACAAAGCATTTGCACTGCCGGAGCAGAAATCCCCAACGTGAACGAACAGAATGGCAGGACCGACGGAAGTTTTGATCAAACGGCGGCGGCGGATGACAGCCTTTACGGTCTGACACTTCTAGGTAATGACATCCACTGCTACACCCAAACGTCGGTTCAATTAGACTCCTCCTGCAGACCAGATTACGCCGACATAGTACCCAACAGGGAGCCATTGGGTATGAATCGAGAGCAGCAGCCTTTTACTCTTGCCACGGATGCATTCGCATATCACGAGTACCTCTATCGACTCAACCAACTGACGCACCCAAAGTTCACAATGGATGGAGGACATCTTTGCCAGCAGCTGCTGGGCAATAGATCATTCTCTTGTCATAGCGAGAAGCGGAATGCCTTCTTGATTGAGTGTAAGCGCCGTGGGTTATCTTACAAGGACATCAAGAGGCTTGGTGGATTCAAGGAAGCCGAGTCGACGCTGCGTGGTAGATTCCGGACACTCACCAAATCTAAAGAGCAGCGAGTGAGGAAACCACAGTGGCAAGAAAAAGATGTAAGTAACTCTTGAATTAGCTGCTCCCCATCATCGCCCCTTATATACTGATAACTAGATAGGTAAGGCTGCTCTGTGAAGCAGTGGACGCATGTTCAGAGGCTGGAAAACACTGCAACAATAGCTACGCCTCTTTTTGCTGGTCCAAGGCAGCAACCACACAACCACCAAAAGTGTCTTGGAAAAAGGTAGCGCAATACATATGGGCCCATGGTGGTTCATACCACTTTGGTAATGCCACTTGTAAGAAGAAGTGGTGTGAGGTCCATAATGTGAATATGTGATATAGGTTGCAAAACAGGATACCAAATAATATTTTGATCATATGCACGCCTTTCTTCTGGCAATCATAAGATTCAGTATAACAACAGTAAGTAGTCTATGAGATGGCTTTAGTTTGTTAACCGTGAGACTTTCCACGAAACCTTTGAGCGAAGTAGAATGCGCTATCAAATTGCCTGCACTTTAAAAAGAGTCTGCCGTGCTCTTGAATGCAAGCAATGGAATTCTGGATATTTCTAATCTCTATTCATGGGGCCCTCAATGTCCAAGGAAATCGATAATCTTGTTAGTAAGACTTGTTTTCGTAGATCAAGTCACAATAATTTCTTTCCATAATACCCGGATGATTGACCAATCTTACAGGTATTGGTGTTTAGGATTCGAATCTTTCTCCATTCTTGGTCCCAATCACTCTTTAAAAGCCGACCGTTTCGTAAGCGGGCTTCATAGCAAGGAGAGCTCACGTAAGTCCGGCTGTGGATACCCAATTCCCGCAAGTACATCGGTCAGAGCCCTAGGGTTCCGACGCAATTGATCCCATTCAGCTTCCGCCTTTACCATGAGGGTACCGGCGAGGACCGTACCGTTCAAGGCAACAAGACCGGCGTCAGCTACATCTTGGGATGCGGCAGGATCCACAGGGATCCGACTACTTTCATTCCTCCTTGGACAAATCATCATCGCTGAGTCAGTCATAGCCAAATTGTAGCTTATTGCAGCGGGGCCACTGGTGTTTGTCTGGATATCGTCTCCCAGGTTGTCCTTTGCCGTTGCTAAGGCTGCTCGATATAGAGACAGGTATATCGCATGGAGGGTATCTGCAGAGGGATTCGGGGGTAGTGGAAGGGCAAAATGTGCGAAAGGTAAGAAGCTCAGGCATCGGTACTCGGAGCCAGGAGAGATGCGTTGCGACAAAATGGAGTCAATTAGAGGTTGCCAGTTCCCTGTGTCCCCTTGCGACATGGCCTCGACCGGTAAAAACTGCAGATGTCTATGGGGCTGACTCGCGCCGCTTTCATTCCCTGAATTGAAGAAAGCGAAAAGCCGCTTAGGTTCTGTGCCGTTCGTTTGTGTTTCCTTAGCCCATGCTTTGACGCAAGAATATGCTGCCTCCAAGTCTTCCTTTTCTAGGATATCTGTCTGCAACTTCCATGCCTTTGTGGCGAGGATGAAATGGTTCGGGATGACAGGAAATTTATTCAGTACGAGTGTATGTGACGGATTCTCTCGTGGAATCTGGGCAATCAACAACTCGGGAGACGGGTCTTCAAAAGGATCGGGTTTTGGCCCTGTGCGGCCTTGGTCAGAATTAGGCGCTCCAGAAGGTTTATTGGCAAGAGCAGGGCAGTATCGAATTTGAAACTTCGTCATGTAAAGAAAATAGAAGAGAGCCAATTGTTAGCTAGATAGCAAAAAGACATGCGGGATTGAAAGAGGAAAGAGACAGCTTTGTACAAACCGGGATGCCTGAAGAGGAGACGGTGGAGAGATGGGTCTGGGAGAATAGAAGATGACCGCCATCTTTAGCAGATGTGAAGCGCCTAGCCACCAGCGCCGACAGGTTCTCTGAAAGGCCCAATTGCATGTTGCGTCAAATGATGATTCACAAGGAGAAAAGAAATGGAAGGATGAAACAGATTCACAGAAGGCGGAATGAATGCGCGGGGCAGATGTGAACGGGAGCGGGTGCCAGATACAGTTGACGCACTAAGCCCAATCCGCTCGAGCCCTAATCGCTACAGATATTTGGCAGAAGTCTGGATTAAATTCAAGAACAAGTAGATTGTCATCAAGTATTAAGGCCAAGGATTCTCCATTCCAAAAAAACTCCTTTCCAACCTTTTTTATCTCCTGAACACCAAATGGCACAGTCGACTAAGGAGCAGGGGAGAGAAATACAAATACAACAATAAAATCCCAAGACACTTCAACACACATATAAACGGCAATAGCAAATATTGGTATCAATATACGTCGCAGGCAGAGAGAAACGCTATCATGCTACCCAAGCAAAACGGCGAGCTCGAAGCGAGAAACCAAAAGGAAGTGTGTGCAAATTCAAATGGCATTTAGGACATCAACTCCTCGATATCCACATCCACCTCCCGAGGCAGGGAGTAGTCAGGCAGTATCATGGCCGGCTGCCCAATTAGATGATTCGAAGGACCGTCCATCCAAGAACCACGTTCCTCATCATTGGCACTCAGGACTCCCTCAGCACGCTTGAGCGTTTCAACATCCAGATCAGTGACGTACGCCTCGCGGTTGGTACCATCTCCTGCACCACCGGGGAGCTTGAGTCGAACTTCAAATTCACTGTCAAGCATCATTTCATCCTTCCACAAACGGCGTTGGCCATCAAAAACACACAGAACGCGCTTCTTGGTTTTAATGTTGCTGCTGGGGCAACCCCAGGACTGAGGATAGCGGTCACGGTTGTTTCGTCGCTTAGATCCAGTCGCACGCTTGGCGACAACATTATTTCCCAGGATAGGACGGGAACCAGTGCCGGAATTCCCTTTAGCTGCCTTGGCGAGAGACTTGGCGGACCGCCGCGTGGATGTAAAGTCGTTAGAGTCATCATCATCATCATTGTCATCGTCATATCGATCAACGGTACCAGCCGTGTCGAGTAACATGTGCTTTTCCATGGTCTTTTTAACTTCCTCGTCGGACTCGACTTCAGCAAGCCGTTGCTGGTTGATGGCCTCACTAGGCTCCTCCTGTTGAACAACCCGGAGAACGCAGTCGTCCAGATGCTCGTAGAAGTCCTGAGCATTGCTGAAGGTGGCCGAACATGTGGAGCATTTGCCAGTGGCGTCATGGCAGTATCCAGTAACGCCTTTATTGGTAGATGAAACTGGGCTCCTCTTCCGACAGTTCGGCGGTGTTTGCTCCACCCCATGGACGGAAGTTAGGTGGCGCTTGAAGACGTCAGCCCTATTGAAGCTCTTTTCTGCGGGCGACCCCGATCCCGGGCAGAAACCGCAGACCATTGTCCCTTTGTAATGGGTCAGGGTGTGCCGATTTTTGTCATATTTGCGCGCGAACCCTTTAAAATGGTATTCGCAGGTGACAATTGGGCACTTCTCAGGTCTCTCAGATTGGTGGGTCAGCATGTGAGCCTTGAGGTCTTTGAAGACTCGCCCGCAGTCCGGGTGAGGGCATCGATCCTTTTCCTTGCCATCCTCGTCAGCTCCAGGGCTGCTTGCGGCAGGGCTTGGTTGCGAACGGCGAGACTGGATTGATGAAATAGAGGACCTTCGATCATAGGTCGAAACAGGGTGAGAATTAGAAGGCACCAATGAGGGAGAGGCGGGCATTGGGGGCCGTGGCATGGAGTGTTTTGTGGAATAGAGTTCGGTAATTAGAGGCTGAGGAGCAGGGGATTGGGGAAGGAAGCCAGCCTGGGGTAAGGAGAAATCAGACTGTTCAGTATAAGAGAGTTCGGGGGGTGAGAGATGAGAATGTTGCTGTTGCATTGGCTGAATCATGGAAGGGTCTGTCAAAAAATTCACTTGTGAGCATTCTGCATGCAGTGGATCCAAGGTCTGAGGAATCATAACTCACCAACAAAGCTGTCCGGATATTTCTTCCCGTAGATCCCGTCCGAGTCGAAAGGGTTCCCCATATAATCATACAGGTCACCCATGACTGCAGCGGGAAGCCCCAGGCCGTGACTAGTGTCGATCCAGTTCTCCTGGACAATCTGCGCATTACTCGAGTAGGGGGAGCCAATGGCCGAGGATGAGGCGCTTGCAACCGATGGTCCAGAAGCAGTACAGAGCCCAGGCATGTAAGCATCAGAGGTTCGGGACGTGGGAATAGACGGTGGAGTTGCCGGCATGGGTGGTAAGCCGGCCCCTTTATTGGCGTCGAAGGACTCCGTATACACAGGCGGCGTATCGTAGTATGAGGACTGAGGAATGTTGGCCGAAGTAGGGGCTTGACCGAATCCGTTCAAGTTATCTACATGGAACCCAAACGATTCGATCATTGCGGGATCCATTGTGAAATGCTGAAAGTATGGGGTTTGCTGTTGTCTCGACGAATCCAGTGCCAGCATCGGGGCTTTGTCGGTGGATTGCACAGGGAAGAGGAGGAAGTCAGGACGATCGAATTGGCTTTGCATGCCCGCTTGTCGGTCGAAAACGGTTGGTCGTTGACCACAATGCGTGTGGATCGGGCTGCGACGGGGACTGTTGTCAAAAAAATGAGAATTCAGAAAAAGCCGCAGTAGATCTGCAAGACATTCATTCATCAAGTGTCAGCCACCATAGCTCACTCAAATACGGTATAATTCAGCGACAGATGGATAATGAGATTGGGTTCCATGCAAGGGACGGGCCGCGCGGGAGGACATACGAATTTCCAATTCGATCAGGAATGTCAATTGACTCGTAATGACCAGGTCAAGAGGTATGGCAATGACTCGGCGGAGGACCGACAGGAGTCGGGGGATAGTGAAAGGATCCTCGTGGGTTTCAGTACTGAGCGTGCACCAAACAGTGCAAGGGAAGTAGACAAATATAATTTAGAATAGCCGGATAGAGTACGCAAGGGACTGGTTAAGAGAGAAAGGCAGGCCTAGAAGGGACGCATAGAAGACGAGGCAGAGAGCAAGCAAATATAATAAAATATAGTATACGAGGGTTGGGATCAAACAACTGCACGAAACAATTGACGAGCGAAAGAGTGAGAGAGGGTGCGTGGATCTTCTTATGAAAGTGTCGTGCGATAGAGTCGATCGCAAAAAAAAAGTCCGACTCGTGCCTCGAGTGGGAATGAGAGGCGTGCTGAACAGAGCAGAGAAGAAAGAGGGAGGAGGGGGAGGCAAAAGCATTGTTAAATGTATGTGATTGCTGGCCCTATGAGTGAAGTGTGGCATCTGGATTGGCAGTGGACGGGGATGGACTAACTACGAAGTAACTAAGTCGACGCTAAGAAAAGGCCTTCCAGACTACTGGGGGAGGAATGCGCAGCAGGGACAGGGGTAGAGAGTCATTAGCGCGCGTCGAAGGACTCGAAACGGACCGGGGTGTGTGTGATGATGATGATGATGGTGGTGGATGGTGGAGGGTGGAGGAGTGGAGAAATCGGGCGAGCAGGGGAAATCGAACCGTATTATGATTGTATTATTAGTAGTCGAGCATGGATGATACATACACTAGCGGGCTTGGAAAGTATGGACATACCACGCTAACCCTGCATGATGCGAAGGTCGTAATGTACTCTGTCTTTTCTATTTTCTATTTCTACTCCATACATTTAGCCCTCCAACCGTCTTCCCTAATTCGGATTAATTTATTTCTATTTATTCCTGCTTTAGTCGCAGTTGGTGATATTTATATCTTATCTTGTTTTTAGGTCTTTTTTCGCGCCCACCTACAGCCATCCCACTACGTCGGATGATTTGGGTGTTGTAGACAATCCAGAGGGACAATCCCAAGGTTCATGTTATTTTTAATCCGATTATCTATTTCGGTCTTCTCCAGAAACCATCCATGGATAGGATGGATAAATGGCGTAATACCCAATACAGAATAGTGTCAGGTTAAGTACGGGAGTAAAAATCCGCCTTTTTTTTACAAAAAAAAAAAAAAAAAAAAAAAAAAAAAAAAACATGGACCCACTTCACTGCCAAAGCCTCCACAAAGTACAAGTTGTCTCTCATGGGCTTGTCCTATGAGAAATTTTATTAATGGTTCCTGCATTTTTCTTTTTCTTTTTCTCCCTTTGTGAACATTGTTATTATTATTATTGTTTAAAAGAAAAACCTGTTTCGGCCCTTCCGAACTCATGCGAATGAAAATAAAAAGTCATTACCTCGCTGTTTTATGGCATTATGCCAACCCCAGATACGGAGTAGTACTCTGTAGTTTTTGGAATCTGAACCCAGATTTTCTGAATAATGAGAATTACGATGGAGCTGCATGGGAAAATCATTTGTAGACGGAGACTCCGTACTTACATTCCAGACATTTTTTATGCAGGTGTCATCGGCACATCCGTGGCGACGCCATGGATCTGGTTGTCAGTAGCCCATTTCACTATTGATCCAACCTTGCCGATTGAGTAGCTTCAACAGCTTGATGTTTCCGCCTCCGCTTGCTGCTACTACATACGTACTCTGATAAGATGGTGGCAAATTTTCTCCCCTCCTCTCTTTGTGCATCGACCGAGGCTGTATTTGGAATGAGCAGGCTAGCTGGGCTTTTCGGTCAGTGCGCACGCTCAGTTGATTTCCCACATCAAATTTTTGCTTTTTGTACCTTTTGTTTTCCTAGTCTAGTAGGTATTCTATTATTCCAATGGTTGTGCAGAAGAATCGCTTAAATTGCAGTAGCAATGGGCATTAAAATCAATGATTGTCGACATTGTACGGAGTAAATGGAATAATCCGCCAGAACTCTTGGCAGGTGTATATACTGCTCTTCCTTCCATCCCGTCAATTTGGTTCAGATCACATCCACCTCCAGGAAGACACGGAAATGCTAGTACCTACTCTAGTAAACCACTGATCTATCAGAGTAGCCATGGCCGCCAGTTCCGAACTCCCAGGTTTTTCCCAACATGGGGCCTGTTGACGATCTTGGTACGGTCGCCCCACATCCGCACTCCTTTCAGAAACGTGCATAGGGTTTGATTGGCAGACATGTCCTCACAGGCAAATGAAGCGTCATAAGAACTTCGAGGTCCCTGTTCCAATCAAGCGCCGTAGATGGTGCCGGGCGGGAAGACGATTCTCATTTAGGGCACCCGACGGGGTCAATCATCCTGCCCAAAACTGGACGAACTCACTCCGTACGGAGTACGGAGTAGGTACTTTTAGAGCCATAGCTACAGACTCAGAGTATAGTACTAGGTCATTCTCCCTCTCATATTTTTAAGCCGCACTTGTTTACAACCATGTCACAAGAATGTAATTATTAATACTTAGAACTCTGGAGTTCTGCCACTGGTCGACTGTCCATTTGCTGTTTTAGGAAAGTGTCTGGGATAGCATTCCATACTCTCCCTGGTTTGTGGATATTACGACGATCCCCCTTGAGATTGTTCTTTATTTCTCATCGTAAACATTCCATGACTATCAGTAGGAGTCAGCAAGGCCTGTAACCTATACTATGGACCACTGGAGAAGTGTCTTCCGTACTCCGTGCCAACAGAATAAAATGGAGCCCCTCAAAAAAAGGAAAGAAAATGAAAAAAAAAAAGGAAAGAAAATGAAAAAAAAAAAAAGAGAGCCAAAACAAGACAGCGGAACGATATTAGTGCAAAATAAGATAATGGCACCAAATTGTCATCGAGACCAAGGTGGATCTTCTGTGGCTCATGCAAGGCTGAGTAAGTTTATGTTACAGTACAGTACTCGAGGTTGAGGGACACCGAAAGCCAAACCGAAGTGGTACCTATCTACCTACGTAACCTTAAAGTACGAAAGGTTTACTAGGCATACTTAGGAAACGCCATGCGCCGTCGGCTATTTACATCGATTCATTTTAGCCATCACATTGTCGATTCACGATTGAAGGTCTCTCAGTAAGATAAACTATGGGTTTGCTGGACTACATGGCGGACGCAGAATGATACTGATCTAGAGAGCTGCCGAATACGGAGATGTAAACACTAAGATCAAGGCACTGACGTCTGACAAGGACAATTGGAGCCAATCTCAAAGCCTGATAATACCCGACTCCGCAGACGGAACAGAGAAATGAGAACCATGGTAAAGTGTATGGTAATACTGCTAGTCGGTGTGAACGACGCACACATGACGGAATAGCGCCACATCCTCGAATGAGCCACATTCCAAAGAGCCTATCGCGTGTCGGCACGCGGATCTTCCCGTCTTTCCATTGGAAGATACCCGTGCGCTAACGCTTTCTTGACCGGGTCGAGGCGCAGCACATTTATTTTTACACCGCTTAGTTTTTGCGTCCCTAAGGAAGGTACAGATGTTGCCTGCCGAGCTATATGAGGTCATATACCGACGGTGAGGAAGCATGTTTTGCTCCGTGGAATGCCGACTTCTTTCGCATCTGACCGACATATACGCATAGAAAATACCATACAGAGCTTATCGTCCAGCGGTGCGTTTGGTGCGTTTCTGACCGGAGGTTTCCCTTGTTAAATCGTGGAGGCCACCGTCGCATATTGGGTCGCAATACAGTACGAAACTTTGCCTAGTCGTGGGCCCGTGAGGCTTCCTGTGAGATGTCGTGTCTATTGAGCAATTGATTTTCAGATATAAAATTACACTCTTGATGTGTCCGAGCCACCACAACATCCTATTTTTTTGGCTTTTACAAAAAATAAATAAATGAATGAATGAATGAATAAAAACGGGATGAAAATATACTTTATGTTGTTAATACAGAAACTTACTAGATAGCCTACCAATGAACAATATCTATCTGCCGTTCACCCCCAGAAACGGGTTAAAATATTATCTCAGAATATAGCGAAACCAAAGTAAGTTAAACTTCACCCGATACCCCATCCAAGTAAAACCACCGTCAGAACCTACCCAATCGATATTCGCACGTGGCAGGACCCCCAACGTGTAACCTAAATGATCCCCGAACGATTCTCTGCTGACGAGGCCCAATCAAGGACTTTCCTATATACCTATGCAGCTGGCTTACGAAGATCTTGTATGTCTCGTTGAGAGCCCAGAACTACACGCTGTGACGAATTCCCCCGCGTTGCATCATGTCTGAGATAGATTCTGGCACCAAAATTGGAAACAGAATGCGCCTACGGTAGTACGTAGATACGGAGGATAAAGATAGCCCTCAGATAGATGCTTTCTATAGCAACAGCGCGCATAAACCCTGTCGGTGGAAAAGGGAATCAATGATCAAACACACAAAGACGGGATCGACTAAGCCCTACTCCGTATTCCGAAGTTTGGGATGTCCAAAATAACGGGGTATGTATGTACCATAGGTAGCCTTATCCCTGTTTACCATGTGCCAGATCAGGGCGGAACTCCCTCCACATACGAGGTGCTTCTTGTCCTGGATTAGAAGGTGATCGTTGGGATGGGGTCCGTTCTGGAAATGATCTTCTAAACGCTATGTCAAAGGTGTTTTCTTGCCGTCCCATTGGACATTTGCTACTGATGGTGTGACTAAATTTAGGACGCTAAAATGCTAGGGTTGTTCCAGAGCCTAGCCGCTAAGGACATTTAAACTGCCACGAGCAGATTCACCAATCGCTTCATGAAGGACCACCAACAGAACGTTCTGCGCAAAACTCCCTGTCATGTTGGAACCAACAAAACAGTCCTATCTGGTTGGCTTTGGGAATGTTGCATGCCTGGATAATAATAGAAATAACTGACTACCCCGTACTTACACCGTAGACGAGACCTGGGGCTAAATCATGCAGAGATTGACGACATGGGCGCAAAATATTTCCTGATTTGAATGTCAGGCTTGCCCTCACTTCCCGGTCCCCCACCTTGCAGCAAGTGTATCGCATGTCGCCTGTCTCAGATCATGAGCGGGAGCCATGTGCGCAGATTCAGGGAAAATCGAAGGGGGACCTCGTTCGGCTCGGTGTTTGGCCCCCAACTGTCATCGCACATACCTCCGCTTAGGGCCGAAGCAAGGAGTACGAGCAGAAAAGTTATGTATCACAAGGGGGGAGATCAAGATCATCAAGATGAGTTGCGTATGCCTACTTCCCCAACCCTCGTGGCTTGGTGTGACTACGCGATGCATCAGCCAAATACCCTCATTCCCAAACAAGCGCGGAATTTGGGGAGTTCATTCGTCACTTTCCAATCCACCCCTAGTCAGACTATAGATAGAAGCACATATTCCAATCTATTCGTGGATAGGACGCCTATTTGCTGATGATTGGCATCCCACCTTGCCCAGGCGCTTACACTGCATACTTTTAGTCGGAAGTCCCCTAACATGGGTCGGTCGCCAGTAGGAATCCAGGAAAGGCTTCCAGAACATCATGGATGCAGACATGAAACTGGCTTGAAACGTGATCTGTTCTGTACAAGGCAAGTTGCTAAGTTTGGAGTATGGTCGGTATGATGAAGGCCAGACGCATCAAGACGAAGAAACGGACGTGAATGTCACTACGGGTGGATTGACTCCATCAAGGAAACTAAGTTGTCAGTACCGTATTTTGCACCTGTCATATGAAACCTTACCCCACTAAACAAACAAGGAGCAAAAAACTAGAAAGGATATCGGGTGCTATTTCTTATATTTTTGCTAATTTTATTTATTATTATTTATTTCTCCTTATTTCTTAGTAATAGAATCTCGTGTATTAATATTTAGTTCGATCCAGGAAAATACCAAATCCGACTTCGGCAACGATCTACGTTCCACCTCCTTGAATATCGAATATACCCCATTCTGCAATAGTGAAAACAGAGCGAGATACTCCGTGTTTTCCGAAGGGCTCGGATCCATGAACTAGCCGATCTAGTGCCCGAATGGCCACCCGGGGCCGGGGAAAAGATTAGCGAGACCAGCAACCCTGCTACTGGGGCTTACTCTGAGTCTACGGAGCAGACAATGTAAGATTAATCTAAAGAAATTAGATGGATGGATCTCTTAATCAATTTCGACGGGGACGGAGTAGTGGCCAGAGTCCACACAAACAAAGTATCAGCCACGGCTCAGCGCAAGCAAGGGCGATCTGAATTTCTACTATCCTCTGAACAGCAGTTCTCCATAATACACCACTTGCTCCATAGGACTAGTAGTACTTAGCGAAATTCCTATTACGATCCCTTCCAACACTTCAATGTATCGCTGACTCCATAACAAGCGAGAAACATTGCAAATCCTTGAATTGAAAGGGGGAGGAGAAAAAAACCCTCGACCCACCATGTCAGCGGATTTCGCGCCAGCAGATCGTGGACCTCTACCCTGGCAGAGGTCAGTGATTCGTCAGGTCGTTTCCCCTGCGTAGGATATTCGGGAGATGTGCACACCCTTCCGCCTATTGCAGGCACGATGGGGACAATTTTCTGACATCTGTCATGGCAACTTAACAATGAGGGACGTACAGTATTGCCTACAGAGGCGCAACAGCCGAGTTGCAGTATCTCGTGCTTGTCGTTTAGTATGTGCGTCACTTGGTTCAGTCCAAGTTAATTATTGACTTTACTGCGTACTACCAAACAGGTTTGTGTCTTGGTTGATCTAGATTGTTGGCCATGATCTAGTTACGGTTGGAGTCGGTCTGTCTCGTGGGTCTTCCGCTTGGTTGAGTCCGATAATAAATAGAAACGCTACATAATTTGTGATGTTTCTTGGGCCATCTGACTGTCCGGGTATCACAAGAGAGACTTTGCAGCGGTCGATCTGGTTAAGAGAATAGTGTTACTTCGTCTACCTTGTCGATGCAATTACCGTTTTAGTCGATCATCCACGCACTCATGATCACTGATGTGTAACACCTAAATTTGTGTATGCGCGAGAAACCTGTACAGAGGATGGGCGTGATACATTGATAATCCAGATCAAGAAGGTTAGCGAAAGGCAAGGGACTACAATATGGCGTAGACGGAGTACTAGGTCCATTCATAGCCAATTTGATCTTTCAGTGTTCCAAGGACCAAAGGTGGATGATCTCATATTTTGGAGGGGTAACAGAAACCATAATGCAAGTTGGTCACAGAACCTTAGGGGAGTGGAGAGCATGTCTGATCTCTGTGTGACCATCAATTTTTTTTTTTTTTTTTTTTTTTTGCTTTTTTTGCCTCCTTCCCACTTCTGACTGAGGTACTTTTCGTCAGTGGTCGCCGATTGATTTACTCCACGAATGAAATTCAATGTGGATGATCGCCGAAGGTGGCAGGACCCTGCGGGGATGGATTCGCCCGCCTTCAAGCACGTTCATTGCATCCACTCCCTATGGCCGCATGAGCCCGAAAATGAGGCGGGACTGAATCTGTGCGGACCGAAGGAAGATCTTGATCTCCATAGCGCCTGTCATGCACACTGTAGTGGAACTATGCGCCAAGAACTATCGAGCCATTTGATGGTGGTGAGAAAAGATAAAGTCAATGCCCCTAGTCGATGTGATATTATCAATAGTGCTAATCAATTTTTTTCTGAATTTGTCAGATGGCTATCTCATGCAATGATGATCGGAAATAGCTTCCGAACAAAGGAGTAGATTTTTTGGGAATGGATGTCGGATACATCTTCCAAATTTCATGTACTGTACGGAGTAACATACAAATCCTTTGAGATCTGGAAGCCATTGCCTTGGGTCGAGTGTACACAGTATTTTTTTTTTTTTTTTTGCGTACTCTGTATGTGTGCGTGTGTTTATTTTTCGTCTGATTAAACCAATGAAACACAAAACACAACTGCTACGTCACATGCAGAATGGTACTCTTTAGTAGGGTAGTATCCCCGAAGTACTAGAGACGTACCAGACTTACTGATTTTGCACTTTAGAGATACTTAGTTAGTACATTATACTCTGGATGGAGTCCGATCCACAATTGGAAGGGTGATCATCGATCTTCTTGCCTAGATGAACACATCATGTGCCATTGAGAGGACGTACTGGTTCTGGCCAGCCCACACCTTAACGCAGTACTAGGATGTCTTTAGTCCTGGTAATTAATTTACCACCATTCTGCGGAATTCCCGTGCTTGTTGCTTTCTCTGATGTGGCTTGGCTGTTCAATTCCCAAGTGGGAAGTCAATAACCACATCAGGACTAGATCGTGGCACAGGGGGACTCCACCTCGGCCGAGGTTCCTCAGGCACTGTACCAATGACTGCCGGTCCTGATCCCACCGAGATTTGTAGTGGATTTTTGATGATTTCACATTTTGAATTTCATATGAGGTGCCGTCACCTTGTCTAGCATCGTTCAAACATTAAACCAATAGATCGGCTTCTCCGGTGCAAAATTTTTAATATACTTGCATATGAAGTTATCATCTGTATACTACATACATGCTAAGTACAGTAATATTCCGCAGGGTTTACCCTAGCCTTCAAACTCGAATGTTGCTTAATTGTGACAGGACGAACGTGGAAACCCGTACCGAATCTTAGGTCCTCTGTTTCTTGTAATAGGGCAGAAGGATGATTATCCTTGTGAGGCAGTGGTCTGGATCATGACAAATTCGATAGTGGTAGAATCGGGTTCCGCCACACTGGGTCTGTGAAGGTTATTTTTTTACTTTATCTTTGAGTGTACTCTGTACTGTACAGCAGGATGCGATACTGCGGAGAGCTTACTCAGTAGTATAATCCCTTCACAAGCTGTCAGTGTCAAGTTTTGGAGATCTCATCAAGGGTTTATTATTCTGCCGCAGTTGCCCGCAAGTCACCACGGCGTTGAATACGAGCCCACCTACCATGAACAGAGTAACTGCCTAGGAAAGATACTAGTAGGAACCGAAGTTGGACCCCGGTCGGCGTCTCATTTGGGAATCCAACAAGCTACAGAGTACTGCATGTCAAGTTCGGGAAGAGTACAATCAAGGAAACAAGAAGTAGAGTCCTTGCTATTCCGTAGATGTACATACCTGACTTCGTTACAAAAATCTCTTGGAGCTTCTTCCTCGCTTGAACTGCCCATCCAGTCCAATCCAATCATTACCTAGACTGCCGACCAGTCAGCATAAGACCACCCACCGAACAGGAAAGTCATACAGAGATCAATCAATCACACTCACGAACGAATAAATCCATTTATTTTTTTTTTTGAATTGCCTCCAGTGGCGTCCTGTGACTTACCCCCTCCTTTTCCCCTTGTCACTCAATTTTCTTTCCTTTCCCCGCTGAGGACACGCCTGAAAAGCAATCCTCCTAGGACTGGAAAGAAAGGCTAAAAAAACAAAGCTAGATGAACGGAATATGAACATTGATCAGCTCGTATCGAGTGGCAATATGCAAAATGCCATGCAACATGTCAAGTAAACGACTGGCTCGTGGCGGTTGCAACCAACTGACATCTACATCTGGTCCGTATTCTTATTCCCTAAGGAGTACGGAGTACTGCAGAAGTATGTACATAATACTGGACCCTGGACGGGAAGATGCAGATCATAGATGAGTTTTTATTTGTGCATGATCAGTGTGGAGGGATATCATATCCAGTGGGTATCCTACTACCTACCTACAGTATGTACGGTATATGCATAGTGTAAGACGGCACGGGAGCTGCTCTATGCATGTACGGAGTCTGTAGAGTACAGTACGGATTGTTGACTCCCACCTAACTTAATCAAAAGAGATCAGAAGAGACCCGACCAGACCATAGACCATACTAGACAGAAGAACCATGTCCATTATCCCCTGAACAATCACTATCTAACAAGGAAACGAATCCTCCACTGCATCTAGTCTACTGATGTGTATGCGAACACGGACACCCCCACCAATCAAACCCATCTAGCCCCCGTCCGATCTGCACGTCAGTGCAAGTCAGGATCCATCTTTCTGCCTTAAACCAGAATTTTTCGCCTCCTCCTCGTCTGGCATTTTTGCCATCGAAGGCTGGCTGGGCTTGCACTACCTATGTATGTATATCCCACTTCGCTAAACGTACATACATATACATGATACATATGTAGACAGACAGGCAGAGAGGCAAACCAAGTACATACATACATGCACATCTGCTTCATACAGATATCCCCAGGCCGGTGCAGGATAGACGTGGGTGGCGGTCTGTGATGATGTGGAAGATCGTGAACAAATCAATGGGTTCGATAGATCGGAAACTCGGAAGAAGATTATTATATTATATGTAATAATATGTATGTATTTGTTTTATTCATGATTCTCTAGTGGTACCCAATTTAGATGGATGGATGTACAGTGACATGCCCAAGTCAAATCATGATCGACATTGATTGACACATGCGAACTGAACTGTAGAGGTTGAGGTAGTTCCTAATTTGTAATTGGTTAATGTGTAATACAGATTCTCTTGATTCTAGTATTAGTGAGATATGGTGTGATTCTCTGCTGGAATAGTTTTGATAGAGTTGATAGCATTATTAGTAGAAAATATGTATCTGTACATAATGACACTTTCAACTACCGGTTATTCTATTGTTTAGGATTTAATACATAGTTTATATATCTCTTCTGCCTCTGGTAATCCTTAGACATCAATCTTCTGCTATAAGTAAATTATACATACACTGTGTATCAGAGAAATTGATTGCTGGATCATTATCGTAAATAGAAAAGATTTCAACAGCACTTATGCTGATATGCACCATATGCTAAACCATATGCTAAACCACACGCTAGACCACATGCTCAGACAACAGCAGTCTGGTTCCGGTATAGATCACACGCGTGAGGATGTTGAAGACAATACTTAGGCACCAGAGCATTGGCCATGACTCCATTCGCAACGAGATACTCGCGGAAATTGATAATACGCTGCGTCATTTCCGTCGTGCGCTTGTTGCCCTTCGCATCGCGGTTACCAGACCACACCAGTTCCGCCAGCGCCGCCGCGCGTGGCCAGAATAAACTGGACACGGTCACGTCGTCGGCCTGCTCGGTCCACAGGGGCGCCGTGGCTCCAATAATATGCTCTGCCTGCGCATCGGTTAGATTGAGTGTGAAGTCGTAGTCGTAGATGCGCTGCCACGTCTTGTAGGGCGCGCACCACGATCCCCCGTCTCCTAAGTAGTTGAAGTTGGGGGTGCTCGTGTCCGGGTTCGCCATCACATTGTACCGAGGGTCATTGGTCACCCAGCCGCCGTGGCCGCAGTCCAGATACATGAAGTCGGCAGAGGAGACAATCACGTCGTAGCCCCGGGCCGTCAGGTTGGAGATGTATTCCAGTCCGTTGTTCCAGCTCTGCATCACGATGTCCTTGGGCACATCGTGTGCATGCTCCGCGGACAGGATGACGTCTTCCCACATGATCAGCCGACGGCTGTTGCTGTAGCTGCGGAAGATCGGGACCGCGTGGTCAACCCAGTATTGAAGAAGGTCATGGTAGGTGCGCGTGGTGTCCTCGGCAAACCACTCCCGAACGTGGCTGCTGAAATTGAAGCAATTTGGCTGGATCTCATCCCCGCCGATATGGAACCAGTTATCCGGGAAGATGTCGGACAGCTCATCGTAGACATCCCGCACCACCTCGTATGTCCCGTCGTAGATGATATCAAGCTGACCCGGGTTCGGCTCGACCGCGGTATGCAGCTCCCACACGTCGTTGGACCACCACGAATCCGCGCAGGTCACCACCTCGGGGTCCACTTGTTTCCAGCCGGCGGAGGCGTGACTCGGCATGTCTACCTCGGGGATTATTCGGATTGCGCGTGCGCGCGCATACGCGATGATGCTGCGCAGATCGGCGTGGGAATATATCTCGCGGGCGGAGTAAGCATCCTTGGTCATCTCGGGGTACGTGTCGATATGGACCGGCCACGATTGCGCATCATCCAGGTGCCAGTGCAGGACGTTCAGCTTCGACAGAGACATGCCGTCTAGCTGCTCGAAGATCTTGCCGACGGAGATGAAATTACGGGCGGTATCAAGCATGATGCCGCGGTATGGGTAGAGAGGAGCGTCGTGGATAACAACGGGTTGTTCTATGAGCAAGCCGTCGTCCCCGTCGGTAATGATCAGTTGCTGGAGTGTGGTGAATGCATGCAGAGCTCCCCACACAGTGCGAGCCTTGATGGAGATGGCGTCAGCGTTTTCCGGGACGATAAGCGAGTAGGACTCGTCCACGCCGTGTTGGAGATCCGCCTCGTTATCATCCACCACCACATCGAGATACTGTAGGCGAGGCGCACCGTCGCGCTTGGTCTTGGGGGATGCACCAGGGGTAGGCGTGGGGAAGGGCTCGAAGGACGAGATGGGAGCTTCTGTGGCAACCGGAGCCCACTTCAGCGAGAGAATGGTTTTCCAGGCACGATCCCAAGCACCGGAGAGGATTTCATCGTCGTTGTCACTCTCGGTGCGGAGAAGGAGCCGATCGGACAGGTGTTTAGGACCGGAGGAGCCCCAGGAGATATCGCGAGGAGCAGGCAGTGGATTGACGCTGACTGCGGCGACGGTGGAGGACAGCGATATCAACGCCGGCCAGACAGAAGAGAAACGCATGACGCTAGTCAGTGGAGAGAGAGAGACAGGGCATGGGGACAGGAAAAGAACGGAAAAGGAGAGAAGGGATGTCTGATGTTTCGAGACGAAGGAATGGGGAGATCGTCAATAAATAACAATAATAAAAACTGGAATGCACCGCGTGATGCCCGAATGCCGTGAATCGATCAAGATCTCCTTAATTTCCTGGCGTTCCTCTTTCTCCTCATCAATCTCCTACGCGGTACCCATGCGGTACCTACGTCGCGGACGTTATCACTGGTCCAAGAATGTACCTCGATCGTACCTCATTTCCCCCCCTCGTGGATACGGTAAACAAACAGAATATACCATACGATACCCGATGCCAGGGTTACATCCTTGCGGAGAAAACGAGGTACCGTCACATTGCAATACGGCGTGGCAGTTTCCCCGCGATGGGACTGTGTCACTGCTAGGAACTTGTTAGCAATTGGCATCGCTCCGGGCTGCAGTCATGATTGATTCTATACTTCACGAGAACGCTCAGATCGAGTCCGTTCTGCTTGGCCTCATCTCCCGTTGTGGGGAAGCGGAGAAGGCCCATCTATCTCTTTGACTGTGAGTCTGAGAGGGGAATGTACAGTGTATGTGCCATGGTTTGCAAGCGCCCTTCCGTTTCTCCGGAAGCGGAAGAGAACAGAGGAGAGAGAAACAAGATAAAGGACAGAGGAATTGACGAATTAGCAGGTTTTTTTTTTTCTTTTCTTTTCTTTCCTTTTTTTTCCCCCCAGAAAAACAAAAAGCCCTTAGTCATCCAGAACCAGTCGTCACGAGGTTGAACTCGATGACGTCAAAAATACTACCCTGGTGACTCGGAAGACGCCTAGAATAGAGGAGACATTATACTAATGAATCTTCCATGTCGTAATCGACAATCTCCGGGAAGAAAGAAAGTAAGAGCGGAGAAAAAAATGAAAAAAATATTATGTGTATTGGATAAGAGCATTATACCCATTAATCCACCAAAAGCGAATCTATGCGAGAGAGAACCAGCTATCCCACGGAATTTCATGGTTAAGCCGTCACAGCACATTAGACATATTCATAACAGTACTCGTCACGATGCGTATCCATCAGTTGCTCCAACCTCCGAGGTCCCCCCAACACCCCCCAACTGAGCTGCGTGTCGAGCGTCACATTGGGCGTGTCGGCCTTGTTGAACAAACTCTGGGTTCCGTACACTTCCGAGACTCGTGTCGCCCGGTACTGAGCCTGCCAGAGGGCCCATATGCGGTCGACCATCCCATGGTGCAGATAGAACGCCGGGTCCAGTGCCGAACCGTAGAAGTCGGCCATCGTAGGTCCCAGACACTGATGTCCCGCCGAATGCGGCCCGACATTGTTGTTCGACAAGAGTTCTTCGGGGGAAGAACCGCCATCCATGATGATCTGAAAGGTGCGGAGATCCGGGGCCGTCAGCAGAGAATTGACCACCCCCTCGTTAAGGAACCGGCGGGATCGAGTTGAATTGAGGTCCCGAGCGAAGCACCGGGGAGTATAGTCAAAGGCGTTTGAAGGGAACGACTGGAGATACATAGGGTCGCTGAGATCCGGCAAAGTGAGTTGCAGGTTTGCAAACGGTCCGGACGTCACGCAACCCCCATTGATGTTTCTGGCGGCGCTGTTTTCCGTAAGGTTGGTTGGTTGGATGTTGGGGTTACCATTGCCCGACAACGATGTCGGAGACCCGTCAAATAAAGGGCTCGCACCCAGGTCGTTGGCGGAGAGTGGCCAATCCCAGTATCTTGATCGCATTTGTTAACTGGTGGACATGTGAAGAAGGAAAAAGAATCGGGGTTAGACATACGGTAGAGTTCCATTATATCCGCATTCATCCCTCAGGGCTCGCTCCCATATCCAGATGAAGTGACGATGCCATGCGAGGAATACTCCGTTGAAGTGGACGCCGAGCGTGTAATTGATATGCGTCCTGAAGAGTCAGTCGACTAGCCGACTAATGACCAAAGGGTGAGATGAGTGCATACGCTGCGAAATCGTCCATGCGGCTGCGCACTCCAGGGAAATGCTTAGTCGGCAGCACCGGCGGTTTGTTCTGCATACACTTGACAGCACTGATGTAACTGATGCGTTGACTTGGAGAAAGAGCGCCCCTACAACGACTGGTTAACCCTCTGACAACCTTGAGAGATCTTGGAAGAGTTGTATAGCGGTATACCATTCATATCGTTTTCTGACCATGTCTGGCGTACATTCTCTCGCGCACACGGCGAGCAACCAGAGGCTCAGTAAAAAAAAAAGCCTCGCCATGGTGCTTGTGGAAGTCATTGGAGGAAGATGGTGCCCGCCTGTAGTTTAAAGATCACGGAGTGCTGCTAATAAAAACAAGGAACTGTACCCGGATGATCCGAAGACTTTGGATGGATCGATAGCCAATGTTTTCCATGGATCCGAAGGCCACTATATACCTGGAAACCAGGGGACGGGCGTGTGAGGGTCAATAAAAAAAATGAAAGAGAGAAAGAGAAGAGCTGCATGACGACATGCACGACGAAATCTCAATAATGTCAATAGACGAAGCAATGTCCGGGAATATCCATGCATCCAGAACCGTTATAGGCCAATTTTGACGGTGTGAGCTGGGCTATTCGAGCTTCACTACGGTGATCATAAACGAGACGACAGTTGATAGGTCTGGTCATCACAGCCCATTGGGTTAGACCCTTGCAGAATTTTAGATGCATCCGATCTGAAGGACGTATAGGGTAAGCACTTATGTAGTGCGAGGTGATAGATCAGGAAGTGTAGGTGGACAGAAGTAGTTAGTGAAGAGAAAAGGTTTTGCAAAGTGACGATTGCTGCCATAACGGCAAATATAAGGAACGAGGTGCAGGAATTATTTTGACTGTGCAGATTGATACGCTGACGCTATGCTTCATGCCACCAATTTTCCGCAAGGAGTGGCCTGGTAAGGGAAATTGAGCAATATATGGAGTAGAAGACCGGTTCGCGCTGAAGAATTGCTGAGAATCGACGACAACGAGAATCCTCAGAAGATCCCAAACGGGAAATGCCGCATTCCGAACAACCAACGTGTCCCCATTCGGTCGTCAATATCGATGCATCCTACCCCAATATATTACTCAATAAATCCATGAAGCCGACAGTCGGTCAGAACAATCTCAACGAAGCAGTAAATAACCCAGTCCTGGTGGGCTCGCTTATTCGCTACGGAGTGTATGAGCCAATATGTTCATTCCACTATCTCTACTCTCTAGCCTTGGGTATCTCTCGTTTTGATCGTTATTCCCACCGTTCCGAGAAGAATGATGCCCCGGACATGATTGATATTCTGCTTGGTAGACAACCTTCGGAGGGTATCTTTAAAAGCAATTCCCCCAGAGTCGTTAAGTCGTAGCTGCTCCGATGTGTCATTCCCTTCCAATGGGTCGTACACATGATATATCACGCCTTCTCCAACTTCCGCTCCAGCTCCATCCCCTCGTTAAATGCGTCCTGAAGTGCCAACCGCTCCTCCGCCGATGGCACCACGCAAGGCCGTCGCGGCAACTCTCCATACCCTCGGTAACTCTGCAGCGCACTCTTGACGGCCACGAATCCCCCCTTGATCGCATGCCAGTCGGCGCGGGCCACCACGGCCTGCACTCGCTGCGCCTCCTCCACGCGACCGGCCTGGTACAGCTCCATCACCTGTACACAGGCGCGCGGGATCAGATTGGCAACCCCGCCGATGATGCCGGCCCCGCCCGCGATGAGGGTCTGTAGTGTGAAATCGGCAGACCCGCCAAAGGTCAGGAATTCGGGTTTCGCCTCGGCTGCGATGCGGGCCAGCTTCCCCGTGTTGCCGCAGGTGAGCTTGACCCCGACGATATTCGGATGCTGCGACAGAGCCAGGATATCGTCGGAGCTGAGGTCCAGTCCTGACGAGGCCCCGGGGAAATTGTAGATCAGGACGGGGATCGGCGAGGCGGACGCCACGGCGCCGAAGTGGTCACAGAGTGCTTCACTGCTTACCAGGGACTTGTAGTAACATGGCGGTAGGATCAGCGCATAGTCGCCTCCGGCCGCCGCAGCGTCTTTGCAGAACTGGATGGTTTCCCGCGTCGAGGGGGCGCCACATCCGACGATGAGCGGCATGGACGGGGCACCGTGGACGTCCAGCGCTCGGCGGGTGGCTGCCGTGATGATATTCCGCTCTTCACGGTCCAGATGGACTGCCTCGCCATTGCTTCCTTGGACTACGAGACCGGCGACTCCAGACTGTGCGAGGTAGGCGGCGTGCTTTTCAACCGTGGGGACATCGACGTCCTCGTTCGGGCTAGTGAAAAAGGCGACCGTGGGGACGTAGACTCCGGGCATCAAGGGACGTCGAGCTGTTGATCCGTTGGTAGCCATACTAGAAGGATTACAATAGGATCCTGGAGTTTGCGGTCGTTAACTAACACGGTCCTAGATCGCGGAGTTGGTCCGGGGCAGACTTACGGGGGAAAAGAGATGGAAGAATATGGGGACGTGGAGGTGAAAGAAGAAGAGAATACGAGAAGCGAAATGGGGGACGAAGGGACAATTAAAGACACCAAAGGAATGTGGTCCCAAGGAGGGGGCAAGCCAGTTCTCCAATTGTTCATCGTGTAGAAGAAGTCCAGGAATCTTCCAAGATGCAGAACCGATGATTGATGGCCACCGTCACCGTTAACCCCCACGCACCCCACAGAAGGAGGGGAGTCGATCCATTGGCAGGGATTGGGGCTTGATTCTTGAGGATGGAGAAGATACGACGATGACTGAATAGATAGATTTCACCCCCACGTTGATAGAGGCTCGGAGAAAACCCCGAGCCGGGTGAAGGCATCAGGATGGGATGGATGGGATGTAGTGAAAAATGAAATCTAGCATCTATATGTAGTTAGCGAAGAGGGAGTAACTAGTAATTAGGTACCTACAGTAGTTCCATAAACACTTACTAGGGAATGAGAGGTATGGTACGGTCTGGTAAGATACGGACATACCGTACAGAACCGGTACCGTGTTTTGACTTCGGATGAGAATCGAAGAAACAACGAATGGGTGAATGGATTCATTCTCTCATCCGAAGCAAAAACTCTCATCGGCTGCTATCTCACTCACGATGGTCTTCAATTGACTGTCTCCTCGTTCCTCTTCTCCTTCAATTCCGTCCCTTTCCTCCCTCTCCGACCTCTTTCTCCCCCTCCTCTCTTCTCCCCATGACCACTTCCCTGATGGCCGTCCGATCGAGGGCGTCTCTGCACGTCAACGATACTCCTCCCTCGAAACGGCCTCGTCTGCATGCACCCGTATCTCGTCGTCGCAAGAGCTCGCCCGATCTTCTGGATACCACCATTGACGATTCCCCGGCCAAGCCCGTTGCGCCACTACGACCCTCCACGCGCCGACCGGGGCCTCTCTCCTCTTCGTCTTTCAACGCTGCCTCGTCCTCGGCGCTTCCTCCTCCCTCCTCCTCTTTAACCCCACGATCCAAAGATCGAATCCGTCGCCATGAGACTCCCACTCTTCTCTTACATGGAAGTCGCGAATCCCCCGATCCTCTCGACACCATCTCGCCCTGTACCGGACCCAATCGCTTCCTCCCCAGCCGCCCGGTGTCCGTGCGCCCTGCGGCTTCCGCCCCCGTGGCCACCACCAGGCGTCGTCGCTTCTCCAAGACCATTCGTCCCACCGTTGACCCTTTCTCTGCCTCTGTTACTTCTTCTCCCCACCTGCCGGATCCCTCGGGGCCTGCTTCAGTCGTGTCCGGTCAACAGCGGCGCTCTCTACGCTCGCAAGATGGGGGTTCCCGAGCCAGGAGTGAGCTAGCCCTGTATTTCCCGAACTACGAGCAACTCCTCAGTCTGGAGCCTCCGAAGACCGGTATGTCGCAATTATATATGTATATGTATATATATATATATATACATAAAGACCTATAAAACGAAGTACTGACTCAAGTAGAGTTCCTTGCATGTCATACGAGAATTAAGTTGATCAACGACCTGCCCGAACCCTCTCTCTCTCCATCCACTGTAGCGGACCCCTATACAGATACCCCCTTCGGGAACCCCTTAATCCACCTACACGGCTGCGAGACCATCGATCTCCCGAATCCCACTGCATCGATTGAGCCCTCGGAGGAAGAAGACCCACTGAATGAAGCGGCGTACTTCCGTGCGCACCGACGCCACGAGCGGCAGGAGAAACAACTACGGAACATCGAGCGCGAGCGCGCCCAGCATGAAAAGCAGCAGCTGGATCGACTGTTGGATGAATTGCAGGGCCAGGATTGGCTACGGGTGATGGGCATAGGCGGTCTAACGGACCAGGAAAAGAAACAATACGAGCCGAAGCGCGACTACTTCGTCAAGGAGATATCGGCCCTGATCCAGAAGTTCAAAATCTGGAAGGTAGAGGAAAAGCGACGCAAGGTCGAAAAAGATAAACTGCGTGTGGAATCAGCAGAGGACCAGAACCCCACGCCGCAACATCCCCTCTCGTCTGCGGCATCCCACAAACGGCGCTCCGCCGAAGCGGTGGAGGATTCGGACGAGGCGGATGAGTCCCCTGCCGCTCTTCTGTCTGATGCGCCCAGCAACGGGGAACTCCCGGATGACAACGATGTCGATGCCTGGGCTGCTCGTCAACTCCACCACGAAGCTCGCTCCGCCACGGCTGGAAAACGCCCCAAAGCGCCATCCTCCGCTGCCGCTGAGGGACGAAGGAAGTCCAAGACCGGAAGTGTGACAGAGCTCGCTGCACGTTCCCCATCCCCGCATCCGATCGAGAACAAGCCATTTGTCTCCTTTTACTCGAAGCGTCATGAACGCGACAATGCGCTGTCGACCCACCGCAAGGGTCGCGTTCGAGTAGCGTTCGGCCACGCGGTCCCGGAAATGCAGGAGAAAGAGTTTGAATTGCCATCTGATATCTTGACACCCGAGGCGGTTGACTCGAGTCGACGGAAACGGAGACGAATGAAACGGGCCAGTAAGATAGGCTAGTCAATTGAACAGATTACCTAGTTCCCTATTCTATTATCACGCCATTATGCCATTTCGTACTCTGTATTTTTACCTGTGGTAGGACATGAACTGAACTGAACTGAACTAAGCTATTATTACCGACTAGTTATCACCGAATGGAAACAGATGATGTCATCCACATCGTGGTTTTTAACACCCGTCTGTGTATGCAAGTATACCGAATCATACCACAGTTGCTCATCACAAATAACCTATACAATATATATAGAGATAGATAGATATACGTATATGTACAATCCGTCCAGCCCAAATCGACCAGGGACAAGCCATGCCAAGCCGGGGCAAAGACCATTAAAAAAAAAAATATATAATATAATGACGCCAAGAGGGATACCGTGAACTGAAAGAGGATTGTGTCAAACATGAAGTACTCCGAGACCACTAGGCATTATTCGCACAAGAGAAACTAGCACTGCTAGGATCATCGTGGATGGCCTTTCCAGAGACGTAGAGGCCGAGACCGCACTGATTGTTGTTAGTTTACTTGTATGTTGATAGATGAACAGAACTGGGTTCCGCGAGGGAGGGAAAAAATAGAAAGAAAGGAACATACCAGAATAGCCCCGACCGCCACATTAAAAATATTGAGACCGGTCAGGAAAATCTTCCTCGGCGAAGAAAAATACAGGCCTCTGTTCATGTACAGCCAGAACATCCCGCTAAGGCCGAAGGTGAACCACGAGGCGAACAGGGCCGTGATCAGACTCAGCAGGTTACTGAAGACGGGGATGGCCTCGGCGATGATCCAGGCGAGGACCCACAGGGTCAGACCGATGCCTACCCAGGAGCCGATGGCTATCCAGTCTCGTTTATGCATGCGGTCGGTCCCGCGGAAGATACGGATGTAGACGTATTTGAAGGCGATGTGGCCGTTGATGACACCAGCGATGATGATCTGATTGATTATCAGGGTGAGTTTGAAAAGTCCAGTGAAAGAGAAGGGGCTAGAGAACTCACTGTTGGTAGAGCAATGCCGTAGGCTACCTTGGACACAATAGGGCTGGCGGACCCAAGTGCAGGAGAGGCAACACTGGCACCACCATAGCGGTAGATGACAACTGCGGCTATCAAATACAAGCTGATATCGACACCTTGTAGGAGACACAGGGCCTTGGGGAAGTCGCGGGAGTCTTTCAATTCAGCTGCGAGACCGAAGAACGCGGCATGTCCAGCTGATACCACGTTAGTGGGCTTTCTTCCCATCATCGCAAAGCTAGGGGACATAGCTTACAGAATGCAAACACAATGTTGGTAACGGCGGTGAAACCGTGGACCAAATCCGTTTCAACGACAGCTTCGACTTTATTTCCAGGGTGCAGGATCCCCACGCCAATCATGGCAATAATGACTGCCGAAAGGATACTGATGAAAGCTAGTGAGGGTTAACGTACAGTAATAAGTAGATATAGGAGGGAGAGCCTACAAACGAGTGAGAGCCACGACATCTTGGCCAGTGTACGTGGCAATGAAAGAATGAACGAAACGATCATGCCAACTACACCGAACACAATTGAACATGTCCCATGGTCGGTGAGTTTGTTCATAGCAATAGTAAAGGTAAGCAAGTGACTAGCCATGATGAAGACCAGAAACAACATCTGGCCAATGCCTAGCAGTTCTCGCCCCCATCGGCCAGCGAGCACCTCACCAGCGTCCGCCATGTTGGAAATGTGCGGATATTTCCATTTAAACTGGCCGATCACATATCCAGTATATGTAGCCAATATACCCAAGCAAATCAAAACAACGATGGCACTAACCCCAACGTAAGCCACAACACGCTCAAGATTAGAGGATAGATAGACACATACGGAACCAGGCCCAACCCTGCCACGGCAGCGGGTAACGACAAAACACCCAGGGATACCGTTTCGGCCACCATGAGTAGCCCACATTGCCTGTAGACGTAGAAACAGGTCAGGGGAATGTCTTGTAATGTTCTGGACTTGGAGCTAAAGTGTCATGCATACCACCACTTCAACACCTTGTACTTGACTTCGGCAAACTCCTCGTCACCAAAGGCATCTTGCATATAGGCGGGTGTCTCTATCTTCTTTTCATCCATGGCAACAGATTCCAAGTCTCCCGGTGGACCTTTTTGCTGGTCATTCTGTAGGTCAACGGGAGTGGGAATTGTAACAATCTGTGGAGGGCTCATGTTGCATCAAGTTTATTCCCCACGTCAAACCAAATAAAAGATCAAAACAGGTAGAAGCAAAGAGAAGGGGAATAAAAGGGGCCTCTTCACGAGAGGGGAGGTCAGAAAAGGTTCTCCAGCGACTGGAACGGGGTATATAAGAACAAGGGAAGCTACGGAGAGATGTGTAATGAGGAGAAGGGTTGGGGAAAGCTGGGGTAGACGAGTGGGACCAGATCACCACTCTGATCGCGTTTGCGACTGCCTTCTACCGACATTGCATGCCTGTCTCACAGGTTGTCCTCGTTCCGCCATCAGTGGTTCCAGTGGGCCGATGGGCCCGAATCGGTCCGAGTTAGACAAATCACGAGTTTGCGACGTAATAGAAACCTCCACCCGCGGGTTGTCACGGCCTAACAAGATCCATAGTGGAACTGGGGAAGAAGCCAGATAGAAAACCTGGAATCTAAATAGGCCACTAAGGTCCTCTGCCGTGCCTGGAATTAATAATTGGGTGGTTTCACGATACCCCAGAGGTCTAGATACTAGTAAGTAGAGAACGTCTATCGAAAAGGAATGCTCTAGTGTACTAGACTTCAAGCAGCCAATCGTGCAGACCGCCCCCTCGGCAACCAAGAGCCAGAGATGGTGTCCGCTTAAGCCGGTTAAGCTCTGGGTTGGCGGCTCCGGGTGACGACGGTTGCGATTGAATGGTAAACTTGTCGGAAAAGAACACGCTGCGCTGGCAAACTCAATTGACCGGCTAGCATACCTTACGCCGGTCCCTTTCCTGGTCAGCCAAAGTCAAACGTGTCGAAGGAACACCAACATAGCAAAATGCTCTAGCTTTATCCGCTATAGTATGACCGTAGATCTCCCGCTTTTGTCTGCACTGACGCATGTCGTCGCTTTGATGCGGAAGAAGCAAGAACCAATCATTTCATGTGGGTCCGGAGACAAGCCAGGCAGCTACTCGACAGGAAAAACAGATAAATAGTAATGCACGGTGATAATACGTAGATACTAATTAATTTGAAGCGCGACAGCCCTTCTCCCCCATATTCTTCGAGTCTGGGGATATTCTGTGGAGATAAGATCGGATGTCACAGGTTTGCATTAGGTTAGTCAGGCCCGTGCTTACATAAAGACTGAAGTCAGCACAGCCGCACCTCCGATTGGCTGCCTGGGTGCGTTGTTAAGTGCGCCTGACGCAGAGAAATTGGATGGAAATGCCGACAATCCAATCAACTGGGGGGATATCATTCGACTTTCAACATGTCGTGCCTAGAACATCGGGTTTTGCAGATTCCATATGTCCCTGTTACGACATTATCTGCCTTCGGTTACGCCGTCTCGAGATGATTCGCCTCCCCGCCAGCACTGTGAGTTATAGACCTCCGGCTGTTCCGGAAGAAAGAGGAGACTGAAAGAACGCCAAAAAAAAAAAAAAAAAAAAAAAAAAAAAAAAGGAAAAGAAAAGAAATAAAGAAACAAAGAAAGAAAGTTCCACGATCGATCGATTGGCCCTGCATCTTGGTATCGGGAGGCGCAAACAGCCCGAATCTCAACGGAATCATATCGAGGAGCTCACACCACCACACAATAAGAACAACTTCCTTCTCATTGTTGTTAGAATCACTGCGATCACACACACCCCCATGTCCCCAGATTCTCAACCCCAGATCCAATGCCCCAAACGGGTCTCTGCAGTTCCAGGGACCGAGGATGGCAATCAGTCAATAGAAACAACGTGACTGGTCAGTTCGGGTTGCCTAATTAAGCTACCCCTGAGACAACCCCAATCACTGCGGGATTTTCCCATACCCGTTAGGGTATGTGCTTGGGTCTGGGGAACTATCCTCAGTCAGGTAGTTCCCATTAGTCACGGCTTCGGGTGTTTTGAGAGAATTCTCTTCATCGGGTGCAGGGTGTTTTTCGTATCCGGATATTTCACACAATATCCGGAAGGGTCCTCTGCTGCTCGTGTCGGTCATGGACACTGCGCCACGCGGCTGTTTGGCAAAACATTCCCGAACCGATTTTGTTGCATGTCGGATCCGCCCATCTTACGTGTCCGTGGTGAGACCAACTTGGATCTCCTGAAGCGTATCATCTACCCTGTATATACCCTATACCCCGTATTTCGAACCTGGTTGCCAGTTCTCTTCCCCATATGTCACTTTTATCTGAACAGTTTAGCCCACCACGCGTCTTTTTCTGTTCAGATATGCCTGAGGGTTAACACAAACCTCTTCTTGTTGATTACCCTGCCAGATTTGAAACAAATTTCAAACAGACTGAACCATGTGGATTAAAAGGCTGTCTAGAATCCCACACTGGCACTTAAGTCATCCAGACGAGTAATAGCATCTGCCTTACTCTTTTTGATAGCTGGGCAGTCTCGAGTCGCATTGCCGATAGCACCTAGCCATAGCAGTTGACCCATAGAGGTCACGTTTACCGTCCCCCGCTCCTATTGCCATTTAATATATGCTCCTGGGCGGTCCGATATCGGCCCCGCAAAGGTATGACAGAAACTTGGGGTATCTCCCGTCTGATTCGAAGCAAAACAGTTTTCTTTATGTCATATTCTCCATATTCTCCATATTCTTTGAGACAGCGACCGGCCGACTTTTTACCCGGATACCGACAGCAAGATGATGCAGATACGAAAAAAACTTAATTGAACCAGTTGAGATGTCGTGTCTGCGCGGCATTCGATAGGACAAGGCACAAGAAAAGTCAAGGCGGAACAAGGAAAAGAGCAGTTAGCTGCATGAGCAGCTTCCTTGGCCACGCATTCGGTGCAAATGAGCCGATATTGCTGTAGAGCCAGCTAGATAGATGATGCTCTTGACCATGCTCACTAATTTCCTGCCGCTCCAAGCGAGCCAAGCCTCGCGCGCTTAGGCTTCCCCTCTTTTTGCTCACTCTCACTCCACTTCCATGTCCCTGTATGAGTCAACATAAGCTAGAAACCTAGATAGTTATTGAAGCTTCTTCAACCCCGTAAAATAGACTCCCTCTCTAGTTCCGTTAAGCGAAACATGGAAAGAGAAGCAGGCCATGATAGGAGCACCCAGGATGCAGAGCAACCTGCTCCAGAGTCCTTCGATCAGAAGAGTGCGCGTCAAGAGGTTGGAAGAGTGATCAGTACGAATTTTGCAGTTCTACTGGTGGGGATGAATGGTAGGTCCGATGCCCAAACGGTATATCAACATCGACTGTTCTAAATGTATACGGTGCATGCAGACGCTGCCACAGGGGTCCTAATCCCCTATATCCAACCAACGTACCAGATCAACCTTCTCCAGGTTTCCTTCATCTACCTGGCTAACTTCACCGGATATGTCTGCGCCTGCTTCTCCAACATCCATGTCTGTGCCCGCATAGGAACCGGCGGTACCCTTGTCCTAGGTGCCCTCATCCAATGCCTTGGATACTCATTCATGTTCTGGCATCCGCCTGTCCTTCTTTTCGTGGCTGCTTTCTTCTTCACCGGGATGGGGGTCGCCTACCAGGACGCGCAGGCTAACACCTTCACCATCACAATCAATAACGCCCATCGTTGGCTGGGTATCCTGCACGCTGTATACGGAACTGGCACTATACTTGCGCCGTTGATTGCCAACACGATCGCTTCGCGCTCTCCTTCCTGGCATCTGTATTACATGGTCACCCTGGGGCTGGGTATCGTTAATGTTGCCTCGTTGGCGTGGACATTCCGACGGAGTCTGTTCAAGCCAAATGTGTCGACTGCCAAAGACACGGCGGCAAGCGAGTTCAAGGCAGTGATGAAAAACCGGGCAGTGTGGATCCTGAACGGGTTCTTTTTCCTGTATGCTGGGGTAGAGGTGGGGTTAGGTGGTATGCACTGGACAAAACGCTAAAGAAAGCCGTATCTCCTAAGCTAATGTCGATAGGATGGCTTGTTCAATTCCTCGTATCTGTGCGACACGGCGATCCCAAAAAAGTGGGCTACGTTGCCTCGGGTTTCTGGACAGGATTCACTTTGGGTCGTGTGATTCTGGCAGATATTACGCACAATCTTGGGGAGCGACGCATGGTTTTCATATATACCGCGCTGGCGGTGTTCATGCAGCTAGTATTCTGGTTGACCCCAAGCATTATTGCGAATGCCGTGGCGGTTTGCTTGTTAGGTTTGTTGGTCCTCGGCATAAGCTTGACTCGATATTAAGGCCTCATCTCATTTGGTGTGCCTGTAGGTTTCTTCATTGGCCCGTTCTATCCTGTCGGGCTGTATGTTCTCACGGAGGTGATCCCGCAAGAGCTCCACGTTGGGGCAATTGGTTTGTGGCTCCCTGATTCGAAGTTCCGAGTCAGCCCCAGCTAATATTTTACAGGCTTTACAGCCAGTCTGGGTCAAGCCGGAGCTGCTGCGTTCCCTTTTATGACAGGAGCTATAGCTTCGAAGGCGGGGGTTCAAGTCTTGCAGCCCATTATGGTTGCCTTGCTTCTTGGGATCGGACTTCTATGGGCTCTGGTCCCTAGAAAGCGATCGATCATGCTTGAATGAGACACGATTGACTTCAGCTGGGATGATAAAATGAATTCTCAATAGATGTGCTAGATGGGTAACAACTCCGGATATAGGTAGGCTGCCTCGCTCTGACAACATGGTATCTCTGATTTTATCTTCGTGGTTTCACTCGCAATGACGGTTCCTGAGAAGACTTAAATGGCATAAGCGTAAACCAGGCCAACAAGACAGCGGACTCCAATAATGACATACTATCTCCTTTCTATGTTCAGAGGAATACGACGTACGTCATTTCAGGTCTATATGACAATTTCTATACTACCAGGGCAATTAGCATAGAGCCTCCTGGAATAACAGGAACAAATTCTAGGAAAGTGAAAACCGCAACTCAGAGAGAAGATTTAAGTCGTCATGGCCTTACACATCTGGAAGATGGTATGGCGTTCCGACTAAGGATGACTGATACAAAATTCTCATCATTGAAGGGCAAAAAACGACCAGATATGGCTTACCAGCGCAGGATACATTGCTACTAAAGCGTCCGAGTGCTCCTTCTGGAGTACATTCACGTTGGATCAGCCATAAAATTGTTTTTCCTTTCAGCCCCAGATCTGTCGACACATCCAAGAACACCCGTCAATCGTCGTAAGAAATTATCTTCCGTCCTGCGAACTGAGAAGCATAAACGGTTGGAGTGTTTTTCTGTGTACTGTTTGCAGCAGTATCCTGTCCATAGTCCAATGCAGAATCTGAGCTTTTATGGCCCTCCGTGCGCTCAGGGCGTTCGTTAGTAGACGCTTCGGAGGTAGCTAGTTTCCGTCCTTCGGATATCTCTCCATTCTTTTCCTCCGACTCAGAAGATGCCTCTAAAAGAGCTGCTTCGCGTAACTGTTTTTCACGTAGTAGCGAGTGAATTTCGCTATGTCTGAATATCTTGATCTGCTCGTCTGTGAGAGTACGCTTCAGCCCATCGGGGTAATATCCAAGACCGTCATCATCTTCGAACTCGTTTTCTACAGTTCCATCAGATGCGTAGGGGATTTGCACTGTTGGACCATGTCCGAGGAAGTGTTTGGCTTGAAACGTTTGGAGATCTTCCTAGAGAAGTCGAAAATTAGCGAGAGTTTGGGGGAAACATGAACGGATACGAACTCACTATTGTCACATTTGGGACCTGGAGGTCAGGCATCATGAAAATCCTGACTGGAGAATATTATTGCGGGTAGATTTGAGTGTAGTGGGCAGTTGCTCGCGAGCATAAATCGAGAAGCGCGTATCGGTCTCGTGTTAGCGCGACAAGGGTTTGGTAATATTACACGGCCATACGCAGTACAGTGGTTTCTGGAATATTAATTAAACCTTAAAGCAACGAAAACGAAAGCAAGGGACGAAAGGTTCAATCGCAGACAATAATCTGTAAGCTTGTAGCGATATGGTAGGCTGACGACTGACTTCGTATACACGTCACAATTTCTATTTAATGATTAAAAAGTATTCCTATTGGTATCATATCATGTGCTCATAATCATCAGTCTGCAAGACTTCGCTAGCCGATTGCCCCAGTCGACAATGGAATACTTGTTATTTGGTTACCGAGTTTAGCCTTCACACAATCAAACGGAATCCGAAGAGTATTCGCTCCTTGGAGGTCTATCTTCGCGATATCTTCCTTGTCCATTGGAGACGGTTCTGCCAGGCTCCACGCGAGAGAAATATGGAAGCAATGAGAAGAATCGTCGTGTCTGTCCGCTCGGTTACGCATTTGTTTCCCTGGTCTTCTGGACTTCTCATTCGCATTAGACACAAGCGAAGTCTCATAGAGCGGCGGTTGGCCGAACATAGCTAGACAGCTATTTGCAATCCTGAGGAGACGATTTAGGTTGTCATCGTCAGGCTTCTTCGCACGCAAAACAAAGAACCACCGTGTCTTCTCGTAATTGGAGACGCAATCCAAACTCTCCGTAGTAATATCGAATCTAGCGGCTAGGTTAGAATCCAATATGTATGATGTATACGAGGTGGTGCGCCACTCACGCAGGGATATTGGACTCCTGGAGGGCAGTATGGAATGTCTCCATAAACGGCACCTTCTGCTCGGTTCGAAGGACCACTGGTCTTGAAAGACTAATATGAAGCGGGAGTTGAACGCCCAGGTCACTCCGCAGCAAACTGCGTATGTCGATGTTGCTCCTCTTCAACTTGTCTTCACACTGGGTAAGAATATCGCCTAAAGTGGCAAGCTCTTCTTTCGAAGGAAACCCTGTCTCATCAACCAAGGACAATGTAGTTTGGGAAATAGTGCAGCTTACATTCGAGATAGATGTGAGTAGGCCAGTTCCCTTCGACATGAGGGATCACTCGTTTGCGACCTCCATGGAGACTTGGGTCGTCTGCAACACTGACGCGAGTACTCGAGGCATACAAATCGTGAAATGTCTTGGGTAGTGGAGGTAGAGACGTAACCGGTGTGGCGATGTTTTCCTTCCTCAATTTCTTGGTCGGTCTTTGGGCTGACTCTTCATCCGACTCGGAGTCAGAGTACTGTACTAGTGCCATTGCCAAGCTGATTGCACCCGATAAGCGGGAGTGGAAATATGGAATGAGCTTGAGGATGTCATGTCAGTCAGTGACAGTGCCGGTAAATTTCGTTACGGCCGTGTCTGGCGCCGGCGCCAAGGCTGTTCTTACCGCCGAGCTGGACTCGGGATTACCAGGGCTTTCATTTAAATTGACATTCTAGAATTAACCGTATGATCTTTAATATTTCGGACACCGAGATTGAATTGACAGCTATGAGGAGTACATATATGGATATGAATCCATCGCCTGACTCACATGGTCCTATCTTAAATTCTAACACGAACTACTCCGCTGCCGTACTGCCTGATAAAAAAAAATTATATGGCACATGCATATGCGAACACTGTCATGCATCAATAAAGAAGCCCTTGGGGAAAAAAAAAAAAAAAAAAATCTCTCGCCGTTCTAAACTTGGAGGTCCACTGAAGACTGGAGAATAGATGACTGTTGCCTGATTCATGACGTGGGATGCGCGACGCTAAAGTGGACACCAATTACTTTTTCGCTTAAGTAATGGTGTCTATTAGTAATCGACATGGTTAGGTAGCAGTCGACGAGTCTTGTACGAATTCGACTAGAACAGCGCTACTAGAAGGTACTAATGGTTAAGCTTAAATTCAAGTGTTCTCTCAAGTCAAGTAGCGACCTATTAGTTTTCGACGAGAAGGAATTTACACCGATTTACACTGAGCAATGGTGAAATGGAAGATGCCAGAAGAAGGCAATGTATGTATAGATAGTCCGTCAGCTCCGTCGGCTTCATGACTCCGATTGTCCGGTCGGTCCGGTCCTGTATATAGTTTGACTAAGAATAGTGCAATGGACAAGTCAGTACGTACACTGCCCGTCAGTTCCGTCAGTTTAGTCACTCCTATTCATCCGGTGGCCTACCTAGTACAGTTTATCTGAGACGAGGAATGAGAGCCCAAACCCGCCATCCACCACAAATCCAATGCAACCGAACAGGTCTAGTCTTCTGGCGGGGCCCTTGGGCTAAACCCAAGAGGGTGGTGGTGGTACCACTGTTATCGATAAGCCCCAGAGTGGGTGGTGGGAACCATAGTTATGTCTGCAAGTCGTCACGTCACTCTGGAGGAGGAACCACACAGCCTGTGACCTTTTAATCCCCTCTGTTCTTTCTTCCTTTTCAACATCTTTCTTCCTCCTACATCTCTAAGTCTCTCGTGCTTCCCTCTCAACCAGCATCACCAAAAAATCCAGCGCAAAAGCATCTTCCGTCGTTCATTTTAGACCTCTTAGCTAGCCCCACAGAAGTGAACTCTATACGCAGGTTCTCACTAGGGGTTTGGCACTATTAGGTGCCTACATACATTTATTGGATTCATATTTTACGACCTTTCGAGCCAAAAGAGCCACCTTTCTCATCTACTCACCGTCTATCGCTACTATGGCTTCTTCTGGCGAAGTCCTGCGCGTAACATCCCCTCTCTCTCACTCTTCTCATTCTTCTCACTATTTCTCCCACTCTACGGATATGGACCATAAGAATAGCCCATACTATCGCTTTCTCTCTCCTTCCCCCACTCGCCTCTCACTTCGTCATCAACGCTCTTCGTCTCTCCCATCTGTGTACTACAACGGAATACTAGAACACTTCCCCATGGAGCAATCGAGGAGACGGGATTATCCTACTTATCACCATCATTCACCACGTCGAAGCAATGCTCGCTCCAGTCGCTGCCGGAGCAGACCTTACTCGCGTGACTCATTGTTGGTTAATCCTGATATCATCGACCGTCTTGATGACGCTGCTATTTATCAATACCACCACGAAGGCCCTTACGATGTAGTATATGCGGAGCGGAACCATGACAGCAAATCAAGCCCAGTCGAGGCTCTTCGATCATCAAATGCAGAGACTCTCAAAGCCACCCCACCCGAAAAAATTCGTGACTGTCTCGATAGTCATCGCCCTCTTGAGGGGGTGGCTTTTTACCCTCCTGGCCACACAGACAGGGAAGGCCGGGCTTATGAATACGAGGAGGGCACCAATATGATGAACGATTATGGAAATTTTATGCGCTGTCCCGGTCTGGTATATATTATCTTCGCCCTAGGTGTATGAAACATAAGTTTCAGCGACTAATGCGTTATGAACAGAAATTTACCGATGAAGATTTCAAAAACGATCCTTTTTACAACCAGCCTCTTCCGAAGCCATTCGCTTCCCTTCGAAAGAAGGTCATGAAATTCCGTCGTCGAAGGGGGACGGCGTAAACTTATTCCATGATGCTATACATTGCATCTCACTTTGGATATCGACACTCTAAATGGTGAATATTGGTGGAATCAAATTTTAGGCTAACGGGTTATCTTTCTCTCTTTCTCTTTTGATCTATGAACTTTACTTTTGGTTGATTTCTATACATGTTTTTAACATCTATTCAGGGATGAGTGATGTGGCTGTTTTTTGTCTTTAGCTTGGAGTTGGTTGGAGTTGATCCTCGCTCATCCTGAGGTTTTGGGTGTATGTTCTTTTTGTTCCGGTTATACCATGTACCCTCGAGCGTCTAGAAGGGTTGAATGCCTTTATTTTTGTTTTCCAACTCCTGTGCTGCCATGCTATGGCCTGTCTGAAGCTTGAGTGGATTCATTCATCATGTTGCGTTGCCTTGCCGTGGCCCACTTTCTTGTATCCACCGAACCCCCGAAGACGGATCATTCATATACTAATGCCTGGAAATATCCTCTTTTTGTATCCTCACTGCTCCTTGAGGGATTGGATGAGTCCATTCGCAAATCCAAAATCATCACAAAACCACCACCACGGTTCTTCTTCTGTAATGTATGAAACCTGATAATACGTATTGTGTTTGGTCACCGATATAACTGGATTCATCTACCATTCGACCCTGTGGCTACTTCTCGGATTAAATAAGTAACTGTTACTCAAGCAACAGTACACTTGACAGGCTGTCGGTGCGCCTACGGTATCTGTGGACATGTATAGCATATAAGAGGTACATTGTATTCCTCCCCTGCATCAATCATGACAACCCGAACAGCTTACTATGAGCTTTGATACACCATAACTGTTCAAAGTAATCCTTGGCTTTGACCTCCTCTTACTTTTCTTCTAGGTGCAGGAATGATATATCTTTCCACATCATCGCAGATGCTCGCTGATCATGTTCTAAACATCATCATTCAGTTGGGAATTTGTATGGGAGTAAATCAAGGCTGGTGTGGAAATACACCAGGAGAACGTTACAGAATAATCATGGCACTGCAGGGGACACTCGAAATCCGCCGGGACTATGTCTTCCATTCAAATATGAAACGCTAGTTGTGAACGAAGTGAATTACCGAAGGACCAACATCTGAGGGTCGAGACATTAGCTCTAACTATGGGCCACAGGTTCATATACAGAGCCCGAACAACAAAGGCTAGCGATTCGAGAGTTGGAACAGATCTGCAAGGCAACATTGTCTGTTCCAGTATGGCCTGATGCGAATAACACGATGTCTCAATAATAGTAACAGTAGAAATAGTAGAAATAAGAATAAATGAACGAATAAATGGGGCGGAAAGGCGGAAAGAATGCATTGATAATCAGTCACCGGATAAGTCATGCAACTCCGCCACCAAGGACAGCTTGTCAACTTCGCATCAACTCCTTCATTACTCCGGCCCATTCCTTCCCTTCTTTCGCCGGGGGCTTTGTATCTCCTGGGTTCTACTCTGTTCCTTATTTTCGTCGTTGTATATTGTATATACCCGTCTACTAGAGATAGAGAACAAGTCTGACCATGCGCTTGATCTGATTGCCATTTTTACAAACCCACTGGAGATTTTTCATATGAAGATCTAGCATCCTTACTGCTTCGTTCTTTCGCCCTTCTCTCCCTTTTTAGGGAAAAAAAAAAAAAAAAATAAAAATTAATATTCTCTATTTACTGCTCTCCGGTACTCGGAGTTAATCATGCGCGACAAAATGCCCTCCGCAGCCAAAATGTTCTATCTTGGCGTGTTCGCCTTTTTGAATCTGGCCTCTGCTGCTGATCAAATTCATATGCGCCATGACCATGAAACTTGCGCAGTGAGTTAGCCCTTGAGTATTTGGCATCCGGGTAGCTTGATTCCCACTGACTGTCTATCCTCTCCAGCTTGACCCTACTGCTATGGTTTCCGACGCCTGCGTTTCCTATGCCTCCATTAACGCGATGAATGACAACATCTACTCTCTTCTCCAGTCCATCACCCAAGAAACAGACTTTTTCTCGTATTATCGGTTAAATCTATTCAACAAAGTTTGTCCGTTTTGGTCCGACTCGGACGGCCTGTGCGGGAATATTGCGTGCGCGGTGAACACGATTGAGTCAGAAGAGGACATTCCCTTGACATGGCGCGCCGAGGAGCTAAGCAAACTCGAAGGTCCCAAGGCAGGCCATCCGGGTCGCAAGCTCCAGCGGGAGCGGCCGAGTGATCGGCCGCTCCAGGGTATGCTGGGAGACAATGTTGGGGAAAGCTGCGTGGTCGAGTATGATGACGAATGTGATGAGCGGGATTACTGTGTCCCGGAGGACGAAGGGGCAAGTGGGAAAGGCGACTACGTCAGCTTGCTAGATAATCCGGAACGATTCACTGGGTATGCAGGAGCGGGCTCCCGGCAGGTCTGGGATGCGATTTATCGCGAAAACTGTTTCCTGAAGCCGGCCCCGGAGTTACAATCGTCCCCGAACCCCCAATGGGGAGGATTAGAGGCGGTCAATGATTTTCGCAATGTTCTCCAAAAGGAACTGAAGCATACGGAGGGCTTGCCTCTAGATAATGAATGTCTAGAGAAGCGAGTCTTCCATCGCGTCATCAGCGGAATGCATGCATCTATCTCGACCCATCTCTGCTGGGACTACCTCAATCAAACGACGGGCACGTGGCATCCAAATCTGCAATGCTTTAAGGAGCGCTTGCATGACCATCCGGAGCGTATCTCGAATTTGTACTTCAACTACGCGCTCGTGTCTCGGGCTGTGGCGAAACTACGGAAACACCTTGAGGGATACACCTACTGCACCAGTGATGCCGCACAAGATGCCCAAACGAGGGAGAAGGTATCGAAACTCACCAAGAGCCTTGCAGACCGACCGCAGATTTTCGACGAGAATATTATGTTCCAGGATCCAAGTGCCGTGGGCTTGAAAGAAGACTTTCGGAATCGATTTAGGAACGTGAGCCGGCTGATGGATTGCGTTGGGTGCGACAAGTGCCGTCTATGGGGTAAACTCCAGGTCAATGGCTATGGAACCGCCCTGAAGGTCCTGTTCGAATACGATGAGACCAAGAACGGCGAGAATCCCTTGCTACGGAGAACTGAACTCGTAGCACTGATAAACACCCTGGGCCGCATCTCGCATAGTTTGGCCGCGGTTCGCAGCTTCCACCGCGCTATGGATCAGAACGACGGTCAGGTTTTCGCAATTGCTGCCGGTGTGTCGACTCTCCACCACCAACCTGATGGCAAAAAAAGGAGACGTCTTTATAAGGATGGTGGCTCGACGTTTTACTACGAAGACGATGACGAGGATGGTTTCCGCTACATTACTGACGAGGCCCCGTGGGAACGACGGAGAATCCGACGGGAAACCGACACCTTTCTGGATGACCTCAACGCTGAGTTTTCTTTGGTATGGGACACATTCGTCTTCGTGCTAAAGTCGTGGATCAATCTCCCCAGAACACTGTAAGTGATTGCTTGCTGCGAGACCAGGTATAGAAGAATTAACTGTCGTTTTAGGTTTGAAATTGGTGTTTTGGAATTCAATCGGCTCTGGTGTTACTGGCTGGGGCTTCCTGTGCCTCCACGGTCATGGAAGATCCGACTGCCCAGACGGCCAGAAATGCAGGATCCTGGAGCACCCAGCTATGATGAGCTATGATCGACGAGGGAAAGGTTTCTGGACAACGGTCAGTTGGATAGGGAGGGATTCATTGGACTGTATGGATAACCGAAAACGGGCGATCTGGACGCCCGGGCGCATTATTTTGGCGTTTGGGGCGATTGATTTGTATTATATGGGCATCGCAGCTTTTTAGTAGATTCATCAATACTATTCTTTGATATTCATTAGTACTCATCTTACTGTGTTTCCTGTGATCTCGGCTCCGGCCGTCGGCAGGAGACGCAGCCTCGGCATTACCGGCCACATGCGCAATGACTTTTTCTCTCCACCGCTTTCGACTAACTAATCACACTTCCATCGCCATCTCCATCTATCCCCTCTTCTCCTCCCACTTCTTCACCTCCATCCTTTCCCCAGATCATCCTGTCCATCTACGTCCGATCTTAATTCGGGGTTACTCTGATAGTTAGCCTCTTGATTGGGTTCATCTCGATGCAAGGCTGGTGAGAGTGAGATATCCTCCCCCATCTCCATGGCGTCAGTTTCGCCACCCAAGCCGTGGGAGAGGGCAGGCGCTGCTGGTGGTAGGTGTCGACTGGCTTTAACTAATTATCTAGTTCCTATTGACTGACACAACTCTTTCTATCCAGGGACCGCACTTTCAGCGTCTCCTGCGACGAGTTCGGCTCCCACTTCAACTATGTCTTCGGCTGCGCCGACCGCGACCGCCGCTACCACCACATCGACCGCTCCCGACCTACCCTCTCGTCCTAATACCTTGAATGCCGTTGTAAATCAAACAGCGTCTAACTACTCACCATACGGCGCTTCCCGGTTTGGTGCGTCTCCGTATGGAGGGTACGGCGGTTACTCTTCTCCCTACTCTCGCTTTGGCACAATGGGATCGATGTATGGAGGGTACGGTGGCTATGGTGGCATGTATGGTGGAATGGGTGGAATGGGAGGGATGTACGGCGGCATGCCGGGGGATCCCAACAATCCCAATAGTTTGACGAATTCTTTTAGCCAAAACACGCAGGCTACGTTTCAGCTGATTGAGAGCATTGTGGGCGCATTTGGAGGATTCGCTCAGATGCTGGAGAGCACTTATATGGCGACCCACAGTTCTTTCTTTGGTACGTGCATAGGACTCTCTTCCCGCTTTCATTTGAAGTCACAAGGACTAACCAAGCACCGTTTATAGCTATGGTCTCCGTTGCCGAACAGTTTGGTAATCTGCGCAATACCCTGGGCTCTGCCCTTGGGATTTTCACTTTAATTCGGTGGTTCAGGACGTTGATCGCAAAGATAACTGGTCGCCCGCCGCCAGCTGACGCCACCGCCCTTACACCATCTGCCTTCGCGGCGTTCATGAACGGAAGATCAGCGCCAGCCACCCTCCCAGACGGGACTCCCGCCCCTCCTAAGCCATCCAAGAAGCCTTTCTTCATGTTTTTGGTTGCCGTCTTCGGCCTCCCCTACTTGATGGGCAAACTGATTAAGGCGCTGGCTCGCTCGCAGGAGGAGCAGCGCAAACAGCTTATGGTTGGACCCAACGGTGAGCCCTTGCAACAAGGCGCGCCTTTAGATCCATCCAAGCTGGACTTCTGTCGAGTGCTTTATGACTACTCTCCCGAGGCCCAGGAGGCCAACGGAATTGACTTGGCTGTGAAGAAGGGCGATATCGTTGCCGTGCTCAGCAAGTCGGACCCTATGGGAAATGCATCTGAATGGTGGCGATGTCGCGCCCGAGACGGCCGCGTGGGTTATCTCCCAGGACCATATCTGGAGACGATCCAGCGGAAGCCTCAACAACAGACCATCACGTCTGGCAGCGAAACCAGCAGCCGTAGTAACAGTCTGCGCACAAACTCCGCTCTGGATAAGAAGCCAGAATTGAAAGGCAAGATGGGGGATATTTCTCCGGAAAGCTTCCAAAAAAGCGCCTTTTACTCATAAACAGTGTCGACTAATTGATTGATCGGACTGGATGTTCTATATCTATTCCAAGTCTCGAAACGGGGATTTTATGTTTCAAGCAGTCGCTCAGGATGGGATAGTGATGATTACTTCGTTCTTCTACGGGATATTAAAGCGTTGGGTACCTAGGTTATGGGCTTTCCTTTTCTTTTTCTTTTTCTTTTTTTTTTTTTTTTTTTCTTTGCAGTTTTCGTCTTCGTTTACGCTGAGCGATCCAAACGGGTTTTATTATTTATTTATTATAAACATTACATATTTGTACAAATTATTACTTTGATTATCTTACCTCCTATACAGATATTCTTACTCAAGGTGACTGAATATAAAGGACGTCTAAGATCTTAGTCCATCCGTATCCAGTCATGGAATACTTTTTGTTAGAAGGATTCCATCCACAGGTACTCCACGTAACTACTTACTATCTTGGGGGTAGGTGGGTAAGGAGTCTCGTCAGATATAAAATCCTACGCTATGTTTCTCTGGAAGTATGCCCATCACATGATTTAATCCTACGGAATACATATACACATACATTAAAGCTGTCATTTACCCACGTACTCAGAAAATAAGACAGCTGATAGCTTGAGACATGTACGGAGTAGATACGCATATATTTATTATGTATATGAATCTTGTGATAGTAGCTGATGTACTGTGGGGCTACATACATATTATTTTAGGTATGTACATAGCAAGTATGTGTGTATCTATAGTGCCGACAACTTCAGTATATATCAATGCCTTTCTCGGGATGAAAGCTACAATTAGAATCCATACAGATAAACGTTGCAGTTACAAATGTTGAGTAAGGGGACGGAAAAGAAAGAAAGGAAAAGACAACGTATACGTGCTCCATACAATTAACTTAGTCAATAGAAAATCTAATCTAGACCAGTACTAGTACTTTTGTCTCAAGATCGACATAAATCGTCAACCGGGCAGGATATGAAACCGCCGACTGGTCCGCTGCGTTGCTCCCATTGATCTGCTTTCACTGGACCATTGGTCCGTATAGTTATAGTACGGAGCACAAAAGCATCATATGTTGGTGGATGACTCTTGTCACATGATCTCTCTCTCTCTCTTTTATATTGTTGTTTTGCTGCTCTCTACTGCATCGTCTATAAGACATGATAAATATTTACGAGGTTGACGGATTAACTTTAGGATTTTCCTACGATAAGGTGACGTCTCGTAAGGCACGAAGGGGTGAGGTAGTAGGAATCATGTAATAATGACAAGATAGAGAATATCCTCCAGTTTCTTTCAGATTATCCTGCCATTTCTCTATTCTTCTCTTGTCTGCTCACTCTACTCACTCTACTGCCCCACACCGCTCCATATCCAACCCTTAACCTATCTTGAATATTCGTCTACTCTAATATCCTCTATAGTACTAAAATGGTCTGTCTTCAGAGGAGCTTCCTGGCTCTCATCATCCAAACCGTGGCATATGGAGCTATTGCAACTGCTTTGCCAAACCTAACCCAAGACATCATTGCCTCCGATAATAATGACCAGTCCGCCAAGGGAAATGACAAAGTCTTTCAGTTCGATGATGATTTTGATCGCTGTAGTCTGAATATAGACTGCTCTCCTGGCTTTATCTGCAGAGGCACCTACTGTATCACTGGCTGTGATTCCGATACTGATTGTTTTCATGATCAAGAATGCGTTGATAACATGTGCACCATTCCAGATGGGGACGTTTGTGCTCCATATCTAGCTAAATGCACCTCCAGCTTGGAATGTTGCACTACTAGCTGTCGCAAGTCTTTGTTCTTTGGAAAGAGGTGCGGGAATTCCTAGGTATTGAGTTATGACTTGTATGGTGGTTGTATTAATTTGGGGCGGAACCGGGGTTTAATAAGGCTTGTTGACGCTGTATTCTGTTTACTTTGTTGTGCTCTCTTCTGGCGTTTTCTTAGCAATTGCCTAATACTAAATTGTTCGCGATTTTCAAACAGCCTGGAGGCTATAAGTAAAAGATCGATCTAACCTAGTAATGGAATATGAACCGTATTGTCTCGTGGGATCTTGAAGGGGCTCGTGCGCTGGGGTCTCACATATCGCTGGATAAGCTGGCAATTTCGGCCCTAGTTTCAAACGAATAGTGAGCTCAACTGTACTGCCTGGTTATCGTTCGGGGCGAGAAATGGGGGATCCTGTGTAATACGAAAGGCTTAGTAGAAAGCTGTTGCATAAGCAAGTTCACTGCAGTTCCTTGATGCCTCCAATAAGACCCAGCTGTACTGATGATGACGAAAGGATAGATTGTCGACTCTTCATAGATCGGAGAATAAATGCCACCAATCCCATAAACCTTCCTTTTGTTCATTTAAAGGGCATACCAGAACCTACATAAACCTTTCCCAGTAAAATCAAGCCATAGATGCTCTATATAGTCGGCAATCTGAGAAAGGAAGACTGACAAGGCTAAAGGGCAAAAAAGAAAAAAGGGAACAAAGGGAGCAGTGTTACAGAGTAAACAGTAAAACTGAGGTGATAGTAAATGGCAGTGATGGTAAATTACTCTGAACAACACAAAGGAGGCATATAGGATGTTGACAGCTTCTTTCCTCCCTCTACTGGACTTGAAGTGCCCTAGGCTCTGAGCCTGTTCATTCATCATGAGGCGACGTAAATCCGGACATTGACTGTTCAAGGGTCTGATGAAGAACTAAAAGACGATCTTGAAATGAAATAAGTTCATTCCACGCATCGGCGTCATGAATCGTGCCTGGAAGGGATCGGGATGTTTCATTTGGTAAACTTGGACTAAGGGTAGCCGTCAAGGATCGATCATCATCGGTCTCGGCTTCGGGGTTTGGAACGAACTTTGCATCATCTGTACTGATTAAGCTGGATTCTTCACACGACATAAAATGCACATGTTTGGTTTGGGGTCTGCTAGGTAAATGCAAGAGGACGGGCTATCTCACGGTGTTCTGACTGCATCTCTGGCAAAGGTGGCAAGGTTGCTCCTCTGTCATCGGGCTCCGGAGTATAGCAACTCATATCAGATGGGGTTTCTGTCATTCCATGCGAATGAATTATATGTTGACAGTTAGCTGGAGAAGAGTTAACTTACTCGGTTCTGGACTTGATTGACGGTACTCATCACGTGGGCTATTATCCAAATGCGTGCCGTAGCGGCGGACGAAGCGTGCAATGCGCTTCGAGTCGACTTCTTGGCCGGCAACCCGAAAGGCAGTTTGTTTGCCCCGAGAAGCTCGTTTCTGCTGCTTTCGGATCATGACTTGGACTTCTTTGGCCTTGATATTTTTGCGGATATGCCAGGCTGCGAGACGGTCCTTATATTGTTTTTCCCTGCACATGTAGATTGTTAGGGAAGTTTATTAGGGTCCCGATTTGTCCATCGAAGAAAAAGAAAACACACGGGGGATAAACTAAAAGGAAGGAAGAAAACAAACAGTGATGCTTGATACACTGTCCTCTTGCTCTTGAAGGAAAAAGGGTCACGGAAAATTTCTTTTCGTGGGAAAAATCATCCAACCGAAATTGACTATGTGACATTGGTGGCACATGTAGAGGAGTTCTATACACGGAGTCCGAAGGGAAAGAGAGAAAAATAAGGTTAAGAAAAGGTAAGACAGTACGAGGCAACAAAGTTATAATCACGTTCCATGATTCTTTTCACGTCTCGAAGCTTCAGTTGATGATCACGATAAAGTTGCTCGATTGTCGGCCGATACTCGTGCCAGTCGTCAGACCTGCGGGGACGAAAGATGGTCGAAGAGGAAGAAGAGGCAGTAAGGGCGACCGATGAAGCGATGGAGCCTTCCATCATGAACAGATCACTGGGATCTCCCTGTCACTCATACTCTGATGTCTTCCGGGAGAGATTTTTAACTATAATAGGAACGGAGGGAGCAGGGACATGGACCAGGACGAGTAGGGTTAAAGAGGAAACAAGGATGGTGGGAGGAAAGAAAAGGGCAAGAGAGAGGAGAGAAACTGTAGATATCAAAGAGAAGTCTCAGTATTATGTAGGCATAGGGGAGTTGGAAGAGGCAGTAGAAGGAGACTCGAGTAGTGCGTCGTCAGTTGGGAGATGACAATGGGATAAACGATGATGTCGTTGGGCTAGGAAGGCCGTCAAGAAATCCGCAGCAAGTCAGGTAGTCAGTTGCAAGGACCTTAAATGGTTCATTTCAGTTGATAATATTAGTAGTAGCCGAGTCAGGACAGTCTGCAGGGCGTGTGTATGGATGTAATGCAATCTTTACCGCAAATACTCTCATGATAATAATACTTGGGTCACATAATCGGTTCATGAATCATTGAAGCTTTGGTACTTGGTCTTGCCAGCTAACCAACTAGTGCCATGATGATACAAAAAAGAAAAGAAATAGAAAAAGAAAAACAGAAAAAAATTATTTTTTTTTTTCCCAAATAAAGATCACAGCCATGCCAACGATCCGTACGGAATAGTAACTATGTAATTCTAATACCTAAGTTCAATGGTACTTCGGATCCCAACAGGGCAACCAAGTGGTTCGCCCCTAACCAAGAAGGAAAAGTACCGCAGCCAGCTGGGGAGGCCAATAACATCAGCCTACCCTTTGCGGCGACTTGCTGCTGGAAAAGCCCGCAGCAGCCTTGATCCTTGTTTCCCCGGACCAATCAGGGGAGGCGAGCATGGGTCCGTGTACTTTTGTCACGTTCTGACCACTAGAAAGGGTGGGAAGGGGAGCAGCTGTCTGTGCCTCTCCCAAGTAAGTAGTCCCTAGTGCCTATGGGTACTAGTAGGTACAATCTATACACAGTATACAGTATACACAGTACTCCTATCTACAACGATACCATGAGTGCTTCTTACTGCTTACCTGAGGTCTTTCATGGGGAATATTTAATATCTGGTCATCCAGAACTGATCGAAATGTAAAGTGAAGGGCTGGGGCAAAAAAATAATAATGATGAGACGGAATACAAAACCCCACTCAAAATTATTAGATCCAATAGTACACTACTCCAAGTGGGAATGCCCTAGATTTATGCATTCCTATTATGTTTGTTCCAACTAGTCTATAACTGATGCAGTCCTTTCTCGCAATATCCACTGAGACTTTTATTACCGTTCTGGCTCAGTCAAACTCTGCAAACATATAGATACCAGAGGATATAAAAAGAACTGTGCATTCTCCAAAATAAGTAATCGGTAGGGATGTTGAAGTATATTTGGACCCCGTAATTATCTGTACTATTGTACGTCTGGTTGGCTGCAGACTGCACTGTAATACAGAAGCTGCTAGGTAGATACGTTCTACATTAGTATCAAATTCCAGCTTAAAATCAACGGACGCGCTGGTGACTACGTACCTTCTATTTCCGACGCAAGCGGGTGCTTGGACTACAGTATCAGAAGGTCCCTATCTCACCTTGAGGTAAACACGAGTGCTTACCTCAGAAAAATAATGGTCTCAATATAGAAGACAGTGCCTACTACACAGGACGAGTAAGAAAAAATAACCTTTGACCACTAGCAAGACCAACGCTGATACTCATGGATGATATCCGTAGAGTATGTTCGAGCAAATCGGTTACGATAAGTTGACTTGTCCTTTTTAAAACCATGTCAAGCAAACTTACTACAGGGGGCAAAACATACATATAGAGCCAAGACCAAGCGAGTCAGAGGAAACAACGTCCAAGGAATGAATGGTTCAATTGGCAGAGAGTGCAGGTGGCTGTGTCGGAGGTACCCGGCTGAATGACTTGAAACCAGACAGATGAAAGTAGGAAGACACGCATCTTCGTATGGAGTCCGTATATTCATGGGCAATTGAGTGTTCCTGAAGGGACAACCTACCAGAGCGTAGCGCAGAGGCCTGGGTGTATGACCAGTCCAAATTCGGAATCACTTACATCACAGGACACAGACAGCAAGGGAAACAGACTTCCCAGTCGTCTCATATCTACGGCGTCCTAGATGCACTAGCCGTCACAGCCAGCTCCATGGGCCTTCTATTGGCTTATCCTGGAGGAGGAGGAGACAGATGATCATGGGGCACTTGTAGCTGTATGAAGAAAGTACATTCTGAAGACTTTATGGCGCGCAAGGCGTACTCGCCCTGTGGGTAAGACGGCGAGGTTTCCGATTGCAGGGCATTGATGTATGAGGCTAGGATGTCAGATAAGACGAGTTATTTGATAATCGAAAATAAATGAAGACTTGATATGGTTGAAACTATATTTTGTCTGTGAAATTATTGCCCTTCAAGTACAGCAGCTAATTCGAAAGACTTGGGCCACTACCAGCAAGTGGTTGAAATTTGTGTATTCGTTGAATGAAAGGTAAAGCCCAATATAGCGGGATAGAAAGATGGGTTAAAATCGAGACCAAGGAAATAGTATCTTGCTATCTGTCAGCTAAAGACAAGAGTAAGTAGTTAGCGCGTGGATAAGACTAGCATTACTATGAGATTTACTTAACAGCGTACGTGCACTCTCAGATTCCTTGCTATACAAGGCGCAAGTATGGCTGACTTGATGCACAACCAACAAAAGCAGTAAATAATCATTGCATTGCAGTAGATAGCATGCTTGCACGCTAACCGTGGGCTATTTATGACATTGGACGATCAACTCAGATTCTCAGGTCCTAGAGCCCTACCTTGGAAAGATAGGATGAACTTGGCTAATGCAATCCCACAGGAGCTCTGAAAAACCCTAGGGGATTGTTAGAATATTAGATGTGAAGTAGGTAAATTAATTAAAATATCCTAGAACAATCAGTCACTGTACTATGGAATATTTGAATGGAAGCATATGCTGATACTAGGGCATACAAAGATACATATCTAATGTATACCAGGTATTTTCCAGGTACCTAGGAGTAAGGAAGGTATTTTTGAATCAGGCCTGCATATGGACCTTAAAGCAGCAACACAACTCCGTACATGTCTATTTTTGTATTTTTAATAGGGCATAACCTACAGAGCTGGATATAAAATATAATAAAAGAAATACACCTCAGAGATATAATAGGAAAATCCCTCGATAAGCTAAATACTTTATACATGTATCTATACCTAAAGTACATAGCTAGATACTATACCTTAGTACACGTGCTATACTTATAAATACTGCCTGTAACACTCAGAAGGATCACCAACAAATAGAAGCCTCTGACAGCTTACCTTGTTTTCGTACTTGAATGCGCCATCTTTGCTGGTGCAACTTGGACATAACCCCTACCACTGCTGCATAGTACTTTCGACTGCATGTCAAGACCCTTCTTTGCTTTGCCCGTGATACTACGGAATACTAATAGCAGGGATCGGCCATAGGTTTTCTTCCGTACCCCTGTTTGTCGCCACCGGGATTTTCAATATGTATGGCGCTTGATATTGGGGGACTCCCAAAGGGGACTCAAAAAAAAAAAAAAAAAAAAATTGATCTCTACGCTGTACATAATAAATGATGAAACGCTCCACAGTTTCCTGGATCTAAGATTCCCAACTTTACCTTTTTTTTTTTTTTTACCCCTTCTCTCCTGCAGGCTTCGTTTGAATCCTTTAATTTACGAGGCTAATGATGGATCTCCCTATCAGTATCTGAGCTAGAGGATGAGGCCTGAGCACTTCTGAACCTTCGTCACTGACATGCTAAGTTAGATCATAACGTGGTCAATTATAATCCTGATTTTCCAACGCTTTCTCTGCTTATTTCTTTTACTCTGGAGTTTGGTGTAGCCAATTACGCTAGTAATTATATTGGTGCCCAGATAGTCAAACTAAAAACTACTGGAACTTCGGCCCGTCATGATGGGGGACCAGATTGGGATCCCCGCCAGCGATCCACCTGCGTTATTACAATACGGTGTACTTGATATGTGTACCGGGATTTCCCGCAAATATAAAAAAGAAATATAGAAGCGAAAATCAAAGGATAAAGGAAAATGAATAATGAATTATGCAGGGAGTGAACTTGGATATATTTTTCACATAGTAAACTATGAGGAGTTAGTACTGCGTACATAGTCCGAGTAAATTATGGCAAGGTACGGAGCACCCTACCCTAACTTTTTATTTTTTTAAAAAAAGTGGCCATACCTATTTTATCACAGTCTACCAGTCCTAAGATTAGGAATCAACGAACACCTTCAGATCAAAGAACTAACAAAAGAATTGCAACCTTACTAGATATTAAATAGTAGGAATTATATAGATCACCCTGTAATATTCCATCTACCGTCTGTGCTTATTAGACAAGCTACTATGGAGCATAGTCCGTACTGTGAATAGTACTATTACTCTGGAAGGACAGTTTCTGATGACGATTAGCTCATCGGAATGCTTCAAGCTAACAGCAATGAGAGTTCTCAACACCCAGGCACAGAGCTGTAGCAACTCTTGGCTCTAAGACGTCTCCTTTGTCTTGGAGATAGGCTTTTTAGGGTTACAGGTGCAATAGTTTGTCACACTGCAGCGGTTGGCGACATGAGTACCTATACAACATCTTATATGGAGTACTCTGTACTTCGTAGAAACAACTACAGTGGGAACCAGTAATTCTGTGTCCACTTACTCCAAGTACAGAATACAGAGTAGATGCAATGGACTCGTAATGCTCAAAGAGGCTAGATCTCAAGACCATTATGTACTGGGGGTTAATCACGCGTGATATGACGTACAGATCTAGCGCAGTGCATAGGTTTATCACATTAAAGAAGATATACGCGGGGTTCTATCAGCAGGCTAGAAAATGGGTAGATCTACAAGTCGAACAACTCTCTTATTGAACCATGCATACTATGTTAACTGTCACAGTATTTGCTTCTCTAAGTCTTTGATACTAGCTGGGTGCATGTTAGTAGCACTAATTATGGATGCACCTGAGTACAGACCAAGTTACAGGTTATCTGTAATGATACTAATTAACTCTCACATGTTCTATTTAATTCTATATAGACACTGAACTAGATGTGTAGAGTACACTCATAAGAGCTACTGAGAAATCCATGCGACAGTATACGGTGTACAGGCTACAAACAGTGACTGCTTTGGCTTCTGACCATACCATACCTATTTTGTCCCATACTACCCAGGGTTTAAACCAGAAGAGGGAACCATAAATCAGGAGTCCATTTCCCATCCGTTACACAGACCGTCGGGCACAGTCGGGGCATTAGTCTCTTTATTCTCGAAAAGGATCATATAGAGCCGCTTTCGGCTTATTCCTGCTTCGCTACCGTGCCAGGTAGTAGCTGGCCGACGACGGAACTTTCCAGTTTTTACCCCATCTATGATCCGTATTTCCCATCTGTATGGATCTTGCTTGACACCGGCCAGGGTATCCCCGCCCGGAACGAGCATGTGAACTTGAAGTAACCTAACGTACTCCGGAGTAGGGCAAGGTCAAGCGGCGTACCCACCCAGAAGGATAGTAGTATTGGATTGAGGGGACAAAACCGTTGGGGATTCCTTTTCTTTTCCTTTTTTTTTTTTTTTTCTGTCTCTTCCTTATACAGAGTCTGTATACTGATACTGTGCATGCTCCATGTATAGAAATGAGAGGTGAGTGGACGGGGGAAAGCGCTTCGCTCCGGAAAATTTAAGAAATTTACATCACCAGGAATAAAAAAAGAAAGGAAGAAAGAAAGCAAGGGCCAAAAAAAAGAAGTACTAACAAAATACTCCGTAGTCGTCGTACACATGACAAGGCAACCCAGGCTAACCAACCTGACAGCGACAGAAGCGCCCAATCTCCAGTCCTTCTCTCCTCCGACTTTGGCTCCCACTAACAATAAGGACTGTGATTCGCAGGGGAATGGTGCTACCGTGCCGAGTCTTTTTTTTTTTTTTTTTTCCCTAATCCACATGGAAAACCAAACTAAATAAACTAAAAAATAAAAAGCAGGGATAGATAGGGGGATGGAGGATTCCCCTCGTGTGGTGGTGGCCGGGAGCGGCCCGAAACCTCCCCATTCCTATTTCTCGTTGACATGTTGGCGCAGGATCATCGAAAACCGTTCTCGCTCTGTATAACATTGACAGACCCAACGCTATGGATCCGTCGGATGGCCGAATCGATGTGGCTGCAGTTCTAGTCTCATTGTTCATTTGTTCTTTCTCTCTCTCTCTCTCTCTCCCTCCATTCTTTAGACTGTGTTTCGCTAAGAGATCCACTTCCCCTTTTTTTCTTTTCTTTTTCTTTTTTTGTTTTTTTTGGAGTGAGTTTACTCCGTACTGTGGAGCAAAATCTGTCATCTGTTATTGTGTCCGGCTGCAGAAGAGGGAAGGCTTTTTTTAAAAAAATGAATAAACCTCCGGCAAAATCATGTAGATCTACACGGAGGTCTGACAACTACTAAGAATATGTCAGGTTATCTATCACTTTTCAACAGAATGGATAGTAGTACACTAAGTGACGATCTCCCGCTTCTCTTCACCGTCAGGTTTCTATCGATCAGGCACAGTGATGTGATGGCCATGAAAAATGTGTCACAAACGACTGGGTCCCCGCTGGTTGCACAAACATGTACTCCGTACCACTATCAACGTACTTTGATCCATATACGGGAAGATTATATATTATATCCCTGTTGGACTAATTATGAAACGCTTCTAAAGCCACAAGATCCCCAATGTGATTCAGGAGAGGCAAAAAAAAAAGGCTGGACAGAATGCTATGTGAGACAAGAGAGTCAATTGCTGCTGCAGCGCAGCGCTGATCCTCTGCTGTTTCATGTGCTGACAAAATCATGGACGGATGGATCAATGGCGCAATGCAAGGCACGGACGTTGAATTTGAAGTGCTCCGTAGTAAATGCAATCCCGAGGTGATAAGATACTCGTTGAATCCGCCCTACAGCCGAATTCTTTGGGGCTAGGCTGAGATGCAGAATTTGATGCCTCTCATACATTGGTTTACCCCCTGAAAGCCGTTAAATGTAGAAATACGTTATCCTGCATGATTGGTCTAAGTTAAACGGCCCAATAACTAGACAGGACCGCGGCCTATTCGGTATAGGCAAGTAATCGAACTCGGGTGCCAATCCGGGAACGTGGGCTAAGGAGGCCGGGCTGCCCGTTGTCTGAGGACATACCACACAGGTCTAGGGCCGTGGTATGGCTATTTCTTAGCAGGACTGGCTGTCGCCAGTCTGGCCTGCTCACCAGCTGCAACAGCCGCCGCTGCGACTGCAGCGGAATTACTAGAGCCAGAACTGGCAACATTGCTGGCATGCGCCAACAAGAACTTGCAACAGGTCAAGGTGTACTTGCAAGCCCGGGTCCAGGTCTCGTCATTCTGGTTGAACCCGAGTTTGATACTGGCGTCGCCAATTTTATCCCGCTTGATCTCGTACGGGAGCTTCAGCCCTGGGACTGCAATGCCGGTGTGACCCCGGCGATTAGAGGAGGCCGGCGACGGCGTATTCTCCACAAACTCGCCCAGTTGACGTAGACATTCCAGAAATGCCACCATTCCTGCATCAAATCGGCGGTGAAGCCAAGGGATGTTGAGGGGCAGGTCGCCGGAGGAAAACAAGTCTAGGGCGGTGATTTTAGGCGCCGCTGATGGAGTTGCATTTCCACCGCCAACCGCAGACTGAGCTGGGGATGGCTGAGGATACTCAATCTTCTCGATCCGGGACACGGACCCCATGGGTTTGATTTGATACCCTTGAAACTTGAACCCCAATTTGTCGGCAATAGTCGCAAGCAGAAGGGCTGTCTGACCCCACGCAGCATTTATCTCAGGCCAGTCCACCGACGGGTTCGCCAGACGACCAAGCCGCAGGTTATTGATAGTCCCGAAGTAGCCATCATGACCGATACAAAACGCATCATTATAAACATTGGTCCTCTGTAGTCTTTCGAGCTGACGGGAATCGTGGTCGTATCTCATATTCAGGGCATCACGTTCGTTTTGAAATTCGTTAAGCGTCAGAGCAAACGCATTCCGATCGCGCCAGAAACTTTCCTCTTCCAAGTCCAGGCGCCTTGACTCCTCTTCTAATTCAGCAATCTCTTGGTCCAAGGTGGCTTTCTCCTGTTCCATTGCGACGAGTTCAGCAAAAGCGGCTTCCTCTGCTTCCTGGGTTTCCTTCAATGACTTTTCGGCAGCTTCCAGCTCTTCATCCGTCGGTACGGAGGAGTTGAGGTTCTTCAAAAAGGAGACGTAGGCGTCGCGCTCTTTTGTGGCGTTCACAAGTCGCTTCTGTAGCCCATCCACGAGCATCTCGGTACATTCCGTACAGATGGGGTGGTCGATATCGGAACGTGCCGATATAATCTCGAATAGTCTAGTCGTGCGTTCAACTTGATTTGCAAATGACCCATCCTCCACACCTCGCTCATTGTTCTGGGAATTGAAAGGCCGTTCACTTGTCGATGAGACGCCGTCGCCGTTCGCACTAGACAACGGATGTGGCGGCCCGACCTGAGACTCCGTGAGCATGACGAAGGACATGTTCCCGCTATCCCCTCGTCCCAACTTAGGAGGGTTGGTTTGGCTGCCAACCGTATGGCGAGGCGCCGGGATTGTTCTCCGATATATCGGCGAGGTAACGTTTTTAGAGGCTCGGTCATAGAGATCTCGTCTCTCTGGAGGATAAGAAGACCGGGACGACGTTTCCGGTAGTGTTCTACCTGTAGAGCCTAAGATATTCCAACCATTATCAGTGGACCTGGGAAATCACGCAGTATGCGATCCAAACAAGCCAGGACGGGGTTGTAGTTACCAGTAAGCAGGTCGAAAGCGGCTGGATTGAGCGACTCGAGAGAGCCGTCCAGCTTCAAAGGAGTCCGGCATTTCTGGCAGTACATGTTCGCAGGCAATCAGCAAATCCTTCCTATTCATTCTGGTGACAGAAAGGGGCTGTTGAGGCGGTTTAGCTGTGGCAGAGTGTTGGTTAAGGTGAGGATGGCGTTTGCCATCGCGGGAGAGACGTCATGCAGGACCCCGTGCTTCCGTCGCGTGTTTTGGTGTCCGCCTTCGGACGCTTAGTTCAATGGAGATAGACTTCACACTTCGCAGAACCAGGCGCCATTGTGGGCGGGAGTCTGACACGGTGCATTCCAGTCGCATTGATTTCTTGTCTCTGTTGCTCAATTCCTAGATCTTTAGCCTTAATGTCCTGCCGCGTCTGGTCTGACAATTCGTCCCTTGTGTGCTGCCATATCTCCCGTAAGTACCCTACACATTCTCTGAAACCAAATACCAACTCTCTTCTGGGATAGAATGATGCACCGACAATTTCTCGATTTTTTGATGACTACAAATCTCTACAAAAAAATCACTTAGCCCTGTTTCCCCTCTATTGCCCCGCGTCTACCCAATGGGCCCTTCCCTTACCCTCGACAGCGCCATGGAAAGGCCTCAGAAACGACCGCGTCTCTCCTTTGCAGCTCAGGAGGACCACGATGATGACAATATGGACCTACAGGAAGCTCGTGCTCAAAATGATTTACGTCTTAAATCGATCTTCGAAGGCATCTTTCAGAAATATGAGAAGGACTTTACGGAAGTGGGCGACGAGATCGATCTGAAGACCGGCAAGATAGTCATCAACAATGGACATATCCAAGGAATGGAGGGTGAACATGATACTGGCGAAAGGGAGGAAGTGGCTTGGCTATTTGACCCAGATTGGACCGCGGAGCCAGACGGAGAGGATCATGGAGCTACGATGAGACAGATTACGGACTACCTGGAGAATGAAAATGAGGATACCGTACCAGGACATAGCGAGACACAGTCACAGCGTTCACCAATTCTGATTTCATCCGAATTGCAGCCCGGTCTAGATGGGGCATTGCAGGAGACACAAGACGAAGCAATCAATGCCGATTTAGATGCCGATGACGACAGGTCTAGTGTGGATTCCTTGTTGGATACAGCACTGGATATCCAGAACAATTGGAACGACTCAGTGGAGTACAGAACCAGGATAGATACAAATAATCCTGCCACAGAAAGAGCAAATACTGTGGCTAAGGCATCCGTCCAATCCCCGAGTGTGCGTGCAGACGGTCTCCCAAAGCGAGTTGAGTCACTATGGCGCGTTCCTGATATTAAGGGGAATTTCTCTACGCCGACTTTGAATAGATCGCAGCCAAGGCTTGCTCTCAACAGCCCCCGACGATCTGAATCCCCACCCGGGGCGCGGTCTCTCTGGGCGTTGCCTTGGAAGTCCAGGAGAAGGACAGAGCCTTCGACTAAGAAAAGCACAAAGAAACATAAAGCCAGCAGCCAACGGGGACGGAAGCCTCATTCTAGCCCCGTTGTGTACGACTGGTCCTTTGCAGAAACTCCCGATGGAAACGAATCCGATGACCCGTTGCAGGAAGACTGTCGACCATCGCCGACCCCTAAAGCCCCCATAACGATTAGAGGGAAAACGTCGGGACGAAGCGCTCTGTTTCGTACCCAACGTCAATGTATCTACTGCATGCAGGTCTTTTCCCATAATGATTACGTTGCTCATCTTAAGTCTGTGCTTCAAACCAATTCCGCTGATGATCGACATGAAATTACTCTAGTGAGGAGACAACTCGATGCAATAACTAACGAAAAGGCCGCAATACCTCAGACAGACGTCTCAACACATGTTGAAACCCATGATATACCCTTTTTACATACAGACACTCCGGAGGTCAGCTCGAATGGGGATGCAGCGACGACGCAGGGATCGACACCTACAGGCAAGCGTATCCGGACAGTCATGACGCCAGACGAAGTAAGGACAATCGTAATTATGAGGCAAGTTGAGGGGAAGAAATGGAAAGAGGTATCGGACCATTTCCCACAAAAAAAGCTGGCGCAGCTTATCCAGTGGAATCAATTACACTGGAATGACCGTCGTGCCAATCCACCCCAGGCGTCCGGACCTTGGTCCCAAGGTGAGCGAGAGGCGCTAGAAAGTCTCAAAGACCAACGAGGATTGTCTTGGTCTACAATTCGGGCTGCATTGCCTGGCCGTTCACTTGCAGAGTTGGAATTCGAGCTATTACGCCTCTGGGTTGGCGACGATGTTTGGGAGGGGAAGGGAGCACTAGAATAATTTGTTAATACGCCGCTAGCGGACCAGCTTGCAAATAAAATCTGACCTCTCTCCACGACTGTAACATGTCTTTGTGCATATATCTTCCGAGATCCCCACCCAGCATACCACAGGGCTTGCCGAGTCTTACAGATGTGTATGGAACCCGACTCTTCAACGTCAGTACACAGAATACTCGGGTCGAAGTAGGCAACCCGGCATCCACCTGTAGCACAGATGGAGCATGCAGGCAGGATGCAGCATAGCGTCGATTCCGTATCTACGCGCAAATCCAATGAACTAGATCCTCATAGGTCGTCTTTCGCATCCAAAACATCCTCGAGCTTTGTGTCTACTGCACCGCCGACATTTCCAGCCCTGGCCCAAAATCTTGACAAATGTCTGGAGCCCGAGTCGGATAAGACGGTCACAATTCTATGGCCAGGACCGAGCTTCATCGCTGTCTTGACTGCTGCAAAGCCTGGGTTAGGGTTAATTTGACGCCGCTCAACCAAGTGAGTCGGGGGAGCACTCACAGTTTACCGCACTACTACTTCCGAGGAAGAGACCGTCCTTTTCTACAAGCCACCTTGCCATTGCCAATGCCTGCGCGTCCGTTACTCTCACAGCATCGTCAACTAGCTCTTTGCCTATTTCGAAATTGGCGGTCACGCGGTTAATCCCGATACCTTCTACAATTGTGTCAACTTGTCTCCGTCTCCTTGTGCCCTCCCTCTCTTTATTGTCGAACATAACACCATAACGGACTCTATTGTAGAGACCGCTCCCTTGCGGGTCGGCCAGAACCACGCTCAAGTTTGGGATTTTCGGCTTGAGGAATAGTGCCACGCCGGAGATGGTGCCCCCGGTTCCAGCCCCGGCAATAAAAGCGTCCAGCTTACCATTACACTGGGCGTAGATCTCAGGGCCGGTGCCTTGAAAATGGGCCCTCCAGTTAGCCTCATTCTCAAACTGATCTGCAAAATATCCCCTCCCGCGACTGACACCCGAAACTTCAGATGATGCAGGCACTGAAGACTCCGAATCGGACGTATTGGCGGAGGACGTGGTGTGAGCATGAGCGAGGGCGCGAGCCCGATTCACGAAGTTATCCTTCTCCACAATCGGAGCAGGTGGAACACGGTCCACAATCGCGCCCAGTTTTAGAAGCAGATCCGATTTCTCGATGGCTTGGTCGGATGGCATACAGCTAGTGATCTGTGTCAATCGAGGAACTTCCAGAGAGTGCAGAAGGAAATATAGATATACATGTGAGCGAGGTAACCTTTGGCGCGCGCCAGCGACGCCAACGAGATCCCTGTTGAGCCTGAAGTACCCTCGTATATTGTATCTCCCGAGCCGGGGGTTAAGATACCGTGTTCCTCTGCCTGTAGAAATAATTAGTATGCCTCGAAATAGGCCCCGGTAGGAAGAACGGACAATTTGCATCATGCTCAATGCAACCCGATCTTTTGAGCTTTGGCCTGCACCATTCAAGAACTACGTGCCATAGTCAGCAAGATACTAAAAGCATGAAATTGAAAGCATCGTTAAAATCAAGGGGAAAATGGTCACCTCGGCCTTCCCCAGGATCTCGCACCCGGTTGCCTCCGACAAGGACTTGATCCGGAACAGAGGGGTGTTCCCTATACAACCCTCAATGCCTTCCACAATCGCAGGAGGGCCAGATCTAGCTGCTATAGCGTCCTCTTCTATAAGGTCTCGAAGGGTAATCGTAGATTCAGAACGACGCCGAGCGCGATAACCTCGGAGCTTCTCCAACGCGGGGGATAAGTTTCTGACCCCCAGTGTGAGCAGAATTCCAGCCACAAAGGCCGACAAGATATAGACACGAGAGCGGTCACTCATTCTGGAGAAAGGGAGGACGAGAGGCAAACACGTGGTCGAGGATGCTGTTGGAGATTCTGCTCGTCAAAGAAAAGTGACAGTCGGAGAAAAGCTCGGACCATCAGGCCTCCGCGAATCTTCCGAGCTCTTTCATCTCATCTCTCTGTCTCCCTCTCCCTACCCCCACTGCCTCCAATTCCCTCCTTCATGGACTCGGCAGTCCTCAGTCGGCTGTTCCGACAGCTGTTTCAGCGTCCAGCCTGTCAACCACTCCGTTCCTCGTCAGTCCTCTCTGCGCGCAGGCCTGGCTGTGTGCGTCTCTCGACCCCGACCTGTCAACAGCATCGATCTTTCCTCACACGACGGCCGACCAAGCGAAAGATCGATGATGAAAATGTTTTGTATTGGACTAGAAGAGGGGATTATCCCGCAGACCTTAAGAACATGATGTCATATCCCCTTGTGACGGCCAAGGACCTGCGATATAACCGCGAACGACCGCGGCGGATACGGATGTTGACTAGAGAATTCATTGACGGTAGGAATCTCGGGAGTGGCATTGTCAATCTGTAACTGTTTTTAACGGTTCTTTCTTCCCTGTGCTATAGACAGTCTATATAATCCACATTACGGTTACTTCACAAAACATGCGACCATCTTCAGTCCCGGAGAACCGTTTCAGTTCAACGAAATCAGCGACGGGCCGACTTTTCACCGGATGTTAGAAGAACAATATACGGCATTCGAGGATCGTCTGGATGAAAAGCAGCCGGATATCGCTCGTCAATTATGGCATACGCCTACCGAGCTCTTTCGCCCCTACTATGGAGAGACCCTTGCTCGATACTTGGTATCGAATTACAAGCTGACGCTGTACCCCTACCATGACCTGATAATTTACGAAATGGGAGCTGGAAATGGTACGCTGATGATTAACATGCTGGACTTTATCCGTGACACAGACTACGAGGTCTATCAACGAACGAAGTTCAGAATTATCGAGATCTCCTCGTCCCTGGCAAATCTCCAGTACAAAAACCTGCAGGAATCGCTCAATGCTGCGGGCCATCTGGACCATGTGGAGATCATCAACCGATCGATCTTTGATTGGGATACGTACGTGCACTCGCCATGTTTCTTCCTTGCGATGGAAGTGTTCGATAATTTCGCACATGACACCATCCGCTATGATATCGACACGGAGCTACCTCAGCAGGGCGCCGTAGTGATTAGCGAGGATGGTGAATTCCACGAATACTACAACACGCAAATTGACCCTGTGGCAGCTCGATTCCTGCGGGTCAGGCAGGCTGCCGCGCGACGAGAGTTTCCCACCCCCCTGGGATCCAAGTTCATGCGACAACTGCGCCGACTATCGCCAGAACAATCTCCCGACACCGATCCCGAGTATATCCCTACTCGACTCATGCAATTCTTCGATATCTTAAATAGCTATTTCCCGGGGCACCGATTGGTGGCCAGTGACTTCAGCTCTCTTCCCAATGCGGTTGCTGGCTTGAACGGACCGGTGGTACAGACCCGTTACATGAGACACACCGTTCCAGTGTCTACCCCATTTGTAAGCCCCTCTTGCTCTTCTTCTAGCGTGGGCAAGATGAGATCTCGCTAACAAATATACGGCTAGGTCCAACAAGGCTACTTTGACATCTTCTTTCCCACGGATTTCAACGTTGTCGAGGACCTCTACCGGGCTATTACCGGCAAACTGACACAGGTCACAAGCCACGAAGACTTCATGCGACGTTGGGCCTATATCGAGGACACCGAGACGAGGAACGGTGAGAATCCATTATTGAGCTGGTATAAGAATGCCAGCGTGATGATAACAGTATAATTTGGACTCCATTTGTATATAAATATTAATCGAGATACAAAATGGGCAGAACATACGGAAGCACGATACCAATGGACTAGCAAACCCAAATAGTATACAGTAGTATATAAAATGATCAGCAAATTTCAACGAGGTCTGCCCTAGCACCGCCTCACGCGACTGACACAAGATCAATGATACTCTGAGGGACATTTTTGGCTGGGCAATAGGATGGACAGTTGCAGCCTGAGGCCATAAAGCTGTCCAGGCACGTGCTCCTAACTAGTTAACTTATATGGCTGACTAAGTACATTATATCTTAACTAACCTGCTAGCGTCCTTGCCAAAGCTGTAGCTCCTGATCTTAATTTGTTCAAGCTTTATCTTCGAGAGCTACCCTTGAGCCTCGTATTCTCCCGTGCAAGTCGAGCCCTATATGTGTGCCGGCAGACTCAAGGCAAAAGCGACGACGCTCGCTAAAATGCATATAAATCGCCCTTCGTGAGTACTACTCAAGCGCGATAGTTAGCTACCATGGCATCTCAAGATGCTCTGCGAGATGCTCTGCAGGCGTTCAACGATGCATCGGGCATCCAGACGTGTGTCCCAGCAACGGCAACCGAGGTCTTCAAGATCACCGAAGAGGCCAACACCAAGCTCCAGGGTTCATCTCCCAACCCAGTCAAGTTCTCCAAAAAGCTATATTCTTGCCTGGAGTCAATCAGCCGCTTCACTTCCATTTGCGATAATTTTATCCAGTCCGACCCGACAATTACTTCTCTGATTTGGGGGTGTCTGAAATTCCTGCTGCAAGTAAGGCTTCCCCGTAGCTGCTGTGGGCTTCAGCCAAACTAAACGACTCTCTTCAGGGCGCCATACAGTTCACGAACTACCTGGAAAAGCTTGGAGATATGTTCCAGGAGTTTGGCCCATTCTTCCCAGTAGTTTCTGGTTATGAATCTGTTTTTGAAACCTCAGATATCGTGCGCGGCGCAGTCATATTCCTCTATGCGGACATCGTCCGGTTCTGCGCTCGAGCAGTAGAGGTTTTGAAGAATAATCGTACGTTGACAAAGTGGACGAGAAACCTTGCTAATCATGTACATAGCTCGAACACTTATCCTCAGTACGCTTTTCAAGCCCTTTGAGCGTGACTACTTACAGATCCTAAGTAGCTATCGCGCCCATCGCGATGAGCTCCTGGCAGCCGCCTTTCTGGCCGTGCAGCAAAATGCAAAACAGGAGAGATCGCTTGCCGATGCTGCCAGAGTCGCCGCAGAAAAGGACCGACAGGCAGCTCGGAAGGAGCGCAAAGCAGCAGAGAAGGAGCGCGAGAAGGCGGAGAGAGCCAAGGAGGAACTACGAATAGAAATAGAACGACACGAAAAGGAAAGACTCGAAGCGTCAAGTGAGCGAGTCGCTGCCAACGAAGCGACGGACAGCGAGGACAAGCTCCGCTCGAGAAAGCGTCCCCGTTATGATGGGTTCGCATCATTACAATCAAGCCAATCCAACTCCAGCATGACGGATCCTGCTCCTGAATGTTCGGTCTCCCCGATAGGGATCGCACAACGCGAAGTCCCCCCTCTGCATTTACCAAGGGACTTTTCCACTCCACTTTCATCCTCAGGGAGAGCTCCCATTCCAGTCCCTTCTTCCTTGGAAACAATCTCCGACGTAGTACCCTCTCCCAACGAACCTCTCCAAATCCCCAGGGCCTCACCAGAAGCAGAAAAGACCAGACGGAATGAAATCCTCCGAGCTTGGAACTTTCTAAACAACACTCGCTCTAAGCAGGGAGTGTTTTATCACCTGGGACCTCCCCCATCGTGGCCAGTAGAGTCTGGCGGCGGATTACAAGAATCGAGCTCGAATATGAAAGATCCGGTACTGGAAAAATACACCGATCAGGACATGAAAACAGACAATCACGCATCCACAACCATCCACAATGGAAACGGACATACCTCCCAGGAAACAGGAACTCAAAACAACCCATCTAGCACCATGGAGTTTGATAATGATGCTACCGACGCTGGTATCTTCGGTGAAAGCCAGAACAGCGATACTCTTTCCGTAGCCTCGTCGGAATTTGCTTCCCAGGAGCAGGGCATAGAGGGTACCACAGGGCCGGCATCATCCGGACCAGACAACAATGGAAACACCGCGTGTCCACAGGGACAGGACCCTGTCGCTCACCCCTCACTAAATCAGTCCAGTTCATCGCGGAACCGGAAAGCGGCGTATATCGCAGCTCGGGCAGATAGCTATGACGCGTGGGCGTCGATGTCGCTGGTATCAGCTGGAAATAATCATACCGAGGAAGAGATTGAGCTTTAATTCTTTGAATGAATTTTAACGACAGCTTATGAATATTCAGATACTTGGGCGATTTAATTGAATTTTTAGTTCTCATAATCTAATATTCTAATACCATACTACACTCCGTGATCTAAGAAATGGAGATAGTATCAACATGACAGCAAGCTGTACTTAAGACATAGATATGATGCAGCTCTAAACACGGTAAACACAACCACGAACAAAAGACGAAACTAGATAAATAAAGTTAGAACAATGGGAATCGTAGCCTCATAGACCGCATACAAACCTTAGAAACCATTGCGATTTTCCCCCCAAGGGTGAGAAGTGTGTAGAGACAATCAAATCAACACCGAAACAAAAAGAAATCCTGATCGACACAAGGATGACATGCAACTGCGACATGTGTACTCCGTAAGACGGGCCGTAACCAGTATGTACCTAAGGATTATCGATCAGGGTGCAGATCATTGTGAGAGAGAATCGGTGGTTAAGTATAGGACTACTATAGTACTTTCTGTCTCACGAAATTTTTCTGTGGGTAATAATATCATGGGATACTAATCATGTATAGAAAGATAAAAAAGTAACTCGACGGCCATAGGTAGATTTTACCCACACCGAGTTGTAAATTATAGAAAAGTGGTGTCCCAGTTTAGTTGTTTTCATATGTAGCAGTTAGGATACAATTAGGATACAATTATATATATATATATTACTGAACTTCCAGGATATATCTAATCATTACATTCATTGACCATCATTCATCGATGTATAGATGCAAATTCCGCTAAAGGTCCAATCCCAGATCAAGATTCCAAAGACAGAATGGAATCCCATGAACCCGACAAAAACGCAAAGGTGGACTTTCCATCCATCCATACATGCATAAAAACGCTGAAAAGTCTCGTGGTATATTATATCTGAAACGCCATCAGCTCGAAGTTAATAGACAAAAAAGTCCTGGGTAAGAGGCAAGTTTTCCGCCGGACGGGCTTCGCAGAGCATGCCATCTGCTTCGACGACGTAGCTTTCAGGGTCGACTCGCATCTTCGGCATCACGTCGTTATGTTTCATATCGGATTTTGTAACAGTTCGGCAGTTCTTGACTGCTTCAATACGCTTCTTAATGCCGTAGCTCTGGACGGTACCGGAGTCGATGGAAGCCTGGGAGACCCACATGACGGAGAGGCTGGGGACAAAGGACTGGATAGAATATTAGGTTTTGTTCTGCACGAGAATGTGAGGAAAGAAGTGCTTACTCCGAATTGTGGCCGCATTATAATCGGCTCAATAGTGGGGATAGAACCGTTAGGGTCACCCTATAGAGGATAATCGTTAACTATTGATATTGTGTCGAGGGCGTGGCTGCTTACCATTTGAGACGCCACAATCATTCCACTCTTCATAATAAGGGACGGTTTGGTCCCAAAATAGTTAGGTTGCCAGATAACTAGGTCAGCAAGTTTGCCAACCTCCACACTACCAGTCAAGTGGGACATGCCCTGGGCAATAGCCGGGTTAATAGTATATTTGCTGATATACCTCTTAACTCGGAAATTATCAGCGCCAGTGCCTTCATCCTCCTTCAACGGGCCCCGCTGCTCCTTATTCTTATGGGCTGTGTTCCAAGTTCGCAAGATAACCTCGCCGCAGCGGCCCATGGCCTGAGAGTCTGATGACATCATACTAATAGCTCCAATATCGTGGAGAACATCTTCAGCGGCAATTGTTTCAGCGCGGATACGGCTCTCAGCAAACGCGACGTCCTCGGCGATGTTTTTGGATAAGTGATGGCACACCATCAACATATCCAAGTGTTCATCCAGCGTGTTCATAGTGAAGGGGCGAGTCGGGTTGGTACTGCTAGGGAGAACGTTGGGATGCTCCACCACAGAAATGATATCAGGCGCATGGCCACCACCAGCTCCTTCCGTATGGTAGGTATGAATTGTGCGATTCTTAAAAGCCTTAATCGTCTGCTCCACGAAGCCGGACTCGTTCAAGGTGTCAGTATGAATCATACACTGCACATCATATTGTTCGCAAATATCGAGGCAAGTGTCGATGGCAGCAGGTGTTGATCCCCAATCCTCGTGTAATTTCAATCCAGCTGCACCTGCAATAATCTGCTCCTCGATGCTCCGACCCCCGCTGTCATTCCCCTTACCAGTTATGCCGACGTTGAGTGGGATGCCGTCACAAGCCTGGATCATCTGCCGCATGTGAGTGGCACCCGGGGTGCAGGTGGTGGCGTTGGAGCCAGTAGAAGGGCCTGTTCCACCTCCCAGGAAAGTCGTAACCCCTGATGCGATCGCCTCGTCCGCCTGTTGGGGGCAGATGAAGTGGATATGCGTGTCAAAGCCTCCGGAGGTCACAATTTTATTCTCACCAGCCACCACGTCGGTTGAGGAGCCTACAATCATGGCAGGATGGACCCCAGTCATAACGTCTGGGTTTCCAGCTTTGCCAATGCCAGTAATTATGCCATTCTTGATACCAATGTCCGCCTTGTAGATACCGGACCAATCGATGATCAATGCATTGGTGATAACCGTGTCCAAGCAGTCCTCGGAGGACTTTTCGGAGGACTGCCCCATGCCTTCACGGAGGCTCTTGCCCCCACCAAAGCTGCACTCATCACCATACGATGCAAAATCCTTTTCGACCTTGACCCAGAGGTTTGTCAAGCCCAGGCGGACCAAATCTCCGGTCGTAGGCCCAAACATACGCGCATAGGCCTCTCGGTCCATCGTGTACGGACTAACAAGAGCCGTGTCGGCAGTCGGGTCGGGAATATGAGCGAATCCCTCGGCTTGTAAGCGAAGCATGATCTCCTCCGCTCGACTGAAGTCAAGTTTACCTGAGGCAAGGAAATTGCCTCCTTTGATGATCTGATTACCAGCGATTTCTACGAGAGTAACGGTCTTAGTATCGCCGGGCTCGAAACGAACCGACGTTCCAGCGGGAATATCAAGACGATAGCCATATGCGCGGAGCCGATCAAAGTGCAGCTGCGGGTTCACCTCGATAAAATGGTAGTGCGAGCCAACCTGTGATCTCAATCAGTCAGATCAAGTCTATTGCTTCCATATGTAACGGAGTCAATTTACCTGAATTGGCCGGTCTCCCCTACTCATCACCTTGAGCTTGATGCGTTTCCTTCCTTCATTCAAGATGATCCGTTCGTTCTTCACGGGTATAACGGCACCCGGTATCTTCTCCAGCTCGTAATCATCCGGGTTCGGGTCGGGGAACGCATCGGCAGGAGGAATGGGGAGAAAGCTACCGTAGAGCGCCCTTTCCAGATCGCCATCATCGCTACTGATGGGATGGTGCACCGTTACCAGATAAGTGCCGGTGGGGAACGTTCCCTCGACCTGCAGTTCCACGAGGGTAGATGTCACGGATGGGAGAACATGCCGGCGCCCGAGCATGGTTTTGCCGATGGACATGAGATCGGCGACGGAATAGTGGCCATCGCGGATCAGCTAAGTAGTGGGCGGGTCAGTTGGCAACTCGCTGGGGCCGCTAATGTCGGCGTAGCAGGGGAACCGTTTTAACTACCTCTTGCAGATTCGACGAGATGAGGGCCACCGCTTCTGCATGGTTGAGTCGCACACCACGTGCTAGACGCCGTTGGGCCAGAAACCCCAGCTGCGAGATGGCGAGCTTGTCAAGCTAGATAGTGTGGATTGGCATGTTAGAGTGGGATAAACCAATCGATCGTGCCACACTGGAGCGCATCCTTGTTGTTACGTACTTCCTTGGGGATGAGGTGCATCGTGACAATGGTAACAATTACAGTGGTCAGATGATGCAAGCCCCAATCTTTTCTCTTGGCCTGCGAATCAGGGAGCAGTCGGTGGGCGATCGCAAGGCCACTAGGCCAATCAAGGGATGTGGCAATATCGCGAGGAGAGAGAGTATACTTAGTATAAAGAGTATACAAGAAGGAAGACCAAGCCCAAGGGGTTTCCGGGATCGGGATGAAAGACAGCGAGCCAAGGGCGGGACGGATCGGTTTCTCGAAGGGCTGAAGACGATTTTAAAAGAAAGCATGCGCGAAGGCCGGATATCGGCGGAGTTACATCGGACACCTGCCAGACGGCCGAGATACGCTGATAACGGCCGCGGCCTATCCTGGTTGGCCGCACTTCGACACTTGACTAACAGCTAGCTTTAAGCTGCCGCCATAGGCGAATAGCACAATTCTTCGGCTCGTTCAGCAGTTACCGGTTTGGACTAGATGTAGGCATTCATTCTGGTTGAGCCAGCATGATCCCTGCAGTTTCTTTAGCAAAACAAGGAGCTCTTACTTATGACTCATGATAGCCAATTAGATAGAAAGTACTCCGTGCTACGCAGTACTCTGTAGAGATTGAGGCACTTCTCTTGCCGGATGGCAATAACAACTTCTAATACATAATAGGAGGAGGCATTACTGCTTAATAACACGGTCGCCCGAATGGTCTAGTGGTATGATTCTTGCTTTGGGCCTTAAATCCAAATTGCAAGAGGCCCCGCGTTCGATCCGCGGTTCGGGCCACTCTTTTTTGTGCTCCATATATCTGTTTTACTCTTTTCATTACTGACTGTCCTTGAATCTATGAATCATTGATCTGGACCTCTGCTATATTCGATGGGGAAAAAAATTCACTAAATAAATATGTTTGGTGCCCAGTAACTCAAGATAGATTCTTCGTAAAAAGTAGCAGGCAAATAAATGCCTTAACTTACTATCTATCTAATGACTAATAAACATACACAAAGAGGGAATCACTAGAGGGGAGGGAGAGGAGAAAGCACAAGCCTCTCATGTGTTAGAAAATTATTAATATGGCATGGCTTATGGAACAATAGATGGAAAGGAAGTTTTATCATTGCCCGAATGGTCTAGTGGTATGATTCTTGCTTTGGGCCTTAAATCCAAATTGCAAGAGGCCCCGCGTTCGATCCGCGGTTCGGGCCTTTTTTTGGTTTCTTGTTGCTATCAGTATGTAGTAGTATACTGCAACAAATATTGCATAACAAGGATATATAAGAAAGTTAAGCACTGGAATCCCCAGGACCATAACGTGTTCAGTGTAGAATATTCATATTGCAATAGCTGCGTCCCGGACTATATATACAGTCCAAAACACTGGGATAGAGCAGTTAACGTATTCGGGACAAGATATCTTGCAATGGGGAGAATCTGGGCATTGCTGTAGAAGCTTTAGTATAAGCAAGCTAAATTCTAACTATACATTAAATTCTTCTAGTTATAATACTCAAAGTTTCAGCCAATCGAAGTTCTTATCCTTTAACAAGCTGAGCTACCTAGCCAGGCGCCTGGGTAAGTATTTTAATCAGGCACCTGACATATGTGAGATAGCTTTTGGACTTTTAATAGGGCATGACTAGCTGTATAACTTAATATAAAAAGAGGTAAATGGCTCTATAGCTATTCCATCAAGTTATAGACCTCGTTAATTTAGCCAACAAAGAAGATGAGCCTTGGAGACATAATACGAAAGTTCCTTGATAAGCTTATACTTATGATACTCTGTACAGGTAGATATCTTTTTCTTCATCGTTTCCTGGTTCAGTAATTGGATCATTTAATTTAATGGCATCAGTTCTTATGCTAGATTAATCAGGCGTCCATAGCATGATACATCCATCCAACTTTCAGCACCATCCAAGAACTACCAGCTACCGGATTCACTATCCTCTCTAATGTAAACTACGAAAAGAGGATGCCCGACCATTACAGCTGATTTTGTTTCCAGTGAGTGGAGAATATTAACAAGAGAAATTCGGATTGTCGTGCAACATGGCTGAGAAGATTCAGATTGAAACAGTCTTGGGTCGCGCCGAGGTTGAAAAAGTTCATCTTAGAGGTATTCCCTCAGCTGGGGCGCTAGATGTACTGTGTAAGTGATGTTTAGTTATAAGTAGAGAGCTTAATTAGGCTCAGAAGACGGCGGACATACCTGTTACTGATAGTGTAACCAGTTAGACGAGACAGCGTACAACGCCGGTTTATATGTGTGCACTGCAGAATTAAATATCCATCATGCAGAATGGATGATTGGTCTTAACTTCCAAAGAATGCATCGACACATCAGTGGCATAGAAAATTTACTGGTGGATGGCATGGTGAGGAAGATTTCAGTACTGTTGTACAACTATCAAGTGTCGATCTATTACCTAGGGCTAGTTATATACATTAATGCTGCTAGTCTATATTTAGGGTATCGTATCTTATATATTGTTATGACCTACGAACAGAGATGGAAATGAAACCAAATCAACTCTATTCGGTGCCTACAACGAGAATACTAAGCATGGAGAGGAAAGGAAAGGGATCGAGATAAGCAACGGTGTAGATGTCCCCATATACTATACTAGCACGCTCCATCGCTCCCCCACAACCAAACACATTAAATAGAACAAACAACGAACCACGCAAACCGATATCTCAAACCGACAATGCAAAGCGGCCTTGCAAACATGCCTCGCACCGGTCGTCATATAGATTGACATAGAATCTATATAACAATTTGCTAAATGTTGTACCTGAAAACTCGGAATTAATTTATATATTTCTAAACTGACTCCAACATGTCAATTAGAATGTTATAAATCTAACCTGGCAGCTATATATCTAAAGTCTCGAGGGAAAGACAAATTATATCAAGAACTATTTTTTGATATGATAACCCGCCCAAATAATAGAAAGCACGGAGTATGGACAATGAAGTATTTGAAGTAGCATGTAGAGAATTGCCCAAAAGTCTCATGTTGATATCTGTTATAGCCAAGCTCAGGATCTTAACTATTCCACTGGACCAAAACACCACTATATCTGATTGGGTATCAGATATTCCTGAGCACCTTATATAGTAGCGCACTGTAATGTTAGGTGACGCACTCACACCTAGCAATATCCCTGCCTTCAAGCCAACCCAATGTAACTAACATCTATAAGTATATAATAGAATTAAACTTCTAGTGATCTACAGTACTATATAACAAAATCTTCCTAACCAAGAGCTAGAATCACCAACTATAATAGTTATGTAACTCTTCTACTTAATTGCTATCGCTAAACCATGGTCTCTATCTATATAAATAACCAGTTATTCACCTATCTCTAAAGTTGTCTTACGCCTCTCGCTATTATTATTAAGCAAGGCATTAATCCCTGTGAGTCTCAAGTGTAAAATCTATAGTTAAATGTGTACTTCGTATCAGTTACCTAAGAGATAGAGTTATCATAGCAGTCGTACTATATGTTAAGTATAGGAAGAGGAATCAGATGAACTCCTCAGATAATTTTCTTCTACGATGATTTTAATCCCGAAGAGAAAAAGATCAACTAGATAGCTAGGTATACCTGAGAACATACATCTATTAGCCATGCCCAGAAAACAAGTTTTTGCGAATACCTCTCAATTGATACGCATCATATATGCTAAATACTAAACCCAACCCCCGGCGCTCTTTAGATTAGGAGAGCTAGCTAAGTGCTCTCTTGATCATGCTTAATTCTAGCATAGTAGCAAGGAAGAAGACAGACGATAAATGAGAAAGGTGCATAGTAAATCTGAACACATAATTTGAACAACCTGGAAAGTGTGGTATATTATTATCCTGGATTAGCCCGCCATATACCTATAGAGACACCATGTCTAGTATCTTAGGAATTCAACAATATTCTTAAAGAATAGCCGAAATAACACAAAACTACGTTTACGTTTCCACGTATGGCTCACAATGTATATGTACTGTATGATAAAGAACCATGGTAATATATAGAATAGGTACCAGAAAAGTTAACCTACACCATTATTTCTGCTGCCACGACTGCCAATGCGCAAAGGTTATTGCTACTAGTATGTAGGTACTACACTGGTAAGCACCCGTTGCGGGCCTGGAGCCGACAGAACCTTAACCACTAACCCCTCACCGCTAGGACTTCGGGGTCTGTTAGCAGCATTAGATAGTGATCTTGCGCTGACAGTGGACCTACTTAGACCCATCCCCGTGGTAGGACAAAAAAGAGCAATACACGGCTTTTCCTATTCAAAAATATCAAATAACAATAAAACAACCCATCCAACAACCCCAAGGACACTCCCATGACATTCCAGAGCCCAGAAAAGGCAAAGACATCATTACAACTGCTAACGCCCTAAAAAGAAAGCTCTCGGTAATACGCATGTTCAAATTGTCAAATATACAGCACCCGAGAACCTATACAAACACACATTGTCGCCATGAAACTAGTACAGGAGCTTCAACATTCAATCGTCGGCATTCGCCTCGCTCTTGCGCTTTTTCTTGCTGCGCTTATCACCGCCAACCGCCTTGCGAGTGGAGGTGGGCTCCTCCTTATCCGCTGCCTTCCGCGCAGAGACGCGTTTCTTCTTCTCGGGCGACTCTTTCTTCTCAGCGATAGGGGTGGAGACCTCCTTGGACTTGGCCTCGCTGCGGCGACGCTTGACACTGCGCGGTGGAGTAGGCTCTCTGACCGGTTCGGGAGAAGACTCTTCTTCCTCCTCCTCTTCCTGTTCCTGCTCCTGTTCTCCGTTTTCGTTCTCCTCCTCGGACTCCTCTGCGCCAGAGGCAGAAATACCTTCTACGTCTTGCTGCAATTGGTTGGCCGCTCTGGTGTTGTCATCATCAGTGAAAGGAAGGCCAGCCTTGTAGGCTTTCATTTTTTCCTTGTAAACGGCGAGATTGTCCGCATAGAGCTTCTTCCAGACCTGTTTTGTTTTCGGTTTAGTCGCCGTCGCGCTATTGCGCAAAGTAGACAGAACTGATGCTCACCTCTTTGTTCGCCTCCGGCATCTCGGCCCAGCGGCGGGTTCCCTCGTCGGAGACTTCTTTGGGTTTGGCAGTAGGACCCATCTCCTCAGCGATCTTTCTGCGGTTATGCTGCATAAAGAGGAAAAACGGGGTCAGGGCGCGCTTGGGGGCATTGGGGTCAGGAGGAGCGCGCTTGCGCTTCTTCTTGCCGTCGCCCGCTTCGGACTTCGTGCCGGGGCTGGTGGGGCGGTGGCCCAGCAGGCCACTTTCCCACAGAGAGTTGGTGATGCCACTGGTGATAGATGCAAAATCAACAGTGGCGGGTCCACGGTTCAGGACGGTGTTGGCATGGTTGATGTAGGCTTTCGACAAATCAGACACAGCTGACTGGAGTTGCGCAATGCTGACGATTACCTGAGAATATGTTAATTGAGCTTGATCGGCAGGAAACGCAGCGACTGCGCGGACGCCGGAAGTGGCGGCATTGACTGAGCTAGTGGCACGGGCAATCGAAGCGACCAGGTCATGAGCGTGCATGGATGGATCTGGTTGGCTATGAGAGGGGGTGCGACGGGCCATGGAGAGGGTATAGAGATGAAGCAAAACAATATTGCAAGATTTAAAATGGAAAAAAGAAAAGAGAGGAATATTCTATCCAAAGGAGAACAGATGGGAAAATATTGGGGTTGTAAGGATGTAAGTATGATGGGTCGAATAGGGGGTACAGATAGTAAGCAATAGGGGCAAGAGAGTTAAGAAGCAACGGCTGGGCGGGGGAGGTTTTGTTTACGGACGCGTGCGAATGTTGTCAGGAGGCTGGCAGCGTTGCCGAACACCAAAATTGGGGGGCGCCCGAGAGCGCCAACGGACCATCAACAAGGGGGGTACTTACACTATCGCGAGTTCTTGTGAATTCATCGACATTGACAGTAATCACGGCCTCTTTGGCCTTTGAATCTTCTTTATGCGACATGATGTAGAAAGTCGTAGCGGCGAAAGATGACAGTACTTATATTTGATGAAGAGAGAGAGAGAGAGAGAGAAAGAGAAGAGGAAGGATCAAGAGTGTGGCAGAGAGAAAGAATTTTCGCCAGCGGGGTCATATTAGGAGGGGGGGTCCCCTACTAAATAGAGCGGGCTCGGCGGGTGCTGGGGGACCTGTTGAGTCGCTGTTTTGGGCTTAGGACCCGGGTTAGTGTGCTTCAGCCTGCCGTCCCTAAACTGCAGCGTTCTTCACGCTGCCTTGCCCCCCTTTTGCCCACAGTCGCACTGCAGCCCTGGCGCGTACCCGGTTCCTCCAGGTGACCTCACCTACTACATCTGTTGCCCCGTCCCACCACGAGCCGCCTTGACAGCCGCTGCCTCTCAGCTCTTGAAGATTGAAATAGCGAATGAACGTTTCTAGAATCGGAATCCATTTACGAATTATCTAACATGTACGGAGTACTTCTTTAGGTCTACAGTTATAGCCGGGCGCTTTATTCAGTAATTTAACGCCTGCTATGTGCGAAGGACCTTTTTGTCCAGGTATGATCGCTTATTGACGTACTTGGTGCTGTCGCAGGGTCTACTCTCCACGCTGGCCCGTAGCAAAAAGACTGACTCAAAAATAGACTCTCTAAATCCATACCCAATAGTAGTGCCTCGTATTCTTCGGATTTTACTGCAATTTTTAGTTAAATATCATATCATCAAGCTGCGCCAAAAGTAATAGGGAAGGCGCCTAAAGCTTAGGAGAAGGTTAGAAACTAGTACAACACCTATGACAAGTCTATAGTTCGTGTCTAAGTGCCATGCACTGCACACGTGCTCTCTCTACCCTACATAGTTAATATAACAGCTTTGGAAAATATGTAAACCCATGCTCTTCTCTGGCCAAGTCTAGGTACTAGACTAGCCAAAAAAACTTGATGGTAACTGGGAGACTCGATCACGCGGGCACCACGCAAGCCTACTCCTACCTAACTTCCAACAGGCTTGCGGGCCAGGGCCAAGCCATAAAACGACTCGACCAAAACCATACGGGGCGGGTCCGCGGGATACAATGTCAATCCTCGATAGGCAGGAACCGTCATTGTACCCAAGGTTAAGCCCTCCGACATAGCGGAGTACTAATTGCATGATGTTATTAAGGCTGGAGAGCCAGGACCACCACTACCATTATTCAAACCCCACCAACTAACCAACAACTTTCAAGGACGCACAACGTGCATCGAACATCGAACACCATCTTTACGTATGGTTCGGCCGCCAAATCGACAAAAGCTGGCTATGTACATTTCCACCTACATCATCCAGCGATGATCGTGGCCACACAGGTGACATCATTTCATATATTCTAAAACCGTTGCCCAACGGTACGCGCCGACAATTATCATCACATGCATATATAATATATTACTTTGGAAAAAAATTTCACTTCTCTATATGCTGCAGTCCTTCTTTCCCCTACTGCGCAAACAGACCTCCCTCACCAGCCGACGCTCCCTCCCAGGGTTAGCGAAAAGATGTCAACAAAAGTATACATCCTCGTCTATGAGGGTTCGCCCCTTGACTATGCCGAATATCGCCATACGGCACTGCATTTTATGTTTCCCAGGGGCTTAACGACCACCTTGCATGTGGTCGGCACGCAGGGGCTGTTTCAGTTCGAAGAGGATATCGATCAAGACCCCCATGAAGGAGGGAAACTGGTTCACACGATCGCCGTCGGGGAGCTCATTAGTTCGATCAATGCGGCCGCGTTGAAGAAGGTGGTTTCGGCAACGCCTATCAAGAACGGGCGTGATGACCTAGAGTGGAATTGCCAGAATTGGGTGGGCGATGCGTTGGCTGGACTAGTGGAGAGGGGCTACTTAAGTGAGCCGCAACGAGCAACGGCTATTGACAAGATGTTGGATGCTTGTCTGGAGGCGAAAGACGAATGAATACTTTATTTGATTTCTTTGTATTCTATGCTTTAAAGCAATTACATATAATGAATCAGAATATACCATTCGGCCAAAAATCTCATGGGTTCTAGGTGGGCTCCAACTTTGCATTTTTATGTGTATCACGTACATCTCTGACAACATACATTGTCATAAGGATACTAACAGTAGTAAAAAAAAAAGAAAGAGAAATAAATAATAAAAAAGTAGTAATTTAGTTTTCAATCTGGACTCCGGGATCCATTGCGTCTGTGTCTATGGTGAACATGATACATTCATTCATCTTTGCGGCACCATCCAGGAACAGCTGTTGCTTCTGGGTGTAAGTATACTAACCTCGTCTTGCTCTGCCGAGTCGCCGACGTACCCCATCCAGTGCCTGATTGCCCTGAGCAGCTCCTGTTCTAACTGAACACGTTTTTTTTTGGGGGGGGGGGGGGTTTCGGAGGCGTGTTTGAAAGACGATGATATAAACTTTGGACGTGTGACATTGCCGCAATAATGCCTGCCAAAACGACGCAGTCTTGCCGGAACGGAGGACGTGCCTAAGTAAAAGTATAGTTTGCTTTAGTTTGGTTAATATTAGTATAATAACAAGCACTAACATTGTGGTAGTACTGATATAGCGAGAGAAGTGATTTGGATTGTACAGTTAGATTGTTTATGGGACTGATAAAGGTAGTATTGTTTCCCTATTCTCTATTCCCGTTATACGTTGGGATACCCTGTTCGCCTGTGTTTATGGTTAATATGATACATCCGTTTATATTTTCAGCACCATCCAGGAACTGTTGCTTGTAAGTGTACTTATACTAACCTTATCTGACCGCATCTAGCCACTATCTGGTCTTGTAAATCTCCTTAATTGCGCGGATAACTGCCTTTCGGTTGTTTGTCTACCTCGAGTACCACTTGGCATACTAATTAACGTGCGTCGAATGGAACCTGCGACTAAAGTGGCCCTGAAAGAAGCGTCCTAGTACGAAGTAGTGTAGTCAGATCGTAGCTGATCGCTCGGATCAAGTCCAGTTTTACCCTTCCCCCGGGGGGGACCCAGATAATTTGGCCGCGGAGCGTTTGGACAGCCGACATCGTTCGAAACAATGCAGCCCAGTACGAAGCAACTTATCCGGATCGCAGCGAAGGCCTAAGTAAAATTATAGTTAGCCTAAGTTCAGTTAATATCAATATAATAGCAAGGGAAAGACGTCCACAGATCTTTTAATAGAGCAATAGAGCAACAACGAGCACTAACATGGCATAATAAATGAAGTGTTACGGTACTTCGGAATGATGCTTTTTGGAATGCTATTTTTGGGAATGATGTGGATGCTGATGATATGCAGAGTCAATCAGCTAGCCATACTCAGATAACATCGCATTGCAACTAGCTACTGTATATAGAATATAGGACTGACCTTGGCGATGGGGGAAGGTCGTAGGACCCTCGAAGTCTTACGCGATGATATGATCAAAATTGAATATTCTAATGAAAAGACCAGCTTCTATGCAGATCTTCCAAGCTTGAATGGTATTGTCCTAGAGAAGAGGAAGACGGACAAAGACTAAGAGGGTGAGAAGATATTATCCTACGATGAAATAGTACTAGTTAATGTAGAAAACAGACCATTCATTACTTTTATATTTCTATCCCACCTGAAGATAACGATTTGATGAATTTTTCTTTGAGAGGTGACGAATACTTGAAGGGACAGTGAAGAGTAAACACATTAGAAGCCTTTATGGAGGGTGCCTTTTTGCACCCAATAGGATACGTCTGTAGGTAGATAACAGATAGCATAAGCTTTGTCAATATCGGTACAACAAGTCAGGCCATCAAGCATCATTAATTCCCGGAAATACTCTACTAGAGTTTTGTAACTGCTGTGGATGGAAAGGTGTTGTTTGCTTCGCAGATGGGTACTCTTACTGGTTTATCAGTCCGGCTCTCCTTCCCCAATATACAGTAGCTAGGTATACCGATAGTATTTCAGTACGGATAAAATTACAATTTCTACTTTACTCTTCACAATGACAAGAAGAAAATAACAGAAAAATAACAATGTTAGTGCTTTGTATTTGTATTTTATTCATGTTGTTGCTCCATACTAAGAGCTGTTGATGTCTTCCCTATAGTTATACTATGTCAAACCCCTGTTCCCGGAAATGCGGTGCCACCCTTGCTTAGGACAACCATGCCGCGTTCACGGGCAATATATCCTTTCATCAGACCCTAGTATTCAATTATCAGCTAGACAGTAGCTGAGTAAGCGGCCAATCTATGTGCTCACCTTGTAAATGAGATTGGATAGTAAGCATTCCACTTCATCCATATCAATACGGACTTTATCACTCGCATGAGTGCCAATTCGCAATGCCGCGGAGAATTCAGCAACTGGAACTCTTGTTCGCCGGATTGGAGCTTGACCATCTTTGGACTCTTCAAATCCTCCAACGATAAACACCTTTCGGAATAAATTGCGCAATGCAATATCACGACCTCTCTCAAGTGGTAGATAGATACGTCTCTTGACAAACTCTTCTTCTCCAGCTGACATGGCAGCATCAAACTCACGGAGGTCACCATTTCTGATGCAGTTACACAGCGGGCGAAACAGTTTCTCTAATCGGGGAAAGGATGCAAGAAGTTTATCGCTTGGCAAAGTATGTGTTGTAACAATGTGGCAGGGTACAAGATACGTCAGAATCAGCCTTCGCAGCAGTTAGCGAAGATGAATACAAAAGAATAGCGTCAACGTACTCTCTGTTTTTTAACGAGTCTTTATGGCACATATTCCATGCGTCCGCCAAATGCGATTCAGCCTACACAGTCAGCTTCTTGAAAACTCAAGTTAAAAACTGCTAAATACCTCTTCATAATTCTCATCCAGAAAATTGATGACGCCAACGTAGTAGTTAAAAGTAACAATGTGGGATCGAGGGAAGGCATCAAGGCCGGGAAGGTCCGCTGATGAGGCATTCAAAGCACGAAGTAAATTTTTAGTGAGACCAACGGAATTGATCTATATGCATTAGTAAAACTAGCAACCATCAGCACAGAATAAGTGCTAGTCATACCTTGAAATACGTTTTAAACAATAGGTTTGTCATGTTATAGATCCCCCACTTTCGCGATTCCTCGATAGGTGACCTAAAGACAGCGTCCACCAGTCAGCATCAGACAGGCTTCTAAGGCTGCCCGGTCGATTACCCACCTGTCACTCAGGCACAGAGTAAACATTCTGTTAATCACCCATGCTGCTTCTTCCAACTTGGCGCTCTTAGTAAAGTCGGCGGCAATATCTTCTTGGAAGCGGTCCCCAAATGTAACAGAGCCTTGAGAAGAGAGTTCAGCATCTGCTCTTATCGCAAATGTTCGTAGATATTTTCCAACAACGTAAAGACATGGCACAGTCCAGGCTTGAAGCCCAAAATTTGAGTATCCTCGGATAAGGGCATTTGACACTTCTTTCCAAGCATCGAAGACTTTAACCCAACTGGCTTTAGAAGGTGACTCGTCGAACTTGGCGATTTCCCCAACTGCTTTCCAATATGCCGAGAAGATATCAACCCACCCATTCTGCTCCTGCTTGGGTAGCTTGATGCCATTGGCCTGAAACAAAGCGTAGCGAAGGTCCGAGGATAAATGCGCAGCATTCGAGAAATAGTAAAATGCAAGCAATCGATTGGGTAACTCGGCGGGCGCGACCGGGGTTAGAGCAGCTGCTAGACGAGGGCCAGAGCCGGTTCTCTGGCCCTCTTTGAAATCCTCGAAGATTGATGCCATGGCGAGCAATTGATGTTACTCACTGTCTGTTGATGACTTCGGTAGGTCACGTGGGACCCATCAAGGATCTCGCGACGTACAGGTGAGCGACGCTGGTTGAAAGAGAAACACGACCATTTGGCGATACGTGCTGCTCTATCGTCATTGCAAACAACGATCTGGAGGTGGGGAAAAAGCGCCCGCACCGCCTTCCCGAATGTCTCGATCAGCCGCTGTGGCTAAGAAGCCGAAATGGGTATAGTTTGATGCCAAGCCACTGGTCGCTTAGGCGAAGGGCGGCAGCCCTAACTCAACAAGTTCACAAATCTTCATTTTGGCGATTAGACCAACCCGGCACACCTTTCTTGAGACTCATCCACAACACCGTCGACAAAAGTGAGTACTACCCACCCGATTAATTGATGTAATATTTTTGAGGGTTTTTTTTACTGACAGATATATCCAGATGGGTGAGTGATACTTTTCTTAATTCAATCCCTTGTCCCCTGATCGGACCGGCTGCGGTGCTTCCCCTGCGAACGTTGAGCGACATACATACGGAACTTGCCTTGGACGACGGCTGTATCGCGAAATCTCGACTATAATGGAAGGAATACTTGGTGGAGAAGTTTTATCTGTTATGGGTTATTGTGCAGGGTTATGTCGCTTGGGAGAGATGAGATGCACGGAGACGAAAACTTTACGGCCGATATTCAGTAAAGAGCAGCCTGGAGATTCACACTGTCAACCGCAACGTTTTCGCATGGAGATTCATTGCAGCATCTAAGCCGATTTCATGGGGGCGCGGTGTAAATTTTGTCGGAAAGTGACTGACAGGTTAAACATAGGGCGTCTCACCGAATACCAGGTCATTGGGCGTCATCTGCCCACCGAGGCTAACCCCACGCCCAAGCTGTACCGCATGCGCATCTTTGCGCCCAATGTCGTCGTGGCCAAGTCGCGGTTCTGGTACTTCTTGACCCAGCTCCGGAAGGTCAAGAAGGCCAACGGTGAGATCGTCAGCATCAACGTGGTATGTCTCTGGTGGAGGCTCCAATTCTGGGAGTGGTGATTTGCTGTAACGAAGAGCAATGTGGCTTATACTTTCGGTAGATCAACGAGAAGCGCCCCCTCAAGGTCAAGAACTTCGGCATTTGGATCCGTTACGACTCCCGCTCCGGCACTCACAACATGTACAAGGAATTCCGTGAAATGAGCCGCACCGAGGCCGTCGAGGCTCTGTACCAGGACATGGCTGCCCGTCACCGTGCCCGTTTCGGTTCCATCCACGTATGTGCCTTCATCCCCGTACTATACTGGGCTGTGATCTAACACTGGACTCTGCAGATCCTCAAGGTTGTTGAGATCGACAACGCCGACAGCATCCGCCGCCCCTACATCAAACAGCTCCTCCAGAAGAACATCAAGTTCCCTCTGCCTCACCGCTCCGCCAAGCCTGCTGGCAAGAAGCTGTTCGCCTACTCGAGGCCCTCTACTTTCGCGTAAATGTGAGGTTTTGGGGTTTGGGGAAGGAGTGTGCAGATGAATGACTATGTTATGGCCATAGCATGCATGAAGGACACAGATAGCGCGGAGAATAAGGCGTGTATCTACGGCCCAGAAAATGGGAAGGATGGTTTGATGTCTCTAGTCCTGTGCAGCGACCCTTTCAAGTTATATCATAAAAATCAGGGTTCAGTTTCTCTAGTTCAATATTATCTGCCAGGTAGCCTGTGTAGATCCATACCCACCTTATGGTAGCAGTCAGCTCTTCTGAGAAGGCGATGGCACTATTATGCTTTATATGTATGGCTTGGGCTTTTTTCCCAGAAAGTTGAAGGCCAGGTTTGGATAGACGAATCGAGGCAAAGAAAGCTCCGAAACAAAACAAAAAAGGCCGAAGGATCCTCCTATGTGAGTATCTGGATAGTCTTGATAGATAGAAAATATGTTCGATTGTAATGCTGCTCATCTCGTTCTTTACTGAGAAATAAAGCAATGTAGGCTGCTCAAGTGTATTACACCACGAGGCTTCTGCCTCCCATCAACCATATCTGCCCAACGTTGGAGGGTAGTTAATAGATGTATGCCTCAAAGCCAAGATACACTCGACTGATCTAGGCGATAAATTTAGTTGCAGTATGGTTAGTAATTCACGACGGAATTACGGGGCCAGGGCCATTGCGTCATGCGAGAACCTTCGGGCTCGGAGGACGGACTCCGAAAAAGAGCAGCTACTTAATCCACCCTTATCCGCCCAACTTCCACTTCTCTTACCCGCAATACCCATTGAGCTTCGACTTGGTGCCGATTACATCCAAAAATGTTTGCGCGTCAAGCATTCCGGTGTGCTCAGCCCTTTCAGCCCTTGAAGCAGGTAAGATTCGCCCATCATGTTTTTTTGGCCCACCGGTTCTTGTCAACCTGCTAATCTGACCCTGTAGGGCTTCCGTAAATACTCGACCGAGGCCCCTAAGAAGAAGTCGTTGGCTCCCATCTACGCCACCGTCGGTCTTACCGGTGTCGGTGTTGGCTTGTACCGCTACAACTCTGGTGCTGCTACCGCTCCCGTTGACCGTGCCAAGGTCTTCACTGGTGGTGACCAGGGATGGGTTGACCTGAAATTGTCGGAGGTTGAGGTCCTCAACCACAACACCAAGCGACTACGTTTCGAGTTCCCCGACAAGGAGGCGGTCTCTGGCCTTCACATCGCTTGTAAGTAGCTCAATTGGTCAAGTATTAACGGTGCCTTCCTAACGAGTGATCCGTGAAGCCGCAATTTTGACGAAGTTCTCGAAGCCTGGTGAGAAGGCTGTTATCCGGCCATACACCCCCACGAGCGATGAAGGTAATTGATTTGGTATTCAATTTTTCTGCCGTTGGGGAGTTGCTAATGGATCGTAGAGCAACCTGGTTACCTTGACCTTATTGTCAAGGTGTACCCCAACGGACCCATGTCGGAACACCTGCACAGTATGGATGTCGACCAGAGTCTCGCATTCAAGGGACCCCTGCCCAAGTACCCTTGGGATGCGAACAAGCACGACCACGTCTGCCTGATTGCCGGTGGTACTGGCATCACGCCCATGTACCAGCTGATTCGTCAGATCTTTAAGAACCCTGAGGATAAGACCAAAGTTACTCTGGTCTTCGGTAACGTTAACGAGGAAGATATCCTGCTGAAGAAGGAACTCGATGAGCTGGAGAACACCTACCCTCGACGATTCAAGGCATTCTACGTTCTCGACAACCCGTCCAAGGGCTGGACTGGCGGCAAGGGTTACATCACCAAGGAACTCTTGAAGACTGTCCTCCCCGAACCCAAGGAGGAGAACATCAAACTCTTCGTGTGTGGACCTCCTGGCCTGTACAAGGCTATCAGTGGAAACAAGGTTAGTCCTAAGGACCAGGGTGAGTTGACCGGTATCTTGAAGGAGCTTGGGTACGACAAGGAACAGGTCTTCAAGTTCTAGAATGCTCTAAATCGGGATCTATATTTAAGTTGAAATATTCTAGAAGGGTGGGTTATCATTTAGCGAGTTGATTTCTACCTTTCTGAGCTACATAGTGGTGCCTATATAAGCCTTATATTACGTGCTCTTGCTCAATCTTAGTCGTAATCGTCAATCTTCCACCCTCATCTCTAAGGATTCTCTGTGCCGCTACCATATATCGTCCGTGTCACGTTGTCAGAACCCTCACATAATGAGGAGTGGGGAGATTAATATCTCGCGGTCGGTCTCGACAAATTTCTGAACTTGGGATGCTCTTTGTCGGCGAGCACCTAATGATGTCATAGAATTGGAAAAGAAGGTTTTATGAAATAGCCCCAGATGAAAATTTATGTAACGTTATAATATACATAGTAAACGAAAGTCTGGACTTCCCATATTCCAATTAGTTAACTGGAAATACGCTTCTCAGTGGAGTATCGATTATCTAAAAAATAAAAGAAGATACAGGTGATGTTCTACACTTGATAATTATCGAGTATTATAAAAGTATGTCTCGTTTGTCTATCCCTCCTCGATGGTCTAGACACTTTCTGTTCCTTCGCTATGCCGACTATCTTCGGTTATTGAGCACTTCTCATCACGGCCAACATGGAGAACATTGCGAAAAACCAAGAAACGATCGATTATACTAACGAGACCGTGGATATAAGCCCATGTCAATATTAGTGGCTGGCACAACGTCACCCCGATTCACTGTACTCACTCACCACCAGTCGGATCATCGAGCCGATAAGAGCCTCCTCTCTGCCTCCTAACAAACACCATACTTGCATGTTCCCAAGAGCAAAGAAGAAACATAAAAAAAAACAAAGACAACAAACACGGTATGCTGGTTTTCTGTCCCTAGAGATACACCCCTGATCCTGGAGTCGATTGTGCAGAATATCGTGGGCTGGCTTCTTGTACCCCAGAGTGCAGGAAGAGCAGGGTTTCATAGAGAAGAAGGAATTACGTCGGTTGTAACTACAGATATCTTGTCTAGATCAATTTGGACACATGGTCAGTCAACAGAAAGGGCTCGTCAGGCACATCTGGCTGAATATAGAGCTTCGACCATATACCTGTTGACGTTGACAGTCAACAGTCGTATTCATGGAAGTGCAGCAACAAAGCTACTATCCGGAAAGCGATCTCAAAGTTCTTTCCTATTTTAGGCACCGGGAATCCAGCCAGCGGTGGATTGACACTGGAGCTCAGCGCAGTTTTCCAGCGACTCAGAACACTGGTTCAAAAACTATTATTTTGGAGTGAACGCCGAAGAATATCCTGCCAAGTTCAATGACCCAAAACATTACTGGCTAGTCGGTATACAGATGAAGCCTCCAGGTTATCTGGCCATGGAGCAACGCTTCGAACCGACCGAATTGAGATTTACTGAAGAACTTCCCAAAGTCCACGCAGCCACGGGGTTTGTACTATCGACAATGCCGCTGTCGGTTTACTCCCTGACCTCTGTTGCTTCTGCTGGATAAGCTTCCTCGATTGAAATACTTAATATATAAGCCATGGTAATTGTAGGACAGGATATTCTGGCGAAATATGATAGAGATCGTAAGCAGTCATCCGCGATTCACCCCAAAAAAGCCCTTCTCAGGCGGAAGGACCTCTGATTGCTCACGTGCATACTGTAGAGTACGAAACGATGATCAAGACACGCCTACCACTGGGACTCAAGAGATTATCGGTATTCGAAGATCTCAATGTGGACTATATCGTATTATTCCAAGATACCGTCAGGAGCTTGTATAGCCCGATATTCCAAGGAGTGCTCCCTTTTCCTCCTTCCTAGGTCCCAGGAAGTTTTGTTAGCAAGCTTTTGCACACAGAAGCTTCGACCTCGAGCAACTGACCATTTCATTCTCATTCTTGGTCGATGCTCGGTACTTCTTCCGAGATTGTCAGTCACAATGAACTTGGAACAACCCGCAGTCCCTGATCCTGACGTTGCCAATACTAATTCTTACATCAAAGCGCAAGGAAATTTCCAATGTGTTACAGGATGCAGGAGTAGCCGCGCTTTACATGCTGATGCTATGCATTATGGCTCTATGGAATAGTCGGAATACGAAAGCTTGCGGGTTCATATATCGTAAGGAATATTCTGACCCTTCAATTTCACTGCGGAGTACACAGGGAATGGATCTGGAGCCTCGTGTAGTTCAAGCTTGGGAAAGGGTCTCTACATACACCGCAACTTTGGATTGAGAAGCAGCTGCTGAATTCCAGCACCATCAATATTCATGGCGATGTTATCAACAATTAGGCTTGCCCGAGGAGTGATTGATCCTGTAAACTTATGGCAGATATGGAGGGAGGGACGGCTGAGTTACGTCTGAGAAGAAAAGAGGACAAAAGTGGGAGGGAAAGAAAAACCAGATAAAACGTTAACCCATCCCAGTAATTAAATTAATAGCAAATGAATAGCAACCAGCACACATTCATTTATCCCTTCCCTCAGTAGGAACAACCTGGGTCCAGTAGCAGACAGCACAGTACGTCTCCCACCAGTGGGATCATTCACCAAGAGAAGGGTTAGAGGTCATAGTTGCAGTCAGGTCATCCTAATAAAAACAGAAGTCAGCACACCAAGCCCTCAAAGACCCATGCATGTAAGACCTGAAGAATCCAATTCAACTCACCACGTGATTACACATCGCTACGAACAGATCGAAAAATAGTTTCCCACCTTGTTCCATCTCCATCTGCATCGTGCCGCTTCTTTTGAATGTGGACCGGCTCCGGATGATTAGCGCTAGATAGTGCGCGCGTAGCTTGGATTCGTTCTCGGGGGTGTTGGCATAGGCGTATCGAGCGCTGGTTAGAATCGTACTGCATTGTATACCGGAGTGGAGGCCCTGTTTTCGGATAGCTAGGCGCTTTAAAGCGTCTAGGCCGTATTTATGTGCTGAGCAGCTGTGGCGTCATATGTTAGATGTTTTCGTTTTCTTATTTATTTTTCTTCTCCGACATATTATGCAGAACTTATAGAACAAGAGGTAGGAAACTTACTAGACAGCAGTATCTCTTAGAATCTCCGTACCAACCGCATGATGAAAGACCGTCGCGCCATGACTCTGTCCATTCCTGTCCGTTCCGGTATGTTCCAATTCCCAGATATCGCGACGTTTATTATGAATAAGCTGGGGATAATAATCACCTTTGTAAAGGAATTCGAGGATACAGGATAAGACCTCTGGCTGTTCATCGGGGAGATTCAATCGTTTATTGCTGGGCGAATCTGCGGACTGGGCCCGAGAACATGCAGCTGCAAAGAAAGGAGATTCACAGATGATTTCTTTATGGGCAGCGAAGAGTCTTTTCTCTGGGCCTACGGCAAGAGTGATGACGGCGGGTCCGAGAGAACTTAGTAGGTGATGCGAATAGATGGTTAGCGTATTGGTTTGAATATATGATGCGGGGACTGGATTAATAGTGAGCAAGTGATATGCGACTTACCTGCCATCAGGAGGAGTGTCAGGCGTCAGACGTTTTTCTACTCGTCGTGACGGTGTAGAGCTCTCCCTGGCAATAGGCCTCCTGCTTCGAGATCGGACTTTGCCAGCTCTGTACTTGGCAGAGAAGCTATCGGTAGCAAGGGTTTGGGATGCACGTTTGGTAGCAATCATTTTGGAGTTGCTGGGCTGCTGGGTCAGCATTTTGCAAAGGGATGTGTATGTGTCCTAGAGAAGCAAAGACTCTGGGAGGTGTTCATCCAGGGGGAAATGGTAATTAAATAGTGGAAAAATTTTGGAAGCTAAGGGCAGATGGGCAAATCTGTCGATGAATACATGTACAGTGTACGTACATAGCCCCCTGTATAAATGACCTGGTTAGTGTGGTACTGTTGGAAAATCCAGGATCTTAAGGAGCAAATAAGAGACATTGAGAAGTAAAAGACTAGGGTAAACAGCGAACTTTATATGTATGTATGCTTAAGCTAGATATACTCTTGTCTAATCTAATGGTATATAGTAATACTAGTCATGATGTCTATAGCAGTGAAGAAGTTGTAGAAGAACCTGAACGCGTATTATTAGGTATTGCACGCGTAAAGTCATTCCTGCATCGCCAAATGATCGCGCAGTCACGGGATTGCAATTGGCCAATCACCCTACCAAGGAGGGGAAAAGGGGCGCGGATCCTTGCGCTAGAACTACTCAGGTTTCAATGTGATACATCCATTCACCTTTTCAGCACCATCCTGGAATGTCCAGTCTTCCCAGTTTAAACTGGAGGAAGAGAATTGGATCTATCGTCAGATAATTGGCAATGTACTGTCACTTTGCGCTGTGTAGTGTGTACAAGTACGGAGATGATACTATGCTCCACATAAACCGTCCAGTACTCGATTTCTCACATTCTCTAGTCTAAGTTGAAAGCGACAGTCGAAGAGACCCAATTTGAGGAGGATATGGGGTGGACACTACACAGCATACCAGATAACAGGGGATGTATGATATCGATTGTAGGAATTCGTCGTCACTACCTACTAGGTAGAGTGAATACGGAATACGATGTACAATAGTCCTCTTAGTATGATGCCAAAGGAAAAGTATACGATTTAGAGGATATATTCATAAAGGATCGATATGTATAGCCGGTGAAGATAAAGTCATCCCTGCCTGAAGAAAACGCCAGATGCCTTCAAACGCCGAGATTAACAACCCTTGTTCCATGTCCTGTGGTTATTCACCTCCAAAATGCCCAGTCAATGTGTGTGAAGATGCCTATCTCCATGACGCCGACAAATGACTACCATTGTTAATTATACGAATTTTTTACAAGAAGACCTTTCTTGCCTCCCGAGGATGACTCTCGTTGGGACAGTAAGGGCATTTGAATCTGCTGCCCTTACACAGCCGTTTCAACGATTCTTCTGCAATGACATGCCCACAAGGCATCATCATTGGCGGGTTTTCGTCTGTAGCCTGTTCCTTGGAAACGGGGCAGACGAAGATCGAATGGAAAAGATATGACGGTGGGAGCGGTATTTCAACCTGATTAAAAAAATCAGCCAAATTCCTAGTTGAGAACCGATGCGTAAATTCAGCCTGCTCACCGGTAGCTCATTCTCCGTCGTCCATTCAGTGCGTTTCGCTCTCATGATCGTCTGCAGTTTAAGTAATGTCGGCAAAGCGATTGCACCGGCAGTCGCGGCAACATATAAGGGTGAATCCGCAGATAACCCTAGCAGGGAGCAGAACTCGCGGGTAAACGAATGTGCCACATCTGTCCACGCCGACGGGTTATCGAATATGTTCCTGTACGGCGAGTCGTTGAGGTTTGAGCAGAAAGCCATTGCTCCCACGAGTTGCTGGACCTCTCGCAGATATCTAGGCATAAATGTATGGAACTCGCGCCGTGCGTACTCCAAGGCCGCTTGCCGGCCCGCCGCAGAAATAGGCCCTTGTTGAATCTGTTCACCATGGAAGAGCCAGACAAACTGTAGCCGGCATAGCTCGAATTCGAGGTTGCTGCCTCTTACCTCCAAGGCCTCTTTGTTGTCTCTTGCCCACTGTATTGCCGGAAGCAAATTCCTGTTCTCTTCCAATTCGTGGAGTATGCGATACATTGTGGCAAACTGCTTCCGGATTTCAGTTGAAGGTACGCCCTCAAGATCGAGAACGGACGACGCGTCATCATCTTCTACAGCGACATCATCTCCCTGCCGCTTGGATGATTCCGCTTCCGCCATCTCGGAAAGAAATATGGAAGCAACGGAGAACTGCCCTTCTCGCAAGAGGTGCATTGCAATGGCGCGGTTGATGAGATGCTCTTGTGACGTGAGGGCATCGTGTTCGGTGCTCGGGAGTGGCCTATCCTTGAATAGCTTTGGTAGAGTCAGTTCCAGGTTCTCGAGACAAATGTCAACAATTCGCAGTACGCTACCTTGTCTAGCGCTTTGGAATATTTGTTGAGGCCACTATGGGTCTCTTTGAGGCTGTCATTGATCGCATCAAATGAGGATTTCAAGGGATTTTGAAGTTTAGCCAAAGTGATAGACGCTTGCTCCGGGTCTAGTGTTCAGGCCAATTAGTCTCTTCTGTGTTTTAAGCTTCGGACAAAAAGCTGACCAGATGCAATGGTTTCTCGTGCTTGTTGAAGGAGATCAATTGTTGCTTGAACATTTTTGGTACTCTGCGAAGCTTTCAGCCTCTTTGAAAGTCGTTCATGCTCTTTTTGGACTGCATCCATGGTGGTTGATGAGCTCGAAGCGGAGTTAGACAGTTACCGCTTTTCGAAGAATGGTGCGGAAATAGCCATATGGGATCACCGGATCAACTCGGTGCTCCGACCGTAACAAGACGAGAAAGTCCAGAAAGGAGTAGAGCGTCGATTAGGCCCACCTTAGGAGGATTATTGCAAGGTAGGTGAAGACCGTGTGTTGCCACTATAGGTATCAACGGCGGTCCGGGCAGAGTTACCTACCTCTGGTGTTACGCCATGACCTGTCACGTGGTCCTGCGCAATGGTACGCTACCCCTCCTTCCGGCGGCGTAGGTATCACGTCCCACTCAATCTCCACAAATGGCTCTTGCAACGCCGTAAACTTGTAAGTGCTATTAAATGCTCAACACTCTTATTGCTGAATATCTCTACTGTTATTCTGATGTTTCGTCACAATCCTGAGGTTTTTTGCCAGGAAGTCTCCCGGTACTATGCGTGGGATAGTACGTCTCCAGTATATATTACATAGTATCGACCTACATAGATGGTTACAAGCAGAAACGGAGATCTGCTTTTGGCAATTACTTGGTCTTCTTAATGTCGATTAAGTTCGAGACGGAATGTAGTTTAAACTTACAATAACTGTTTCAGGATCCTGTATACAGATATTTAATTTTAGAACTTTCGATCCCTTTTATGTGCATACTTGTCCAAATTGTAGACTATATTTAATTTCTATATCTGGTACATCAACAAAGATTTCAAATTTTAATTATTGGGAAAGAGTACTATCTCGAAGATATATAATCTTACTAACCATCGTTATCCTAAATTTGGCTTTTGGACCGCTATAGTAGAAACCGTTTTTCTGACACAAATCATTGCTGATAATTTGTCAATATGATCCTAGATTGTGTGCGGGTTGAAGGTCACAATGCTGCTATATATGGCTTCCGGGGACAAGCTTTCTTGAATACATTAGTGAAATTAGAATTTGCATTCCATTTTCACGATAATACCATCTAATTAAAATGAAAGACACATAATAGAGCTGCTAAACACTTCTTAAGAGTTTGTACAGCAAAGACGCCGGAGGGGAAAAAGCTTGACGTGGACAGGATCCGGACCAGCTTGTCGAAACTTTATGGAGTGTTTTTGGTAGTGGAGTGTCCCTGACCAATCGGCCCACTGCAGATTCCTCGCTTACAGTAGTGCGGGTTTCAGGGCTTGGCGGTAGTATAAATTCTCACATTTGCCGCCCTCCTTTTGGACTTTTTCCTTCTTTTTTTCTCCATCTTGGTGCACGGGCTTTACACGTATCAGTGAGGATTTATCCGAGATCGTGTTTTTGCTAGTTGAAAACTACCTATTTGACCGCTTCAGTTGGCCTTCGGGTCGGCTGGGAATTTTTGAAGAAAAATCGCCCTGACTCCAATTCACTTGGTGTACAGTTCTCGAGTACTTGGCCCTAGTTTATGGCCGTAGCCTATCTATATTTAAATCCCATAGGCAGTACTCTATTGGTCTTCTTTTCACTGCTGTTTGCTTCCCATGTAGGAAGCCTGTAGAGAAGAGAATCTCAATATTGGATAAGATAGTTATATTCTGTACCTATTTTGCCTTATTCCCTACGTTCGGGGATGTTACCTAGGCTTCTGTTTAATGATCTGTGTCAGGAATGTGAGAACAAAGATATTTCCGTGTAATTTAAGGTGATCTTTGGGTTGTGGCTGGATGCCACTACTTCGCTAGGCAACTCCATTTCCTGCAGATTGCACCCCTGGGAGCATGCTTAGGCTGTGGCGTTGGGCACTTATAGGGTGGCCAACTTATGTACTAGAAGGTGTGGACTTAACCTCGGTCAAAGTAGTCACAGTAGCAGTAGCAGGATCAGATGGTTATTTCGTATCATCATCGCTGGAATCGAGACCAGCCCATAACAAATGGTGTGGCTGTGGCTTATCCTTTCACCGCTTCCCATGGGGAATCACCCTTGTGACGTCGGTTGGGATGGCCAAGTCTTCTCTCAATCTGCTCACCGAATTGTCCTCCGACATTCTACCGAGAACTCTGACGCCTATACTTGAAGCGCCATGAGAAACCCGCTGCTCCAATTTGCCTCTCTCCACTTGGCATTATAGTGCCTCTCGGATATGTCACGATTGTTTCTTGTTCGGTGGACAGTACGAGAAGACCCCGGGAGGGTCACCAAATATTTCGCCCCCTACATTCTGAGCTCGGTCTCTGAACGTTGATTAATCTAATTGCAAATATCGTCCTTTCTCTACCAACGTCGTCTGTTTAGGCTATGATTACGCATTCGATCCTCGTGTGGTAGGAAATCAGCTCTCCTTCTGCCATGCCGCCAACAACGCAGAACAGCGCGCAGGCTGCGCGTCCTGCTATAATCCATCACGATTCGAGGAAGACATCGGGCGGTGCCAAGGAAAGTCCGTCCAATAACTCCGACGGCCATACTGGTCAGTCTCCCCGCCATGGTCACCAGAAATTTGTATTTACCGACCCTGTCGCTCTCCGATACCTTGAAGAGGACCCCTCGACGATCGTGCTACACCGGCGTCTGGTACTGCAAGGTTATGAGATATACGTTGTTGAGCAATGGGCATGTTCGAGGATCCACCCTACATTTATAATTACAACTTACACCGGGGACACATCGCACAAGGTCACAGTTGGGGTGCTGGGCGTTCCTACTGACGAATCTACGTGGTCCCCTCGTCTGCAGCTGTATGTGAATGCTGTAACGCAATGCCAAGCACGGAGGAAAGAGACAACGCTAGGAACTCTTATGGTTACGGATTTGAGCTCGTTTCCCTCGGCCCTGACCGTCATCCCGGTACCAGATGGCGATGTCATCAAGCATAAGGACGATTTTCTCGTTAACGAAAACCTCAAAAGACTTAATTGCTCAGGTCGCGCCGGCTTGAAGCTACAACCACCCGCATCAGCGACCGAAGCGAAATTCCATCAGCTTTACCGGACAAGCGAGAGGGTACCTCTGTACAATGCGGTCCTTGAGCTGGTGAAACAATGCCAGATTGCTTTGATGATGTTCGGCAATCTAGCGCCGGAATATGTGGATGGACTGCTATGTGATGTCACGGAAGCAGCAATCAGTGACTGGTGGACGGACATGGGGATGGACCTGTATAATATTGAACCGAGTGATGGCGGCCTGGGGCCAACTACCGTGGCAGCTTTATTAGGTACTCTTATGGGAGCCCGAAATCGACTTCACGCTTTCGGTGCACCTGTTGGAAAGGATGCATTCGATATCCACAATCTTAAAAGAGGCATCAGCAGCTTTCAAAAGTCTCAGAAGCTGAAAAGAACACGGAGGCTGGACCGCCAAACTTTGGACCGACTGCATCGGGTCACTGCAAAAGCTGCGAATTCGGAAGGGTGGACAGACGCCGTCAAGTCAACGATGGCAGAGCTTAGTGGACACGGCGGGGAAATGGTTATGGGTATGGTACGGGGCCGAGAGAAAGGGGGTATTGCCGATATCGAGACTCTGGATATTGATAACTTTGCCCAGTTGGTGAACGGTGAACGGGCAAAGTGGCTGTGGAGGGGAAAGCCGCGCAAGAGCGGCGATGGCCATATCGGCGGCCCACCAGCTGCAGATATGATGTTTACAACGGATGACCAAGGTGGTTATGTATGGACAAGCCGCAAAAGTCGCTCGAATGAGCATCTTGCTACCGACAACTCCCTTCAAGGACACGACCGCTCATTGAAGGTACCAGCGCCCGCCGTTGATGAGAAAGACCAGAACATCGGTAGAATGGTGCGAAGAGGAGTTAGTGAGAGAGTGTCCGACGCACGAATAGGATTTGGCAAGTTCAAAGATGCGGTTGGACTTCGTTCTCATGTGCCAAAACAGACTAAAGAGGGAGTGGATCTGATTGGCGATGCAGCTTACATTCCACAGCTAGAAAGCGACACAGAGATATCGCATTCGAAACCCACTGTTGATGGAAGTTATCAAGTAGAGCTTGAAAGTGCCCAGGATCACGAAGTTCGAACGTATAATGACGAATCTCCAGCTGAACCACCACTGGATGCACTTTCACCAAAGGCATTGGACGCTCGGCCCCCTGCTATAAGAATCGAGTCTGTAATATCTAATGAAAGCTCAGATTCATCACATAAAATATTAATGAACCGACCGGACGAGGAGTGCCAAGATCTAGAGCGATGGAGGACACGATCAACGGATATGTCGGGCGACCAAGAACAGGCCTCGGAGCTTGTATGTATGTCGTTGCGTCGACCACAGAGCTGTCCCGAGCTCAATTTTCATCATGATGCCCTACAAAGAGGCGGAAACTGGCCCCGACACCTGTCCTTCAGCACCGTCGAAGACGTTATGCTAGGCTGGGAAGAATTGGTAGGCAGGGGAAGTGCCTTTGAGAACTCCGATCTTACTTTGGAGGAGGCTATTGTCCAGGAAGACCTATTAGCAACCGACGCGCAAAATTTCGCCCTCCGTATCCAAGAATTGCGCGAACACACTGTTCCCTGGGTCGAAAAACAAGTTGACTCTGTCGACTTCTTGAATACGGTTCTATACCAATGCCATGAGAAGGTGAACGCGGAATACATGGAACAACTCAACAAATATCAAGCAATCAGGGATCGATCCAGCGATCTGTTAACTGAAGAGCATTCATCGCTAACCGACCACATGAGGCGGATTGAAATGTTAGGCGCAAAACTGGACTATGAGCTCAACGTACTCAGTTCTAAAATCGAGGATGTTGAGACTGGGCTCGGAGAGTTTGAACGGCAAGTGAATGAAATGGAGCTGAGAGTCAAGACGTTGATCCGAGGCGACGAAGAGAAACAGAGCAGCTCATGGCTGGCTTGGCTGCGAGGGCTGATGGGCTGATAGGCTTTTCGGCATGCTAGCCGTCTGCGGCCTCTGCAGCTCTTCATGGTATCTGTAAAATAAGACTGTTTTATATTTCTTTTCTAATGTACATACATAGCTTTAGAATATAGATTTCCAAAGTCCGCGTTGACCATACATTATGCAAAGCTGGCTGACCCTACCACCGAGGGTGCCGTCAAATCCAAAACGACGTGGATAGCCCAACGGAGAGCGTCAGCCCAATAACCTTGTGTATGGGAGCGTACCAAATCTATATGCCCGCGGTATCAAACGGGGAATCATCTCCGGAAGCCAAGATCCACACCAAACACAGGCAACAAAACCCGGCAATAGAGAAGGAAATCAAGTATGTGTCAAAGGCAGCTTTCCCTTTCATCGGACCATATTATTGTACAGTTTCCTTACATGCCAAGACCCATACCACCCTTATTGTTGGCCGCCGCTTCGCCCTGCATCTTCTCGCTGACCTTAACGTTCACCTCAAAGAACTTGGAGACACAGCGGTCAAGGCAGACAGATTCACCCTTGTTCAGGTCGCCTTCACGGTAATCATTAGGAATGCATTTCTTGGTGCAAGACTGGGTCAAACTAGAGTATCAAATGCGGATCAGTCAGTCTGGCCGGTAATGCGGATGATGTTGGGAAATTTCGAGCGCAATGATCTCTTGAGTTCCATTATGAGACGTATGGGACCTTAGTGGGTACTTGAGAAAGCATAGGTGAGCTCACCGGTTGAACATGTCCGATATCATCTCGACCTCTGCCTCAGCGGCAGCAATCTTCTCTGCCGAGGACATTTTGGGGGGGCCACCGAAGAGGAAAGACATTGTGACGGAGGTTTGCGTGGGAGGGTATAGGAGAGGTATACTGAAGCACGTTCTGATCAGTAAATACTATGACATCCACGGACAACAATAATACTCACGATTTAAGATAGATTTCGTTGGGTTTGAAGGTTGCTGTTGTCGATGCTCTTGATCCATACTGGGCGGAAAGCGAACTCGGAAGCTTGTACGACTCTCACCGCCTTGCCGATTTTTCTGCTTTGGCTTCACTTCCCTTCGTATTCCTCTCTTTCTTCCTTTCTACTCATCGTGTTGTGATTTAATTGCGTAGCTATTACAATTTTCTTTTATTGTGAACCCCAAATGCAATCAATTCGCCCCCGGTGGGCTTCACAGCTGAGCAGGGGGTGTTTCTTGTCTAGGTAAGAGCTCTGCGATGATTCATATACTCCCCCTCCTAGGCAATCACAGGACGAGACATATCCCTATATTTCAGAACCGCTGCAGTTTGACGCTTGTTTCGCAAGCAATGAACGCACTAGGAAGCAATTTATCTGATTGGAATTAAATTGGCCTTTTTTAACACGCACATCTAATTCGCATTTTTCTATGGAAGCATTGGCTTACAATGGATGAGCAGCTCAGGGCCATCACTTTCCCACGGTATACAGCGGAGTCTCCATTCAAAACATAGGCTTAACCAGGCTATAGCTTTCAAGTACCCTTCTGTGAGCCTTGCCAAAGCAAGAAGTAGCAGTACCGCTGCCTCGCCAGATAGAGCTTATAATGTTCGACTACAAGAGGTGCACGATACTTGTCCTGACCCATATCCTCGGCTTCAAACAGACCACCGCTCGGTGGGTTGTTTGGATTTTCGCAAGCGATACAGTCATCTAGCAGATAATGAAACAGTAGAAGATGATATCGTCGTTGTCCATGGTAGGTCTTGGCCTGGCCTGGCTCGTTTGTCTTTTGTACTTAGATTAGTAGGAAGGATACGTACCTATAGACTTGCTGGGAGCAAATTGATCTTCTTCGACATCTTTCAAAATGGCCATAAAGTCCAGATTATGTGCAATCTTCGTCGATTAGAGGGAACCACGCCGGAGGGTTTCAAGAGACTCTACCGTCTCCTTCGCCGCGGTGATGCTTTCTGTATGTTGTCCAGTCGTCATCTGTATTATGCTATCATAGACTGAACATCCCATCATAGCCGTAATAGGTAAACCCCATCGGACCGGACGGGGTGAACTCACTGTCCTGGCAACTGAGCTGCCGCAGCTTTTGTCTCCCTGTCTGCATGATGTTCCTTTGGATACGAAAGAACACGAGATTTCTCCCTACCCACGCCACGTCCAATTCCTCGCCGACTCTAACACTGCGGATATTATAAGAGCCAGGTCAGCAATCATCCAGTATCTCCGCCAGTTCTTTCTCGACCGTTCTTTCATGGAGGTCAATACTCCTATCATCGGATCAATTGCAGGGGGAGCGATTGCTCGCCCTTTCTATACTTCTGCCACGGAGTTCTCGGACCGTCAATTGTCTTTGAGAATTGCACCCGAATTGTGGTTGAAGCGGTTGGTAGTGGGCGGCTTTGACCGGGTGTTTGAGATTGGGCCTTCCTTTCGCAATGAAGGTATGCCGTAAGACCAAGATCAGTGTTTCCAGAGGGTAGAGCTGACATGCTACAGGGCTTGATAAAACCCACAACCCCGAGTTCACGACATGTGAGTTCTACCACGCTTACGCCAACCTTGAGGACCTTATGTCCATAACGGAGAACCTTCTATCTGGCATGGCACAGCATATTCGGGAATTCAATAAGACTGGTACTCTGGCGCCGACTGAAGTCGATTTCTCAACTCCGTTTCGCCGGATCGATTTTATCCCCGGTATTGAAGAAAAGATCAATCGCAAACTTCCTGACTTGGAGTCCGCCTATGCTTTAAACCAAGTTAGACATCTATTTACTGATCTTGCCCTTCCTCTTCCTGAGAAGCCTACACTCCCTCGGCTTCTTGACGCGCTCTGCAGCACGTATATCGAACCGGAGTGTGTCAACCCGACATTTATTATCAACCCTCCCGAATGCCTATCCCCGTTATCGAAGTCCTTTATCCACCCCACCACGAAGCAGCGTGTTGCTGCGCGTGGTGAGCTGTTTATCGAAGGAAAGGAAGTGGTGAATACGTACGAAGAGGAGAACTCGCCTTTCGAGCAGAAACGCAAGTTTGAAGACCAAGTAAGATACAGCAAGGATGCAGACGAGACGGAAGAGATTGATGAGAGCTATTTAGAAGCACTGCAGTGGGGCCTGCCATCCACTGGAGGCTGGGGATGTGGTATCGATCGTCTCTGCATGCTCTTTACTGGGGCGAAGAGAATTGGAGATGTCCTGCCGTTTGGAAATCTGCGTGCAGTGACTCGACGTCATTGATAGATAGTATCTCGACGTTGAAGACAGTTAAGAGCTGTCTTGTAAATTAGCTTGGAATTACCAATTTGAATGATACTAATTAAATAGCATATCTCTATAGTCTTTTTTGTATAATCTAGCGACTCGGATATATGTAAACACTCCAGTCGGCCTTCTCTAACGGAATCGAGAGAAAGTCGCAGGGCTGTCCCTGTGATATAGACCCTCACCGGTAGCGACGAGGGTCTGATAGACTAGTCTTTATATAGCTGAATTTGTGTTTTCTGGTGCAGCACTGGATCATACTTTTTCTCGATCAAAAACCGGCGATAGCCGTTTTTGTCTGACTTCAGCGTCGGGGCGGGCCGTCGATTCCTTTTGCTGGTGCGGAGAGGGGTAAAAGGGGGAAAAAAAAAAAGGAAGTTCAATCAGCGCTATTTTGTCTATTTCATCTCCTTTCGCTTCCTTGTCAACCACAGTAGAAAGTGTCATCATGGGTTTGGACGACGTGTCACAGGCTCAGGCGGTCACAGTGAGTTTGAAGGACCTGATTGAGGGTAAGTAGTCTAAATTAAATCAATATCTAGATGGGGAAAAACGAACTTTAATATCTTGTGTTCTCAGGGTCCGTCTCATTCGACACTCTGACAGAGGCCTTTGGACCATCCTCGTTGGGTATCATTGTCGTCAAGGACCTCGATTCTGAATTCAAGCGTCTTCGCACTCAGGTTCTCTCTAACGCTTCTTATCTCGCTGCGCTTTCTAATGATGAACTGGGTACGTTTTGCTTCTTATCAACACCCAGTGCCACACCACAAAAAAATATCTACTAACATGTCACGCTAGAATCTCTCACCTGCCCGGAAGCCAACTATCTTGTCGGCTGGTCCTGCGGCAAAGAAACCCTACGATCCGGACATTTCGACACCCTCAAAGGCTCCTACTATGTCAACTGTGCCTTCTACCAGAACCCCGACCTGCAGGGTGCTCCCGCGGACGGATTCTCCGATCTGCCGGGGTACACGGCACCCAACATCTGGCCGCCAGCGCAGCGTCTTCCCGTGTTCCGTCGCAGTCTCGAGGATCTCTGCAAGTTGATCATCGATACAGCCGCCCTCGTAGCACGGGCCTGTGATCGATACGCCGTGGCAAATATCACAGACTACAAGGAAGGATACCTCGAGCATGTAGTCCGCACCAGTCTCACCACCAAGGCTCGTCTCCTGCATTACTTCCCTAGTCCTGCCGATTCCGGCACCGAGGCTAACGACAACGACGACGATGATGACTGGTGCGCTACACACCTCGATCACGGCTGTCTTACCGGTTTGACATCCGCCATGTTTATCGACGAGGCTGCCACCCCGCCGTCCCTGGACTCCACCTCTGACTTCACCCTCCCGGAACTGCCGCAATCGCCGGACCCAAAGGCAGGTCTCTACATTCAGTCGAGAACGGGACAGGTCGTCAAGGTGAATATCCCCAAGGATTGTCTTGCCTTTCAGACCGGGGAAGCGTTGCAGCTCATCACGCAGGGGAAGTTCCGTGCTGTGCCGCATTTCGTCAAGGGGGCGAGACCCACCGGTGATGCTAGGATTGCGCGTAATACGTTGGCGGTGTTTACGCAGCCGAATCTGGGAGAGGAGGTCGAGAAGGGAAAGTCATTTGGTGACTTTTCGAGAGAGGTTATGAAGAAGACGTATTGAGGGTTTGGTTGGATTCATTGATGGATTCCTCAATATGTATATTGTATGCATTGACTAGGTATATATTCTGGTTACATATTATTGCTGTGTTGTATTTGAATTCGGTCCAGCGAACAGTGGCAGACGTACTTAACGGAGGGGAGTCATTAACGGTTTTATCCTTAAGGTGCAACAAAGACAGAACAGGGAAGACAAGGGAACAAATGAAACGATGTCCTTCCAACAAGGGAAACAACTGGTTGTACATATAATTTCTGTTGTGGGGAAGCTGGGCATCCTTGTCTCTAATTTCTTATGAATTACCATACTGTTTATCTTCGGTCAATCTCCAGGTGTATAATCCCCTTCTTCAGTCTCCTCGGTTCCTCCTCGAAGTTGATCCATGCGTATTGTAAAGTCCTCCTCTTCCGACTCGGATTTTTCTTCCTCTCGTCCATTAGCAGCACTTGGCCGGGCTGTTTCTTCTTCCGCGGAGCTCACGTTATTGCTCACGTCAGTGACTCCCAGGCCCGCTCCCAGACCCGTACTGACGAGCTTGCTGAGTTTGCCGACCTCTTCAAAACTAGAGCGTGGTTTGGCGGATGGTCTTCCGACGTCGCCGGGAATCTTAGCGTCGCGGAGATCTACGGGACCCGCCGTGCCATCGATGACTCTGAGATTCGCCCTCCACATTTTGACGTTGCGAGCTTCGCTGTAGTGGCCGACGTCTTCGCCATTGAGAGAATCGATCGCCAGTGTCTGTGTCCTAAAGTCACCCCAGAACCATGCCCTACCTTCGGGGATTCGTTCGTCCGCTTGTCGAGAGTACTCCCTTGCCTTCAACACTCCTGCCAGATCCAGTCCGATTTCGAGAGAGCCGAATAACAGCTGCATAGCATCCGGCTCGTAACAACGGCCGATGATCATGTCTTGGGAGACGTCAACGCTGGCGCCTGACCAGAGTTGGTACCAATCCCCATATCCACCCATGCCGACAGACTGAAACGCATCGACGACTTCGTCGGCTTCCATGCGTTTCGGACCCTGCAGTAGATAAGGCCTTGCGTAGTACGCCCGCTGTTTGTTGTTAGTGTAGACCTTTCCCCGGATACGGATCTCATAGCTTTCTGCTAGTTGGTCGGACTTCATGAAATCTTCACACTGGATGAGTTCGAGTCGAATTTCATCTATGACCATAACATCTGTGATTGTATTATGGGTTTCTCGTGTATCCCGGTTGGGTTTTGGTTTCAGGCGAACGACATCCCCGACTACCAGAAGCTCGGCTCCGAGGAAGATACCTCGGCAATAAATTGATGCATCTGGCCAGGTACCTTTGAAGTGGTATTTATCTAGGAGGCTGAACGAGGCCATAATCGTCATCGCATACTCAATGGAAGGATGGAGGGCTTCCCGGGATGTTGTACCCTGTAAGAATATTTCATATGAATTGAATGGTTTGATACACTTCAAATGTACGTATTTGTAGTGCAACGAGTAGGCTTTGTCCGTGCTGTGGGGATCGGGGAGTGTTTCGACGCGGAATCCAGAATAGTTCACACATGATTCCTTGGGGGCTGTGTCGTAAAGATCTTGGAGTACTATAGCCTCTTCTGGAACCTGGCCAACGATACCAGCTCGCCATTCAGGAGACCCTAGCCATCGATCTTCGGCAGAAGAGTATATCTGAATACAGTGATGTTCTGCGTTCCAAGCCAAATCGCCCTCGAAATCAGGGATCCAGAGAACAATTTCGCCAACTCGAGGGATGTAGGCAGGCTGCATACTCAATCCCTCGATGTATTCGGCAAGTTTTGTTTGCTCTGCTCTCCAGTCCATACTCTCTGGTTCCGTTATCTCCTCTTCTAGACTGCCGTGTTTTCTGAGTTCCACAACCGCCATTTTAAACACGTCCGGCGTTCCTTCACTGTCGAGAATAGAGCGCATCGTCAACCCTGTTGGTCTCCCCGGTGGCCTTCCTGGTGGCCTTCCTGGTGGCCTTCCCGGTGGCCTTCCCGGTGGCCTTCCTGGTGGTCTCCCGGGCGGTCTTCCTATTGAGCTCCCAGGAGGTCTTCCCGGTGGCCGCCCAGGTGGTCTTCCGACCGGCCTACCTATCGAAGTCCCTGGTGGTCTTCCCTGTGGTCGCCCAGGCGGCCGTCCGACCGGCCTTGCAACCGGGCTCGCTACAGAACTGGAGCTGCCCACAGGCCGTCCAGGTTTTCGCCGTCCTGAGCTGGCACTTAGCAAACTATTCTTCTGAGAAACTGAATTGGTGTCTTAGAAAAGAAAGGACGCACTAACCTTCTTGACGGCTTGATAACTTTTCACAAAGCGCGCAGGGACATGGTGTCGTCCCACCGGTCATTAGATAATAGAAATGAGGGAAAAATTGTATAGGCGAGAAGAAATATTGCCCGACCGGGTGACCCCAGAGAAATTTATCACGCTGTGGAAGACGTGTTAGCTATGGATCAACAAGTGCCTGTTGAGAAGGGAAGACTCACGATATCTGGCTTGGACATACGCGGTCTATCAAGAAGGGCATAACCATCTGGTAACCTGTCGAGCTCATATTGCATCCCTTATTTTGCTGACTATTAGCAAAACGGCTAAAGAATTAATATACGAGAGATAACATTGGGCAAGCATACGACAAAAAATAGCTTGTACATGCTAGCTCTCGTGCAAGGAAACACAATGTCGCAAATACATAAAGAAACCAATTTGAGCAATGTGTAAATAGTATAGTATAGCATAGTATAATCATAATAATCAATTCCACACCCAGGAATGATATTTCAAAATATACTCAATGGAGTTTGCATGAGTCGTTGTATTAAGCGAAGACAAGTGATGTCAAAGAATAACAACGGCAAAAGAAACAGAAAGGCAAAAAATACTGACGAACTTTACATACCAGGTTTATATGCTCCCGTCTTCTGCAGCCAAAGCTTCGCCAGTTTCTCTCGATAAACGGAGTCATCCGGCATTCCATATTTGGGATCTTTCGGCCAGGTTTCCCTATCACCATCACTGAAAGTTGGGTTGATGGGTACTACAATGACACTTTCACCTTCATTTGGGGACGGTCCTCCTTGTGGGGTGGACATCATGGTTGATCAAGCTGAAGATATGAAATTAGGGAGAGAGGTAGGTGGACAATAATGCTCCCCTAGCAGCGTCGTGGGGATTTCATGCTTGGACTGTGACGTGCTCAAGGGCGATAAGTGAATCGACAAGCCAGATAGATGTGAAATGGTTGGTTTTGGGCCTTGGCTATAGTCCATGTCAGGAGTGGTTACTGGCCTGCAAACATGGAGGATTAGTTTTGGCTTCTGAGTGGGTGGCGGTCATGTGACCCAGAGACTATAACGACATCACAAAGCATCCATTCTGCTACGGATTCCAATATAACACGAAATGTATTGACTGATTTACCACTAAAACAAAAATGGACTTCATATTTACCTAATATATCACCCAAAATACACATATTACGTGCAACAACCCCCTATAGGTTCGCTGATTCCTCTGCTTGGCTGTCTCCTGCCTCCAACTCGGCCACATACGGTGGTGGAGCCAACTCGCCTTCCTGAGCCCAGACCTTGTTTAGCTCGTTTTCAATCTCCTCCCGGCGTGCTTTCCATTCATCGACCTTGTCAAGACGCTTGCGGAGGTCTTGCAGTTCTTTCTCAACACCCAGCTTCTCCTTCTCCGTCCCAATTCTCTCAAACTCCCAATGCTCCCCCTGGGCTCCAAGACCAATGGTAAGATTGTAAGTGTGGTATTTCTTAAGGGATGCGCGCGTGGAAATCGTGATCAAAGTGATTCCCCGCTGCTTGGCTTGTTCGTATAGTAGGCCTTCAACATCCGAGGACACAGCTGATGTTCCTTCGTCAAGGAAGGCATAGCGAGGCTCGTGATAGAATAATCGTGCCATAGCCATTCTCTGTTTTTCACCGCCGCTCAACACATCTTTCCACTCTTTCCGAGAGTCCCACCCACCCTCACGTGCCGGGAGGTAGCCCAAAAAGGCATCGTCCAGGATCTTTTGGAGATTTGCGTCAGATTTTCCTGAGTCGTGCGTCTCCATTTCAGTATGTGGGTAGATGACTTGGTCACGTAGAGTTCCCACGCTCAGATAAGGTCGCTGGGGAAGGAACATGACCCCATCAAGCCCGAATCCTCGCGGGCGGCTGACCAACCCGCGATACACTGGCCACAAGCCTGCGACTATACGGGCAATAGCAGACTTTCCAACGCCATTGGGCCCCGATACAAGAAGGTGGTCTCCCGAATGCACGATGAATGATAAAGATTCAATGAGGTCATCACCGCCGTGGGGGTAGAGCGATGGTGCAACAATGGGGACTTGTTCCAGGCGGATTCCATCAAAACCATTATGGATGGTGCCCTGGGTATCCGCTAGAGAATACAGTTCCGCATGGGAGCCACGTGGAGGGTAGTAGGCGTTGGCGTGGACTCTATGCAGCGTCGAAATAAGAGTGTAGACTCTTGATGTGTAGCCAGCAAGTTCCGAGATATCCTTGATGCTGTACATCATCCTGCCACCAGCATCCGCCAAAGACAACATCAAGCGTTTGTTAGTGATGAACTCTTTCATGCGCCCACGCTCCCTACCGACTGCTTCGGGAGTAGTAGCCATCTCCATAGCACCCCCTAAGCCGCCCCAAGCAGGCAAAAAGACTGGCAACGAAGTGATCAAGTAGCCAAAGGCGGACCAGGCGTACTTCAGAATGACATCTTCAAGCATATTATAGCGAATCTTGAGACTGTAAATACCTTCCATCCAACGCTGAAGATCCTTAAAGCTTCTCGTTAAAAATATCCGTTCTATATCGGCACCACCATAGAAAGAAATTTCCTCGGCATTGGCGAGTAGCCTGGAATGCAAGCCTCTAAAGTCACCTTCCTTCTTGCCCTCAACAGCTTTGAGTTTCCCAAATGGTGGAGACAGCTTTCGCAAGACAATCGCCGTGCTAAAGTAGCCCGTAAGAATACCACCAAGGGCGAGAGGTCCCAAGGAGCGGTATAACTGATAATTGAACACAAAAAGATCCACCAGAGGTTTTCCCATAGAAGAATACAGTGCCGCAGCAGCGGAGCAGAAAAGAGTAAGATCTTGTGTGATAAACTGATCCGCTCCTTGCCCAATGCCACCGTCCAGATTCATTAATTTGTAGTAATTGTTATCCCCAGTGAGGTAAAGATCGTGAATATACCTAGTGAGTCGAGTGCGGAAGGCAATCGATACCTTCGATTGCAGGAACTTTATCATCGCGTTCGTGTAAGATGCGAGCGTGCCGATACCACACCACTTAATGATTCCCCAAGTGAAGGCTCGACCTTTGCCTGCAACAAGATCTCGGACAATCTCACCGTCTAGTCTGGCGATCAACAGGGACAGATAAGTCCTCAACAGCAAGAAAACTCCGTGGCCCATTAAAAGACCGGTCTCTTTACTTCCCCATCTGGGGACCATGATGCTCCCAAGGCTGAGGAATTGGTGAAGGAAGGCCAGGTTTAATCCCGGCTTCGTAGTTGGCGGGGGGATTTGATTTGCTGATTCTCCATTGCTTCCACGAACTGAAGCGGGGGGATTCAGGAATAACCTCCGATGCGCGTCAAAAGTTGTTGGTTTAGTTGGATGAATCTTAACTTTCGAAGTCATTGAGTCCCTGTAGGGCACGTATATAGTGCGGGATCCATCTTTCCCCTTAATCCCCGAGTTTCTGCGCAGCAGTCGCCTACCCCGGGCATTCTCCTTCGCTCTTTCTCGGAACCAGCTATAGCCCCCATAACCAGTACCCACTATAGACAGGACGAGCGCGATAGTACCGATGAGTTTGGTTGCTTTGGACGAACGTTTTAATCGGGAGTGAACTAATTTGATGTAGTATTTGTACAGTGTAACAAAAGGGTCCTCTCGGGGCTGTAATGTTGATTGTGCAGCCATTGTTGACCAGAGGATATTCCAGGTCTGGTTAGGGACAGTTTATCGACTTGCAACTGCCCTTAGGGCACATTACAGAGGGGCGCTGTAGGCCATGTGGTGAGGAGGGAGCGTCCGTGGGTAAGACGCGTTTGGAAGACCGAGTCTTGCGACACGAAGATGCGAAAAGACGTCAGCTAATAAGGTACGATGATGAGAGAAGAAGATTTCATGGCGATTATGCAGTCGGTCATATTATGAGAGATGTTGGCCTTCTCATCCTTTGCCAGCATGTGAAGACCTCGGGTCAGAAATTGTGGAGTGGTGGCCACTTGGCCTCCTCACGTGCGGAGTCCCCGGATTCAAATGATGACGTCTTTTCCGAATAACAATTAACGACTTCGACCTTCGTGGGCTTCTGGTCAGTCTTCATTGTAGGTGACTGATAGCGGGGAAATGTCGGACGAAAATAACGATTTATTCTAACAATAGTACTTCAAAGTTGGGAGGGTAGTACATACAATGAGCTTGATCAGAAAGGGAATGCAGGACTCCCTATGGAGGGCGTATCGTATCTTACAGTAGGCTTTACCCGTCTCAGCTCCTCTACTACCCTTCTGGAAGCCAGCTCAGCAAAAATTCCTGCTTAATAAAAATATATTGTATGGGAGCTCCACGCGGATACGCCGGCACATATCTATAGCCTTATGAAGTGACGGACCAAGTTCAAGTTCACTGGCAACTCGAGCCTAGGGAAGTTGTAATTTGGATCTTCAAGGCTTTGACATACGCCCCAATGAACTGGGTATCATCCCTCATTACTATATCCAGGATGGGAATACAAGTGAACCAATAAGCAGCGACTTTACATGTAAAGCGCTACTTAGGAGCTATCGTGCAGATGGTCTAGGGAAGTCAACCAGCGATGTTTACAGGTTTGGCTGCCTAGCATCACTGGCTCTGCCAATATGAGTTATGAGAGATGAGTCTGGTTCTGTCTGGTTTCTTGTGGGTTAATGATGTTGAGACCGTGGAGCTCCTTATTACTCACTAGTGACAAGGTGCTGGTTAACACTATGAATAGTAGGTGTGCTAACTGACTCGATGATAGACATCCAGAACATTCTCGATGGCGCCAATCACAAGATTTTCCCTTCCCCATGGGGTTACAAAGGAGTGTAGCTTCTGGTTCCATTTCCAATGGACGACTTGCCAGTAGCCGCTTTTAAACCAAGTCCATTCAGTAAAATATCGCAGATGCTGCCCCGTCTTGAGTAATATACCGAATAATTAGTCTGAATTTTCTATTTATGGCGGTTTTATGTGTTCGAAGTCCAAGATAGCGTACTCCGCAGGGAAAAGGGCCAAAGGCCCCAGTGTCTGATCCAAGCCATGCATAACCGAGCTTTTCCGGCGTCACTGGCAGATGTTAGTCCGTATGTACGTACGTCCCAAAATTTTGTAGTGGGCTGATGGAATTCTTGGGCAGCAAAGAGCATGCTTGCGGAGCCACTATGATCGGTTTTTCAGCAATCTTCCGTTGTGTTTTCATCCACGGTTAAGCGCCCAGTTACCAGATTGGTGGGAACAAAGCACGAATTGCAGCACTTTCAAGAACTGCAATTGATAGTACAATATTTTTTTTTTTTTTTTTTTTTTTTTTTTTTTTTTTTTTTTCCGATTTCTTATCTTTCTGCCAGATGACAAATGGACAGCGATCTAGTCTATATGTATCACGAAATCCTCATGATTAAGTATACGCAAGTAGCTATATGGGCAATCGTCTGATACCTATAAGAAATTGCAAGGGTTATAAACAAGCCTAAAGATTTTGTGGTCGATCGTCGAATCAGCCCTGCGTTTTAAAGGCATGCAGGTTGTACTACTTATACAGCCAATTATCGAGATCATCTACCATGAGATCAAAAGCCGGTAATCTTAGTTGTATGACCTCGCTCCCTGCTCAATCTAATCCGATTCATATCTCACCGATGACACAAAAACCACAGCGAGGCTCTATGCCTATTCTTAAGGTTAGTGAGGTTGCTAAGGTTTGTTTGATCCTAGGTGACACGGGGTTAAAACGGAGTCCGAAAGCAAGAGGAAGCATTACTGCGGTACTGTACATAGTAAATGGGTGCCGGTGTTGTTCATACTCTGTATGTATGTATATACAGTATTTTAGATGCAGCGCAGTTATCGAATCGGCATACTAAACGACGTTGATTCCAGTGAGAGGATTAAAATAATAGGAATAATAAAGGGAGATAGTGCAATGAACAAATCTAATCAGGATGTCAAGTGTACAGAGTACTCTGCAAATGATAAACACCATTATTGCGAGGGTTCATGGCGCATTTCTCCAAAATAGGCGCTTGACATTCATGACCCGGTCAGAATGTGCGACTATCCTGTCACTCCAACCCCACATATCCCTTGAAGCCATCGAAATGCACGCAGAGGTCAGTAATAATCATAAGGACTTATTTACGGAGTACTACACCACGGAAAATGCGTACCTGGGATGATTTTTGTTTCCCAGTACTGATTGCTGCATGGTTAAGTATCACCATCCCCATCGTCCTTTCTGTTTGAATAACTTGAAAGTCAGAGTGATACAGAGGGGAATAGCACGCACTCTACTAGTACCAGTCCCTTTCAAATTCCTCCAAAGTCCAAACTATGGCACGGACCGACCGCTGTCGCAAAAATGCTGCTGATTTGCTGCCCTGGAAAAATTCTCCACCTGGCGCGTATTCTGTAGTATCTATTGGATTTGGAATTTGTAGGCACGATGGATTATTGTGGGCCAGAGCTTACTAGTGTTCTTGGCAGCACGGATAAGAGGGTTTCCCAGCGGTTGCCCAAATACTTGAAAGTAATGAGATGGCAGTCAGCTAAGGGAGAAATGTAAATGTCAGTTAACATAAGGTAACTGTAGGAGGTACAAAGGAGTAAGGATAGTAGAGTTAAATTAATAGGAGGGAGCAAAGGAAGCCAATTGCAAAGTGCTATCGCACTTTGAGCTTCACGATGGGTTGGGAGAGAGCCCAATCAAATCTCGCCTTCCAAGAACTGAAGATAACACGATCACGCCGAGGCGCGGATCCGAAAGACAATCGGTCATCTGTGGGTTGGAGAATGAAGACAAATAGGGTGGATGCCGGTCTTTTGACGCTTTTTACTGGTTGTAGTAGCCCAGGATCTCAGTGAAGGCGTTAAAAAGAAATTAAGGTCCTAGTATTCTCACAAAGTCAGTAATGATATCCATGGTAGCTGTAACTTATTTTACATCTTTAGAGATACTTCCAGACAGCGTTGGACTTATGGTGGGTGAGCCTGGGTTGTTACCTAAAGCCAGCATTGATGGTGGACGGAACGATCATTTCCGTGATGATCTACAGAGAATTTGATCATAAGATACAGAAAGGTGTGGCAGTGGTGGTGCAAACAGTTTTCCAGAGATTACACAGGATGGTAATATCTATTGACAGAGTGGAGGGGGGGAAGAAAGAGCAGTAAAAAAATAAAATAAAGATAATGAAAAGAATCACAAGTATGGAACTACAGTCGGTGTATATCCATTCTACCTTGTCAATATAGTTCTGTAATATCCTCCTGCAAGACCGTGATCGTTTAATCACTCGCGCCGTATAGCAGAAGGCCTGAAATTCAACCAACCCCTGGTGTTACCCCGCTTATGCTCATTAGGGAAGCGCCAGCCCCGTATGGACACCCCGTAAATGGATGGATGGACTGCAATACACACGCCATACATACATCGGACTGCTACCTCAGAATCTGATAGACGAGGAGCTTGCAGGGCTAAGATTCTTAGGTAACCGCTCCCAATAAACCGTTGGCAGATATTTTGTTGGTGTCCCGTTGCAAAACTAAGGAGATGAACCCATACTTAGACAATTTTTTCTAGTGGATTGTTATTTCTCGAGTTAGTCCCATCAGTCCCCCATTTGGTTAGCAGGTAGCTATACGGGGAAATAGGTAAAGTAGGTAGCTAGCTATGGTAACAAATGTCTCTATAATGTAATTCCAAGTGTTTAAGGCACAAGGACTGGGTAGGAACATCTCCATCGTGAGATCCATGTTTGGATGAGTTAGTATTGCCTTAATGGGAGATGGACAATGACAATTATAGCCGTCAAATAGCGGCATCTAGGGGCATTACCAAAACGCTAAAATACGGAGAAAATGCTGCAAGAAAATGGACGACTAACCGTCCTGAGAAGGTTGCTGCTTGTGTTCTTCTTTTCCCTGTTCGATACTCTTGGAGTCCTCCAGTTAGAATTTAATCTTGTCGACAAACCCAGTTCTGCAGAGGGCCCTGCATGCCCTCCGACCACTTTGGTCCAGACCCCGTAGCAAATCACCTAAGTGGTATGTAAATACTACGAGTAGGTTAGTAGGAAGTAGTAGTCCAGTCCTTTCATACTATAGAGGGGACTATTAGCACAGTCTCCAGTTAAGATATATTACGTTAAGATACCCAGCGGAGTCCTTGCCTTTACTTGGTGTGCCTCCCCTCTTGCTCGGACGTTTCCCCCTTCCACCCTTCTCTAGCCAGGACTCTCAAATTGGCTAGCCAGACAAGGAGCTACTGACAGCCACCATCCCCGTGTGTTTAAGATATTTTTCTAACCGGGCAACTCGGTCTCCATACCGGCAGTAATGACCCCCGTTTGATTTGGTTTGATTTGGTTTTATTCCAGTATCCATTCATCCAGCGAGCCCATCACCAGCCATCAATCATCTTACCAACCCATTGAAAACACCCAGAGCTTTCGCTGCTTCGACTTTGTTTTCCCACCAGTGATTTCCATCTTTTTTCCCATCATTAATTGCCCCCGAAATATTCCCCCTACCCGCCTTTTTCACCGGACTACTCTACCTGGTAGGTACAACTCATACTTACAACATCCATACCCCGTTATACCCCGTTTTACATAAATACAACCATCCACCACCTCCTCTCCTCCCCCCACGTGACGCCCCCCAAAGGCTCTCTCACGCCCTCCACGAGCAACTCACTCACCTGCGAATCTCTTTAGGGACTCGCGGTTGCTTATGATTTTTATGATCATTTATCGCCCGGCCTTCAGGATTTTGGAGGGTGGATTATCTGGACGCTCCGTTTGCCACGAGTCCTGGTGCTGAGCACTAGTCTCAATTAAGGCGGTGGTCCCGGTCCGCGAGCTGAAGCGACTGTTGGAACCTCCTGTACCTTTCTCTGCCTGCCTACTATCCAGGAGGCATATCTTCGCACACTTTTCGAGCCCGCCTCGTCTCCCCCCGTCTCGGCGGAAACCCTGGTGGTGATCAAGCCAATATTCTCTGATCACAACCAATCTCTCTCATCCTTTCTACGCCCTCGAATTTCGTCGCTTGTGTCCGTGAACCTCGCCCTGCTACCCTCAATGCTCGGAGGGAGCTCGGAGCGAGATTCTCCATCATCGAACTTAAAGGCCCCGACGGGAGAAGTTCCCATGTCTGTCGCGACGAGTCAACCCGACTCAGGTAAGTCTCTCATGTGGCTGCGATCATGTCGTTGTCAAGTCTCTTGTTGTCTAATGTTGCTACTGTTAGATCCGGAATCCTCGCCCCACGGCCATGTCCCTGGTACAGATGTGTCTTTCCCTTCAGATCGTTTAGGATCCCCCGAGACTGCTCAATCCCCTGTCGCATCCACTCAGGCCTTTGAAAGTACTTCCACAACAAACCTGGCGGATGCACCCAAGAAACAGCATCTGCTGTTGCCTGTTCCATCGCATACATCCTTGAAAGCAGACAAACAATCAACATCGGAGAATGCCCACGATACCGCCAATGATGATTCAGAGAACACGCTCCGAGGATCGAGGAGGAGTATTCTAAAAGGTCGAAGGGACCGGAGTAGAGGAAGTAGCTTCAGATCTCGGCGGCAGAATCCAGAGGCAGCGAGCATCGAGGAAAACAAGACAGCAAGTCCTGACTTACGCGACTCGACAAAGTCGGAGAAGAAGAGCAAAGTATCCTCCAGACTATTGGCCTTCTTGAGTTGTTGTTCGTCTTCCTCCAATGTTGATCCCGAGGATGCTGCAGTTCCTCCAAAGAGGACGTCTCGACGGCAATCGGTCCCGATCACGCAGTCGACTCCGGAAAAGGCAGACGCTAACACCGGGGATTCAAGCACTGCAGAATCCAAGGAACCAAGCTACTTTCGCGATGAGAAGCCCAATGCCACTGTGACACCGGATCAGACACCGTTCCAAGTGGATGAGGAACGGTCTGTCAGGCCTCTTGATCAAAATCCGCAAGTTGACGGTGCAGCACCCTCGCTGGACAAACCTGAATTTGGTCCCGAAACGCCTTTGAAACAGGATTACGAAAGGCATAACCCTGATGAATCTCACAGTCATCAAATCCCCTCTGGCTCTGTGTCGGAGAAGACCGAGGATTCAATTCAAAAGCCTGAGGACCACGCTTCCGTAGCAACGACAACAAACAAGGCTGAAGATACATATAGGGACAGCGATGGGGCGATTGCTAACTCAACTGACGACGAAGTTGGTCCAAAAGACGAGAAATATCCTACCCATGAGGAGGATGCTATGAAGCTACCTACAAAGTTGCCTCCTCCCCCACCGCTAATTCAGACGGGGAAGCAAGCGCAGCTCGGGCAACAGGAGAGACAACCACAGCAGTGGTTGTTGCCACCACCTCTGCCTCAACTGCAGAACCGAAAATGCCTGGTTCTGGATCTGGATGAGACACTTGTTCATAGTAGCTTCAAGGTAAGTTTAGTTTGGTCCTGCCTTCGTAGCAGCTCTTTGCCATTAGTATTTCTTGGCTGACATACCTACAGGTTCTCGAACGCGCCGATTTCACCATTCCTGTTGAAATTGAAGGCCAATATCACAACATCTACGTGATCAAACGACCTGGTGTCGACCAGTTCATGAAAAGAGTCGGAGAGCTGTATGAAGTGGTGGTGTTTACAGCATCTGTCTCCAAGGTAAGTAACCATCCATCTTTAGAAGTTATGTTTACTAAATGGCTCAAAGTATGGGGATCCCTTATTGGATCAATTGGACATCCACAATGTCGTCCACCATCGTCTATTCCGGGACAGTTGCTATAACCATCAAGGCAATTATGTTAAGGTAAGCACAGCCCATTATATGACCCGCATATTATTAACGCCCATGTAGGATTTGTCCCAAGTTGGTCGCGACCTTCAAGACACTATCATCATCGATAATTCTCCGACATCGTATATATTCCACCCCCAACACGCGATACCTATCAGCAGCTGGTTCTCTGACGCCCACGATAACGAGCTTCTTGATTTAATACCCGTCCTCGAAGACCTTGCCAGTACACAAGTGAAAGACGTTAGCCTGGTTCTCGACATCGCTCTATAATGTCTGTAACTCTAGACCTAGCATTTCCATCTACAGCGTGCTTGATTGGTTTTATTTGTCTTGCGGGTCACCTGGGTGGCTAAAGAAAAGAAAACAAGAGAAAAGAAGAAGGAAAAAAAAAAAAAATGAAGAAGAGTACAAGATGGCTTTCAACCAATTTCTTTTGTTTATCTGCACATTCACTCTTGTCAGCAGAAGCGCATCAAAAGCGAACAGCGTTGAAGATCTTCAAAAAAGACACTGCGACGGGCGCTGGGTGTGTATGAATCTTCCATTTCCTTATTCCCCTCCAATACCTGGATATGTCTTTTTGTTGCGCTCCAAGCGAGCATATACCTTGTTTCCTTGCTATTTTGATCTGGGCACATTGAACGCCCGTTGTTTTATTTTGCATTCTGCAGGCGTCAGTTTTGGCAATCAGCTGAAATGTTGCTGATCTCATGTATACTCACTTGGTTGATTTACATTCTCTCTTTTACCCATTCTCTCTCATCTGCCTGCCTTTTTTCCCTTCTTCCTTTCCCTCTCTGCAACGCATTTCCCAGAGGGGCTTGACACTGCTGTTCTATCTATTTTCCTTTCTCGTTCTTTGACCCCAAGCCAGCGCATCCTGTCAGCCATGATTTATTTTGGAGACCTCACTAGCGGGTGACATGTCATATATGTCGCAGTGTGCATATCACTGTTTCTGGTACCTTTAATAGGTTTTCATTGATCCAAGATCTTGATTATTGGTGGCCTTGCTATGTATATGTATCCTTAGCGTATGTGCTGTACATAGAAAAGTATTGTTCTTCAATACAGCATCCGTGAGTCTCTAGCGCTTTAAGTAATCTAAGGTCATGTTATTGTAAGGTGTGGATGTGATGAATGATGCGAGCGGACGAAACAGGAGGCCGCGGGGACCAAGCATTTCTGCCTCAAGTACCTCTGATCCATTTATTCTTCATGAGCATCGATTCTTCTGCATCCCATCCAAACCGTCGACCATCTCCGTCAAACGTCGCCTCTAGGAACCAGATATTCTTTGCTTGCATTTATTCGCTCTTTCTTTCTGGACCTCTTATCCTCTGGGCTCTTCCGATACTGTAACCCGACCCACTTTGTGCTAGAAAAAGCTCCCCGCACCACGTCGGTCTCCCACCGACAGCACCTTCATCACCGCAACAATGAAGGACAGCAAAGGATGGGACGGGAAGTTGCGAGTCGAACCGAAAGCCACCATTACCAACCCAGAGGCTTTAGAGGATCCCGGTTATTCGGATTCTGACGCGCCCCCTGTGGAGGAAATCAACGCGGATGAGGGTAAGTCTTGCAACAAGTATGCAGCAGGCTTAGGGTTCTCTAATACCTGCGTGTAGATTTACTTGAAGATGAGGATAAGGACACAGAGGTATGGTTATCTGTGATCCTTTGTTTCAATTGATTATTCGTTAGACTCGCGTCTGCTTCGCAGAAGCTCACCGGTACAACAGGATATCGACCTTGTCCACTGTCGCATAACTTCCATCCCTGCTCTACGGCTAGAACGATTCCATAAAGTACAGGTATGTGATTGGTATTCTGAGTGATGGGCCTGGATGATGATTGACATATTGCTTTGGTAGAGGATATGTCTTCGGCAGAATCAAATATCGCGCATCGATTTTCCTTCCAACGTCGCAGCCTCTTTGCTTGATCTCGATCTTTATGATAATTTGATCTCACACGTCAAGGGACTTGACGACTTCCGGGGACTGACGAGTCTGGATCTCAGCTTTAATAAGATCAAACATATCAAGAATATCTCCCATCTTGTTGGACTGACGGATCTGTATTTCGTGCAAAATAAAATATCGCGGATTGAGGGGGTAGAGGGACTTACACTGTTGAGGAATCTGGAGTTGGGAGCGAATAGGATCAGAGTATGTTGGGCAATTCTGTTCAAGGGTTATGGATAATAAAGGTGACGATGGTTGACATGGTCTAGGAAATCGAGAACCTCGAAACGCTAACCTCGCTGGAAGAACTATGGTTGGGAAAGAACAAAATCACAGAGTTGAAGGTACAGAAGCCACCTTGTGATCCTTATCATTTCCCTGTCTAACAAGGACCAGAACCTGGATGCGCTCCAGAACCTTCGAATTCTCTCCATTCAATCGAATCGACTCACGTGCATCAGCGGCCTTTCCAATCTTCTGAACCTCGAAGAACTCTACGTATCGCATAATGCCATCACCGACCTAAGTGGGCTGGAGTCGAACTCCAACCTCCGCGTTTTGGACTTCTCGAATAACCAGGTCTCCAAGCTCGAGCACCTCTCAGCACTAAACAAACTTGAAGAGCTATGGGGCTCCAACAATCAACTGTCGAGCTTTGAGGAGGTCGAGCGCGAGCTGAAGGATAAGGAGAACCTGAAGACTGTGTATTTTGAGGGTAATCCGTTGCAGACCAGGGCGCCGGCTTTATATCGGAATAAAGTGCGGCTGGCTATCCCACAGATCATGCAGATTGATGCTAGTAAGTGTATCTATGTTTTGGCTTATAAATATGCTAACGGATATAGCGTATTTGCGAGTTGCCTAATATATGGAAGTACTGGTTTTGGATTGACTACGGCATGGACTGCAGTCCATTTATATCGCATACTAAATTAATCAAGAAATGGTATATCTAGAAACCAAGGGGTATATCCAACGTGTCTGACAGACGGTGTCCCAAATTACGCCACAAAACAATTCTATATAATCTGAACGCCACAAGATAACTCAAGATAGATATATCAAGCACACAGGGGTAGGATGAAGTGGAGGAAGGATGGGGGGACTCCCCATGAGAACTCTTCATAAAATCAACCCTTTTGGTTCTGTTTTCGTTTCTTCCACCTCCTCATCCTACCCCTGATATCCATATCCAACCCTTCAATATTCCTCGCATTATCCGTCTCCCGCGTATACCTCTTATACTTCGCATCATCCATCCCCGCCATCCCATCCGTAAGCCTCAATTCCTCCTGCGTGTCCATTTCCTGCTTCGTTTTCGCTTTCTCTAGTCTAAACCCCTCCTTATACATCTCCTGCAACGACAGTCCGACATGCTCTCTCCATCTGCCCTTCGAATGCGCCGGTTTCCATCGAACCGGCACATCTGCCAACTCCTTCAGCGGGATACCCGTCTTCATCAAATCCACCGCATGGTAACTATCCCCCTGGACGTAGAATCCTCGATAGCACGGGTTGCGATTCAGCGCCGACATATGGTTATGTCGTGATGGTTGGAGGGAGCAGGTCAGTATCCGCGGACGGGTCCGTGGCGCGGGGGTGTCTGATCCTGGTGATGTGCTCCAGGGGTCAACCCGGGAGGGTCTCTCCGTGATAGAAGTGGAAGGGGAGGAGGAGGACGGAATGGGGATGGAAAGAGGGGTGTCGGCGATGGCGGATTTGGCGGATTGAGGGGAGTCGTAGATTAGGATTGTGTTTTGGGATGCGGTGGGGGAGGTATGTGTTTTGTCGTACTTTTCATTTTATAGCCATGTGTTAGTAGAGTAAATGATAGGATAGGAATAATTGGTAGTGCTAGGATTAGTGGGATCTATGTACCTTGAGATTGCGAAAAGTGACGACCTCGCCGTATTTCTGCAGTGCAGATAAGACCAGTTTGCTCTCGGAGATGGACCGAGGAGCCGGGTTGATGGTAACATGCACTGATTCAGAGGCCAGACGGCCGAGTGGTTTGGCCATGCTGTGGGTTGCGTTGGTGTGAGGTGTCTGTCTGGTTGAAGTTGGAGAACCTTGCATATCGGGTCTTGGCGCGATCTTATCTTATCGCTCTCTGTACTATCGTTGATTCATACGTCTACATTGTTTTAGAAGAATATACTATGCATTATATGCCCATTCTATCTATTTTATTATATCGACAGACTAGGGGTATTCCTGACATGTACTCTAGAAGATCGGAGCGTAGATACCATACTAACAGCCATTAGTCCACATCAAGATGAATCACTAATAAAAAAGGGTAACTTACGCTGGGAGGATCGTTAAACCGCAATCCAATATCCAACGAGCCAATCGCCTCCAGCTCACTCTGATCGAGATCCCACCCCGTAACAGCCAGATTCTGAGCTAACCTCGCCGGATTATTACACTTCGGAATAACAGCGATATTACGCTGCGTAGCCCACCGCAGGAGTACCTGCGCCGGAGTCTTCCCATATCTCTCGGCAATGGACCTGACCGTTGTATGCTCAAACAGCGGCGGCGTGGTTTGCGCTCGCTTGGCCTCCAACTCTAGGAAACTCAACGGCCCGAAAGACGAATATGCCGTGACGGCGATTCCTTCCTTCTGGGCATACTCGACCAATCGGGGCTGGGTGAGATACGGATGGTGTTCGATCTGCAGGGTCGCCGGGCGCACGCGCGCATAACGCAGGAGATCCATGAGAAGTTGCGAGCTGAAGTTGCTTACCCCGATGCTGCGGGTAAGGTTCTTGTCGACGAGAGATTCCATCGCTGCCCAGGTTTCCTGGATCGTGGCGGAGCTGAATTCCAACTTGTCTGACTCAGACATCCACCCGGGAGGATAGCGCACGGCTGGGTCCACGTACTTGAGGGCGATGGGGAAGTGCACGATGTACAGGTCGAAGTAGTCAACACCCCAGTCGGATAGCTGCTTGCGGCAGATGGGCTCGACGCGGTCGCCTTCGTGGAAGCTGTTCCAGAGTTTCGAAACGATGAAGAGTTCCTCGCGCTTCACGAGACCCTCCTCAAGTGCGCGCTTGACGCCTTGGCCGCATTCTACTTCGTTGCCATAGTCTGTACCCGGGAGATGGGTGTGTTAGTCGGGAAAAAGATACTAGATGCTATGTATGTAACATACCGCAAGCACCGTCAAAGAGACGGTATCCGGCCTTGATAGCTTCGTAGACCTGGTCGGCACAGGTGTCATTGTTCACTTTCCAGAGACCAAACCCAACGAGGGGCATGTTATGTCCGCTGTTCAGCTTGATAGTGGGGGAAGCCATTATGACTCAGTGGACGGGACGCAGGGAGTAGAGGGAGAACAGGGAGAGAAGACAGGAGACCTGCGCTATAGTTTTCATCTATTTTGTACTTTCCTTTTAATTTTGTCTCTCCCTTAGTTCCTCAGGATGAATGCGAAGACAGCCGGAAATGGTGAGGCTAAATCAAATGGTGAAAAGTTGGGACCGGCTAAAGTCCTGGCTAAATTAAATTACGCAATGAAACCATGGTTAAATAACTGCGGTTGATATCCTCAATAAAAATACACCCATCACTCGAAACGTCCTCCAAAATGGATATTAGTATACACTTTTTACTGCCATTATCATCATCAAATAGTAACCAATGTCCCCCGTGTCCACTCTCCTTCGCGTCTTTATTAGACCGTCTCGACCGCGTTCGTCTCGGTATACGCGGAATTGGCATGATCGGGACCGGCCCCATTCATACCAGGATCACCGGGAATATGTCCAACAAGCTTATCGATCAGGTCATCGGGTCCTATCAGCTCCGCGAAAGTGTTCGACTGGTGCGATTCTCGTGACACGGGAACTTGGCTCTCGGATGATGGAAACTGGAGATGAGTGTAGTTGTTGGAGCCAACGTCGCCGGGGATCGTCGTCGACGGTGTGGACCATGCCGCATGACTATGTCCCATCTCGTCAATTGACTGCGATCCAGACCCAAAAATATTGTTCAACACATTTCCATTGTCCTGGTAGTGTCCATCATGGCCCATATTGTATCCGCTGAGATTCGGATGGGACAGGATGTCGGGGACGTGGAGCATCACGGGTCCGCCGCTGGAGCCGTTGAGGTGAGCTGGCTGGCTGGTTTCTTGCGGTGGTAAGTTAGGAAACGAATCTATTACTGACGTGACCGCCGTTTTGTCCCCGAGCCCATCCTCTGCCTTGGTAATTGAGTTTAGAAAATCAAAGTTCCCAGTTGAGCCGAACATGTTCTCCTGCGGTGGCTGATAAAGAGGCCACGGCGGTTGTGAGGTCCCAGTATGATGCAGCAGGTCGTGGTGCTGAGGAGCATTGTAGACGCTGGGAGCCGGCTTGTTCAACAAGATCGAGTCAAGTGACAAGGGTGGGAGGTCGATTCCGGTTGCTGGCCGGGGGCTATTCGTCGTGGTTCGATCTGGTGGAGGAATCAGCTTCCGCCATGTCGTCGTTCCTACCTCCCCAGGCCTTGTCTGGCGGAATTTCCAGAGCAAGATGACCACTGGCACACTTTCCTCCTCGGGCAGCCCAGAGTACGAATGTGAGTGTCGCCGAGGAGCCGGAGGTGTGGCCCTGATCTCTTGGACCGCTGACATCGTGCGGAAGAACTGCCTTGATTGCTCATCAGCAGCTTCTTGTTGTTCAGGCTTTTCCGCTACTTGCTTCTCTTGAGTGAGCTGGGTAAAAAGCTTAGCCCACCACATAGATTCAAAAAGCGGCGTCACCTTGGTCGACGACGGCTTAGAAAGCTTCTTATTAGCATGTGTCATTCGCTGACCATTATCATATATATAGGTGCTGCAGGTCCAATTCTCCATGTGGCTAACCATAGGCGCATCATTTGTAGCGGGATGTGCGAAATCTAATTCCATCTGGATCCCTAGTCTGGAGCCAGAAGGAGGGAAATCGTCCATCAAGTCAAGGTTGGCTTCGAGGTAAACGATCTCGCAATTCAATGGACGGCGTAGGTCTGCCATCAACGAACTAAGATAAGGAAAACTAGTACGCCAGCCCGTGAGGTTTTCCAATGGGGCTGGCGGCGCAATGGGAAGACGTTGGTCTACTTGAAGGCGCGTGTATATATGTAGAGCGTTTTCGATAAGATCATGCCGATTTGGAGCGTTCACCCACATCTCAAAGCTAAGACCATGGACCGTGTTGACTGTGGGGTCTCGCATGGTTGGATTCAGAACGAAGTGGGGGGGTGGTAACTCCCCGGCATAGGGCTGCACCATTCTCAAGTGATCATTGTAGGGATTGTGCAGATGGTGCCCATAGTGACTTGACAGAGGATGTTCTACGGGGTTCCTCCATTTGGGACCGATCGAATGAGTGTGACTGCCCGAACGATCCGCGGGCTGTTCTCGCACCAGCCTTTCCCCTGGACCAAAGTGGTTAGCTGTCTGGATCTTAAGGCAACATGCCATAAAGTGACTTACAATCCGGATCTCCTTTGAGAAAAGAGTCAAGGACCTGTAAGTGACTGGAGACTTGCTTCCTAGTTCTCCTTTTGCCCGTGGCCTTGTAGATAAATTCGGCAATCAGCTCGTTTCGGCCATACGATTTCCCGCGTTCAGACCACTTCCTTCTACCCATTGGAGGATTTGCCTCAAGAGCTAAGCAGGGTTAGTTTCGGTTGTCCTGTATGCAAGGAAAGCAGGGTCATCCCACCTTGTTGAAAAGCATCCTCGAGCTCGTCTGACCATACGGGTTCTCCATCCTTCCCCGTGTCCCGTCGAGGACGTGCCCTATATTCCAGATACTTTTGAGATTTCAAATAGCTTCTTGCTCTACGAGGCCCAACTAGACTGGGTCCGAATGACTGCAAACGTCTCAGTTTCTTCGCTTGGAATCGATTGGCAAGGACCTGCGGATGATGGAGACTGGGAGCAGTTTGCAATGGGTGGGTTGGGACCGGAGGGTGCTGAGGGTACTTGACGGCATATTGTGACGGATGGCCATCCCGCACAGTAGTATCGCTGTATGCTAAGCTGTCCGAATATGATTGTACATTCCCAGAGGTATTTTGAAGAGCCCGGTCTGAATGGGCTGATATACTCTCAAGTGCTGGTGGATTGGGAGGTACCATGCAGCCGGGTTGCCAGTCAGTCGCCATGAAGCGGACCACTTAGGACTAATAGGCTCCCAGAAGAATGACAGATTCCAAAGCAAAGGGAGCTCAAAGGCCGCGAAATGTTTACTGCCAGGCAGACGGCACTGCGATGGCAAAACAGCGATCAAGAACGTAAATGCTGGAAGAGAATGTAAGAACTTGAGAAAGAGAATGTGGGAGCGAAGAAGCATGGTGTTTATAGGAATTCATTTCCTCCCTTAGAGGGGAGCAGTTACATTGCTGGATCACGCTGCTTGTTTAGATAGCACCCCCTCGAGGACCACCTATACTGTCCAAGGCGGGGTCCCTTGTCTTGAGCTTCACGCGTCTCGACGAGAGAGATGAGGGAAAGAAACCAGTGGCCGCCTTGTTACAGCAAATCAGGAGGGAAGAAAGTGCACGAATGCACCAGCGGAGTTCGATGCAAGGGGCAGCTGCTCCGTGGTTTTGTGCTTCCCCTACCAGAGCGAACATTGATTGTCACTAACCAAGCAGATACAGAACAGTAATGGCGAGCAACAGTGTGGCAGAGACCACCCTTAGGAATGCAACGCAGCCAACGAACGGCACCTATTGCCATGGTTGAGGAATGTGACATTGTTTACAAAATGGTGTACGGGAATGTAGGAAGCAAACCAAGCTTGGGCCCTTAGCTGGTTGATATCCAGGGTTCATAAGATACTAGATGGTGTAAAAAATAGAGGGAGAGAACTCTAGAATTGGCAAGGCATGAGAAGCCCCAGATTGGGGATGAGACCATGAAAGCTCGATTAAGATGCACGAGGCGACAGAGGCTCTGCAGGAACGCGTATGCATGCAGTGACAGCAAGAACGTGTTGACCTGCTTCCGCACTCAACATCAGCCAAGCAAGGGGGCGACATCACGGAAACCACACCATTGCAACCCGTCCCTATCCGCAGGGAGAAGGGACTTTAGTCCTCGACTTCCTCCTGGGCCCCTACAGTAAATTTCTTGCGCCCAGTTCCCGTGAGCTTTTGTAGTTTGACCCTGTCCAGCTGTTCCCCTACTTTCTTTTCGATTTGCTCGATCTCTTGCTCGGGATCGACAGCCTCCTCGTTTGCAAATTCCAACACCAATCTTCTCCCCAGGAGATGGGTGTTCTTCAGCGCGTCCATGGCATTTTCCGCTTCGCGAGCGCTTACGAAGTCGGCAAAACCAAAACCACGAGCAGACCGATCAAATTTCTTAGGCACCCGCACAGAGCGGAGCTGTCCATAGGCCCCAAAGAGTGATCTGACGTCTTTCTTGGTCGCCTGAAATGGCAAGTTTTTGATGATGATTTTGGTCCTTCTTGCTGCAATTTTCTTCGCAGTATCTTCTCGCCTTCGTTCTTCGGCAGCATCCAGACCTTTATGAGACGTCCTAATTACCAATTCATGTTGATCCAGATTAAAGCCCTTCATGGCAGCAAGAGCAGCCTTGGCCTGTTCCTTCGTCCTAAAGTCCACAAATCCAAAGCCCATACTGAGTGTCTGACCAGGCTTCTTAGGATCAGGCTTGGTTTTGACCTTAGCAGACACAAAGCCATCCAGCGGCCGAAAGGCTTCCACGAATTTTTCATTTGTTGTGGAGAAATTAAGGTTCTTTACGAATAGAGTTGAAGTGGTCGTCACTTCTTCAGGTTCTCCTGCCGCAAAAGTGTCGGCAGTCGAGAACCCTTGCGTGACAGCCTTGGTTTCCAAGGCCGATTTCTGCAGGACTGGTGGCGCCTCAAATAAGTTCTTGGGTGCCTTTTCTAGAAAGAGAATTGAATCCCCGAGTTTCCGATAAGCGAGACCCTTGAAGGCTTTCTGCGCTTCATCAGGTCTCGTAAACTCAACAATAGCTATTGTACCACTGGGAGGCATTAGCAGTCTGGTGAGTTGACCATACGGTTCAAACAACTTCCTGAGGTCATCAGTTTTGACGCCATATGAGAAATTTTTTACTAAGATCGCCGTGTTTCCACGTTCTCGCTGCTTGAATGCGTCAAGATTGACCCCATTCGCAGTGAAGTAGGCTTTTGTTTCCTGGATAATATGTGTTTCAGCATGGGCTTGCTTTATCGCAGCGTCCGCTGAAGTAGGATCTAGAAGATCAGACTTCGAGACACCTAGTCGTTCCGCTACTGAGGACATGACAGCATCAGCCTGTATGAGGTTTGTTAGCACGTCGTATATCCAAGTCTGTCCCAAGGTAACTCACATTCATGTAGAGAGAGTTCCAGCTGAAAGCGGAAGAAGCATCCATCTTCCGCTTAATTTGTTTTTGTTTCTTCAAGGGTAATTTTGACAGTTCATACTCGTCAATTTTGTAAGATTTCTTCGCCGAAGCTGGCAGGATGTGGAGCAGGCGACCCTGGAAATGCTTCCCATCGAGGCCTTTGTAAGCCTCTACAGCTGCATCAGGGTCAACATACTGAACGTAAGCGAATCCCTTACTGGTGCTGGACCTAGTATCGAATGCGACATGGATCTGAAAACGTTAGCAGATACTCATTGGGTACTGTGTTTTCACAAATGAATATCAGAGGCGTGCAAGTTGCTTTTTCAGATAATAAGAGGCATCTACTAAAATTCTCTATCCTGTTCACATCATTTGCTTTTGCATCTGATGTCCCTATCAGGAATATCATCATTTAAACAACCCCTCAAAATGGATACTTGCATAGGGTCTCATATTTGACAGGCTTGGGGCAAGAAAGAAAATGAAAAATAAAAGTAAAAATAAACTCACCTCTTCAATCTTCCAAAAGGAGCAAACAACGGATCAAGATCAGACTCTTTGATGTCGTAAGCCAGGTTTCTTACGAAGAGACGTGAGGATAAACGGATGTTCTCGATATTCATATCCACCTCTGGTACTTCAACCGTTTTAGCAGTATCAGTATCAGGTGGCAACGCACTATCCTCAGGCTTGGAAGAGGGTGCCTTCAGATCAGGCTTTGGCCCCTCAGAGGCAGTAGTTGCTTTCTGTTGCTTGGCAGAATCAAATTCTGCTCGCTCCTCATCGTCCAGAAGATCAAGAAGACGACTTGTCCTCGACCGAAGCCAATCAGAGTCAGATACGGGCTGCTCTTCGGGCTTGGGAGCAGTCGAGTCATCCTGTTCTGCTACATGCTCGGCAGATTGCCCACTCGTTCCTTCGTCCACAATCATGGGCTCAGGAGAGGCACGCCCCTGATGACTGCTAGCCGGTAGCTCGCCATCAACGCCTTGAGATGCGACCTTCGCTCGTTTCCTTTGGGCATAAGTGAGATCTTGTGGGTATTCAGCGGCTTCAGCAGGCTGATCCTTCTTCGATTCTTCTGCAGTAGGGTTGAATATATCATCATTGGCCCAGGTCTTAGTATTGGACGAGTGTTGCATAAGAGAGAGATATTCCTGCAACTTAGGGTCCTGCCGAAGATCTTCTCCATCTCGTTTACGCTTAAGCGTGCCATCTGTGGGGATATCATTGGATTTGTTATTTTTGCCAGACTTGTCAGCATTACGAGTAGACTCGGAATCGATCTAAGATAACTCTGGTCAGTCTAAGGACGACCTTTACTGGTCAGCGTGCGCAACAGTGAATAAGGAAAAGGTAAGGAGGCAGTAGTCCAACGCAAGTGAGCCACATACCGGTTTAGCAATGTCTACTGAGATTTTCGACATCTTCACGTATGTCTTATTGAAATACCGAGCGGCTTCCTGAGCGACCTCGGAGCTTTTAAAACCCACGAAGCCAATCCTGCGTTTGGGCAAGACATGAGCATCGGTGACCTGGAAGCGAGTGGCAAAATGCTTCCTAAGTTGGTCATTGGAGAATGTTGGCGGAAGGCCAGAAACAAATACTCTTGTACTCTCCATGGTTTGTGTGTCCAGTGGCTTGTTTCCAATGCCACGGAAAATGGATGGAAAAGATTCCAGAAAAAATTTTTTTTTTTTTTTTTTTTTTTGGCTATGTAGTACTATATAGTACCGAGGGCGGTGAGAGTCATGGACTTGGCCCGTGCTTGTCCACGCGGAGGCTCCTCCTCGCGCGCAAAACATCCCGACTCCCCATTGTCTTAGAGACAGTCGAGAATTTGAACGGTCTCTTCATTAGGCTACATTATCTTATCCAAGTCTATCAACCACTCTATTCGATCTTCAAAATGGCTACCGAGAAGAAGGACAAGCTTGAGCGTATGTGTTCCATCTGGGCAATGTGACCCGAAGAGCTAACATGACGTCTAGCGCAAATCAAGTCCGTTGATATGGTAAGGATGTTTTGATATGGTGGTACTAGAGGATTGACGCTCATAATGTGGCAGACGGATGATATGCAGCAAGAAGCTGTTGAAGTCGGTATGGATGCTTAGAATCAGTTCAACCAGAGTGGCCAACTACTAATTTCTTAGCGATTGAGGCGATGGACAAATACCACATTGAAAAGGTTAGTCTGGGTTGTCATGATGAAATAAACTGGGTTAATCAAGTTAACTATTTGTAGGATATCGCTCAGTACATCAAGAAAGAAGTCCGACCCCTCTCCTCAACCATTCCGTGACCTGGACGTGGCTCACCGATTACAGTTTGACTCACGCAAAGGAGCAACATGGCATTGTGTGGTTGGAAGAAACTTTGGCAGTTTTGTGACGCACGGTACGTCTCGAGACGCATATGTCTTGGATACCGCTAATTCAATTCAGAAACGAAACACTTTATTTACTTCTACCTGGGACACTGCGCCATTCTTCTCTTTAAGACCCAATAAACAGTCAACCGGCAATGGATATTATTCGCTATATGATTCAGACGAAAGTCTGGTCCTTGAGCGTATTATCCGGTTCCGTGTCTGGACGAGACCAGAACGGTGGAACATGCAGAGCGGAGCCGAGAGAAAAGCCATGCCACGAGATTATATCTTATTCCAGATCCATGATCGTCGCTTAATCGTATATCTGGAGTTGGGCTGTGGCAGCAAATTGGATGGGTTTCTACTTTCTTCAGCGACATTTTTATTTATATCTTCGTTCATCACCTATTTTATTTCATTTTTTTTTTTTTTTTTTTTTTTTTTTTTCCTGGTTTCGGGTTCAACTTATGAGTAACTTCGAAAAAGTTTAGCACACATATTTCATTTGCTGAAGTAGCGATGTACGTTCTTGAGCAAGTGCTGATAGAGTATAGTTGACCGCAGGATTAGGACCTGTTCATCCTGAACATATTGTTCTGTGCATATTTACATTTACAGGAGGTTGACAGGATTTCAATACCTAATTATTGTACAAATCATTAGCTATCCAAGCGCGTTTAATATATATTTACATAGCCCCGGTTGCTCTGGTTATAATAAGGTTCTAATACTACATATTTATATTTCTTATAAACCAATCATTTGACGCTATATCCCTCATTAAACAGCTATTTAATAATTAAGAATCTATCTTATAACCAGACTTTCCTGCACTAGAAACTCCTATTACTCCGTACTCCGCACCTATCACTGCCAAGTGCCAAGCCACAACGCCACACGTCAGCCCCTAGAATCGGCGCTGCCTACTCCCTACTTTTTCCAACGCCCACTTCCACAGCATCCTATCATCCTGTTCAAGACAACATCAGAGACACTGGGAAGCGATAGCCATCCATTATGGCCATCTGCATTACCTTCGGAACACACGGTACGTGCTAGCAGTGTCAACTGGACCGTTTCTATCACAGATGTTGAGCTCTCCGACCTTCCCGAGATAGACAGATAGACAACTATTCGTACTCTCTGTCGTCTTGGGTCCGTCCTGGTTGCCTACGCGCTTGTATTGCAGACCACCTAAACTGACAGAATCTAGAATTCACTTCCATGCTGGAAGGATACGAGAATGTCCGTGCTTACTGCTATAATTGTTAGTGTGGTTACTCTCGTACTCTATTTAGGTAACTAGTTATCTGTCTGTACCTGATCTGACTAAGTGCTTAGGTCAACATTGGAATGGACATTGTGTGACACGATGGTGAGTCCCCATTTCATTGAGGAATGCTTTATTAACGTTAATTGTTTTAGGCCTTGGTTCACTATTTGCTTTATTGTATGTTTACTTGGCCTTGGTTTAGATCTCGTCTATCAGACTAACCACCCATTCCAGCCTGCGATTCCGTTGGCGTGCAATAAATATAAGGTATGTATTCCTATCATTCCACTTTCTACTGGGAGGGTCTATTGTTGAATTCGTCTATGAATATTATAATGTTATACTAAAATTCCATAGGAAGTAACCTGCTACACATGTCGATTTACCCAGGATCTAGGGTATGTTATACCTTCCATACTGGCTCACTGGTCTTCCCAATATAAGCTGTAGAAAAATCCTCACTAATACCATCAAGTGACCGACCTGATATAACACCCGATACTCGTCCTCCACCAGGGGTACCGCCTGGACCGGCGCCGCCTCCTCAGGCTCCAGCTTACTATGGGTATTCCCAACCAGCTCCCATGGGTCCCCCAGGTGTCCAAGGTTCACCAGGTCCACCAGGTCCACCACCTCCTCCTACATACAAGTGATTAGGTTATTATGGTTAATTGTTTGTTCTGCGTCTTGTGTTTTTATGAAATCGTCTGAGATACCTACTTTAATTGGTGAATTTCTTGTGCAAGCCTAGTCTATTTATTACTTTGGATTTCGGACCCGAGTATATCATAGTATAACAAATGGGGTATAACATTAAAAAAAAAAAAAAAAGATATTAAATATAATTAATGAGCTTCGACATCCTTCATGCTCACGCTATGACCAGTGTCATTAAACACCTTTAGGTTCCACCTTCTCCGTGGGCGTCGCGACTCCCGACGGACTCTCGTCATACCCCTTCTGTCCATCAAGCGCCCTTGATTTCCTGCCCATAGCATCCAGAACCATAGAACGGGTCGTACGTATGATGCTCTTCCGTCCCTCGTACAGCGGGAACACCACCACGCCAAATGTGGTCACGAAAAGCCAGATAATGCCAACAATCACCCAGCCAGTAAAGAACTTCCTGCTGAAGACATACGAGGTCCCGTACATGGGGATCGGCCACAGCAGCAAGAAGCAAATCACCATTCCGATTGTCAGGGTGCGTGAGTATAATGCTGCGCGGTTCAACTTGCGTTGTTCCTCTTCTTCTTTTTCGGCGTTGGTCATGGTGGCTTCGCCCGGAATCAGCTCGATATCAATGTGCGCGGCAGCGGCGACGTCGGTGTCGTCGACTTTGCGGATGGCGCGCATGGACTCGTAGTCGTAGTTCTGGGGGCCGAAGACATACGTGAGAATAGGGGAGAAAATGACGGGGCTGAGGAGAGCGGTGACGTTTCCGGCAAGCATTGGGTAGCTGTCTGGTTGTTAGAAGGAAGCCTCTACATAGAAGTAGGTGAGAGGGACATACTTTGCGCCCGTAGAATCAACGGTTAGGACGCCGGATTCCTTCTTTGCTGTGACCAGCCAGGCAATCAAAGACATTGCAAGACCGAGAACAGGTGAAGAGGAGGCAGCGATCCAGTTTTGTCCCTTCCAGACGAGGGTCATGGCACCGGGGAACACGGCAGAAGAAATGATGACACCCATAAGCAGGTAGAGGTAGCCCATGCCGATGCCGGCGTAGTACAACCCAGTAGCAAAACCCGCCATCACAATGGCGAAGAGTATACAGGACATGTGGGAAATCCAAACCAGTCTTTTCCCCTTCGCTGAAGGATTTATGTAGGCTTGGTAGATGTCATAGGTAAGAATGGATGATACCGCAATAAGCTGTGACGAGAAAGCGGACGTGACGGCCATGAAGATCATGAGTGTGGTGCATACGGCACCACTGTATCCCAATAGGTTGACAGCAGCGAATGGAAGGACAAGTCCTGCAGTGACGTCTTCAGAGCTCATGCGCTGAGACCCTTCCAGAGCAAGAGCCGAAATGCCCATAGTGCTGGCACAAAGCCAGGGAATGGCAAACCAGCAAAGGCCGCCGATGACATAGCCGGGAAAAGCATGAACAGGGTGTGCCGCGATAGCTACGGATATTAGCACACTGAAGGTCATGTCCTGAGAGTCTAGTATCGCAACATACCTTTGTTATAATATCCATTGTCTAAGAAGACAGTGCTATTAAGCCAAGTGTTAGCAGACCATGTATTGAATATTCAACGGTTAAAGATCTACACACCCAAAATTGCCTAAATTATTTCATCAGCAAAGCTTAAAACAAAGGAATGAAACAAAAATTAAAAAAAATCGTACTTACCGACAAGATTTATAACCCAGAATATACCCCCCTCCTTCGATCTCATAGTAAGATAGCTGCCTTGAGCATTTCCTTCAACGGGATGAAGTTTAGAGGCCGCAACTAGCGCATCGTACACTCTCCCAGGAGAACCAAGAGTATCATTTGTTGCATAAGCGGAAAATGCAAAGATGAAAATAACTACAATGATAACCACTGTGTGCATGTAGTCCGTGATAAAGGTGGCCTTGATACCGCCGAACAGAGTGTAAAGCACAACGCCAATGGGGAGCAGGAAGCAGGCTGCAGCTGTATGAACCCCAGTCAGAGATGTCATGACGGCCGAACCGCCAGTAAGCAACATAGCAGTAACAAGAATATTGGTCATTAAGCAGAAGACAATAAAGACCACATGGACGGCTGTTCCGTAGCGAGCGCGAATAGCTTCTAGAAACGTGTGTGCATTCGGGGCTCGCCTCTTGAGTTCAATAGCCAGAGTAGCAAACAGGATGATCTGTACGCAGGCACCTATTAAAGCATTGTCAGCTGTGTTATGTAACAAGTCTGTCCCAATTAGACTAACCCGAGGCATAGAAGAAAGGACCCGATATGCCATATTTATAAGCCACAGCGGACGATTGAAGAAGAGTTGCAGCCCACGTCCAGCTGCTAACGACCGCAGCCGCGACCAGGCCGGACTTCACAGACCTTCCAGCTGTTGAGAACATTTCAGAGGTTTGAACTTCATGCTGGTATCTAGCATACCCGGTTCATTAGCATCAATGCAAAATTAGACTTGAATTGGCAGCTGCCCCAATCAGTGTAGCGCATACCTCTTTAGAGCCCACGTGATGAATATCATCACCAGTGCAAACGCAAAGCCTAGTCCGATAATGATACCATAGCCAAACCCTTGAGACAGGGGGGCAGCAAACTTGGCGACATCTGAGGCCATAGCTAGCTATGTGTGAAGATGAAATGATGGAATATGTTGCTGTGAGGATCGAGGTGGACAGCACCGTTCCGAAAGAGATAAAAGTCACAATTGGTCTCAAGTACACTTAGTTTGGAAGCAAGGGATAGTGCAAGGAGCCGATAAATGACCTTGTGTAACCAGTAGCGTAAGGAGAAACATTCAATGGCCAGACAGGATGGTATCGATTGATATACAGGTGAGCAGGGGGAACAGAGGACTGTGAGACCCTCCGACCTCGCACACATCAAACTGATTAACATGTCTGGAACGTCGGTTCAGAATTATGTCAGTCAGTACCTAGATAGATAATGGAATACGAAGGCCGTCGGCGAGCAAGGTGCGCGACGATAAGGAATTCATTTTCGTAATCGGAGAGCACGTGTTGACTCCAAACCATCAAATTTGATTCATCGCCAATTGCAGTTCGAATCAGGTCCCAAAGGCTCCCTATCATTGACCGCCGATTCATCATTGGCGGCTCCTTATCAGTGGAGGCCTGTCCAAGTTCTGGACGGCACAACGATTGGCGGCGGGTCGTTGTGAAAGTTGGTGGTTGATAAGGACTTCGAATCCTCCCTGAGTTCCATGGAAACAGCAGCTTGTTTTCAATCCTGTCATGGGAAGCTCGAGGTTCTCGGAGCCGCAACTGATCTCCTAGATAATGATAACGCATTTGCTTACTCGAAGCCCCCAACTAATGGATTCCCACATCCCCACTACCCCCAGGATAACAGAGCCCGGGGAACTCATGGCCAGTATATTAACCCTACATCCAACATCCAGGCTAAGATGAGTCAAAGTCAAACATGAGCATTAATGGAGTAGAACTGGCCGTCGTAAAGCTGTGTGCCCAGAGAGAGAGAGATAAAGAACAGTGAACAAGTGTCGAATCTACTCTTGAGCAAGGGTGTTTATCCTGCTTATGATCGTAACTAACGTGACTGACCACCGAGCTGCGCGGTCCCCACCAAACTGCGCGCTCACCACGAAGCTTTTCAAATTATTCTTATTATTACAACCATAGAGCCATGGCTGATAAATCGAAAGAAGGCCGTGTACAATTAGCTATCAATGCTTATAAAAAAGACCTTTTTGCTTCTAAAACTGCTGCAGCTAAGGCATTTAATATCCCTCCAAGAACCTTAATAACACGTCTTAATGGCTCTACTGCTCGAAAGGAATTAATTGCAAATAGTCGAAAATTATTAAACACTAAGGAGTCAACCCTTATTTCATGGATTATAGATATGGATTGTCGTGGCCTGCCTCCCCGGATATTAACTGTACGCTACCTAGCCCAGCTACTTCTCTCTGCGCGAAATCCATCTACTTCAGCTATCAGAGTGCACTGGGTATCAAGATTTATTAGTTGCCACCCAGAAATCCGCTCAAAATACACCAGACGGTATAATTATCAACGGGCAAAATGTAAGGATCCAGCGATTATTTAGGAGTGGTTTAACCGGTTCCGGGCCACTATACAACAGTATGGGATCTGTACGGAAGATATTTATAATATAGACGAGACAGGCTTTTAAATAAGTGTTATATTAACTTCAAAAGTTGTTTGTGGTTCTAAAACAAGGCAAAGCAAAGCTAAAGCAACCCAGCCTGGTAATAGGAAGTGGGTTACTGCTATTATTGCAATTAATATATCTGGATAGGTGCTACCACCATAGATTATTCTGGCTAGTAAGAATTATTAATCTTAGTAGTATAATAATATACCAAAGGACTATCGCATCTCTGTGAGCAAGAATGGATGGATAAATAATAATTAGGTTTGGATTAGCTACAAAATTGCTTTAATGTTTATACAGCGCCACGTATAGTTAGGTAAATCTAACGTGCAAAAAACTGCGAGCACCTCCCTCCTGCCTCATTCGGCCGTTGCCGCTTTAAGAGGGTGAGGAGGGTGATGCACGTGACTTAATCACCCTCAAAGGTGATTCGCTCACCCATCATCACCAACAACTCACCTTCAATCACCCTCGCTCGCCCTTCGCTCACCCATACTCTCTTCGTGCCGACGCCGGCTCTTTAGTTGCTTCACCAAGACGGTTAGGATGTACTGGCTAAACGAGATTACAGGCATGGCTGTGGAAAGCTGGCCCACAGCTGTCCCCCGAGAAATGGGGGACGAAGTCCGTTTCTCTTCTCTCTCTTTTTCCCCCCTGAAGCCTCCTGAGGTCGTGCAACGTGTTTTTTCCTTTTCTCTCTTCTTTTAGGCTGCATATTTATTTTCTGAGCTCTCCAAACTACGATTATTCCTGGTCGACGATACCGTTGAAATAAAAGAATTAGCCTGGATTCTGCCACCACAATGTCCAAGGGAGGAAAACAAAAAGTTGACAGACGGGCTGTTGCGGCAGCAAACGGCTACGTTCGAGGAGCGAACCGGGAGCAAGACCAGCATCGCTGTGAATATTATTATTCTGACGAATCCCTCAGTCTCCAGGACAAGGTTCTGTCCGTTTATGTCTTGTAAGTGTTGTTTTTGCCTTTTATCTCCTGCTGTCCGTACTGCTGACTCTCCATTTCACTTGCTTTTTAGATGGGCATCCGAAGAAGATGAGGAGCTCCGAGGTGAAGGCCTTCACGAAGGACAACCAGCCCCTGATCTTGCGACGGTGAAGGATTTTATACGGTTTTACATTTTCTCTTCGCACGGAATGATCTCGCTGCGTCCTACGAAGTCTTCCGTGCTGAATTTTGCCGAGCGATTCTTTGCCGGGTTTGCACGCCTTCAAAGTCGGTTTTTGATAAAAAGGATACTCAGGATGTGTATAGGGTTTGTGATTTATTTATTAAGAAGTGTTACTCCAGAGTGCTGATTAAGAATAGTGGATAGCAAAATCTCTTGTTAAAGACGAAATTATTGAAGACAAAAAAAGGGCAAAGCACATGTTCACGCACTGTGATCTCACAAATATTCTTGTCTCGCTGTGGAATGATGATGACCCCGTTTTTATTCACCCGAGGTACAGAGTGCAGTTGACGTTCGCCATTCTTATATATTGCTACTCAGGGGCTCGAATTGGCACATTTATACCTGACACGTCGAAAGCGGACGTGCGTGGACTGAGATACGAAGTATGCTTCCCAGGCTTGCTCCGTATTAATTTGATTTATGCTGACTTGTAATAGGACATTGAACTCTACATCTATCGCAGACCAGACGGCGAGATTGAGCTTTTCTTTCGTCTCAGCGAGATATGGGTTAAAAATAATGATAATCCCAAGAACACAGTGTATGTTTCGCCCTAGTACTCCCAAGTTTACTTTGTCTGCTAATAGTATAAGCTCAGTTTCCGTGTCGCGATGAGGGAGCATGGAAAGCTACGATTTAATCCAGTCGCCTTCCTGTTGGAAATGGCATTTCAGGATGGTGCTTTTCTGCATATGGACTCGCTGGAGTCCTTAAAAAGGTGGAATCCTGATCATAATGAGCCAACACCTCTCCTTTGGGATCCTTCTGTGGCCAAGGAGCCTGTTTTACGGAGAGTGACCAGATTTGGTGGAATATCAAAAAGTCCATGGACCCGAGAGTGTTTCTGCCGTTTATTTAGAGCAGTTGTCAGCAACGCTGGATATCCAGAGATCATTACGATTCACACTTTGAGGCGGGGGCTTGCTAATAGGCTTGACAGTAAGTTTCAGCCTGGTTTTGGGTTAGCACAAATCTAATTTTTGTTTACAGAAGTGGCAACCGAAGCAGAAAGGAGTCAGATCCTCACCCAAAAGGATCCCAATATTTTCGGGAGAAGTTACATAGATAGTACCTCGGCGCTGAGCAGCATGGATGCGTTCCTCGGAGAGGCCATGCGCCTCGACCACATTGAATACCTTAGAGGTGTGGGCAAGTATCGTGCAATAGGATATCCGAGACAATTGCCAGCGGAGCGACAGCATGCCATTCGACAAAACAAAGACTTGCAAGATCTCGAACAGAGGCTTCGAGAACTCACCGCGCAGCAGGCTGTCAATGATAGTGATAAAATAAAGGATGAAGATGAGGATGAGGATGAGGATAAAGATCTTGATGGTGCCGATGAAGACGACAAATTTGCTATTAAACTTACAAAGAAGCAAGTGCAAGTCTTGAAAACTCGTCTCTACAATACGGAGTTAGCTAAATACCGAGACGAGTGGATTCAAAGCCGTGTAGAGACGCAGGTAAAATCAGGAGGAAAGGCTTCTGACGTTATCGTGTATAATGATATTACACACTGTCTTTTCAGGGCACAGCCTGATCGCCAGCGTGTTGCTGAGATGATGCCGTCAGACAAGCTCCTCTCTTATCAGGAGACGCTCTCCATGGTTGAGAACCTATTATCTTATTGCACCAAAGACTATAATGTTTTCTACCGGCCTGGAGAGGAGCCCGTCAATGGAAGATGTCCAGTGGGGGGTTGTAGCTTAAATGGGTAAGTCAGCTCCCCTGAATCACGGTTTATACCTCTTCCATATCCCGATTTCTAATATATTATTAGCCTCACTCGCCCGCGGCGGTCTAATCATGTTCAAGATTGCCAAATCAAGGAACGCTGCCGGGCCTTAGGTTGTAAAAAGAGCCAGCTGAATTACTGCTACGAATGCTTTGATATATTTACTATGGATAAGTGGGAAGAGCACTGCAACACCCATCTTATACGCGATGTTTCCAGGCGATGCGAAATAATTACATACTGCTATACCCTTATACGACCGGGGTATTGTCCTTTATGCCTCGGCAATGAGAGCCTTCTCCCTTCACAGCGCATGAATGCCTGGAAACGGAGCAACGAATTGAGAGATCATGTCAATAAAGATATACAGAAGATGTACGGGAACTATGTTTGTTCGCACCCAATGTGCCAAATCAAGTTCGACTCTGAGATTCAACTTCGCTATCATTTGAGTGATACACATGGTCTGCATAAAGCATCTGGGATGAAGCGGACGTTTCGGTTGATTTCTTTGGAAAGGAAGATTCGGCACAAGGCGATGTATCTGCCAGTACCGAAAGGAAGCGACGACAGCCGCAGGTTAGGCGAAAGGATCAGAAAAGAAGGCGACTTGGTCGTGGAGATTTTCAAATCGTCCAATGGGAGTCTCCAAACTCTGCTACTGATCTTCGAACTCCACCGTTGGCTAACTCAACGGAGTTAAATGTCAAAATTTGGAGTCATGCTGCAAAGGCCTCATCGTATCCTGCAGTGGAGGAGCCAGCTCTAGGGTACATAATAGCGCCAACATTAAAGGCCAACGACGACAGTGGGCTCTTTAATAATATCAACTCCTCTTCCCAGGACGATTCAACTCTTTGTGTCTCGGACTCGTCTACCCTTCATGATCTCACTACAAGATGCGGGTCAGAGCCTTCAACACCTAACACCAGCCCGGACCTTTTACCAATCGATCCGGAGATACTGCAAGGAGATACTATCCCCTTAATTGGATTCGGCGGGCAAAAATCAGACCTCAGGGATGCGAAGGAATCCAGGGAACCCGAATCCTGCAGATATTCTCTAGAAACTAAAGTCTCACCTGTGCCTGGGATCCTCCATGTCGACAATTCTCCGGATAGTGAAGAAATAAACTCCAGTGCAGACGAGCATACAGACACGGACCAGGTCAATATCATATTAGAAACTTCATCAACGGAGACCCGAGAACAAAGATGTCGAACCCCATCAGCAACTGATGCACTAGAGTCCTTGCTTAAACCAGGGCCGTTGAGCAGCGACAACATTCACGCTGGAGAGCCGATCGGTCCAATAACAAGATCCAGAAAAAGATCTACCCGGACTGAACAAGTTCACAGAGAACCTGACAAGATCACCCGAATAACAAGGTCCTATTCCGAGACAGAAGACAAGTTTCTCAGGAGCTTAATGAAGAAAAAGCTAGCCCTGCAGGAAGCGATGGAGAAATTCCAGGCCATTTTCCCTGGCAGGTCAAAGGCGTCAATTCAAAGACGTTGGTCCCTCCTACAGCCATCCCCACGGCGGTCAACCCGATCAAGATCAAATAGGTATAAGGCATGCTTTTAGGTTTAGAGTACTTGCTATTATAATATTTTGTATTTTTTAGAGTCCCTCCGAAGTCTCTCTAGTCTTGAATATTGTCAGATGGATTGGTCTCATTTGGACTGGAATATGGCTTATCTGATCTGCAGAATTCTGTGCCGAGCTCTATACTGGTAATATATAGAGGACTATGTATATAATCGTATATTATACTTATACTGTATACGATACATACTACTAGTGCCCATAGGTACTAGGGATTACTGACTTTGGAGAGGCACAAGCAGATGTATCCTCCCCTCTTTTCCAGTCCGTACCAAAGTCCGGTAGCCAAGACGTGACGAGAGTACACAGACCCCTGACCCGGATGCCTGGTTGGGCCAAGGAAACCAGGATGACAACCGCAGGGCTTCCTAGCAACAGGTTGCGAAAAGGGTAGGCGAATGTTGTTGGCGGTACTTTCCTTCTTAGCGGCGAACCATTTTGCCTTTTTTATTTTGCATCATCTTAGCACTGCACTAGCTGCAACTACCACAGTTTCAATGATTCATGCTCCCTAAACATTACTAATTATTACCACTAGTATATGTGGGCGCGGTAAAGATTGCATTACATGCATACTTACAATCTGTAGACTGTCCAGACCTGGTTACTGATATTAATATTATTATCAACTGAATGATCAATTCTGAGGTTCTTTGTAATGGAGTGACTCCAAACTCCTTGGCAGCCTTCCTGGCCCAACGACATCATCGTTTCTTCCACTGTCACCTCCCAACGGGCTACTCAGAGTCACTTCTTCTACTGCCTCCAACTCTATACCTACATAATACAGAGTCCTTTCTCTTTCTCTGCGGTTTCTCCCTGTCCGTCTCTCTCCTGTCCCTCGCTCGTTACCCGCCGTCTTTGTTTTCTCTTTGCCCCCGCTCGTCCTGGTCTATGCTCCTGCTCCCTCCGTTCGTTTCACAGTCAACACCTCTCCTCCCGAAGACTCCAGAGTATAATCGACAGAGAGACCCCAGTGGTCTCTTCATGATGGAAGGTTCTATCGGTCCATCGGTCGCCCACTCTACCTCTTCCTCTTCGGCCGGCTTTCGTACCCACAGATCTGACGACTGGCACGAATATCGGCCGGCCATCGAGCAACTTCACCGCGATAACAAACTGACGCTTCGAGATGTGAAAAGGATCATGCAACATGATTATAACTTTGTTGCATCGTACTGTCTCACCTTTCTGTAGTTTTCTTTCTTCCTCCTACTTCCTTTTGGTCTCTCCATTCTTTCTCTTTGGGCTCCGTATGCAAAACTCCACTACGCGTACGGGCCAGTCTCACATGGTCAATTTCAGTGTGCATAATTTTTTGATATCCCTTTCTTCTTCAAGAGGACAGAGTGTTAATTATCACAGTCTCTTTGTCTTCCTTACTCTCTTTTATCCTCTTTTCCCTATGTGATCTATTTTTCGATGGGCAAATCAGGCCTATAATCAATTTCCCTAACAATCAATATGTCCAGGGGAAAACAATATAAAGACCGTCTCGCAGCTTGGCATATCCGCAAAAACATCAAGACCAAAGCAGTCCAATCCATGATCCGAAAGCAGCAGAAACGACTTGCTCAGGGAAAGCAAACCGCCTTTCGGGATTCTATCGGCTCCAATCGCATTACAGGCTCTATCAGTCGATACGGCACAGAGTGGGATAAAAGACCTCGCGATAAATACCGTGCAGAGAGTCCAGAACCGAGTGAGTTAACTCTTCCCAAGCTAACTGTCAACATAATATCTGCTCATATAGAATGACAGGAACTCCATCTGATATGAGTTGCTACACTCCGGAGCCCGATGATAGAGGGGCAACCTTGACTCCTTTGCCCGAGATACAGTCAGAACACCGTGAGATAACCCTCTCCTGCACTAAACTCAACGACGTGCATCCTATGCCTTATAAAGAATCCAGCATAATTAAGTTGTATAGATGATGCAAAGCTTGATCCGAGTCCAGAAAGAAAAATCGACGATGATCAACACTTAACGGCTACTCTCTGTCCCAGCTTACCAAATGAAACACCTAGATCCCTTCCAAGCACGGTTCATGACGCTGATGCATGGAATGAACTTGTTTTGTTCCAAGATCGACTTTTAGTTCTTCACCAGATCCTTAAGCAGTCAATTGCTGGACTTACGTCGCCTCATGATGAATAAAAAGCTCAGAGCCTTGGGAATTTTGAGTGTTCGTTTTCGTGGATAAAATATTAAACTATCAGCATGTCGGAGAGGGGAGTGTATTGCCGTTGCGTCGCTGCTGTAGCCTTCTGCACAATGGTTGAGGCTATATAATAGAATAAACTATATGTCGTATAGTTTTTTATCCTACTACAATAATGCTTGAAACGCATGGTTTTCCAACCCTTCTAGAATATTTAAGAGATTTCATGTGTTCTCAGCTTGTTGATAATCAAGAGAGAATATGTATCACTGAATATACTAAGCATGGATATAGACAAATGAGAGCGCTACGGCCCTGCTGGAGGTTCTGACGCCGCCAGGTTGCACTGTCGGAACACCCGGAGCATATTAGGCTGTAAGGTACCCACAACAGTATGGAGAACTCCATGATTGTTGAACAGTATCATATCTCCTTCAGACCAGTCATGTGCATAGACATATTGCGGACTAATAGCCGGACGTTGTAACTTGTAGATAATGTCTCGAACGCGCGCCAGATCATTAATCACACTGCCATCGGCGAGATGGATCTTCCGCACGCAAGATGGATGGACTTGGAGCGAGAGTTTGCCAGTTACAGGGTTCTTCCAAACCATGGGCAAGATCTGGATTTTGGATGGGTCGATGGAAGGCAGGTCGGAGTCAGGAATTTCACGACCTTCACTGTACAGGCCCAGACCAGTGGGGAAGGCTCGGGCCTTGGACATCCAGAGGTATCTAATAGCAGCATGGTTAGTGGACATACATGTTCGGATAGAGAGAGATCTATGATGTAGCGCGGCATACGGATGCGGTGCATATTCCACTTTACTTGTTTTAGCAAATTCCTGCTCCTCGGGAGAAAGCATCTCGAACATCTTCTGGCCGCTAACAAATGCCGTCGGAGCCAGCGATGCATCGAGGGTGTCTCCCGAGCCATCGTCATACGAGATCATCTGTCGAGGGCCCTTGGGCACCCGTACAGCCATTAGGGTTGTTACCTTGGGCGGGTAGAGGTCATATAGAGCGGCATCAATATGCCAGCGGAAGAATCGCGTAAACAGATGATCCTTCTCCTCAGGGAGAGGATCACGATGAAATCTACGGTGATTGGGGTGATGTAGGGTTACATTCTCGAGACCTTGATACGACTCAAGAAAACCATTGCCTTTCACCATAACCTGAGGTTGGCCCGGCACGCCCAGGAGCTGGCGCTTTATCTGGTTGCGAGATTCCTTTCCATGACCATATTGGTCTGTAGCTGGGTCGAAACGTTTAGTGAATTCGTACTGCGCCTGAGGAGAAATATTTTGCTGGTCCTTGAACAGCACAACATGTTTGTGGTACAGGGTAATTTGGATAATGGCGAACTCCTCGTCTGTGAAATGGTTATTACCAACCTTTCCTCAGCTGTAACAATTCCTCAGCTCTTACCTGTAATGTTTTCTAAGTCTACATCGTCTATTTCCACGCCAAAATCTACCGCAGCTCCAGGCGCTCGCTTTAGAGGTTGGATACGCATTTGATTTTTGTTCTCAGTGTTGATTAATTATAAGGGGATAGACGAAGGTCGCGAGAGAGGAAAGTAGAGAAAGGGGGGCTACGTCGGTGGAGTCAGAAACCATGTGATCAGAGAGCTCAGCTGAAAGTCGAGACCCAAGAGGAAGCGAGGGAGGGAGTTAATCCTGAAGATCAGCCTCCCATTGCTATATGCGGTAGAGAAATGCTCTGGCTGCATGCGTCGGGGTGGGTCTCGTAGTGTCGTGGCATTACGGGAATGCTATGTGCCACTTGGTATATGGTTCGAATAAATCTGGCAAAGCATCATCTACTATGTTCCAATTCGTGAACTGTCGAGAGTTAAGTGGTCTCAAAACATTCATGGCTCAGAAGGTAGAGCAAGGTATCCTATAAGCTGTATTTTCTTTTTAGGGGGGAGGGGAATACACTAGCGATCTACGCTTAGCCACGTAGGACAGCCCAAGAATTGCCAAAACAGCTCCCATTAGATGACAGGTCTGATCTGGACCTTGTTTGGTAATAAGTCCTAGCCTTGCGCGATGTCGATTTTAACTACTGGGGCATCAAGGTATCTATTAATGTCTGAAATATTTCCAATGCTCTCCTAAAATGTCTCGAACATTCGGTAAGTGACTCCCTTTATTACAGTGCCTGATCTCCATGCAATTCTGACTGTTACGGAAACACTATAATCCGCCCGACTTGGCGGTGCGGAAATATCTACCGATCCATTCTACCCCTCAATCCTTTAGATAGTTGAGCACCTAGACAGGAATGCAAGAGACTCAGTTGGTTGAGATACTGTGATTCCTGGTGTTTGTCACGGCAAGGTCAAGGTCAAGTCGTGGGCCCGGGGCCCACGACCTTCAGATCACCTGATTTCCAGCCCTAGCCCTATCCAATCACGTGATCACACATCCTACACCTCTCTCCCAGCAACACCTCTTCAGATAGCTCTTCAAGTTAGTTGTTTCGAATATGAGTCGCCCTATGTTCTGAATAGATCTTGTTTCATTCAATTTAGGTTTAGGACCGTGACAGTGTTTCCACTGAATGACATCTACTTCCTAATTAGGCTAGTTGGCCTGTAGCTGATAGAATAGCTCCCTGCGGATCACTTCCCCTGAATTCCACAACACTGACAGCTCTCTCCAGCCATCAAGTCTAAGACGCCACCGCAGGATTCACACCGGGAAGCGGCATTATATCTGCCAGGAACCTACATGCGAAAGAAGGTGAGATTGGAATGTGCATACGGAGACCTGTTGTTGCTAATGTTGTGACGCAGCTTTTGCTAAATTATTTGGCCCTCCCAAACGGTTATGTAGGTCGATATTTGCCGTTCCCCAACCTGCCAATTTAGGTTTAGATCTCAACCACAGCAATCTACAAAACAGTGTCCCATGTGCCTTGGTCATCTTCCTGAATGCTCTCGCCATTCACCTCAAACTCTTTAATAATTTGGCCTTGTACAGAAGCCGAAGACAGGAATAGCAATTTCAACGGATTATAGATTGGCCTTACTGAATTCGCGTCAAATGCCAGGGCAAACAAACAGAAAACTTAAACAAATAGCAATTAGTTATTCGAGAGATAGACAGACATTGACAATGAAACGATCACACTGCCTTCTGTACCAACCAATACCCATCCCCCCTAGCTCCAAGGGTGAAGAATGTGATGGTGTAATAGAACCAATCTCAGCGAACATCCTCTTCTTGGCAGCATTCTTGTGGCTAAACGATATCTCGGCAATACTTGTCTATTTCCCATGTCCAGCACACCTTAGCATGCAAGCAAAACATCTGAAGCATTATAAAGCTGCCCAGGGTGGTCTCTTTTCATGGGACTACAACCTTGAGTGTCTTTTAACACCCACTATTGATTCATCCCTTTACGACCTTTTTTTTTTTTTTTTTTTTGGTCCCTATACTATTAAAGACCAGTAGGTCCTTCCTCTGACTTTAATATACAACATCAGCTAACCATGTAAAATCCAAGCCAAGCCCACCAACATGAAGGGACTTCACGGCGGAATTTTTATTGCCATACTGGCCACAGTAGCCCGAGCCCAATCCCACCAAATTATCAGTGGCCCAGGTGGGGATGACGTCGGAAACAGCGCGTCTGTGCCCTCCACAAATGAATTCGCATCCTTGTATGGTGAAAAGGACCAGGATGACCATTCGGTTGACATCGATAAAACATTTGACTATAACTATGAAGTGCATGACCACCCTGTTCTAGTTCCGGTCAAGGAGAAAAAGCCTGAGCCGAAGCCACACCATCACCAGCCACCTTATTATCCCCATCAGCCCCATAATACCCTGATCGATGGTTCAGGAGGTGTTGACACTGGAAACAGTGCGTCAGTCTCAACAAATAACGCGTTTGCTTCGTTGTATAACGAGGATAAAAAGGATGACCACTCGGTTGACATCAAAGAAAACTTTGACTATGACTATGAAGATCATGGCCGCCCTGCTAAAGTCCCGGTCAAGGAGCGTAAGCCAGATCCAAAATCTTATCAGAAGTCTTAGTTATAACGTCAACCTCGTCCACACCACCCTTGGCTAGCCCTTAATGAAACTGCATCTTCTATTCCTACAATTATCAGTTGCTGCATGTATTATTACCGAAAATGCCGCACGTCAATAGGGGCTCCAGGGGCAAATTATGGGCAGCGATTGGGGTGCCTCCTGGACGGCAACTGGTGTCATGGGTATGTTCTATGGGGGGTAGAACTCGAGCGTCGGCGAGGATAAGAAAAGGTAGTAGGATTGTTGGACAAGGATATACTGGTTATTTGCTAGGGAAGTACTAATGGGGGTCTGACACGAGTGCTCTGACGTTGCATCTTCGGAAGGTGGTCAAGCCATCGTGCCGGTGTGTGCAAGCGATGGCGGATCCTCTTTAGCCATTGACCACTCGTTTTCTGCTATGTTAAAATGTTTATCGGTGCTCTGTCTATCCCGTATGAAGCTACGCCTGGTAAAAGGAAGCATAATATCCAATCTTTTCCCTTTAAGATAATTAATCAGGTAACTGACGCCTTATATACTGCGTGCTAGTGCACTTGCTTCCCTGTTCACGGTGATAATGCTATATTTTAGGTATACCCTCCGGTACTGTTTTTTAGCTTTTGATTTCCTCATAGGTTCTAGAAACTGGAGGCAGTCGAAGCCTGATGGATACTGGAGACTGTGATGATCCCATACACCTTGGTAAAATGGATGGATTCTATCTAAGGTGGCGATCTAACGAAACATCAAACGTAGAGAAGGAAGGAAGGAAGAAAGAATTCTATCGTACAGGAAATGTGGGAAATCTCTACATTGTGGGGTTAACAGTGAATAAAGCAGACTTGGTGCCTCAGGCAGGGTTCGACGTAGGCCCTGACAGAGACGTAGTACCGCTAGGAGGTAGGATGGATCTGCTTGACCAGTCTCGGTGTTTCTCTTACATCTTCAACCTCGATGATCTCAAATGCAGTGTTCACGTGGATTTTCTGACCGAGTTCAGCATCCTTACTTAGCTGTCTTCTCCAAGTAGAAGTATTGAAGATAGGCTTGATGCACGGAGCATTAACAGCTAAAATAGCAACAACCTAAGCAGGAGCCATGTTAGTAACTGCAAGTCTATATTAGGCGAAATAGTTAACTGACACCCTCCCGGTTTGCCCAAACTGTGCTCTTGTTGATGCTGTTCAGATTCTTCAATAACATTATACAGCGCATTAGGGCAGCACATATAACGAAAATTCCGGAGCAAAGCAAGGCAGCAACTGCCAGTTTTCTAAGTAACGACAGAAAATAATATATAAGTAAATATTCTCCAAATGTTTCTTGGATTGAATTGTATATATGGACATACCTTAACAGACTGACTTTGAGTTGGGCTATTAAAGGAATGGGAATGTAGACAAGGATTATATCAGTCCTGCGAGTTTTAATATATTTTAACAGGAAATATAGATAAGGGAAGATGTACGCTATATTCGTCGCCGCAACAACAATATAATTCGTGAAATCAGTTGTGCATTCAACTAGATAGCTTCAGCATGGCAACCTAGGCATTCCTTAATAAAGCTCAAAATATACGTACCACCCGGGTCTGGATAGATCTGCCAGTGTTTGTAAAAAGGCCGGCAGTGCAGGAATATTGTTATAATTACAGATACATATGTGCAGGCACATAAAATTGCACTGCACTTAACAAGCTTTATCTGGATAAGTCCTTGACTTTAAAGGGTTAGCAGAAGAATAATGGCATTTATGGCAACAATGGGATACAGACGTGATACGATGGTATAAAAACAGCATGCATGCCTTCAGGCACCAGATCATTGTAACATAGAAGCACCACCCAGCAAGCAAGCACTTCGACCCTATCTGAAGACAGTAGATATCAGTATCACTAAATAATGCGCGTTGGTCTGCAGACCACCCGATATTAGATCCATAGCGACCTGGTTTTGAAATTGATCAGTTTGACTTGTCGGATATTATGGGTAATTTATTATACCAATAAGCTCCAACATAACTAACTGTGCCTGTCAACTAGTCAGATTAGTGAGAGTTATAGTGTCTGTGGGTACTCACAGTCCAAAATAGAAGCACAAGGATGGTGAAATAATCATCGCCATCCCATATCCCAAGCCTGGTTATCATCAATCGGGCGAAAATTCTGAGGAGCAGGATAAGAACTCCGATCCCATACTCTATCCAAACCTCCACCTGAAATGGAGTCGCAGGTCCAGCCATTCTAGTAGCTGTGTAGTGTACTAACTACACATCAATCAGTTTTTCTATACATCCCACAGACGTTAAATTTGAAGAGCCTGAAGAGCGGTAAGTCAGATTCTTAGGGCGACGCTTTAAATGTCCACACTGCCAAAATAGGGACATAACTATATGGCTAGCACTAGTACAGTATCCAAGGCTCCTATTTCTTTAAATTAAACTTCTACCATGGCTGTTGTTTTAAGATTTTTCATTTTTACTTTATTTTCCCTTCTGCCTTCTTGGCCGGACTGTAATAATAGTATTCTATTACTGCACTTGTAGCTGTGCGCCCACGCACTTAATAAAATGAGACCTTGTATCAGAACAAGTAGAAATCGTACAAACAATAAACTAGTAACCTTAGGTGGCAACCGACTTAGAAAGCTTAGTTGTCCCAACAGTGACGGTTGACTATGGCCTAGAGCTCATGTTTCACAACTAAGCTTAAATATGAATGAAGATAAGGTTATAATGAACTCGATTCGTTTTATGGGCCGACTTGATAATGAGATCATTGCTTTTGAATTTGAGAAAGTGGTATTGTGGCGACAGGTGTACCACAGTATTGCCAAGGACAGATATAGTTTTCTATGACGTTTACACCCCCAGCCACCGCAATTGCCGACCGGGGGGAAACAGTGCAAAGGGGGCAGGGATGGATGAAGCGATGATTCCAACCCAACCATGGTTGGAAGGTCGATCATGATTGGAAGGTCATCGACCAGCCTATTGTCGACCTCTCCCAGTTTAGGGTGACGGATCATATAATATGAGGACTATGATAAGGGAACCGAGACCACTTTAAGTTAGAAAACTTCGTTTTCTTTTCCTCAAATGCTGTTGGTGAGATAAATGGCTCGTGTGCGGAGCCGCTAGGCACAGATATGGAACCTGACTGAGACTAATGCTTCACTCAATTAATTATGCACTACTGAATGCCTTGATAAAGAGATAAAATTCAAGAAATACAAGAACACAGGCGAATAACAGTATGATCCTGTGGCCGCCCCTCTTTTTAATGTTGATTGGAGTGGAGAGAGCCAGTTCTCTGCACACGAAATGTCACTCACCTTGCAACCGTTGCTGGCAATCTGGACCTCGCCATATTGCTTTTCTGGGTACCCATGGGTTACCCGGAAACCCGCAAAGACCCAAAGCCTAATATATTACGGTAATACATATGAAATTCTAAAAGTTTAATATGAATATATCTGTAATAGTTGTATATATTTCTGTTATTTATTTTTCTTGGCGGGTTTTAGGTCGGGGTGGGAATCCGACCCGCGATTTGGCGAGGTCTAATATTGTCTTCACATGTTATCACGTGATGCTGACTTGGATTGACTAACACGGACGACAATCGACGCCTTCCCTGCATGACCACTGGCAACACGTTGCAGGCCATCGTCTGAGACTGTATCCAACAAAACGGCAAAATAGCGTTGTATAATGTCTTCCTTATACGAACAATGCCTTCATTGTAATGGATCAACAGGAGGGACCCTATTTTGTTCGATATCTTGTCGTCGCGCAGCCCTTAACAGTTCCTCTTTGTCGGTGGATGGTACGCATACCACTTCAGAATCGACAACTGATCAGGCCATCTCAGACTCGCCGGAAATATCGATGTTTGAATTTGAGAATGGACATGAACAACAAACCCCTACTACGGATATCCAGACCCCCTTCGTGAAGAGAACCTGTGGCAGAGCATTTAGGACTCGAAAGGACAACGAAGTTGCTTGATGAAGCATGGTAAAGGCATAAGCGAGAACATGCAGGTTATAGGCAATACCATTTCTGCATTATACAGGGTGAATATTGTACAATTCGCAAGAGATTCGCGTATTATACAAGTCTTGTCCCCTCGACACAAATCAGACGTAAAATTTGAATGCGCTTAGTTTCAGGATAAGTCAACAACCTTATCATCTACATACACGGGACAGATACCTCAGTGTCACCAGTTATTTCTTCCGTCTAATAGGAAGGTGGATGGCCGGAGGGAATTTGCCACCGCGACCGAGATACAGAAACCGAACCCTGCTATGTTCCACCTGCGGATTTGAGACACTTCAAGCGTCTCTGTGGGTTAGGAACATGAGAGGTCCCTAAGCCGTCCAGCCTGGAATCCCCGGTTAGGCATTAAAGAAGGTGTTACTGGGTAAAGTGTAGTGCGAGTCTCCACGAACCACCCCGGCTGTGTGACCCTTACATACCTGGAGTTCTAGCGGACGGTTAGGAAAGACGATTAGGAAAGAGCCTGTCTGCTACTCGCATATACACAAGAGTAACACAAAGAGCACTTCTCTCTCTCCAGTTCACGCCCCAGAGTTTCAACAGTCACCGTAAAATGATATAATCGTGTCCAGTTGGGTTGTGCTAAGGGGGTGACGAACTTTCACATTTGTTACTTGTCCAATTTCTTCAGACGTACCAATCCATTTGAATTGCTTGAGTCACTGTTTATTAGTGCACTTGTGCAACAGCTTGATACGGATCAATGCTCAAGTCTGGAATATATAAAAAAGTGCATCTTTCGATATACGTCCGTGAGTGAGGTATGTTGAAAGGTTTGGCAATCAACAGTATGGCTCTTGTATTGGTTTAATGAGGTGGTGATGATGGAACGAGTAATCCCGATTGGCTTGTTCGGCTGATGCGTTAGGCATGCCAAGAAAATCACGCCCTTGTTGGTGCGGAGCTCACCTTGATAAGGACTGGCTTGGTTAACCCTACTTTCAATTCACTCCCGGTGGCAAATATAGGGTTCTAGACTCCCTCGACCTTTGGCACTGGATCTTACTGAGAGGTGCTGAAGCTTGATATGAAGACGGGCTACTTGATAACGAAATAATCCAGGGATAAAGCGATAATCTGACATCACCAGAATAGCTCTCAAAGCATAAACAGTGTTTGATAATTCTCTCATCGCAATATTATGGAGACCTGTTTTCATCTTGGACTGCTAGGTCGACCACCATCGATATAAATAATGTCCTGTCCTCCATAAAAGACCAGCCTAAGCAAAACTACCGGATAAAGACTTTTTAGCTCATACACACATCCTCCTACGGTTTCTGTGCGTGTCTGAACTCTAACTATATTCGCGAAAGAACGGGAAGAACCAAAGGAATATTATTCCCTGGCACGGCTGCAAAAAGATCCTATATAATTTGCATACCGCGACAACTGCCAAGAGTTAAATACGTCATTCTCCGTGATAAAAATGTATCGTCAGATTAAAGACAAGGATGACTCTCTACGAGACTTGTCAGGCAGAATAGCGCAGAAACAAAGGTCATCTCTTGGGGATAAATGGATCTTGGAGGACCTCCGCAGTAAACAGACACAAAGAATCGAATGTCTAAGAGAGCTCATCCAGTCGTTATCAAATACTCGAAATTTAGTTGATGAATTGCAAAAAAACACCGAAGAATTTCAAGTGCTGAATAAGGCACAAAGTGATGCCATTGAAGAGTTGCTAGCGTCTTCATCCATGCAAGCAGACACAGGGCACAACGAATTATAATTTCCATAGCATATTCTGGTCTCAACTCAATGAACCATATGCTAAAGGTGGCCATGTAATAGACAGGGATGACCAAAAACAGCGTTGCAATTTCAAATTATTTAACGACTGAGAATAAAATATAAAAATATCGTTCTAGCCGTACCATGATCCAATATGACTCACGGCCATGCTCAATATGTTACGTATAACACTATGCTGGTTTTTCTAATCAGAGAAGTAGCAATCCATTTTACGTCACAACTGTGACGGCCAAGCAACTTGACGAAATTGGTGCTATCTACCGAAAATTTCAAACGTGGGGAGGAGGATGAGGGAACTATGCGGGGAGATAAACAATTAAACAAAGCTAGATACAAACAATGCAAACAGGCTACTTGGTGAGTTCGTCTCAACAACAGGATATCTGGTTCGTTCTTTGCAGTATTAATACGTCGAGGAGACGAGTCCCCTTTCTTGTTCTGCCATTCATCTTACTAATTCTGGTATAGAGCGTGATGGCAGGCAAATCAGATAGATAGAATCATACTGAGTCCTATATCAAGAATACTAAAGATGAGGCAGAAAGGGAAGAAGGGTCGCCGTTATGGTAAGCGAGAGTATCCGCACTGCTTCATATACTTGTCTGGCAGTGATTTGTCATCATACTGAACAAAATAGTACGATGTACCAGCGAGTACTATATACCGGATACCAGAGTTGACCAGGCGCAGAAATCTCACCACGGGTTTATGTACCGGTAATATACCTAGGGGATCGGACGAGCAACGTCAATCTGTTGAATCCGGTGAGCGTTGGCTCGGCTTTCAGTGGAAATTGAAATCAAGGTCCTTATAGTTTATCGTGAAATCTGCTGACAGCCCATAGGTTGGAAGAGTCTCAACAAAGGAAGCGGAAGAAGCGGTGGATGCTGAATATTAACCAAACCCACGACTCCATGCAGAACGTGCTTGGGGCTCTGGACTGTCTCCTTGGAAATTGAGGGTGGTGGAAGGAAGCAGAGCAATTGTGTTTTTTCTACTGCTAATGCCATTCCGAGAAGTAGAATTCTTATCGCAGGAGTAGATGTGTGTAATATGCTGTCCGGTCATAACAACGCCATCCCCGGGGGACGAGTCATTTTCAAAAGTAGTCGGCGATTCGTCTTCCTCATCACTGTTTGCTTTGACTGCAACGCACTGCGCCACCTCGTTGTTAAAACGGACGTGGTGCCTAGGTGAGCCGAAACCAGCAGATGACGTACTGGCCAGGCTGCCATTAAAAGGAGTTTGCGGGGAAACATCAGAAACTTGACTCAGGATCTCCCCAAGGTTTGACTTGTGACAGTTAAATGATGTACGATTACGGTCATTATCTGTTTTCTGTGCCTTCAGACTTGGCCTAGATATAGTAAAGTCTGCTGCAAAGGGGTTGTTTGGAATAGCTTCAGAGAGAGTTCTCTTCTTCAGTATTGGCTTTCTGTCCGTTGGAGGCTGGCATGTCAGGACGCTTGGAAGTGGTGAGGCTTCAGACATCCTTGGGGTTCCTAATGTTTTAAATGGACCATACAGCCATGTCACATCAGATTCTTTCAACCTGCAAGGACTCATTAGATCCCGGAAATACAGGAACAGAAAAGAGCTGTTCTAGAGTACACTGACCAATTAAGTGTTTTGGGCGAGACTATACCGAGATTGAACTTCAATTTTGCCCAAGTCCTCCAGAGAGCATTTTCAAGCCTGACACCCTTATCGAACGCTTTCTTTCTGGCGGCCATATAACGCCAAGAAGCCCAAATATCCGCCTCCTTCCACTCATGGGAGAGATAATCGACGTGTCTCGACGGCTCGTCCTCAATCAAACAGTCGTCTACCACCTGGTCCGGTATGTTAAAACGTTGCGTGCTCACTTCTAACTCGGAAGAGGCTTTGTTCGGAGCTTCTGATTCCTCTGGAACATAACGCCTTGCATCATGTGAATAAATATGATCATCGTCCTGTTCATTTGTCACTCCAATTGATAAACTGAACGCTGTGTGAGTGGAATATAGGCCGTTGGGATGCTGGGCAGAATTTGGTAAGGGTGGGGTTAAATAAAGTGCAGATGATATTATGAGACTAGTAACATCTTTAAATAATCATATAAGGGATCCTACCGTAACTAAGTCGAGTCACAGAGAGAATAACCCTGGACAACTGACACTGCAGGAGTCAGAAACCGGGCATGCCTCTCATGCAAGTCGGAAGCCACCAGCTTGAAGTTCATGAACATAATTGAAGGCGAGGATTTCTAAATTAATATCTCTCAACGGTCAACTATGTGACTCGTATAAACGATAAATTAGTGTAGCAAGTAAAATATAATAGAACGAGGAAAATAGAAGTAAGACTCGGAAATATTAAAGAAAAATAACACTTTGTTCAAGCTCATATAAGTATTGGCTATTATTAGTATATTATTAATGATTGGTGGTGAGACACCAAGTGTCACGATTCACTCAATCGGGAACACCGACTGGGAAAACCGCTGCGCCAGGAGCAAAAGACAGGGATTCAAGTACGCCGTCCTTACTGTTCTCGCTTTATATAGTCAGGTCGTACAGCGCCGTCACACCAAGTACTATAAAATGTACCAGTTTAATGCAACACAGAGGTGATCGGCTCGTTTATCAGCTAGGCTAGCTAGCGTAGCTCTCCGAGATTCGTAATAGTTAGCCAAGATACATTCAGACTGCACCGGCTAAGGAACAATTTACGTTCTCGGCTAAATTGTTTGAACCGTCCACGGTCAGAAAGAAAAGACTAGGCCTACAGGATGGAATATCGTGTATGGGAATAGCGAAAACGTTTGAGTTAGGATGGGGCAGACGGATATCTCGAAGTACATACACTTTTGGTTGCATTTGGGAATCTCCGCTTTCGGATACGCCATGAGGTATAAAGGCACACTTTTAGGTTTGGAATTGTCAGATATGCTGCTAGTCCTGGAGAGGAAATAGAGTACGATTGGTAAAAAGGTCTTAGTTGAATGAATTGAGCTCGTTCGGCTCTCCTTTATTATTTACTCTCTTGATCATTAATTTTGTTGTGTGCTCCGTGGGGGGTTTTCCCTGATCTAGTCACATGATTCTGGTCCACCCCCGGCCATAACACGTAAGTTAATCGGTAACTAAGTTAAGCTAGTCGGCCACGTAAGCAAGTCGGCCACCTCTTCCGCCTCACCGTGTTTTATTTTATTGAAACACTTCAAACCACCACCATGCCAACAAAAGCGCGTAAAAAATCAAATAAGTTAGCGGAGCAGGAGGATAGTATCATACTTGCATTATCTGCTTTAAAAAACAAGCAAATCTCCAATATTCGTGAAGCAGCTCGTTGTAATAAAAAAGGTCACACAAAGGAACAAAGTCGGACCGAGCGGATGCTGAATAATAGGTAATATAGACCCATTTTGGTCCCACATTTGCTAACTCCCCGACTGGGCCTGGAGTCCCCCGTCGCACCTTCCCCAGCTGAACCCGCCGCCAACTTTGTGCAGAGACTGCTTAAAACCCATAAACGACTCCAGGAAGAGATGCACTACGCACAGGCCAAGTACGAAGAATCTGCCAATCGACGACGAACCCTAGCGCCTCGCTACTGTACCGAGTTTGAGATGAAGTATGGTTAAGCAGTAAAAATATTACCACCCGCCGGCCTACTAAGAAGCTTGACTCACTATGGTTAGGCCCCTATCCCGTTGTACAGGTGCTTAGCCCTTTGGTCTACAGGCTCGAGCTACCCTCAACAATAAGGATGCGCCCCGTCTTCCACACCAACCTCCTTCATCCCGCTGCAACTGATCCGCTTACTGGCCAACGGCCCAAGAACTCAGGCCCTGTTATTGTTGATGGCGAGGTTGTTTACCGCGTTGATGAGATCCTGGACTCAAGAAAATATTACGGCCACATCCAATACCTGGTCAAATGGAGCGGTTGGGATATAAATGATTCCACGTGGGAACCTATCGAACATGTTGATGGATTGGATGCGCAGAAGGAGTTCCATAAGCGCTATCCGTATAAACCATCGCCCGAGCCAGAGCGTACACCAGTGCTACGCCGCTCAGCTCGCAGGAGCTGAGTAGTGTCAGGATCCGGGCTCTCTGCCACCACTCACGGCCTGTAGATAGTATAGCTCTGACTTCGCGTCGCTCTGTTTACTAGTACTTCAAGCGATGGCTTCGCCAAAATGTAATCCAGTTGTTGACCTAGCCTCGTGCCGTGACGTATAGCTCTTTAATTAATTGAAAAATTGCCTTTTCTTTATCTGTCACAATCACAGAAGGGAGTGGGAGCCGTAGAACTCGATAACAGGACCGTAAACAGGTATGTCTCTTCTTTTTCATCGCATATAAAACCAAAGGCAACATAGAAAGTCTGCCCAGTTGAAGCTATACCAACACTGTCAAGGAGCGGCACTCTAAAATGATTCGTTTTCTATGTACAATCCATACATAAGATATATGGATTTAATTGCAAGCGCTCCAGGCAGACTGTGTGTCAAAAATACTGCAGTTATCCGGCCGTTTTCGGTGTCATATTGCATTATCCAGGGGCCTTCATCTGGAAGGAGTGTAATAAGTGCTTGAATTGGACTTCTTTTAAAAATTGGCAATATACAGTTTTCTTTTCTACCTTTTGTTGTTTTATCCTTGGGTGCCTTATGTCTCTTGTCTCTTTTTTCTTTTGTTTCTTTTCTTTATTTTTGTTTTGCTAAGCGTGATCTTGTATTTAATTTATTTTTAGCTACTGTGTATTGATGTTGATCATTTTCCCTTGATATTATCTAGAATGGACACAGGCGAGGTAAATATCTTGTTGGAAACATCATCAACGGAGACCCGAGAATAAAATCTCGAACCCCATCAGCAACTGATGCACTAGAGTCCTTGCTCAAACCGGGGCCGTTGAGCAGTGACAACATTCACGCTAGAGAGCTAATCTGTCTAATGACTAGAGCTAGAAAAAGAGCTACCCAGACTCACATAATATCAACTAACTTAACTAGCAATGTGAGAGATCCCATAAAGCAGGAAGCTAATGCACTATCCGCCTAGCGGATTTCTTCCAAGGTCAACCTGCTTTTCCCCCTGACTTTTCACTCATATTCCTTTTTTTTTTTTATTCTATTTAAACCGTGAGCATTCCATTCCCTCTTACTTCGCATTTAACTTATCTTCTTAAATGTCCCTTTTCCATTGTGATATTATCCGCGACCCCTCCTCACATCGGTTTCTTATTGATCATCTTCGGATTCTCCCGTCATTCCAGAGCCCCACTTTTCTCCCCGACATATCCATAGGTTATCTCCCGCGGCCATGGCCCCTGGCAATGGACGGGATTGTAATTGTGCATGGGAGCATTGTGGCAAGGTATCTGACTCCTGTACATTCCTCCAAAAGAGTCCTATCTAATAGTGCCTCAATAATAGTCTTTCAACCGCAAATCGGACCTCCGCAGGCACTATCGAGTACACATCAATGAAAGGCCCTATCATTGCAAGGTCAAGGACTGTAACAAGAGCTTTATTCAACAGTATGCATTGACTGTCCATTCCCGAACCCACACCGGGGAAAAGCCTTATATATGTGACCACGAAGGATGTTGCAAGGCATTCTCCGATGTATGTGACTCACTTTATTACAGTACCTGATCTCCATGCAATTCTAACAGCTCTCTCCAGTCATCAAGTCTAAGACGCCACCGCAGGATTCACACCGGGAAGCGGCCTTATATCTGCCAGGAACCTACATGCGAAAGAAGGTGGGATTGGAATGTGCATATGGAGACCTGGTATTGCTAATATTATAACACAGCTTTTCCCGCAAAACCACCCTGTCCAAACATCAACACCGCTCGCACCCACCTGGCACGACTCGACCACCTTCAGAGGACGCAGAATCCGTACATTCGTACCAGAACCCTATTAGTAGTTCTGTAGCAAATGACCAATATCTCCTTGCCCAGCAACCCTTCTACACTTATTCATCCACGCCGACGCATGAGTTCTACCCTCCCAAATACATAGCCATGATACCAGTTGCCGTGCAGGAGGCGTCCCGAATCGTTGCCCATAATGTGCCCGTGACGTCCCCATTTGACGTGCAGCAACTCATGCAACAAAGATACGACCAAGGCCGCCCTGGCTACGTACCACTGGAGTTCCACCACCCCATTGCAAGTGTGCCCATAGCGGGAGGGGATGACCTCATGGTTACCCATCATCCTCAGAATTTCCGGCACGAATTACAACAAACCCGGTCATAACCCCTTTTCTCTGACATGGCCTTCCGTATCTTCATTCTAATAGCCAGCAGGCGGCTGAACAGCGACCACTTTATCGCGGGGTAATGGAACGCGGACACATACGCCCAGAGGGCCTCTGCCGGGTGCAGAATGAAAGATGTGCTGGTGTGGCACTTCCCAGAGCTTAAAGTTCATCTGGAACCGACCAAAAACGTGACCAAAGACATTATACTGCAGCACAACCATAACAAAGTTCAGAACGGAATGAAAACCCAGGTGTTATTAGTGGATTTCTCTGAATATACGAGCATCGAGAGTACTTTTGTATCCAAGCATAATTGCGAGGTTTTCCAGACTTCGTTCGAATCACTTTTAATCTTCCTGGCTGACCTCCAGTGAGCTAACATCGGTAACGTAAGCTTAACTGAATTTGGCTTTATCCTGTCTGGTCTTTTCACGCTTGTTGGTGGCATTGTAGTCATGGAAAGAAATTACTAGCAGCGGGCACCCCGACATAGTCTGGTATGTGAGACATAAAAGCTAATTTGCACTTCGCTCATCCCTTGCTTGTGGGTATCATCTTGGATTTGTCTCTAAGGTACATTGCTGGTCTTGTTGGACTCGATAGAGAGGCAAGTTTAACATGGAACAAATAACTTGCTTCTACTATGTAGGGGTGGTAAAAGGAGTGTCTTACCTTTCAGGTATCTCTTCTAATATATACGAATCTATCCCTTCTTCAATGTCGCCTTATTCACTTCTCGGAGGGCGGAAGATTGTAAGCAACCATGTAATTAGAGTCAACTTTTCATACACCGAATAATATAGGAGACTTTAGGCAGAACGAGTATCTGCCCGAGACAACGGAATTCAGTGGCTCAGTATGTTATCATCGATTTGAAGAAAAGCCATGACGTCATGCAAGTTGGTCAGGGTTCGGAAAGATGATCCCATTGTCTTTTAAAGAATGCCAAGTCCTTGAGAGGGAATACTAATAGCGTCTTTCCCTCTATCCAACAGTTTCCTTCATATTAAAGCCCTTAGCTGGACCTTCCCTATATAAACTACGAAGGTCTGTTTGCCTATGTGCCCTCACTAAACACTACAGCCCTTCAACATGCTGACCACTATGAAAATCCTACAGTCAAGCCACTATGTGTAACGAATATCAAATTACCAAGATAGTTAGAGGAGAGACCACAACCGAGACGATAGTGAACGAATGTAGTAAGAAGCCTGCCGGGGGCACAATTAGGCAATGCCCTAAATACAAATTCATACCAGCCGGCTCTATTCGTCAGAAAAAGAACCTCCCTAGCTGGGCCACAAAGGGCAATGGAGTCGATCCAGATCCCTCCAATTAGGTATTTATCTCTCATGTTACCAGTACGCTTTCCCTCGAAGGCGGGTATGACCGCCGGAAATCACACGGACAGAGTAAGACAGGCAAAGTGTGGACCGCTAATAAAGTAGATCGTCGTTATAGCCCACTAGGGCTGCGATCTTTCGGCGTTCACCCTGGTGGTATCAAAACCGGTCTGCAGCAGTTGATGGAAGAGGGATGGATGGAAGGCTTTCTGTCAGATCCGCAGACAGCTCGACAGGTTAAGAGTCCAAACCAGGTTCGCATCAGATTTCAAGGGCAAACAAACAGAAAACTTAAACAAATAGCAATTAGCCATTCAAGGAATAGACTTAAAAGACATTGAGTGGCAATAAAACGGTCACACTACCTTCTATACCAATCAATACCCATCCTTCCTAGCTTCAAAGGGTGAAGATTGTGATGTCGCAATAGAACCAACCTGAGCGAACATCCTCTTCTTGGCAGCATTCTTATGGCAAAACAACATCTCGGCAATATTTGTTTATTTCCCATGCCCAGCATACCTTAGCACGCAAGCAACACATCTGAAGCATTATAAAGCTGCCCAGAGTGGTCGGTCTCTTTTCATGAGACTGCAACCTTGTGTCTTGTAACACCCACTATTGATTCATTCCTTTTACGACTTTTTTTTTTTTTTTTTTTTTTTCGGGCTCCTATACTTTTAAAGACCAGTAGGTCCTTCCTCTGACTTAATATACAATATCAGCTAATCACGTAAATCCGAGCCAAGCCCACCAACATGAAAGGACTTCACGGCGGAATTCTCATTGCTATACTGGCCGCAGTAGCCCGGGCTCAATCCTGTTATTTTAAGCAAGAGGCTTGTTATTCTTTCTGTCTCCCTAGACCTCTTCCTTTTTTCCCTGAAAATCCCTCCCAAACCTTTATGTCGGGGCAATCGCATTTCACCACTTGGGATAAGCTAAGAGGTCCAATCAACGCCCCTCCCAACACAAAGTCCTTTACGATCCTAGGTAGTATTGGATACTCTTGTTCCTGAACATCATTAGTCCACCAAATTTCACAACATTGGAACTGGTAGTATCACCATGATACGGCAATGGATTAGAGTTCAGGCCATTCATAAAACACATAAGGTCAGAGGTGGGACCTCGGGAGATTTCCACAAGCTTTCCCAGTATGGAGTATTCCAGCTTGAGTTTGATACTGTAGACAGTGGCCTTGAGTGGAACTTGGAGAGTGTAGAGACCAGCATATTCAACAACAACAACTGTAATATCAAGGAGGAGAATGATAATGCTGATAATAAGTAACCGGTGTAGAATGTGACGACGGTGCCGTTCTTGCTGGAATTTTAGAAGTCTGATCGTTCCCCATATATATATAAGAGAGATGATTAACTCCTGAAGACAAAACCCCACTAGCTGGATGCGCTCCACAACGTTATATCCCGCCGTAAACTGTTGAGGATGCGATGACATTGCCCCATATAGAAGGACTATTATAGGGGTGTGCAGGAGGATTGCATCTGTAATAATCATCAAGAGCACCACTTGGAGAACCCTTGGATGGTAGAGTACTAAATTCAGGCGTGACCAGAGCACAAGGGATTGCCCTGTCACCATTCCACACCAACTGAAGACAGCGATTGTGAGTGGGAGATATGGTGAGACTCTAATAGCGAAGACAAGGAGGAGGAATCCTAAGGCATGAACGCCAACGCAGGCGGAGGCAACCAGCAGACTCCAGAAGTAGCATCCTCGGTATTTTTTGAATGTGGTAAAACAAAGAATAATAAGCTCGATAGTATTGTACCATGCAATGGTCGTAAATGCCACGAATACACACGCCTCAGTGACGCTCGCAATATGAATACCCAAAAACTGACTTGTAACAACACACTGCGCATTGGACATCGTGAGTCGGGAGCCGAATAATCCAAAGAAAAGACTTCCATTTTGGACTATTAAACCTCTTCGTCATTTTTCGCTTCCATTGCCACCCATACTGAAAAGTTCCCGCATATTACCAAATATGCCCGGAAACTACATTACTCTCCATTGAGAGGCTGAACATATCTCCTGTTCGGTTCGATAGTCACTATGTACCATGGATAACTTTAGGCGCAGGAGCCCCGCGTGGGGTTGATCCTGTCCGTCTCCGTCACCGTCACCGTATAAGCTATTTCAATAGCCTTTTGGTAACCGTCAGCTCTTTTAAATGGATATTTTAGCTCGGTACGCCTTGTATTTAATATAGATATCTCTCCTTCACTACGCAAGCTAAACGATAGTATCATCTCTTGGAACCTTATATATTATAGTGACCACAGTTGTGAGAGTCCCATGGTCGTAATTCTTAGAATTTGGAACAGATGTCTTGACCCATAAAGTTAGCAGTCAAGTTTTGCAAGTGTTGACATCATCATACCAACCGCCGAACAGAACCGTAAGCTTTCCGACCCACAGTGAGCTAAGAAAAGCAACTTAGCCGACCCCTTCGCCATACGACTTCGGAGTCACTAGCCGCTTCCGACATCCTCAGTCGGTGCGATGGAACCGAAATTCCCATAGTACTGCGATTTTTAGCCTCTTATATCTCCACTATAACACCCTATATAAACTTAAAATTAGGTAGACAGAGTTAGTATCTAGTATTTTGGAGGTTTTTTCCCCTCAAAACAAAATATACAAAATAGCCACTATGTTTTAATTTCTTACTTCTATTCTTGTTAAATTAACTAAAAACTTATCTTTTACAGAGGCGGAATGCTTCATATATACTCTGTTCCTAATCCCTGCCATAAGCCTTAGCCACCGTGATATTCAACATTTTCATTATTCGCGAATATTCGTAGTTTTTGCCACGTGATATTTTTGGTTTGGTAGAGATTTGGATATCCACTAATAAAAACTTCACCCACATTCCCTCCATTGTTTTATCAGGCTCTTTACTCTTTATCAGCATTGTAAGGATTGCTAGACTGATCGTATCTTTTCCAGGGCCAGAGGTACTTTGGGAAGCTGGGAAATTTCATTATTCTTAGTTTATCATACCCAGGAGTTCCATGAGAGGAGCATGCGGTATCAGTTTATTTTGCAAGTGGGATAGAAGAACAACTGATGTATAGTTACCAAGCATTATTCACTGCCTGATCCAGTGAAGGGCATCTCTAAACAATCGTATTGCGGCAAAGGAAACGGAGCAAGGTCCATACTGCCACCCCATTGTTACAGGCAGCAGATCAGAACTTGCAAGATAATTAAAGACAGGATATAACCAGCAGCTAGGAATGCACTATACATGCACATCAAAGATATTGTATTGCAGCACAACCATAAAATTTAAAACGGAATGAAAATTTACAATTGTTATTAGTGGTTTCTCTAAATATATAAGCATCAAGAGTACTTTGTATCCAAGCATAATTGCGAGGTTTTCCAGACTTCGTTCAAATCTCTTTTAACCTTCCTAACCAACCTCCAGCGAACTAACATCGGTAACATAAGCCTAACTGAATTTGGCTTTATCCTGCCTGGTCTTTTTACACTTGTTGGTGACATTGCGGTCTCATGGAAAGAATCACTGGCAGCGGGCACCCTAACATAGTCAGGTATGTGAGACATAAAAGCTAGGTTGCACTTCGCTCATCCTTGCTTGTGGTAATCATCTTGGATTTGTCTCTAAGGTACATTGCTGGTCTTGTCTAATGCACGCGGATTCCCGGTATATCAACTACGTTAATTATGGCAGTTGGACTTGACAGAGAAGCCAATGTAAAATGGAACAAATAACTTGCTTCTGCTATGTAGGGGTGGTAAAAGGAGTGTGTCTTACCTTTCAGGTATCTCTTTTAATATATAACGAATCTATCCCTTCAATGTGTCCTTATTCACTTCTCAGAGAGCGGAAGATTGTTAGCAACCATGCAATTAGAGTCGACTTTTTATACACCGGATTATATATGAAACATTAGGCAGAATAAGTATCTGCCTGAGATACCGGAATTCAGTCGCTCAGTATGTTACGTCTTCAGCCATGCTTCCTTCCCTCTTTTTCTACCTTCTCCCTCTTTTTTTTTTTTTTGGTCGGCCTTGAGTTTTGGTTCTAGGCTGTTCAGATCGGGACATCATGTGAAATATATATACTCAATATCTCTCATAGAGGGGTTGGGCAGAAGATCTTTCTGAATACAATCAATTCAGACCCCCCCTCCCCCAAGTATGAACAGCTTCGACAGCTCTGGGAACTTCTCTTAGATTCTTTTATTTGTCCTGGTGCTACCCGTGAAGTCAGTCTGCCCTGTTCATTGCGAGACAACTTACTTCGGAGTTTGGACACTGTATCTTTCCATCCCAACACTCTCGGCACACTTAATGCTTCTGTGGCATGCATATATCAGTTAATAGAAGAGTCGATATATACTCCCTTTCTTCAGTTTTAATCAAATTAAAATCCTTTTTTAATGGATACGTAACCTGGTACCACGGTGATGAACTTCTTTACCCTCAGACCCAGCATTTACATTGCTGTGGTTACGCTTAGAGAGTTCTTGCAGACTTGTCATGCTTTCGGTATGAGGTCATGATCCGTTTCCAGAAGGCATAATTACTGCTCTCTAAAATCGGCTCGATTGCCAGGACCGTACCATCCATAAACTTGAGGGTTTATATACAAGATGAATATCAGTTTGATTAGAAAGCAATCTGATTCAGTATGGAATTTATTCCACATATCATATAGAATTAGATTGGTCTTTGATGAAGTTGATGTTCATCATGTATATATACCCTGAAGTTTACAGATAAGAATAACATGTAATCTTCCTCTGATTTGCAATAATTACAATGGTGTAACCGAGGCCAAACTTTCCACATCATTTAACTGATGTCTAGCTGATAGCCTATTCCAGTAGGCAATTATTTCTCTCTTCTTCGTCACCACCAAATTAATCCAGGCTTGGGCTACCGACCAGCGCATGACAAGGCAAAAGCCCCAGAACCCGCTTGACTGTTATGAATTAAGATCACGTCCAATAATGCAGTGGGTAAAGGGTCCTTGCGAAAAGGGCTCACCGCTAGAAGACAGAATGAAGCAATAGCGCTGCCCTGCCCGGGCCCATACTTGTTTGCCTGAGCAAGGCACTTATTCTTATTCCCCAGTGACACCAGCAGGCATGTTATCCAAGGCGTTAATTCTTCAAAGTTGTAATTAGCTGGAAGAGGGGTCCGAAGAAAGGTCCAAGCAATAAATGCAACATGGAATAAGATTAGGAAAACAATGAAAATTGCTCTCCATTGCATCTGAAGGATATGAAAAGCTCTGAGAGTAGCCTGCCTCCCCATGACAGACTGGGTAAAACCAGATGGGCGCCGTCGCTTCCCGAATCCTGAAAGAATGTCGACACCCTTCGTGGACCTTATAACAATGTGAATGCAATACAGCATCATTATAATCTGGAGAAGAAGAGACATAGATGACACTCCAAGCAAAGGTCCCCAAAATACGCCAATGCTGTTTTGATGGTTGATGTAGCACACCTTACCTATCTGATAGGAGACACCTGACTTGAGCAGGATAAGAAGTAGAAGACCAAATGCACCACCAAATATGCAGGTTACGGCTGTAAACATATATTTTCTCCCCAGTTCCACTTCCCAGCAAAGGTGGAGGTATAGAGAGATAGACCGGAAGCAACCTGGGCTGGTAGGTCAGAATAGGTCATAATAGCAATACAACAAGTTTTCAATAAATAAATAAAAAGAACCCACAGCTTATTACAATCACCCAAACACCAAACATTAATAGGGATCCAGAGAAAGCACACTGAGTATCTGACAGCCAATCGTTAGGCGTGACGGCATCATGGCATTCATTTGGCGTCTTTAGTAGTGGAATGACGAACGCTATCTGTCTGGATGTTAAACCACGAGACACGGTAACTAGTTAGATGATGTGATACTGATCTGAAGCAGTGCTTACCGACAAAGATATAAACCCTATCAATGGACTGGTTGTCAGGTAATGGCGACGAGTAACACTTGGTGGTAGAATAATAAAGGAACTAGCCGCGACAGCAGCCAGCAAAAGGACAACAAGGCCGAACCAGGAAGCAATGTCGAACTGTGAACTAAAGGCTAGGTCATTATACTTAGCCATACTGCTATAGTTGATGAATCCAGATCATTGATAGTCACCATCTGTAAATCTCCATTTGGAAATCGGGCAGGTAAAACAACAAGATATGCTGCCTGGTCCTCCTGGAATGCCCTTACACCAACGGCCAAGGACGTCTGGACTCGTCAGCCAACACTTATCAATGTACTAGTATCTTTCCATATTTCTTTTTTGGATCCATCACCGCATGCACGAGGGATAACTGACAGCCGCCATTACTAGGAAACAGGAGCTCGCTTATAAAGGGGTTTGGACAAGCCATAGGGCTAGTGAATATGTTATAGATTGTTTTAGCTCCTGTAAAAGTACAGCGACTTTGACTAACGAAGAAGCGGTAGGACGTAGATGCCATTCTCTAAAACAATTATTGTGACGAGTCTACTTATAGTGAGAGATTACCCCAGTTGCTAGAGCCGCTGATCACTCTTGGAAAAAAAGTCCAATAATGGCTAATGGATTGTAACTAGGCGATCGTTTATGGCGCTTTGGGACTAGGACCCAGCCATACAAAATGTAATTATGAGTAAACTTTGTGACACATTGGTTAGCCCTCTAACCAAAACTGGGCCAACTAAATTCAAGATCAAGGTACCAGACAAGCCAGCAGCCCTTACTGAAGGGGCTTTTATTTACATGCCTGTTAATTTGTCGCCATTTTCACATACTCCTTTTTTGCATTAACCTTACCTCAGATGTGTCTGAAACAGATGGATCCGCACAACAATTCTTGGCAAGTACCTTGAATCTCAACGATTTTCCCGTGGGCAAGCTAGGCAACAGGCTTTCCTAAATCTCCCCGCAAATATTCTTGACTGAAAACAGAACAATCTTTATTCGATAATTTCAATTCTAGCCCTAGCTATGTGAGTATAACTATCTGATGTTGGAGATAATACTTGGGACGTAGACCCCCGGCAAGACCCTCTCATTCTGAGGGTTGTGGGTTCCCGCGGGTCACCGTCACCCCAGTTTAACAAACCAGACAAACATAGCCAAGTTAGGGCTAATTTTAACTAATTAGGTATAGAGTATTTTTGCTTGGGTATAGCGCGTTGGTTTTTTGGGGTCGAGGGTCCGGGTCCCAGACCGGAGGGTTGAGGTTCCAACATTTGGACTATCATGAGGGTTGTGCCGTGGTCTACTTTGACACAGCCGAGATCGATGCTTGGCGTTAAGCGGCAACTGTGGTCGGTGGAATTAACGCCTTCGCAAAGGCTAAAACAATTCCAACCAGAGTTGTGTCTGAAAGGAAGATTGATTGTTGCAGGGAACGCAGAGCACTGTGTGGGGATAGACCTGAAAAAGGCTTGTTGATCTGTCCTCTTGCACCGTGGAGAGCGCTCGTAGGGTTCGAACCAATGGTTCATCGTTAGTGGTTGATGATGATCATAGAAGGAATACATCTCCGGTGTCTCCACCAACCCTGAGCCCGAGATTATTAAGAAGTGAAAAACCTTTCAGGAATTACAGTACAGAGAGAGTGCAGCTAGATAGACGATGGACCCCCAGACAGACTGAAATCGCCCAGGCGATTTGCATTGCTCCACCGAAAGACAGCTGAGGCAATCTATCAGGGCCTAGACCGAACTCTGCCTGAGGCACCAAGACGTTATTCACAGTTGATCCCACAACAGAGATTTCCCCACATTTCCTGTACGATAAAATTCTTTCTTCCTTCCTTCTCTACATTTGATGTTTCGTTAGATCGACCCCTTAGATATAATCTATCCATTTTACCAAGGTGTACAGGGTCATCACACAATCTCTCCATGTGAATCGGACTGTCGTACTCCGTATTGTTCGCTCCATTCCCATCAACATTAGATAACCTAGCTGGCACCTATACCCTTTCGCCTCCTGACAGCGTATTTAATAGTGCGGTCGGCGAATGAATTAGATTAATTGCCAGAAAGATCTGTAATGGTATATGTGGTTTGGGTAGGGCAGTTGAAGATAGCTACTCAGCCCATAAATACATCATAACACATACCAGCGTAGTACTCCCATTGATACATAAGTTAGAGAGTACAAGCAAGTGTTAGGGAACATGGATATCAAGTAAAATAATAAATAATAAATAATTTTGTACCAACAACTTCTTAAAACGTCCCAGGACGTCAGGATTCTAAGTCTTTATCATAGATCATGCAATCATGACAAACGTGAAAGTTTTCCGGAGGGTAAGGCAAGAACAAACACACAGGAGGGCACTGAAAAACGGCGCAGACCGTTTAAGTAGGCATTATAACCAAGGTATACAAATTAGTTTATAATAGACAGTGAAAGAGGAAACACGATGGAGGATGTGTTGACTTGACACCTAATTTGTATATGTTATACCACGACTGATCAAGCGATCTGATTCTTGTGACTATATCTAAAGTATCTATATAATAATCTGCTTTATTGAAAAATAAAATAAGTAATATGGGGATCAAATGTGGTGACCTCTAACGTTGTAATTTGCAGCTATCTAGAATGCAAATTTGCATCCGAAATAACCAAATATAGATTAGTGGTATTTGTTAGGCTGACAGGATGCTAGTTCCTAGAAGTCGAAACTAGTTAAGTCTTGTATACACGACCCTGGACCTGAGTATTCATACATAGGCGAACACATGACGGGACGTTGCCCATTGGAAAAGAAAGGAGGTTGGGGTGTCATCAATCCGGCGGGAGGTTGGCTGAACGCTTTGGATCGCAGCGAAGTTTTTCCTTCCAGAGACGTGCCCTCCCCTTTTGATCCACTTTTGGATGACCACCAGCTGCATCCAGGATATTTGGAGGCAGAAGCAGCTTGTTGCCACGGCTTCATATCCTTGTGGCAGTGAGGCATCCGCTGGTGAGAGTAACTGGAGGGCGACGGCAACTGAGGCTGGTAAACTCCATGTGAATTATATGGCATTAACTGCAACGTGGGGTCGGTTGGAGGGTTTAGAGTTACCGTAGTAATAAAAGGCATTGGCGGATGTCGAGTTCCCGGTTCTAGAGCCATAGAATACCACTGAGGGGTTGACCACTGAGTGGGCGATGACGTTGAAACGGAGGCTTGCATGCACGAGTCAGTGGTGATAGTATATGATGGCTCGGGAAATGAAGATGCTATTATAGGCGAATCAAGCAACACGCTATCTACCAGAGGTGAGATATTTGGTGGTTCATAGGCACTTGAGCCGGAAATAACAGCCACTGCTGGAGAGGTTGTAGAAGATCGACCGTCGAAGGACATTGCAGGGGGCAAATCTTGTTGGGCATAGGACCCATTGTTAAGGTACCATTCAGACTGGGTCGTGGGCACGTGTGCCGCATGTGACTGCTGTATAGAACGCATCTGTGTCCTGGGCGATACAGACGAGGAATTACCTCTTGATGTTGGGCGGCTGTCGTTCCACGCGCTCTCTTGCTGACCATTATGAGACTTGCGTGTTTGGCGAGATGATTTATTTACACGCCACTTCTTTAATCTACTCCGCAGCTGGGTTTCGCTGCATTAATATATGGGTTAATGTCTCTGTATAGGCCATCTTTGTTTAGCGAATCTCACCTGGGGTTGAAATCATCTGAGCGAATCTTCTTAATAACTTGCTTGAGAGGCCATTCCTCATCCTTGTATAGTTTCGCGATTAAGGATTTCTTCCTCTCCCACACGTCCGGAGGGATTGAATTTTTCATTTCCTTGCTCTATTTTTCAGATAGGATTCCCACAAAAAAAGCGGCGGAAGAAGAAGAGAAAAACAATGGCGAGAAGATAGAGCACGAAGCTGAGTGGAATGAAGCTGCACAAAAAAGAGGTAATCTAAAGGAAAGAGCGCTTGAAATGTTTCGAGAACCATAAACAAGTGACGTTGTATTAAAGGATGAAGAAATCATCAGTAGATGAAATGCACGGATTGAGGAACAATCGAGGTACTGGAGGACTGGTCTACTAAGGGAACAGATCGGGGGGTCCAGATATAAGTAGTAGAAATTATAGCAGTTATCCAATAGAAGGGAAGTAAGTAGGGGATTACCTACTTAACCTCTACCCAAGGGTACATAAGTGGGTATCGACGAGGACAACTCGTATCCACCTAACAAGGGGTCCCTGCTGAACCACCAAGCAGTTCTTTGGGGATGGGAGATCCACTAGCACGATAACGCCCACGGAACGGCATCATCGATGATTGGCGCTCGACCTTTTAAGTCAAGTAGGCTTCTTTATCCAGCCTTTCTAGCACTAGTCGTCAACTTGGTTTAGAGTTTGTATCCCGAGATTATACTTCAAAGATAATGCATTAAAAAAGAACCAGTTAGGATGATAGGGCACCCTGTAAATGGGTTTGGACATTTAACCATGGAAGGTATATGGCCCCTTCGGCCTCGGAAAAGTTGTGTTAATCCGTCATCGTCATTCCCAAGACATTAGCTGGATCCCTATTTCTGACATACTGCCTGCATTCCATAGTCAATGAAATAAAGAGGGGTACAACAACCACAGCCAACCCATTCTGTCGATATCGGTGTAGAAACATCCCATGCAAACTAAATAAATACAAGTGCAATCTACAGTATAACAGGCAATGATAGTCTTAATATCTAATATAGTTTTTTTGAATGTCTTATCCATGCGCCTCCATGCAGAAAAGCAAATGCTAAGTAGGGCAACCAGTAACTGTAAAGATAAGCATGGAACAAAGGACTATTCTTATGTGGCGCTTCCAAGTGGCCGGCACTCTTTTATCGCATGCCATGTCGCCACACCTTGTCCTAACCGTTTTGTACTGGTGTTGATCACCCTTATAGTGTGGCGTCGCGGGGGTTAAAGAACTCATCTTCCATCCGCTCCATGTGCCCGTCTTTACACTCGTGCTCCTTTTCGTTTCTACCCTCTTTAGTACTGTATAGTACTGGGGCGAGAAAGTATAACAGGAGGCCAAAAAATGAAGCAGATAATCATGTCTAATATGTGGGAAAGGAAGAAGGCTTGATCATCAAGCTGTACAGAGAGGAAGAGTCTCAAGCAAGCTATAAAGAAGATTTGCTTGCACAAGTTTTATCCTAGGTGAGACAACGTAAGCGATATCAAGATATTGACCAGAGGGAGATAACCTATCACTCACAGACTATTATACCCCTTCTTTAGCACTACGTCTATGTATCTAATCCTGACCGGGCACAGATTTCTAACACTTAAAACCTATTCTCTCACGCCTTGTTCAGAGCGGTCCTCTGTCAGGGCCTAGGTCGAACTCTGCCTGAGGCACCAAGTCTGCTTTATTCGCTGTTGATCCCACAATGTAGAGATTTCCCACATTTCCTGTACAATAGAATTCTTTCTTCCTTCGTTCCTTCTCTACGTTTGATGTTTCGTTGGATCGCCACCTGAGATAGGATCCATCCATTTTACCAAGGTGTATAGGATCATCACATTGGTATATCAGCCACAGGAAGCACCTTTTATGTTGTTTTTGGCTTTATGTCTGATGAAAAAGAGGGACATATTTATTTATTCTGTCATCTCTACAATCCTGTTATCGAACTCTGCGACTTCCGCTTCCAGACGCAATTGTAACAGATAAAGAACGGGCCTTGTTTAATGCTATTTATAAATTGTTTCCAGAGGCCGCTGCTCTACTCTGTATTTGGCATATTAGCAAGAATATTATAGCGAAAGCAAAGCCTCTAATCAGCCGACTTGTTACAGAATTAAATGCAAAGGAAAGAAAGGACAAAATTGATACAATAGCTCGGGATTTGGAGGTAAATTGGATGGAGATAGTTAATTCACCAACCATGGAGCAAAAGGATAAAAACTGGACGCTGTTTAAAGAGAAATATGCTAGTTATCCTGAGCTAATTGACTATCTAGAGTCAGAATGGCTTGAATACTTTACTGCCAAACGATTTCTCCGCTGCTACACCAATAAATATTGTCATTTTGGAACTACTGTTGCGTCTCGGAATGAAGGCGCCCAGTCAGATATCAAAAATAACCTAAATAACTTTATGGGGCCACTTTTACCTGTGGTGCAATCAATTGGGCGTTAACCTTTCGAGATATGGAAATTGAGCGCCAAATTAACGATAATAAGGAACGGTGGCCTATCTCACTTGAGATAATATTATACCGGGAAGTGAAGTTTAAAGTCTCGCAATATGCACTCTTTAAAGTTCATAATATATACAAAAAGTATCTTCCAAAGAATAAGGAGGGTAAGACAAAGGAGCTAATTAGCTCCGGTACTGGAGTTATTACCAAAACCCTTGGGATTCCTTGCATTCATATTATACAAGAATTTGCAGAGACGTCAAGATCTCTTCATATGGGGCATTTCCACCGACAATGGTGGATTGCAGGCTATCAGACCGAGCCTTTTGATGCCCGCCTTCTTGTACTTGAACCAGCAGCTATACAGCCTCGTGGACATCCTGGTAGTGAAAGGTCGGATTCCAAGCGGCGACTCTTATATTGGGAGCGGGTAGACCGCACAGTTCGTCTATCCCAGTATGGCCATATAGTTCAACAAGATAAAGTGCTGAATAAGACTACAGCGGCCAAGCAGACAGATGGTCAAGCAGCAACCCAATTACTTGAGGAATTGAATCAGGGAGCGTTGGATAAGGTAACGAACAAGAGTTCGCTTTAAACATCAAATAAGGCGTTGAATAAGGTATCATCAAGACAGGTAATGCCTTAAGCGATGTCTAATTTAGGGATGGCTGGCATACTATCCCAACCAGACGATAAAGATCTATATCATCCTATAGCCTTTTGGTCAAAGAAATTCTCAGGAAGCGAATTAAATTTTGGTACTCCAGATCAGGAGCTTTTCGCTATTGTTTATTCATTTAAACATTAGAGACAGTATCTTGAGGGATCTCTTTGCACTGTGGAAGTTCTATCTGATCATGCAAATTTACAGGCTTTTATAAAACAACCTAAAATAAATGGCAGACAGGCCAGATACTGCATGTTTTTGACTCCTTTTAATTTTATAATAAAGCACCGATCAGGTAAATCAAATCCTGCAGATCCACCGTCGAAACAATTCTCGTGTCCTTCAAAAATGAAGGGGAACTCCGACATTTCGGAGGCGATTTGACAGCGAATCGTTGGTGTTCAGTCCATTAAAATAAAGGACTTGCATATTGGTAAATCCCAGTTTAAGTATGGCGAGACGCCTTCACAGGAGAGCCTTGGGGGAGTGCTCTAACGTTGCATCTTCGGAAGGTGGTCAAGTCATCGTGCCGGTGTATGCAAGCGATGGCGGATCCTTTTTAGCCATTGACCACTCGTTTTCTGCTATGTCAAAATGTTTATCGGCGCTCTGTCTATCCCGTATGAAGAAAAGGAAGCATAACATCCAATCTTTTCCCTTTAAGATAATTAATCAGGTAACTGACGCCTTATATACTGCGTGCTACTGCACTTGCTTCCCTGTTCACGGTGATAATGCTATATATCTTTAGGTATACCCCGTACCACTTTTTAGTTTTTGATTTCCTCATAGGTTCTAGAAACTGGAGGCCGTCGAAGCCTGACGGATACTGGAGACATAGTACCGCTAGGAGGTAGGATGGATCTGCTTGTCCAGTCTCGGTATTTCTCTTACATCTTTAACCTCGATAATCTCAAATGCAGCGTTCACATGGATTTTCTGACCGAGTTCAGCGTCCTTACTTAGCTGTCTTCTCCAAGTAGAAGTATTGAAGATAGGCTTGATGCATGGAGTATTAACAGCTAAAATAGCAACAACCTAAGCAGGAGCCATGTTAGTAACTACAAGTCTATATTAGGTGAAATAGTTAACTAACGCCCTCCCGGTTTGCCCAAACTGTGCTCTCGTTGATGCTGTTCAGATTCTTCAGTAATATTATACAGCGCACTAGGGCAGCACATATAACGAAAATTCCGGAGCAAAGCAAGGCAGCAACTGCCAGTTTTCTAAGAAACGACAGAAAATAATATATCAGTGAATATTCTCCAAATGTTTCTTGGATTAAATTGTATATATTAACATACCGTAACAGACTAACTTTAAGTTGGGCTATTAAAGGAACAGGAATATAGACAAGGATTACATCAGTCCAAGAGTTTTAATATACTTTAACAGGAAATATAGATAAGGGAAGACGTACACTACATTCGTCGCCGCAACAACAATATAATTTGTGAAATCAGTTGTGCATTCAACTAGATAGCTTTAGCATGGCAACCTAGGCATTCCTTAAGGTATTGTCATGATTACAGATACATATGTGCAAGCACACAAAATTCCACTGCACTTAATAAGCTTTGTTTGGATAAGTCCTTGACTTTAAAAGGTTAGCAGAAGGAGAATAGTGGCATTTATGGCAACAATGGGATACAGACGTGATGCGATGGTATAAAAACAGCATGCATGCCTTCAGGCACCAGATCATTATAATATAAAAGCACCACCCAGCAATTAAGCACTTCGACCCTATCTGAAGACAGTAGATATCGGTATCACTAAATAATGCGCGTTGGTCTGCAGACCACCCGATATTAGATCCATAGCGACCTGGTTTTGAAATTGGTCAGTTTGACTTGTCGGATATTATAGGTGATCTATTATACTAATAAGCTCCAACATAACTAACTGTGCCTGTCAACTAGTCAGATTTATAACAGTTATAGTGTCTGTGGGTACTCACAGTCCAAAATAAAAGTACAAGAATAGTAAAATAATTATCGCCATCCCATATCCCAAGCCTGGTCGTCATCAATCGGGCGAAAATTCTGAGGAGCAGGATAAAAACTCCGATCCCATACTCTATCCAAACCTCCACCTGAAAAGAAGTTGCAGGTCCAGCTATTCTAGTAGCCGTGTAGTGCACTAACTACATATTAATCAATTTTTCGATACATCCCATAGATATTAGATTTGAAGAGCATGAAGAGCGGTAAGTCAGATTCTTACAGCCGACGACAACGTCGTTAAAATATCCACACTACCAAAATATGGACATTATTATATGGCTGGCCGCTTGTACTAGTATCCAAGGTTCCTATTTCTTTAAATTAAACTTCTACCATGGCTGTTGTTTTAAGATTTTTTATTTTTAATTTATTTTCTCTTTTGCCGCCTTGACCGGACTGTAATAATAGTATTCCATTACTGCACTTGTAGTTGTGCGCCCACGCATTTGATAAAATAAGACCTTGTGCAGAACAAGCAGAAATCGTACAAACAATAAACTAGTAGCCTCAGGTGGCAACCGACTTAGAAAGCTTAGTTGTCCCAGCATTGACGGCTGATCATGGCCTAGAGCTCTTGTTACACTAAGCTTAAATATGAATGAAGATAAGGTTATAATAAATCTGATTCGTTTTATGGTCCGACCTGATAATGAGATCATTGCCTTTTGAATTTGAGAAAGTGGTATTGTGGCGACAGGTGTATCGATTACAGTATTGCCAAGGACAGGTATAGTTTTCTATGACGTTACACCCCAGCCACCGCAATTGCCGACGAGAAGGGGGAACAGCGCAAAAACGGACGAAGCGATGACCTTCCAACCCAACCATGGTTGGAAGGTCGATCGTGGTTGAAGGTCATGGACCAGTCTTGTTATCGACCTCTCCCACTTTGGGGTGACGGATCATACAGTAGGATGCAAAAAGTTTGAACGCCCCCTTACATGACCGCCCTCTTGACCCCCTACCGCCTACCATTTGTATCTATAATATCAAAACAGGCAGACGCGTTGATGAAGCTATAGAAAACTGGGGACGCGCGCTGCCGCACGCCGTAAGCCGTGAAACGACATGAAATAATATTGATTTTTTTTTGCCGCAAGCATCGCCAACTGTTGTGGAATTCAGGGGAAGTGATGCGCAGGGAGCTATTTTATCAGCTACGGGCCAACTAGCCTAAATAGGAAGTAGATGTCATTCGGTGGAAACACCAGGAATCGCAGTATCTCAACCAATTGAGCCTACTAAGCGGTTCCCTATATTCTCATTTGGACCGTCAGATACTTCCGCACCGCCAAGTCGGGCGGATCATAGTGTCCAATTATCATCCGAATATTCTATTAGAGGGGCCGGATTGTCTCAGAGTTTTTACCCTCCTATGGACCGCGTTTATTCGTGAGTTGGCAGTGTCTGTTCCAAATAAGAATTTTGAATACGGCCCGTGGCACTGCTTCAAACCTTAGTCGCCCAGCCAATGAAGAACGGGCTGAGTAGAGACTGATTTTTAGTCATAAGTGACCTCTGCATAGACGAGAGCTATTTTCCAACAGTGCCATCCATCGCGTGCATTCACTTCCCTTTCGGGGTTCATTTTAGTCCCGGTGCTGTGAGCTGTCATGGAATTAAGGAGGAGAGTACTGGCGAGTGCTCTGTATGGATGTTTCTGTAAGTATAGATTTTGACCCTGTGACTTGAAAGTTTATATAAAAGGACTATTCAAGTCCCAGATGAGAGTCTCGATCGATAATTCTGGGGCAGGCAGCGTCCAAAACCGGATCCCAAGTCCAACAGGATTAAGTTTTATACTAATCTACTTGTATCGCTTTTCGTTTTAACCCAACAGTATAATATCCGCAAAACAGCCGACGACTGTTATTGCTCACTCTCTACGTTCTCACTCTCCAATGTCCTTTTCACTATGGTGAGCAACAAGAGTTTACGATTATTATTGTTTCTTCCATACTTTGTGGGTTCTCTATTGTAACCGTTTGCCTTAGGTGCTATGTGCGCCTGCGCATCGTGAAATCATTTGGATGGGATGACGGCCTAATGGTGGCGGCGATGGTAGGTGAGACCAGTTACCTGCCAACAAGAAATGAAGCCAGTCTACAACTTTAGCTAAAACCTATTATATAAAGATAATACTCGTCGCATATACCGCGACCACTATCGGCGGCGCGGTAGTCGGCACAGGAAGGAAGATGGGCGATTTAACATCACAAGAACTTAACCTCCGGCTTGCTAGGTTGGTAAGTGTCTACTTATGCAGTCATTAGCAACCTACTAGCGGGTCTAACAAGTCGAGATTACGCCAGTTTTGGTGGCTCGGTCAGGACTTTTACGTGACAGCTTGCGTGTTAGCAAAGGCCTCAATTTGCATCTGTCTATGGCGTATTACCATCAACCAGGTCCACCGAATGTTCCTGTGCCTCGTGCTGGCATTCTCCATCTTGGCCGGGCTGGTCTTTTTCTTCTTCACTACCTTCCAATGCCATCCAGTTTCCCATTACTGGAATACGACAATTGCGGATGAAAAGTGCCTTAAGGCCGCCACCATTATCAAGGTTACTTATGCGTACAGCGCTGTCGCTGCAACCTCTGATTTTGCCATTGGGCTTTTACCAGTATTCATAGTGTGGAACCTTCAAATGGCTAAAGCCCGCAAATATGGCTTAATAGGTCTTTTTGGAATTGCTTGTGTGTGCGTTACCAAGCTTTGTGAAATTATCTTAACATGCTGATATCTTTGGGAGACCCAGTGCAAGTTTTGCTGTGATCATTCGCATCCCATATCTCCAAGCGCCTAGCCGTTCCGAACCTCTATGTCAGTCTCTGATTGCCCATAGGTTACCCTCCACAAGCCTGTGCTGATTTCCAGCTTATCCAGACGCGGCCGGCTATATAATCATCTGGTCCTATGTCGAAGTTTCCGCTGGGATCATTGCGGGTAGCGTTGTCACATTACGGGCTTTAGGACGAGTTCTCCCTGGAAGATGCCCGGATTGGATTCGCAGCCCAGAGTTTCAAGACTTGACTTCTCGATCAAGCCCCCAAGTCTAGTAATTCAGCACTAACTTTTGCAGTACTCGGGGTGGACTTAGCAGGAATCGCCGGCGTGTATTTTGTGTACGGCTGAGCGGACAGGAAGACCTGTTTTCTACACACACTGGTCGTATGTGTCAAGAACCACGAGTCTACTTATTCATAATTTACTAAGTTCACTCCACAATAATCGAGATATAAATTTGAGCTGAAGATCTTTTATTTTTTGCTTACCTGGGTCTTTTGCCTAGCCTCCTAGCGAGTATTATCTGACGGTTGATCCAAGACAGCATAGCGCCAGACTGGATCCTGTTACATGAGAGATTTCCCCTGTGTATACTCCCGATAATCCAAACCCATGCATCGTCCATCAAACGGCAGGGCATGTCAGCGACAGCCTGGCCTATCTTCCCCACCACCCATGCTCAAATGCCTGTTGGGGGATTCGAACCCACGAGCTCCGCGTAACCCAATCCTATGACCCAAAAAAAAATGGGTGGTGTCCCCATCATTCCCCGTTAACTTAAAAGGGGTATAATGACTAAGATTTGACTAATAACGTACTACACCACCTGCCGCCTGACACCGCCTGCCGCTCGAAATACCGTATCTCCTCACCGACTAAACAACCTTGGATGTTTTAAACCACCATAACTCATTTATCCGTGCCTTCGATGGGCTCCCACTGCCTTTCGGCAGTAGGTGCACCACACCGATAGACCAATTTTCCATCCTCCCATCTTCTTGAGGCTATTCCTATCCACACAATATGCCTAGATCAACCGGAGAACTTGAAAAACGCGTATTGGAGGCCTGTAAAGCCGCCAGAAAGGAACAAAAAGCCTTTATGTTGGAACATCGGGTTATCCCTCTGCTCCGGGTGCCGGTCTGCGCTGTCTTAGTATCTGATTGTATTTAGCCTAGTTTGCGGGTGCCTCCGTACCCCCTGAATCCTGGACTCCTTCAAGCTTCCAACAATTAATTTATTTTCAGCAACTGTGCAATGATGTTGTTCTTTTCCCCTTACTTGAGCGACAACATTCACGCTGGAGAGGCTAATCGGTCCAATAACTAGAGCTAGAAAAAGAGCTACCCAGACTCACATAATATCAACTAACTTATCTAGCAATGTGAGAGATCCCATAAAGCAGGAAGCTAGTGCACTATCCGCCTAGCGGATATTCTTCCAAGGTCAGCCTGCTTTTCCCCCTGACTTTTCTCTCATCTTTCTTTCTTTCTTTCTTTCTTTTTTTTAATTTTAAACCGTGAGCATTCCATACCCTCTTACTTCGCATTTAACTTATCTTCTTAAACGTCCCCTTTCCATTGTGATATTATCCGCGACCCCTCCCCACATCGGTTTCTTCTTGATCATCTTCGGATTCTCTGTCATTCCAGAGTCCCACTTTTCTTCCTGACATATCCACACACCAATTATCTCCCGCGGCCATGGCTCCTGACAATGGACGGGATCTTAATTGTGCATGGGAGCATTGTGGCAAAGTACCTGACTCTCCTGTATATTCCTCCCAAAGAGTCCTATCTAATGGTGTCTCAACTATAGTCTTTCAACCGCAAATCGGGCCTCCGCAGGCACTATCGAATACACATCAATGAACGGCCCTATCATTGCAAGGTCAAGGACTGTAACAAGAGCTTTATTCAACGGTGTGCATTGACTGTCCATTCCCGAACCCACACCGGAGACAAGCCTTATATATGTGACCACGAAGGATGTTGCAAGGCATTCTCCGATGTAAGTGACTCCCTTTATTACAGTGCCTGATCTCCATGCAATTCTGACAGCTCTCTCCAGCCATCAAGTCTAAGACGCCACCGCAGGATTCACACCGGGAAGCGGCCTTATATCTGCCAGGAACCTACATGCGAAAAAAGGTGAGATTGGAATGTGCATATGGAGACCTGGTGTTGCTAATGTTGTGACGCAGCTTTTCCCACAAAACCACCCTGTCCAAACATCAACATCGCTCGCACCTACCCGGCACGACTCGACCACCTTTAGAAGACGCAGAATCCGTACATTCGTACCAGAACCCTATTAGTACTTCCGTAGCGAATGACCAATATCTCCTCGCCCAGCAACCCTTCTACCCTTATTTATCCACGCCGACGCATGAGTTCTACCCTCCCAAATACATAGCCATGACACCAGTTGCCGTGCAGGAGGCGGCCCGAATCGTTGCCCATAATGTGCCCGTGACGTCCCCATTTAACGTGCAGCAACTCATGCAACAACGATACGACCAAGGCCGCCCCGGCTACGTACCACTGGAGTTCCACCACCTCATTGCAAGTGTGCCAAAATCCAGGCATGACCTCATGGTTATCTATCATCCTCAGAATTTTGCCATCTTGAGTCAGGTTACTGGAGGTCGACCAGGAAGATCAAGGTGACTCGAAAGATGTCTGGAAAACCGCACAACTATACTCTCTTGATCATTAATTTTGTTGTATGCTCCGTGTGTTTTGGCCCGGGGGGGGGGGGGGGGGTGTTTCTCCGATCTAGTCACATGATTCTGGTCCACCCACGACCACATTATCATTAACCCTTTTTTATTGACAGGAATACTTGACGATTATATAATCTGGGCTATTCTTTCTCCATCTCGGCTTCAATATCCACCTCCGTATCCATGATCATCAATCATCCTTGCCCTTTCCATGTCCATGACCATGCCCATAATCATCCTTTCCACATCCATGTCCATGATCATTCTTTCCGTTTCCACGGCCATGTCCACCAGGTCCGGCCATCATATCGCTCACTTCAGTAGCGTTAACATTAGCGTCATCCTGAATTGGCGGAACCGATGGATGTAGTTAGACAATTTCCATTAATGGCGTAGTTCTAATGGATTGACAAACTTACCGATGCAGGAAAGGCGACTGTCAACGAGGCAAAGAAAAAAGCGGCAATGATTGCGAACCTCATTGTAATGATTTCAAGTCAATTGGCTCTGAAGCGCTTGATCAGGTTTAGAGAGTGCTTGTATATGAGATTACTTTCAGGCTCAGTAGTAGCGACTCAATGAGTGATGGGCTCAAGCGGTAGCTTTTATAATATCCATCTCACAGGTTGCGCTTTTTTGTTTTTTATTTACACTTTTCTATAAAAATGCGCGACACGTAATAAGCCAACGATCATAACCCTATCTTGTAAGTAAATATGTACAATCAAGCAATCAGGATTGATTTGATATAGAGCTCTGCTTACCCCTCGCAGCAACAGCGACAGGAGCAAGGAAAACAAGAATGGGGTTGGCAGGGATAAATAATAAGCATGCAAAATATTTTCCGAACCATTAATTAGCAAACATTCCTTAGTTATGTGGTGTATGTAGAAAAACGGCGAGAGCACTGTATCTAAATGGCTCCCTCTTGCTGAATTTGCTCACAATAACCAGGATTCTGAGAGAACAGGAATGTCCCCCTTCTGAGCTAGTATCACTGATCTATGGATAAGGAATAAGGAGCCATCTATAACTTATTGAAAAGTAAGGTCTCTGACTAATTAAATCTATCTGGGAGAACTGAATAAAAAAAGGGCAAACAAAGGAACAAAGTCGAACCGAGCGGATGCTGAATAATCGGTAATATAGACCAATTTTGGTCGACATAGTTCGACATTGGCTAACTCCTCGAATGGGCCTGGAGTTCCCCGTCGCCTCTTCCCCAGCTGAACCCGCCGCCAACTTTGTGCAGAGACTGTAGCTCCGACTTCGCGTCGCTCTGTTTACTAGTTCTTCAAGCGATGTCTTCGCCACAATGCAATCCAGTTGTTGATCTAGCCTCTGCCGTGAAAAATATCTCCTTAATTAATAGAAAAAGTGCCTTTCTTTATCTATCGCAATCACAGAAGGAAGTGGAAGCCATAGAACTCGATAACAGGACCGTAAAAGGATAGAATAAAGGAATATGTCTCTTCTTTTTCATCGCATACAAAACCAAAGGCAACATAGAAAGTGTGCCTAGTTGAAGTTATACCAACACTGTCAAGGAGCGGCATTCTAATATGATTCGTTTTATATGTACAATCCATACATTAGATATATGGATTTAATTGCAAGCACTCCAGCCAGACTTCGTGTGTCAAAAATACTGCAGTTATCCGGCCGTTTTCGGTGTCACATTGCATTATCCAGGGGCCTTCATCTGGAAGGAATGTAATAAGTGCTTGAATTGGATTTCTTCCTTTTAAAAACTGGCAATATACAGTTTGCCTAGGTTATGTTAGACCGTTGAAGAAGACTCTTCTTATTCTCTTGACAAAGCATTCGAAGGACTTCCTTTGTTAATACCCCCTGATTAATAAATGGTATAATTTAATTCTTTTTCTGGGCCACCTCACTCTTTCTGTATATTGGATGGGTGCTGGGAGGAGAGGCTTCATGACTGTGGCATCCATTTCGTACTGTAAGTCACAACCCACGGCAATAGGACATGATCTAGGAATGCTTTATCGTTTATATCATGAAAATGTTGACACAGGCTGGACACTAAGAACCAGTTTACAAGTGTATTCTTAGTGTAAAGTTCTGTCCGCGAGTAGCAAGGGAAACATAAAATAATTGTCCTAATAAAAACGCAGACAACGAGTGCGAGCACATCATCTATTTTTCAGCGTCTTCTTCACCTGCATAAACCCAACATTCCGAGCAGAACGACCCCGCCATTTAGTACTCGTCAAGAGCTTTCTTCTAGCTCGCTGAGCCCGCTTTCGCAGAAGCATTCTTGACGACGAGCTCTCTTTCTTGTCTAGGGTTATCGCTGGAAGTCGAAGCTTTCTCTTGCCTTTCGATGCTAGTCTTGGACTTTGGGAACTGCTTTTCTTCGGAGCCAAGCGAGCACATGGAGACGTCTCTTCGGGATATGTGAAGTGAGAGATATTTGGATCCTTTGGTTTCCAGTAATTGGCACTTGAGTAATGGAGCAAGCCATTCAGCTCCAGAGACATTCTTTGATGCGCTGGGGTTTGGAACTTTTCCCCGCTCGATTCTACTTGTTCGACCGGCAAATGCATAGTATCTGCAGATAGTTGATTCGAGTTCTCCGGGGATGTAGCTGTACAGACAATAGCCGCCTGAGTAAACGTCAGAAACTGGCTGGATACCAAATGTAGGAGATGCAATGAAACGGGAGAGAATATGACAAATAGAAACAAAAAATGAAAGCGTTGTAACACACTGAGGCCGTAGACCCACGAATATCGGGGGGATAGCTATTTGGCTTGGACTTCGTTTTCAGTGGCGATTTGAATGGTGATCCCAACTGCATAGTTACCAACTGCGTAGTTAACAACCGCGACCCTCAGCCTCTCTGAAGTATAAACAAGTGAAGACGCTGCTACGAATGTTCTTTTTTTTTTTTTTTTGGAATCCACGAGATATTCAAAGGCCGTTATTTCATCTGTTGGCTGGTGACAAAAAGCACTTGTTCTTATATTTTATTTGGTTTCCTACGTACGGTTCACATGTTTCTGTCGTCCACCACTGGACATATCAAGCCATTGGAATGCAGGGGTGTCAACAAGCAAAGGATATCCCTTCGCATATATATATATATATATATACTTCGTGCACCTCATAAATAGCAGGTTTACCTGGTTTGGAGCCATCCCGTCCCTGACAATGTCCACTTTATGCACGTATTATTTATACATCCGTAAAGTGTGAAGTCACTTCTGTACAATGTCACTCTAGGAAGGCTTGGCACTTGCGGAAACAAAGAGGTTCGCAGAATTAATTCTAATACAAACTAAATTGTCCCAAGAATGATCGACCTCCTTAAGTTTCAGCTAGCGTCGACATCAGTAAGTATTACTAGCCGCCACACTTAATGCATGTTGGGGAATTCATGGGAAGAATACGCTGGTAGCTATTCTATCAGCTTCAGGCCAACCCTTCGCCTAATTAGGAAGTAGGTGTTGTCTGCGGAAACACCAGGAATCACAGTATCTCAACCAACTGAGTCTCTTGCATTCCTGTCTAGAGTCTTCGGTGCTCGACTCAAGGTGCTCGACTATCTAAGGATTCAGGGTAGAATGGATCGTCAATACTCCGCACCGCCAAGTCGGGCGGATTATGGTGTTTCCGTAACATTTTGTTTGCAACTTGCGGCACGAAGTTTGGTGGTGGAACGAAACACGACTGCAAGAATTTTGGAACACGGATTCTATGAGTATTTGTTGATTCGGCCCAGCATCCCTCTCGGGTGGTCCCGCCATCGGCCCGCGGATAGTTCTTACTTGGCATACAACAACATCTCGTTTAATCTCTTTTCTCGAATATGCTAGTCCGCTTACTATAGTCCGTCGATACTTTCTTATCCGTAGAGTCGTTATTAGTCCGGAGCCCAATTAATCATGCCTACTATACGGACTTAGTTCAATGGTGGCGTTACAACCCCCTAGTACTGCCTTAGCCTACAGTAGTGACAGGTACGTGGATCCATTCCTACCCTGTCCATACCTACGGCTTAATTACCCCTGAACAAGTGGACGTTTTCATACTTATCCTACCCTAGTGGACAACCATCCAATGTTTATACAAAGATAAGTGGCCTCCACCAGAATAACCCTCATACCCATGACTGGGGTCCACCCGAACCGTTCGTCGCTCTTATTTATTATTAGTCCGCTCTCCATATCTCTTGGTTGCCTCTAATATTCCATGCAATCTTACTTCACTTTTACTTTATCTTAAAGTCTCCCCTCAACTGTCCTATTATTCCCGATACTTTCATCGGTTTCATCTCTCCTCATTCTGTAGTCCCACTTTTCCCCGACATATGCACACGCCTCTCCCGCGGCCATGGCACCTGGCAATGGACGCGATTTTAATTGTTCATGGAAGTATTGTGGCAAGGTACTTTACTGTCTTATACATTCCTTCCAAAGTGGCCTATCTAATAGTATCTTAATAGTCTTTCAACCGCAAATCGGACCTCTGCAGGCACTATCGAACACACACCAATGAAAGACCCTATCATTGCAAGGTCAAGGACTGCAACAAGAGCTTTATTCATCGGAGCGCATTGACTGTCCATTCCCGAACCCACACCAGGGAAAAGCCTCATGTCTGTGACTACGAAGGATGTCGCAAGGCATTCTCCGATGTATGTGACTCTCTTTGTTATAGTTCCTAACCTTTATTTAATTGCTAACAGCTCCCTCCAGCCATCAAGTCTAGCGCGCCACCGAAGGATTCACACCGGGAAGCAGCCTTATATCTGCCAGGAACCTACATGCAAACGAAGGTGAGATTGGAGTGTGGATGTGGAGACCTGGTATTGCTAATGCCGTCACGCAGCTTTTGTAGTAAATCCGCCTTGGCCAAACATCACCGCTCGCACCCACTCAGCACGACGACCCGACCAATTTCAGAAGATACAATATCCGAGCATTCGTACCAGAACCCCATTAGCACTTCTATAGCGAATAACCAGAGTGTCCTTGCCCAGCAACCCTACTACTCACTCATCCGCGACGACGCACAGGTTCTACCCTCCCGAAAACATACCCATGACAACACCAGCTGCCGTGGAGGAGGCGCCGCCAGTCGTTGCCAATAATGTGCCCATACCCTCCCCAGTTGACGTGCAGCATGTTCCGCAATAATACATGCAGCAACTCATGCAACAACGATACGACCAATGCCGTCCAGGCTATGCACCACCAGAGTTCCAGCATCTCTTTGTGGGTATAATCACGGCGGAAGGGCATAGGCTCATGGTTAGCTATGCCCAGAATTCCAGGACAAACAACAATGCGGCTTCTAAAGTAGCCCGACTGACCGGGTGTTTCTCGGGGTCGGTAAATATATTAACATCTCTTGCTGAAAAAGTAATGGGATTCTCACAGAGGAATTTCCACACCCAATAACAAGTTCTCTCTGGGCCCGATCTTCGTGCATACGGAGAGACCCAACCCTCCAAATCTCCCCTCTTCCAACGTGGAAAATACGCCTCCAAAGAGTGCCCAGGACCTCGAAAAGAACCAAAAGAAGCTCTCGAGGATCTTTACTACGGAAGGCTTACTCTGAAGCTCCATCGAGGCCTACAACTGGCGTTTTACCATTACAAAAAGACAAGCAGAGGAGCTTGCGACGATGAGCGATACACTCGACGAATAAGACAGATACAAGCACCCCGGAGCGTGTATCACCAAGAGGGATTCCAAAGCCGAACGACCCGGTATACTCAGTACAAAAGATGCCAATCGATCAATAAAGGACAGAGAGAAAAAGAAGCTTTACAGGAGAAAAGAAGGCTATATAAGCAGTGGAAGAAAGCATACAGCCAACCGTCACCCACGGCACCTACAGGGATAAATACTACATTGCCAGATGCAGCAGTGGCAGCGCAACAAGAAAATGAGGTTTTTTGGATAGATACTGAAGGAGGCACTAGGTTCCAACAACCTGGCTGGTATTTGACTATACTAATTTCGGTGATTGCTAGTCCGAACTAGGAATACAGATGTTGCAGTAGCCTGGCTGGTATAGTGGGGGAGCCCGCGGTGTGACGTAGCACCTCCCATTTGAACCAGTCTTGTATTTCTGTTTAAGACTATTATCGTAGCTTGAATTCGCTAGATTTTCTATTTTTATTAGCTATTTAGAAGGAGCACTAGCACTAGCACTAAGTGAAGCCGTGCATGCTCCAAATTCCTGTGTAGGATATTAGGGCAGTTTATGGCACAATATCTAACTTTGCGACATCACATATCCCTTCCTCTATAACAACCAAAGAAAGCCTAATGGCACCCAAGTTATAAACACAGAGATAATGCTTCCCGCTGTAGCTCTGAAATTCATACTGCTACACTGCTGCAAATATCCCCAGCAAGGAATTGGGATGCAACCTTTCTTGACGAAAACATCACAATGTAACCCTATCTGAGCTCTACTAGTTACAGATTAAGAAGGCTGTGACCATTCCATTAGTTAAATTAAACCGTTCTTTCAGAGTATCTGCTCCGTTTCCGGAACATAGCGTCTGCGCTCTTAAATTAATGAACATGAACTTACTCCCATGACGGGCTGAGGATATATAAAGCTGTGGCATGCCCTAGAGAGTCCAATATAACTAATGCCTATCCACATTTATTTGTTGACTATTACCAGTTCTACCGTTATTTTACACGCTACTACTTCCACAATGCACTTAATACTCTTTTCTTCTCATTGTCAGTGCAGCACTGTTTAGCAGCGCAATTGCCGGCAAGGACGGTTGCTACAAGATCGAAAATTTCGGACTCAAGGAAAATAATTGGACAACTGTCATCCAGGGTTCAAATTTGTCCCGAGCCACTTGCCTGTGAAGTTAAGCACCAGTGCTGCATTGGTGCCTGCTGCCCACATCACTAAAAGGATAGACTATTAGGCTCAGGTAGGGATATACCAATGCATATTAAAAGGGAGAAGGCTAATTAATCTTTCCCACGTCTTAGATCTACAAACAGAGCTTAATCAAGAAGAGAGATGGTTTTCTGTTATGAGCCTCTTGCTAATCTGGATAGGGTTAGGAGAAAACAATTTTTTTATACGCTGTATATTAGCAGGAGGCTCTCTAGTCTATTATTAATATCAGATTGTCTGATGGGTATGTGTTGATGTCGTACCAACTATCTAGCATGTCTCTATAGTCACTCTATAATTGACGGTGTTCCTCAAGCCCCGGAATGCTCCTCCTAGTAAAGTGTAGCTTTGAACAATTGAAAAATTGCGCACGCCCCTAGGGGAATGCGGGAGAAATTAGGCGCATTGGAAATATCCAAGGAGTTCGAATGTGACTTGCCTTAGTTGTTAGAGCATATCGCCAAGCATGGGCGCCTGCCCCCGGTTTCGACCTCGCTTAGTCATCATTTATGTAAGCTAGCTTTTAGTTAGTAGCGGCCACCCGGCCACCCATTCAAGAGAACAAGCAATCGCTTCCAACATTAGTTTCCTCAGACCCCAGCCAATGATGAGGCATATTTTGCCGATTCTGCCACGCTAACTCAGTTGGGTGTTTCATCAGCCCGTAGCCGTGTCAGCAGCGGAAGCAGCAGGCGGTGAACGGAGCAGAATATGTCATTGGCTGGAGTCTGAGGAATCTCTCCCACTACCTGTACTTTGGTACAACAATCTCTGATTTCAGACCAATGCAAGATGTTAGAGATATGCCTAACCGTCACAAAGATAGAAGATTCCGAACTCGATCCTACGGTTACACGGTCATGTGGATGTCTCTCTGATTCATGCTAAGTTTATCGTTTCGGCTGCAGGACAACCTGGGTATTTTATGTGTTCTGTCGTTCTATCCACTCATGTGTTTGATAGCTGGCTTTAATCATGTTAAGAAGCGAAGGGATGTTTGTCGCTCTGCTAGAGTTTGTATCTGAGGAAAGTGAACACATGGAGTTTATGCAAGATATGTTGCCAGGTTGCGGCATGGAATGCGGAAATATTTATGCTCAATACTGAGATTTTAACTACTTGACAGAACGCCATCTATGGCAAACCGTATTTTGTGTTTGATGAGGGAGTAGAATTTGGTTTCTTAGATTCCGTGACTTTGTATCTACGCGATCAGGTGTAGTCATATCATACTGTGGGTTGGGCGGGATTGGCACCAGAAAACTCTGTGGTTCGGCCCTACCCACACTACCTGGATTCTTTTGGCGTCCCCTCCACAAAACGAGAGGGTACTGACACCGGACACCACGAGAAGGTAGAAATCCTTTGTCCTAACTGCCTGACGATAGAAGTTACCCAGCGTGCTCGCCAGGGGCCTTGGCTACAGTTCTTTGTGTCGGCGATGATACGGTCTAACTCAGTCACGTGTTATTCATAATAGGAATAGCTTCGGCCAGACTTCAAGTCGCCGAGCGAAGCGAGAGGTTTTAAGGCTTGTTGAAGTTAAATAACCCACAGCTCCTGTTCTTTGTTCCCTTCTTCCCGGCTTTTTACCTGAGAACTTAATCCTTCAGCTATTATTTGAATTCTTTGTTGTTTCCTTGAGTATAGTAAAATGACAGCCTCTGCCCACACGAGATGGATGGAATACATCCTTGCATACTGTTCACATGTCGATCTCAACAAGTCTGCAAGACACAAACCCCTACAGCAAGAAACTGCTATGGGCGCTACTATATTACAACCGCAACCGCAAACTAACAAGCCGCAGAGAATGTCTTCTACTACACAGCAGGCTCAGCAACCCGCGCCAAGTCAACCAGAGCAGCAAGATACGAACGGGCCTTTGCACAGAATAAAAACTCGTGCGCTCAGTAAACGAGAGACCTTGAAGCGAAGAGCCCCCCAAACACGGAAGAGAAGCCAACGACCTAAGCAACAGGTCCAAGGGCACAATAAAGGTCTGCAAGAGCAGGTCCAGCAACAGGTCCTGCGACTAGTTAACCAACTAGTACCGCAAAAGATCCAGCAAAAGGTCCGGGAAACACAGGAACAATTTCTGCAAGTCGAGCAACAGGTCCAGCAGACCCAGGAGCGAATTTCACAAGTCGAGCAACAGGTCCAGCACACCCAGGAGCGAATTTTACAAGTCGAGAAACAGCTCCAGCAACAAGCTCAGCAAAACCAGGATCAAACCTTGCAAGTTCAGCAAACCCAAGGACAAGTTCTGCAAGTCCAGCGAGCCCAGGAACAAATCCTGCAAGTCCAACAAGCCTATCAACAAATCTTGCAACAAGAAGTCTACCAACAGGTGCTGCAGAAAGCCCAGGAACAAATCCTGCAATTTCAACAAGCCCATCAACAAGTCTTGCAACAAGAAGTCTATCAACAAGTGCTGCAGCAAGCCCACTACCTCCAGCAGAAAAACCAAGAATCAGTAAATCAGATGCAGCAAACAATCCAGAAAGAGGCCGAGGTTGCCGAACAACAAATTCTACGCAACATGGTTCAATTTGTGGACCCATTTCTGATGGCGCGGAATCAAAAACAGGGGAGGCAAATCGAGGAGCTAGAAGCTAAGGTTAAGCAACTAGAGCAGGGCACGGCACCGACAAATTGAAAAGGCGGCGGGAAATGGGCTGGGTTAATTAATAATTTAGAATACACACACACACACACACACACACACACATATATATATATATATATATGGGCTACATTTACGTTGAATCCCTTTGTCTCCATTTAATCAGGAACGTACTGAAGTTCCAGTACAGCTAATAGTAGGAGTTTTGAGAGGCGACTAAGTTAAAAGGCTAGCAGACAAATCCTTCAAGAACATTTGCTCGCATGCGTGCCGCACGGCTGTATCTGTTTATCCCCACAGAGCCTCGCTCAGACGTGGTCAGCCCCCCATAGATCTCCTAAGCCGTCGGAACCTGGAACGGACTGAATATCTTGCGAACAGACTAAGGAAGTAGGGGCATGTCAGGCCGAGTGAGAGCTTGCTGGGCCCGATCAAGATACTTGAAGATGCAGAATAAGATTTCTGCTGGAAGGAGACATTAGTATTGGTGCGGAATTGGTGGTTCCTCTTGAGAACATCCCAGAGACCATCTCCTTTATAGTAGCTGGAGGAGTCAAACCAAAAAAAAAAAAAAAAAAAAAAAAAAAAAAAAAAAAAAAAAAAAAAAGAAAAGGAGAAAAGTAAGTATGAACAAAAAAGCGTGTTAAAATTGACCATACTTGCAGTGATGAGTTCACAGGCCTTAACTAGTGCAAATGCCAAAAGGGTAGCCACACTGACGGTCCAGGAGTGCATCTAGAGATTGGAAAAACCTGGCCTAGTACAATGCAGTTAAGGACAATCGCTCTTTTGTTTGACTACATTATACAAGAGGGAGGACAATCTTCTAAGCATTTTTTATTGCCCATTCCTTGTTTACACCTGTGCGTACGATTGTCCTTGTAAATCGGTTGTGTCACCAAACCTTAATGTGTCCCTTGGTGATAAAAGCTCGCTGAGCATGGAGCAGAGTTATAATCTCGGGTATTTTAATAGGATGTATTAGATTGATGGTTCCCGGTGTAGAGTAATGGTATCTTTGTAAGTAATTTTTTTGGATAATTAGACACAAACACTAGGATGACCATGGAAAGGGGCCAATAGGAACAACTGACAACATTGCGCATCCGAATTCTGGGACAATGGTGGAGTTCGATCAAAATATGCTCAAGGTGGGGGATGAGATAGGTTATCGTTAGATACCTTATGATGTGTAAGAGCGGATGAAAAGGCGCTTTGTCTCCGCCCAAGGGCCAGCAGGAACCATATCATGTGGAAATCTTCCATCGTTCGACATGGCGTACCGGTCCGCTCCGGCCTTTAACATGTCTCCGGCCGCTTCCCAGCTTCCTCCTTTAGCAACGAGTGTGTGCAAAGCCGTAAATCCAGAGTGATCCTGCGAGTTCACATCGGCTCCGTGTTCAAGAAGCAGTGCAATTACTTTGCGCGCCTCGGATCTAAAACAGTATTCTGCGACATGATGTAGAGGTGACTTTCCCTGCATGTCCCTCGAATTAACAGAAGCACCACGTTCGAGTAGCATAGTTGTCAATTCGATGGAGCACATTCGTGCGGCAAGAGAAAGAGGCGTCAGCCCATCGATGTTTCGAAAGTGAACATCGGCGCCAAGTGATAGAAGGTTATGGGCGCTTTTCACCCCTTGACGGCAATAAGAGTATCTGATAGCGTTGAAAATTGGAGTTTCACTCTGCTTGCCGCCGGCCCAGTTCACATCAGCCCCGCATTCAACAAGCCAGCCCATCATACCAGGACACCCACTATGTGGCCGAGTAGCCAAATGAAGCACGGTTTCTCCCCCTGCATCTCTTGCCATAATACTAGAACCATTTTCAACGAGTGCCTGGGCTTGTTTGATGGCTCCCTGAGAGACCGCATAGAGTAGAGGTGTCTCTTGCCTATCGTCTATAGCGTCCACTTGGGCCCCCTGCATTACGAGTGTTCGGATAATGGCTTTGTTGTCTTTCCTGGAGTTCCTGGGTTTCTCAGCCGCGTAGAAAAGAGCAGTCCGTCCTTTCCCAGAATACCTCGTGTTTTTGAAGTTGGGATCGGCGCCATAATGCAGTAGGAGGCGCACAGCACGTGCGCATGAATAATAGGCTGCTACCTGTAGCGGTGTCCTCCCCCAACTGTCCTGAGAATCCACCTGGATACCAGAATCTATGAGCATCTTCATAATTGTGGGAGAAGCATTCTTCGTAGCCGCGACGTGTAGAAGTGTATTTCCACTTCCCAAGATATGTGTGTCAGCCCCTCGCTTCAAAAGCAGCACCACCTTTGATTCCTGATTTGACCGGATGGCCTCCATAAGCGGGGCACGTTTGTCAAATACAACGGAATTGACCCTGGCACCATAACTTAGGAGCAGCTCAGTGATGGTCACGTCGCTACGTTCAGCTGTCGCCAAAACCAAGGGCCGTCTGGCGCGGAGGTCAGCCGCATCTGGCAACGCTCCATTTTCCAGAAGAAGTTCTACAACACGGGTATGTTTGTGAATCACAGCTTCCAGAAGAGCGGTCGATTGTGTCTCATTTGGTGATCGAAGGTTAACATCAGCGCCAGCGGCCAGCATATGTCTAACTCCGTGTTCGTCGCCATGGATTGCGTACCACACAAGAGCAGATCCACCATCAGATTTGATATTTCTCTGGTAAAGCTCACTGATCAGGAAATTGTAAAGCCTGCGATTAGCTCGTATAAAATTAAAAAGATCTTTTAGCGATACCAAATGGTCTGCAATTAACAAGGTAATTTCCAGTGGGAATAAGTGAAGAGGCATGGTGTTCGTTCTGCTGTAAATTCAGGATCTTAACTCTGATGTTTTGAGGACGGGGGTGAGCTAACACGATACATCGCAACGGAAGACGTTATAAACCCACCTTAATTATTAACTATTAACGGGAGTAAGAATGACATTCCAACAAGAGCAGAGCGACACTATGTCCTTCGACGGCAGGACGGTCCAACCCACCCGGCCCTCAAAATTTAAATGTCTGGAAGGTAGTATTAGACCATGGAGCAGGGGATTTGTTTGGAATGCGTATCAAAAAGGCAAATTAAACCTGGTAACGCCAGAATTAACTCCTAATACAGCTTACCTTATATATGCGGCTGCACGTACATGCATCACCACTCTGACTGCCAAAACCGGTGTGAGCCAAAGATGGAACTGTTTTTGAGAGTGGAACGTTTCTGCACCCCACAAAGAGATTACCTGGAAAGTTACAAATTGTGGTTCCTTTCGTAACAAGTATTAGCAACCAATTCACTAGGTGGAGCCATAGTTACGTGACCCTTTTTTTTTTTCTTTTTAGGATATTACCTAGTATAAAAACAAGGTTTCGTACTAGCCACAAGGCTGGTACTATAGAAAGTGCTGTCTATCACTTCATTATTAAATTCCAAGTCATGAGGTATCAATTAAGTTATAAAACATGTTATATTACAGTATATGCAGAGGTGAAAAAAAATAGTTTCCAAACATCCATTACTATTCTTCCTGGATCGTACTATACAAAATATAACTAGATAGCCAAACTGAGCGCGGGCTTTTTATTCCCTCTAGTAATTAATAACTTGCGGCGTGCCTAGAGCTGAAAACATTGGCTCCATATCTGTGCAGATTGGCCGTTTTCTAAATCTTGGGTTCCAATCTGATCCTTCTGATTTTAGGCGTAATAATAACCCGACTCGCGTGGCTAAGATGTAATCTTCCTAATATGCGTCCTACATCTGCCTTGGTATCGTAGAATGCGACGACACATGGTAATTTTCTGGGCACAGTATGTGCTCTCTCTCAAAAGCGCAAACAACAGACGCTCAATAGACAAAGCAGAGAAGCTCCCAAGGAAAATACACTTCCCAGCCACGTTGCGGCCAGCATGTGTGGGCCGAGGTGAGAGTGAACCTTAAGGTCACCTAGAAACGTTCGGATCCCTGTGGATATTAAGCTGTATATGATCGTCACGGTAATTGATGCACCAACAACGAAGATTGAAGCAACCTGCCTGCAGATTAGACTTCTGACTCTTTCATCATATGGAATAACTTACAAGAGAGCAGGCAAGTGTCGGAACTGCTCCCCATTTAAACAGCATTGAAAAGAGCCCTGTAATAACAGTCAAGGCGGTGGCGACTATTCCAATAATATATGCCGTGGTAGCCCATTTGGAAGGTTTTGAGAGTCCCGAAGGCGCACTTTTGCTCCCCTCTGGCAGCAGCGAAGTCGATCCGGGTACTTTGGACTCTAATATCGCCACCAAGTCAAATGAAAATGACAATGTGGGTTTGGAACATCTTAAATACTCTGACGCGTCTTCCTCTCCGTCACAGTATCCCCAGAGACCAACTGCATAATAATCGGGTAGATTCGACTGAAGTTTGCCTCGTAGGTCAGAGAGAGTGTCACTGGCTTGGTTAAATGCATTGTGGGCTGAGTCTGCCAGATCGGTTGCCTTGTCTGCGAGATTAGATGCCTGGTCTGCCATATTAAAGGACCGAACCACCCTCTGTTGCATCAAACTTGTCCAATCTATCTGGAGATTGTACCCGTCAGTGACCTGGCCATGGAGCGGAGTTCTATGTAATATACCTTCAAGAAAAACAAATCTTGGGGTGACGAAGGAGATCTACATCCTGCAAAGACGATGGCCAAACATGTCAAGGACACTACGGACAGTGCCAATGGAAGAAGCTTCAAAGAATGTCGTAACATCGTGAAATAGGTAAATAGCGGACGACCCGGAAGAGGCAGTTTTATGGCACAAATAAAGAAACTGGAGGTACCCATACAGGACTACAGTAACAGGTCGATATAAATACTATGATTTTATGGGTATTCCCTTGCCTCCAAGATCGGTTAAAAAGGACCAAGTTTACTCAGTCGGTCGAGCCGTAAAACTACCAGCGTAGAATTCCTGAAGAAACTTTCAACGTCGGGTAACTTACCAGATAAAATTTTAATACACGAATATCTCAATATTTGAGGCCAAAGTTGTGGGAAATCCCTAGCTCCCCAAAATACCCGGAGCCTAGACGTGTATGGGTGGTGTGGAAGCACTTTTTGAGCTTTGGTAACTTACAAGACTTTATTTAACCAGGTCGGGGCTTGATCAAGATAGTGGTAACAATCCACTAGCGACTCCCGGCCGAAAATGTCCGCGTTCTAAGTCCAAGTACAAGCCAAGCCCGACTAAGCTGTCTCATCAGGGCTTGCATGTGCATCCCACTTGTATTCCAATTTCAACGGATCGTTCTCTCTAGAATACGGCAGGACCTAGCCCTTGGAATAGTACCGCTAGACTAATTAGGCGTATTGTCACAAATGCCTATCCTATATAAACTCGTCGGCATATTTTCCGGTACATAAAATAAGCTTCCAACCAGTCTCCAGTTCTACCATGGATAGTTTCATTTTTTTTAAGTGACCCTGAGACAGATGGCTCAAAGAAAACGACGGTAATATTCACAATACACGAAGAGGTATAGTACCTATCGGACGCGCCTTATATGTTCGCTTAAGCCGGATCTGGGGCGCACTTCAAGTTCAGCTGAACAAGCATGCGTACCTGAGGGCCTTGTTAAAATCTGTATAGGCCCGCGCGACTCGACTTTATTCCTCTTATCCTTGTAGTTAGGGAATTTTATAGTTTACGTATTCTCATACAATACGCATGCAATTCTTTCATAGGGTTTATGGGGTCGATCATAGTCGGCTGTATTTAATATTAAGGCTCGGATCTTGGGGGAGGTAGGTCCTGGTGATTTTTGTCTAGCAAGGACTTCAAACGCAAAAATACGAGTAATTAAACTGGAACAAATTAAAATAAAGTAAATTAAAAGAGAAATAAAAAGACAAATTCAGAAAAAGCTCAGGGGAATGTCCCGATAGAGGTGTATTTTACAAATTAATTTATTCCGATAATAAATCATCAGATACTGGGTGCCTGTAACGTACGGGATCCACAGAAGAATACCAGGAACTGACCAAACTGGTGGGGAATAAACTTTCGGGAATTTCCCCTTCCAAAAATACTGTAGGAGTTTGAGTTGTGCTCCGATTAGTTCTCATTTTCTACTTCCGGAGTATAGAGTAAGTTGAGGCTGCTCTTTTTTGGCCTAGCTCTAGATGTTAACTTGTGGTGGTTGGGTGGGGTTCATGGTGGTTCATAATTATCGTAATTATGGATATTAGTAGACTGACAAGGGAATGACTAAAATAGGTACGGTTTATATTCTGATCACCAACTTGCGATTTACGCGGGTCTGTTGAAACCTGTGGTATTTGGAATGGCTACTTTCTATGGAGGGAATTTTATGTGTATTGTGTTCCAACGGTGGTCCAGGCGTATATACAGCCAGCGTATATTGTTTTTGAGTACTAGTTTAAAGTAATACTTGTGAGGTCGCTCGATGTAAGCGTGTGAAGCCACCGGTATACTTTAATTGAATCCCATAGACCGGGTAAAAAGATGGATAATTCACAATACTGGTAGGGCCCCAGAAATGTGGTGATAATTTGAACAGTACTATCTTTAGAGAACAATACCCTAGGGGTAGTAGTGGTGGCGGTGGTGTTGCAAAGGGTCAGATCACTTCGAAATTGGAGGGTGTACAATGCACAGCCCTGCCTTGCTTTCCCGTTCATGATCCTCCTTAATCAAACGAAGTTTCCAAAATCGATATACCAAAGTGAATATCAGCGAGACAGCTGCCAGGAATCCGCTCACAATAACTGTCAAGAGAGCCATAATGGACCAATATCCATCTTTCGCTGTGTAGACATTAATCAGAGTGGTAACCAAGCCCGCAATGGTATTAAGGGAAACTGGTCTGTTAACCCGTCAGTCAACATTGTGCGAGGGTGTTCTATGTCTACCTACATGAATAGCCGGTTAATAAGCCAGATATAATTATGCCGCCATTTCTGGAAAAGAAATAATATAATTCCAGCCCCGATACCCAAAAATGACCATGCTATGGCTACCAATGGTGGGTTTTGAATAGTATCAAGGACCGCTTTCTCGGCGTCGTTCTTGGTCAGATTCTCTCCCAGCGAGCTTGACTCCTGCAAAGTGGTAAATGTTCCAGGAATAACAATAAACCCAGCTAGTAAAATCCAACCAGCAAAACTGGAGAGGAGATTGTAGACCCAGTGGATGTCTTGCAGTTCCAAAAGCATTTGCATGTATGTCGTTCCCACGGTTTGACTGGTGTCGCTACGGACTATACCAGAGTCTTTTTGGTAGGAAAACAAAACCATGGCTCTATGGGAAGAGGACTTATGGGGATCCGTTTTGATAGAGAGTGTACAGGATTAAACGAACAGTACAGTACTGTATGAGCGGTGAATGGAACTGGACAGAAATAACCCAAAGAACAGGTTGGTATATGCCTATTTATCTTCTAGCCTGCGCGCCTCAGACTGCAATGTATAAAACCAGTAAATTACAGTATCGAGGTTTTATTTACTAACCGGGTAATTCTGAGTAACAAATGGAGCGCTGCTGCAGAGATAACTGTCTTAACACTCTTATAGTACTGCAGTATGGGAAGTTACGTAACAGAAATTATTATAGCATATGCTTTTTATTTTTACCACCAGCATTTTCCTGGCAGCCAAACCGGGTCTGAAACAAAAATTCGAGTAGATCTCCCAGTTACAGTAAAATTCCGGTAGTCTCGATCAATGGCCTGCGATGGAGTGAACATGCATGGAAAACAAACAGATAATGGAGACCTCAAATTTAGACGGAACCGGGCCGTTAAATACATCCCTTGGACTTAGTAGTTTTGGTAAGATATGGGACAGTATTAAATGTGGAATCAACTGCGGCTACGGTTCACGGGCTACGGATAATCAATGTCTCGTCAGTGCACTCTGTTTTTTATTTCTGGGGTCAAGCCTCATGTTTTCTCATCCACCAATGACTAGCCCGTGAGACACTCAAGGCAGATAGATATAGGACATGAAAATCGTGTCACATGCATTATGGTTTTCTCTCTATACCTACGCAGTTCGATAGCATGGTGCAGTAACTAGTCAGTTAATACAGACGGCTGGCTAAAGCTACCTGCCTTCCGAGCAATCATACAGAAAAAGTTCGCTGGACGTAGACACCAACTGCCTGTACTAACATTCAAAAACGAATGCTTCTGAGAGTTAGTCTTCTACATTGTACTGGAAAATTGCGGATCTCAGCTCGTACCTGTAGTAGTTCATCGATAGTCACATCGGATGGTGCATGGGCGAAATCCGACGCCAGAACGCCAACAGTGCCCCTGGTGGCAGGAGCATCACTTGATCCCAAAAGTAAGCGTGCGAGTTTGCAGACATCTTTAATATCACGAGACATTCCTTTGGGCCCAGAGTTCGTGACCATACTCTTCCCAATATTTGCTAAAACATGTTAGCCCAGTATACTTGGCTTGGCCATAGTGGTCTAACCCACCGATTTTAACATCGCCATCCTCCATGATGTGGATGTTACTTTCAGAGAGAGACCCATGACTAATTCCGATAGTCTTGTGAATGTATCGCAAGCCCTTGAGGACCTAATACAACGTAGTCTATTAGCAAACCTCTTATGGGTCCAGGGACCAGGCTCATCAGCCAAGCATACCTCACGACAAATGGTAGCAACTTCGACCTCCCCCAGCTGGAAAACAGGCGAGAGAAGGAGGATCTCCTTCAAGGATATACCCCATTTTTCGTACACAAAGAACAGAGAGTTTTCTGTCACAAAGACCTCTCTGAGATTCACCAAATTCGGATGAGAGGTCTCCATGAAGCAGTCAATCGGAACCATGTCGCCTGCCATGCCCAGCTTCGTCACATAGCCGACTGGAGAATTCGCCGTAAATTCAACGGCATTGATCCCACTGTATATAGGCTCCAGACCGATAAAAAAGCGGTCCATCGCCGTGTACGGAGATCCATGTTTAACGAACTGGTTTTTAGACGCTGTCTCTTCAGTGGTACTGTCCGTTACCGTGCTATTGGAAGAAGGTTGGCGAAAATATGAGGAGATCTCGATCGGAGAGCCTAACTTCCTTGTCGCACCCATCATGCAACTGGGATACCTGCTAAATTGTTTTCGTGTCTCCATCGGGAAATTTGCGGCCAGTATCGCAAATGCAATTCCAAATACCAACCTCTGGCTTAAGTATTAGATTCCTCAGGGTTTCTCCACGTCAGCAGGACAACCTGCATGATCCGATGCGATATAGCAGTCCAAAACAAGTCACCTAATAGAAATTTACTGTAAAAATCCAGGACTACCCTATACGAAATGTATATAGTATTTATTAATAATAATAATGTATATAGTATACACTCCTGGATGGCCATCTTCCTCGGCCTTGGGCGACTCACTAGAGCAATTGAAATTTTACCGCTAAAATAGCTCGAAAAGGCATATTTTTGGGTGGGACCGGTACTGTATCTTTCCACCCTAGCTTGAAAATACATTGAACCTTTTGGGGTCCGGGCAACGGGATCGGCGGGCTCGCCGGACCCAGTTTGAAAGATTCACCCCACTATACATACCCCCAAGTAATACAAATAATACAGTTACTGGTCGGTGGTAGATTAAGCATAGTAGGGCTCACTGGGATCAAAGCAGCCAAGGCCTCAATACATTCTCGTGATTCAAATGCCGCTACCAATCGCGATGGCATATATACACACCGTTCGCCCTTGGACGATCCATTTTAGGAGATACTCTTAAGTTGGTTTGCAAACGATCCTTACCATGTCCGACGTTGGAGATCTTTTCGAAGATGTTTCCTCACCACCGGCCAAAGATTCTGAAGATACTCCTGCTCCAGAGGCATCTTGCATTGTTCCCACTAGAGGCACACTGCCAGGAGCTTTCAAGAAGAATAAATTCCCCCCAGCTACAAAAAGGCTCTTTTTCCCCATTATTCCAGATGGTGGAGGACTGAACTGTTTAGCTCCTGCAACTGCCGGAATATCCGCCGCATCCTTCTTCAAGACGCTCCCACTTGATGCCTTGCGTGTTCCTGTGGACGATATAGTTAGAACCTCGCACGAGAATCTTGTGAACCTCCAGGAACTGTACATTGGGTCAAGCTCGGTCATTCTTACATACGACAGTTGGGGTATCTCTCTGCAGGAGATCTGCCGAGCCTCCAATATTTTCGCTGGCAACGAGAGTGCGGTTGCTACCATCTGCAAGGAGGTGAGATCCTTATCCCATCCAGCCTTCTTCATTCCTAAACACGCCCAAGAAAGCGGCTAACGCCAAATCAGACTCTGAAGGGCCTCCAATATGTACATGATGAAATCGGTATCGCGCATGGAAATATTTCCTGTGGAACTGTCATGCTGACCGAGAGTGGACGGGTGAAAATTGGTAAGAGGTCGGATAGTTGACAAAAGAGCCCAACTGTGTGGCTAATATTATTTGACATGTACAGCGGACGTCGGTGATAGTATGCTTCAAAATCATGATCCCGAGGAGAAAATCCAGGACTGTCAGGCTGTCTGCCAAATGGCGAAGGTGCTTCTGCAGCTTGGCACCGCAGACAAACCGGCCACGACACTATACCTGGAAGCCGAGAATTTTGCAAATGCACCGTTTGGAACCACAATCGAGGAGTTAATTAACGTAAGATCTCGGTGTGACTGCAGTGACTGATGCGCTAACGATGTTGCAGCATCAATTCCTCAATAGAGGGGTCGAATCTCGATCTTTGCAACCTTTTCCACTCCTCCTGAGAATTTTACACTCCCGATCCTAATACCAGTGTTTGGACCAACACCGCAGGCGTTGCATTGTAACTGCTCGCTGTTCTCGCACATATTTGTCTGGGCTATATGCATACTGTACATGCATAATCGCCCTCGTTGCGCGTACAGTAGTCTTGCTAATAGCCAATATATCTAGAAGGTCAGATCTTTGTGTTCTACTTCATTCCATACCTGAGATACGTATGTTAGAATAGCCTGGGGTCATGCAACTAGGTGATAAGTTTATTGAAACTCTACTTCCACACCCCTGTACCTTGGGTTGTGTTACGGGGTATGTGTAGTAGAACAGTGGGATAGAATTTATTAACAACTTGTCATTATCGCTGCTTTGTTTAAAATTTTACTCTGTAACTAATTGAAATTGGTGTCTAAGCTTTGGAAATGGTGTACTGTACGGGTTTGTGTATCGGCAGCCTGTAACTAGAGCATTCTAGCTTTCGCCGACAACTATGCTGGCCTTGGGGATGAGGTTCTGCTCCATTACTAAATATTTTGTTCTCGTTAGATTAAGTTACTCAAGAATCATAAAAATGACTGGTCCATTGTGCGTTGTTAGGGGTCTAAGCCCCAACATGCCTCCAGCTCGGCTGTGTTTCACATGACCAGTCCACAGAAGTGTTGATGTAAGCATTCTAATCAATGGAACGCCTAACGTAATCGGTAAGCGAGCGCCGCATGAAAGCGAGCGCTGCACCTCTCTATTCCATATAAAATGACACTTTTTGAGAGTCTAATCTCAACAATAAAGCACCTAGAGGGCATAAAATTTAATATACAGTATAATATAATAACGTATATATATATATTAAGCAGAGAAATTTTAGGAATGAATATTTCTCCAGATAAGATAAATTACAGCTGTATTTTTTATATTTTTAGTTGTCCTAGTATTTAAAGCCAAGAAAGCTATTTAAAAACATGAAAATACCTTTTAGAATCCATATATATGTTATTGTCTTATAAAGATGTTTCTATATCTACTGGTGGTTGAGATATTAAGGTTTCAAAGAGTGCCATTTTATATGGCGTACAGAAGTGCGGCGCTCGCTTTCATGCGGCGCTCGCTTACCGATTACGTTATTATTGGATGAGCGACCCAACATAGCGTAAAAGTTCTACTCTACTCCATATATGACTAATCTCGAGGATTAACGCCTTGTTTGGGTATATTCTTCCCACATCAGACTTTCCTCACCTATATGCCTTAAAAAAAGGAAATACGTTATACTCCTGGGCCCAGGATGCCAAATAAATGTAAAGGGCTGGAGCCCGCTTGACTTCTCGGGCCAATGTCCCTATTATCCCTGTTGTCCCTGTTGTCCCTGTTGTCCCTGTTGTCCCTGTTGTCCCTGTTGTCCCTGTTGTCCCTACTGTCCCTACTGTCCCTACTGTCCCTACAGGCCGTACAAGCCCCATTGGCCCTCGACCCGTATCACGTGCCTTTTCACCTTACTTGCTTACCGCTTATAATTTTCCTTTCTTCCTTTCTTCCCCTCTTCAACGATTCCATTGTGTATGTCCTATAGGTTCTAGGAGTTCAGCCCCTGACAATACACCGTATTTGGTAGATTATGTCACAAGCAAGATTTAAGAGTTATTTTTTTGATAATATTTTAACTTTACCTTCCTCCCCACCCCACATCTTCTGTAAATATTTGGGATTAGTAGATAGAGGTAACTATCTTTAGTAGTATTTTACGTAACCCAAAGAGCCAGATCCTTATATACTGTTTTCTGTGGTTGTAGATTTTATCAGTGTGAACATGACGTCCCCCAACTGTATTGACTGTACCCCTGTTACGTAAGATCGACAACCGTTGTCGATCCCTGCATATATCAGTGGGACCTGAACAGATACACTCGTAATGGTATCTGGGATTATTACCGCTAATGCGTGGAGCCTGTCCCCACCGATCTATAGAATTCTCGGGCTCAGTTATTAATAAATTACTAGTTAAGAAAATATTTCAGGGCATAGATAAGGTTTCGCTGTATTAAATTAGGATTAATACAAGCCCCATGAGTTATTACTGACAATTTGATGTGGACCAGAAGCCTTGGCATTCATGTGGATAATTATGGGCTCGTGTAATTTATCATATCCAATCACAGGATATGGTATGATTCAGTAACAGTGCTCTGCCCCTCTTGTCGACATATAGAAAATAATACCATTAATAATGCCTTCAATTTCTCGGGACAGGAAAAAAACGCTGTTTCACAGGTTTTATCGCTTGGTATCAATATAGACTAGTATATTATCAAATTTACGCTACTAAAAAAACGAAACTAAGAATTATCGATCCTGTCAGGTAAGATGTCTCTAGCCGATGAGCCGTGTTAAGCGAACGGTACTTTTTGCCCATTAGTGACAACATGACCCGATGATCCATACCGCGAACATGGCTTTATTGTGTATAAGATTGAGCCTAATATAGTGCTATCGCAAGGCTTATGGGCCGTCGCTCCACGGTTTACCTACTGAAGGAACATTTGGACCCTGTCCCATAGAGTTCGACAAGGTCTCTCACATACGAAAAGTGTCTCCAATCCCAATACTAGGGCACAAATAGCGTGCCGCTCGATATCTGGCTGGTACGTTAAGTCGTATTCTCTTTCCTCGGTTCAATACGAGGAAATGGTACTAATGCGCCAAGCCTTGTTACCGTGGTCTATATATGAAAGGTACTTGATACGTACTTAGTCCACAGTCAAGTAGAGTTTGTTGTGTTGGTTTAATTGCTTTTAGTCGTATGTCCAGTTATATCCAGGGACGAGACAATAATGGCACGGTCAGGAAATAGAGCACTACCTGGTTTTGCCTCAAAATTCACCGTGGTCATGAGTTTTTTCATCGGTCAGATAAACTGTCAGGTAGGCAGATATTATATCGACATATAACTGGATCACTAAGGTTTAGCTAGGGCCTTATTGAACCAATAGAAGTGAGGGTGTGGGACAGCCCCAATTGTACAGGAAGACCGTCGTCAACCATTATCGATTACACAAATCTCTCGAAGAATATTTCGACCTATTACCGACCGCTGAGTTTTGAGCTCAAACGGCCCCTACACGGCCAAGAACAACTTGACCTGTCAGTCACGCTTGACCTTAAGAGCTATCTTCCAAGACAGGATAGCAACTCCTCATGTGAGGACTTTCTCAAGAGCTACACCGCCGATAACGGGACCGCAAATTGTCACAATACACCCGTTTTCACTTGCCATAGGCTCTGGCTCAATCCAGGACTGTGATAGTCATTTAAGAATGGTGCTATGCTAGTTATGTGCGTATTATGGGTTCACATGCTGGCACCAGGGACATTCAGGATAGGGGTAGCCTGGTTTTATCTCCTAAAGGAAACAATAGCGGTGGGGCCGTCTCTAACGATGGCGAGGTACTGTACTTCATCTAGCTCTTGCGAGCCCGCATTAAATTACTAAGTACTGTACAGTTTATTTCCTTTCTATTTATATGTAATATTAATTCTTCTTTCGTACGTTATTCTGTACACCAGGATTTATATCTCTGAGCTTTCGCTCTTTTTTTATTCCCATACATTCTTCTCTGGAATCCCATCTTGCGACTCTACTGCGGCTAATACCTCCCGCGCTCAGCAATATGGATGTCCCGGGGAACCGTACGACACAGCTGCCGAAAAAATTGTGGCGTGATTCGAGAGCTGCCTTGGAGACGAGTGAAGCAATAGTGGATGCAAACGAAAACACCCAAGAGAACCAGGCGTTCTCTCCTGTGAGGGACAAGCCATCTGCGAAACTGTCAAAGAAGGCTTCGGAGTTTCCGACATCTTCCTTGAAGCACGATATATATTATCGCGTCGAGCAGGCAGGCCCGGGATTCTTTGCGATTCGAGACGCACCTTTCTTACCAGCGTGTACGATCAAAGAGTGTCAAAAACTAACGCGTCGTAGCGTCCAGCAGCTATCACATGCAGAGCACAAAAACCTTGTTTCTCTTCTGGGCTTTTTCAAGTCAGATAGTCATGGATATCTCGTTTATCAATATGAGCACATCCCGATTTCTCTGGGCTGTATTGCTGGAGTTGTACGGCTCAGTGAGTCTGATATCGCGACTATTTGCAGAGAGATATTAGAAGGGCTACATTATATTCATTCAGAGTTAAAGATATCGCACGGCTCGATTCAGAGTAACAACATCTTGTTGACGTACACCAGTGAGGTAAAGATCGGTATGTTGGTCACCGGCCTGCGTCTTTAAAGTTGCAATAACTAATTTACTAGCCAATATCGGCGATAGCATGCTTCAGGGAATGACATTGCGGGACCGAGAGAAGGACATCAGGGCTGTGGGATCAATGGTGATCGGATTAAACGATTGTTCCACGATAGTAAGAGGGGAAGCCCCCCAGTCCGTTCCGGCAACAGCAGACCTGTCTTTATCCGCCCGTAATTTTGTAGAGAACACAAGAAAACGGACCGTCAAGGAACTCCTCAAGGTAAGCCCCAGTAGAGTACCATCTTTGATTGACGATGGCTAATTGCGAATCAGGATGATTTTATACAAATGGCAACCCCCGGTGGATCATGGAGCCTTAGGCCGTATTACTTCGAAGCTCTGCCTTTTGGATTCTACGTTGGTCCACGCATCATAGATAACCCCTGTAGGTAGAACCAGATACATAGTCTTCTAAGTCCCCGTTTATACATACTCGGATTCGCCAGCTTGTCGTAGCACATGGCCACCCAAAATTTAAATTCTACTGGACCGACCAATTTATGAACTCTACGCATACTACTAGTAGTCAACATAGCCATACTAGTACTCCCCAGATAAGCTAACCTTCGAAGAGAAGGTTGCGTTAACTTTCCTTCTGCTGATCATTGATGGTCCATGGCCATCAAGTGCAGTGGCCTTCCAGGAGAAACCTAGCGAGAAAGATCAGATTTATGAAGTCCCCAACTGTCCACTAACTTAAGCCAGACGTATATCTAGTTATGCCACGCAATATGATACACTGGTATTTAATACCTAGTCTCTAAGGGATGTAAAATGCTATGGATGAGTGGTAATTTCAGGGCCACTGTTTTGTGTATAATATCGATTGGAAATATAAAGTTCATAGTTTTTCCCCTGCTACCGTTGTATGGTAATAAAACCGTAAAGATATAGTCATAGATTGCAGTCGAGACTACGGTGGAGCCATACGCAATTACAGCTGTGCATTGCTTCACTACCTTCGCTGCGTTATTCAATGAACGTATTTTTGCTCATATGTACACACCCTGGCATGAAGCAGAGGTACCTGCAGACCCACAGGAACTGGAACCGCCAGTACGAGTAACACGTAGTTAGTATTACATCTGGTGGTGCTGTGGACAATACCATGGATCTGAAGGCTCGAGCAACCTAAACCTTCTTAAGGGAACTTGGAGAGGGAAATGAATCGATGCTTAAATGCCGAATTCTCATTTCACAGGTACTGCGAAAAATACACGCACACATATAGCTATATATATTGTATCTCGCAAAGTCAAGAGTGTGCAAGCGAAAGAGTCTATAATTATCTGTCCCAGTCTAACATGACCCACGCCCAGGATTTGGAACATGTTTCTAGTAAGTCCGACTGTTCGGACCAAGTCTCTGGTCATGGACAGAGAAATGACTGCCGTGCGAAATGGCCAAATTATAGACGTATTCGTCTTCCAGAAAAGGCCACCGAGGGCTTTGTGCGAATAGGACGGCCAGGGCCGGAATACGTGGCCTCTTGGAAGATAGGGAACATCGGGTACATTGGCTTGAAAAGATCTGAGTATTCCCTTTCTCTGATCCAAAAGAGGATTCTGAACACAGAATGGGAGTCTGTACGTACCCTTAGATCCACCGACCATGTGAACTTGATCAATCTGGTGGAAGCGTTCGAGGATGGCTCCCTTTATCTGGTTTACAACTACCATGGGTTCACAGTTGACCTTGCGAGAGTATGTGCACGGCCTCAGGTTCGTTTTACTGAGGAGGAAATTGCCGTGATCTGCAAATATACCATCCATGGGCTTCAATACATCCATGACATCTTGAATGTCGCACACGGAGATCTCTCATTGCGCAACATTGTTCTCCATGATGACGGACAAATCAGGATCGGTAAGGACCTATTCTATAGTCGGCTAATGGATCCTGACATATAGCAGCAAATATTGGAAATAGTCTCCTGAAAAATGGCCGAGACAAGCGCAAAGATCTCAAGAATTTAGGATACTTGATAGCTCGACTCAGTGACCCTGATACTGTCCTAAGGAGTGATATTGAGAACGCGAGGAACGTATCTCAACGAGGAAAAGATTTTCTTGCAATTCTCCCGTCTGCTTCATATAGGAGAATATTTCAGGTTTGTGCCAGCGCGTCATTGTGAAATGTCCGCTGATTAGTACCAGCATGAATTCTTACAGCAGGCACGTGTTGATGGGGGCTCAAGGATCTTGATTCCCCATTATCTGAACACCATCGGCTTTGCATGGCCTCTGCCATTAGCTGTGGCCGAGGAGTCCTCTGACATATAAGTCAGCGTTTAGCAGATGGAAGAGACGCTTTCTGATCTTTCGTGAGAATTCTTATGTGCCATTCTTTCCCGAAACTCGCCCTTGTTCGTTGGAAAACTAAGCACACAATGCTAATCAATATCTCTTTACCGTATTTCCGCCTCGTTTCCTACCCGGAGCCGAAGACAAGAATGGAATCTAGGCGTAGACACTTTCTAGGTACTCCCACCTGCAGAATACAATTACAGGTTTCTTGTTCGGTTTTGTAGCCATTTCCAGGAATTGATAACTCGCTGTCCATAGGCTGTAGCCAGTCCGTGTAGGATAGAAATGGTCCTATTGATATGTTTAATGTGATTAATAGCTGTATTTAGAATAAAAACCGATTTCACTCCTACCTCTCCGCCCTTTAGGGGAATAAAACCCAAACTCTGGAGCTCATTTTTTTGAGTTCGATCTTTGACCATTGTACCGATCCACAAGGGGTTATTATTCTATGAGGAAATAATATATGGATATACATTACTGTCTTAATTAACAGACAGATTTGTTATTATTATTCAGTCTGAAAACTTGGTAATTTATATTCAACATGAACACTAGATTGATTTCCAACCACTCTGATTCTATGCGGAATTTGTTCGGTCGACGCAGCTCTATTGTTTACCAGATCGAGCTTCGACTCACAATAACACAAAATTTGGACGCTGCCCTCAGCTGGATGGACGTAGGCCGCAAATGTGCACCAGAGCTGTTGTAGAAGAACGCCGGTGATGGGCTTAACCCTGTATGTGGGCGAAGTAACTCGCAATACAGCCCTTTTACTTCAACATTTGGATGAGGACCAAGTGAAGAAATGGGGTGAGGTCCATATATCCGCGGTTCATGCCTCATTTCAGGAACCATGTCAGAGAGGACTCCGTCGATGGAGCCTAATTGTATACCTCAGTCGCACAGAGGGAAAGGAAAATGATAAGAGATGGAAGGGCCTCAGGGATTTATTGGAGAACGGGTCGTTTTGTCGCACGCGTGTCAGACCCAGTTGCTTTTCTCTTTCCTGTCCTCACATCATAGTGCGTCATGTACTCTATTAGCTTATCAACAGATATCCTCCCATCCTCATAATCGACATCACGTAGGGGACAGTTTCTCTTCGCAACCAGGATCAATTGATATTGTAACGCATCCTCATAAACTTGGTTCAAATCCGGGTGGACTATTCTGGACTCCCTGCAGACGAGAAAGTAGTGCTCTTTGGACAGATCCTCAAGGGTATCTCGCAGATCGTCGCCTCCAGAGGCAGGGAATTTGTAATAGGTTCGGGACTCGAAGATGAACAGGACAATCACATATTTTGGTTCGTATTCGTACCAAATACGAAGAATTTCCATAGCTTTCCGGTGAAGGGTTATATCCGACTTGACTTTCAATGGCGCCTTGGAGATATGCTCCTCGAATCCGGCAGCAAATGGCACGTCGTTTTCCACACCCGCCATCCGATCAGGCGTCCCCGGAGGGTGTGGCTGGAGATCTATTGTATCGTCAGGAGAAAGTCCAGAAGCTGCCTCCTCAGTCTCCACGGTGTTTGCAGCTGGTATCTCGGTTTGTACTTGGGCTGAAGTCTCCTCGGAGACTGTAAGGCTTTCTTGTCTTAATGGGTTAAATTCTGCCGTGCGTTCTATCGTGGACGGCTCCCCCACGAACATACTGTGCAAAGGCTCCTTGCCAAAAAACGCAAAGAAGATTTCTCTTGTAACGGCGAAGGAAGTCGGATACTGAGAGGGTGTTTGATCTGCACCATAGACCTTGTCAATAAATAGACTTGCACGGTCATGTAGGTGCTCATTCTGCCAGGGAGAGTTGAATCGCCGGCGGGCCTTCATATCCGGCTGGCTAGTGGTAAGTGCTGGTAAGCCGGCCGGACCAACCTTAACACGAGAAAGCTGACGGATGCCTTCCTCAAAATGCCGGGCCACCGTTCGTATTTTCCCGTCATCAACACCATAGAAGTTCTCTTCACAAATGGCTCTGAACATCTTCTCAGAAGATGACCTGCTAGTGCTGGAGCCCAGAAACTCTATGCTCCGATCAGAAGAAAACTGTAGCCGATTCGCCAAGGCGACCATTCCTCTCAAGGCGGAGAAATCCCCTTGGCCCAGTTTAATAGCCGCTGATTCTTGGCTTTTCTCTTTCCAGGGCCGGGTGAAATGTCTTAGGGCATATAACCAAAGTTGGACGACGCAGACCAAGAATGGACTTGCAGAAGGTGGCGCTACCCCGAACTCATGTTCCGAGATTTGAATTTCGCACGTACGTCCCACCGCTGTTGAATTGAAGCTCCTAGAGAGAGTACCCCTTACAGTATCCCTTCTACGAAGAGGGAAAAGACGATGGAATGCCCTTGCCGGTAGTTCTAGGTACCGTGCATCCAGAGATAGCGTACGAATTGACAGTATCCTTCCGGGAACCTGAAGGAGGGTTTGTCGGAGGATCTTCCTGCCCTCACCCCAGACAAGGGGAAACAGTCGCCCCGAGTCCACAAGCGCGCATATATATGAATAATCATTCTCTGAATATGTAGGCATCCGCCCTTCAACCAATCGCACAGACGGGGCGTCAACAAGGGCAGCTTCTGCTGGCCTGAAGAGAATGGACCAGAGTCTCTGAATTTCGTGAAGGTAATGACATACGTACTAGACCAGTTAGATATGCAGAGAATCCCTTACGAGGCGATAACCTAGAGTTCTACTGTACCTCGTCACAGCGAAGGCCCAGGATACACTTTATCTGGGACATGTTGACTGGTTCCCATAGGCCAACGTATGGTAGCAGCTGATCAAAAGCACCACAGAGTGCTTCCTTTTGCTCCAGGCGTCCAGCAATCTTTCTTCGCTCGTCAGATTCGAACCTGGCCTTCCACTTCATTGCCTGAGTGTGGTTATGCTGGAGCTTGTACTGTCGGTAAACACGGAAAATGTCTCCTTCCTTGAATTTCTCACCATTTGCTGACTCCTCCCGTAGCTGAACTATTGCCTCTGGGGAGATATCTGATCCCACATCAGTAAACCCGATGAGAAGAGCTTATTGCAGGGTGTGCCGGGAACCGACCGACCATCAAGGTATAGATCCACCAACCACTGCGTTTCCCCGCATGACGCGCCCGCTTTCAAACGATGCTTTCCATATAAACAAAGGAGGAGAATATCATCACGAAATTTCAAGTTCGGTGGGTTCACAATGTCCATTAAAGCGTTTGCGGTGACCTGAGAGAGTTCAAGGCTCTCATTTAGGGCTTCCTCGCTAATGGTCGCCGCAACTCGGTACTCCGGTTCAAGGTGCTGGCAGCCGACCATGTTGAATATCCCTAAAAGTCTATCAACATTTCTTTGATCAAAAGGTTTAGAGCCCAATATGCCGTCCTTTTCGAATGTTAAATAGCGAAATTCAACTATGGCGCATCCTCGGTAGCTACGTAAACGTTTTTGGATCGTATTTAGCTCGTTGTCGGTTGCCATTCTGTCCGCATACTGGGTTGGGAGAAATGGGGTGAATAGGTATTATGTGTCAATGGAGAGTCGCGCTTTGAGTTCCATAGCTACCGCGCTGTCGGTCATGGCCCATCACTGTAGCGGTATTACCCTTACCAGTGCCACTACCCTTACTAGTGCCATTGCCCTCGTCAGTGTCATTGCACTTACTAGTGCCGTTGCACTTGTCAGTGCTGTTGCCCTCGTCAGTGCCATTGCCCTTACTAGTGCCATTACCCTTACCAGTGCCGTTGCCCTCGCCAGTGCCGTTGCACTTCCTAGTGCCATTACCCTTACCAGTGCCGTTGCACTTGTCAGTGCCGTTGCCCTCGTCAGTGCCGTTGCCCTCGTCAGTGCCGTTGCACTTCCTAGTGCCATTACCCTTACCAGTGCCGTTGCCCTCGCCAGTGCCGTTGCCCTTACTAGTGCCATTACCCTTACCAGTGCCGTTGCACTTGTCAGTGCCGTTGCCCTTACTAGTGCCGTTGCCCTCATCAGTGCCATTGCCCTTACTAGTGCCATTACCCTCCCCGAGAGCACAACAGTTCAGCTCTATGATATCAAAGATGATGGTCATCGAAACGTAGGCTGAAACTAAGACCGGGATCGGAAGAGACGTTGACTATTTCAGTCTTTTTATTGATTGAATCTGTTCTGGTTTTTCTCGGACATATTTACATAACTCTAAGAACAAATAACCACCCACATTTCAATCTAAAACCTGCTAGGATATGAAAAGATACTGTGTTCTCCAATCAGACAGTGAAAGTTTGAATTTATGAGGATAAGAAAACCAAGATAAGAAAAAAAGGAGGTAGGGAAAGATAAATCATAATCGTCAGTCCCTCGATCCATCTATCGCTCCTATATTGCGGCTGAAAATTGCCCATTACCTGATCCAAATGCACAGTTTCTGGACATGTACCAGGGTTATTATCCTTGAAAATGTTTTCCTTCCACGGCCACTCATTACTTGTTCCGGCACGCTGCACATCGCCTACCAGATATTTACCCTTCTCACTTCCATCCGACATATGTAACGGAACCTTGTTAATCATGCGCTGGTCCGCTAAACAGGTCTCCAGCTCCATTACTCGTTGCTTCTCTTTCATTAGGTCGCCCCTAAGTGCCGGTTCACATTAATAATCTGATATAACATGTACCGACGATTGTGTCTTGCCTACTCTGAATATACGCAGCCATGTTTTATTTCCTCGTGCGCTGATCTAGCTAGAGGGTCTTCTGACAGCGTCTGTCTGTGCTTGTTCTGCACTTACAACTCTAGTTGAAGGTTGTTTTTACCGCTATAAAAGCACATGCGTCCAGTTACCGGTGCAAAAATCTCCTACCAGTGTTAACCATGGATCGCTATGGCTGGAGTGTATGTGCTCACCAGAAAATTGCCCATCAACTGTACAGTAGTACCCTCAGGGAGGTTGGTGTCTGGATTAACTGGGGCTGTAGTATAAGAGATGCGCTTAGTACTGTACATGACTACATGTCAGTGAGGTGCTGATCGCCCATTTCTATGTGACCTTGTGGCCTGTACCTTATCCGGGAGCTTGTAAAGTTCGCTTAAGGTGAGCTGAAGTGTTTGGTTTGGTAGTATGGAGCCTGGTATAATTCTAAACCTAGCGGTCTGATCCAATATAAAATACGTACTCGTCTAAGTTACATATATTCACCTTTAGTCATGAAATAATAGACCTCTACACTATCTATCAAACCTGCATGATCTTCTCGAGGTTTTATTACCATGAATAGTGGGCGAGAACAGGTCATTAGGTTTTCCTGGAAATACTACAAGCCATGGCTTTTAAATTACCACCCCACATTGTATTATACATACTTTCAAGACTATGTTAAATACCGGTGGATCATATTATGGGGCATAACTATGTATATTTGACTTTTATTTCCTGAAATACTATAAGCCAAGCCTTTTAAATTACTACCCCACATGGTATTGTAGATCCTTTGGACACTGTATTAAATACCGGTGGATCATATTGTGGGACACAACTATGTATGTTTGACTTAAGTCAGTCAAGAGTAGGGGACTTAATAAATCTAGCCTTTTGAATTAAGGTTCTCTCCCCCTGATATGATCATCATGCACAAATTATACAGTAGTGGAGCCAACAGTGGAACCAACAGTGGAGTCTCTCCGTAATACAGAATTTATTTCTCGTTTCCCGGTTGCGGCCGAGCTAGAGGCTTGGTCTTTTCACTTCGGTTTTTGTTGCCTTGGCACGCAAGCCCGTTCAAACCACAGCTCGTACAAGTCGGAATTAAATTAATTACATGTTTTAAATAGCGATAAGGTTATTCATCAAGCCACTCGTCCTTATTCGATTGACGCTGGATGGTCAAGGTCGTATTGTGCACCTGTACTCTAACACGACATATATGCCATGGGTAAAGCCGTCAGGCATATGCAGCCCTACCGATATAATTTCTAGGAGGGGCGCCCCGGGCCGAATGGCACTCCAACAGTTACCGTTACCGGTCCGCCCCGGTTTGATGAGGTTTTCGTCCCGTATATGGTGTCTGTCGATCGGATGTAAAATATATGCTCCGCCCCACAAGCTGTGAACCGTGGTTAGATCTCGTCAAAACCCGCCCACGGGTAATGGGGGTCAGGACCAAAACCACTGATTCAGTACTTTTGCATACATACGACGGGAACCCGCGGGTCCTAGTGAGGCCTAACCATGGTTTATTTATGTGGATGTATACTTCTGTCTTTAATTTTACGTAAATGATCGTCTTTGTTTACTAACCATGATTTAACGAGGTAGGAGAGTGGCCTAGAACTTACCGACTTGCACATGCCGCATTACATCGTAAAATACATCGCGCAAGCCTTCCTTTTTTTTTTTTTTAACATACATCAATACAGCGCTTGCGGATTCCGGAATGTGGCTATGTTTGCCAGGAAATCAGTAATTTAGCGTGTTGCTCGGGAATCCCCCAGAAGGATAACGCTAATTTTAGATACTGTGACCCGAAGCTTGGAGCAGCCAATCCACATCCTTAGTGAGACGCAATATCTAACGGTCTCTGTAAAGAATAGGGCATAGCCCGCTCCTAGCGGCTTGGCATCCCACAGAGACTTCGCATGGTAAGCCCCTGAATCCCCCAAGAGAGGGAACACACATCATATACACGAGTGAGCTACAGTGAGGTAATGAATAGAGTGTGTCGACGTCCTTAGCGGGAGAATTGGTGTAGCTGTGACAGTCTCCTCTGCCTTCTGCCTTTCCCTTATGCACCTCTATAGGAGGATTCACAACAGTCTCCAAGCAATAACCCATTCCATAACCTATATCGTATCTAATTCCTGACCTTAGTTCTAGCCAAATGCTTTTGGTTATTTTTTTCTGTTGTTGTCAAGAGTGGTATAACTCTACGCTAGCCACGGGACAGATTCTGAGTTTTCTACAGCAATAGGAGGCGAAGTTATTCTTTCACTGGTACCTGCCAACATATCTATCAACCCTTAAAGTGAGAATCATCTGAAGAGAAATAGACTTTGACAATTTGTGTGCATGTTTCCTAGTTGTACGGATAGACTACAGTTATACCGCTATCAGTCCAGGTGTAGCCTGGGCGGCCATTTCGATAGCTCTAGCTATTATATCACTCAAAATATAGGGAAAACAAAACTGGCTTTTCCATCCTACAACGCTATCCAGAGCATGTACCTTATTGATCCCAAAAATCAAAAGGAAAATGTACAATCGAAGCGACAATTATAGACCTTTCTTTCCTATTAATACGTCCGCAAAATATCAGATTAATCTATAATCTCAACTCTTCATTTGTATTCGACAACTGTGACCTCGATATCAATAGTAACCATGGAACATCAGCTATACTGTAACAACTACCGTAGTCGTAGTTGTTGATCTGGAAGGCCACACCGTGGTTTGTGAAAAATAAATGGATTTTTTGTTGGCTTGGTCGAAAAACTGTCTGGAACGTTCTCCCGGATTGAGAGCAAAATGGGAAGGCGGATAACATCGACATGTCTCGAGGGAGTTACATGCGAGGAACCAGGCAGGGTCAGTATTATTTACCAGATACAGCACATCATCTTGGCCTTCACTCCCAATTCTCCTGACTGGAAAACATGGATCCTCGTGAGTGGTATTGAACAGAAAGAACCTGTTTGGTGAGCGGAAAAGGATAGAATCACCTGTAGGAACATGGAGAGATCGATATTCAAATTCCATAGCCTTATCCGAGGTGATCGTGACAGTGTGTGTGGATGCTGCGGATGAGATGCGGGGCCAGTTTATCGGGCTCGTTGAGATCTGTACTGTCATTGTCGGCCGACTGGAACGAGAAACACTTGGGCGATGTGTCGACAGACCAGGCGCGGGTGTAGCAAGACTGGGAGATCGGATGTTACTACTCATTATAGCTGACCCAGGTACAGAACTTGGTACTGGCTTGAATATTAACGAGTGGCTTGTTGAACCGGGTATGCTTGGCTGGTGGCTGATTTTGGAAACATCCGATCTGGACGGCGAGTAGCTTGGACAGATAAAATGTGTAGATGTCACAGTCAATCTGACCGTACTTGATCTTTCTGCTTCTAGGAGAGGTGCGATTATTTCGACATCAATGCAAGACGTATAGATCTACTATTGTTAGTTGGTGTACATCCACGGCGGACGAGACCACCAGATAAAGCCTTACCCGAGAACCACTTCCCACTGATTGAGTTGTATTCCACAGCCAGTAGATTGTATAGATGCTTGGAGCTTTCAAATCTTGAGGGATCTGAAAAGACGCTGGGCAACCAGCCTCGATCAGAAAGGGGTAAGGATTCTCTGCAAGAACTGAATTTCCTTAGCTTCCGGGAATATTATATCAACTGTTGTACTTACCTTGCCCATTTCCTTCCTTTTGGAGAGATAGAATGTCCGAAAGTCTTTTATCATCCGTGCTTCTCTCAGCTCTAGCTCCGTACCATTGAGCTCGCCCCACAACATTGGGATCGCGATTCCATAGCTTATCTAATAAATAATGCGGGCAAATCGTTGAGCCTGGCCTCACCTTTAAGCGAGGCCACGATGCTTGCTGCGAAACTATTCGTTGGGAAGGACTGCAAACGTAGGCTGACGGGTCGGTATCAATAATAGAATAAGGCTCTACATGCAGTTGCGAGCCTGGTCTATAAGAATTTGATAGTATCCATTTTATCAGGAAACATACTGAAGTTTCGTGGATATCCCAAGTGTCCGACAAGGGCATTAGTATTGGTTTCCACAACCTGCAGTCCACTTATCTGTTCTATCCAGTAAATAACCCGTCTCACATGATTTTATAATATACGTACCTGCAGCCTTGCCAATGTGGGAAGGGAATGGATAAGGAGGATGACTATCCAAGGGAAAAGAAGGAGCATCTGGCGATCAAAAAAGTACATCACTATTTGCTGTTCTTAATTTAGAGAGAAAAAGGGAGATTTTTGTCACACAGCATGATATAGGTTGTCGCACTCGTCCTATAAATATTCACAGCCTTGTGGCCATCTCTCAAGAACACACAGGTGATTCACTTCATGAGGAAAAGGTAAGACAAAACAGGCTAGGGATAACATGAATGAGAGAGTCCCAAGTGTAGTTAGCTCGTCACAAATTCAATAAAAGATAAAAGATTTCCTACGAGTTGTGTAATAGAAACCATGTATTATTCTATCTCACTAACGAAAATACATTCACATGTTCTCTTCCACTGTCATAAAAAAAATATGGACACAACCCTCTTTTCCGTTAGTATATATTCCAGAAACTGGCCAGTGGGTTTTAAAGTTTAAGCCTTATGGGTCGTAAATACACGTCCTCTTTCACTGTTATAAAACAAAAAAACCAACCTCTTCTCGTTTAATACGTATCTTAGAGCTTTGGCCAGTGGGGTTTAAAGTTAAGCCCTATATGGATCGTAAAGTACATAATTTTTAAACCCGACGAGATTTATTGTTTTGAGACATTGTAAGAAATCTTTTTTTAAAGGACCGCTTAATTTCCATTGTGCAGAATAGGAAGGTACTATTAACTACGCAGAACTTGTAAAATTAGCTTGGGTTGAATTGTGACGGCCATGGCCTACTGTGGGTTGTGTCCTTTGGAAAAGACCAAGGGGAAAGTGAGAAAGAATAATTAATAGAGAGTGAAATTATTTACACACAGTTCTACTTGAATAAATATATTACCTTAATTAATATTGTAAAATGAGACGCTTGACTGACTAAACACAGTCCTAAAATAAAAATAATAAGACTGATTGTTACATGGCACTAGATACGCGCTGTAACTGTACCTGTAGCAATTTCCCAATTAGGAAAAATTAAAATAATAGAACCAGGTAGAGATGGAATAATTTGAGCATAAGAAATATACAGAAGTAATCAGTAAACAGCACGGCATTTGTCCTGAAACAGCGACCTGTACTCAAGACAAATTTAAACCAACTGCAAAACTGTCAAGACATGGCAAACATGTCCACGCCAGAACCCGCAAGAGTACATGCCTTGTGGAAAGAAAAACTTCATAGGATCTTTGCAAAATTTCCTTACAGAAATAATAAATCAAAAGTGGAAGTTGAAATCACCATTCAATGTTATGATCGGCGTCCTACCGAAATCGCGATGTTCGTGACCTCGTGGAATGCATCACGGCAGTGAGGTCCGCTTTGAGTACCGCCTCAGTATCTAGTACAATATGCTGATGATATTTATTGATAGCTTAGTGATGCCAGCGGCCCAATTAAGTACTCGAATGCAGACGGAAAGTCACTGTAGAAAGATCTGATTGCTATCCAGGCATACATCTATCTATGTATATATATACTTATACTGTCGGAGGGAGTACTTTATCTCATACAAAGAAATATGTAGCATTATCCTCTTTTCCATCGAGAACACCGCATAGAGATAATATTTAGGCTCGTTACCTGCATAAAACTACCAACATTAATACCCAATGGCATAATGAAGGACTATCTTTCATGGGGTGAGCCAAACCTTTTATATCATCTCTTCGTTTCCACCCGCACATGCCTCCAGGCCCCAGAAACTCAGATAACGCTGTTCAGCCTCTTGAAGGCGCGCATTGACTTGAACCAAAGCATCTTCCATTCTATGAAACATCTCATACATTTGCTCTTGAAGCTGGAGCAAAGCTCGTCTAGACTCTGTGTGCCAAGCCAACTCTGCCTTGAGATAGCCGACTTCGTAGGTCAAGTTTTCAATTTGCCTCGTTTTACTCTGGAAAGGAGCTTTTGACAGCTGCAGGCGAGAGGGAAGACGCTCGATATTGGAGGATGTTCCACCGTTACGCAGGATTTGATGATCTTGGGGAGTGATCTCTTCTGCAATGGAGTACAAGGAATGGTGCGAATGTTGCTCCATATTATCGAGCCCAGAGGTACTGTAACTGAGAGATGGAAAGAAAAGGACAAAATCCGATGACAATGGGGGTTGGGGGTTTAAATATTGGTCTCCTGGTCGCTGAGGTAGAAAAAGATACACGTGACTGGCTGCAGTCCTGCCTACAACCCCTCAGGATGAAGAATACAAAAATAATTAAATATATGACCGATCACTACTGACAATTAAGATCTCTTTACAGGTGAAAGAACTATCTCAATTCAACGGTGCCGAAACAAGTGTAACAATTACCTGCAAAAACCAGAAAATCCTCGGCTAATTATTCTTCATACCATGTGTCTGACTGCTTAATTCTAGGCGACAGTGATAAAAATTCATCCTTTAACAAGTTCTGAGGGCACAATCTTTCTTCACTGGCCGGGGTCCCAACCATGGAGTCACCGCTGTCTGAATAGCAGCAACACGGAATTGCTCCTAGTGCATTTTTCAACGTGATCTGCAAGGTGTTGATTGTGGCTTCGTGTGCTTGGTTGACGACCTGAAGCTTCTTAATTATTTCTTGCTGAGTTTGGCTTTGGAGCAACAATTGAAATTCATGGACTGATTTTTCCTGGACGGGTTTCCCTTCTAGATTATACTTTTGCAAAGTCTCGTGTAATGATACCGCAGTGGCCAGGCGAGACTCGAGATCCTGGGATTTCTTTTTCTCTAGGGCGAGCTCTTGCTGAAGGTAGTCATTGTCTTCGTAGGAGTGACGGAGTGTTGACTCCAACTGCGATTGTGCCCACTGCATTTCAGCTAACTGCTGCTCTACTCGACTGCGGACCTGACGCTCCACCTGAAGAGATGCGCATTCATGGGCGATGCGAGCCTCCAGATTAGTTTTGTAGAGGCTGGAATTTCGTTCTCGGTCAAGAAAATCTTGGATCAACTCGGTGATGTTGAATCCACGGCTTGTTCGTTCGAAAGTTCCCGTCTATCTGATTGTCAGTGGCAGGTTGCGGAGGCTATGGGAAACACTTACCGACAGAGGAGGATTCTCCGTTGATGATGGGTTGAAACTGTCCGATGCCATATGGAAGATGTAAAATAAGTGTTTGTTTTCTCACCTTACTCTGTGAAATATGACTTCGGAGGCCATTATTACCCCAAGACAACTAAGTACTATATACCTTTCTTGGCTACCAGAAAAGGAAGGCCGTATCTAAGCTAATAAAGTCAAATTACAGAATATATTACAAATGTCTTTCCTTGACATATTCATCCAGCCGGCGCAACGCAAATTTACTGCCCCGGAAGGATGTGGGGAATGGAAAGAAGGTATCGCGGAAAGGGAAATTTACCGGCCAATCTTTCAACTAGCCCAATACATGGGGACTAACCATGATGTGGATATAAAGTCACGGGAAGCGGGGCAATCCCGGTTCCAAACTTAAAGGGTATTTATTATTACCACCATTGTGGATAATCATCTGTTGTACATACCAAAAAGGGGGCGTCCCGTGCCGACTGCCCTCTCAGGCCGTTGCGCTAACTCCGGGTATGGTCGGCACTCCACACCTCGTGCTCCACCTACACAACGAGCCGCAGGATAGGCTGAAAAGCGCCCATGCAAATAAAATACGAAGCCATTATCGACTGTCAGAGAAAGGGGATATTAATTTGGCTACCACTGTACAATAAATTCTTAATTTAGCTTGCAGAGATTATACATGAAGTATCAATCAAACATTAGCCCGGGTTATCCTTATGCCTCGTCTCCAACCTCTAATACGCGACAATCATCGGCACTGCGTCGCCTCGATAGGCGGCAAAGTAGGCCATGGAATTTTCTGTCGATGTATTCATACGTGTCAGCCACACGGTTAATTCGCTTTACCTCGTTGTCCATCTCTTTGCAGCATTCGTGTAGTTTTCTTTCCATGCGCTTGTTGCTTTCCCGAAGGCTCTCTACCTGGACAGGAAGGCTTTCCAGATGACGAACACGCTCTGCAAGATTATCAACTCTGGCCGATTGAACAGCGAGCTGCCTCAAGCCCTCCGTGAGCTCCTTCATCTGCAGGTCTATTTGGTCGTATTTGTTTTTTACCAGACGCAACTCGCCAAGTGTTATGTTGCTATAGAGTGATTTGAGATATGTTAGGTTTATTATCTAGCTAAGTAGAAAGGGAACTTACTCTCCGGATCCCACGGAGGGGGTTCTATCCTGAGGCCGGCTAATCCTGCATTAGTATCCGAGAAAAGACATTCGAAGTGATTCGAACCTGTTTCCTGATTTCTGGAGACTGTTTTCAAAATGGACATCTTGAGACATCCGAGCGCCTTGGCCTAAGCTGGGGGAGTCCCCTTGTATGTCTTGCCATCGATTAACGAATTCTTCAGTTGCCATTTGTGTGGGTCTATAGGGAGGAATCCGAAGACCGGGCATTTTCTGAGTATCAAAGAGGTTATAATTGAGAGGCTCATTGTCCAAGCTGGTTTCCGGCACATATTGCGGAAAACCAGACGAATACATGACGATTGGTTGGGCGGACAGCCAAAGTAGAGATCAAGGGGGGATTAAGAGCGAGGAGACGAGAAAGAAGGGCGAATGGTCTATATACTGTGTTAGGACCAAGGGCTGCCAATTTGAATGTAACCAAAGTACAGACTAGTTGGTTAGCTCAGGAATACCCAGTACAATATGTACGCAGAATTTATCGTGCAGAAATAGCCCACTAGAATACTAACCATATTATTTACTGATCATGCTGATGGTGTTTCTATCTTATAATTGTGATATGCTCTAGGCTACGAGGGTCGTCGCCAGTTAACAAAAAGTCGTCTTTTACATTGAGTGTAGACTAATGCCACAATTTTCATGATTACTATAACAACAGCGATAGGAAAATAATAGTACTAATCATATAGTAACTATTTATAAGCTCATTGGATTTTGGTTTGTCCATAAGCTAACAGAAATTTTTAGACCCTATAATCGTTCCCCTACCACGTAAAATAAAGCGAATTATCTAATAAACTATTGGCAGAACCTTTGATTAAGAAGGACAAATGATTTAACCAAGAGTATCTGTATTTTACAGGGATGAATTGACCCACAATAATCCGTCTTTTATTTCCTCTCCCATTCTTGCTTCACTGGGAGGTACCGTACGATGAAGAAAATTACACCGGCGAAGCCATTAAACTATACTATAACGGACGTTTCAGATAACTTCCTTGTAACTTTCGTATTTTTCTCCTGTTCGGCGGGCTTCATACCAGTTATGAAGGAGCAAGAAATGAAACCGTGAGAGTAAGAGATTTGACCAGCGCGGAATAGATCCATATGATGAAGTGGGAATTCTGGCCTCCAAAAAAAGTTAAAAACAACATGCCTCCGCCATGTTTCTGGCCGACTAGAAATCAAGCGCTCAGCGATTCAACATGTCTCCAAGAATTGATTCCAGCTGGCTTGACGTTGCTGTTGGTGACAATAAAACCTTCATTATTCGAGACTATGGCCAATTAGAATACATCGTCTCTGGGTTGCCAAACCCGAAGCAACAGATTCCAAAGATCTCAGTATTCCTAGGGGGCGGCACTAAAGATTCTGCTCTCCAAGCGCTTTTCCCATACAATAACATTCGAAGGACTCGATCCACTGCCAGTATTGGCTTGCGGGTAGATAACCTCTCAGTGGAGAACGGAGAGCCTTATTTATTCGTCGACGGCGAAGTGGGCCAGTCTATTTCGAGCCCACACCAGGCACAGGCTACGCCAGGTCCAGGGGTCCAAGACCACCCAATCGCATGGAAAGCTGCCTCAGCACAAGCTGCCGTCTCAACAATTTTCTCCCGCCTCGTGTTCTTATTTGCCGATGTTGTTTGTATTTTTGTCGATGATTTTCCCAGTATCAAATCATGTGCACGATTCTTGCTTGAGTGTGGAACTAAAAGATCGGCATCATCGCTTCCAGTTGCGGTGAGGCCCAGGGTCATTGTAGTAATGGGCGGCAGTTCGGATCGTGCCAGGGAACAGGCTGAGGAGTTCAAACGAGTATTACGTGATGAAAACTGTGATCACTTACCCCGATCATTCTCTGGGGTGAATTTCTTATCCGTCGACCGTTCCACCGACGCATGTTTCCGTGATCGCCTCCGTGCGTCGATCAGAGGACGCCTGGAAGATATGCGGGAGGCTCGGCGCGACAACGGGGCTCTTTTTAGCGGGTTGCATCTCCAAGGTCTTTTTGATTTGGCAGTCAAGCACCTAGCTCTATGTAAAGACTCCCCTTTTAACTTTATAAAGGCGACGCGTGAAGGAAACCCTGTTTCCCATGGATTAAGTCACCATATATCCCACTATTTCGATATAGGAAATCGAGGAGGATGTAGCTTGGGAACTCTGGTATCATCTACCGCATCCGCGCTGTTGATGGACCACTATCTCCCAGACAACATGTGTGAGTTCCGTTGTCGGCCTTGTTTTATCGCTTGTCCCTTCGCGGTCTAGGTTGAATTCTAATTTTTGCCTAGTACTAGAGCCGAGAGCTGTTTTTCGCACACTCTATCGCTCTCCCATCATCCGTGGGATGCGAGACTATGAGGGTCAGATGGGTCAGACGGTTTTCGGCACACCGGTTGATGATATAACGGGTCAAGTGGAGTCGGAGTTTGTCAGCCAGTTCTACTCGGTAGTTTCTCATGGAACGCTTACTGCCGATCACCGCCGGGATCACCTACTGACGATAAACCACGAATTGGGAAAAGTTCAATCGGCAAAGATCTGCCTCTACTGCCTAGTTCGCACTGCCCAACACCCGCAGTCTTGCCACCACGCGCTCTGCGATCAATGCGCGCAGATATTTGGATATCCTGCGCATGATGCCGAATATCAGTTCACGGTCTCTACATGTCTTATCTGCCTTTCTGGGGGTACCATGGTCATCGACGTCCTGCCCCCAACCATGAATCCCACGATTCTAGCGATCGACGGCGGAGGTGTCCGCGGCGGCATTCCATTGGAGTACCTTTTGCTGATTCAGGAAAGCCTTGGACCTCAGTGTAAGATACAGGAACTCGTTGATTTGTCAGTAGGGTCCAGCTCCGGTAGGTTTATTTCACACACGCCACCGGATGCCGCTTTCAGATAAGATCTACCCTTCTAGTCTAATACATATAGCAGGTGGTCTGATAATTTTGGGGCTGATGGGTATGGGTTGGGATGTGTCCACCTGCTCACAGGTATTTGATCGTCTCGCACGGCGTATATTCCGAAATCGACGGCGGATGATGCTTTCAAGGATCTTTCGCTTTATTCTTGGTCGAGATTCCGTACTAGGAGGCATCCTCCAGTGGGTGTCATGGCTCCTCCATGATAGTTGTTATGACCCGAGGGTTTTCGACGCTAGCCTCCGAGAGGCATTTGGGGAATCCCATCGTATCTTCGACGTAGTGGACACCGGGTCTGGATTCCACTCAAGATACAAATTTGGTGTTATCGCAACTACTATCTCTAAAGAGACTAAGTCGTTTGTTTTTGGAAATTTCAATAGTGCAGATATGTCTTTGGGAGAACATGGTCAGCTAACCCAAGAATATTTCAACTACTCTCTCCTCCCCGCTTCCTTCCCTCTTCTTTTTTTGATTATTACAGCCCCTACTAAGAATTTGGAAATATGTATTGATTCAATACAAGCCTACTATTGTCAACATGGCTGACCGTGGATAAATGCAGAACATGAACTATTTAGAGCTCATAATATTCATGGTGAACCGTTGATATGGGAAGTGTGAGTAGCCAACTTCCTAATTTTCCGTCAGTATGCTAAGTCTCCACAAGGGCTAGAGCTACAGCCGCGGCGCCATTGTGAGTACCCATAGCAGATCTTACCAGTTCCTACTACACCCTTATAATATTTTCACTGAAAGTTTATGATCTTTTCCCTTCCTTTTTTTTTTTTTCTCTTTTTTGTCCTTTTTTTATTTCCCCTTCACGTTTGCCCCTCTTTCCCTACGTGGCTAGCTCCCTGCTTTGCTACGAAAGAGAGGTTGGGAGTGTTGGGATGAGAAAAAAAAAAAAAAAAAATAAACCGAAGTGGAGCTCAATCTCTCATTTACATGGTACACTAATACATTCAAGTTTCTTTTCTCCAGCAAATCTTCGGGCCATAGGGTCTTTCCAAGATGGGGGATTAAAAGATAATTTTGCTGCTGGCATTGCTAGACGAATCAGCCGCCGAGTCTGGCCGTCTAGGACAGGAGTTGGGAGATTGGTTTCCCTAGGCACAGGAAAGACGGAAAGCGTCGGTCACCGGTCACCGCATTTTCGCCATGTGTTTAGGGACGGCTTTCTTCGCAGGGGCTACGATGCCTTGATGTCCAACTTGGATACCGAACCAAAGTGGTTAGAACTGAAAAACCAGCTTGACGACGATGTAAAGGATGACTACCTACGGTTAGACGTTAATTTGAGAGATATTCCGTGCACAATTGACGACGCCAGCGCAATGGATGACTACCGCAATCTGGTTATTGCCCAAGCTGGCACTGCCCGGCGGGCCAGGGAGGTAGCCACGGCCCTTCTTGTAGCTCGCTTTTATTTTGAGTTGGATGGCCTCTCACCGCAGCTGGTTCACAACTCGTGCTGGTATCGCGGCACAATCCGCTGTAAAGGCCCGGCCAAGAAGATTTTAGAGGCCCTCCAGAAACTCTACTCCACCGACGCGGATTTCGTTACCGATACTGGCTTCTTAGGCCAGTTTGGTGCATTGGAAGACTGTTGTGCTCAGTGTGGACGCTATGTTAAGTCCGTTTCTGTTTTTATTCATCATCCCAAAGAGCCCTTCAATATCTACATAAGGACTGGCCGACAGAAGCGGTGGAGGATTAGTGGGTTCCCGGCAAGTCTGGCCTCATTCATGGAGGTTGAAAATTTACATCGGGCCTTTGGACGACCGAGTCATGGCCGACCCGCTGCAGCCCCCTGTACCGCTTGTGATTCCTGGGACGCTCGGTTACAAGGCAAGGGCCGGAAGCGTACACGTGGGTCAGCGACGGATGCATCGGGAATAAAACGTCTCTGTATCGTGGGGGATGTCCAAGACTAGTCAAGAATAGGAAAGCTTTAGCCAATTAGTTAGGATGGTTGTTACTAGTGTCGATTTGAGTTCTCACAACCTTTTTTTTTTTTTTTTTAAGATATTCCCCACTTTTCTGCAATTTCCTTTTTTAGACTTTTTTTTCCCTCCTTCTTTTGATATTTGCCATTCTTACTGGTAATTTACCAATCGACCATGGGATCGGCGTTCCCTTGCCAAGGTCGCCAAATATTACCTACTGATTAATACAGTGGGCAGCGGTTTTTATACTGTATGGATGGCTGATTTTATTTACACTGACCTCTCGCCACCGGCGGTATAGTTTTAATACACTATGTCCAGAAAATGGTGTTACCGCTTCTCAAACACTAATAATGCCAAGGGAAAATGGTCCACACTTTGGGAACCCCTGGCTTCTCCATGATCTGACTGGGCATTCTAAGCCGGGATTAAGTCAACGTAGCCACTCACAAGCCACGATAGCTTGGCACTCGGTTTGAGAAATAATAAAAGAGTATACGTTGGTGACATCGTTTACCGGAATACCTTTGCTTTTTTTGTCTTTTGCCTGTTGGCCAAATCTCTCTATTGTATTATAGCTTCGCTGCTGGGTTCCCAGAAGCTCCAATTCGCCCTAGACATGACTGTTTATGACGCTGGTCAACAACAAAGAATGGACGACTTTACAGAGAAGGTCAATAATATCATGGACCTGGTCCTTGAACTTTCACTTATCCACAATTGTCGAATATACTTCCTTGTTGATTATGACAAAGGGATTCTCACATTCAATTCCGTGGAGGATCGCTCGTGGCCACCACCTGATCGGACACTGGTACGTCGTGTCCATTGTGGAATCCCCGTATAAAAACTAAGAGCCTGAGACTATAGGGGTGTCTTAATCGACCTATAAGAAGGGTTTACAGCTCCCAGGAGATTTTGAGGCGTATAACTGAGGAGGAGCGGAAAGAGCTCATTCAATTATTGGTTTATATTTCCGAGGTTACCAAAGGCCCTCCTGCAATGGAAGCTAGCCAGATACAGAGTGAGGAAGAACGTGGGCAGAACTTAGACCCCAAGGCTCTTCTAGGGTCTAGGGCGGATAGTGAAGATTACGAATTGGATATAGAGGGAGGAAAGAATTTGACGGAAATAGAAGGAGATGAGAATGAACAGGGCAGCGGGAGGGGAGACGACGAGATAGATGAGGGCGAAGAGGCAGACAGATATAAGGCATTCATGTGGGATGGAGATACTACTTATCCACATATAAGCGGAACGAATGTGCAATAAACTAGCAAGAATCGTCGTTTCACCGTAATGCCCAATCAGGACTATTGTAGTCTTTCTTTGCGCTGGCCAGGGTATATAAAGACCTAAGAACCCCCATATTTCTTCTTCTAGGCCAGGATTGCACTTCGTTTGTTTAGCCATCAGTCTGTAACAGTTACTGGCAACGTACGCGGACATGGAATCCATCGAGTTTACTTATTCTGTGGTTTTTGCAGCCTTTGTGGCCCTTCTGGTGGTGACTTGTCTCTCCCGCTATGTGTATTCCTGCCTTTCCAGGCCGCTCCCGTGTTTGGGCTCAGCAAGTATCTACCATCTTTTCCTCCGCTACCTCGTCTATCCGCGTTTCAATCGACGAATCCTTGGATTGGCGACGCTCTCACCACTTCAGTTTATTATGCTTATTGTTTACGTTGCCGGGACTGTCGTCTGTAACGTTGTAGGCATGCGGACTCCACAACAATATTCTGCACGTGCTGCACATCTATCCCTGATCAACTTGTGCCCCCTCTTCTTGTCTGGGGGTCGTGAATTTGGGGCACGTATTCTGGGAATGTCTCGAGAAACCTACGGAATCATTCATCGCATGTCAGGGCTAATGGCCACTATCCAAGCTGCCGTGCATATTGCCATTACGAGCCAAAAGATTCAGTTTACAACAAAAGACGATACTCACTATCACGGACTTCTAGTAAGTGGACTGCTTTCACCTGACCTACTTTTTAATGGAAACGTCTGCCAATGCGAATTCCCTGTTAACAAATTCAGGCCAGCTGTTTTCTTCTTTCGCTTTTGATCCTGCCTATGGTTAAACGCCGAGTTTACGAGATTTTCCTGGTAACTCACCTTTCGTGTGCCTTTCTGGCACTTTTTATGATTTGGAAACATATACAGCCGACAGCGGGAAGGGCGCGTATATATGTTCTGGTATGTCTTGGTGCTTCCGTGACAACTGGAGTGCTCCAACTCCTTCGCATCCTCTTCCGGAATATAGTCTTTGGGAGGAAGTCCGTGCGGATAAGCATCAAACCACATGCAGAGGACATAGTATGCGCTGAGCTGCGTCTACCGCGGCCGTGGACGGTGCGTGCTGGTGAACGAGTCACTCTTGGGGTGCCATCTGTTGGTCTTTTCTACCTTTTCCAGGCCCACCCGTTCAGCATTACTTGGTGGGAAGAAAACGATGAGGGCAAAGCAAGCGCCGTGTTTTTGCTTTTCCGTGCTCGGACTGGATTCACACGGAAGGCTCTAAACTGCCTGGAGCCGGACCGGGAATACTGGGCATGGATTGATGGGCCTTTTGGTCCATCCTCAGTCCATCAATGCGGTAGCACACGAGACCTGGGCGATTACGGACACATCCTCATGGTTACTACTGGCATTGGAATTGCTGCTCAGCTCCCCTACATGAAAGAGCTACTGCAAAGGCGTCGAGAGGCGGGTGTACGTACACGGAGAATCTCTCTCGTGTGGCAGTTGGATCAAACTGGAGACTACGAGTGCGCAAGGGACTGGCTCCAGTACTTACTCAAACAAGACGATGGATATGTGAGTGACCAGCGCCGATCCCCTCTACCATTTCTTTTCGTTCTATGCTAACAGCTCTAAAATAAAGATGTTAAATTTTTCCGTGTACGACCCGCTTGGCAAAAGCCAGGACACTAGAAAATTTGGGCACCACGAATTGATTACCGTCTACAGCGGCAAAGTGGACTGGACACAGGTGCTGACAGAAGAAATGCAGAAGCGAAAGGGAAAAATACTGGTTGCGGGTAATTGTTCCCGGCCATATGGCGAGCATGTGCTAACTGAATGAATAGTCTCCGCACAACGTCGGGTTCGCATAACAATGCAGCGACTAGTAAGATTAAATATACGCCATGATGTGGAATTGTTTGAGACAGAGTTTCAGCCTTGGCAGGAAAGAAGGGATTTATTGTCTTTTTTTACCCCGTAAATTTCCGCCATTAAGGCATATCAGATGGTATCGTGATGGCAAGTTTCGGAGCTCCTTGCGGGTCTATACTGACATATACATTATCAATGGTCTGATGGTATCAGCCGGACAAGTCAGATTCAAGACCGAGGTTCCTAAAATCCCTTTGGACTACGATACATTCTGACGGTGTTTATCTAATTTAGTCTCCTTTCCAAAATAGCTATACATAAAGTCTGGTTCAAGAGAATAATACTACGTCAATCCAAAACTAAATATTACCATTATATCATAATTTAGATTCACGTCCTTATGGAGACAAGAAGTATCACGAAAAGCAGTATTCCTGTGGAAGTGTGTGGACAGGCCAGGTGACCCCGACTTTGAATGGGAGAGGCTGGCGAGGTCCGACCCTCATAGACAGTGGGGTTCCCAGTCAGAACAATATTCCCCCTCGAGTATCCTTCAACACTAGTCTCATACAGAATAGATGTGATTTGTCTGTTTCCATATTCCCCCTTTGATAGTGGCGGGGCCGTGATTGTGGAGTGCACAATGGTCGACATGGGTACGGTAAAGTGGACTTTGCTGTAAAATGAGGCTTCATGTTAGCTGGAGTCAAATTTCTGCAGCTGCTTGAAACTAAAGCTTACTGATAATAAATTAGTTGGGAATAAGACGACCAGGGATAGATTTTGAAACGCCCGTTGGGTCTTTCTATCGGCCACGACTACTTCCGCCTTCATTTATATAGTAATTGATACCTAATTGTGTATCTATCCATCGGTATTATTACCAGGTCATAAGCAGGAAACCATGCCGGGGTATAGACCCAGGGCTATGAAATTGTTTATTAATTTTTGTTGAAACCCTTGTATTGTATTCTATTAAATATACAGTGGTTATGTTGTATTTCCTCAGAAGCTTCTATCCTACTACGTAGGGGTGGGGTGTAATATACGCCGTTTTATTTCTTTTCTTTTCTTCCCCCCCCCCCCTAGCATGACCTTGAGTGTTTACTATCTCAGGTCCTAAGCGTTACTAATGTATTGCAGTTATATATCGACAGTATATTTATAGATCATCAGGTGCAATTAAAACGAGAATACATGATAGCTCGTCGACACGTCTTTTCCTCTATCGCTTATATACTTCTGAATTAAAAATTCAAGGTCTGAAAAGAAAAGGGAAGAGAAGGATAACAGCAAAAAGAGACAGGCGTTACAGATATGAATGGAATACAAAGATACCGATCAGGCCTAGGTAGTCTCCCGCTTGAACTATTAATGCATATTATCGAATTTGCCAAAGAGGTAGATTCTTTGCTGTCTCTTTCGTCGGTCAATCAAATATTCCGCCAGCTATGTGCTCCCCATGTGTTCCATTCGCTAAAGGTGGCATTTTCGACAATTGGCCTGGACAATTTGTTAGAGATATCGCAATCCCAGGTAGCACAGCATGTTCGTACTGTTTTGTACGAGGTTCCGGAGAGAATAGATCCGCGTGAGTGAATCGATCTGAATCTGACTTGCAGTATGCTGATTCAACATTTCAGTAATTGAGAATTGGGACTATTTCCAATCAAATATCTATACCCCTTCTGAATACGAACGTGACCAGAGAGAGGCTTTCTGGACCTTTGGAGGCCAGGAGGTTTCATACTCGACTGTATTCACATACTTTAGCTCTCAGGCGCGGGACCAGCGTATAGTCCAACAAAAAGCTCAAGATATAGAGGCCCTTATAACATCTATACCTCGTTTCCCCAAGCTGGAGGCCATTTACATGCGCTTCACAGATGGCATTCAAGCCCCATTTCGATGGTTCGCAGGCCGCGTATTCCTAGATAATACGCATACTCTTACTGATCATTTGGTGAAAATGGCAGCAGCCATTACTGTAGCCAGGCTAGATGGCGTGTCTATAAGGACGTTCGAGGTATCGGGGTTTTATTCACGAATCGATTTGGCTGACCCCCTTTTACTGGATCTGATGAGGGATGCCCTTAACGACGTTCATGAACTGAGGGCAATCAATAGCCCCACAATGCTGGAGTTCCTAAGTCTGATTCCTCTCCCATCTCTCCAAAGATTTGAATTGGCAAGCTGCTGGCTATCCATAGAAAATCTCGAGGATTTCGTCAGAAAACATGCGGGTTCGTTACGCTACCTCCACCTGGAGGATACTTGGTTATTACATGAGAAGATCAACGAGGATGGAATCTATTTATCCATGGCAAATGCACAGTCTATACTTGACAATTTGACTCGGATCTGGGACGCTGGAATTCTTGACGAAGTTACAATAAATCGACGCCCTGGTGGCTTTTACGAGGCGCAGGTCGGGTCTTGTAATTAATAAAAGTCATTCTCTATTAAAGAAATCTGGAAGAGACTTTTTATGTGCTGTGGAGGATCTTTATAACATACCTAATTTGTCTAAGTTTCTGATAGTACAGTATCACACCCTCGAAACAGTTTTGAATTGAGGCTCGATTCAGTAAACAATAGATCTTTATATACAGAACAAGATTTATTTCCAATAAACCTGATTTTAATCTCGTATATACTTCAAGTTTACAGATGCGATCATGAGAATAATAACAATCAATCTTCTGTATCACCACATAAATAACCAGTTTTAGTCCAAGTAAGACTAGCTGCTAGGATTGCGGGCATTGTTCCATTCCATATCCTCTTGTCCTTTATTCAAAACATTTCCTACAGAGCTGTCCTGTATACTGATTGATATCCTTACAGAGAGATTAGGGTACATGCGAAAAACGGCACATGAGTAGCTCAATCGAAGAACTATAGAGCCACGGGCATAGCAATACGTGACTTAATCTTATGTTCCTTGGCATTTGGCACCCTCACTTAGTCCTTTCTTGACTTTGACAATGGGCGCCCACGGGCAGGGGTTGCCCGATATAGCCTACCAAGCCATAAATTAAATTACTATATACATATATTGTATAAACTAATATATAAATGTTTATAGAATAGTAATAATAAAAAAAATATATTTCTTGGCTGGCTATATCAAGATCTAGTCCTTTCGCATTATCTATTCCAATACGAGTCTACTCGTAATAGTAGTAATAACAATCGTAATAATTATCCGATTAGCCACATATCTCCGAAGCGCTGTATTGAACATTTTTGATACTTTCTGGAGAGGGCGGGCCGAACGGAACCAGCCACCTTCTCCACAAGGATTAAGGAATTAATCAACTGTACCCTTGGATTGTGGGTTATTGTCTAGACCAAAGGAATATCCCGTCTGGGCTTGGTAGGATCTGGTTACCAGTCCTTAACGAGGAAAAGACGTAATTTTATTTGTAGATCAGATGGACCCCGTTTATTACAATGGCCAGTGTTAGAATTATTTACCGTTCTATTAATTTAGTATTACTATTGTCATTTACCAGTGATTTGACACTTTGACAGAGTTTATTTATTACAATACTTTGATGGGGACTATTATATACATTGCCAGTGTTCTGCTTTTCCGTGGGGTGGGTAAGTGGGTATCCTGTTAATTACAGCATTTGAAGATAAATATTTTTTTTCTTACGACGTCTGGGTGAACTTCATTTTTAGTCGACTTTTTGGGTGGGATTGCGTATATTACAGTGCCTGATCAGGTTCACCAAGACACGACATCGAGGCTGTGGGTCTTCTGTATCTAGTCAATATTCCTTATTCATTTGTATCTTACGCTCGTTCATGAATATTCTTTTTCTCCTGCGAAGATTCCCCACTAACCTGGGCCAATAAGGCAAAAAAAAAAAAAAAAAAAAAAAAGACTTGCGTACTGGAAAACTCGAGATCTGCTTTCATGGACAATTCAGAAGTTGTGGGCCTTGGGAGAGAAGACAACATTCCCCTTACACTGGTGCGCTCCGTGGTCTGCAAGAAAGTTGTTGATTGTCTATTACCTCTTCGAACGAGGACTTGAGATAATAGCTATCTATGCAAATGTCAACGTGCCAATCCCTCGAATTCCTCCACTACAGTAGCACTATTCATTAATTTCCTTGTAAGATGGAGTAATGGTATGGGGCTCTGGGGACCGTCGTGTCCGCGTGCTTGATTGGTGGATACTTGGCGTATTCTGTGGTCATCCATGGCATTCGAGGTGGTAAAATGTGACCCGCATTTTAAAGCACTGGCTATCGGACTTCCCGGCTGTTCCTGAATTGATAGATAATGCACGTCATCAATGCCGGTCTTATGCACGCAATATTCTACATGGCGCGGACCTTCCAACGACATACATCTTGAAATGATTTGTTATTTCTTTTTTGTTTTTTGCCCACTACTTGTGACTTATGAAGACGAGACTACTAGTAATAGTTAATAATGCAGGGATTAGTTAAATGTTTCCGAAGCGCTCTATTGCCGAACGGAACCAGAATTACAATCGAACCGGGGAAGGAGCTGATCAGTCACTAGTATTTTTACTGTTCCCACCTTGAATATCGGCCACTGGGTGGGGCATATTGGAGGCTGATATTTAGTGTCAGTGCTTAAATAAGAAAAAGCGTATATTCTTGTGGACCATCTGGACCTTGTAAGGCTATTAATAAGTTGTCTTTATCCTAAAGGGGTTTATTTTTTTTTTACCAGTCGTTAATTTATTACAGTACTTTGATGGGTTTATTACATGGTTAGAATTCACTGCTTTCTGTACAGTAACTGTGGTTTAAGGTGGGTAAGTGGGTATCATGTTAATTACAGCGCTCGAAAAGGTAAATATTCTTTACCACAGTGGGTCAAATAAATTTATTACATTGTCTCACTTTTTTCTGGTAATGTATTAAACAGAATGATCTACTTTGTGAAACCAAGGTTAGTGGCATTTTATTATTATTATTATTAGTTTACTAGACAGAGAGATTCTGTATATTACAACGGCTAGGAAAGCTTTTCGTCTTTTTTCTAATCGACTTTTAGGGGTGGATTCGCGTATATTACGGAGCTTGATGAGCTCAAGATACAGCATTCGGGGTGGTGGGTTTCTATGTCTACTTAATATCTCTTTTTGTCCCCAATTAGGAGAAATTATGTATCTTATGGTTCTCTATAGGTTCTCTTTTCGTTTCCGGGGGGGTTTTTCTTCTTTTTTTCTTTTTTTATTTCATCTACTAGGTTTATTCTTCACCAACAATAGCCCCAAAATTCCCAAAAAGATCATTAACTTGCTACTTAATGGAAAGATCTAGATCTATTTTTGAAACAACATAGGACTTATAGTGCTAGTTAATATTTCTCATAAGAGAGTCAAATTCTATAGCAACCTACAAAATGACACAGCACTAGTAAGGCTCTAGGAAACTGTTCGCGTGATTGATTAAATTACAGTACACCCGTCCCCATTGAGGTAGGACACTTGGCATATTAGACTGCGATTACCCATGGAATCCACGTGTGCGGTAAAAGGAATAGCTACATACACGTGGATCAACAACAATACATCTAGCCCAAGTAGCCTACTAATACAATATACGTCGGAATTTATTTATCCGAACCGATTATTATAGCCATCGGAGGACATAATGAAACAAAACGAGGTGTTGGTGTAAGCTATCCTTAAAGTAATGACCATCTGTCTGCAAACAGCCGTCCAGGCTAGCCTGGATCAGAGAATGGCAGGATGTACACAATATCTCACGTTGAGGTAAGACATTGGAATGTGAAATACAGAACATGAAACACAATCTTAAGCAGAGGCAACAAAAAGATAATACTGTAGTGTGAAAACTTTCCACAAGGTGACCCTTAATGGGCTGTAGGCGACTAGATGTAGTCAGCGCCACGAAGATCAGTAGGCCTGAATAGCTGGCGTCCATCCTCCAGACCAATTATCCCACACCGGCTGACCACGGCCCCTCCTCGCGCGGCCCCGTCGAAGTCGAGGTGGCTCTGGGGTGTATTCAGATATTTCAGATTGGAATCTATTCCGATTTTCCCATGCGGGAGCTGCGCTGCGACGTGCATCGTACCGCGGATGCGGCTGTTTGGCGGCCACTTCCAGTTGTGCTATCTTCTCTCTTAGGAAACGAAGCTCGACATCGCGTGGATCTTCAACGGCAGTAGCAGCTCGGGAAGGGGTAGAAGATGGTAGGACAAATCGGACCTCGCTGGCTCTCGATCGTCCCCGCTGGGAGGTAGGGGTTGCGCTGCCGCGCGCCATAGACGAAAAACGTTGACCGGGGGGTGGAGTTTGCGAGGCCACTGAGACCACTTCTGGCTCGAAATCTTCGTCCTCCTGGTGAGTGGCCATCGGTTTCTTAGCCTTGACAGCAGCCAGCTTCTGCAGAAGATGCTCATAGGGCAGGCCTTCCTCCTGTCGATAGAGAACCTCGCTGGCCATAGCTTTCTGGTAGATCACCTTGTCTCCCTGCAGATTGGAACCTTGCGTGATGCGGCGGACAAATGAACGGTCCTCCAAGGTGACTTCGCCATCCTTCCATTTGACCAGCGCACGCGTCTGGGGGTAGCAGGCATAAGGCTCGGGCCAAATGCAGTCCAGGGGCTCGACGCTTTCTTCATCGTCATCTTCAATCTTCCATCCGACTCCGAGGATTCCAGCCACGTCTGCCCGCGTGAACTTCCATGACTCGTTCAAATTTCCATCTTCATCTTCGATGATCAGCTTCACGCGACCACGCGGCTGCGTTGCTTGGGGGACATTCTTGGGTTCGTCCGGCCGGGCAATTTTGAAGCTGGTCCTTGGATCAGCCGGCTGGACTGACAAAACTTTGGGGACACTCATGGAATCATATTGCTGGTATGACCCCGCCCGGATCCGATATATTGGTTGAGCCTCCGTGCCATATCGTACGAAAATCTGGGATCCCGTGCCCTTCTTCCACCAGAAAAGCACCTTTCCATCGGAGTGAGAGGACAGAGTCTCCCGTGCCATAGCCTCTAGATCATCAAGGTTCGTTACGTCGAAGTTATCCAAGGGCGGGAGGCTTCCATCAAAGAGAGAATCCATGTCTTCATCCTGATCCGGCTCTTTTTTGACCCTTGCCCCGAATTGGCCCTCCACAATTCCTGGCGTGATATTCCATTCAGCAGGGAGATGGTGCTCCTTGTTAAATTCATCGAAGGCATTATGGGTGGCATCGAAAGCTTGCCACGCTTCGTCTGGAGTCTGTGCTTTGTTTAAAGTCTCTAGGAAGGATTCAAAAAGCCGCTGGTAAATATTTGACGGAACGACTCCCAGCTGCGCATCAACATTATGGTTCCTGTTTGCTTCTTCAATTTTCTTATTTAATTCGTTAAAGAAGGCCGTTGCTGCGCCCATATTGGGCTCTGATGACATGAACTGGGCTTTGAGATCGTCATGGACTTCTTTGGTAGTTGCCTCTCGAATGATATCTACCACCCACGTACTGTGCACCAAGGGAGGGCTGTCTCCTCGCTTCCTTTTACCGTTATCTGCATTGGCCTCATTTTTCTGAACATTCGAGGCTGGAGGCCCTGCTTGAGTCGAATCACCTGCCTGGGTTGAAGGAACTGCCTGGGCTGAAGGACCTGCCTGGGCTGAAGGACTTGCCTGGGCTGAAGGACTTGCCTGGGCTGAAGTATTTGCTTGGGACATTTTGAACAGAGCACTTCGGTAATAAGTATTCAGGGATAAATGGAAACTGTAGCTTTTGTTATACAGAACCCTTCCCCAGCGCGTGGAAGGAGGCCTTTAAATAGAACTTTCGGAATGTATAGTTCTCGAAGGATACCTTTTCTATACAGGGAAGATCACCCGTAAGTTACAAAGGGGTGATGAGCTTCATCGAGTCGAGCTATGTCACCCGCATGAAGGCCGATTCTTACCAAGGATACGCAATATCTCGTAAGATACTCATAGTACGTAATTAAACCAAGATATCAAATCCATAGTGGCAACCAACCCGTAAGTTACAACAGACGGCAATCTGGTGAAATTAAACGAAGGCACCCTAGCCAGACACCGAATGTTTCATCGTAGTCATTTGTCTCTTGGACTTGGCAATTACTTGTGTAAGTTTGTTGAGCCCTTTACCAATTACCCAGACCTAGCAGGCACGCTGGTGATGGTACAGTATGTGACACCAAATCAATGTCCACATATTATACAGTACCTATTCTAAGGGCATCGGGCTTGTACTGACCGTCTCTTTCCCGGGTCATGTGGCTCACATTCCATATTCACGGAATCTACTTCCTACCTCCCTACTTGGGTATGCGCCTGATCCCGGAAATGGTTTGTATGGGAGTTTATTTTCTTAGATACGTCTACTACGACGGGCGTTGGGACCCAGTTGACCATGTCTCCTCCTAATACCCAAAATTGCGGAGACAAGCCGACGTCGGGAAAAAGTCTTATTTGACTATTTCTTTCTCTGGTCATATTGTATGGGTTGGCCTAGTGATCTACCTGTGTATACCGGTCCCAGGATACTATTATCTCGTAATATTCTACATACCCCTAGTACCTTACGAGAGCCAGAGATAAACGAGAAGGGTATATCAAAGTACATGACAATATATAGGACCATCGATCCCTTCGGTCTCAGACAGACGTGTAGTGTTCCTATTGTATTAAAAGAAAAAGAAAAAAATCGCCGTCATGAATACCTGAACCAAACTATAGTGACTGATAATTACTCGAGCGAGCGTTTTCATTCATGATATGGAGTAGGGCGAATAATTGAACGTTCATAGAGCATCCTACACCTCACACCAATGCAGCATGTACCGCCAGGATCCCGGTTATGATAGTTAGTCCAATATATCAAACCGGATCCATGTGACTCTCAGAGGTAAAATCTACCCAGCCTGCTGCGTAAAAGAGAAAAGAAAAGAAAGCACCGTTATCACGTAGAGATATTCGGCACCTCATCCGGTGAAATGTCTGCTCTGAGGCCTTCGAGAAAGGATATGGCCTGGCTAAGCCCGGTGGAGCATTGAGCTTGGTAGCATGCAGTCATGGACATCCATTTGTGCGCCGCTTGCTGAGCAGTGACTTTATCTTCCAACTCCGTCCTTTGCTTGGCTATGCACTCTTCATATCCCCGTACGTTCTCTTTCAGGGCTGTTTTTTCCTTCATCAGGGCTGTGTTTTCCTTCTCCAGGGACGTGTTTTCCTTCTCCAGTACTCCAAGATGCTCTTTTGTCACTTTTAACTCCTCGGTCAGTTTCTGGTTCTTAACTTCTAGTGCATACACTCGTTCTTGGAGAGGATGGCCTAAGAGTCTCTGGCTGAATAGTCAGCTTGAGGACACGGATGGGGAAGTACGTTAACTGACATTGTGAGACTTGTTGTGTTCAACAGCACGAAACGAATTACCTACTCCGTAATAAAGTGCCATGTATGCCCCAACGGAGTGTTTGCTCAGCTGTTTATTGAAAAATGGCCACAATGAAGGATCATCGACTTGCCACTCATATCGCGTTTCTTCATCTGTTTTCAGCCGAACATCGTCCGGTTTGACTTGTAACCCTAGAGCCTCCTCTATAGTTCTATTTGTACACGTCCATAAAGAAGACCAAGACAAGGGGACCTTACCAATATGAGCAGCGAGACGCTCCCGGCATTTCGCACGCCAGGAAGACCGTCTTTGGTTTGAATCACTGGGCGCACGGGTTTCTAAGTCCTCCATATCTTTTCGGATCCGAATCTTCCGACAAGAATGTCGATATCCTATACAGTATCTATAAAACTCCCCCGGAATATATTAACCGGTCCAAAATTTCGCTGCCACGCTTTACCGTTGACGGTGTTATTAGTCTCAATACCTTCGTCTACACCTAGTTCCCCATTAACCGCCTACCTTCTTGAGTGGCGCTCTACGCAGCTCTACACCGTCAGATAACTCTGTAAGCATACATACTTGGCTAAGACAACCTGGTGGCAGAGTTATTTTCCACCCAGTCACTGGCTAATTTTTTTTCTTTCCTCACATACGCTATCTGTTGTAGACTTTTCAGGAAAAATACGCCGCAGGCATTGGTGTTGAGGTTTCATTAAGGCCCTATTGCCTTGAAACCGGGTTGGGCTAGTAGATCATACAGTCATGGCAATAACGGGTATTTAATCTAAGCTAGCATCTGTATTTTACCGCTGTTTATTCAGGTGGGTTTAAGCACCAATGGTATGTTCGATTCTTACAGCTCTCGGGTAATGCCGAGCGGAGCTCATAATAGTAATAGTAATAATCTTCTGGATTAGTTGCTCGTCTACGAAGCGCTGTATTTTCATTTTTGATCCTTTCTGGAGAGTGGGATGGGCTGAACGGAACCAGCCTCGTTTACTCCACAAGAATTAAGCTGGACCATGGAAAACAGCAATATTTCAGTGAATGGCATTATCTACTGTACAGTGTCATCCTAGGATATTTGTTATGAATAGGTGCACAGGGGGAAAGGGGCTGGCAGAGGAAGACTATCACAGCTACACAGAAGTAGCGTACTAAGGAGGCCGACTCACGGTGTTAACTATCTCACTGTAGCTCACTCATGTACAGGATGTGTGTTGCCTCTTTTGGGAATTCAGGGCTTCGATGTATAAAGCCTCTCTGGGATGTCAAGCCGCTAGTTGCGAGCTATGCCCTATTCATACATAAATATTGGGTCTAGACTAAAGGAACAGTAATTTTACACCTCCACTTGCTAATTGGTGGTAATCCTTAAAGAGGTAGAGGCGTAATTTTATTTGTCGATCAGATGGACCCTGTTTATTACAATGGCCAATACTGGAATTCTTTACCTTTCTCTTAATTATTTTTCTGTACCAATGATTTTGACAAAGTTTATTTATTACAATACTTTGATGGAGACTCCTACATTCATGGTCTGTGTTCCTGCGTTCTGTGGGGGGGTAAGTGGGTATCATGTTAATTACATATTTAGCTGAATATTACATTGTTAAATGGGGTCCCACCCAATTGCCATCTCGCAGACACGGGCCAGGTGGATTCATATCCGCTGCGCAGAAAATCAGTAACAGCCCTAAGGTGGCGCCACACCGTATCTTAAAGCAACGGATCGAACTAAAAATTTAGAGTTTCGGCCAAGATGCACACAAACAATAAGCGGCAAATGAGCGCGTGACGAAAGGTTGGGGGAAGGGATGACTGTACCCCCTCCTTTGTGCTATGAGCTTGGAGCAGGTGGGAACTATATCGTCGCCAAACACGTGATCAGCAGACATCCTGTTCTTTTTTCCCTTACTGTACAGTACGGCGTGGGTGAACGGTTAGTAGCTTCATCCTCTCGAATCTTTCGGAATAAACGTCGAATTCTTATCTATTCAATATGCGAGGAGTGTTCTTATAGGGTTCCCCAAGAGGAACAAATGAGACATCGATAAGCTCTACAGCTCAGGATATCGCAAGACCAGGCTATGGGTATACTGTATCAGACGTGGGAAGTGCATCATACAATCACGGAGTGTAATAGGATCATGAATAGCGATGCAGTTAGGCTTTACATATTTTTTGCAGCTGGTTTATTTTACTAGGCCGCGGTTAGGCGCGTGATTTCCTTATGGCTATAGTACCTACTTCAGCCGATACTGAGAGATATTCCAATGTATCAACAGCCCATGCGCTCTGAAACCGGATGAGATCGTGGCCTCTCTACTGTATGAATTTGAGGTTGCAGTAATCAGGATAAACCTAGAAGCCGGCGACGGACTAACCCCCTATGGGAAATCTGTATGGGATTCCCTTCCCTTCAAATCGGGATGATTTTTGAGATTTTTGGTATCCCATCACGTGCCAAGATCGGGATGGGAGTATTTCGGAATATTAAAAATTTAGGAGGGAAATTCCCATGTTCCTATTTTCGGATTCTCCCATCCCATGGGACTCCATGATACAAACAGGACGAGAATTTTTAAGTACAGTATATGGGAATGGGAATATCCCATCCCAATCCAATATAATGTGAATCCCCAAAAGGCTTGGCACGAGGTGGGAATCAAAATGTATTTCCAGTCACTCTTCCAGTTGAGGTTATGGGTCGTCGGGACTTGAACTCTTGCGGGATCCCGGTTCCTCCCAATGGTGGGCCTAGACCGTCACAGTGCTGGTGGGTCAAAGTTTCAGTATTTTACTGTACGCTCCTGCTCCGCGGATACATCCCACGTTCTCCATCTATTATTACCACTAGTGGTAGTAAATCAACCCCATCATAAATTGGTACCTGAAGCGGCTCTGGAGGGTAGGGGCGTAATAGCGAACGTACTGTAGGTGGGTATATTCCATCATCGCTCCTTGGCTTAACACTATGATAAATTATGGAGACCCATGTCAATACGTATCATACATTTGTATGTTACATGGCCCCACTTCACATGCCAAGCATGAAACTTCGTACAAAGACAGTAGCCCACTTTAGATAGTTCGTCTGTACACCTCTTTCTTCTACTGTGATACTAGTCTGACCTCCAAGTCGAGATCCAGCTATTTCTGCCATGAGAGACATCTCCTTTATGTGGTACTTAAGCGAGGTGATGTCGCTTTCAGGCGACTGGTAAAGTGTCTGATTGCTGAAGTCCCATGCGCTTTACTGAATCTTTTCAACGTGATGAGTGCTGATCGTGAATTAGAGCAGTCCTCGCACTGCAAATTTGAAGTCTCTGAGCTGAACTTCACGGCTTGTTGGCATGGTATCCAACTTCGGAAATTTGACACCCATGGCGTGGATGATCATCGTGAGATGTCCCGAGGATATCGAGCGGTTCTTGACCGAAAGGAGACTCTAGCACGACATCTGGGTCTTCCGTTGGTGAGTGACTCGTTTGAAGAAGCGTTTAGCAAGGCATTTAGCACTCGGATTCCATCTCTAGTCCCACCGACACAGCAAGAACCCGGGGACTCGCCACCGAGCTGGATTGACGTTCTTCAAGAGGTCGACCCCGTCCAGCTAGGGCAAAGGCCAAACGGTAGCCACCACCGCTGCCATGTTCGAGGAACCTTGATAGAATTGTCCGATTCTGACTGTAAATTAATTCAGTCTGGCCTACTTCAGAAGCTAATCGACCGTTGGCCGCACCCGAGAGATGTACAGGCAGAAGTGGAGATACTCGGGTTCACGATCAGACGTCTATCTGCCTGGAAACAAAGTGTCTTGCAGGGTAAGTTTTGGGTAACCATATAATCTACAGATTGAATATTTGTTAACATGATATGAAAGCCCTCGAAGAAGATAATGCCCTACTAGAGGACCTACAGACGCGATTAAACGGGCTTCGCAACTATACTATGCAGCATTTCCTGTCCGAGTCTACCCAAACCTGCGAGGGAGCCGCAACCACTCGGACAGTTGTGCCAATTGAACCCGGCAGAGAACAGGAGGCCATTGCCTTAGACGACACGATCGACATCCATGATGCCGACCCGCAGGAAAGCGGTACTAGCGAATCTCCTCATACTTGTGATCAAAGAGATGAGGATGACGAAATGAGTGAAGAACCCCAGGAAGGCATGGATGCACTGCCAATCCAGCCCGGCTCTCCGAGAACATGGACATCCAGTAGGCTTCGCTGGTCCTTCGAGGAAGAATCCCGGCTACTTCCTTGGCTGAAGGCTCACGACCATCTAAGTTGGCCTGACATAGAGCAAGAGTATTTCCGCGAGTTTGGCATTTACCGAAAGGAGCTCGCTCTCAAAACCAAGGCGCGTCGTATTGAACAGAATGGCTTGCGTGGTGCAAGAAAGACGAGGACACGCCGGGCCAGGGGGGGATACGTTGATGGCCACTTTCCCGTTGCCCCAGATAGTACATCTGCAGGCACACGAGAAACACGCCTCCCTTGGCGGTTAACAGCAGCGGAACCCAATCCGATGTCGGCTGGCTCCCTAGAAGGGAGCGATACGCAATTCCACCAAGGCCTAAGCACTGCTACGGATATGGTGCATGCAAAGGACGGGGAACCAGACCAAGGAAGCTCGATAACATCGCTGGTGAATGGGGACCTCGTTCCAAGTCCGGAGGGGAGGTGGTTCGGAAGCAGCCACCCCCTCTCACTTGGTAGCTTGCTGGCATAAATTTTTCTGACGTCACTGGATAAATGTGTATACATTCAAATTAGAGTACTTTATGGAGAGTGGACATCGCTTCGCTTCGAATGATCTAGTACATAATCCTTGGCCTATACCGCTTCCTGCCTTTTCTGTTGTTGTATCAAGCCCGTACTGCAACTTAAGTTGAACGTACTCTTACTTATAGTTATGCCCCGCAATACGATCCACTCGTATCTAACATTTCCTCAAAGCATGTAAAATGTTATGCACGGATGGTAATTTAAAGCCCGCTATTTTGCGTAGCATTACTTGGAAACATTAAGTTTGTGGCCTTTTCCCTACTACCAGTGTACGGTAATAAATCAGGGGTTATTGACTCACTGTCATGGATTAAGAGGCTGTCTATGTTGGAGACCCATGGAGACCAAACATACACAACTACTTGAGAGTATGTATTTTACAGTGGGTCTGATGGACACCACAGCCTACTGTGTATAGTAATTAGAGTTGGCACAGACACGGCAGCCACGAACTGCCGAGGCGATCGCCATAGGGCCGAGTACCCAGTCATAATGAACCATGGTTCACTATAAAATACCACTAACCCAAACTTATTTTAGCCCTTAAACTTATTCGATCCATGGGTCCTTGTGGAAAGGTTCTTCATCTTCAATTCAATTTCGTCCCTTTTTGGAAATTGCTTCTTTTTTTTTTTTGGGTTATCTTTTGATATCCATAGGAGGAAAAAAAAGTCAATCTGCGCTAGTAACAGGGGAGCGGCCCGTTTAACGCAAGACCCTAAAGGATAAACCTACTGCGGGTTTTATTCCTCCTAGATTTAGATCTTTCATATGCACAATTTGTACGGCAAGGATTCCGGAATCGGACTTGTCGAACTCTGAAATATCCGCCCTCACCCCGGGTGCCACTTTGTTCTCTCTCTTAAAGTCGAGTCCTTCGCGGAAGCCACCTGCGTGTCTCCCCATGTTTGGCCCTTTCCACATTCGCATTATAGTGAGGCATAGAAATTTTTCTTGGCTGTGATCCTTTGGCTTTTTTTCTGTCTCGATGCTGGTCTACATTTGCGCCGCACTGGCTTCCGCTTGTTTATTTTTGGTCGCACTGCCTTTCGCTTGCTACGGCCGAAATATCTGTACGTTGTCTACATATAGTAAAAGTCTGTTGACTTTTGTCTTGCTGATTGTCCTCTTTTTATAGGGTGGTTTGCGTAATGCAGAACTATTTTGAAAAAGTTTACCACATGCACTAGTCAGGGATCAAGGCGAAATACCAAAGAGATAATATAACTGTCTTCTGGCCTCTCCACCGTCTTTCTCTTCTAAGCGAAACGATATCCCTCTTCCGCTGAGCCTCCTAAGCGAAATGCTCGTTAGCCCACATTGCCACCTTATTTGATGTGGGTGAGGTTTAGCCAAAAAAAAAAAAAAAAAAAAAAAGGGACGACAACCGATTCTTTATTTGTTTACTGTTTCAGGCCCGTCCCTTGGTGTTGACATATCAAAGCTAAGTCAACCAGACTCCGGGTGGAGGTTGTATCCCCCATGGATGGTGTCTGAATTTCTGGCTTTACTTCTACTACCATAGAATCCTGATTTGTTGGCAGCATTCAGTTTTTGTGGGCTAAGGAGAGAATATTTAGTTCGTGTTTCAGGTATGCAATGGCTCTCTCGTCTTCCGCTCAAAAGAGTTAGTCGATATAGAGGAATAGTTCTGCCCCTGGCTGGTGTGTATATTCATCTAACTATTAGAAATATAACAATACAAGTAGAAAGTCTCCAGGTTTGCAAGTCTGTCAAGTACTACTCCATATTAATCATCTTTTCTCTTGTGACGCAGCCGCTTTCGATTAACTCTAGTTGCCTGTTTAGGTGTTGGCTTCACACCATTCTTTGCTGCTTCGTTGGTCAAGCGCCAGCATGCCACTTTTTTTCCAGTTGATGATTTTTCTGGAGCCTGTTCGAATGCCTAGAAGTCGTGTTAAATATTATCCCATGAAAGACGTGTGGGGAGGAGACTGAACAAGCGTCTATCGCTTGCGAGACGTACAGGATTTGAGGAGAGCGTCTGGCAGATTGTATGTTTGAACGACCTAATCTTATGTTTTGTAGTTCGTTGTTCGAACCAAATATATATTTCGTCAAGCTTTAGCTTCCTTTCAGGTGCGTCCAGCATAAGTAGGCGAAGAAGCTCTGCATATGTACCGTTGACACGATTCGCTTCTTTATATTCTGTCTTTCCCTTAGGGCCCTTCCGCCGGAGAGTACGGTAGCTGGAAGGTCTGCCTTTCAGTCGTTTTTCAATTCTGCCTGGGGGTTTTTCAGGCCGTAAGGTGAGTGCTGGAGAAAGCCTCCGCTGTTGGACTGCTGCGTCTATACTACAAGAACAAGATTTTTCAGTGTTAGTTCCAGCATCCTTGCGCACCCCAACACCCGGAAACCAGCTTGACTGCGGTCGACAGTTTCTAGCTCCTAGCATCCAGGCGTCTAGAATTGTTTCTATTGCTCGATATTCTTTTGCACCAAATGCATCGCGGTTGGTATAAATAGACATCTTGAGATCCTGAAACTGCACCTGGTGGAAGGCGGACTTCAGGACTCTGACATAATCTGTTAAACAGTCAACCAAGTTCTACTCGTAACCTGGCAATTAGTTACCTTCTCTTGATGACTCGCCTTGTCCATTAATGATTTTCCACAGTGAATCTTCCAATACTATTTTACCTGAAAACTGGCTGGCAATGTGTTTCGCAAGCTTGTGCCAAGCATCTTTTGGAAGAAGAGAAAATAATAATTGATAATAAAGCCGCAAGTGATGTGTATTTTTGAGTAAGGAATCCAATGGTTGGAAAGACTGCGGCACTCCAGGACCATGTAGATGTGATTCAGTGTCCTGTGCCTCGCACTTATCTCTCTGAGACAACCACACCGACCACATCTCCCTATCACGAGATTCCACTATCTGAGCCGCTTGTTGTCCAGGAGTCATGAGGAGGGTTAGTAAGAAGTATTCCAGGTTTATATAGTTTACTTACAAATATCCCACGGTTGCGATATTCTCTGCAGCAAATGCACCAGTACCTTTCAAAATGCTCTTCATAGTTGATTTTTACATTGGGGAAGACAATAGAACGCAATCTCTTGCAACACCCATGGCACACGAACTGTGGAATGGACTGTAGCTGTTGATTAGGTGTATCTTGGGCTAATTCGGAAGAAGTATATTGCTCCTCAGTACTATTACTAGAAGGTCCGCTGGTATAAAGTTCATATCCTGTTGCACCTGAAATCTATCTAGTCTCTGTATATCCAAGAGATGTAAAAAGATTGCATACCTATTTGATGATGGAGCCCATTGTTAGGAGAGTCGAGATAATCCATGCTGGGTGTGAGATGAATCACGTTCCTTGCTATCCATTCTGGCTGTGTGGGCTCGCCAATAGATAATTGTCCATCTTCCAAGCCGATTGATGCTTCACAGTGATGGCTATGGTGATTTTTGTCGTCATCCCAGTAAAGGGTCGTGAAGGTTGTGTGACTTGTCGTGCAAGGTGTCATCTTGCCGAAAGTTTTTAGGGCAGGGAGAAAGAATAATAAGACGTATTTTCAATGGGGTGATACCATGTCCCTTTAATATACCACCGCAGGGGCCCACTTCTTGATTACTACCGCGCAAATCGAACCTTGCACTAGCACTAGTGAATGGACACTGACCTATAGCAAGACATCTACTGGGGTTAGGACAGAGGATTTGACTGCGAGAATTCTAGCTAGACATTCTTACGTGAATATTAAAAAATCCTCTTACATTTTCCTAGTGATATCTTTGTCTCCGCCGATTAGTGGCCAGTCATTGAGCTACAAATTATTAAGTTGTAAATCCTTAAGTTGATATTTTACTCTAAATTGAATGTGAAGAGTGTTCGTATTGAATTCGCCTACAGTATAACGGCTATTGTTGGCATTAATTAAAGCAACCTCAGTTGTTCGTAGCTGGTTTTTGTCCGGATGTAACTCGGCTATTCAAAGTTACTTAGCAAGTAACCTCATGCATACTAGGGTGACCACCTACACTTGCAGAAAGCCTTTAACTCCTTTCCTAAGAGCCTGACGTGCTGTCGCGCAATCTAATAAACTGTCTAGGCAGCGCTTCTGGAGTTCCTTGTCGAAGAGCTCCAAGCTATATGATTCAAATCCATCGCCCAGTTCTTGACTATCGCTCTTGCAAGAGGATTGGGAATTGGGTCTAGAGGTATGTTGTAGACATGGTCAACCACATTAATAAAGCCATGGCGTCCAAACTCTGGAATATAAGAGAGGAGGTCTAAAAAGCGCCCGCTTCTCGATAGGCATATGCATGTGTGGTAGAAATGATGGAGGCCCGTTTCTCGCGGATTCTTGCAACCAAATTGGTATCCCAAATCTCAACCACTCCTCCAGGCCACAGCACCTACAAGAGGTTAGAATATAAAAGTATAGACATTGTAGGACTACCGGTAGCTCCATCCATAAGCATGTAAGAGTTGGCAGTCACCACCCAGCGCGCCAATGTGGATGATATCTATATTATAAAGGGAGTGTGCCAGTCCTGCTTGTAAGGTCATCAATTAAGAACTGGCAGTTGACTGGAACCCTGTTTCAGATTAATTACTCTGGCAAATAATTTATCAATCCATACCACTCCTCTTGCATATGAACCAGATCAATCCCATAAACCTAAGTCACTCTATTTCTTGGAAAGGAATCACTTGGGCTTACAGCGAATGCGGGTTCCTATCAGCTAAAGGGTTAAAATTAGCAACTTCATATTGAGAAACTCTGGGAATAAGTACCGAATTCAATAGCCCAGTGGCCAACACCAGTTCTAAGATCAAGCACAGCTCGAGGTGGATAGCAGGAGTCGGAGACAGCCTGCTTGAAAAGCTTGCAAAATAGGAGAAATTGCTCGCTGTTCATTTGGTTATAAGCCTTAAGAAATAAAGTGACTACCTTGCCGTTCTTTTCTAT